ATCTTCCTCAAGGTCATGCGCGTTGAACTTCTCAAACTCAAAAACATCGAGAACTGGGAAGATTATCTTGGCCAGGTCCTATACGATTTGCACGGTCTAAAGCTTGGTGCAGGCGTCTGGGAGGTTCAGGACCATGCTTGCCTCCCTGAGAAACTCGAGAAACGGCAGACTATGCAGCTCGTGGAGAGAGTTTGCATTCTTGCCAACCGCATGCCCATGAAAGACCTCCTCAAATCAGATCTCAAGACAACGATTGATCACATGCAGCAGACAATTGGCCAGACGAAGTCAACACCGCAGATGTATCACAACCTGCGTAATTTTACCGAGTATCTGAAAAAGCCAATTCACCCTCTGCGTTTGTACCGCGCTCTTATTGGGGACGTTTCGGTAGACGCTGTGTCTGTTAACACCCCCGAGACTATTCTTGCAACACATGGCTGGTTCTTCTTGTTGGGTATGATGGCATTGACAAAGTTCAAGGGTGTTGAGTTGAACCGTCGTCAGACCCCTGGTGCAACCGACGATCTGCGCATCGGCGCGACCTTCCTGAGACTTCAACTTCAATTCACTGCAGACAGATGGGATGCTTGGTTCCGTCTAGCGGAATGTTTTGACTACGAACTGGATGAGGCGGTTCTCTGGACTGCTGACAAGATGAACAAGGAGCGCCCTGAGCTGGTCAAATTCCAGCGAAATGCAATCCATTGCTACACACTCGCAGTTTCACATTCTCGCAATGTGGACATTGAAACCCACGATGGAGATCCTCTGCATGATCTTTACCACAAGTTTGCTATGAGGATGTATGCATCAAGCCGAGAGCCTTTCGCCATGGAGCCATTTCAACATTCTGATCAGGAGAGATATTTCATCGAGGATATGGGAATAGGAACCTTCAAGAGGATTTTACACTCCCAGATGAATGAGTACAAGGTCTGGAAATATGCGGCGAAGCTTTTCAGGATGGCCATGGACCGAAAGCCAGACAACTGGAAGTAAGTGAAGTTTATTGAGCATTCAATGCAGCATCTAACAATGAGTAGGAACCCTTACATGCTTTCCAAGTGTTATTGGAAGATGTATCAGACTCCCGATGACCAACTCGACGTTAAAGACGTGGGCTCCAAGATCAGCTTAGGCACGCTGATCGATACCCTCAAGAAAGCCGTGCAGGTGGCACACAATGCTCGAAGAGGGAGGAACACGGATCCCATCTTTGAACCACACTACAAGATCGTCTCTGTTCTCCACAAGTTGGTGATGCGAGGTGATGTGCCGGCAAAGGAGGCTGCTGAGATCTTATCCGCACAGCCATTCGGCTTAGAAGTCAACCCTGATGATCTTTTTGCTTCCTTCGTAGAACCTGAAGATTGGGAAGAATACATTATTCGCAATCTTTCTAAACTCAAAGAGAAAGACAAGGCTAATTGGCAGCATCGGATCATCATCAGACACGCTAGGATACTGTTTGAAGAGGCCACCGAAGCGCCAAGCGGCGATAGACTCGTGGAAGCGAAGGCTGCATTCGGTATCCTCAGGGATAGCATGTTTACTAAGACTATGGTCATGAACGTATGGAAGTGTGATGCGGAGAGACCCGGCCGTCATCACGTATACACAGAACAATACGTGCGCTTTATGACCAAGTTGCTGGTTATTATGAACGACCGGGGTAATTTGGAGCAGCTCTTGAGACGCCTCCGGAAGAAGGGTGCCGACTTTTACCATTTCACGGATCTCTGGCAATCTTGCTGCATGGCCTACCTCAAGCTTCTGCGCCAGGGCTACAGTGTGTCGCCCGTCGTTGACGACGCGTTCAAGGCGCTGTCGAGCGAAGAGTTTGAGGTTGTGGGCGAGAGGATTGCCGATTGGGCTGCAAGCGATGGCGCTGAAGTTCCGCTCTTCAACTGCATGAAGGAAACAATCGAGCTGAAGAAGCTTAATGCTAATCTTATGAAAGTGGCACCTATCGACGACCTTCTCAATGATTGCTACTCTAGAATCTATTCCGAGATAGCTAAGACCCTGCCTGGACCCGACCCTAGCAAAGTTGTGGAGGAGCGGCATCACGCGAAGGAAGTTGCAGCTCAACTCGAAGCGGCACAGGCAGAGACCAAGGTCACGAGCTCTCTCGCCAGTATTCTCAATGCCCCCAACGGGCAGGAGAGTATCACAGGCACAGCGACTCCCATGGAAACAGAAAAACAAGAGGCCGCGCCACGCTCCAGGAAAACCGGCGTTAGACGGCCAGACGTACTACGAAAGGCTGAACAAGCGGTTGTGAGAGCTCTGGAGGCACCCAAGTCAAGCAAGAGCCGTGTGGGCAGCGTTTCAAGTGGCAAGCGTGGCAGCCGTACACCCAATCAACGTGCAAGTGATGCTGGCAGTGAGGAAGAGGGAGCCGATACGCAGCTCCGGCGTGAGGCTGGCCACGATGTTGATGTGGATATGAAGGATGCTGGCGATGAAAATGAGGAAGATCATGGAGAAGAGGAGCACGATGAAGAGAACGAAGATGAACAGGATGAGGAGCATGACGAGGCTGCTGAAGATGAGATTGCTGAAGAGCATGGCGCTGAAGAAAAGGCCGACAGCAGTATTGACGACTCGGCTGATGACGAGAGCGACCTCAGTGACGTGCCCGACGACTACGACGATGAAGTGCCTCCGGGACTTAGGTTCTCTAACCTTGAGCATCAGTCAGAGGAGTCCAGCGGAGAAGATGCCGATAGTGAAAGCGAAGGAGACGACGAAGCTGAGGAGAGCGACGGCGAAGAAGAGGCCGAGGAGGTAGCCGAAGGTGAAGAAACACTGGGCCCCGAGGACACAGAGTTGGCGGATGACGATGATGAGGAAGATGAGGAGCAGCCCAGAAGATCGGGTAGCTGGGCAGCGAATGATTCTATACAGGCTGTGTCCTGGTGAATGATATTGTTTAGTTAATAGCGAATTGGCGTTACGAGAATAATTTTGCTGGATTGTTTAGGGGCAAAGGATTGGGACTTGAATGACTATTGTCATATCACTATAGAACACCGACAAAGTACACTGCTGTGCCTTGGTCTGCAACAACAAAAAACAAAAAAAAAAGTAAATATAGTATCCCAGCTAAGAAGAGAAACTCTGCCTTTCCAGAAAGGTATAGTAAACTACTCAAACACGAGTCTCTGTCAAATCAAGTCGACTCATCGACAAAAATGTCATCCTGAGCACCGTCCATGAAACCCATTCGTTGGTTGTAAGTAGGTGTTTTGCCGTTAGGAGGGCTGACATTGTTGCCTTCAGCTTCTACAAAGAGTCAGAATACCGTTGATAAAACCATTGTCTAGGGGTAGTTGACTTACGGTTCCAAACCATCATCTGCTTAGGTCCAGGGACACATTTGGTAGGGTTGTCGCGACAGTAGACGGCGGGCTTGGGCTTGCCCAGCTTTTTGGTGGATGTGCTACCAGTGACCTTGCAGCGGTGGTTTTGCATGTACATGTTTGACTGGCCGCCTACAACTGCAGTTAGCAACGACTTGAAGGAGGAGGGACTGTCATGAGACTTACAGCCGTCGGGAATCCAGAGCCAGGCACAGTAACAACCCTCTTCTGGGCACTCTGGCATATCGGCTGGAACGTCGTACCAAGTCTCACGAAAGAAAGGAGAACTATAATGAGTAAGTCAACCAAATAATGCGCCTAAAGCAGAAAGATCTTACTAGTATCGTACGGAAAAGACAACAAGGTTATCCATGGTGACCTTACTGATATCACTCTCATACGAAATGGCCCAGGCCGTTCCACCAGTTGACTCGATGTTCTTGGTGTGTAACTCTCCACCAGAGCCATCACCGCCGTCCATAAGACAACCACCCTCAGGACCTCTCCAAGGCATGGATCGGTTCTTACCGTCCTGCCAATCCGTGGTCAGGTCTCCATTGTACGAAAGCGTGGTGAAGGCACGGTTGTTGGCAAGCTCAGTCATGAAGGACTTTCCGGCTGGGAGCTCGAGGAACTCGCCCTTGGGAGGAGGAACAACATCACAGCCACGGTCGGCTTGCATCCACCATTTGGACTTGGGGAGGTCGTAGAGAGGGTTTACTGCGAGATTGGTGTTTGCGTTGTCGACCGAAGAGTCGTTACCGCCCTGAACAGTTAGTGTTGATCAAGGAGACAACGGACTTTACTTACTCTGCAATACATTCCCTTGTTCCAAGAGGCAATGTGAGCACTCGCAGACGCAGCGAGAGTGAGGAGTAGAGTTGAAGTATACATGGTGAATGAAGTGATAAAATGAATATCGGTTATATGGGATGAATGGACAGTGCAATCAATGCACAAGAAGAAAATGAATAGACATTAAAAGATTGTTTCATTGTACTTCACTCCCTCAACTTATATACAACAGCCAAGCCACTCGTGTAAGTATCCTCAGACAGTTACCCAAGACTCGGGGTCCTTTCATCTCATCCTCATGTGTTCCCAACAAGCGGCCGCTGCTAAAGTAACAGGGATCGCACTTACATATTGCCGCCAAAAGAATCGGCGAAACAAGCTGACATGCCGCGAAGCCATTCGTAGTTAAGTCTGATGGTTGAAACTTGTGGTGATCTTCGGTATCCCTGTATAGGGCGGCCGCTTGCCGGGGAACAGCTGAACGTCGGCGTTTCAGACATGCTTCCTTCATCAGGGCTTACAGTAATTAAGATGATGAATAAGTTGATAATGAAAGTTGTTTGAAACAAGGAAATGCGAAATAACGTCTTGGTCATTAAAACAGTGAGAAACTAGCCGACTACCTAGACAAGTCACTATCTAAGTAATTGGAGCATGGTTCATTGACGTACTTTTCGTCTAGCCAATGTGTACGAATAGTGATCGCAGCTAGCAAACACCGTCATTTGTACACTTCAACCACTGAAACAACCTATAAAGAATCCTTTAAAATTGACAATTTTACCCCAACCTGAACAACGCCAAACCGCCGCAACTCCAGAACAGCTGGCTAGAGACTTAGCCCTCCTCCTTGTCCATGTCGTCTCTGCCTCTCTTGCCACCCTTCTTGCCGCGGCCACCTTTCAGTGTGCTGCCCTTCTTACCCCTCTCCTCGGTAAATGACTTCATCTCAACTCTGGAATGTCGCTGAGCCTCCTCGACTCGGGACTGGAAAGCCATAACTTCCTCCTTCTCTGTTGGGTACTCCTCGAGCTTCTTGCCGAGAGCGGCCTCGATTCGCAGGTAGATCTCGAGATCGTACTGGGTCACCAAGCTAATGGCAACGCCGGACTTACCAGCACGAGCAGTTCGTCCGACTCTGTGGACGTATGTCTTGGAGTCTTGAGGCAAATCGTAGTTGAGAACAACATCGACTGAAGGAATATCCAAACCACGGGCGGCGACATCAGTGGCGACCAGGATGTCTCGTGTACCGGAACGGAACTTGTTGAGAGCTCCTAGACGGGATGACTGAGAGAGTTGACCGTGGAGTGGAATAGCACCGAAACCAAGCGTTCGCAGTAGGATAGAGACACGCTGAGTCTCCCATACTGTTCGTGTGAAGACGATTGTAGACTGTCCGGCATGCTCGTTGATCAGGTAGATAAGATGGACATCCTTCTGGGGATGAGGGATGAAGAGGTAATGCTGCAACAGAGTCGAGACGGTCTGGTACTTGTTGGAGCTGATGCTCACCTTGACAGGATCCCTCAAACTGGCGCGCTGCAAGCTTTCAATCTTGGAGCTGATTGTTGCAGAGAAAAGGTATGTGCGTCGCTCCCGGGGAACGAACTTAAGGATCTTGTCAATGCTGGGTCCGAAGTCCATGTCGAGAAGACGATCAGCCTCGTCCATGATCAGGTACTTGAGTGTTCGCAGAGAAAAGCCCTTGGTCTTCTCAAGGTGATCCACGAGACGACCAGGTGTCGCAACGATGATGTGAGGCTTCTTTCCAAGTGCAATGGCCTGAGGAACCATATCTAGACCTCCGACAATTACAGCGCATCGTAGCGAGATAAGCGAACCGAGAGCCTCGAAGGCTTGTCCAATCTGGGTTGCCAATTCACGAGTTGGGGCGAGGACGAGACCGAACAGAGGCTGAGGCTTGTCGAGAAGGGCTTGGAGAACAGGCAGAGCAAAGGCAGCCGTCTTTCCACTACCTGTTTCGGCGAGACCGATAATATCGCGGCCCTCGAGGGCAACGGGAATGGACTTTTCTTGAATGGGCGTGGGGTACTTGTAGTTGAGCTTCGCGCAGGCTTCGCACAGAGCATCGTTGACTCCCTGATAATTGTTAGATATCTAGACTTGAACAAAAGTCATGAGTCATACCAGATCTTTAAAGGTCTTTTTGGGAGCATCAACAGCCGTCTCCTCAGCCGAAGGCTCCTCTAGAGTCGCAGATTCTTCTTCAGATTCCTCTTCAGATTCCTCGTCTTTGGAAGGCTTGGGCTCAGCTCGGGCAGGCTTTTCCTCGGCCACAGGCTTGGTCTTTTTGGGCGCATCTTGCGCAACCTTTCTTCTCTTTGCGCTGTTCATGGTGGGCAATTCGTGTGTAAAGACGAAACTCCAACTCATGGAAAGATGATCTTGCCTCAAGACTTCAAAATATTTTAGTGGGGACCTTCTTATCGCACGTGCGCTAGTCTTATCATGGTCCCGCCGAACTTTTTTTCTTTCTGCTATCCATTGGGATTTGCGACAGCCAGCTTCAAGCAAGTTTTAACGATACATTCAACAACAAAAAACCACAACAATGGCACGCAAACGAACAAAGAAGAGAACTCATCTGGGTGCCAGCAATCCCGATGTGGACTCTGCCGGACATGCTTCCGCAAAGGACCCCAAGAGCATGGTTATTCGAATCGGCGCTGGCGAAGTCGGTTCCAGCGTTAGCCAGCTTGCGGCCGATGTGCGAAAGGTCATGGAGCCTGGTACCGCGAGTCGATTGAAGGAGAGACGTGGAAACAGACTAAAGGATTACGCTGCCATGTGTGGCCCTTTGGGTGTCACTCATTTGATGCTGTTTTCGAGATCAGAGAGCGGAAACACCAACCTGCGAATGGCTTTGACGCCTCGAGGACCTACTCTGAACTTTCGCGTGGAAAAGTACTCGCTATGTAAGGATGTCCAGCGAGCTCAGAAGCACCCCAAGGGTGGCGGCAAGGAGTTTGTCACTCCCCCTCTGGTAAGAAGACTCTTCAATCGCTCCTAGTTTATCCTGCTAACCGTTCGTAGTTGGTCATGAACAACTTTACCCGCCCAGACTCAGACAACAAGTCAAAAGTTCCCAGACATCTCGAGTCCCTTGCTACAACGGTCTTCCAGTCCCTATTCCCTCCCATCAACCCTCAAGCTACACCCCTCAAGTCGATTCGACGAGTCCTACTGTTGAACCGCGAGCAGTCAGAGGAAGACGATGGCACTTTCATCATCAACTTTAGACATTATGCTATCACAACAAAGTCAACTACCGTTTCCAAGCCTTTAAGGAGATTGAACGCTGCTGAGCAATTTGTTACCACAAAAACCAGCCGAAAGGGCAAGATGCCCAACTTGGGCAAGCTCGAGGATGTCGCAGATTTTCTGATCGGAGGCGCAAACGGCGATGGTTATATGACAGATGCAACTAGCGGTAGTGAGATGGATACAGACGCCGAGGTTGAGATCTTGGACTCCACGACCCGAAAGGTCCTATCTGCCAAGGCTAGACAAGCAGCAGCCCAGACCGAAGCCGAGCCCGAAGCGGAAGAGGAGAACGTCGAACGTCGCGCTGTCAAGCTTGTCGAACTTGGTCCCCGAATGCGCCTCCGCTTAACCAAGGTTGAGGAGGGTCTTGCATCCGGCAAGGTCATGTGGCACGAGTACATCCACAAGAACAAGGATGAGATCAAGGAGCTCGAGAAGCGATGGGAGCAGCGTCGACAAGAAAAGGAGGCGCGAAAGAAGGAGCAACAGGCCAACGTTGAGCGCAAGAAGGCCGCCAAGGCCAATGATGGCAACAAGGGCAAGGATGATGAGGATGATGAGGACGAGTTTGAGTATGATAGTGATATGGATGTTGATGAGTTTGACAGCGAGGGACTCGCGGGTGACGCCGAGTTCAAGGTCAATGAAAAGATGGAGGAGGATGGAGAGTGGGAAGATGAGGAGGAGGAGATTGCCAACAGCTGAGTGGGAAGCATTTAACTAGATGGTTGAGGATTGCATGCTTTAGTTTGGCGTTGTATGTACTGTGACATCTGGGATTGGGCAATGAATACCTTGGTACAATTACGGTTCCTTGCGGCTTTATCATCGCGACAGTCAAGTTTTCATCGTTGCAAATTGCACATAATCACTTTATAAAGTGACGAGTATGAGGATAGAATCGCATCAAAAGAACTCAAAACGTACCTACTTAATCTCTATGTGATTAAAGCTACACAGATTATATCGTTCCCAAAACTTTGCAACCTGCGAGAGACCTGCTGTTGTGTTGATACTCAAATGTCGTAAGTGAGGTATCCCACTATGTTGATGGAAAATCCACCATACGCTTCAGGGTAAGCTCACCATCGATACCGCTACTACAGAAGCCCTCAGACAGCCTGTTATCGACATCGCATCATAGATCCCAGACATCAGACAATTCAGGTTTCGTCCTGCCCTGTTTGATCCAGCTCTTTCTTCCTTTCCCCAACTCCCTGCCCGAATCCGAAAGCGTCAAGTGAAGGGCACATTCTCGAGGCTCTATTGTCAAGGTAGGAGCCACATGGTTATGCCACCTGTCTCATTTGAAGTCATTGATCAGTTGTAGCATCTACAATCAACAGCAGCACAAGAAATCATGTTTCGTGTAACCACCAGGAGCTTGAGAGCTTCAAGTTCGGCACTCAAGCGAGTCCCATTCAATGTGCGCTTCTCATCCACGCAGACGTTAACATCGACGCCTGGCAACGCAAGATACTTGTGGTCAGCGGCAGCCATCCTCGGTGTCGGTTCTGGAGCTTACATCTTCAGCGGGAAGAGTACTACCGCGAAGGCCTCAAATAACGAGGTTCCTCGCTTGAGCGATTACCCTACAGAAGAACAGATCCCCGTCAACTCGCCTGTCAAGTCCATCATTATCGAGGATGCCAACGCTAAACTGCGCGAGGACGCTCACACCTTTGTCTTTGAGGGGCATGCAGGAGTCAAGGGACGCGTAGACTTTGCGCGTTTGGGAAGCAATAATCCCATTGAGGATGATTGGGACCTTAAAATTGCCAAAGGTGTTGGAGGAGCGACGACTTTGTACGCTGGTGTTTACGATGGACATGCGTGAGTGAGCCCGCTGGAGTTGCGTGAGACATGCTAACACCACCCGAGTGGATGGGCGACTTCCCAGGTGTTGAGGAACGCTCTCGTCCCGTACATATCAGGCGCTCTGTCAAGCCTCACACCTACCAGTTCTACCGAGTCAGTCAACAGTGCCATCGAAAAGGCCTTTGTTCGTCTCGACGATCGCATCTTTGACACAGCCCTCAAAGCTGTTGAATCGGGCCAGGACCAAGGCACTGCATCTGTTATTTCGGCCGTCGCACCCGCCATTGCTGGGTCCTGCGCGCTTCTAACTCTCTACGAGCCCGCCACGTCTACACTCCGCACCGCTGTAGCAGGTGACTCGCGAGCAGTTCGTGGTGCATGGTCTAATAAGACGAACAAGTACGATACAGACATTCTGAGCATCGATCAGACCGGCTTCAACGAGCTTGAAGTAGAGAGACTTGATAAGGAACATCCCGGTCAGCTTCACAGCATGCTCAACCTTAAGTCTGGCCGACTTTTTGGACTTGCTGTTACAAGAGCGTTTGGCGATCATCGACTGAAATGGCCAGTAGATGTTATTCGCAAAGTCCAGGATGATTACTACGGCACCCCACCCCGGCCCAACTACACCACACCTCCGTACCTGACAGCCCGTCCAGAAGTCACCACCCGAAAGATCCAAACAGAAGACTTTGTCATCCTAGGCTCCGACGGTCTTTGGGACATGATCAGCAACGAGGACGCCGTGACATGCATCTCGCGCTGGCTAACCGCCAAGAAAAGCGGCAAGCCTGAGCCGTTCAAGGAGACCAAGTTTGAGGGAAAGCTGGAAGATGGGTGGCAGGCCACGCCGGAGCACCACGTCATTGAAGATCTCGACAATGCGGCTGTGTGCTTGGTGAAGAACGCATTTGGAGGGTCACGACGTGGCTTGTTTCTTGGAGCGATGACGACTTATGCGCCCATGAGCCGAAATGTGAGGGATGACATTACTGTGCAGATTATTTTCTTCAAGGATCCTTATGAGAAGAAATGAGTAGTGGTGTTAGAATAGAGATTAGTAGAGACCACTAGACAGAATGCATTTGTCTGTGCATGCCTTTATCATTGGAAGACGCTGGGGATAGACCATGCATTCTTTTTATAGCCATAGATGGCTTCATAATACAATGGACAAATCATTGATTCTGCTCACTTAGCTCGCCGATACAAATAAGCGCTGTATAGATCCCTGTTTCTGTACTTCCCTGTCTCACTGGCTGTGTCTGTACTATTTCACTCGCCCAAATACCGGCGATTGACGAGAACTATTGGTGTTGAGTTGGACGAAAGGCTGTTAGAACTTTGTATGGCAACGACCCGCTCTTGGCTGCATCCACGCGCCCTGGACCCTTGTATGACAGATCATTTTTGGACAATCTTGAAACTGCAAATAGACAAAGAGCAACCAGAAGCTGCCAGATAACCAGCACCTGGTAGCCCTATTGTGGTACCTGAAGCACAGCCAGTTATGAGTCTTCTGGTGCCACTCAACCGCTACTCGCTTGCATTTCTGCCAAATTCTTCAACACGATGGTCTACCAGTTACTAGAGTTATTTTTGTAAACCTGATAGTTCTCCTTCCAGACGGAGTTTGTATTCGAACCAGCCATGGCTTTACATCTGAATGCTCAATGAATTGTGGCGTAGAATGGGATTGTTACTCAATGTCTGCCTGGTAACTATATGTAAACTCCCGGGCATATACATAGCCACCGCTGTGCCGCTACAATTTGAGACATCCTTACACAACTGTAGTGCAGTTCGGCAAACTCCCTTTTAATTGTACCTGTTCTATGCTAAGTAAGTGAAAATCAGGTTCGATATATCTGCAAAATATCCAAGTAAGGATGTATACACTCTGGGCCCATACATAGATTTTTAGTATAGACTTGTATGTTTGGAAGTTCGTGGTTATCAAATTGATATTCGACGTCGGATTCCAGAACTGATGTCCTGAGAACATCTCCACTTCGTTTGGGGACTAACAATAAATGCCTCTTGCATCTATCATCCCTCAGCTTGTCAACCGGTAATTCATAACGGTCTTCACAACGTCTTGTCTGCACTATCCAAGATATCAGCCTCAAGTCAGCGACTATTTGGCCATGTCAGCAGACGTGAGCATGGGCCGAAAACCTCGTGTAGTGTCGTTAGGAAGACCCAAGTTCATTGGTGAAGAATATATCGAAGAGTTCCAGAAAGATTTTGATTATGATGTTAGTCACCTACGATCTTGTTATACAATTCTTTTAAAACGCTACGTATCAAACTTCTAGCTTCTATGCTGATACATGCCTCACAGATTCTTGATGTCGCTTATCACCAAGAAGCCCTGGAAAAATTACCACTCATGCTCAAAGAACATGGCCCTATAGATGCTTTCATAATACGGATGGGCAGGCCTCCCTATCGTCCATTCGACAAGATTTTCAAACTTCTTGTCCCTCACTGTAAAATCATTGCATCATCAGCAGCCGGCTACGATGACTTAGCTGCCGAATGGTGCACAGAGCAGGGGATATGGCTTTGCAACAGTGTTAATGCAGTAGCAGAATCCACCGCAGATATGTCATTCTTTCTTACTCTGGCTGTTATCCGAGATACATACCGTGGTGAACGTTCGCTGCGAGAGGGCAACTGGCAAGGTCCTGTTGTGCCGAGTAGAGATCCTTGGGGTATGACACTGGGAATCGTTGGGATGGGTGCCATTGGGAAGTCTCTTGTCAGGCGAGCGGTTGCGTTCAACATGAAGATCAAGTACTACAACCGTCGACAGCTAAGTGCTGCTGATGAGGCAAAGTACCAGGCAACCTATTGCTCATCACTGCATGAGCTACTCGCCCAGTCAGACGTGGTATCTATCAACTGCCCCCTCACGAAGGAAACAGAAAATATGATATCGACCAAAGAGTTTGAAATCATGAAAGACGGAGCATTCATTGTCAACACTGCACGCGGAGCTATTATCGACGAGACAGCTCTTATCAATGCTTTGGAAAGCGGAAAGATTACAAGAGCGGGGTTGGACGTTTTTATGAACGAGCCTGGCCTGAATGAGTACTTCAAGACGAGTGACAAGGTAGTCGTTCAGCCCCATGTTGCTGGTTTGACAGACTTGGCGTTTCAGAGAGGAGAGAGGGAAGCCTTTGAGAACATCAAGGCCTTGTTTAAGAGTGGAACGCCCATATCTCCTGTTAACTGCCCGAAGAAACAGACTGCTGTATCGGATTCTTAAAAACAAATTTTGCAATTAATAGCTGAGAGGCCAACCTTTCTGTTGCCTGCGTGTCTCTTAGCCAGGAAGGATATTCACATGCCAGCTTGGCCGTTTCTAACCGCATGACAAGCAGTGATACACAGGGCTTTTGGGTAGATTTTCTAGATTGTCTTAGCAAGTCACTGTAGTTGAACTATTAGTTGTAAGGCTGTTTAGAATCTGCTACGTTACAAAAGGATCAGCCAAGAATGTAATTAGTCCAAACGCTAGAAATTTCAAGATATCACGCTAGACGTTAAAAGAACATTCGTTTACATCTCACTCTTCCCGTTAGTCATATAAAACCTCGTTTAAGAAGCTGAAGAGTTTTGAAATGAAACTGACAAGCATTGGCCACAATCACATGAAGGCAGTCTGCTGCAGTTCCGAGTGTTCCGTCCCATCCACTATACTTGCTCAAATCCCTGTTGTTGAACTTGACCAAGAAGAGAAGCTGTCAAAGAAATCGAAACTGCGGCTGAAGTTAGTACCGAGCTAGTGGTTCTGGGACTGGGGTGACATGAATCCAGGATGGCGATCCTATGATCGTGAAGGAATTGCAACTCGAGTTGAAGGTACGTATGACCATGAAGAGAGTTGACGTTGACATCTATAGAACGTTCTATATCGGGATTATTAATCTTGGACAAGACCTTATGATGTACAACAAGGAGAGTTTAAAACCACAACTGGAGGTAAAAACTTTCAACGGCTGTACGCTACCTATCAAAAATGCCGGTGACTAAAAGCGGGAGACTAAACAAGCCAATTCGGCCTCGTCTTGGCGCAGATCAAAACGGAGTTTTGACATTTGTGCAGCAAGGGAGCAGCCACCAACACACGAAGGAATGAGTGGCTTTTTGTCTTGTGTGTTTCTTTCAAGTAAATCCTGTAAAGCTTTGGGCATATTGATCAGGACATGTTGGTCCAGAAGGGGCTGCGAATGTTCCTTGGCGCATACCAATATGTCAGGGACCATTCCAACAAACCAACAGAACTACGGATCGCGGAAGTAATTTACCACCCCAGACCAACCAAGGAGAATATGTGATGGAAATGAACGGGCTAGCGGCGGCACAGTTAACCGTTCTGTATGTTGCTTGTTGATGTTTGAGGTGCTTCCAGGGGAGCGAGATCCCTGCAAGTCGGACAAATCGTCCCATGGCTGTGGCTCAAGCACCACAGATTAAAGTTCAAGGCGTTATCAGATTGTGATCGATGATGAGGATTTTTTTCTGTCTCTTATTCTTCAGAAGCAAGAGGTTGTCACTGTCAATCAGGCTTTACATATCGGAGCATTTCTGTCTGGCCAAATCAGCTATCTAGCTCTAGAACTTCGAAACTTTACTTGCTGTCAAAGTCAAGTTGAGCGCCATTTGTGTCATTCTGGTGCGGGTTCCTTGATCCAACACTTTCCGCTGTGACCTGATATGTTGAGACTAGACTAGAACTGATATGGACAGACCATTTCGGCTGAGTCTGAAAGCTAAAGTTGGGTGGCAGGTGGATGGAGGGTAGCTAATTTACTGTTGCAGAAACCTCTTGAGGACGATTGCATTACACACGCGGACAATGAAACGGCTTTTCTCTGTTCCGCTTTTGGTCTCGTTTCTTTTTTCTTCCCGAGGTTTGATGGGAGCGGAAAAAGTGTGCCTAAAGAGGGCACTCTGTAGGGATACTTGTTAGTCAAGACATTGGGTAGCAGCTTCATATAAGGGACATGTTCCACTACCAATTCTGTGTTGTGCATCTTTGATACCTGGATCTAATGTATACCGGTTCACTCCAATCCAAGAGCCATCTCTTGGTCTTTTGTGTTTGTTCGCCATGACGGACCCCAAAGTTACAAAGGCCTTTGAAGATGGCAGGGTTCCCAAGGGCATCACAGCCGATTATCTCAACGAGACGAGAGATGCATCGGCCATAGCGGGTATTATCTTTGTTACAGTTTTGACCAGTATCATTGTTCTGGGTCGCCTTGCTTCACGAGCGTTTTTGATGCACCGCTTTGGCTTTGACGATGCCTTGACGTTGACATCGTGGGTGAGTCTCTGTTCTTCCTTCTTTCTTGGCGGCTCCATCGCAGACGTCGATCACTCCGATCTCTCCACTGAGTAGTGCAACATCGTAGAAAGGCTAACAATTATGATGCGGCTCAGATGTGCTTCGTTGCATTCGTCGGACTGTGCATCGAACTCATCCGGCTGGGCTCCGGACGACACTTTGCCTACATCCAATATGTTCTCGACATGCCGACTGTCGAAGACACCGAAGTCCTCGATTTTATAGCTCACATCATATACACCACCGCACTTTTACTCTGTCGCATGTCCGGTCTTGCATTCTACCATCGTTTATGCGCCGTCCATGATCGTCTTCGACTAGCTATCTGGGTTGTATTCGGCATTCTAATAGCTGGATATATCCCTCAGCTGTTGCTTATCATCTTCCATTGCACTCCTGTCACTGGTCTATGGCCTTATGAGTGGCAGCCCGGCTTTGAGGATTATACGTGTTTACAATGGGGATTAGTATACAGCGTCAACTCATCAGTGTCGCTTATATGCGACTTTTTGTTGTTCGGTATCCCGATTGTGATGCTTCGGGTGTTGGAGATGCCGAAGAAAAGAAAAATACAGCTGGGGTGCATTTTGCTACCTGGTATCTCGTGAGTTTTATCCCGAGAGTAATTTCAATGGAGGCTTACAGTGTATCAGTGTCATTGCCATCTCTATCGCACGCCTGGTGCTAGTTATTGAAGGACAATGGAACATGGACATGTCATGGGCCTGTAAGTTAAAGACATCGCCGATTATCTACTGTCTAACATTCCATAGATAATCCCATGCTGGTGATTGAAGTCAGTGAAATTGGTGCAACGCTCATTGCCCTCTCGGTGCCGGGCTTCAAGCCACTGTTTGACAAGTTTGTCTTACGGCGAGACATTACCGAGGGCGACAGCACGGGTAAATCGAAATCCGCCAAGCTGCAGAGTTCCAAGGGAGACACAGCGCTGCGATCACTCAATTTCCGACCCCAGCACGACGTTCTTACGAGTCGCGATACTTCAGCTGAGGGAACCAATGTACATCGAATGAGTAATACAGCAGCAGATACCAGGAGCGAGAGTAGTGCAGATGGAATTTTGGTACAGGTGGACTTCAGATTAAAGGAGGATACACAAGATGCGAATAGTTCGAGTGATGCAGAAAGAGCATGGAAATGAGACACTAATTGAGGTCATGGTTGTACGAGTAGTACTTAGGTACTGTACATCTTGTCACTTATTCGCAGTTCTTCCATTCGATTTTGGAACCAGAAAATAAATACTATCTTGTAAATTATACAAATTGTGTAAGATTTAATAATATCAAGTCCTTAATTTGTTTTTGTTCCGTTCCATTTATGAGGTTCTGGCACGTTGGGAACGACGATGTTTTATACTCCGTGGCGCTGATGGTTGCAGGAGATCTGTCTGTCACGCCAGCCACCAGCAATTGTCTTCATACGCTTCTAAACTTGAGAATCTCATCTACAAGTCCTCATCGATACCTCAAACAGAATGCGACGATCAGATCATCATCCTTTGGCCGTCGAGCAATGCCTCGATCGAGTTTAGGCCTACCGTAAATCCCTAAACTGTTTACATCCACTAAGTTTACAGGGAGCAGACCCGCCCTAACTCACTGAATGTCCAACCCTTTCGGGGCTTCTGTCGAGGATCAACCAGGACATGGAATTCTTCAACCCATGTTTTCCTTTGTCAAGATTACTTAGTGACATGACATTTGATGCAGTAATGTCATTTATTTAGCGCCCAAAATAGCCTCTCGGCCCGCTATCCCATATGGACTTCACCTACTGAAGAACGCCGCCTTTTCCGCCCCAAGAAAGGTGCGCCTTCAGCGGAGATAAACCCCTGTAGCTTCCTTCCAGCTAAGGATAGCTGCGTCTCTAGGGAATAAACATAATAATAGCCTGCATCCTCCCTTTTCTGCTTTGCTTCCTCGACTTCACTGCATCTTCATTACTGTCGTCGTCATGAAGCTCCTCAGCTTGTCTTTGGCCGCTGGCCTCATTGTCAATCATGGTACAAATGCCAAACCAAACCAACAGAACGAACCTCTCTTCTCATACAATGCCAACCTGCTGCCGCTCGAGAAGAATGCTGGATCCTCTGATCTCTTCCCCATGGCAGATTGCAATGGATTCAAGCTTGAAGAGGCGACCTTCACAGAGATGCAGAACGCCATGAAAGCTGGGAAGCTTACTTCTGTTCAGCTCGTCACCTGCTACCTCATCCGGACATACCAGACTGAGGAGTACATCAAGTGAGTTTGCGATGAATGAGTCTCAATTCGGGAATGGCGTCGTGATCAACATAGATACACTTTGCGACTAAAGCTAATCATTTTACAGCTCCATCATGCAGATCAATCCGGACGCTTTTGCAATTGCTGCTGAGCGCGACGCCGAGCGAGCCAAGGGCAAAGTGCGAGGACCCCTCCACGGTATTCCATTCACTGTCAAGGACAACATCGGAACCAAAGATAGTCTCGAAACCACTGCAGGAAGTTGGGCACTTCTTGGAAGCATCGTCCCTCGCGATGCGCACGTCGTCAAGAAGCTTCGCGATGCAGGCGCCGTACTCTTTGGCAAGGCTGCCCTGAGCGAATGGGCCGACATGCGCAGCAATGACTACTCAGAAGGCTACTCTGCCCGTGGTGGCCAGGTTCGCAGCGCCTACAACTTTACCATTAATCCTGGTGGCAGTTCTACAGGCAGCGCTGTCGGTGTTGGAGCCAATGCCATTGCCTTTTCGCTTGGTACTGAGACTGACGGCAGTGGTAAGTTAAGCTTCAGTTATATGCCATGTTTAAACATTCCCACTGACATTCCTTGACATAGTCATCAACCCCGCCAACCGCAATGCCCTTGTGGGAATTAAACCTACTGTTGGCCTGACATCCCGTGCTGGTGTCATTCCTGAGAGCGAGCACCAGGACTCTGTTGGAACGTTTGCGCGTACTGTGAAGGATGCTACACTGGTTCTCGATGCTATTTACGGTATTGACAGTCGCGATAACTACACCTCTGCGCAAAAAGACAAAACACCCAAGGGTGGCTATGTGCAGTATCTGTCCAAAAAGAAGGCCCTCAAAGGGGCTACCTTTGGTCTTCCTTGGAAGAGCTTCTGGGTTCATGCCGATGAGGACATGCAGTCTCAGCTTCTGGAGCTCATTGACTTGATCAAATCTGCTGGTGCGACTATCATCAATGGCACCGAGATTACCAATTACGAGACCATTGTCAGCCCTGATGGGTGGAACTGGGATTACGGTACCACGCGAGGATTCCCTAATGAGTCGGAGTATACCTACATCAAGGTTGACTTTTACCGCAACATTGAAGCCTACCTGAGCGAGGTCACAAACACCAACATCCGCAACCTAGAGGACATTGTTGAGTAAGTGACTCTTCCCTTCGTTGCCTACTGAGTAACAACTCTAACACTCATTAGGTTCAACAGGAAGTACGATGGAACTGAGGGTGGGTACCCCTATGAGGATGGCAAAGGTCATCCTGCCTTTGCGTCCGGCCAAGATGGCTTCCTTGCCTCGCTCGAAACCAATGGGGAAAGAGACGAAACTTACTGGCAGGCCCTCGATTTCTGTCAATCGTCGACCCGCAAGGGTATCAACGACGCCCTTTCATACAAGGGCAAAAAGCTCTCTGGTCTTCTCGTACCTCCTCAAGTCGCTCAAGCCCCTCAGATTGCCGCCCAGGCTGGTTACCCGGTCATCACAATCCCTGGCGGCTACTCAAAGGAATCCGGCATGCCTTTTGGCCTGGGCATCATGCAAACTGCTTGGGCCGAAGCCGAGCTTATCAAGTGGGCCAGTGCCATCGAAGACCTGCAACACAGCGCTGATGCTTCATCGAAGCGTCGTCTGCCTAAGTGGCTTGGATATCTTGAACGTAATGTCCCGGTACCTTTTTAAGTCGCGTGATACGTACAAAAGGATATGAACGCGATTTAGCTTGGATGTAGGATTGATATATACTTGTAATTGTAATGCGTTTTAATGTGGAATCCCACTTAACTTTGTCGTATGTACAGGCTCAAGATGGTAGACTGTGATAGTCAGATGCATGATGTAGATTATAATTGATCCGATGTTGCGTATCGAGATCGAAAGAGCGTAAGTGTTTCCAATTTTCACAGGGGATCGATCAACTTTACACTGCCAAAAAGTCAAATACAACGCAGTCAAAGATTCGCCTCGGAGAACGAGGACGATGAATCATGTGGTCAAGCTTGGGCAGAGCCAAAAAGAAGAGGTCCTACCCGGGTTCGAACCGGGGACTTCGGAAGTAGTTTCGATAGGTCATCAAAATCCAACGTCCTAACCACTAGACTATAGGACCTGTGGTGCTTAACGATGTCCAAATAGAAACATAAGAATGAGGTGTGACGGGGAAGAAATTCGTGAAGTGGAGCGCAAAAAGTGAGGTCCTACCCGGGTTCGAACCGGGGTCTTCGGAAGGTTTCTGATGCAAGTCAAAATCCGACGTCATTACCACTAAACTATAGGACCGTGGAATGACAGATGGTCTCTAAATAGTGCATATGAGGATAAACCGGCGACATTCATCATTACAGTTAAACCTAGAGACAGAATCGCAATAGTGTTAGGAATGAACTCTATTCAAAGGGTAGATGCTATAATAGGCCACTCTTCTATCTTACTCTTAGGCATTACCCTTCCTGCAGACATCCTGCCACACCTCAACAACATCGTGTTACAGCGCCTTGAACCAACAACTTCACTTCACATCCCAACGTGGCGTGCATTTGGGGAACTATCGAATAGTAGAACAATTGTCAATTATACTGTCTGAGATTGTTTACCTCCGGGGGTGACTACTGTCTACTTACACCCCGGCCTTGACTCTTCCAGCCAAATCGGCCTGCGGCTTGCGATGGCTAGGACACATTCACATCAAGCATCCAACGAGGGAAGCACCCTCACCTCGGAGCAAAATATGTCGCTAAGAAATTGACAATCACAAAGGACATACCGCATTCGGGGCATTTCTCTTACTCTCGATCATGAGGCCGTATCTGATACCAGCCGTTGGCCATGATATTCTCTCTAAGAACTTTGGGGAGCCCTTCTGTTGCCTCGCGACGTAGAGCGCCTTCACTCTGAAGTTGCGCAACCAGATTCTTAGCCTGGTATGCGTGAACTCGAATGGTAAGCTGCATGATGTCTCCGTAGACAGTGAAGTTGTTACGACCGCAGTTCATCTCAAGACCGTCGCGCAGTCGATCAAGATTGTAGACGAGAGTAGTATTTATCTGGTATTCGTAGAACTGACGCTCGGGGTCCTGGACCCGTTGGCGGCTTCGAACACGGAAAGGCATGATGATGGTGGTGGATAGGGATAGCAGGTTGTATAGATTCTTTGTAGGAACGAGTTGCGGTTTGCGTTGATCAGAATACGCAGGCAGATGTTTGTTGGGAGAGAGAAAGAGATGGAAAAGGATGGAGAGAGGTATATATAGGCCAAATCAGTGTGTTCCAGTGAAGCATTTGTTGTTCGTTAAACGTACTCATTCTTGTGTGATTGGGAAGGAACAAAGGTTTTCTACATGCATCCGAACAAGCGACCCTTCACGACCACTATCATGTTTTTGGTGAAGTGAAAAGCGACAAAGAAATGTTTTTGTGGCAGCAGTAGTCTTGTGCAATATATTATTATGTTCACAGGAAAAAGGGTTTGCGCCATTGCGGACATTTGGAATCAAAAGATTTGGAAACCCCAGCCGGATTTTGCCTCCTGAGGGAATAGGTTTGAAATGATAGATAAGAGTCTCAATAGACCACTAAGTGTCCACCATGGAAGATGAAGCAAACCGTATATATGGCAGTGAATGGCCTCATTATCATATAAAGCTGCTAACAACCTTGTATGACCATAACTGCTTTTATAGTGGCCACTGAAGTGAGTCGAGCCTCGCGTATGTCAAGGCATAAAACCACATCCAGCAAACTTTAGTCATATTGACTCATATGAATGATATAAGTCTATGTTTGTGTTGTACCCACCAAACCCAGATACGGTTGAAAAAGGTCACTTTTAATAAAGCTTTCGCCTCCCGGACCATACTGTCACCGGGGTACATAGCTGAGAAACGATGAAGCAGAGAAATTTGATCCAAACATTGTTGGAAAGACGAACAAACTTCATAGAAAGACTATTTCGAAGACAAAGGGGTAGTTAGGCACCATCGACGTTGCTCCCTCCGGTTTAATCTCAACGTTTCCAACACTACTATGCCCGTCACAGTGAAATGGCTAGTATTGCGACTGCAGCCAAAGCCATAGACGTCAAGATGTTTCTTGGGCTCGAGAGTGCGCCTTATATAGGCTCAGACTCGCTTACAGAAATCGTGGGACTTGGTGTAGATGTGGGCTTGTTCGTATGACTTGTGATATCAACGTCGGTTGGGTTGCTTTGCATTCCCTTCTCAGTCAGGGGATCGGAAGTAACACTGGCAGCAACCGAGGTTGATGGGCTTCCGGTGAGATACTCTAAGCCACCCGTGATGATCATAGGAATATCAGCGGACGTTTCTGTGAGCATCTCATCCGTCCCGCCAGCTGTATAGGAGACCTGCGTTGACTCATCTCCTCCGACGCTGATGGTGCATTCTTGAGGTATTCTGTCGCTCATCTTGTAATGAAGAGAGACTATGACTGTATGCTCAGCTTCGTCATTGTTGTAAACATTTGTGTAAACAGAATCACAGTTGTATTTTGTGTGTCGTGGCTCAACGGTTACGGTGACAGAGACAGGGCCTGCGTCTCCACCGTCGTTGGCCTGGATCAGATATATGGTCGTGGATGATTTGGTAGTTAACATCTTTCCCGTCAAGGTCCGGCCAGATGGAAGACTATTTGGCCATGGAACGGATGTAGTAAGAGCGAGACACATGGCGATACACCAAAGAATAAATTTGTTATGGGAATAAGAGTTCTGATGGTGTCGCTTAGAGGAGGGAAAGCGGATATTTCAACATAGAAATTGTTTGAAGCGAATCAACACTATTTAGAAATTGGTTTGGCGCTGTTGGTAATTACCATTCAATTTGAAACGTTGTTGTTCAATGTTAATTTGACCAACAGCCCATTTACAAGCACAATTTTGTTCCACCAACGGAAACGAATGGTGAATTAAAACGAAGGTGAGAAATAAGCCAGTGAAACAGTCATGCCAAAAAAGAGCACTAACCATCAAGCGCCGCGAGTTGATCAACTCAACCAACATGATTGATGCTGGTATCGAGGTTATCAGGATTGAACCACCATTCGAGTGTGCCAGACCAAGGTAGTTCCCTCCAATTCCATTCCTTCTCATCCTCTGGGCTCACAAAGCTAACAGCTGTTACATGGGGTGGTAGTTGTGTTATTGTACCAGGCCGAGTTCCTACGAACAATCCTCCAGACCCAGCTGTCCTAAGCGTCACTTCAGTTGAATCCGATCGAAAACACCCAACACTGGCTTCAAAGCCATTTCTGTATCGAAACAGAAGTCCTGCAATCTTGCTATACTTGGTCTCAATAAAACAACTGTTCTCCAGATCAAACTTTCGAATGATCCCCGTGTCCTTTTTGCTTTTGCCCCTGCATACTGTGACACTGACGACATCCTTCAAAGAGGCTGAAGAATAGTGCAGCGTATGGAGAGGGTTAAATCGTGGCATGGGATTGAGTGGGGTTTGCTTTAGTAAAGTTATGTTCTTGCCGTTGTCCGGTAACTTGGGTGAAGCAATGAGAGGGATTCCATGAATTGAAGGAGAGAAGAACATCGTGATAGGCTCGCGAGTCTTCGTTTCAGCGATCATCAGCCACTCGCGGTGTCTTGAGTAGGGAGTATTCTTTCCACGGTGATCCGGGTAGCTTCCAGATATTATCAACCGCCTCTTGTTAGTAACAAGCTTAAATGTGTCAGTAATTCGAGATGTTGAAAAAAGGAAAAGTCCTTACCGCAAGTGCAATGTCACTGGGTCTCTTGTATTTTTGTATGCCCCAGGGCGTAGACAGATGGAAACCTAAACTGCCTTCACCCCGACATGGAAGAGCACTGGAAGTATCGTACTTGGTAGATCCACGCAACCAGACTTGTTGAATGTACTCGCCTTGTTCAACAGGATGATATGTCCATTTAAAATTGCTGTACTCGTTATATTCGGAATGCTCGTCGCTCGCGGCATTGTATTTGATGGCCTCTTGAGTAGTACGGTTTGCGTGAATGGAAATCATTTCGTTGCCCGACCAGCAGACTGAGTAACCAACTGTGCAATCCTGGTTGAAAGTGAGCGTCTTCATCCTCGCAATAACCTCTCCCTCTCCCCAGCCGGCGTAGTAAAAGGCCAGAGAGCCAAGAATGGACGGTGACATTGGGCGGGACCAGTGAACAAGAGAAGGAATCGACACTTCTCGTAATTTGTACCCCTTTTATGAGTTAGATATCACAGAACTATTTTCTAGGTTATTAACACTCACATCGTCCGTAAATGAAAGCCTTTGACTCTCAATCGATAGTGTTTTCCAGTAAACAGGAGCTGATTCATTGACTTGGGCCAAGGCAGTGTCGGTAACGATTTGCCTAATCCCGAGATGATCACTGGAAACGTACAAATGCTGGGCGCCTGATAAAGAAATACTGTCCCAAGCTAGGCGGGTTCCAGGTGTAGGCGATCCGGATAATGAGCTCACGTATTTAATACCATCAACAGTGGTATAAGTGGCCCAGACCGTAGTCGCTAGACTGATAGACCGTTCGCTCTTATGGCAAGTCAAAGCCATTTCAGCTGTGGTGTAAAGCCTGATCAATTCATCATCATCGGAAACAATACGCCACAACTCTGGTGATAGATTCCCATATGTTTTGTGGAGGGCATTCTCGATCAGGATACGTATTGTCTCCCTCCGATTATTCTGGTGCTGTTTGCTTGGTTGATACGAGTATTCAGTAAACGGACAGTATCTGATGAGAGGGTTTCGGAAACAAGTGGCCATGCGGGCACAATCAGCATGAAAGGTAACGGCAAGGCCCCTTGTGTGGGTGCAGGAAGGATGAGAGCAGAGTCGGAATGCTGTGTTGAGAGTCTTGTCGAAGTAGATAGGTGAGTAGCACTCTTCCCCGTGCATGAGGAATGGCGTAGATACTTGGCCATCCGGAGTTACTACAAGTACGCTTAGTGTCATACGAAAAGATGAAAACCGAAGCCGAGGTTGCTTACACGCCATGATAGACTCCTTCTGTATTTCTATAGGGAAGAGACATGCTCGGCAACGACTTGCCTCTACGCATACTGGACTGGGGAGATGACTCTGACCATGAACACGCGATGATATGACAAAATAATCGTCCGGGCCAGACTGTCTTGGTTGAGAAGGGATATCCATGGCTATTAGATTGACTAAAGATGCCTTGTCGTTGATTTAGAGGAGAAATGGCCACATTGTGTAAATATGTCTATCTTGAAGACTTCCAAGACATAAGCTTACGTGGTGGTGACGGACGACCAACCACAATACAGCTTGTAAGACACGGAACAGACGTGGGTGATATTTGGCCTGTTGGAACGACGGATATTTGCAATTAGCCAGATGCATGTATTCTTGCGACTATACAAAAAGGTGCCTACAATTGCAATAATCTGAAGGAGATTTGGTATTTTGATGTTGGCTCAGTTTCTCATTCCTCGGTAAATCGTAGGCAAGAATCATAAGCGGCGCTTTATCTCGTTGCTCATGTTGGGGACGTTGACAGTAAGGCTGACTTCGAAATTATGTTCCTTTCCGAGCATCCCATGGGACAGCACTGTATTGTTGTTACTGAAGAGTTCGTTCATATTGACCCCAACCAAGCAAGATCAGAGATCGAAAGTCCGTCTCAGACCGGAGCAAAGATGGTGCAAGTCCAAGTGATGGGGTACAAAAATAGATAGCCTAAAAAAGCCCGGCCTAAGTACCATAAGGTGGCCTACTAATTTCGTCTCTTAAGCTTCTAGCGGCCGACCTTTCTGATAACCTGAGGCCAACCAGGGGCGGTTTCATTTAGTACTTGATAATTTTAAAAATGTACCGTCCATGTTTAAATACATCAGAAAGGCATTGTTTTTTTTAGGTGCAACAGTGGGGGGATGATCGTTTGTAGCACACTAAAATAATGGCAGGAATCGTCACTGCCTAAATGAAGACAGGTGCCTCCACCTGCCAAACATCTTGTCCGCTGGAAGCATAAGAGATGAGATTAGTAGGATAATTTATTCTACTTGGGGTACTTCTTAGGTTCTTTATTTTTGTAACCTTAATATTCAAGGCCAAAATTTCTGCCACCCATCCTGTGCACCTGCTCCCGCACCTGCACGTATACCGTTTCGTCAACTCTACCTTCTTCACAACACAGAGATGGATGAAGATCCCGATTATAAAGGCTTTGGCTTCAAACGAGTTCCTTGTTGCTGTCTTTGCGGAGCTAAGATCTGTCACAAGGACGTCTTGCCAAAATGGATGTCAGAATTCCGTACCGGTGAGTAGATCTTCCCAATCCAACCTTCGATAGCTAACCTGAGCCTGGTGAACACAGTGTACGCGACTGATTTCGATGCAAACGCAAAGGTCTATCTATCCATCGCCGGACGTAGGGGAAATAATATTGTTGACACCATAGACGTCGACCCTTCGGATATTGCCTGTCTCGGCAAGAAGACTCTTCGCGTCAACCTCATGCCTGGTGGATCGTGCAGCAACCTCATAGCCGGGTATCTCAGCTCCAACACGCTGTACGAGGCGTGAGGCTATCCCTTCCACTCGACATGCTGGAAGATGCTGATAGCATTCAAACCAATTGCACAGCAGGGTTTGCAATCGTTGTTAAATCTTGGTCGCTCGATGCGAAAGCAAAGCAGTATGATAAATTACGGCCATAACTACGGTGGGCGAGCAAGCCAAAGTCATGCAGTTGCACCAGGAGAGGAAAGCTTTCTTTTGGATCCGGTGCCCGTTACGAACTGCGATGTCGATTCTGGGGACAACGGTAAAATTCATCACCATGCAGTCTGGCTCAGGTGGCATTGCTGGGACATGTCCCGTCTACTCTACCAAACTCTTGAAGCGATCCATGACAATGGTGCCTGACTGGGGAACATCGTGTGGTCGTTCGGTGAGAGAGATGCACCGTGGGATAGGGGTGCCTGGTATACAGCGCGTCGCCTAGAACAAGAACCAGGTGACCCACTTGACCGAGGATGCATCATCGTTCAAAATCGCGTGCTTTCATTGCCTACTTTGATCCGCGAGATTCGGATGTCTACAGTGAAACTATTCGGGCGATGATACATATCCGGTTTGAAGGTAGTGTATGAAAGCAAGCACGCCTATCCAATTGGCTTCCAACACCCGAAAATAAAAACAATTATGACCGTAATACAAGAGATTATGGGGTTCATTGTTGCCCTAGATGAGCGTGGCGTGAGAGGACTTTCGATAATTGATGAAAACAAAATCGAATCCCAGTGGATTGGAGATCATCAGAATATCCCCAAGTGGAAAATTTGCTCCAGATTGTTTGGAGGCCTGGTGAAAACCCTGAAATGTGGATTTGACGTAAGTGGCCCAATACTACTCTCTAGGGAACAAAAGAGGTACTCTACGAAGACATCAACTGACATGCAAATAGGGTATTAAGCTTGTAACGCTATCGATCGATGCAACTCCGTTACCTTATCACCACCCCGAAATACCGCAGTCGACGGATCTAACTTCATAGCACCCTGAGATTCCGAAGTCGGGATTGATCTTCCAATACTTTGACTATTATTTGACCGAGGAAGATGCTTTAGGGCGACCGCAACGTCCGGTATGCTTCGCAACGTTCGTGGATGAAAACCCCGAGAAGCTTAGCCGTATTGTGGTTTGACATCGAGTTCATGAAACACATATGTTGAAACTGGAATCCATCACCATGGAATCCAATGATGCACAAGCAGCTGCGGAATTGGGATTCAGACGAACTGACAATCGATACAGCGATCACAAAGCTATTGCTTATGAACATGAGGGAACCTTCGAAATCGACGGACGGGGCGGAGAACGGATCAACAAAATAATGAGATGGTGGTTGAAAGGCGTGATGGTGGGGTTGACGGTAAGTCTTTGATTCTGGCTATGAAACAGGAGGTCTGACTTAGTTCAAGATACAAACAAATCGTGACCGGGAACATGAATTTCTTGGTTCGATTGTTAAGAGCCAAAACTGCGATGGTCTAGAATGTGGTACTGAGGAACCTGGAAATCGTACTATCGTGGGCTTTTGGGCAAGAATGGTAAATTGAAAGAAGTGACCCGCTTTATATCAATGCTAATTAATGAACAAATGCAGGACACGGAAGAAGGATTTGAGAATTTGGGACTTGTACTCTGCTAGACGAGTCCAAAAATCCGGCAATTGCGGGGAGCGGACATAATACGCAAACTAGTGGGCAGCAGAAGAAATGGCCTCCTGAGTCTTAGGGTATAAACATAAGTGGTCTAAGACCTATAGTCTAAGGAACATAAAGTGGCCTACTAATTTCGTCTCTTATGCTTCCAGTGGCTAATTTTTCTGATACCCTGCGGGCAATCAAGAAGTGTCTTCTTCATGAGGCATGACCGTCGGGAACAGCAGTGAGTCCATTACTAGGTGTTTCATGTCATCCGTTACCAAATGGATTGATATATCGACACCATTATCAGTCCAATACTTTTGGAGGGGGCCAGGTGCTTCCTTGATCAAAACATTGCCATCCATCTCCGGTACAATGCCTTCTGCATAGACAGATGTAGAGCCAAGCCCAAAATCGATTCCATAAACCCCAGCTCGTGCCCAAGTCGTTACCAATACATGACGGCGACCCAGGAATGCTTGCCATATTCGCTGAGGAGACTTCTCGTAGGCGAGTGTGTGGATGTGAGCGGATATGTTCGATGGATTGGAGGTTATCTTAAGGGTATCGCGGACCTGGTTGGCTACACCAGTCGCGTTGGATCGATCGCAGACTTGTGATGCAGGAAGTTCGATGTTCATCATGATAATAGGCGACCCAATGAATTTGTTGTCTAGCTGAAAAGATGGCCTGATACCATAGACGAGGTCGCAATGGAAAGGATTTTTGTCGTTCTCTAAGCGCCGCGCGCGGGCTATGCAGGACCATATATGAGCCAAGATCGCATCGTGCTGGCTGAGCCTTTGTGTTGAACCCTCATTTGCTTTCTTCCATAGAACGTCGACTTGTTCTTTGCTGAGGTGAACAACACATTTGGATACCGGAGAAGTGATATCCCAGTCTTCCCAAGGCATAACGTTGCCTACTGGTTCGAGTTCCGGCTTGTCGAAAGGCTCCGGAATCTTAAATGGCCAGGGAGGTGCTGAACCAGGAGCCCACCAGTCATATCTGTGCATCGGTAACGATTTGGCTTGTTTTACAAGATTTTCGTCTGGGTGTACAATATTGATGTCTCCAGCGGCGAGTTTGTCAACAATTGCAGGGTCGAAGATGGGTGCCGGCCGAATGGCAGACTCTCCGCGAAGTAAAGATTGGCTGATGGAAGCCCAGTCTTTGAGAAGAGACATGAAGGTTGTGGCATCAGCGAGAGGATGCGAACCGTTCAAAGCCAGGACAAATCCACCGCAGGTCATTTCAGTTATCTGGACTGCAAGGAGAGGATATAATCGACCGCTTTCATCTTTGATGACATGATTTAGTGGCTTAGCTATCGGCACTGATGGTAGGAATTGTTGGAACCGCGTGGACTCGCAGGGCCAAATGGGATGTTTGGAGATTCTGTTGAAGGGGTATAAAGAATCGAGCGCAACAGAGCTTTTGGCGTAGACGAATTCCACACCAGGATCATTCTCGGTTCCAAAGTGCGCGTATAGTCGTCCAAAGCGTCGCGCATGCGGAGGGAAGTGCTTGGCTTCTGGTGGGACACTTCCGTCTGTAGACTCAACAGCCTTCAAATGTCCGCACCATTGAGGGTAAGACTGTAGAGTGGTGGATAATGCTCTGCGCAGGTGACGGCCAAAAAGGTATTCGTTGCGGGCGAGTAGGGTTGGCTTTTCGTAAAGCCAGATCGCAGTGGTGTTGGAAAAGTTGGCGGCTGTGCAGTCGAGAAGGGATAAAGGGACGGCTTTTTCTTCACATTGAACAACTAGTCGTGTTGATTCAACGATTGATATATCCTGATGGGCCATGGTTGAAGTTGGATGTCAGAATATTGAAGTTCGGTGTACTGAAAAGACTCTGCGGGAATAAGGTTAGAACACAATAATGCGCCTTATATACCAGAATTTAAAGACATTTTGTTCGTGTTGTCAAAATAAGATCCCGCCCAACCGTTTTGGGGATGGTTCAAGATGATTCATTTCGGCGAGCTCGATTAAGTAATAGTTCCACAATCCTAATATCTCGGCGTGCATAAAGGGAAAGTCGCATATTTCTATCTTACCTAGATATCTGACTGAAATGCGATGTGACAACGTGTCAAGTCCCTCAAGCGCGGTCATGCTAGAGCATTCAGAGTATCATGCTGTTGAACCCGATGTCCCGTTCTTGAGCCAAGACAACAGACTTCCAAGTGAATGGACGGTTGCAAATTCGTGGCCCTTGAACAGCCCTTCAACGGTCTCCGTAGGATGATCTTCGATCCTGCAGGCCTTTTTTTGAGATTCACCTCCTGGAGAAGATCGCCAGCGCTTTAGGTCGGAAACACTCTCGCAATCATCCTTCGGATCAAGAAGAACCGGCTTCCACCCAGCATTGATCGATCCAACCACGTCCTTTGAATAATCATCACCAACATACACTTTCTGCCAGCCACTTAGTTCTGTCTTGGACTCGTCCAAATTCCGTCCACTGCGAGCGCTGATGATTTGGGCAAGCATGGATTCGGCGGCGCTGAAGATGCGGTTGTCTGGTTTTTCGACACCAACATCGTAGGACATACAGTGAAAGTCAATGTCATAGATGTTGTTTTTGATCTTGTTCGCATCTGAGTCTGTACCGTAGCGTAAAGGGCTCACATTGATGCCGAGAGATGATAGAATGCTTGGAATGCGATCGTCCGAGTTGGTGATGACGCCGACAACAAGTTGGTCGTAATGCCGAGATGGGCTGCCTTTCAAGCCTTTGAAGGCTTCGACAAGGCCTGTCTCAGTTTCATACCCCTCTCTAGAAGCAAATCGGTGAAGGAGTTTGGGAGCTAGATCTTGGGGGAGAGTTTGGTCGTCTTTCAACAAAGGTGTGAATGTATTGTGAATGACCTGAAGAACATCAGCACTGTCCCGAGATAGACACCAACGCTGAAACCAACATTTGTCCACCATTTTGTAGCCCCAAGACCTGTCTCCTTCCCAAAGTTTGGATTTTTCTTGGACTCTTGCTTGATGGTCGATATCAAAGTCGATTGCAGCTCTTCATCGCTGAAGTCGGTAAGACCGCACTGGCGAGCGACTTGTGCGTATTGCTGCGCGACTGGCTTGACAGGTCTTATGAGGGTACCGAATGCATCGAAGCATAGAAGAAGATTTCGCTTTGACATGATTTGTTGGTTTTCAGGACAATCATAGAAGAGTAAGTTCTTGATGAGTTCTGTGCTTTGACGATCTCCACCAGAGTAAAATGATTACGTCAGCCGACCAACCTCTCTAGTGAGTCTCTGCAGTCAACGCGAGCGGTCACTTCACGCCAGTCGTATGTGTAAAGGAAAGTAAACTACCCGAAAATCAGTATATCTAGGCCGCTGTGGTACAGTCTATGTCGAATCTAACCTCCTGTCCATCCAATCGCTAAGTCTTTATGGCTACGAATGATAAAGTCTTTCTTGCTGGAGAAATCTGTTCTTCTGTCACTTGCTATCTTCCTTCTAATCCAATTTTGCTTTATGCCACCATACCTTTTCGCAACCAGAACTGCCACTGAATGCAACATACACTTAGACCTGACAGGTACCTACAACCTGTTCCTCGTCCGTGGGTCACCTCTTGCCAGTGAAAGGACCGTATGTCGTCAGCAACAATACCGGCGCGCGCCTGGATACCTTGGAGATAGATAGTAAAATATTCAGCGTACAGATAGGTGGGCTTGTATTTCGCTGCATCTGTCGATGCACATTCAATGGGGTTTTTAGCAACATGGATCCGAGTGACTGGAACATCCAATTCACTAGAATTTGCGCGTGAAAACGATCACCCTATGAGAAGTCTCCCCACAGTCCAATGCAGACAATAATTCAGTACGCTTTCGCACTTATATTGAAATACTTAAACAGTGAAGTGCCACTGAAGCTCCAACATCCTCTCAAAGTCTATAGTTGGTCGCACATTAGGGAAGCTCGCGGTAGGGGAGTGGAAGTCCATCGACATAATCTCCACTTCGACAAGGGTAAACTCAACGTTACGCAATCGGCTTGTGAAGTAACTGTTAGTATTGAAACTCTAGCAAAAACTGTCGTTCTGGTGTGACGGGGTCGGTGGTCTCAAATTGGTCTCGAGTCTAGGCCCTCTCTCTCTCAACTAGGGCTGGTAAGTCGCCGCGGTTGTAGTTCTAGATACCACGATAATCTTGTACCAAAGACATGATATTCGTCGCCGGTCCGACGCCTATACTGAGCTGGGCGTCGGCTGATTGCATAGAAACAGTGTAGATGTGGCCAGAAATAATGGGCGCGTTGGTATCAACACGTACAGTCGCATTGTGATCGCCTTTTGATGTATGGAGGCAGGGAATTTTTGCACCTCATAATCGATTTGCCTTTTGGCCATCGACTACAGCGATATAGGGCCATTTCATTTCTGTTTGATATTAGGTGAGAGTGATGATACGCTATACTCCAACTGTATAGGCAAGCTCTTCAGGAAAGAAAGAAAAAACCCATTTCCACGGAAGCCGTCCGGAAGTTCTTTATCAAAGGTAAGGCTCAAAGAGCCACTGCCGGTGTTTAGGACGATTCCACTCACTGAAAGCCAGTGTGCGATGACCGAAAGCGACATACTGAAATATGTCACAATAAAATATAATAATTTTCTTGGGCTTGGATCGAGAAAAAAGCGTAACTGAAAGAGATAAAGTGCAGATTGAGACATGGCATTATAAAAGAAAGACAATACCGAGATTTTTTTGATTGATTGTGTGAGGTTTGTCTATTTCGTTTTGGCAATATTGCTATCGTTCTTGACAGCGCATCAGATGAAAGTCCCACTCTGATATTCTACTGCAAAAAGACTAAACATTAGAGAGCAAACTACGAACCGTTACATAAACGGCTTCTCGTTAGGTGCTCTTGGCAAGATCTCGTAAATGCAGGGTAGTGTTGCCAAAATAGGGAGAATGACACCTGAAAGGGAGTTTGAGGCTGTGTAGGCGAGATATACGGTAGTTGCCGAACATGGTCGGATCGAAGATTTATGCAATTTTAGAGTCAATATCGTAGTGTCATTATCCTGTAGGTTTTGAGAAGTAGGTGAGGCCTCTCCACGAAGTTTATTACCACATGCAAGGTTTGTGTGATATCTTACTAACAGTCCCTCACCCAACTACAGGGCAAACATGTTAGGATACCATCCATACTCAACCACGACTCGTCAGCTCTGATTCAACTTGCGTGGCTGAGTAGAGATCAAAAAGAGCTGGCGCCACAGATTCTGAAGTCATGGAACAGTCATTGCGCGTTAGTGGGAGTTCCCAAGATGTGATCGGCGGTGGCTGGAGGATTCCAAGTTGCACCCAGGACGGATGACCTCATCATCGTCATATTGCACCACGAATCCCACAAGAACAAGCCTGATTTATTTTACTTTACTTTGGATTTACATCCGAACCATTGAGACTTGGTTTCTTGTTCCAACTTTAACATTCAATTCTTCATTCCAGTATTGAACGTCGACAGATATTATACAACCATGCAGGACGACCACAACAAGGATAAAGAGAAGCGTTCGAAATGGAAGATCTTTAGCTCCTCAAAGGACAAAGACAAAGACAAAAGAAAAAGCCAAGACCTCCAAATACCTCCAGCTGCAACAACATCAGCTGCAGCAGCAGCGGAAGCAGCCGAGACTTCAGGAGATTCGACGTATGGAAGCAGTGAACCCAATCACTCGCTCACCACAGATGGCGGCGACTTGAACAACACAAGGAGCAATGTCAACAGTACCGGATTGAGCCCTGGCAAGACGCCAGACACTACAACGCCTACTCCCAACCCCAATGCCAACTTCAACACCAACACTAACACCAACACCAATTCCTGTCTCAACTCAGGCCCAGAGTCTTGGACTAGCCCGACCATCAAGAGAGAAACAGTCACCAACCCAAATACTGGGCAAACGATAACAACTACAACTACTACTACAACTACCACCACCACTATAACAAACTCAAATGGCACAACTTCCACCATCGAGGAACCTCATCCCGTCATGGAATTGCCCACTGTCGCAAATGAAGACGTCACCCCAGTTTCCCCGCATCCGCCGCCACAGCAGCAACCAGCAGTCCCTCCTTCACTTCCTGAACCCCAAAACAACTCCCTGCAACCACAGTATCAACCGCCTGTTGAACCGCCGGTCCCAATTTCTGTGTCTGTGCCTCAGACAACACCCACGCCTGTGGAGCCATCGCCAATCACACCCACAGCCCGTCGCAAGAGTCTAGAAACACCAGGTCGACGAATTATTCCACCCCGCGATCCTGTTCCTTCGCTAGCTTCAATTCCTCCATCAACCGCACCCTCAGTTGCAGACAATCTCAGTTCACCAACAATTCCCGAGCGGAATGTCAGACGATCGGCCGAGTTTGTACCCGCGCCGTTGCAGATCGGCCAGGGCGCATTTCCACCACCTCCACCTCCACAAGATAATAAAGCCGTCAATTATTCCCGGCCTGCTAGTAAATCCACTTTTGCGAATCTCAGGACCGCTGCGGCAGGTATTCATGTAAGTCACTGACTACTGAGATCAACTTGTGTGCAACATGCTAATCGCCATATTCAGGGCGCTGGTGAAACACTCCGTGGAACATTAAACTCGACCGTTGACAGACACTTTGGTGGCACCCCAGCAGCCATCGAAAAGAACCAAGCAGCCATCGAAGCAGGCCGTTACGAGATCGACAAGGGAAAGTTTTACCACCCTAATCAATACCGTTTACAAAGACCACATGACGACAACGGCCCTTCAAGCGACGCACCGCCCATCCCAGACGCACAGTACGATGACCCGCCATTCAATATGGGCAACACAACAGGAAGTCCCGCCGTAATAGACAGTGATAGAGATCGCCGTCGCAGCAGGCTGGGCAGTTTGTTTGGCAAAAGTAGCGTAAGGGCTTCATCTCAGCCAGGTGCGGACCCCATGACACCAAGAACTGAAAGGCAGAAGTTGAAGAAGAGAAGCAGTTCAGGACCAGGGACGCCAAAGTTAAGTGTTGTTGGAGAGCGAGTGAGTGAATAAATATGAACCACCGCTACGCAATTTAGGTTTCAATATGTTGGCCTTTGAATTGGCATCAAATTTGCTTTGAATTTACGATTGGAAAGAAATGACTGCAAAGTATTCACATTGAAGATGCAGAACACTTGGGCAAAGTTGATTGTTGTTATTCTTGACATACGTATATAACATAGGGAAATGATCATCTGTTACATCTACTTTGAGACGTAGTGAGCCACATAGGCGACCTCCATGTGGTTTCCAATTCCATCCTTGGTGTTGCTGTTGGGCCAGCCAGGCTGTCATTCATCATATTAGCCAACATCTTGAACAGCATAAAGGTATTACTTACCCAGTCTCCACCAACGGCGACGTTGAAAATGATAAACAAGGGACTTTGGCAAAGTGTCTTCCATGTGTTTAAGTTTCCGATCTCCGCACCTGTAACGCGATGAAAGACGTTGCCATCACGGTACCAGGTAATCTTTTGTGATCGGAAGTTGCTGTTGCGGCGATCAAACTGGACGCGCCACGTGTGGAAGTTGCTATCGGGGACATCAATGTTGGACGCGATACCATTAGGCTCATTGCAGATTCCTCCAGGTGTTCTATCACAATGGACCGCACCATAGCCGATCTTCTCGCCGTTGATGTTTTCGAGAATATCGATCTCTCCGCAGGCAGGCCACTTGACGCCACGGCGGATGGATTCACCCAGGAGCCAAAAGGCAGGCCAAATACCTTGCTTGCTCCTAGCAGAGTTACCACCGAGTCTGAGTTTGGCTTCGACTCTAGTGACCTTGCCAGCTTTGGGAGTGAGAGTGTACTTGCTCTCGATGCGAGCAGAGGTCCATCTGCCATTGGATTTCCGGGGAATCAACATGAGGGAGTTCTTGCCAGTCTTGCGCAAGTTATTGGTGCTCTTGACGTAAGCTTGGACTTCATTGTTGAAGTTTTTTTGACGCTGGATAATATGCCATGTGTCTGTGCTGGGAAAAGTGTTTGCTTGACCCTCAAAGCCTTGATGCCAGACGCGTTTGTAGCCGCTGTAGTTGGGAGGAGTTGCCGCTACTGCTGCGGCGAGCAAGTAGGTGTATATGATAAACCAAGAAGATACCATGATGGTGATGTTTTAACAGGAAGGGTAATGGGAGTAAAGGAATGCTGAGCGGTGCTTCCGCGTGGGAGATCGGAATAAGTGCACTGAAGGAGAGTCAAAGAAGACAGGGGATTAATGGTTTGCTGTGGTAGATTCCTTCCTCAAAGATTAGGAAGTGGACCTAAAGTTATATACATTTTCTCGTCTTCCCATCATCGATATCCTTCATTTCTACCCCTCCATCACAAGAACGAAATATTGTCTAGACTGATAGACTCCCTCGTAGTGAACAATAGTCCAGGATCTGGAACATGTCTCAGCCGCTTTGGTTCATCAAAACAACGAGACTATGCCAAACGCAGAACTTATACCAGATTCCTCGACGCCACCGTTGGCAATAGTGTCCAATATCAGGCAGTTTACGGAATTGTGGCTGGGGTTTCGTGGAACTAAGCTTTTGTTCCTGATTCCAGGGGACAAAGGTTAAAAATTAAGCATAGGCATACCCTTGAATACAAGGAACGTGGACAAGAAGTGAATCTCGTGGCGTTTATTGGAACCTGTATTGGAAGGGCAAATCTGGTGGGAAATGTGATGGGATAGAAGAATGTGCATTCAGCCATTTCCATGTTACTTCAATACTATTGAGAGTGGCGCAAAGTTTCTTGAGGGAGAGAAAACTCCTTAGTATTCGTTTGCTATCCTAGTCCATTGTAGCCATCGTACGAACGACGTAAAAGAAACCCCTCGTGCGAATAAGAACTAGCGACACGACGATAATGGTAACCAGGATCGCTATAAAAAGGAAGATTAACCAGGGGTTTGACAATAGCCGTCCAATGAGCATGGCAAGCAACATCCAAAGGGCAATCCCCATCATGGCTCTATCCGAAAACTCCTGCGCATGGACACCAGCAAGATATCCACCTCCCTCGAAGTTCATCATGGCGACGCAAAGGACAAGACTCGCAAATATGAGCAACATGTCAATTGCTAGTATACCTGTCGTCCATAAGGCCCAGGCGTTGCCTTCCGCGACTGCTATGCCGATGGAGAAGATGCTGATAAAGATGGACGTGATAAGAAAGGCGACCATGACTGCGCCGAGTTTCTTGGGAGTCTTGTGATCGATAGGCTTGTCGATGGCTTCCCTGCATTTTTCCAATGTGTCTGATGATTCGGCTTCGTCGAGGTCTTTGAGGACGGCTTGGGCGAGGTTGAATGTTGGAGGGAATTTGCTCTTGCATGATGTATGTCCGTCAGTGACTCTACACACTCCTAATAATATGTTAATAAATATCCTCAATAGCAGTAGATGTGGGAGATAAACTTACCTGATGAACCAAATTTGTACCAGTCTGGTATGATATCGGCCGTGGCTGTTTCACACTCTTCCCCCCAAATGAGAGCTATCGTTGATCTTGGCCACTGGATGAGAGCATAGTTCTTCTCAGCTGATGTTCTACATCCTGCGAGAACACATATCGAAAGAGCGATAAGGCCTGGAGAGGATCCAAGGTTAGTACATCCAAACCAATGTAACTAGTCGATAGATTACTGTACCCAAGTTCCAAAAAACAAGCCAAAGAACGGTTTTCATCGTGTTCATCAGCCTTACGAGCCAAGACTAGAACAAAATGATTAGACTACTCCACAAGGACAAGGTCCCCTTTTGTAAAGGTTGGCATGAACCCCCTCAGAACAACGGTCAAGTAGGGTCCAACGCACACTGTTACTCTGAAGCACCGCCAAGACAGCATGCTACAAAATCACCAGTAAAACGCCCAATTTTGGACGATCTTGTCGCTATCAAGGATCCATGTATTCAGCTTTAATCTCTTTCTCTCAGAGCCTGTCTGGTGGGTAGAAGAAAAGTTGCATTCCTAAGTCTTAGGGTACAAAAATAAGTAGTCTAAAAGCTATAGTATAACGAGCATAAGCTAACCTGATAATTTCGTCTCTTGTGCTTCCAGCGGTAATTTTTCTGGTACCCTGAGGCCTGCATACACGAATGATCGAAAAACCGACTTCACCCCTGCAAGCTGAACTCACTGGCGAGTCGTGAGTGGTCAACAGGGGAAGGGCACAGCGGAACGGCGTTTTTAGCTCGGGCGGCTATGTAACAGAAGGACGAAATGAGGATAGCCAGAGTCAAGGCGGAATCGTTCCTCAAAGGTCGCGACAGGGTAGGGCTTGGCGTTGATAACTGCCGAAATTGATCAAGTTGAGGGGATAAGCTTATGCGAGAAGCTTATCTTTAAAGTGCAGAAGCGGGACTATTTTCGACAAATTATACGATAATCATACGAAAGGTACAAGTTGTAGGTGATTAGATATCATTTCTATTGTCTATAAAGCGCTAAAAACATCATAATATTTTATTTCATATCCCTGCCGTTCTTAAATTTCCTGACTGTAAGGGTAAACAACCTGGGTGACAGCAGGCCACTTGAATATCTTGTGCTCTGTATCCGTAGCGGCCTTTTGGAAGTACTGCAACAAATCGTTCCACAGACCGTCAGTGTTCTCCTGGTTGCTCAGGTCCACGGGCTCCTGGTCATTGGCAATCTGGGAAATCTGAACACCGGCAGCAGCGAATCGCTTCATAACATCATCGTGATCGAAGCACTGCTCAATGGTTCCTGTAACAGCGACCTTCTTGAGGAGCTCAGGGAATCGGGGCTCCTGAGCACTGGCGCGTCCAAGACCAACACCGTCGATGATATCGAGGGAGTCAACCATGGCCTTGACAGACTTGAAACCTCCAGTGGAGAAAACCTTCATGTCTCGTGTCAGACCTTTGACAATCTCCTCGGCCTGGGTAAGGAAGTAGTTTTCGCGCTTGCGGTTCTCCTCCTTGACGTGAGCAAAGGCAAACTTCTCGTAGTTGCCACCAGAGAGCTCGAGGAAGTCAACCTTGGCCTTCTCAAGCTCAATGGCAAGAGCCTTGGCGTCCTCAGCGTCGACACCGCCGGGGGTGTACTCAATAGCGTTGGCCTTGATACCAACGATGAACTTGGGGCTAACGCGGCGCTTGATCTCAGCAATGACCTCGAGGACAAGACGCATGCGGTTCTCGCGGCTGCCACCGTACTCGTCGGTTCGGTTGTTCGTGCGAGGGGACAAGAACTGGGCAAGAAGATAACCGTGGGCACCGTGAAGCTCAATGCCGTCGAAACCGGCCTTCTCGAGGAACTCGGCGGCGTGGGCGAAGCCGTTGATAACAGTAGCGATGTCCTCCTTGGTAGCGGGTCGAGGAACACCATATGTCTTTCCGGGGCTGCTGCTAACGAGCTGAACATCAGAAGCACTGATGGGGTTGGGCTGAATCCACTCTTCGACCTGACGACCAGCGTGAGAGACCTGAGCGATCAAGAGGTTACCAGTCTTCTTGGAAACGGTAGCCAATTCCTTGAATCCATCGAAGCGACGACCCTCAAAGGGCTCATCAGCGGGGATGGTAAGGTTACCGGGAGCTTCCAGGTTCATTCCATCGATGATAACGTTGCTGGTGAGAATGGAACCCCAGCCTCCAGCTCCCCAGTTCTTGTAGAGGGTGATAAGTTCGGGTGTGGGATATCCTCGGGCAGAGACATCGTTGGCGTCCCATGTAGCGAGCTTCTCAGACATGGCAGCCTTGAGGAAGCGGTTGGGAGCCTTTTGACCAGAAAAGACATATTCGAGAGGTTCAAGGAGGCGAGAAGGGTCAACGACCTCTGAACCGTATCGTGAAGGAGCCATTTTTATGATATTATTTATAATTGGAACAATTGATGTAAAGGGGTATAAGTTGGATAATGAGAATGAAGAACGATATGGTATAGCATTCTCTTATATATTTGATCTTTACTAATGTCCGTAAAAATTCATCACGGACCCTTACGAAAGCCCGTACGAACAGACCAATATCGATATCCACTTGCGGAGTTTGTGATGGAGCATTTTACCTCGGTACACGAATCATTCGTGCTAGTTTTACGGAGAATTTACTTATTTTAGCCACACGATCGAAAGCCCAAAACTAACTTTGATGAAACGTGCGATTTTAACGTTGTTTGTATGTATTTGTAAGCCAGCCGATTGCCGTGGAAGCTCAACAGAAAAGTGGCCAAAAGATCAGCACGTCATTCCCAGTACCGGGACAGAATTTGAAGGATCTTTAGCAGCTTCGCTATTCACGTCTTATTTCCTCCAGAAATAGTGACAAAACCAGCCCTGGAATTCGGTGTAATAGTTGGCCCGAAAACAGGCTTGATTTCTCAGGCATTGACGAAGTATTTTAAGTGAGTCTATACCGCCTGTTTCTTCACCGCCCTCTATAATTGATTGCATCATGTATATTCCATTATCACATCTCCACATGTCCCTCCTTTTTTGGAATGCTTAGTACTGTAGACTGATCCGATTGTTGTGTTAGATTAACAATTCAATAAATTACGATAATAATCAAATCTGACAATAAGTGATCTTTTTCTATCAATGGAAGAATGTAAGAGGAACGGAGTAATTTACTGAAAATCCACCTTCAAGACATTATGCCAAACGGCGTTGTCCCTGTCGCACAGCAGTTGGCAGTAACAATCAATAATCTATGATTATTGAGACCTATCTTCTTTTTAATATATCGTACTATTCGATCCAGAATATAGTAGTTTAATGTATTACATGCAAGTTGTGATTGGCACACCGAGCTTATAGACCTTATGGGCGGTAGTACCTCCATGTCTAAGAGGGGTTCAATATTGGTCTTCCAGGTAGGAACATAAGCACAGCAACATTCACATATGGCTCGCACAATGCCCAAATCCTGCACCGACTGTCAAGACATCCTGCGTGCCATCGATCAGATCTTCAGCGATGGGTTGAATAAAAAGCCCGGATCCGATCCCTTCAGCCCCTACGCAACAGGCCACTTCACCAATGGCATACACGGATGGAAAAAGGCCGCAACCCAAGGGGCTTGCACTCTTTGCAGAACCATGTACTTCTGTCATAGCTCTGAAAAGATGAAAGAAGTCCATAACATAATAGAACGAGATGGCCCACTTCTCTGGGAGTTGAGTGGTGCTTGTTTCGACGACTGGATTCGATTGGCGTTGTATACAAATAAAGCTGGATGGATAGGCACGCAACCCATTTTCCAAAAGCTGTCCATGACTCAAGAAGAAGGTGATTGAAACATTTTCTCCTCGATCACTTGTGACTAATATCTTCTTCAACAGCGCATCAACTCGAGGCACTGGGCGGTCATGCAGGTACCTCGACATGGGGTCAAAGGTCTGCAAAGTCATTGCGTGACTGGTTGGACGAATGCATCACATCCCATGATGAATGCCAGACTGTGCCAGACTGTTCGCTCCCAATGCGACTCATCGATGCGGTACCGTCTGGCTCCGGCCCTAAACCCACTGTCCCGATCGACGACATAAACGCATTGTCAATCGATGCTATGCCTCACGTCAGGGTATTCCCAACAAACACATTGCCCAAGGACACTCCGTACCTGACTTTAAGTCATTGTTGGGGAAAGTCTGTACCCATCAAGCTTTCGCATAAGTCACAGTCTCTCTATGAGAAGCGAATCCCGATAAAAGACCTCTCAAAACCTGACGCCAAGGTTTTCCGAGAAGCTATTTGGGTTACTAGATGTCTAGGATATCGTTATCTATGGATTGATGCGCTGTGCATCAATCAAGAAGACGACGATGAAAAGGCGACTGAGGTCGCTCGAATGGACCAAATTTACAGCGGAGCAACAGCAAATTTATCTGCTACATCTGCATTGTGTGGAGCTGAAGGTATGGTTTTCACAAGACAAAATAATTTGTACGAACTGTTTCCTTGCAACTGGAAGACAGTGGAAATAGGTCAGGAAAAAAGCGATTACCTGGTGGCATGCGTGGATGAGAATGAACTCAACGAGGAACCAACCAACAGACGGGCTTGGGTCTTTCAAGAACGCATTCTTGCACCGCGAGTCATCCACTTTTGTAAAAACAAGATATTCCGTGAATGCTCCCAAGAACAGATGGACGAATTACAAGACTATAGCCCTTGGATCAATATTCCCAAGCAGGTCAGCCAAGCACATGTCAATCTTAATTTGTACAAGGGCTTCGATGGTCTGGAAGAAGAACAAATTTTGTATCACCAATTTCGTTATCGCCTAGAACTCTACTCGCGCAGCGCTCTTACTTTTCCCCAAGACAGATTGCCATCAGTAGCTGGTGTCTCCAAGGCTATTGGCAAGTATATGGGGCTCGGCGAAGATCAGTACTTTGCGGGTCTGTGGAAAAATGATCTCCCAAAAGCATTACTGTGGCAAACCGAGTACACCCAGGGGTATAGGAATTGGGATCCTGAGCATGTTGGCTACATCAGCCCGTCATGGTCTTGGGCTGGATGCGAAGCACCTGATATACGGCAAAAGCTTGATACTCCACCTTTCGAAGACCTAGTTGATGTTATCAATATCTGGACGGTACCCTCGATATCTGGGGGCAGTCGGTTTGGGAAAGTCAGTGACGGTGGTTTAATCTTGAGAGGCCGTCTTTTCGAAATTCATCGCAAGAGGATTGGTGACGGGTTCTTGATATCCATACAAGACGGTGATGTCGACTTAAAGGATGAACTGTACTTCGAGTCCAGATCCCTACAAACCACCCGTGAAACTGGAGAGAGACCTGAAGGATTTCTGAAGGAGGTCAACATCTACTGGGACAGATACTTGAGAGATCGACAGCGTGCCAGTCTCCCATCATGGCAAGTTGACGCGTCGCTAAATTCTGTTCCATGGGATACAGTCGACCCAGAGACCTTGTATTTTCTGCCGATTAGCCAATTTCAGTATGAAGAGCGAGCGAGAACTCTCATTCACATGACAGGACTAGTTTTGCAACGTGACAACAACACTGGGAGATATACAAGGGTCGGGCTGTTTGACACTGAGGCCCCAAAGTGGGGTGGGTTCGACCATGAGCTGAGAATGCGTTTATTGAAAGGTACCATGGTAGAACTGACAATTATCTAATCTTAACATACCTCAACTGGGACTCAAGTTGGCTCGGAATCATGATATAGATATAGTGAGTTGCAATTCGACGCCGAGTTTAGCACCAACAAATCAAGGCGCAGCAACTTCCACCAACATTAAAAATTATATTAAAGGATCTTAGAGAAGTAAAAACTATTAAAAAATCAACGATCGAATATATCCTCAACACATTCTCCGCCCTTTGCCTGCTCCGGTTTCTTGGGTAGGTACGCTGGTAAACTAATCGGAGGATCTCTACTATAAGCCGGTGGTCTTGGTCCCATGCTTCTTTGGATTCTCTTTCGCTGTTTGGCTTTCCGAATTCGCCAGAAGTAGCAACAGCCGCAGGTCGTGAGTAGAATAATGGTGATCGGAAGAGCGATCATCAAAGCAATGGCCATGTTTCTGAGGCCTGTCTCGTCGCCTTCTGATGTGTTCGACATATTTAGGTTTCTGTGAAGTGATAATAAGTTTCCTGGGCCACAATCACTGTTAGTATAAAGCACGAATAGAAGACGGTGGCCAGTGCCTCACAAACAGTAGTTTTGACTTGAATTCCTTCTGTTTGATGTAGATATCCAGCTAAAGAGGAAAAAAGTTGATGATGATCTTTTTCTGGTAACTGAAACTTTTGTTTAGATGTTAAGAGGAGACGTCGAAAAGAAGTTCCACTCTTAACAGACAAGACAAACAAATAAGTAAGTAATTCATTCTCAAGACAATGATTCTGGCTTGTCACTTGGTTCGTGGTTTCGTGGCTGAGCTTTAGGTACAGGGGTTTCTTCAGGCTGAATCCACAACCAACCCATGGACCCATGACCTTAATATAACGTGGTTATCATCAAACTACTCTAAGCCTCGTTAGGCTGAGCTGTTATAATATTTTGTAAATTGCGATCACGCCTTGCTAGCGATTCCGCAGTTGGTCGTCCGTAAACCTCTTCCGTTTCCTTCGAAATCTTATCTGTCCAATCCTCGTTCCCGTCTCCATCATTACTCGATTTGGTAACAGACGTTCCCTTCAGACTGATTTTGCCTCCATCATCCCAGCACGCTTCCATAGTATCAGCCAAATTATGCAAAAATGCCGCGATACCGCCTGTTCCGCCTGCGCTGTTGTAAGTGTTGAAAGGGCCAGCTACAGCCCATCGCGGCGCTATGCTAGCTTCGACGATAGTGTCCAAATCTTGGACAGAGACGACGTCGTTGGAGACTAAGTGGCATGCCTCGCGGAAAAGAGCAAACGCTAGACGGTTGCCGACGAAGCCTTGGGTTTCTTTGTTAATCCTCACGGGACGGTGACCTGAGCCTAGATTTTTGAAATAGTCGATTGCAAACTGTGTTCTTTCAGGTGCTGTGTGCGGCGAAGGGACGACTTCGATCAGTGGCATTATATGAGGCTTCAGTCTCATTAGTAAGGAGTATGATAGTGAGTCACATGCACGTACTGGATTGAAAGGATGAACCACGAGTAGTCTTGACTTGTCTTCAAGGTCTTCCACCTGCTTCGAAGCCTGTATGCCAGATGTTGAGCTCCATAGATGTGCAATAGACGGAGCGAATTCAATGACTTGAGCCCAAGTCGATTTCTTAAAGTCAACGTTGTCGGGTCCTTGCTCCTGAACTATCGTCGCGTTTGAGCAAGCTTCTTCCAGGGAAGAACATATCACAATTCGACTATCAGACAGCAGTTGTTTGACAGATAGTTCAGTGCTGCTGCCTTCTTTCTTAGTTGATTCGAGGTACACTGGTAAGAGGTTTTCAATGTGTTGCTGCAGATCGTTGCGGACGTCGTACAGTCTTAGGTTGGCATTTGAATAGCGAAGATGTAGCGCGGCAAAAGAGAGACCAATGGTTCCCAAGCCAATGAGTGCAATGGTTTCTTGTTCTTTTGACATTTTGTAATGTTGTATTGGGAGTTGATTTAAAAGTAAAGGATGTTAATTCCAAGTTCTAATGTCAATCATTTCTAGTGGAGGAGGGGAAGTACCCGAGGTTACGCTGAGTCATGATACTGGAGCATAGTGTTCTGGCAAATAATTCCTATTTTTTTATTTTTAGATAGATTCTTTAATACTATAGATTTCCTATTATAGCGATTTCAAGTCTGTAGACTAACGACAATCTTCTTTGCTGAAACACCTTTGGCCAAAGTATTAATACCCAACTGAACAGACTCCAAGCCTTTTCCAACGACTTCCGCTTCCGGAACCGCCCTGAACTTGCCCTGTTCCAGAGCATCAGGTATGTAATCTCCAAAAACAGCCTTTGCAACTGGTGTACCAATAATACTTGTTGACATGATCGGCTGAGCCTTAACTTCTGGCAGCTGCGATTGAGGACCGCGGACACAAATAACCTTGCGCAAACCATCGCCGTGAGCAATGGATTGGCTGGCGCTATTCATGGCTTCTTCGTTACCGCTGGCCTCCAATGCTCCTGCGAGCTTCTTGCTCATGAGCAGTGAGCAGATGTCCTTGGTCACATGTGGGGACTTGTAATCAAAGACGTGGTCAGCGCCGAGGCTCTTGACGTATTCGTGGTTCTTGGTTGATGCAGTGGTGATGACTTCGTAGCCAGCTGCTTTAGCCAGTTGAATTGCAGTTCCACCGACACTGGCGGCACCGCCCCAGATGAGGACTGTTTCACCAGTAGGCTCGGGGTTGAGACTGGGGAATTTCATCTTGAGCGTGGCATCGCCGAACAAAGCCCATGCAGCTGTAGCGAGAGAGAGGGGCAGAACAGCAGCCTGTTCAAAAGAAAGGCCGTCGGGAATCTTGGAGGCGCAATCGGCTCGAATAGATGTATACTCCTGGAAAGCGCTGTTCGCATTGTCCTTGCTGGCGAGCGAAGTGGCGTAGCCTAAGACTCTGTCACCCGGCTGGAAATTGGTGACATCAGAGCCGACTGCCTCTACAGTACCAGCGACATCTTCTCCGAGGATGACAGGGTATTGAGACTCGGAAATAAAAATACCAACATGCTGGTTCGCAATGTCGACGGGGTTGATGGCCACGGCTGAGTTCTTGACTAGGATGTGGCCTTGAGCGACTTCAGAGAGGGGAGCTTCCTTCACCTCGAATGGTGACGTCTTTGCGGCAACGAGCCATGCAGCATTGTTTGAAGGCATTTTTTTTTAGCGATTGGCTATGGAGACAAGATAAAAAAGATTGTATAAACAAAAAGGAAGGTCAAGATGGAAAGCGGGAATGTCAGATATTTAGACCAGACTAGAGGATCAAATCTCGAAGGTTTTATGTCTTTCTGTGACGTCGTCGGATATTCCCTCGCCATCTTCAATAGAAATATTAGTAATTAAATGGGACCATCGGAGTGGCCGTGTCACCACGTCAATATCTCGTGGTTGGCCGGAGTTAAAGCCACGATTGGATTAGCGGTGTGCAATCGAAGAGTTTATTTAGTCCATGCCATGGTTTATAGTGTCTCAGACTAACTAATCCTATTCAATCTATAGGTGGATACGTCTTTGCTACCATAGCGTAACATTCTGTTAAGATCTGTCTTTCATCTCCTGTCACTTTCACAAATCTTTGGCTAAATTCGTGTTAGCAATAATCCATGTTCAAAGTTACCATGTTACTCACCTGGGGGTGGAACTTGAAAGGTGCCCTCCTGAAGTCCAATATCACCCTCTTCCAAATTCTGTCCTACAGCTGACAGAACAAGTTTTCGTGCCAAAACTAGTGACTCCTCTGGAAGACCCTGAGCTGGGGTCATTATCTCATCTACCGGCTTTCTAGTATTCTGTAGCTCTATAGACTCCTCGGGAACGGCCTCACTTCGTCCAAAAGTCATTGCCAACTTGATCTTTGGTAACAACCTCATCCAAGTTTTCGTGGCGGCCGTTTTCGGTAGGTCTTTCTCGGGGGCAGACGTGACAACAGTAGTAACTACCTTGTTCTTGTCCGTTGAGCAACAAGGCAGTTCTGGCGCAGCCTCCGGTTCGGACTCCGATTTAGACTCTGGCGTAGGATTTGGCGGACTTTTCTGAGGATATGTCGGCTTGGCATCCCTTTCTTCCATGGGTAGTCCCTTCGATGCCAAAGAGGACTGGAAAGAATCTATATTGACACTTTCAGGAAATCCAAGCTCGGTAATCATCAACTTCATCTCTTCTTTTGAAGATACATCCTTAGAAATCTGGATGTACGAGTACAAATGCATCGCCAGCATTGGATATTCCTCCAAGTTCAGCCCAGTCTCTTTCAATGAACGCGCAACCGAGGCCAAGTCCATCCTTTTCTCGAGATACGCCATACGACTCTGAACAGCATTCTTAAGTCCAACCAGTTCAAACATGGTTGCAGCTGCGTAGACGCGAAACGCAGTTCCAAGATCTGAGCAGTTCCTCTCGTCCTGTGAATCGAGTTCGGGATTGAGACATCGATATGTCCCAGTGTTCAGGAAGTAGATGACGGGCACTCCTACATCATATGGGATTTCTTTGACGTCGATGCTATCAAGAGATTTTGAGAAGAAGGGCTTTGCAGCTATCCGTGCTGCTAGTATTGGGCATTTACTGATGGCTTTTCTGGAGACAAGGTAAGGGCCTTTGCCTTGGAAGTAAATTCGGCAGACGTCATCATCAGCCGACCTGGAGATATATCAGCCTTGCTCAATCATTAGATATGATGGGTGTAAGGGTACTTGCGCGTTATGTGGCGGGGTTTTGGTGTCGGAAGTCATGGTTGTTGTATTTTGTGATCGTGGAAGATGGAGAGTTGTAGTAGAGATGGTGAATTACTTGGAAGTGCAAGATAATCATGAACGGGGCTTTTAATATATCACCTTTATGTTAAGGTTTCACTTTGAATTTCACATTTGTTGTAGAGTTTACAATCCACGAGATACTGTTCAATCTCATTGACCTTGCTACTCAATGAGAGCCCTCCAGGACGTAGACTAAAGATGGCGACTCAAACTTAGACTAAACGTCCGCACACTTCAATGGGCAACTCAAAACTAAATCCCATCAAGATTCCTTTAAATACTGAAAAGTCAAAACAACCTGCATAAATAGATTTTTCTCGTCATGACAAAGTAGACAACAATACTCAGTAGACCCGCTCTACTATGCATCCCAAAAGCTGCTGTTGGAACTCGGCGTCATCCATGCAGATGATTTCGGCGAGATACATATATCGATCTCAAATGATTCAGAGTCACCAACATAAAAGGGGTTAGAACTTTCCTTGCGACCCGACCATTCCGCAACAGTATTGTCTGGCTTTACTCCTGCAGGACGTGGTCAGTATTCTGGAGATATAGGAGCTTAGCTATCTTGTCGTCAAGAAGGACTGCCTACTAACCATCTGTATCATGTTGATGTTCGTTTTCAGAAGTATCTGTGGACTTCTCTGCACATCCGGTCACCAGCTTGCTTCGGTCCTGGTTGGCCACTGCGACCCTGGATGCCTGGGCATTTCCTGTCGAGGAGTGACCGATACCTTCTTCGTCGCTAGGGATGTCTTTACCATTGCTCAGATCACGCAGTCTCATGATTTTTGCTTTCAGAGACCTCATACGTGTTCGGTCAGACTTGACAAGCTTTCCTCCTCGGCTCGCCCTCTTTATCAACAGAGACTCCAACTCACATTCCATAAGCTGCAGACCCGACTGGCCTCCCGTCTGAAGTACCACCCCTGGCTGATGATGCATCGATACGTGGTCACCTGCCACTGGTTCGGTCTTTTTCTTCTTTCCTTCTTTAACTGCGCGTTGGTGTTGCAGGACCATGGTTTTGAGTGTAAGCGTACTGAGGGTGTCTGCGGATGCAAGGTCACGTAGTACGCTGTTTGTCGTGGCTCCCGGTGCGCCGAACTTTGCTTGTTCCATGCGGTTTTGCAGGTATTCTTTAATGGCCGGGATTTTGTCCAACCCTATTTTCAGATCCTCGATGACATCGAATATGTTTCGAAGGCTCATTTTGTCACTCAAGATTTTGGCCTCTTGCTCTGCATGCCTGTGTAAGCTCCATAGGTCGAGAGACAATGCGGCAATGTAGACCTGAAGGCATTCTGCGAACCCGCATTGGTTTAATTCGACCAACCTAGGAACACAAGCTTTAGGGCACTTGTAAGTACCTGTGTAAAGGAAATGGATGACAGCATTCCCAACATTGTCATCAAATTCCTTTAAGTTTACACAAAGTGGCCAAGCTTCATCCGGATTCTCGAAAACTCGGTTTTCGAGGTGAGGGTGAGATCTGAAAACTTTGGCATGCACCCACGAGGGTTCTCCATTTCTAAAGTATGCTCTGTACACATCATCTCCGTATTGGCTGTGGAAATGTTAGTATTTGGAATCTCCAACCCAAAGATCAATCACTCACGAGAACACTTTGTTGCGATAACGATAGCGTTGGCTCATTGCACAGGTAACGAAGCTGATGGAAAGATATGTGTATGGGGAGGAGATAAACAAAACTAAGAAGAAAAATGGATAAGTTCCGGAATATGTAGACCTGATGTCCCTCGTCTTCTCAAAAACATCCGGTAACCGCCCAAAACTACTTTGTTTTCCATGACGCGACCAGTGGGCCTCCCACATGGGCCAACAAGCCGCAAACATAACCAACATTATTCACACATATCCAATAACATTCACTCACGCACAGATAATTCCAGAGATCGGTGTCTGCCTTGTGTTGGTATCCGTGTTTGAGTGCTGCAAATGAATACCACTCAAAGTCGATTGGCTGATACCTTCCCACATCCGTAACACAGCCATGCAAGTACATCACAACGACACGGAAGGCCTCCATTTAATGGGTTTGTTTCAACTGCCTGGATACAAGGATATGACACTAAAACACTTTCGATCTTAATGAAAATGATTAGTGACATTAACAATAGTACCTCTGAAGTACGATATAAGAAGAATGACAGTAAGAAACGCCTCTATCGAATTCTCACATCTATCAATTAACCAACAGTGTATCCAGATTGAACCAACCATCAAGTCTTGTATTCGAAAGGAATCTGGGAAGATATGGGTATTCGTTCCGTGGTCAAATGCCGGCTTTAACATGTTAGCAATACTTGACCAGTCATCGATTGAGAATACATGCCGGAGTACCATGAGGTAAAGGAATACTATCCTATCGATTGGTGCTGCCAGAGGCACTCATACTGTTTGTCCCAGTAGCATTCGTCTGGCCCACAGCAGAACGCTGTTGCTTCAGCCATGAGTATTGCCTCATGGCGCTTGGAGCAAACACAGTATTAGGATCACAATATTGTGCTCTGTTGAGATCCTTTCTCTGAACGTCTCTGATAACTGCCGCATGATTTTTGGTGTTGGTAGCAGCACCAGTCGCTTGGGCTTTGTTGGTGGTCCTGACTTCGTCAGTGTTGGGCCTTGAAGATCTTGTTGGTGGAATTGGCGGCATTATCACACTGTTGGAAGCTTTCCTGGCCTTTTTCCAGCTTTTAAGCGTTGGTCGATGCTTCTTTTTTCCTGTTTGCGTGCCTCCCATTTTGTGAAGATACTGCGGAGTGGTATATCTGTCTGACCTTTGGCAAGTCTGGCTTGTTTCGTGTAATGACGGTAAATAGTAAGAAAGGAAATACGAGTGAATTCGCAATTAAATTGGGTGAAAGGGACCTTTTTAATCAGGGGAACTCTACCAAAGTTATTATTAAATAGGTTTCCTTTGAAGCCTGGGCCAAACTGATACACGTGTTGGCCATTGTGCTCTGAACCTTTGAACCTTTGAACCTTTATCTCAACAACCTTTTCGTACCTTTATTTATCTTTGTCTTCCAACAGTTTGTCTATTACCTCACGATATAACTTTATTAGTAATAGGATAACGATGGAACAAGTCGTATGACTGATCAGGCAAATATCAAGTGTCAGGCATTCAAACTTGGGACATAATTTCAGAAGATACTTTCACCCATTTAAACCTTTTGATGTTGGTCTGGAGTCATATGCAACCTTAATTCGGAAGGGCTGTGATGTCACGTCACTGGATCCGATAGACTGAGTTTGCAAGCACCAAAGAGGTGGCGCACGGCAAATAAGATACTGTTTGTAAGAAAGGCTGTTGGCAAGAGGCTGTTGGCGAGAGTGGCTTATGAGCGTGGAGTAATATGGCAGACATGAAGAAGACTTACCCCATTGCAGAAAAATCTCTCGGTATATGCTCGCGACAGGCGCTGAGTTCATTGGTTCCATCGGGACAGATGTTACTCATCTTGCTCACACTTTCCTGGATAAACGCGCAAAGGGGCCAGAGGAATATAGGAGTGGCGGTCATAAGTACTGGGTATTTCACTATGAAGTCGTGTACATAGTTGACGGCCTCAACATGAAGTGTAAGTGTCTTGAGGAACAAAACGTCTCCTGTGTAACAACTGCTAATTATCAACATCAGGCATTCAGAGGCTTGGTCCAGGGGAGAGGTCCTCGGCGAGCTGGGCGTGAACATTGCGTCAGCTCTACCATCAGGGGCTGTGTGAACGGTGGCCTAATTATGCTAAGAAATAAGGCGCTATGTTGGGAACTCATGGTGATTTGGAAGAATGGATTTATTGGGATATGAGCTACTTCTCACTGGGTCGACAGTTTCCGAGGTCGATTGGGTGAGGAAGGGAACCGGATTATAAGATCTCGGCTTCTTCGTTCTGGAAACAAATTCTAGAATATAGACGGTTTATAAGCTCAGTCAGTATTGTTGAATTGATTCTCTTCAAGTAAAACATCTCATCACTCTGAGCGGACTTGTTCCGAGTTGCTGTCCTGCGATCATCTGTTGGCCAGCATTGTATAATCGCCCTCACTAAAACTAGGCCGGCATGATTACTAAAGGCATGCAAGTATAATTAGGATGCAACCTGTTTCAACAAAGGTAACTGATTGTACAGGGATAATCTAAAGGATGAGGGGAACCTTGTGGATTTTTCCCTCGTGGGATCAGGGGTGCAATAGAACTAGCAGCGCCTAAGCTTCTAGTTAGAACGTGGGCTATGACTCGACGCTACTTACTGGGCAAAAGCTCCGTGCCAGAGTCTGAAACCTCAATGTTACTTTGTTTGAGTTACAAGTGAGTGAGAGAGAAAAAGAAAGGCCGAGGAATATGTAGACCCTGGTACACAGGTGACCAATTGTCTCTTGGCCAAGGCTTTGCGGTATGCGACTGCCACACAGAGACAAGGTCCGTATGTAGATACATGATCATTCTAAGATATGTCGGAGTTTTCCTCGGCCTTGGGTGAAAACGCTGCAACTAGTGTCCCACGTGTAATAACCTTGATTTGGGCCAGGGTAATGAATCGTTCCAGTTGTATGGTGGCAAGTAATGAGGAGTTCGTCCAGTGTGATAATTGATAGCTGTGCCGCAATTGAAATAATGAGACATCATGTGACCTGCATAACAAGGAACGATTGGCGGCTCGTCCCGTTTACTAATTCTCTAGACTACCTCTAGTCTAGTCCAAAGTGGAATAACACTTTAAGTTAGGTGACTTAAACTACATCGTGTTCCAGTATGGTATTGCAGCTAAGTGGAAGAATATAACACGCAGAGGATACAAGATCTTTAGCCAAGATATCAGCATTGAACAATTCGTATACAGATTTGTAGGCTTGACTTTATGACCTTGTAAAGGGAATACCCAGCCTTTGTCTGATATTGTTCCCATTGCAGATTAGTAATTGGCTTAGTCTGAATTTTTTCAGGGCAGGTGTCATCTAATCGGACTAAAGTCTCAATTTGACCAAAAAGCGTCTTGGCCACCATCTCACTCAACCCATTTAGGTAGGTAGGTATTAAACAAGCCATATGCAGAAATACACAAGCAAGAGTGCACAGAAAAGCCTCTCAAGAGTAACCAATAATTTTATTGTCCAGATCCCGTTTTGAATGCAGAGTGTGGCGGTCATATTACACCCACCTGCCTTTTCCAGTGCTCAGATAGGTACATTAGATGAAACCTAGATCTCACCGAATACATCGGACGCAACCCCAATCTGGAAAGTCCTTGAGTACTTACATGCACCAGCTTAATTCAACTGCCTTGGTTTTACAAAAAGCCTTTATCAACATTCCCAACACTCTCGTAAGAAATCTGCATCGGATATAGCTCTCTTATCTGAGTAGCATCGGCGGGGTTGATACAGTTGCAAATGGACGCCATGCAGGTAGTGCCTGCATAATGCAACCACTATCAGTCATATACCTACATTGGGTCAATATCAGACCCAGGCAATAACGTTTTAACTATGATATAAAGCACCTCGCCCCAGATCTTGCCAACAGGGGAGGGCCTTTGTTTGCTTTTGGTGTTTCTAGCAGCATAGCATCCGACTTGGCAGAAGCCAGCATCTCCCATCATGGCTCAAGAAGCTGAGACCAGAGTGCCAGAGCTTATGGCCATCATAGTGACCTTCTTTGCCATATCATTCATCTCTTGTGCATTGCGATTCTACGTTCGACTTTTCATGATCAAGGCGTTCAAAGGAGATGACTGGTTAATGCTTGTCGCTATGGTATGTTCATTTATGCCCTGCCCTGCCTGGATGATCCTAGCAGGGATTCCTAATACCGAAGTTTATTAAGATCGTCTCAGGTGTTTTACACTATGTATGCCTCTTTCTTTATTTACGGCCTTACCCAAGGGAGTGGTCGACATATGGAGGATCTCAGTCTGGAGCAGATCCACCAAACCATGATGGTAAGACACTCGGATCTCAAACTCATTCATTTCTATTCTGACCTTTGGCCTCTATAGTGCTGGTGGCTTGGTTACATTTGGTACAGTCTCACTATGATGGCCTGTAAACTCTCCATTGGCTTCTTCTTGCTCAATGTAGCAACTCGCAAACTACACCGATGGATCATCTACATAACCATGTTCTGTTCTACAGTCTCTGGGATTCTCTTCTTCTTTATCTCCATATTCCAATGTCAGCCTATATCTTTTGCTTGGTACAAAGATCAGCCAGGCAAATGTATCGGCCTCCACGTCACTCTTTCTCTGACGATCATGTACAGTATCACTGCTGTTGTTTCCGATTTCATCTTTGCACTTCTCCCAGGACTTATCATCTGGAAGCTGCAGTTAAAAAAGAAGACAAAATACTCCCTGATACCTCTTCTGGCCATGGGCTGTGTGTAAGTCAAACACCACAGATGTTTTCTACACCTAATCACCTGCTCTCCTTATCATACTAATACCACTTGTAGTGCAAGCGCCGCTGTCGTAGCTCGATTCCCATACCTTGCTGGGTTTAAGGAACCTGACTGGCTCTGTACGTTTGAGATAAAGCCCTGCCCATCAAGTGCCTTTCTGGTAACCAATTCACTAACTCTTGCCAGGGCACACCATCGATGTTGCGATATGGTCAATAATTGAACAAGGATTAGCAATAACTGCTACCAGCTTGGCAACGCTACGACCTTTATTCAAACTCGCAGGATATCATCTGGGCCTTGCCAGTCAACCCACAACATTCAGCACATCTGGCCACAAGCGCAGTATCGGATCTGGAAACCATGGCGGCCTTGTTGGACGCTTTTCGGGGCGTGAAGCTTTCTCGCTTCCGTCTATTAGTCACCCAGAAGCTGCAGATAAAAGAAAGATGGGCTTCAACTCGAGGTTCCTACACGATAGCGAAGCTGGCATCAGAAGGGAGATAAAATGGGAGGTCAATCTGTCAACTCACTTTAGGAGTGAAAGTGAGGCAGAGCTGCGTTCTCCCAATGCTTGGAGTAACAGGCATGATAGCCCGCGGGTTTAGAATGCTCCATATACCTCTTACGAATAATGACTTGTCTTTGTACTCTGTCTGAGCCGTGTAATTATAAAAAGCAAGCCGTTTTATATATACTTCATCTGGTATTATCTGGTGCAACTATTTGTAGAATAAGTCTGTTTATTTCCTAACTAAGTGTCATACGCCACAAGCACAGTCGACTAGATTTGTGGCCCGAGCGTTTATTCTTTCCGATTTCACTTCTACAATTACGTACAAGGCCCTGGCAGTCTCTCAAACACTCTCTGGGAGTGGTAGGAAACTTGACACAAGAAGAATCTATAATCAGGGTTTAAAACAAGTAGAGAAATCACACGCAATGCTTTCATTATTGTGAACAAAGCTGGTTTGTTTTGCATCTTTGTTGTTGATTTGTCTCCTAACCCGAGAGCAACCGCCCCAAAGTCTCACTACATGCGACACGAAAGACGGAGGGAGAAACCCCAAGGTTCAGATTGAACTTTGACTAAATTTATTTCATCTCTTATGCTAATGACGGAACCCTTTACTAAATAATCCTGTTGTCTAATGTGGGTATCAATTGCCTCGCCTTCAGGCATACTCCTCTAGCCCGTACTCTGCATCCATCTCTGGATCATCTTCATCATATCCGCCACCGCCAAACTCCTCATTTCCACCACCAAATTCGTCTCCATCGTTGTAATTCTGCGTCTCATCATACTCTTCTTCCTCCTCGTAAATTTCCTCTTCATCCTCTTGGGGTGCCTCAGCTTCATCTCCTGCGACGCTTTCCTCGGGCGCCTCCGCGATATCTTCGCCGCCTCGTGTGCTCCCCGCCGCGCTCGTCTTTCGACTTGTGGCTTCTGATCCAGGCCCATCAATGTTAGGCAAGTCAAATATGTTACGGATAGCATCGTAATTGATCCTCTTCGACCAAGCGCGATCCTTGGCAACGTTGACGGCTGCTTCGGCGGCTGAGCTAGCCGGACTGGTCTGTCCTTCTCCCATTCGGGCGCGCTTTCGTCGCTTTCGTGTTTGCTTCGGCCGCTCAGCTTCGACCTTCTTCCGGAACACCTTTTCTTGGTGCTTCCGTAGCCACTCCTTGTTCTGATTCACCCAAATCATCTCCTTGATTTGAGCCTCTTCAGGTGATAGTAGACAATTATTTACTTCGGGGTCGTCGGCAAATTCGTCTTCTGTGACATCGGCTGACATGGAAACTTCTTTTTGAGGGCGTTGCTGGAGAGCCCAGACTGTGTGTATCCGCGCTCGCTGCTCAGCAGTCGTGTAGGCCATAGCATGCTCATAAGTCAATGGGTCGTTGAAGATCTCTTCAATAACGCCCTCTAATTCTTGCTCATCTTGCTCCCATTCCTCGTTGATGGGCAGTTGGGGCTTGTCGCCTTTTCGTGTACGGGTGTCTTGAGTTCCGTCCTCCGCCATCTCCTCTTCTAAAGCATCTCCAAATTCCTCGACTAAACTGTCGAGTCCGACCACATGGTTCTCTTCCTCTTCCTCACCGTCGTTCTCCTCATCTTGGGCATTCTCACTCAGTCTACTGACAAGCGACGGGTCTTTGGCGATTTTGGATGGTAGAGGCGGAATGATGAATCCATCGTCATCACGACGATACTCGTAAACTGGTGCCTTAGAAAGGTCGGCGCCTCCCTCGATTAATCGCGGATCAATCCTGTCGGCCAAGTTATCATCTTCATCATTCGCCTCGGCTTCTTCGTCTGTCGAGAGTCGCTTTCGCTTTTTGTTCTTAACAGCCAGCTGCTTTTTGTACTCGGCGGTCTGCTTGTAAAATGACGGTGGATCGTGAGAGCTCTCCAAAAAGTCCTGCTTCAAGAAATCCTCCACAGACATCCGACTGGATTCGGTGACCTTGAATTCTTGTAAACGGTTCTGAATTGTGTGGTTTGTGACTTTGACGATGTACACGACCTCACGCACTGTTCGTCGGAAGTTGTGCATTCGTGCTGCCATGAGCAAACAGGCTCCGCAAATGCCTGAAGGTCGGCGACCCATGACCATCCAATCTCGACTCATTCGCTTGACTAAACGGACGGCGTCTTCGGCGACCTTGGCCGTGTCTTGGTGAAACTCCATCTTTGTTGCGAATCGCCAAATGAGATCTTCGGGGTATACTGGAATGAGGCCATCGTTGCCAATTGGCACCACTTCGTTGAGCTTCTTGAAGATTCGGCCCAGCTTGAAAACGTTGAGCTGTACCAAATCCGCCAGGTCGATAAGCATGACTTTGCAAGGTGGTTCTGCGCGACATGCAGCGTATAGGCAAACCGCTGCAACACTGGCTAGCGTGCGGCCCTGGATAAAGTTTGCGCTGGAAGCAAGCTTGAAAACTTGTGTGCCTGCAGTGACCAGACTATCGCTGACATTGAGTTGCTGAGCATAACCTTGCATCAAACCCTTTGCCTCACGGATACTCTTCTCCCGGTCCTCTGATCCACCAACCCTCCGGAACGCGGGACCCATACTACGAACACCTGCTTGATCGGCGCCGATGAAAGAACCATGTACAACAGCAGCACCTGAAGACGACTCTCCAAAAGTGACCTCTGCCACGATATTACTATCGTCAGAAATACGACCACAAGTTTGACATGTGCCATCAACAACGTTCGGTTTCGGACAAGCCTTATTAGGACATTGAGGGCGGTTCGGTCTGGCGAGTGCAGCATTTCGATTGACAGCAGCGACTCGTAGGTTATTTGATTGTGTGTGGGCAGCGGCAGCTCGTCGTTCTTCTCGTTCGCGCATAGCTCGAACAGGGTTGGGCTTTGCGAATCGCGGTTTGACGGGCGGGCGCCCAGAAGGGCCCGATTTTGGTGGTGTAAGAAACGACGACATTGTAAATGCTATTGTAGCAGTATAAGTGAGATGAAATTCGGAATTCAAGTCAGTCAGTTGTCAGGCAAATACCTTCTTCCAAACGCCCCCTAGACCGTCAAGGCGGCCAATCTATCAGGCCAAGATGGCGATATCAAGCGCTTTTGAAGGAAGCGCGAGCTTCAATAGTTCGAGCAAAGAAAAAAGATTATCGCGATAAGAGACAGTGAGAGCAGGCGCGGTCGGGAGGATACTGCCAAAGAAAATCGTGACTGAGGAGGGAAGCGGGGTGGTTTTTTTGTGAGGAAGAGTGATGGTCGAGTGGGGAAGAGTTTTCACTTCCGTGGATAATGTCCCTGTAGCTTGAGTCAGAGGTCGGGGTAGTGTTGGTTCGAAACCAGTGGGTAGTCTTTTTTCAAGGTTTTTCTACGCCTTCCATTTCCTGCCTTGCAATACACTTTGTTACTGTGAAAGTTCGTTCTTCCATTAGAAATAGAAAAGAAAGGTTAACATCGTTCTTTGTACGACAACAGGTGGTTTCATTGAAGCGGTTGGTGACGACTAAGTGCCGTGATTTAACCGCGCACGATAAGCTTCGGCCTGCCTAAACTTAGAGCTTGATGAACATGCCGAGGCACAGACATAGGGTAAGAGAAGCACGATGTGTCTGTCTATCAATCACCAACCATAATGGACAGCAATGAACCCTTTGCTTGAATGGATGATAGACCAGAACAATCAGATTATTGTCTTTTCTTGAAGCCTCCGAAACTGTTTCCCATCAGTGCTTGCTGGGTATTGTTACTTAGCTTGTGATTCAGTTATACTTTCAGTGACGATCAAACTCCAGGAATGAGATCTAAGATACCTTGTGTAGATGTTCTTATAACTTATGAGGAGATCTCTGTGGCTCTTCTCATACAATTGTATCCCCTTCAATCTTTCACTACGCGCTGCCTGTTCTGCCAACTCAGGCAACACAACAAACCCCGTTCCAAAAGCAGCAACAAACCCAACTCAACCATCCTCATCCCCACCATAGCTTTTATCCGCCCCCAGTCTTCAGCTTCACGTCCCAGACTCCACCACCTGTCAAGACCATGGCACTTCCATAATTAACCGTAAACAAAAGTCATTCGATTTACATAATTGCTATTTTACCAGTAGCCAAACTGCGCGCCAACAGGCATGGCGGAATCTCCGCTGTAGGAAGGTCGTGTTTGGCCAATTACGTCACGGCTGCCCCGCGATTGTATTGAAAGACATCGTTTCAACAAGACTATAAAGATGGTAGTTTATCCTTCTCAATACAATACAACAGTATCTTATCCTCATCGTCCCTCTCAGTGATTTTTAAAATGGAGACTCCCTTTACTGTCAAGGCTCAGCCAGGAACTGATATCTGGAAGCAGCCTCCTTCTACAGACGTCTTCACAGGTCCGTCCTCTCAACCCCCTCACTCACACTATTCCCTTACCATCACCACCCTCATTCATGCAAAACATCATACTGACTCATCTAGCTCCCTTCCGCCCTCACTCCATCGCCCCCCTAAAGCACTTCGTCTCAGCAACAATCACCTTCCGTACCACCTACGTTCACCAATACGACCAAGCCTGTCTTCTCCTCACCTTCACCAAGCCTGCCAGCACAGGTGCCCCCAGGAAGTGGATTAAGACGGGCATCGAGCTGTACAATGAGCACCCCCGCTACTCAACTGTAACATGTGACTCATGGGCCGACTGGAGCGTCGAGGCGGTCGGACCCAATGATGTAGCTGGTGTCAAGAGTGGTGAGAAGAGCGTTACTATTAAGGCGATGAAGGTGAAGGATGCACTGGGTGTCTGTCTCTGGATCTACAGGGTTGACGAGAACGGAGAAAAGACGCCGTTGAGACAGACAAACTGGGTGTACGGCGATGAAGGTGGCGAGGGATGGGAGCTCGAGGTCTCAGCGGCTGTGGCTAGACCAGACCCTTACAAGAACATCGAGGAGCATCTTGAGGCTACGTTCGACAAGCTGGAGGTCGAATGGGAGAAGCCTACAGCTTAGGTAGACAAACTCACAAGTTTCGCACGCATTGACAATACACAACAAGACGTCACATGCAATGAACACAAAGTGAGGTGGCCGAATTTCTCATTACCTCGACCCTGACGGTGCAAAGCGCCAGGGAGGACCGTTCAACGATCCCAAGTTGTTAATAATCATCAAGATTCGTAACTTCGTTCTCATCGGCGTTTCGCCGCTCCCAATAAACCATGCAGGAAGGATCTCCAAAAATTCCCATCTCCTCCAGCAAACAAAAAAATAGCATGGAAAGCAGCTCAAAAAAAGAGGACAAGGTTCGAGGTATCAATCTCAAGAGGCGAACCAAAAGCAAACAGGGGGACCCTCAGTACTAGTAAAGGCGAGGACACACACATAGTATGTGATCAAGGTAGAGTCAGTCATTAAAGCCTTTCGTTCTCGAGGCCCCCTTCGTAATGCAAAATCCAGAGTAGGAGATGTTTTTGTATCCGTTTCGCGTTCTAAGCATTGTTCAACTAAGAAAACGCCTGTCAAAAAAACGTGAAAGCCAAAAAAAAAACAGCCAACAAAACCAGACGAGATCCTTTTTTTTCTTCTTTTTTCCGTGAAAAGAAAATTCCAAGATGGTACAAATGCAAGCATATTGCCAATTTCGGGGGCATTTGCTCACGGGTGCGGAAAAGCAGTCAAGGATTCCAATCCTTCCCAAATCTCTCCTTCCAAAACTCTGGTGTTGAATCAAAGACAACCTGGTCTTTTTTGGATGATAACAAAACGCCAGAGTAGAGTGTAGAGGAAAGAAAATGTCCCAGTGCTGTTGGGTGTGTGGTATCAAAGCAGAGTTGTAAAATGACAAGACAAATAACAGGAAACTCGCGATCAAGTAGAACGCACAATAAATGAGCAGAGGATGTGAAGGACTTCGTAGGCGTCGGATTATATCCTCTCAGCTCGTGTATCATCAAAACTCGGTCGGCCAACCTCGCAGAAGGGGAGTCATGTAATAAAACAAAGCTCCTTAGGACGTCAATCTGATGATGGAGCACGAAAAGCAACCGAACGCCGAATTCCAACTGTTCTTGTAAGCATCACTTTTTTTTTGTGGTTTTTGTTCTTTTTCGCGGCTTTGGCGATATTCCTTTTAGTACATGTCCTCCAGCTATGATCAAACACACGAGGCATCTGGAGGCCTGCTTAGTGGGTATATGTGTGTGTTGAGCTTGGCTTGAATCGCCTCAGACAGTCTTGGGCGTGCGAGCGTTGCTCACATCAATGACGTCGTCGAGGTGATTGCACATAGCCACAAACAGGTCAAAGAACAGCTTGCTGCCGCCCGCCTCCATCTCGGCCTGCATAGTCCCGCTGCGCTTAAAGGTTTTGCGGCAGCGGATGATCAGGGCGAGGTAGTGAGCGCGCAGACGGCTGTCTGAGTCGGGGGTATGGGCGTAGGCGTACTGAGCTGACCGAATAATGGTCCCGACATCGATGCCGGATTGCAGTCCCTGCTTGCGCAAGGCCAGACGCTTTAGCTCCTCGAGGCCGTATCGGTCCGCGGCGCAGTAGACAACCGTGTCGCGGAGAATGGCCATGTCGAGACTCGACAGATAGATAGTGGCTTCAGACGTGGTGTCTGCGCGGCCACCTCCAGTTTCGGGGTTGGGTGATGTGTGAGGTGTACGGCCTTGGTCCTCTAGTTCCCAAGAGTTGCGCTGCTTATTGTGAAGCAGACGTGGGTAGTAGTCACCCTTGTAAAGATATTCGAGGACGGCGGAGAACACCTCGGGTTCTTCGTCGGGAAGGGAGATTCTTTTGCTCTGTGTCTCAAAGTTGTTTCCGCGACAGGCCGCCTCAAAGAAGGGCGACTGGCGGAGCACTTCCTCGTGTGCTGCAAAGAGCCGGCCATCTCGACCAACGGTCAAAGTGACGATGGGCGAGGGTACATGCGCGGGCGCGGGTGGGGGTACGGGCGCGGACTTTTGCGGAATCGAGTCCTGCTCATTGAGTGATCTTTGCAGCTTCGACATCTTCGTGTGGTCCCTGTGGGAGCCCGATCTCTTCAGTCTCGCAGACTTGTCAACGCGGCCGGGGTCTTGCGACCTGAACGAGCGCTTGAACATGGCTGCGGTTTTTATCGGGGGGAATCGGTAGATAAAGAATGGACTCGTAACGGGGATTTCGACGAGAGAAATACGGGGAGAATAACGACTCCGGGCTTTCTTATGTATCGTGGGATTTGGCTAGAGAGTGACGAAAAGAGCGTAGAGATAGAGAGCAAAAGAGAAGAAGAAAAAGAGAGTGACGCACAACAGAAAAGATTGACAAAATGGGTCCGGGCAGAGAAATATGTCCTTCTTTCAAAGGAGACAAGACAAGACGATATCCTCCAGGTGAATCTTTGCGACCCTTTTTTGGTTGTGTGTGGGGGGAGGAAGAGAGAAGACGATCGGGGGTCTGGGGGGAGAGACCTGTATTTATTTCCATGCAGAGGTCATCACCAGCTAGCCATTCATACAAGGCCCTAATAGGGTCTAAACGCCGCGGGGTCCAGGGACAAGTGTGAGGCAGCCAGCGACGTGCAGCTTTTTGCAACCTGAGTTATTTGCGATTTGATAGGCTTGACGATCTATTTCAAGGCCCTGGTCACTTTTGAGCCTGATTCTGTTGCATTGAACGGATGCGGACGTTGCAATATCAGGCTCGCATTTGGGTCATCTTTCATCATAGGTACCTCTTGTAAATGCCCTTACAAACCTTGAGCTTAGATATAACTGCACCGTGCTTTTCAATATTAACGCCCAACAGCTCACCGTCATCTTTAGCTCCTTTGTTGGTTGTTTTCTTGGTCATCATTTGCACGATCTTGAATAAACAAGCCTCATCTGACTTCTACGTCAATCAATTCCACCCTGTTGTAGCCACTCCGACCCCCCTCAAACATAAACAGTGCAATGTCACTCGGTAAAATGCCCTGTCGTTGTACCTCACCAACTCATTCGTCTGGTACCCAATCGTCAGGCTCTGTGAAGACGCTACCGAGCCGTTCCATCTATACTAGCAAATCCGGGGTTATGATTGGTGAGATTTCTACAACGGGGGCTGGTCGGGTTGCATCAAGATGGTGTTGTCAAGTTCCTGTCGCACGCCGCTTCACGACGCCGCAACATTCAGCGATAAGGGTGCACAAATGCAACCGAGATACTTGATACTTTCGACCGTCAATTAGGTTTATGGCTTCGAACTTAGATGTTTCAACATGTAGGCGACTTGGTAAATAGTATCACACACTGTTGTGAATGAACCGATCATTTTGTATTTAAGCATATCGTCGTGAAGTTAGGTCAATTCCAGGTTCCATGAGGTTGTTGCCAGGGAAAATATGCCAAAGCCCTGCCCCAGTCCAGTAACAATCTACTTTCGCCAAGCTTCTTGAAATCAATTGAGACGCTTCCATTTTGTGTCTCGGGTTCAACAATCCATACTCAGAGGAGACACTCCGTACCAGTCACCACTCCCAATTACTTCCCCTTCAAGAGTCAAGTGCCGCCTGTGCAGCAGCGATGGCTCGAGCTTCGTTCTTCGATCGTGTAAAGCTCTCCCGGGAAGCGACGAAGCCCTGCATGAGGATATACACTATCGTGCTTGTTAGCCTCATAAGTTCTTTTGAGTGTGCTTCTGACTTACTGATGGGCATCAACAGCACAAAGCCAATTGAGTAGAGGGTGATCGCTTCATCTGAACCAACTTGGTTCTTGTCGAGCCAGAAGAAGGGATAATAGTCTGTGACCAGACGGCCAAAGGCAGCCCAACCTAGGTAAGCGGTAGCAAAGAAGAAGATGCCAATGAGGTGCAGTCCGACGGCCTGCAGCGGATTGTCAGCAAAGAACTTGTGATGCTCAACAACAACTTACAAATGAACGTCGGATACTGTTCAGACAAAGGATCTCGATCACCATGATCAATGTCCCAAACGCATACAGAGACAGGATGATAAACGCTCGGAACCATCCTTCGCCAAAGATGTCGGTGACTGCATGGTCAGTAATTGAACTGCGTCACTGGAGGAGTTTTCTTACATGGGGGCTGAGGGTGGTCCTCAGCATATCCAGCCCATGTAGGTATGCCAGTACTGTTGGGACGGCGAAGCTCTGGTTGAGGCTCGCCGCTGAAACCCTCACCCTTTTGCTGGCGGGTGATAAAGAAGTAGATCGTCGAATTAGCGAATGCAAAGACGACGCAGATGGTGTAGAACAAGGTGAAGTGAAACTGCTTTCGGAGATTTCCCATGTGCTTGGGAAGCGACATGCATCTGATGAGCAATCCCTCCACTCCGCCCATGTGTCGATCATGGTGGTGGGGGTAGTACAGGTGAGTAAAAGTCCAGGACTAGACACCTAGTCAGCGAGTTGAACATAAGAATAACACTGCTGTAACTCACAAAGGTCTGGAGCTGGTACAGAAAGATGAAGAAGAAGCTGATGTTGGCGAAGTCGAAGATTATGCGCCACTTGGAGTATTCGCTGTGCTCATGGAGCTCGAAGTTCAGGATAAGAATGCCCACGGCGATGAGAAACGTCAACACGAGGCCTCGCAAGATGACGAGGACGTTCTGAGGTATACAAGACCATGGAGAATGACATGCTCGGAGGAAGGCAGGCTTTCACAAGTTAGATGCAAATGTCAGTTGCAGAGTGTTGTGTATGAGACTCACATGGTCTTGCATGACATTGGGGCCTGGAAGGCCGTCAGCATTCTGAAGAAGGGGAGCCGAGTCCATCGCGAAGGATCAGTGCTGAACTTTTGAAGAAGCAGGGTGATGGTAGAAAAAATGATGTGGATGATTAGTTATAGCAATAGAGGTATTGGGGTGAAGATGTCTGATGAAGCCAAAATGTGTAGGAGGTCAGGCGTCGAAGCGGTGATGCTGGACAAAACAGCAAGGATGCGTGATGATGAAGGATGGAGAATCAGAACATCCCAGATGTAGAATCAGCGGAGGTTATTGTAATGGCATACACGAAGAAGTCGCGCTGGGCTGGGAATGAGGAAGGCGCCTCTTCCCAGTGTGTGCTTTGAGTGAGGCAGTTGCCTAAGAGATGCTGCGAAGAGCACACAGGGAAGGAGCAGAGGCAGGAACATCATCGTCACGGTCACTACTTGTGTCTGGGCCACCAAGACTTATGAATATTTAGTATTATCGACAGAGTCATCGAGGTGAACTCGTCCAAGGTATATATATATCGTACGGGCATCAATCATTCAACGCTAAAGAGACCATTTAATCCTTCTTCTGGGCAGTGCTGGCATGACCCTCGCGCTCCATACCCTGACAACCAGTGAGCTTGCCAGCAAGCTCCTCGGCCTTTCCATATCCTTTCTGGCTGTTGGGGTCGTTTTGCGCTCGAAGTTCACCAGCCTTCTTCATGTCGGCAAGACCCGCGGCCTTGTCCTGCTCGCCTGAAGCCTTCCAGGGCTCAGAGCCAGTGAGGACACCAATGGTGGCCTAGAATTTGTGAGAAGGAGCTTCGGGCAACATGGAAGGATACTTACCTCTGCAGCACCCTTGACGTATTGGACGTGGCTGCCGATAAGACCGGGCTGCTGGTTGTTGTTATCGGCCATTGTGGATGCTTGGGTGTAAGTGGTTCGGGTTGTATGGTGCAAAGTGGTTCTGCTGTAGAAATCGAGTATAATCTTTTAAACTGAAGTGTTTGAGGGAAGGTTAGAATTAAGAACCAAGTCCCCAAGCGACCATTTTAAATACCAAGCTCCCTACTCGCCTACAACGCCGATGACATCGATCTCATGCTTCGCATGTAGTCATGACATCACCTTCTTTGAGCGTGACATTCTCCGCGTTAGGCCATTTCTAGCGACAAGGTCCCTGGAATTATGGGGTACACCTTATTCCATTGCAGCCACATCTTCCGCCTCAAACGCCCCAGCTGTCTCGACCATGGGTGGCCCGTGCTTGTCGAGCTCCCATGAGCCACATGTCCTCAGCGCGAATCCTCCATAAGCTACATCGTGGAATTATCAAGCTCTCCAACAACATCGCTCCAAGTCACGCCATTGCTATACACCAGTCACGATGTTGTCAAGTCTCGGAAACCCACGGCAGGCTGCTGCGCAGCTTATGAACTTCGCGCTCATCCTGTCCACGGCCTTTATGGTACAAACCCGTGCTCCTTCTGATGCTTGGGACACATGCTAACTTCGTCGCAGATGTGGAAGGGTCTCTCTGTCATTAGCGATTCGCCGTCACCGATCGTCGTTGTCCTCTCTGGCTCAATGGAGCCTGCCTTCCAGCGAGGTGATCTTCTCTTCCTCTGGAACCGAAACCTGATGGCCGAGACCGATGTGGGCGAAGTGGTGGTTTATAACGTCAAGGACAAGGACATCCCCATTGTGCACCGAGTTGTGCGCAAGTTTGGCAAGGGGTACGTTTTCGATACAGAAGGAATGATACAATAGCTAACGACGCGCAGTGACAAGGCACAGCTTCTCACCAAGGGCGATAACAATCTCTCAGACGACACCGAGCTCTACGCTAAGAACCAGGACTATTTGGTACGCAAGGACATTATTGGCAGTGTTGTCGGTTACATCCCCTTTGTCGGCTATGTGACGATTCTTTTGTCTGAGTACCCTTGGTTGAAGACGGTGATGCTGGGTATCATGGGTCTTTTGGTCGTTCTACAGCGAGAATAGAACCTTTTAGACGAAAGATGGAGAATCTCATGGGGTGTATATATGGTGGACACTATTCGAATATTTTGTACGAAAGCGAAGCGTCACAGTGTCGTCAGTGTGCCATGCCAGCAAAGAGGAGAGCCGATTGATACCCGTTACAAGGATTGTGTCGCAAAAGCACGTGTCGGTGATTCCCTACCAGGACAGAGATGAAGGATCAAAGCGTGATAAATTGTGGTGCCAAGCCGGCAGAGACGAAGTGACAACAATATCGGTAGGCCGGTCGCCGGCTTGGCAGCCTCTGTCAGTATCATTAGGTGTCTTGCATAGAGCAAAGGAAGCGCGAAGGGTCTAGTGAGAGCGCTACCAGAACCTGTGTTGGGTCAATACATGACTCATTCTTGGTTGGCTGAGTTCAATAGCCTCTACTATTAGGCTGTAGCCCTATGAAATCGGAGTCTTTCGACTCGGCGATTTCCCTTTCACATCCCCTGGACTAATCTCAGCGGCATATGGACCGATACCAAAAGGGGCTAAAGGTACCATCGTCCCAAAGGAATCTCAACGGCGGCCGCCAAGGATCAATGGAAAATTTCAAGGCCTTTTGCTATGTACTTCTCTTTTTAGCGAGTTCTATTCTAGAAGGATTTTGGTTGGTCTTTATCTCCGGCAGTGGCTTTGCAGCTTTTCGCGAGTTCTTGAGTCGATCCATGTTTCATGTTCCGGCTCCTTTAAGAAAAGGGATGCAACATCTTCCAAACCAACAGCAACTAGGATCATGACTATGCGGCATTAGGGCATTTGTGCCTATAGAAACAACGTGCAACACTACAATACGATGCAGCCCAGACTGGGCAAGTTCTCGATTAACTAGAAAAACTGCTTTGCCTCATGCAAACAGCGCTTAGGCGTGTCTCGTGTACCCCTTAGATCAACACTCCGGGATTAAAGACTCCATCCATCACGCTACTGGGTCCTTGAGACCAATGAAACGCAGGAACTAACACTGTTTTCAGCCCCTGCAAGGGTCAGGCAATGTCATGTCGTCGGTTGCTTTTTGATCAATGTCGCCTGCCTGGGGGGTTTCATCGCTTGGGTTTTAGTAGAGCGAGTAGGCGAGCAACTAGTTTATTAGTAGGTATAAGTTTCTTTTACTACCCGTCTTATTGTGCGGAGGACCTCTTTTTTCCTATTTCCTATTTGGTTCTTCCGTCACCCAGTCATTCGTTCGCTCATTTGTACTTTCAACCTTTTGTTATATTCTTTTCGCTTTGTCTCTTATTTATTTATTTTATACTACACAACTATACAAAGCAAAAACAATCCGCTCGCTTGCTAAAAACGACAATTACCTCACGTAGTGTGAGGTTTCAAGCCACTCAAGGGAAGGGTCACTACTACGATACACAACGACGAGGCATAGTTCCTCGCATCATACAACAATTCGATCCTGATCTGATTAACATTGAGTCGAAAATTACATCTCGAAATGGCACCCGAAGCCTCTTCTCAAACGGACAACGCGCCGCCGACATCGCCTAATCCTACTGTCCCTCCGAATGCGCAACACCCTGCCCAGACATTTGGCCAGCAACAACAAGCGCAACAGCAACAGGCAGGATTCCAACAGGACCCTCGAAGCTATGGTCCTGCCTTTGCGCCCTACCCGCAACCGCAACAACCAACTGTTCCACCACAATGGGTCCCTCCTCGAGTTCAAGAGACCAAGGCCTGGATGATCACCAAATTGGCGCTTCACGGTATCGACATCGTTACATGTATTGTTGGTTTGGCCCTTACAGGTGCCTTGAAGAACGTTGAGACCCTTGGCTTGGTGGCGGTTGGTGCTTGCCCTCTGGTATGAATGACTATAACTTCTATTGACGTATCATGTACTGACCTCGACAAGTTTGTCATGGCTATAGTCTGGGATATTGCAGAACTTCTCACTCGCTTCGGACGCAAGTGGAAGGCTGGCATTCATCCTGGTGCTCACGTAGCTATCCATCTGTTCCTCTGGCTCGGTGCCGCGATCGTTGGTGGACTGGAGAGCACTTTCAGCGCCTACTACTCCTCCTTTGACTATCTTGATGAGGATTGCGAATACAATCGCGAACAGAGAAGATATGTTTGCACAAGTAACGAAGGCGTTGCCAGCAAAAAAGCGCTTTTTATGGCACTATCAGTCTTCACCTGTCTTCTCTGGCTCTGGCAGTTCGTTCTCTTTGTTGGTGCCTGTATCGATACGCAAAAGCGAAACGCTGCTTTGAGGAAGCCCGTCATGGTATGGGGTGGTCCTCCTTACTGGGGTCCCGGACAACAGGGTTTCCAGCAGATGCCGCAATACTACGCGCCTCCTCAGGGACAGGGCTTTCCCATGCAGACCTGGGCGCCACCACAGAATGCTCCTGGAAATGGCAAGGAGGCAGCGGCTATGACTCAACCTCAGCCCGCGGCAGAGCGATACGCTTAAAGAATGGGGATACAAGGTGATGAAGAAGTGAGAAGCTCACTCGACTTCGTCGGATTTAGCGTTTTAGACAAGGTCATTTATTCCACGCCCCCCAATTCATGATTCCGATGAGACGTTGCAGTGTCTGATCTGTTGGGATCGCTATGCCTCATGAACTCAGATACCCTCAAATACTCCATAGCCATTGGCTAAATAACAAGAATAGTACAGTGCTTGCTGTAACATATTCCCTTCTAAATATAAGGGGAAAGTGAAAGAGATAGAAGACCATTTCAATTTATCAGTATTAGATACCTACTTATAATCGAGGAGTTTTATATGTGCCCATATGACTTGGAGAACTGGAAACGGTCAACTTAGTTCGGCACAAAGCGTGTTCAGCAAATTTCGTGGCTGAGACTGCGTTATCGTAGAGTGCACGGATAGGATACTGAAGTCGTTGTTTCGGCAAATTTCCTTAGCTTGATACAGGCGTTTCGTTCGTCAAGGTCAAGGAAGGCCGTTGTTTAAAGTGTAGTTATAATTGTAATGATGCCAGCATCAGTCATCAAAGCTGGGTCGTGTTAACAATGCGTCAGACTTGATTGACATGATGGGTTTGACACACTAGTTCCAAGTTTAGGGCTATATATGTGGATTTGGCACCACACCTACAACATTGATAAAGATAGGATGGTTTTTTTCCTTTTCGATCTGGTTTATTGCCTTCCAACCAAGAAACCACAAGTAAAGATCTGAATGCGCGGTGCCTGTGTTGGTGGTGGTGTAAGCATTCCGTCTTAATCAGGATACCCTATACCATATTAACCACCGGTGTCAGTTTCGTGTGCCAATAGTGCTGGAGCCATAACTTGAACATGAAAAAAACACGAACACCGATACAAACTATACGGGACTGTATCTCAAGTCATTCTTGATTCGTAAAACCGTCTTTGCTGTGCAACCTGGAGTCGTCCATCACGATTATTTCTATGGTATCCAATATAAGATGCTATTCTGAGCAAAGTTGATAAAAGTCGCTGCGCTGGCGCAATGGTTAGCGCGTTGCTTTCCGGTGGCAAAGGTTCCAAGTTCGAGTCCTGGGTGCAGCTTACTTTAAATTTTGCATATCTGTCATGGGTACTGCTGTTCCTTTTTTGTGTTTCAGTCTGAATCAGATACGAGACAGCTGCTCCAGCAACGTCTGTCGAGGCCTCGGCGTTTTGGCCTTTTGGCTGGCCGATAAAACCCAATGTGCCAGTACCCGCCCTTGTAGGTATGTGTTCTTGTTTCACTATGTGCCTCTGTTCCTTTACTCATCGTCCTGCTGCAAAGCATACCTTACTTTGGGCTGGCAAGCGCCGTAAACTGAATGGCTCAGCCGACTTAGGTCTAGGAACCCATTGGCATCTTTCATTGGAACTTGAAACTGACTGGAGTCGAGGTAGCTTGACAGGACTGAGCCTACGACCATGGCCATGTCGAAGATCTTGAACTTCTCAAAGTTTTAAAGAGAACTCTGTTTGAAATATCTTTAGGTCAATATTTTAAGTCAAGTCTAGCTCCTCACGCCTCTGTAATACCCTTTGGTGAGCAAGGTAAAGCCCATGCGCGTCAAGTCCTCCAGCCTATCATCTTAGACGGATTTTCGCAGGTGGGTCGCGTCAACTTCCTGTTGCAACGGCCCTATGCTTCATCGTATCTGTATTGACCCTGCCACTCGTGTGAGTTGATGGTAGAGAGTATGGCCGTGTTTCTATCAAGCTCAGATCTCATGTTGTCAAGCTCAAAGAATCGGATCGGCCTGATTGCCTTGATCAAGGTAATGTCATTCTGGCAGTTTTCAGCCCGTCGGGAGTCAAATGTTGGACACATACACAGAAAATTCCTGTCCAGCAGCTGTACACTACAAGGCAAGATTGGGGTGTTGGGCTATGACTCATTCCATCGTATTGATCTTCCTTGTTAGACGTTGTTCGCCTGTTGACATGCCAGGCACATACCAGACATTCAGTTCGCCGCTCTGTCGAATCGCAGGGAAGAGAGGCAGAACTAGATAACGTTTAACTAGAAACATCACACATTGTCAAAAATACTTGTGAGTCATTGTAGCCTGCACAAACATCACATTGTATGTCACCAGCCAAGCAGCGCAAGCGATGGTACTTGTGTGACTCGGCCAGTCTGACTGTCACCCACCAAGCAAACATGCCTTGGCAACGGGATCAATGAGTCAACAAGTAGCAAAAGATATGCAAGTATGTGGCCGAAGTGCTGATACTTGGTGTAACTACAACGTGTGCAATAGGTGCAGCCAAAAACAGTCGATTGAGCAAATGGGACGGCTTCATCAAGTTCGTAGGGTCCTGCAAGGACAGCAGACGTTTTCGCCCGAGTCTCATAGAACCAGATGGCTACGCCGCTTCATCGTACTTCACATTGACAGGCAAGTTGATAAATCATTTGAACAGTAAATGAAATTGGTCGCTGCGGCTTTTATCTACCTCTAGACCCATGGACGGAAACACCAGTAAAGAAAGTACATGAGAAAAAACTTTTAATCCGTTTCCATCATCAAGACCATCAAAACATTAGTGGCATCAACTTTTCGTCTGTTGCCTGGACGTCACCCTCTCTGTCTCCAATTATCAGAAAGGTGAGTCGCTGATCCTCCGATATGCTCACCCGGCTTTTCGGCCAGGCTGAAGCTGGTGGGGTATCATCTCCATAAGAAATCCGTCCCGGTCCCTTGGGGGAGGGGCTCTACGCTCCCGAGCACGCTGTAGACATGGGTCGTGTTAACCCGAATGAAATCAAGTAAGGAAAAGTTGTAAAAAAGAAGGTAGTGTCGAGGCCAGGGATAGCGGCAACTATGCCGTCCTCGTACGTTTTTGGGAGTGAGTGCACTGCATCATATTTGTAGATAGTTCACATCAGAGATGCTTCTGTGCCTCTTGTGACTGTCACCAGCCTCGGTAGGTGCCTTGCGTTTGGCAGATACTTTCTCAAGTGGACTGCGTGTGGTATCGCTCATCTGTCGCTTGTGACGGCGAGCGGGTGTTAGGGGAATAGCAGCAGTGTCGAATCGGTCTGATTTGAGACCCTTGAGCGCAGTATAGTTGTAGGGACCGCTGAATGCGAGCGAGTCCTGGGTAGCTTGATTGCTCAGGATGAGCTGTTGGTTGATTTGGTTACGACGGAATGCTCCGACATTCTCAGGTCTAAGGTGACCGAGGACCTCCTTCTCGCTGTTGGCGGTGCTGGGTCTACCTGGGGTTGAGGTGGGGTCCCAGTTGTCACCACCATCCTCTTCGCCAGAAGAGTCGTTCTCCTCCCAGGCAATGAAGTCATTTAGATCCAAGTTCAGTTCTTCGTCTTCTTCTTCTTCATCCTGTAAGCTAGGTGCAGTCGAGCTTTCGTCGGCGGTGTTGGGTTCTGAGGGGAAAGGGAAGAAGGCCTCAGCAGGACCCATGACCTGAGCCGTATTGAAGAAGTCGCCGAAAGTGTTGGAAGAGAACATAGCGCTGAGCATGAGGTTGGCAGAGTTGCTCATAATAGGAGACTCGGGGCCCTCTGTTGTCCAGGGGAAGTTGAACTGTTCGGGCGACAGATCCAACTGGTGTCGGCGATGAGGAGTAAAGATCATCATTTTTCCGGTGACGGGGTTAAGGACAGCAATAGGCTTCTTGTCTGAACGGTCCAGGTTGTAACGTCCCAATCGCGGCTGGCCACGCTCGGCCTTGACAGGGCTATCGGCTTCTGAGTCGGAGATGTCGCTCATAGGATGGGAAGGACGTCGAGTCTTTCTTCGGACTGGAGGTTCGGGCTCGTCTTCTTCGGTGGTATCTCCATCGGCTGAAAATGTTAGTAATGGTTGATGAAGGCGTGCTGCAAAACTTACTCTCATAGCCGTCCAACTCGGTTGGTTCCTCAAAGAAGGGTATGGGAGTAGAAGCAGCAGTGGCGGGTTGGGAAGCCATTGGAGTGGCAAGAGGAGTCTCGTCAATCTGGCGAAAGATCTCCTCAGTATCTGACTCCTGCTCTTGTTCCTCGTATTGGTTGTTGAAGTCCCAGAAGGATCCAGAGCCAGAAGACTCATCGGGGTCGTTCTCGATCTCTCGGCGAAATGATGGGTCCAGTGTATTTTGAGCAACAAAGATGTCGGGAAAGAAGCCCCCGATCTCATCGTCAGTATCGGTGTCATCAGAATCGCTTGAGGGTACATCAAAGTGGACGTGGCGCTCAACAGGGTTGTCTGAGCCAAAGATGTTGGCATCTTGGTAGACATCGGGTTGATCCTCAACATCCGAGACGATGCCCCCCCAGCTGCCAGCATCGTCGTCGTCGATATCCAAGCCTTCTTGTTCATCATCGTCGTCATCATCATCAACAACATTTTCCTCCTCTTCGTCGTCGCCCTCTTCAATGGTTGGTTGCGGCCGAGGAGCTGGCTGAGGGGTCGGGGGAAGAGCCTCCTCGAAAATGTTCTCCTCCTCGGCCGCAGCTACATCATCTTCATCGTCGTCAGACGAGTCGCTGATGTCTTCTACTGCAGAGTATCCGCCGTCGTCAGACAGATCCAAAGAAGATGTGGAAGGAGTGTCAGACACCCGGCGGCGGCGGTTGGCGGTCTTGATCTTGACCGGGGTCGCAAACTTGCGCTTGATATTGCGAGACATTGTGTTGATGTAGTTAGAGATGTTGTATCTTACTTCTTTTGAAGATGCCTTGCAACAATGTCTTTGAGATGGTTTGTAATAATTTAGTACTGTCAGATGGAGCCAACTCGATCTTAGAGTTTATGGTACTCAGAAAACTGCAACAGTTGTAGGTGATGGTTGAAGATAGCTGTAGACTTGATCCTTCGAACCAGGAGTCAAGAATAACAAGTATATCTTGTAGTGTAATGCTGGGTAAGGATAGGTAGGGGAGGTAGGTGGGTGTGTCGAGGTAGGTTGAGTGTTAATAATCGGTTTTATCAAAAGCCCTTCACAACCGGGCAAATCGCAGAATTGTTGGTTTCAGAGACAGACTCTCGGTGAAGCATTCAGCTTCAAGAGCGGGAAAGCCTGTAAAGAACTATGTCGAGAGAAGATTGACTGGTTAACTCGGAGAACTGCTGGACTGCGAGCCGCGACAGGGAAGACAGCCACGGCCCGCAGTGGGCGTTTACAGCTCAGCGACGGCCGAAGGCATGGTTACTCGACTTAGTTCTTGGTATGGATTTTTCCGGGTGATTGTAAAAATGTCGACTTCGTTGTCTGAGGTTTTGGTTTTGGTGGTTGATGATGAAAAAAGGAGCGAGGGGAGAGGAGAGAAATATCCAGTCCCAAACTTTTTCCACACTCTAAGTGGGGTTAATCCTGATTGGGTAAAGTATCTCGAGGCAGCCCCAGTGGGTAGTGGATCTTGAAGTTACCGGGGGGGAGTGGCCGGGAGGTGTGAGTGCGGGAGGAAGCTAGTGGGTAGCAGAAAAGTTGCACTCCTAAGTCTTAGGGTATAAAAATAAGTAGTCTAAGAGCAATGGCATAAGGGGCATAAGCTGACCTAATAATTTCGTCTCTTGTGCTTCTAGCGGTCACTTTTTTCTGATACCCTGAGGGGAAGGAAGGTACACGATGCACTAGTCTACTCTAGGGTATCCATTAACCGTCACCGCTACTTGAAGCCATTAGGTAGAAGCCCAACCATAGACGAGTATATACTGAGAAGCGCTGGTGTGTTGACTGAGACACTATGCAAGGAGACTATTCTGTGGTATCATGGCATGATACATATAATACGATGTGCAAAATTAACTGCAGTTGAACGGGTTTGGTTGTTATCAAGCCGGTATTTGAGAGACAAGCGTTGGGAGTAGGCCTCACAATGGAATGGCTCGGGTTTTGAGCCCAATTGAATCTCCAGTAACCTCAAAAACAAATGCCCCATATCTCCTGGTCCGTGAGGCGAGCAAAGTCCGAATTAGGGGACCAGTCAAACCCCGGAGCGAAAGCACGACACTGAGCATGGGACATCAATCTAATGTACGACTAGGGAAATGCAAGAAATAATATTGGATAGCGGAGCAGTGCAGTCTTGGTAGACGTTTTACCTACGTGCAATATACATCCTAGCTACAGCTAGACGAATACAGAGTGAGGTGGCTTCACGTTGTGGCTATGTTTGTCTGAACCTACATAAGTTTAAGGCCGACAACTAGACTTTCCCTTCTTTTCAGGAACCAATCTTTACAGGCACAACACCAGTTGCAACGACCCATCTCGCACGAGAAGTCCTCGGTTTGCCGCGCAATCGGGACCCATCCTGATCCAGGTACGGTAGAACAGACGCTGGAGCCGGGATAGCCAAGCAAGAAATCAAGACCCCTCGTTTTGCTGCCTCCAACCGAAGCCAAGCATTTCTCAAATCTTGAAGCTCCGCAGTCGACAATCTCCACCATCAAACAGGGGGTGTTCTGAGCTAAACTGAGGCGGTTATGTCAGTGGCCCAGTCTCAAGTGCCAAAAGACCAGACAAGACTTGCAGGAAGAGACCCAGAAAAAAAGGAAAAAGAGGAGCTTTTGCTTGCATCTATCGGACGAGATCCAGAGAAGTATCGTCGGACTTCTCGCTGGTACTAGACGTCTGCCGAAAAAGGCGAGTAAGGAAAGGCCGAAAAAGAATAAGAAAAATCTTTCCTTCCAAGCTTCAACCGTTGTCCCCATGTTGCCACGGACACTGGTGGGGTTCGTATGGATGATTTGGCAACCATTTTTTTCTTCAACTTTTTAAGCGACAACCGGAGTTGACGAAGACTAATTACTCAAGAACCCGCAGTAGGCAAGAGTCTCGACGCAATAAGATATCCATTCAATTGGAACAGAAATTTTCTGATGAGGCTAGCTAATGGATAAATGACATTACGCGCTGTCTTTGTGCCTGAATTTGGACGATCTTTTTGAACGTTACGTAGATAGCTTGAATTGGAACAAGATGACCGAGATTTGATGCTATCATTTCTTCAGACATCTGCGTTTTGACCCGGATTCAACTCGAAACAAGAAGCGTCTCTACTACGTACATAGTACTTGAGCCAATGCACCCATTCTACGCTGTCTTATTCATTGTTACCGTCATCTCAGCAATTTAACCAAACCTAGAGCCCCTCATTCCCCCTCCCTCTTGAAAAAAAAAAGGGCACTGCCGTCATCAGTAGCTTTTAGCGCCAGGCCAATTTTTAGAGTCAGAATATCCTCGTAGCGCAGCATTGTCATTGCTCAATATTACGGCGCCCCTCTCGCGGATCATCCTCAACCTTTTCCCTCTTCTGACTTCTCGAGTCGAGTTGCGGAGTTACCAACCGTGACCTCGGCATTGACTTGGTATCTCCAGGAACGAGGTATGTCGCAGAATAAAGCGGCGCAGCTCCCTGATTCTGAAATTAAGATGACACTTTTGCAAAAGGAGCACACAGAGAACTCAAATGAGTCAATCAATCATGACCTCCCCCAGGAATCAGCAGCTCTAGAGAAATGTTTATTGGTTGGTTCGTCCCGCTGTCACACTCACACACCCCTTTGCCTACCCTGGTAGTCGTAGTCTAGGCTACTGATGACTCTTTACTGCCACGCATCCCAGCTGCCACGAAGCTTCGAACCTTTGGCAACTTTTCTTACATGTGAATCAATGCATCCTAGCTTAGTTGCTCCGGGTTCACTTAATGCCAAAGATAATCTTTTGATCAGCAAACTTCCAAAAGCTCAATCGTAATTTTTGACAGCCGTTTTTTCAGGCGAGCTGTAGCCAGTTATGCTGAATCTTACGATGTACCACTCTGAGTGACACCACTCAGTCAATGGCTTGAATCCTGGTCCTTGGGGCGACCGTGAAGAATTGAAGGCCTGAGGAAATCATCTCCACAATCTCAACTTTTTTTTTATGAGTGGCCTAAGATGTTTCCGTCGTTGGTCTGTGCTTACACCCGCGCGGATAGCGCTTAGCTCTATCTAATCTTATCTTATCACGGCCAAAATAGTTGCCGTTGTCCTGCCAGCCCAGCCGGACCAACGAAATAAAGTAAACACGCTCCCGCTAGGATTGTAACGTCAAAGATCCAGAATCCACCAGGCTAAACAGTTCTCGTCTCGTCTTCTCCACGTCGGGTTCTGTTTTGCATCTGTTCCTGCATCCTAGCGAAATCTTCAGAGCTACCGCAGCGATCATAGCGACATGGAGTCTTCACGCAAAGCATCACACAACCTGTTTGAGGTTTACCTACGACTACGACCGCCGCCCTTACGAAACGGTGACGGAGAGCGCATTCTCGAAGTTGAATCTCCAGAGGACGACTCGAAAGCAACACATGTCGTCCTGAACCCCCCTACCGATCGTCGAAGAGCTATCGAGAAGTTCGCGTTTACACAGGTGTTTGAGGAAGAAGCCAGCCAGCTCGATGTGTTCCACGGTACAGAGATCGTCCCTTTTGTGGAGGGGGTTCTCGCTCCTGAAGGTGGTGAGGGAACCGACGCGGTTGTTGCTACGTTAGGAGTCACTGGCTCTGGCAAGGTAAGCTTCACGTTAATGCCAGCAGGATTGTACTAACATCTGTAGACACATACCATACTCGGCAGCAAATCCCAACGCGGCATGACCCAACTTGCGATGGACGTCCTCTTCCGATCCATTGGCGAAAATATGATCGACGGAAACGATATCTTTACAGCACAGGATTCCCTTCAGGAGTGCGACGGGGCTGAATCATCTTTGACCATTGCGTCGCACTTCTTGAGTCCATCCTTCCGCGACTCGGTGGCATCCAGAGCGCCTTCACGAGCCGCCACGCCAGGTCTTGTACGACCCCCGACCTCAGCCCTTTCCTACATCAACTCTCCCATAACCCAACACGTCGCGAAGCTCGCCAATACATTGTCTGCAGAATGCGCACCAAGTCAGAAAAGTGTACGGCTTGTCACCGAGGGAGATGGCACAACGCATCCCAGTGAGCGATAGAATCGTTCTCTTGGCCGCGACAGGCAACCTCTTGGATCAACCGTAGCTTCTGCAAGCGTGATGAATTGTTCCCCTACCTCGGCCGCACCCAAGCGGGTTGCGCGGCACTTCATGTCGCTTCGATCTGCCACACATGTAAGGAATATTGCTAAACAAGATTTAAAGGGCGAACGCAATATCATGTCTCCTCCTCCCCCTCGACGAGCGACGGCACGCCCTTCGGCATTTCCCGATCAACCCGACGTCAGCAACACAGATGTTCCCTGCGACCCTTCAGCGGAGTATGCTATTGTCATCTCTATGTATGAAGTCCACAACGACCGTATATATGATCTCCTGACCCCGGCCGTCAAATCCGCCACCACTAAAGAGTCGCGACGTCGTGCCTTGTTATTCAAGTCGACCGAACTATCACCTGACCGAAAGGTTGTTGCGGGCCTACGAAAGGTCATCTGCTCGAACTATACAGAGGCACTGACAGTCATCGAGACTGGTCTGCAGGAGCGCCGAGTTACTGGTACTGGTAGCAACAGTGTTTCGAGTCGAAGCCACGGATTTTTCGTATTCGAGGTCAAGAAGCGAGCTCGTGGCAGGAAGCCTGGACCCTGGGGGGGAAGCAAGTTTACGATTGTCGATCTGGCTGGTAGCGAGAGAGCACGCGAGGCCAAGACAGCTGGTGCTACACTCGTAGAGGCTGGCAAGATCAACGAGAGTTTGATGTACTTGGGTCAATGCCTTCAAACGCAAAGCGAGGCTGCCAGCTCTAGCAAGGTGAGTAACAACAGAGCCATCTTCAACAGCAGCTAACATGCCATAGCCAAACATCGTCCCTTTCAGACAATGCAAGCTTACTGAGCTTCTCTTCTCCAACTCATTTCCTTCATCCTCTTCTTCACAGCCTCAAGCTCCTCGTCGTAATCCTCAAAGAGGTGTAATGATCGTCACGGCCGACCCCAGGGGAGACTTTAACGCTACATCACAGATCCTTCGATACAGTGCTCTTGCTCGCGAGGTGGCAGTGCCTCGTGTCCCTTCCATTACAAGCACCATTGTTTCGCCGACCCAAAATCGTTCGATTAGCCCGACTCTTAACCATAACCATTTGCGCCCAATGGTGCCGTCGCACCATGTATCGTATAGAAATTACACCCCTCAGATGAACGTTGATGACCGTGCGACCATGGAGGTTGCTGCGCTTGAGATTGCTCGACTTAGCGAGGAGGCCGATCAATTGCGTGAAGAGGTCGATCGACAAGCTGAAGCACGATTCGCCGCTGAAGCTCATCTCCTATCTATGGAAGACCGCATGTTGGACCTCGAAGCAGCTATTCGCGAAGAGTGCGCTAACGAGTTTGAGCAACGCCTGGCTCTTGAAATGGCTCGCTGGAAGAATTCAATGTCGATCGAGCAGGAGCGTACTGAGGAGCACTGGGACCGCAAGATCGAAGTCCTTGAACGTGGCCTGGCTACCGACGAGGATGGTGATAAAGAGAATGTTCTTATTGAAGATCTCGAAGAAGAAGTTGATAGACTCCGTCGCGAGAACGGCATTCTCAAGCGCGAACTCGCCTCCCGCAGTCCCACAAAGCGCAGGCCTCTCGAAGAGCGAGAAGACTTTGCTGCCCCTGCCGGAAAACCATCAAGAGGCGACGCCAGAGGTGATAGCGTTACAAACCTAGGACGAAAACTGGAGCGCATGCGCGTTGGTGGTGAAAAGGCAAAGCCAGTACCTGTTGGTAGCGGCAGTCCCAAAAAGATGCGCAAGTTGGGAACCAAGAAATGGGAACACGAAGAAGACATGGAATAGGATTTATAAGCTTTAGCGTGATTTCGCAATTAATATCTGGGATGGTCGGTCGGTTGGTTTTCGGTTTATAGATCTGGTCTAGTATGGGATGACCTGGCAGGAGTATACCCTTGTGTAATGATATTTTTTAATGCTTCAGGCGATAATTCATTCTTGTCTTCTTCATACCTGCGCTTTGCCCAGAACTTGGATTTGTTTCGTTACCTTGTTTCTATTACCCAAAGATAGCAGCTGCTTGAAATGATGATAGTTGATCAAGACCTGTCGCAGTAGCAATTCTGTTCCTTCCCCTGGGTCGGAAGAAGGCAGCAAGGCGGAGCGTTTTGACCCCCCGAGGCAGAATGACAAATGCACATCAGACAACCCATCACCTGCAAACCAGCCTACTCCTCCAATCACGAACTTCAAGATCATCACTAGGATGCATCAATGCTGGCTTTAGATACAAGCATGTACGCCACATTCACTGCCCGGCGAATAGTTAAGCGTGGCCATGCCTCTGCAGCCTGATTTCTCAGCTGCAGCTGCAGCAGAAGCAGCTGAAAGCTTACCACGAGATACAAGAAGCGTCGCCCACCCACAGCGAAATGAACGCATCTACCTCTATGTATTCCATCAATCCTTTTTACAATGGCCGAGTTCGCTGCTGTCGGAGTCGCAGCCAGCATTTTGCAGGTGATCGACTTTGGCACTCGCTTCATTGCTACCGCCTGGCAGCTCAATAATTCCGAGCACGCTTTTATCACGAGTCTCGACGACCTACGTAAAACGTCGAAAAACTTTAGAGATGCTCAGCGCACTCTGCAGAGCACCAATCCGGGACCGAGCACAGCGATAGACTCGCTGGTGCAGAAAAGTATTGTGATCTCGGAAGAAATGACGAATTCGATGGATAAGATTGGTCGTGGAAGGAGCACTTTGAAGAAGGCCTGGCTAGCACTTTGGAAGGAGGAAAAGCTCAAGACCCTCGAAGTAAGGTTGAGAGATGTGCAGCTGGATTTGACGTTTCACATGACAGTCGACCTCAGGTAAGTCGCTAGCCAGAGATTGCCTGGGTGTGCCAGCCTGAGAGGATCATGGAACTTGGCCGCTATAAGAGACGAGATCAGTGATCGTCTTTCGCACTACAGAGCATAGCTTACAATCAGTCGTAGGTCGGTCGTGCGGGACAGCGCGGAAAAACAGGATCAAATACTAAGAGAGCTTCGCAAGTCAGGCTCAAAGAACTCGAAAGAGGAGGCGGAAAGCTCAGTTGACTCGACATTAGGCTATGGAGCTTCGATAGTCGAGTGTTTGACTGACGGCCTTCAGCTTCATGATAAGATCAAGTCAGAGCTAATTGGCGATTTGGTTGCCAATATATACAGCTTCGAGGGGGAGTATTCGGGCATTTCCGATGCCTCTCACATCCAGCTACCAGATGAAAGGAGGACTAAACTGGAGCAACTATTCATCTCCAGACTCTGCTACGACACTATGCAAGAGAGGGAATTGACCATCAAAGATGCCCACGAGGGCACATTTCGCTGGGTCTTTGAAGATAACGGTATCACCGGCTTCAAGGACTGGCTCGAATCCGATGAAACACTTTACTGGATTACTGGGAAGCCAGGATCGGGCAAGTCTACTTTAATGAGATATCTACTTCAACCTGTCGATCAAAAACAATACGGCAACAATGGATCAGCCACAGGGTCCATGGACCCAGAGAGAGCAGTTCTCCATCATGGCAGATGCGAGCAACATCTAAAACAATGGGCAGGAAATGATAATAAGCTCACAGTCGTCTCCTTTCACTTTTGGGCCGTGGGATCAAAGCTACAAAGGTCCAAAGAGGGTCTCCTCCGGACACTACTTGTACAACTTCTCCGTGCCCATCCAGAAGTCATTCCCGTGGTTGCTCCGTTGCGGTGGGAATCTCTGTGCCTGTTCAACCTTGATCCCAAGAGCTTCAGCCAGATCGAGCTGGGCGATATGTTTCAACGAGCAATTGTCTATATCAGTACTCATGCCAAGCTTGCCATGTTTATCGATGGCTTGGATGAGTTTGACGGCAACTGCTATGATCTCATTTCACTTGTGCAGAGCTGCGTGGAATCTCCCATCAAGATATGCGTCTCCAGCCGTCCTTGGGTAGAGTTTGAGGGGGCCTTTGGGGATTGTTCTAGGCTTAAAATGGAGGATTTGACTCACCAGGATATCTCGGATTACGTCTTGGCGAAATTTGAAGCCGATGCTCAGTTCAAAGGTCTACAGCGAAGGCAAGCCCGTGTCGCCAAGGAGCTCATTGAATCCATCGTTAAGAAGTCCAGTGGCGTGTTCTTATGGGTCACCATCGTTGTAGCTTCCCTCCTGGCGGGCATAGGAGCAGGCGATCGTGTTGAAGATCTCCAGAAGCGGCTTGGTCTACTTCCGGCAGAAATCAAGAACCTTTACGAAAGGATACTTGAGAATATTGATCCTGGATACCGTGAGCATACTGCCCAGCTCCTCAAGCTGATGGCGGCATTTAAGAGGTCGCCTTCGCCACTATTGTTTTGGTACGCAGATGAGGTGGATTTTATGGACCGAGCGATCAAAGGAGAATCCGGCAACTTATCGCGTGATGAGGCATCGGAACGGGTAGAAGACATTCGTCGTCGCCTTAACAGCCGATGCAAAGGCTTACTGGAAGTCCACAACGGCACAATCCCGGGCTTTGCATTCCCATTTAGTTCGCGTTTTGGAGGCACTGTTGATTATCTACACAAGACGGTGTACGAGTTTGTCTGTAGCCGCAGAACTCAACGAAGGCTTCGGAAGTATCTCAAACAGCCATATGATGCCAACCTCAGAATCGCGGCGGCGTATGGTGCCTTGACTAAGAGTGCAGCCAACTGGGATGGCAAAAAACTCAAAGCCAGATCCAGAGACGTTGACCCTCAAAGGAGTCATTTGACTACAAATCTCATTGCCTGTTTGGATCATGCCTCTGCTGTACATTCCGATTCAAGTAAACCAGTTGTACGATTGTTGGACCACCTGACCAGCGCCACGAATCTCATGCTTCCCGATATATGGCAACTGGTAAGTGACAGCAGGCCTTGCATAAACCACGATGCCCCAAACAACCACTGGACGGGCCACTTGAGCTCTTTTGACGGCTTCAGTGGTCTGGGACCCAGCGAAAGGATGCTATGCTTGGCAACTTCAATGTCGGTGGTAGAGTATGTTAGGGCAAGAGCAAAGCCACGAGGCTATGTTGTCAGACTAGACGCAACGGCTAGTCGGCCGCAAAAGGGGTTAACCCAGCTAGCCGGGCGGATGATATATAAATTGCTCGGCTACAACAGGGTTCCCCTTCTCTCTCTTGTTTGCTTCTCCGGACGCGACAGCGCACCGATAATTGAACACTTGCTCAGTAAAGGAGCAAGGCCAAACGCAAAATTTTCGAGTACTGGTGGTATCACTATAAAGCGATTGACGCCCTGGGAAGAAATCTTGGCACAGGCTTTCCGATATTGTGCTGCATATGAGGAAGACAACAAGCATAAAGACAATGTGCTGAGATGTGTGCGTCAGATGGTGGACGCGGGGGCCAAGGTCAATCTCAAAACAGTCAAAACAGCAAAGAAGCTTGCTTCATTAAATGTCGACGAGGAAGAGGCGTACCAATGCCTTAAGCGCATGAAGTCAGATCCGGATGCTCGGCTTGAGGTTGTGGTGAAGGAATACTCAAACGCGAGTTCATATTACACACCAACGACGGTCTCCTCCTATACCGCGTCATTATCATCAGTCTCAGGTTAGAAGGATAACAAAAAGAAGCGTCCTTTTGGGTTGGAAAACCTGGCTATTGAGAGCATAGGAGGATATTGGTGATTTGTTTCTGAGGAAGCAAGGGCAGAGTGATGCGAGCGGGATTAAGACGGCATCAACACTGGACCCTGAATTTTGAACTTGACCCGAAGCGACCGATTGTTTACAGAGCAGCCAGTAATCAGCAATTCGGATAGCCGAGTAGCGTTGTATTTACTGACTGGATTGAGTCGCCAATCATCAAAGCTAGTCTAATACTCTCGATCAAATCCCAGGCATTTGTGATACTACGTGACTAGACCGGCAATTGAAATCACAGTTATAGACTTACTTCAGTTTACAGGTTAAAGCGTAAAGGTAAATCGTCGTATTACAGGGTAAATGGGGTGCAATAAGCTTCAAGACCAAGAGTAAGCTGGCGATACGCCTTGCCAAGCGGGCAGCCCAGCGCCCAGTGCCCAGTGTAGCACCGCCTCGATATGAAACGTAATGGTAACAACAGTGCAGCAAGCGGTTGGTTCCGTTTCTTCGTTCAGAAGTAAGACTGGCTAAACTACATTGTGCTACCTGCGAATTTGTTAATGTAGTTTGAACACATGTACATATATGTTCGAGTCTTGGCTGTCTCTTTGGTTTATGTGTCGTCCCTTGGTAGGAGGTCCTATTACAGATCTACGGACCCTCGGAACGGGTGGGAGCCCGTGAAGCTCTTGTCCAGCAGGATCCTTGAAGATGGTCCACTGTAGGATGACAGGGGTGAATGTTGCATCAACGCTTCAGGCAGCAAAAGTATAAAGTGCCGCTGAAATAGAACTTGACTGGTAAAATAGCCGATGAAGAATTCAATATTTAGATACCTATAGGATTGTCAAATTAGTTGTTGCAAGAGGCGTAGACCATATGTAGTATACAGTGTCTAATGTTAAATGCCAGATGAGAGGGGAAACGTGGAGAACAGCGTAAAGTGCACTTTATGTGACACCGTTTGAAAAGAAACGTTGGTGCACTGTTTCTTCCTTTGACAGCTGAATACCTCCTCTTCAAGAGGTTGGTAGGGTCGCATGACTTGATACTTTAGATCCCCTCCAATTCCTGTTTCCGTTTTTCTTTTCTTTTCTCATTCTTCTTTACTCTTTCGTTTTGCGCGATTCGTTTCATATCAACAGCATCAGAAGTAAAGGTCTCTTCTCTCCTGAATCGTCGCCAAGTCCTCTCAGCCCCACGAGTCGTCGAACTGTGTGTGAAAAACTGTCGTCATATCGTTATACGAAAGAAACCCGCCCTTGAGAACAAACAGACCTGATACGCGCCCTCCACATTTTACCGTCATTCCTCGCCTCGTCTTACCTTGCATTACATTACCTCAGGTTTTGACACCTTTGAGCTGTTCTTTTCCACTCTTTTCTTTCCTCTATCGCATCGTCTCTCCTTTTTTATTTTATCTTCTTACTCTATCTGTTGTCGCGATACCCTCTTGTTCAATATGACATGGGAACTCTCTCAGAGGCGGTTTATCCGCTCCATCAACTCAAAGTACATTTACGGTCGCATCGTAAGTCTTTTATTCGCGCCCTGTTTTTTTTTTCTTACCTGATGCTCCGTCTCTTTACTGGGCTGCCAACTCTATGATCAGTCGCCACTTTAGCTTCCCCAGTATTTTCCCCAACTACGTATCCAGCTCTATCGTCATCGCTTCAAATCTCTTTTATTGTTGACGTTTTTTTTTCTTATGCGCATGCTGCTACTGTCACATTGCGCACTTTTACATCCTTTTTAATTTCCTTTAAACTTCGTTGCGGCTCTGTTTCCTCTTTTGTGCTGTTAGGCCTGACGCTGACGACATCATCTTTGATAGCCTCTACTGCATACCATCGTCTTTTTGATCGAAATGGCTTTCATTGCTAGACTTACCGCGCGATTCAACTCTTACTATGATGAGCGACCACGTACGTCACCTTTCACTGTCGCCTATGTCGATCAGAACAACATCATGGCATAGCATGGCTAACAAACACCCGCAGTCATGACCATGATGGTCACAAACGCCATCCTTGGAGGCGTCGCAGACACAGTTGCCCAGTCCATTACCGCCATCCGCGAACGAGCTATCCGCCAGCCAGGCGGCCTTAAGAAGAATGACGGCGTCGCTATCGAGATCCACGAGCTCGACCGAAAGAACCCCTTCTACGAGCGCGACCTGATCCCAGACTCGGTCGGCCTTCCCCCGCCCTTTGACTTTGAGCGTCTCACGCGCTTTATGGCATACGGTTTCTGCATGGCTCCTGTACAGTTCAAGTGGTTCCGATTCCTCGGGCGTATCTTCCCCGTCACCAAGACGAGCGCTTTTGTTCCCGCCATGAAGCGTGTTGCTTTTGACCAGCTCATCTTTGCGCCATTCGGTCTGGCTGTTTTTTATACCACTATGACAATTGCTGAGGGCGGCGGTCGTCGCGCTGTGTCCAACAAGCTTCGGGATATGTACATCCCTACACTCAAGGCTAACTACGTTGTGTGGCCTGCTGTGCAGATTGTCAACTTCCGTTTGATGCCTGTTCAGTTCCAGCTGGTATGTCGAGTTTGCGGAATATGACCTTTTACAGATCGCTAAAGTTTTCTGTAGCCTTTCGTGTCTACCATCGGTATTGCTTGGACAGCATACCTCTCCTTGACCAACTCTGCCTCCGAGTAAACCTATCTTGTCTTCTAAACGTTGTCCAATCGGCGTCGAGCCAGCTACAGGTCGATGGTATCAGATTATATTGACTATGATGATCGTCCAGGTCGTCACGTAAAACCGGCGTTAGGATTTTTTTCGTTCATATATTGCAAGCCCCGCGATTTGTGAGAGGTTAGAACCTCACTATTGCGTGCAGAAACTGCCTGGCATGGCATCTTCCATTTTGTTGTCTGTGGGTTTGGGTTACGGACCATGTTTAGATAAATAACTTGCGTCTCGTTTGGAGTTTCGGGCTGGTAGATGTTTTAAAAGATATGAATTGATCTTTCTTCACGAATCTGCCTGCTTGACGAACTATTCGTCTGTGCGACAACTTGCCGACAAGTGTAATCGATGTTCAATAGTGTAACGGGAGTATCGCAAGCTCAAGTCGATGCTCACACAAGCTCCAGCCATTGATGCATCTGGACGTCGTTGGTGCGTCGACGAAACCAATAGCTCGTAGATGATACCGTTGTGGCGTGCGAGTTAGAGTTTTTCTGGCTTGGTCCTTTGTGCCTCATACCATGAAAATTGCAAAGTCCCAGCGAGAAAGCAAACAAGCACGCGACACCAACTGCAGAAATAAATAAATAGATGCAGTAGCATCAGCTACAGCTACACAAATGGTAGCTCAGTCAAAGACGGATTTGGAATACGGACCATGACATACAGTCTAACCCCGCAAAGAACAAGGGACCCCCTGTGAGTTGAGTGATGCTGGAGCCCGATATTCGGCGTCTGACTCAAGAATCCAAGGGGGCAAGGGTAGTGGGGAATAAAGATGTTCAGACTGTTGATCAGACATGTTCAAGGGCAATTGAGTTCGTCATAGCTTGGAAAATGGAATGAAGTACAGTATAGCACTGTGAAGGAGTTTTTTTTATCTTAATTATTGTAGAGAGTAGAGTGGTGTTGCACATGTACATGAAAGGAGCAGTAATCCGTCCTTGTCTGACTTGACAACAGCAGTTGGTGATTTAATTGAACAGCAACAACTGCCTGATAATTAACCGCGAGTACCTAATTCTTTTCTCTTTTTCCGCACTCTCATCGGACTAATCCCGGCCAGGGTCTTGTATGTACCGTGCTAGCAAAGTCTGCCCTCTTGTTGGCGTATCATTTGATAGTGTGATGCTCAAGTGCGTCACTCCTTTGGAAACTTTTTTCATCCTCCGCCATTCGGAGCTTAGCCATTAGTATACTGCTTTGGTACAGGTACACATCTTCTTTTTTTCTTCCCCGCCCCCACCAATAACCAATAACCAAGCCAAGGTCCCCAAGTCATTGCCCGCCTCTTCTGGTAGTAAATAACTTAACCCAACGAGGCCCCAACTTTTGACTTTTCAACTTCCCAATTCTCTTACCTTTCAGCTTCTGCTTCGGAATCTCCTTCTTCTTCCAGATACCCCAGATTTCTTGAACATCATCATAACACCTAAATTGCCCATCATGTCCAACGTCGAGGTTACAGAGAACGGGGCTGCTCCCACCATCCACAAGCCTCACCACAATGCTGCTCTGCCTTACCAGTCCGTCGGCGACTTCCTCTCCAACACCAACAACTTCAAGATCATTGAGAGTACCTTGAGAGAGGGAGAGCAGTTTGCCAATGCCTACTTTGACACAGGTATGTTACCTTGTATTCTATCACAAGACGAGAAACGTGATCCACTAACATGATTGTGCCCAACAGAGACCAAGATCAAGATGTATGACGAACCTCACTCTATTTCCCCGGCGGCGATCGATATCCTAACAATTTTACAGTGCCAAGGCTCTCTCTGACTTTGGTGTCGAGTACATTGAGCTCACCAGCCCTCTCGCTTCTCCCCAGTCCCGCAAGGACTGCGAGGAGATCTGCAAGCTGGGCCTCAAGGCCAAGATCCTCACTCGTAAGTCCCCAATTGCGACAGACATCGACTTTTGGACAATTTGCTAACAAAATCCTAGACGTGCGATGCACAGTAAGTTCCCGTTCGATGCTATTCAGCCCGAACCTACATTAACACTCGCGCAGATGGAAGACGCCAAGGTCGCTGTCGAGACCGGTGTCGACGGTAATTATCCCAATGCCTTACTTGCTGTTTCACAAAAACTGATTGTCTATAGGTGTCGATGTTGTTATTGGCACTTCCCAGTACTTGAGAGAGCACTCTCACGGAAAGGACATGGCTTACATCAAGGAGTCTGCCATTGAGGTCATCCGATACATCAAGAGGTTCGTCTTACCACCATACTCTCGAAAATCCACTTTACTGACTGAGTCCTTTAGCCAAGGCAAGGAGGTCCGATTCTCTTCCGAGGACTCTTTCCGAGTATGTTTCGATCTATAATTCCATGCGCAAAATCAGTGGCTAACACAGATAATAGAGCGACCTTGTCGACCTTCTCAGCCTTTACCAGGCTGTTGACAAGGAGGGTGTTCACCGTGTTGGTGTCGCTGACACTGTCGGTTGCGCTTCTCCTCGCCAGGTCTACGACCTTGTCCGCACTCTCCGTGGTGTTGTCGGCTGCGACATCGAGTGCCATTGTAAGATTTCCAAACCAACGTTCTGAATGACAGAAATTGACATCGACAGTCCACAACGACACTGGCTGTGCCATTGCCAACGCCCACGCTGCCCTCGAGGCCGGAGCCACCCACATCGACACCTCAGTTCTCGGAATCGGCGAGCGCAACGGTATCACCCCTCTCGGAGGTCTCTTGGCCCGTATGATCGTCAACAGCCACGACTACGTCACCTCCCGATACAAGCTCCACAAGCTCAAGGAGATTGAGGATCTCGTCGCCGAGGCCGTCGAGATTAACGTCCCCTTCAACAACTACATCACCGGTTTCTGCGCCTTCACCCACAAGGCCGGTATCCACGCCAAGGCTATCCTCAACCAGCCTAGCACATACGAGATCATTGACCCTGCTGATTTCGGCATGTCCCGATATGTTCACTTTGCCTCCAGATTGACTGGCTGGAACGCCATCAAGAGCCGTGTTGAGCAGCTCGGATTGAACATGACTGACGACCAGATCAAGCAAGTGTAAGTTTTACAGCTCAACAATTTGAACTTTTGAAGGATAATACACTGACACACTTGACAGTACTGCCAAGATCAAGGACCTGGCTGATGTGCGTCCTCTCGCTATTGACGATACGGACTCAATTATCCGCTCTTTCCACTTCGATCTTCAGAAGTCATAGACGAAATGACATGTATGAATAAGTAAAATGATCTGTCTGGGATGGTAAAAAAAAATAAAGGAGTTTCTTGCTTAGGATGGTCATACAAAAATATAAAACAATTGCTGGCCTCGTTTTTACATATTCGCTGTATCATTTGTTAAACGTGCCATGGTGAAATATCGCGGTTAAGCGTGATTGGTGTTTTGTAAGAATGATCGTATCGCGATTGAGTTATAAAATCGAGTCGCAAAAGAAGAGCTGTTTTGTCAATTGAGAGGGCCAACGATCTGGGATTGAACTCGGCGGATAAATGCGATCCCACCGCTTCAAAGGAACCTGGCAAGGCGAAGGAGTCAAGGCGTGGCCTGTCCTGATATAATTGACCGAGACGTAAGTGGTCTGAGAAATCTGTGGCGACGGTTATTGGGTTGCAGAGCATAATAAGTAGATGTCAATGTTATGTATCGAGTTTAGACTATCAGATCACCTCTCAACGTGGGATTCTTCCAGATTCTATTTGCTAGCTTATACCTCATATCTGATGCACATCGCATTGACTCAACCTACCACGATTACAGTTATGCCAACAGTTTCTTGTCAACGGCTTGCCTAATCGTAATACTGGGTAAAGTTGGTGGGGTCATATCATGTTTTGAAAGCACCCGATTGATCGTCTTGTTGTTTCACTGTGCATTCACAGGCCGACAAGGTAGGTTTGTATTGTACGTAAAAGCTCAAACAGCACGTGTCTCGGTATTGCTGTATATAACGTAAGGTATCTTGAGCCGGTCCGCGTCTCTCCGGGGATCTCTGAACCCGCATAGCCAGAAGTCGGGAGGGTCGCCGTAACCCGGCGACATATAAACAGAAACACGATGTCCCGTGTTTTGTCTGGACATTGAAGTCCGTGCTGGGAATGTGTGGGTTTTTTCACTGTAGAGACCGAGACGGCACCGATCGTGTCATGTCATGGCATAGACAAGAGTGAGAATTGTCATGGGAATTAGAGGCAAAAGGTCACAGATAACAAGACATCTCACGCCAGATTCACGGTTGGAGCATCTTGTCCAGGGGTTTCCATCATTCCACCACCTGCGAGTCCAGCCGCGAAAGCCCCGCCAGCGTCATCGCGTTGAGATTGACCCCCACCTGAGACTCTACGGCAGTATCAGCGCCTGTACCTCTAGCAGTATTTACAGCCAGTCATCCCCCTCTCTTCTTCTTCCCTCATCAACCCTTCATCCTCAATTCTTTTACTTCCTACAAAACATCGCAATCATGTCGCTGTCCAACAAGCTCTCCATCGCTGACGTTGACGTCAAGGGCAAGAAGGTCCTCATCCGAGTAAGTACACACAGCAAAAGTTGCTGATTGACCCCGCGATCATGATTGTTGAGCTTGATTGAGCTCCCCGCACTGCACCATCGGATGTTGTGAGCATCAGACAATATATTCTCATGGAATAGACATCGAGCTGTACCATAAAGACTCAGTTATAGCTACAATTGACACAATCACCTATTCCCTATCGCATTCCCATTAAACCCTCAACAATACAATACCCCGCCATCCAAATCTTCAAAGCTAACAAAACCCCTCCTAGGTCGACTTCAACGTCCCTCTCGACGCCGACAAGAACATCACCAACAACCAGCGAATTGTCGGTGCTCTCCCCACCATCAAGTACGCCCTCGAGAATGGCGCCAAGTCCGTCATCCTCATGTCTCACCTCGGACGCCCCAACGGCTCCCCCAACGAGAAGTACTCCCTCAAGCCCGTTGTCGCCGAGCTCGAGAAGCTCCTCAGCAAGAAGGTCACCTTTGCCCCCGACTGTGTCGGTCCCGAGGTCGAGGAGATCGTCAACAAGGCCGAGGATGGCTCTGTCATCCTCCTCGAGAACCTCCGATTCCACATTGAGGAGGAGGGCTCTTCCAAGGATAAGGAGGGCAACAAGACCAAGGCCGACAAGGCTCAGGTTGAGGCTTTCCGTAAGGGTCTGACCGCTCTTGGCGACGTTTACATCAGTGAGTATCCCAATCCCCCTCCATTATGACTGTAGCACAATGCTGACGACAACAGACGACGCTTTCGGCACTGCCCACCGTGCTCACTCCTCCATGGTCGGTGTCGACCTCCCCCAGAAGGCCTCCGGTTTCCTCGTCAAGAAGGAGCTTGAGTACTTTGCCAAGGCTCTCGAGAACCCCCAGCGCCCCTTCCTGGCCATCCTCGGTGGTGCCAAGGTCTCCGACAAGATCCAGCTCATCGACAACCTCCTTGACAAGGTCAACACCCTCATCATCTGCGGTGGCATGGCCTTCACCTTCAAGAAGACCCTCGAGAACGTCTCCATCGGAAACTCCCTCTTCGACGAGGCTGGCTCCAAGACCGTCGGTGCCCTCGTTGAGAAGGCCAAGCAGAAGAACGTCAAGCTCGTCCTCCCCGTCGACTACATCACCGCCGACAAGTTCGACAAGGACGCCAACACTGGCTACGCCACCGACAAGGACGGTATCCCCGACGGCTGGCAGGGACTTGACTGCGGCGAGGAGTCTGTCAAGCTCTACAAGGAGGCCATCGCCGAGGCCAAGACTATCCTCTGGAACGGTCCCGCCGGTGTTTTCGAGTTCGAGAAGTTCGCCAGCGGCACAAAGGCCACCCTCGACGCCGTCGTGGACGCTGTCCAGAAGGACGGCAAGATTGTCATCATCGGTGGTGGTGACACCGCCACCGTCGCCAAGAAGTACGGTGTTGAGGACAAGATCAGCCACGTCTCTACCGGCGGTGGTGCCAGCTTGGAGCTCCTCGAGGGTAAGGAGCTTCCCGGCGTTACTGCTCTGTCCAGTAAGTAAATAATATCCAATACTGTTGGAGTACGAAGTATATGAACCTGTTGATGACGGGGAATGAAAATGGAAAAAGGTTGGGCAGGCAAGGCTAGTCTGTAGCAAACCAGAAGAAAGTAATTGAATACCAAATACCAATAGAGGCGTAAAACCGCAACAAAACACCACACGTGTCCAAAGGATTTTGCTATGTGCCCTTTATTGATTGACTAAACTACAGAACAACAATGCTCAAGTTCTGTGTTGCTTGTCCCTCCTACTGGATAGTAGAAAAATGGCCTCCTAAGTCTTGGGGTATAAAAATAAGTAGTCTAAGAACTGTAGTCTAAGGAGCATAAAGTGGCCTACTAATCTTGTCTCTTATGCTTCCAGCGGTCAATTTTTCTGATACCCTAAGGCCCTCATACATTCGTTTGTCCATCGCAGTCACAATTGCAGCCGGACCGCTCCTGGATCTTTGGGTGGCTTGCCAGAACCCTAGCCAGTAGCAGTACATATTCACCAGCTGTTGGGGCTTCCATGTTATCGAAGTCGTCATAATGTTTCGTGTTTGACTGATATATGTGTTGTTGCCTTGTCTTGCAGCATCCCGCACTCGGGGGTTGGACTGGTCTTCAGAAGACTGCCCAGCCCACATCCTACCGCCATACACAGAAGGTTCTCGGGTACAGATATGGTAACAGAAGTTTTGCCTTCTTCCATTGATGATAGCTCCTTAGCCATCGCATTGCTCTCGCTCCTTCGATACTCCTCTATATGTTCCGTCATTAAGTTATCGCAGTGGACGAAAGCACGGGAATTGCCCGGCTCGTCGCGCAGTGGGTGTCGTCATCTATCGGCGTTTGGCCTCGACCTTCTTCAACTCCTCCCTGTATAACGGTTAGCTGTTGTATAGAAGAAGCATCGTATTGACTATTGACGTGCCTGAGTTGTTGTGAGAAGTCATCACTCGTGTCGTCGTCGTCCCAGCTCTCTTCCCAGAGGTGTTTCGTCTCGCCGCTACCCTTGGCAGCTTCGGTTTGGTCCTCAGGCCAGTCTGTACATTCGTTAGCTATATCTAGGAAAGAGAGTGTACGTGAATGCGGGCATACCATCGACAGGGAAGTCCTCAAACTCGTCGTCCTCGCCAAGGGCGACGGGCTTCTGCTCTGGCTTCTGCTCGACAGGCTTTTCGTCGGTGGTCTTGGGGTCTGTGGACGTCATGATGAGAAGTTTGTGTTTGTGGTAATTGATTTGTTGTCCTAATGAGAGTGTAGTATGATCGACTGGAGGTATGATTGTTGTTGTGTTTAGCTGATGGTAAAGACGGATTGTGGAGACCTTCAGCGGTGATGATGCGGTAGCTGTAGCCTGTGGTTTGACGGGAAAGTGCTACGGAAGAAATATCCACCGACAAAGACATGTGGGGCAAGAGAACTTGGACTACAGCGCACCTCAACGAACAGCACGCAGACTGTACAGGAGGCAAAAAGCACAGTATAACGACATTGAGGAGATGAAAGTGAAACAAGAAGACAGGCTCGTGACGGCAAAAATGCGACCGAGGGGAATCGAACCCCTCTCTAACGCTTGGAAGGCGTTAATGCTAACCACTACACCACGGTCGCTGGTTGTGATTTAGGATATCGGGAAACCAAGAAAAGCGATATAAGTAAGAGATCAAAAGAAGTGGAGCTTGATGGCAGACCTGGACAGGAAGGGTGGGTCAGTAACGTGATTCGCGATTCCACGGCAAGCAGAGAACAAAAGGAACAGCAGTAGGACGGGTTGTACGGACCAGATAACCCTTGTAAATGAAAGTAGAAGAAGAAGAGTGATTGATAGGTGGGTGGGTAGTTACTCTATAAGCGAGACCATGATCCGAGCGAGACAGAAGGGAAAGGTATAAATCCAAGGTGCATCACCAGCCGCTCCTCAGGGCCCAGTAGTCACTGTAGGCCTAATTGACGACAGCTCATACCGTCAACGAATGTCAGACAAAATGGCCGATGGAAACAAAATCTCTCCCTCAGATTATTGTTTCTATTAGATCATACGCATAGTTTTCATTTCCATATTCGAAAGCTCAAAGGCCAGGTTTTTTGCCACCCGCTGAACTGCTTTCTAGATTAACTTATAACTTCAGGTGGATGCTCACGCTGCTCACAGTTCAGAGGATGGTGGTGCCATCACTAACCAACGCCCTTCAAACCCATCAAACTCCTCACCGATAACCTTGGACGTCTTCTCCCACGGTACACGAAACGCACCCGAGTTGAACATGGGCGAATAGATCGTCACAGGCCCATCTTCTCGCTTCCCTGTTTGTGCATCGATCTGTGTCCTCATGTCCCTCAAAGCCATCCTTGTCTGCTTCAGGATCTTCCCGGCTGCATCTCTCCCTGGCTTTCCAGTCCTCGCGTTTGCTCTACCGTACCCGTAACTGGTAAACAAACATACAATATGTATCTTGGGCGCCCCGCTAGCGACGTCTGAAGTCTGTGGTGGAATGATGTAGCACTGCCCCGCGAGCTTTGGCGATGGCCATCGCGAAGACGCGTCGGCGCGGCAGAATGTCTTGTATTCTGTGTATGCAGCTGGAAAGACGCGTGCAAGTTCAGCCGCTATGCCAGCGCCCCACTCTGCTATACAGTTGGTCGCGTGGACGAGGTAGACGTCTGACGGAAGCGATCTGATAGCATTGAGGGCTGTCGCCTCTAGTACGAATATCGGTGCTACCATTCTGACGGTGGAAGGGCGTGAATGAAAGAGGACAAAACATCACCCAAGTTATTTCGGTAGAAAGCGGTTCTTCTTATTCGTGTCCCTAGGGGAAGAGTGTCAATGGTGACTCATCGGCCAAAAACCCATCTCTTGACCACCACCAAATCACGGCCTAGCTTCTGGGACAAATTGCTACGATGGAATATTAATATGGCAAATTTTCTCGGTGTTCCACTTCGGATCTGCTCGAGATAAGAACCTGTCTTTGCTTAGTGTCCAACGAAGCCCTCTGTCACATTGGCTAGCCTTGAGCAGCACGAACTCAGGATCAACAGCTGCAATGCCTCACAAGCCGGGGCCAGTAGACTACCTACACGGGGCATACCAGCCCTTTTTGACGGCCCAGATCCTCGGGCAGCACCTGGGATACTCTCATGTGTGACATGGTCACAGGGAGCTCCTTTCTGTCAGAATATTGAATGCCGACTGACTTCAACATATGTCCACGAAACCTGTTTAAGTTGGAACATCTAACCAGCATCTTTTTTGAGGGTGACGATGGAGATGACGATGATGCGATGCGTGAATAGCTTCTCAAGGAGCATGCCACTACCTTCACAAAGCTCAAGGCGACAGTAGATTTGGAAAGAGCTAGGACTGTCAACAGCGACAAACAGGTTGATCGATGTCATTGAGGGACTCAGAAGGCGATCACCGCTTACAAGCCTGGGCAAGCGCAAATACTATAAATTACAATTAATGAAACGCTTAGCGAATACTGGTACCTTGCGGAGTTAGTATAGACGAATTATTAAGAAAGATTCCAATTGAGAATGACTAATTGGGTAATGGTAATTTAAGCCTACCAACAATCTCAACCCGTATACACATCATCCCATTGTGTTTATCAATTGCCCCCCTCCCATGCATAACAACCTCACCATCGATTGCGATGTTGTTTCCTACGTCCAAAATGCATTTCCCATGAAAAATTACCGTCAAATACCGTGCAAGCACCCTTCGTCGACTTTACCGAGAGGGTGAGTGATACCAGATGGCTGGATGGAAGGATTGGTGGGTTTTTGTTGACTGTCACCTTGACCGATTGGTAGGAACTCAGGATTAGAAGCGCGATGATTGGCAATACGGCCCCATTTACTAGGTCGAGGTGCATCGGTGATGAGGAAATTGTCATAGAGAACATCAATTCCTTGGTAGCGCTCAGTAATCTTCTTTGCCGCAAGCGAATTCTTGAAGGACAGACGGTTGGCTGTTGAATCAGTATCATAATAAACAGCTCGTAGGACAAGCCACATGGCCCAGTCGAAGTCTAAATTGTCGGCGGCTACAGCATCTTTCCATAGTACGTGGTTGCTCGAGTTCATGGTCTTGGTGATGCGAGACTGCTGAATGGCGTCGGCAAATGAATCCCGGATATTCTGAGGCAAAAAAAGCCAGGAGCAATTCTAAAGCATACGAGATGAAATTAATAGGTCACTGTATGCTCCTTAGGCTATAGTTCTTAGACTGCTCATTTCTATACCCTAAGACTTAGGAGGCCAACTTTTCTGCTACCCAGTAGCCCTCCGGTCAGTTCTTATGCCTAACAGAATGCACGGATTCGGATCCAAGACCGGGTTGATGACCAAATAAGCACGCATATTATCAGGAGAATTCAATAAATGGATCATCATGCTCTGGTACGGGAGGCCGTAGGACTTGTTCCATAGTGACCAGTCTACCCGAGAACTCAGTCGTCTTGTATCTTTGAAAGGGAACGATCAGGAAAAAGCAGAAGGTTGGTACAAAATTGCCTGTAGATATTTCACCTAGAGCTGTTATGAGTTGGAAGAGGTCTTTCCATGGCAATCTCCCCCAAACAGAGAAAGTTCTGAATAGTTATCTAGGTATCTAGTATCTGGTATAACTCCCCGTTTGAACGACAACCAGTTCGGAACAGTTCAAATCAATAATTACAGCAAGGATATAGCACTATCATCAATCAAAATAAGGAACGTATCTTTTTTCAAGATGACTCAGGCGCGTCGCAGTTGCATACCCACCCACGTCTCGTGACCTCCCCAACCTCACTTGTGAGGCATCCAAACTCAACACTCAGCAAACTTTCACGCAGCCTTTCACATCTTACGTGCCAATACCCAAAGATGGAGGAGTAACCCTTAAATAGACAATTAACTTACTTCCTTTCAACTTAGGGCAGTGATGGAATGGCGCAAAGGGCGACATCCTGAGCTCTGCAGGTAAGTCAACGAACCTAAACAAGTGTTCAGGTTCAACTCTAGTAAACAAAAAAAAAAAAGTAAGGAAGAGAGAAGTTGAAAAAGAAAGACAGCAAAAGAATTAAAATGATATTTGAAAGAGCAGACGATACAAGAAACAAACAGCCTCAGAAAAAAGAAAAAAAGAAGAAAAAAGACAGTATCTAACACACACATTAAAATAAAATAAAAAACAGAAACTAAAAACAACAACTAACATAAACCAGCAGCTTTCCTAACTTATCATATAACTGCCATATAATTGCCATATATCTTCTGATATCTCTATAATTTTTTTGCTAATTGTATGTGCATTTACTGTTACTGCATTCCACATGTTGCATACTGTAGGGGTACTACTATTGCAAATATAATAAGCTTGCATAGGTAGCTGGAGTGAATGCGAAAATGAACTTCGTGATGTTATCTTTGCAATATATACAGTTAGGTAGTTGACATTTCCTCTACGAAAGCCTTATTGGCTTGTTAACTGACTTGCAATACTGCGAAGATGGTAGGCCTTTATAAACCCCACTTGGATGATTGGGTGGGTCAATGGCAAATACCCTCGGCCCAGAACTTAACACTCTTGCATACCTGGATCTTGAATTTCCTTTACTCTGCCGATCAAAATGTGCGACTTCTCGAGTTACGGAGGCAGTTGTGAAGAATGGATTGCCTTACAGCAGACCGTTCCACCGATAACCGAGCCTGAAATGCCTACAGCGGACATGGTAAGGCTGGCCAACGAAGAACGAGAAGTCATTGTGAGACAGTCCATGATAAAGCTGGCACCTCAAGTTCAGATAAACAACTACTCAGTTACTTCTAGAGATGGTAGCAGTATCCAGGTGCGAAGCTATAGACCAGCCAAAGCTACCGAAGAAGAACTACTCCCTTTGTACGTCCATCTACAAGGCGGCGGCTTCATGTATGGTACACTCGACGCCGAGGATGCGATATGTGCCCGGATAGCCATTGGGTCCAAAGTCACAGTCCTCAACGTCGACTACAGACATACTCCACAGTATACATATCCTACACAATGGAATGATGCCGAGGATGTTTTCGAGTGGGCGCACGACAACATGGACAACCTCAAGTGCAATCCTCGAAAAGTCATCCTTGGTGGAGTGTCAGCAGGTGCCTGGGTTGCTGCATCTCTCACTCTTCAAAGACATCTCAACCGGACATCGGATCCTTTACCACCTATTGCTGGTCAAGTTCTCATGATACCATGTTTGGCACACGTCGACTGCTACGAACCACAACTAAAAAAGATGAAAGACCCATCGATATCATCATACAAGCAGAATGAGTTGGCACCAATGTTTTCACTCGCAGAATTTCGTTGGTACACCAGTCTTCTCAAGATAGAGAGTCCACGTGTTGATGATCTCAAGATCAATCCCGGCAATGCCACACCTGAACAGGTCAAAGGCATGCCGCCTAGCGTGATCGGGATAGTTGGCTTGGACCCTCTGAGGGATGAAGGGTTGTTGTATGCAAAGATGTTGATGGAAGCTGGGCAAGTAGCCTGTGTTTGTTGAGAGTGAAGTAGCTGACAAGTCGTAGGGTTCCGACTGACGTGAATCTGTTTATTGGACTGCCGCATGGATTCCGATCTTATGAAGAGAAACTTTCCGCATCAGAGCGCTGGGATAAGGTTATTGAAGGTGGGATTTGCTGGGCTTTGTCTGGACCCTTACCAAGTGATGAGTTCCATGTCAAGACATAAAAGTCGAAAAGCATGTGTGAGACTCATTTCGACATAGAAGTGAGGATATCATTCCTCGATAGCATATGAATGGCTTCTCTGCAAAGAATAGAAATCGATTTGGCGAAATTCACATATTTTTGAGCCACATTGGGTATGTGAAAAGTAAGTTTGAAGGAAGGTACGTAAAAGAAAAACCGACGAGGAAGTGAGCTGAATTCTCCGACTCGTTTTGAAGCAGTTGACGTTTCAGTATACGTGCTCGGGTGGATGATATGACATATCGTCAGCCACCGACCCACCCTTGTCAATATTCCACATTTCGAGCGTTGAAATAGTTGTAATTAGTTTGCGATTGGATGAGCATTTTGCCTTATCAATCAGGGGGGCGAGTTATTCATTCGCATGGCCCGGGTCTGTTCCTTGTACCCCTCTTTGACTACGCGGCTACGCCCCCAGCTGGAGTCTAAAGCTCTCGAGCTTCTGTAAACAGAAAGTGGGTAGTAACGGAGTACCACCTTTCAGGTATATCGGGGAGTTATGTCGGCGTATGCAAGACAAAAGTTCGCCAGGGAGACTGTAAAAAGAACTGGACCTGAGTCATTATGTCACGATTGCGAGTCAAGGGTATCAGCCTTAGGTCGCGGTAACAGATCTATGAACGGCTGCTCATCTCCCGAGACAGTACACCCATTCAAAAACTCAAAATCAATCTCTACTTGAGTTAGTAAGCGGAAATCAAAAGATCTTGAACACACCTATATTAGACAGCCGAAAGTCAATTCAACTTCTTCCATCTAATAATAGTGAGTTTAAGTGTCAAGTGTGACAGGGTAATCTACGACCTTTGCTGTAGCGGATATAACGCCAAGGCGCCAAGGCGCATGGAGATAACAGGGATGTACGATCTAGTGTGTTTGTTTGAGCTAGGCGGCTATGTTGTACCTTTGACGCGGAGTATACAGGATGAAGAGTAAAGAGGGTGATTTGGCAACCCATCAAAAGGTGTGTTTCTGCCAAGCGAAACTATCTAGAAACAGAATCTTGGCGCGGACGCAGAAGAATGATAGTTAGTATCTGAATTTTTTTAGAACTTGTTCTAAGCGATGGGTGGTGATACTATAAATGATTTTTCAACACTCAAGACATCAGTCAAGTACATGGAATCATAGTTGCATCTGCACCTGTATTCATCTACCTTGTTTCATCAAGGTTGCTCTGTTTGCGGCGTATTGTAGAAAGGACTGCGTCGATACTTAGAGAGGTACTTTATATCCGCAAATTTGGAGACGAGACTCAAGCGCACTAGAATGTATTCATCGGTTCATATTCTGAGACCCAAATGTATCAAGTGCAAATCTAAATTTCCTCAATATCCAGTGCAGGTAAGCCTTGGTTTTCATCATCAAGAATACCCACAATGCTCCTCAGATCCGTCTGACCCCTAATCTGCAACATAGACCCATCTATGGCATTGAAGAAATAGAACTGGCTACTGCCGACCTCAAAGAGGTAAAGTGCCTCCCCAGTGTAGGGTGCCATGCCATAGTGTGGCCTAATGTCCCCGTCAATGCCACGTCCACGAACCTCATCCTCCACTTGACCACCTTGACCCCAAAGCATGTCTCCTCCCATGTCCTCGTAGGAGTTCACCCAGTTCTCTGGGGGAGGGATCTGTATTCTGTCAGTCATACCGGGCGGCAAGAACTGGGTAAGTCATAATGTACCCCATTGTCGGTCACTATTATGCCGTCCTTAATTGTGGTGTAGTTGCTCATGTTGGGTGCCTGGTGTTTCAATAGTTTGAGTGGGAATAGTAGAGCTGAACCGATATTGGGATTATCAAAGGAAATTTATGTGATAGAGGGGGAGAGGGTCAGGGCATATTTATAAACACAATTCCAGCTGGTGACGTCCCTAAACATTGAATCATTGAGACATTCTAACCTAATTTGACCCAAGACTTCAAAATGCAATCAATAGAATGGCACGTTCTCGATGACAGGATGACATCAACTCTCATTTCTGACCTCATTGTGGTGCTTTGACCTCTCCAGCTGAAAGATCTACCACCATTCCTTGGTTGTGGATGGATATTGGAAAGATAGGAGCGGGGCCGTAAGACATCAGACTTTATCTAGGAAATGGTGCAAACTATCAACAGCCACGTTGAAAGCTGAACCGCTACGTATAGCTTACTGAGATAGGACGGTCTAATATGATATGCAAGTTGTAAGCTTAGTTGGATAGCTAATGCGCTGCCGGTAATTAGGCAAACGCCAGTGAGCTGGGAAAAAATAGTCTCTCCACGTAAAAATGAAGATTTATAATTACGAGAAAGCCACTCAGCCTTGAGCTTTAGCCAGGAATATCTCTGTTAGACTTTGAAAGCTATCAGCGATATAGTTCTTTGTTGTTTTTGCGCACCATTATGCTGGACCCGCCATTGGAGAATAACTAATGGCATGCCATTTCACAATAACTCTCCGCGGGACACAGTCTCGAGAACTATAGGGTATGGTATGTATGCCTTTTATTCTTCAGTCAGTTATAGGAACTACCCGCTGAAGAGCGATTGGCCGGACAAGTACTGAAATATTTCCTTAACAGATGAACCAGTAGATCGGATAACTGAGAGTTGTTCTGTATAACTTATCTCGGAAGCTCGGATCATCTTAGGTGTATGTCGCCCGCACTAACAGGCTACTAGAAATTGAAAGCCTCCATTAATCAGATCTTCCAGGGTAAACGCGTCTACAGAGACACTGCAGTAGTGTTCAGAGTAGGGCGGTTAAGACGGCAGTAAAACATGGAGACCACAGGGTAGAATGAATGTCTTGCGTAATTCTTTCTGTGGGTCGAGTTTAATGCTGACAATGTACGTTACAGCCATGTCGCGGTACGAAATCGCAATTGTAGCGACGTGGAGAATGTTTGAAGTGAGACAAGAACTCAGCTGATCTCTAGCCGATAGCCGAAGGGTGATGTAAAACCTGACAATGTTTACTTGTTTCAGTCAAAAGATGGATTGCTGTGGAGTTAAAGGGTCAATTCCGCGACCAAGAGAAAGACAAAAGTCCTTACAGAAAAGGACTACCTAATAATTCGCTAGCTCTAAATTTGGTACTTGAGAAGCTTGGCAAAGTGACATTTTACTCCAGGTTGGATCGCGTCTTGGCGTGTTCAAAACATCACAGACTATCCAGGGGGTTTTCCATCGTAACCAATATTCCAAAATATTGCCAGAGTAACTCACAGTTCATCCCAACAATAATTGTTTATTCGGCAAATGGCAACCATGATTTGATAAGCGGATGTCCGGACGGTCAAGCCAAGCCTTTTCGTAGTATCAGATCTCGTAGAAACGATATGTGAGGCATGATAAGACAAAACAATAGGGAGCCAAGACAAATATGCGGATAGGGCTACCGTGTATGGCACTGGAAAGGGTTATAATAGTGAATATCACTGCAGTGACATGAGTCGCAGGGGCGCAAAAACCGTTTGGGGCGCCATTACGCGAGATGGAGCTTTTGTTTCTCTGCTGAATATGACCTGCCTCGAAGCCAAGATGTGGAGGTTGGAGAAGCGGCAAGATGGCAAATCCATGTAGATCGCAGTGGAAATTGAGGATTCACGTTGTAATCAGGGATGACAATGTAACTACCGGCATGCATCTACAGTGTGATTGCATTCTCAAAAAGAACTCTCTCGAGGAAAAAAAGAGCAAGATCACCAAAGACTGAGACAACAACAAAAAAAAGGGTCTTCCGGATCGCTTGCCATCCGCGCACTGAGCATTAATGACAAAACGCAAAAGGTGGATATATACAAGGCCCCTTGTTCCGGGTCACAATGATCTTTTCCCTATTATTCAAGCTTAAAACACGAAACCCGCAGATCTTGTAGCTGTGTCCTGACGCGAAAGTGGCCAATGAGCTAAGGGAATTTCGATTATTTTTTCCGAGATAAGAGCCAGGGTTGGCAGTCTTCCCCAAGGCCCAGAACCGGCAATTATTGACTATTCTGTATCCGTAGATTTAGTCATGGGCGAAAAGAGATTGTTGAAACACCACAGTCACATCGGTTTGAGAGGCCCTGTCGCTGGAAGCCTGACACAAGACGTGGTCTGTTTTGTATCACGTTTTGCCTCGCAACCTTAAAATAGTTTATTATAACGGCAAAAACAGCTTGAACACTACTAATCGCCAAGAATACTTATAGACGGCTATGGTTTCTAGAGTGGAGGCTTTTTTTTCCCTCTACTCCCTATTCTCTCTCTCTATCCGCTTTCCCTTTGCATCTAGGCTGGTACCTGGTTGTTTCCTTTGTACTGTCTATTTCCTTGTTTGTGTTGATTGGAGTGAATCTTTTTTGTTCATTTCCATTTTTCCTTTCTGTAGGAATTTGGTTTAATCAAATTTCCTATTTGGGTTCCTGTTTACTCAGAAATCCATTAATTCCTTTCTTACTATACACGCCAAGACAGGAAACTGGTTTCCCTGTTCTTTTTTATTACTTGAGAAAATTATTTAATTGTTTTTCTCTTTCTACTACTTTACGACGATCCTTACGATACTCGAATTTTCCCTTTCGACTATTTCTTTAGTTTCTATCGTTCAAAATGGAGGAAGCTAGACCTCAATGTGGATCTGACGGCCCTGGGGAGGAATACCCCCTTGGCATGCACGTCGGTGGTCTTTGTACGTTGACTAATTACCCCGGATTTTCATCCAGACCCGTTTCTTTCTTGGAAGCTAACAATGTGAAATAGTTGCTGTTTTGGCTGTTTCTTGCATGGGCGCTGGCTTTCCTGTCGCCGCTAAGAGAATCAAGTGGCTCAAGATGCCCCCCAAGGTGTTTTTCGCTTGCAAGCATTTCGGTACTGGTGTTTTGGTTGCTACTGCATTCGTTCATGTAAGTTTATAACTGATATTATCCCGAGGCTCGTACTAACGAATCGGCTTGTAGTTGCTCCCCACAGCCTTCGGATCCCTCACTAATCCCTGCCTCCCCGAACTCTTTACCGATATCTATCCCGCTATGCCTGGTGTTATCATGATGACCTCTATGTTTATGCTTTTCATGGTCGAACTCTACCTCAACGCCAAAACCGGTGGACACTCTCACGGTGGTCCCACGGGTGCAGCAGTCACCGTCCACCCTCCTCCTCGACCTCAGCGCCCTCAACGTCCCTTCCCTAAAGACGAGAACTTAGGCCACGCCCGCAACGACTCTTTCAACAGCGATTACTCCGACGATGAGGTCTCATACGAAAAGGCCATGGCTCGTGAGATGTACGAGAAGGAACAGCGACCCCACGCCTACTCGCGCGACGACAGCAACTCTACAATGCCCGCCTGGTTCGTCGTCTTTTACGAGCAATACGTCCGACAACGTTCCGAGATGATGGAGATGATCAAGGAGTCTCAATACTCGCAAGCCGCTATCGACTCTAAGCCTCACGCCGAAGTCAGCGAGTCTTACTTTGATGAGGAGAACAACTCGATCGATCACGAGACTTTCAAGCGCATGTCGATGAACATCACTCTTCTCGAAGGTGGTATCCTGTTCCACTCTGTCTTCGTTGGAATGACCATTGCCATGACCACCGACGGTCTCCTCGTTTTCCTCATTGCCATCATGTTCCATCAAATGTTTGAGGGTCTCGGTCTTGGATCTCGTATCGCTGCTGTTCCCTACCCTAAGGGCAGTGTCCGACCTTGGTTGCTTGTCTTTGCTTTCGGCTGCACAGCGCCAATTGGTCAAGCTATTGGAATTGCCAGCCGAAACTCTTATGATCCTGAGAGTGAAATGGGTTTGATCATGGTCGGTGTTTTCAACTCTATGTAAGTTTCTGAACATGCTCATCTCTTTAAACAAATGCTAACTCGACATAGTTCTTCTGGCCTTCTCATCTACGCTGCCCTCATCAACCTCTTGGCTGAGGATTTCCTTTCCGAGGAGGCTCAACATCTCATGAAGAAGAAGGACCAGATCGCTGCTCTGTGCTGGATCTTCCTTGGCGGTAAGTACCCTCTTGATCTGCTTGTCTATACATTCACTAACTTTGGACTTTAGCCTTTGGTATGTCCGTCGTTGGTGCTTTCGCTTAAACGTCAAACGCGTTTCAAGAAAAAGAAAAGTCAATGAGACATGAAACGCGCGGAAAAGACGGGCGAAATCAACTTAGACAAACTTAGATGCCCGGATTTACGCTTTGTAAGATAATGACGACGATTGCAATATTGCTGTTTTCTTTTGGTTGCGAATTTTCTTGGCCGACGGAGACGGTAGATATCAAAGACCGTTCGAGGTTCGTCGGAACGTCCATTCTTTAGGATAGTAGGAATTAAAAAATTAACGAAATAAAATTGATGAGAAATGATTACCTTTAAAAAATGTGGAACAGAAGCAATCTACTTGAGAATTCACGAAGAACTTTGATGTGCGTTACTATCCCTGGTGAGACATCTTGGCACTTGGCACTATCCGTCAGACCTCTCCTTCATTTCACTAGGATTAACAAACAGGGTAGCGAGAGATAAGCTTTCAGGTATGTAACATTGTTGAAGAATATTTATTTATTTATTTGATTTTTTTTACTTATTCATTAACGTCGTTGAGGTCGTTTCCAAGATAGATGTTGAGTCCAATTCTTAGATATCATAAGTCGTCAAAACAGCCCGGTGGTCAGAGAACCACTCATTCTCCTTGTGGTTGGGCTGAGGCTTGGGTTCACCAACAACCACAGTCTGGGAGTCGGTCACCTTCAGACCCTTGCCCTTGTGTAGAACAAAGTCAATACGGTCAAGAGGTTCAGGTCGACGACGGCCACCGTTCCAGATGTAAATGGGAGACCAAGTGATACCCTGCTCCTTGACGGGATCGGGGTGGGCGACGCGGAAAGAATCAATGAGACCGGCTTCCTCAGGGAGAACAGAGGTGGGCCACTTGATGCCAGAGTAACCGCAGTTCTTGTCCTTAAGACCGTCGGTGTAGTCGAGGTGAGAGGGGGCGTTGAAGTCGCCAACAAGGAAAACGGGAGTGTCGTCGGCATTGTCAAGCTGACTCTTCATACCAGCAAGAGTGGCCTTCATCTGAGGAGTGCGACCAGACTGAGCCTCACGCTCAATGATCTTGTCGACGGGGTAGTGGTCAAAGCATGTGTCGTAAGGTCCATAAGGAGTGTAACCCAAGTGAGCGACAAAGAAGTTGATCTCCTTGCTGGTACCATCAAGAGCAATCTTGACACCACCAGAACGGGCCGGCCCGCTGATGATACCGTAGTCCGCAGTGATAGGGTACTTGCTCAGAATACCGACATCACCACCGCTGGACCAGTGGTACCAACCAAGAGCATCAGCAAGACGAGGGACGTGGCGACCCTGCTGATCCTCCTGGATACCAACGATATCGGCGCCGGAAGAAGCGAGGAACTTGACCTGCTTGTCGTGGTAGTTTGTGACGCCTGTACCGCCGTTCCACATGTTGAGAGAAAGGACCTTGAGCTGGCTCAGAAGAGCCTTGCCAGAAGCAGCCACATTGATGGTAAAGACAGCGGATGAGGCGGAATCAGTACCGGTGGCACGGACGGTAACGACGGCTTCACCAGAGCTTGAGGTAGGTGTTCCAGAGATGATACCGTCAGAGCTGACCTTGATCCAGTCCACATTGGAGCCCTCGCTTGAAAAGCTCACATCACTGCTACCACCGCGAACAAGACCGCGAACGCTGTGGGAGTACTTATCATCGACGCGGGCATTAGGAAGCGAGACATCAGCCACAATAAAGCTCACATCTCCACCAAACTCACGGCCCTTGATGACTTGCAGCGGCTCCGCCAGCCACGTGTAAGCGTTGTTAGCGAGGAAGAAAGCTGTGTAGTTACCAGGCTCAAGGCTTCCGCTATCGATCTGGACAGAGCCTTGGGAATTAGGCGCCCACTTCCACTTGATGGAGTTGGAAGAGCCCTTCTTCTGCTCGACGGGACCTCCACCGGCGCTGTAGTACAGACCGACCCAGTTTTGGTCGTTGGCATTTTCAGTTGAGTAGTCAAAGGTCCATGATGGCTGATTGGTGTTGAGGGATAAAGAGCCCGAGGCTGAAGGATTCTGTCCCTGGACTGATGTACAGAGGCTTAGCCACAGGGCTGAAGCGACTGTGAGGAGGGGGGATCTGAACAATCTCATGGTTGTGGTACCAAGAGAGGACGGAAGGATGAGGTACGCGAGATGATTTACGTACGCCAAGCACGAGTTGGGAAGAGAGAGTCAAGATAGAATGAATATTGTTCTCACAAGCACAAGAGAGAGGAGAAAAAAAAAGATGATTTCACGGCATATAAGTATCCTTTTTTACCTTGGTTTCAATCAATATCAGAGGGCAAATATTGTTTCTCGAATGGGGGCGAGGAAAAAAGAAGAAAGAAAGAGAGAGACGAGGGAATGACCTCTGGATCTCGTGCCAAGTTTCTACCGGACAAGGGTAGTGTTGTTAGTGTTGGGTTAGCTTCGACCAATGCTTGAACCCCCTCAAGCCACGCCGCGGATGACGTGTGAGACGTCTGCATTGGTCTTGGGGTGATCAGCGGCTCAAACCGCCTAAACGAGTATTTACGCATGGGCACGTTGCAAAGAAACACACGGTTAGAGGCAGCGTCTTTTTTACCGTAGATGATCTGCGATGCTACCGTAGAGCACTCTGCTTCTAATCATCCGACTCCCTATCGTCCGCCATCGTGACTCGGCAATGCCACTTTTGTGCACCATGATTGGGTTGCTTGAGACTCTGTACCACGACGATCTTCTTCAACTGACTCTCCTCCACAACCAAAACACAATAAGGGTTCAATCACTCTCAATGCCGCAGCCTTAGCCTTATCAGATCGCGGCCTCGTGGGAGGGAAAAGATCTGCCGGTAGCCACACCCGCTGTAACCCACCACCTCACATGCGTGTGATAACGGAGAATACTCCGGTGAGGAAATGTCTTTTTCTTAACAGTCTCGGAAATCTTGCCTTTTACTCTTGTGAGACGTTCCACTGTGGCCACCACTATAGAACTGCTTAGATAGTAACACAGTAATTGCCCCTCCCCCTCTTTTCTGTGAGAGGAAATCCTGCCAAGATTGGGTTGGTTATGCAAAACACCATCATATCTTGTTCTACCGTCACATTTTTGATAGGCTTATAATTCAAATATTTTGAACAGCCCATGCAAAAACAAAACATGCCAAGGAGAAATAAACCTATCATTGTAGGCCACCTTGTTCTCCAAGGCTAAGCCGTGTCTGTTACCACCACATACCGCTTTCACCAGACAGACAAGACTGATTGGGGAATCGCCACAGTTGACTGCAAAGTGATAGGATATTAACATTGATATTATTGGAGGCCATTCGATATATATACAGGTTTCGGATCTGGTAATTACTCTGTAGCATAACATAGCTTGAATAATGAAAATATTCCTATAGAATGGCCACAACTTACCAGCCATCCTGAAACAGTTGGATTCTAAACAAACTCTTGCTCAAAATATCCTTGTAAGAATAGATGTACAACCCGATAGCGAGAGTTTGTGATGTCATGCTTACAGCTAACTGTGCGATACCAATTTGGTTCAGCCTTATCTCACATCGTGAAGCAACAAAATTAGGCCCCATCCCAAGCATTTAAATGTCCAATAGTTGATCCAATATCGTCCGCCAGCATAAAAAATACATCATTCTGACCTCACAAGGCTAACACGTATAGGAATCCGTCCGTCCGGTCGTGTGCCAGATGGACGACACTATCAAAAGAGAAGAATATTCACAAACGACAGACAACACAGCGCTCCGATTGTCCAAACCGGTAGCTTTTGTTAAGCGAATGGAACTGCAAACTAACGCCAACCATACATAAACGCGTTGACTTGGTCTTCGCCCCCAACTCTGACATGCGCGACTTTATCTAGACGTCCACTCAAGAGGCCTTTCAGCAATCTGATATCCCTGGGCAGCTGAGCTCAACACCATCAACGCATTAAACCCTGGGGTAATGCTACGTCGGCACGACTTTGACAGTTCATAGGTTATCGATCCGAATGATCCGAAGAATCGATGTTACCATGGAGATTACCTTATTGAGCACCGGTCGTCATGATGTCGGAATTCTACAAATCATATTTGGAAATGCCTCTTTCTGCTATATTAAAGCTTAGAATACATCGAGATAAACTGTCTGTAATCGCTTGGGTTCAGATGGTAGGACTTGCTATTATTCGTATCCAAACACATATCTCATTCCTGCCTAGGCGCGAAGATCTCCCGTCAGCCACGGCATACCTTGGCATGTTAAAATTCCGTCGACTCAATTGTCCGAGCCGCGAAGCCAAGACTGATTTGGCATGGCCAAGCCGTGCACTGGAAATTGGGCATTGAAGTATTACGCTCGAAACAGCGAATAGTTATACTACACTATGCTCACAATATGATGTGATGCGTTGATACTATATCTGGTATGGAATTTTATTATGACGTTGATCATAATGACCCGGAGTCTTTAATGCTTTGCCGTCCTTGGAGCTTTGAAGGGTCTTTAGAGGGCAGGACGAATGTGTTTACCCAACCAATTCAATATTTCTGTGTAAGAATTGGACACCAGACTCAACATTTCCCCAGTCATTCAATGGGTTAGCTAATATAGTCGCAACTGGCTAGGGCTATGTACGTTGAGTCGTAATGCTTCCATGTTTCGAAATTTAATATAAGTCTTGGAGGACTAGTCGTTTATATCAGCCCGGGTTACTATCACTGAATTGAACAATAAAACCCGCTACATTATCTATCAGTAAAGACTTCATTTGAATCCAATAAGAGTACTTTTTGATAATACTGTGTACCACAGTCTCTCCCAAAAAAAAAAACCTGCTTTAATATTCTACGTCCTCGATAGGTCCCACGAATTTATCCTCCGGATCATTGGCTACTCATCCGTAACAAGAATCGTCCTTCCCTACACCGCAACCTAAACAATTTTCTTCTTCCGTAACCCTGCAAAACCTCCCAAGGATGCCAAGTTTGCCCATTGCACCCTTGCCAACGAGTAAAATTCTCCTATATCCAATATGTTGTTGGTCTCGACCATTGACCCGCTATTCCTCCGCAAGCTATATCTCTTTAAGACTCAATCCCGCCACCCAAGCAAGGGTTCAAGGGACAAGATCCAATCACAGGAATTACAGGAAAGATTTTCACTCACAAGTAATCCCCTTATCGGCTCACTCCGTGTACGGGGAACTGGGGCACAAAAGTTACACAGGCGATTGCTTGTCTTGGTCAAGAGGGGACCGAGGGAATGAGCACCCTCGGCTTTGTGAAATGCGGTATTTTATCCGTAAACCCTAGACTGTGTCTCCTGGGGTAGCATTCTCTTTTCTCTCGTTTGCCAAAAGAGTGTTTTTCCTGGTTGCATTCATTTTATCCGGAAACCTTGATCATGGCAGGTTCTGACGTGCCCCCGGGTTATTCCCATGATGCAGAGAAGTCTTCCAAAGCAGCTGCGTCTAATACTACGAATGAAGAAATCGCACAGCGAAATGTCTTTGGTGATGAGACGCACCGAAGGCTCAAGGGCCGTCATATTCAATTGATTGGTATCGGAGGTACTATCGGTACTGTCCTGTTTGTATGTCCAACTTCACCATTTACATGTGTTATTGGATCAGTTGCAAATGGCTTCATGGCTAATCATATGTATCTCATAGGTTCAAATCGGAAAAGGTCTTATGCAAGGCGGCCCTGGCAGTCTCTTCATCGCCTTTTCGTTCTGGTGTCTCATCGTCCTCACAATAACAATGGCCGTTGCAGAAATGGTCTCATACACGCCTATCTCATCTCCATTCGTTCGATTCGCAGGTGTTTACGTGGATGAGGCTCTCGGTTTTGCTTCTGGATGGAACTTTTTTATCTTCGAAGCTGCCCTCGTGCCATTCGAAGTAACAGCATGCCACTTTATTCTCCAATTCTGGACAGATGCAATTCCTGTGGGGGCGACTATCGCTGTGATCATCGTTTTGTACGCGCTCATCAACCTCATGGCGATTCAGTATTTTGGTGAGACAGAATTTTGGGCCTCTGTTGGAAAAGTGGTTTTGATCGTTGGACTCATCTTCTTCACTTTCATCGTCATGGTCGGCGGCAATCCTCAAGGAGATGCATTCGGATTTACATACTGGAAGAGTCCTGGTGCTTTCAACGCACTGTACTATGATGGCGCTCTTGGAAAATTCGTCGGCTTCTTATCTTGTCTTATTCAAGCCGCGTTCTCCATCTCCGGCCCTGACTATGTTGCCATGGCTGCTGGAGAAGCAGAGAACCCTCGCAAGATCCTGCCACGGGCATTCAAAACGGTATTTTATCGCTTGACATGCTTCTTCGTTCTTGGGTCGCTGTGCGTGGGTATTCTTGTACCATACGATGACCCAAACATGATTGCAGCTTTCAGAGATGGAAAGTCTGGGGCTGCAGCTTCACCATATGTTATTGCCATGGACCGTCTCGGTATTCGAGTCCTGCCTCATATTGTCAACGCCATGATTCTCGTCTCGGCGTTTTCAGCTGGCAACTCATACGTTTTCTGCGCTACAAGATCCTTGTATGGCCTTGCCTTGGAGGGTAAAGCGCCACGATTTTTGAAGACCTGCACTAGAACTGGTGTTCCTATCTACTGTGTTGCTGTGGTTTTAGTCATTGCATTACTATCCTTCCTTCAGCTATCAAACAGCTCCGCGGTTGTCTTGAGTTGGTTTGTTTCTCTGGTCACTGCATCGCAGCTGATCAACTTTTGTGTCATTTGTTTCACATACCTTCGCTTCTATCGAGCTATGAAAGTGCAGAACTTTGACCGTTCCGTGCTTCCTTATAGAGCTTGGTTCATGCCGTATGCCGCGTACATCGGTCTTGTAGCAACCTTCATCATGGTGTTCGTTGGAGGATATACCGTGTTTCTGCCTGGCATGTGGAATGTCCCCAACTTTCTCTTTTCGTTAGTAGTCACTATTAATTAGCCTTGGATGTTTGAGCTGACGCTTTCAGGTACACTTCCGTCGGATTGTTCCCTGTCCTGTACGTTGGCTGGAAGATTGTACATAAGACAAAGGTTCACAAACCAACCGAGATTGATCTCAAGTATAGCTTGGCGCCTATCGAGGAGTATGAACAGAAGTTTGTTTCTCAACCACCAAGGTATGTCATTATTGCGACTTTATGGTTCGGTTTGCTAATGGTGTCTAAGGAACTGGTTTGAGAAGATTCTGCACTTTCTGTTCGAATAAGATAGAATACAATCACAGAGGGCAATGAGTGGCGGAGTTCATAGATGAGTTATGTCGGGATAGATAAAAATACGGAATGATACCCTGTTTGACATTACCTTTGAATAATTATGTATCTATTAACTAAGATGAGGGTGCCTTTGTAGTTGAGTATCTTGGTGAATATTAATATGCGTTGTCATTTTGCTCATATTCCTCTAGAACAAGTCACTCTCCTTTACCAAAATATCCTTCGTTACCTCACTGATATCTCTCAAGCCGGCCAAATGCATGTTCATGGTCAAATCACCACATAAGGCTCGCAAAACATGCCTCACTCCATCCTCTCCACCAAGTGCCAAACCATACGCGTATGGTCTGCCAACAAGAACACATTTTGCTCCAAGAGCCAAGGCTTTCATGATGTCCGCACCACATCTGATACCACTGTCGAACAGTACGTCGATCTTGTCACCAACAGCATCGACGATTCTTGGAAGCATACCCAAGCTACTAACTCCGCCGTCCTGTTGTCTACCGCCATGGTTGCTTACCACAATTCCCTGGACGCCAACTTCGACACATTTCTTAGCGTCCTGTACACTTTGAATGCCCTTAAGCAAAATAGGTCCATCCCAGTGCTCCTTCAAGAACTCAATGTCTTCCCAGGTATGTGAGTGTCCGGGAAACACAATCTTGGCCCATTCACGAGCTGCCACGCCCAGACCAGCTCCTGCTGATCCACCTTGGGCCGCCTGGTATACTCCACTGGGTGCGTTAGTGATATCATAGCCGTGCTCTTCCTTGAACTGCTTCTTGAAAACAGGATCAGTCAGGCCAATCTCTACACCGATATGATCTGGATGAATGAAGGGGTTGTAGCCATTGTCCAAATCGCTCGGACGCCACCCCAGAACGTATGTATCGAGAGTGACGATAAGTGCTGTGTATCCGGATTCTCTAGCTCTCTTGAGCATGGATATCGTGATGTCGTCGTGCTCCCGGCTTGGCCAGTAAAGCTGAAACCATCTCGGCGCGTTTTCACCGTTTGCTGCTGCCACATCCTCGATGCTGGTACTAGACGCCGTACTCAGAGTATATGGAATACCCAGCGAGGCGGCAGCTCTAGCTGCAGCAGCTTCTCCCTCAGGGTTGAAGATCTTCTGAACTCCAATTGGTGCAATGGCCACCGGAAAGGGAAGAGTTTGTCCCAATACCTTTGTTGTGGTATCAGCGAATTGCTCATTTCCGTTCTCGTCTTTTCGGCTTGGCACAAGTCTGTTTGGAATAATTGACCATCGAGAAAATGAATCGATATTTTTCTCGTATGTGGAAGCGTTACCAGCGTTGCCATGAATGTAACCCCAAGATGTAGCTGAAAGGGTCTCTTTGGCTAGTGATTCCCATTGTGAAGGTTGGAAAGTGAATGCAGGTCGTGCAAAGTGGAGGCCACCATCAAAGATTGATTTCTCGTAGGCCAGAACGTCGGCGCTTGGTGAAGGAGTCATGATTGATTGTTGACAAGGATGTGAGTTTGTGTCTGGTAGTTATGAAAGATGCGGCTCTGCTGGTTATAAATATTCTCGGCTTTTCCCTCGGCCATTGGTATGGTTTCTATTACCTATTATCAAACTAGTCCATCAGGTTTCAGCAAGATCTAAAGCATAATGACGTCTGAGATGGTGCCATATCTGCGGATATCTCGGAACTCTTCTCCTGATTGACGTTTAGCAGTCACTATTTCTTAGATCCCTCGAGCCGAATTACCGAACAGTCACTAGATGCCACAAGCTTCTTGAAGTCCAAAGTATTCGAATTATATCTGGCCTTGTGCCAATGTACATTTTGTTGCGCACTTTAAAAGACTTGTCGTCAGTCAAGTTTTGTCAAAACTGGTTCATACGGATGACGTAGTTGACCCGATTTAACGTGCTACCATGAATTGTAGAATGGAGACATCTCTCGGGTCATTATTTATGATAATGCGTAGCCGCGCTGGGCGTATAGTATATGATAGTTAGGTAAATGATTGAGAACACTAGTGTGACTCAAGGCGCCTCAACCCGCTGCTCGCTGTCACGAGACTTGGTTTCCTCCGACACGTTATCGTTGTCGCCCTTTAGTATTATGTCTGCAACCAGTAGGCTCGCTATGAGACATAATGCTATCAGAGGGACCGAAATAGTAAAGACTGCTCGAAATCCTTCCATACGTGCACCCAAAATGTTGCTCTCATATTCGCTGGTGCCCGAGTCACCGGCTCTCCAGGTTCCATCTAAAACAGAATCACGGACCCAGTTTGGGACTGCTTCGCCAAGTGACTTACTCAAGACTGCATAATACGTGGCAGTAGACACAGCTATTCCGACCACGCCACCGAGGGAACGGAAAACATTTCTAGTTCCTGTTGCTACAGCACGATCTTCGTCTGTTGGGTTTGCTTGCAACGCTACAAGCCCTACTTTACGATTAGCAAGCTGTACACGATGTATCAATTGTCGTGCGTACCTGGTTGATGTACCCATCCAACTCCAGCTCCTACAATAGCTAGGACATCTACATAGATGGAGACATGGGTCTTCTGACCAAAGAGGAGCTTCAACCTTGCACCGAGGGTCCAGACTGCTAGGCCACATCGCAGCACGGGTATATACCTATAACATGGATAAGTAATGGTTCTATGAACTCATATATATGCATATGTGGCTTACCTAGCATAGCGAGCCATGACGGGTCCCGAAGCAGCACCTGCCAGACCTTGGGCAATGAGAAAGGATATTATGAGCGTCGCACTCTCCAACGGTGTATATCCGCAGACTGTTTGAAAGAATAAAGGAATGAGATACTGCGTTGTCTGCCAGACAAAGTCATGGAGAAAGCCCGAAAGGATCAGTACTAGTGCTGATTTCGTTTTGAGCAATCGCAATGGGATAATAGGAATCTTGGCTACAAAAGCCTCAATAGCTATAAAAAGAAGAAGACAAACAATACCGATAGACAATATCAAAATAGCTTTCACATTGTCCCAAGGCCAGATACTTCCGCCCGAGTTTATTGGCATCTAAAAAGTAAGCTGTTTAGCGTCAAAGGTCAACAAGAAGGAAGAGACTGATGCTAAATCATCACATGGTGGAAAGGTACTTACAACTACCAGAACGATAACAGGGACCGAAGTGATGACACCTAGCCAGTCAATCTTCCGAATCTTCTCACCAAAACCACCAGAAACTGGGTTCAGTGGTAAAAAGAACAGGAGAAGTGTGAAACAGAAGGCAGCGAGAATAGCAGGGACCCAAAAAGCCCATCTCCACCTATCGTTGTGCCCAAATGTTTGTATAAGGCTGGCAGCCACAAATGGTCCTGATGCAGCTCCAGTACCGATGGTCAAGCTGGCAAATCCTTGGTATTTCCCCGCGACCAAAGGCTGACCAAGTCACTGACTATAATAGCAATGGAGGAGCTGATACCACCTCCGCCAATGTCACTGATCGTCCTGCATGCATATAGCTATATTGGGGCCCGGGCAAACCCACAAAGAAGGCCGCCAATGGTTACACAACCCATAGAGAATAATAGGAGCGGCTTGCGACCAGTAATATCAGATATTCTGCCATAGAGAGGTTGAAAGGTTGTTTGACCCAAGAGATATGCTGTTCCTACCCAGGTTACGGTAGGACCTGCATCTAAGGCTTCAGCAATAGTTGGTAAAGAGGTGATGACAGAATTCATATCTAGATATGAAATGAAGTAGGCATGACATAGGCAGAGATAAGCTACCATGAGACGAATAAAAGCCAAACGCTGTGATTGATCTTATAGTTCGCATGAAGTAGAATTGTCTGTGGTATCACTACATTCGACCCCGGCTGGCTGAGCATTCTTCTCGCCAGAGCTATGACTTTTATTATCCGGGCTGGAAGTGGCAGGAATAGGATCAAGATGAGGGGATGTCATTGGTGAAGTTTCTTAGTTATGAAGAGATTTGAGGTCGATTGTGGAAGAAGAGGGGAGGCATAAATGGCACACCATATGCCTTGGAGTAGTTTTCTCTGAAGAGTTAACCAGAGAGACAACAAGCTGGGGAAAACTCAGACATTTGTAACTACTCTTTCCTCGCTTGAGCGATTAGATTAGACTAATTTGTCCAGAAGTAGCACAACAGATGCCTCTTAAGGCTGAGGAATAAACTGAGTTCTCACCTCCGCGAAGAGCCAAGTGTCAGCCTGCATCAGTCTTTCTCCAAGAACATGTGCCTGTGTGGGGAGCAAGTTGGCGTGCTTCATATGTCTTGTGCATCATCGATAGATGCTCAAAAGGTCCGAGAGCATCTCTGTCGTCTCCAGCGAGGTCAGATCTCTCAGCCCCCAAACAATGGAGCGAGAATCGCAGCGACCATTCTCTAAGACCCGAAGTTGTTCTAAGATTGGATCGTAGATCTTTAAGAAATGAGCAATCTGATCAAGGAGATGCGAAAGGGACTCCATGAAAACATCATGGTACTTGGAACGCCAGGGCAATAGGATCATATTGTCTCGCAGGTAAGCTTGATACATTCTGCTGAAAGTGACATATTGTCGATCAATGCTGACTTTTGAATGTTTAGATTCATAGTTACCACCAAGAATGTTGAGTATGGGACAAAGGCACTGGATATGGTTGTGAGAAGAGTTCTATAGGTATATCTTTATCCAAGGTATTGTTTGACTTGAGTAACGATTTTAAATCTTACTTTGTTACAGAAAACATCAGCAGATCAGAAACCGGATTCGCAACAGTGGTTAATACAATACCCTGGGCTGAATCAACTCATCAATGGCTGTTAGTACAACCGCAAATAAGATTCAAGCCATCCGATTCTGAATTCTTGCATTGACTTGGTCATGAATAGCAGATCACATCGAACGCGAAGGATTTCGAAAGACACTTTTATGTAAATTGAAACGTCGTTCGTAAGATCCTTGAACCTTGCATTCTTGAAACCTAAGGTTGATGAGTAGCAGGTCTCGGATCCTGTTAGGGTCTTTTCTAGCGATCCCCAGGCAGCGATTAGTGAAGAGAAAGACATTTTGCTTGGCTTAAATCTCAGCAAATTCGGTGGAGGACTGTTCATGTCGGTCCCGAACTTTGTCTCCATATGCATGGTCTTTATACATCTGATGCAGATAGAGGATGGCTCGCTTATTAGTTGGGAGGATGGCAAGCTAAAAATGATCCCTAAATTAAAACATCGCCAAGGATTGAATCCTTCGCATGCACGTTACTTTTTATCCCTTTGGTGTCTTCATAAGCTTCAAGGAAGTATTTAACTCCTCTGTTGTAAGTTCCGTCTTTCGTTCCTGACGTGGCTAGTTCTTTTTTTCTCTCTTTTTTTTGTATATCTACATTACCGCTAAAAATTATGGCAACTAAACTATTGCGCGCCTTGATGGCCTTTTTGTCCCTTGGAAACACAGTTATTGCCGTATTCATCAACCCACCACCTACAGAGTCCCAGATTGGCAACCCTATATACGAGTTGGGTCAAGAAATCAAGATCAGATGGAATACGAATGTCGAATTTACCGATTTGACAATGTGGCAGACTGACACGGGTAAAAGGTACAATTTACAATGTAGGTATTATGACCTGATACTATCCAGTCAAAGATGGCTGAATAATCTCTGTATAGCAAACAGCAAGTCCAAGGAGTATACCTGGATCGCATCTTACCAAGGTATCGATCCTGCAGATGGTAACTCATTTAGCTTTTGGCTTTTCGAGACAGGCCAAACGGGTTCTCTGTTTTCAAGTCATACATTCAACATCACCGATCCAACTTCAACTACACGATCGGCGACCCAGTCCACGAGAACGAAACATCCACAAACCAAGACCACAAGCGAAGCTACCGAATCAACTAGCGAACCTGCCTCGTCATCTACAATCGTTGATGAGGTGGTTGATGAGGTGGTTGATGAGCCCTTATCGTCGGGATTATCGTCAGGCGCAATAGCCGGAGTAGCAGTTGGCTCTGTCGTTGGACTTTTGTTGATCGCTGGTGGAGTATTTATGTTGTGGCGTAGGAAAAACAACAAAGACGTGTCAGGGCCCACGGGAGAGATGGGAGTTCTAAAGTATGGGGCGGTTGAAGTGCCCAATGATAACGAGGCTCATCCTGTCCATGGGAAATGGGGGATGCTACCATACAGGCCCACGAGCTACCAGCCGCAGACCACACCTACAAATATAGAACTGAGCGATGGGCATGAAGGATGAATGAGCATATGCCAGTTTCATTAGATTGAGAAGTAGATTCAGTTTAGATACATGCTCTAATCACTTTACCTCGTTATTCTACTATGTAGTACCTTTGAGATATTGTCTTGTTTGATGAGGCAGCCCATTAGTTATGTCTCAGTTGCGGGCTGTGCGACCAACACTTCCTGTGAGGCTGACTTGCAGGCTTTTCAAAAACTGCCCTGCTACCATTGTCGCCTACAGCCTGATTTTAATTTTCCCTCTTGCATCATCTTTCACTGAAGTTTTATATTCCAGTTCCGCCACAAACCCAGCAAAAGCCCCTACATATAAACGAACATGGACCGACGGCGATTATCAGTTGATCACGATGACACACGACAAGCAAAACGGCATAAGGCCATCGCTCACCGATACGAAGTCCCTTCATATGCCCGCTATACCGTCGCATGGATTTGCGCGTTGCACATAGAGATGGCCGCGGCGCGCGCCATGCTCGATGAACGACATCCTAGTCTCCCCGGGCGAGTCAATGACACCAACTCATACGTCCTGGGAACCATGCATAAACACGACATTGTTATAGCCTGCCTACCAGCAGATCAGTATGGGACGAACAATGCCGCAAGCGTTCTCAGCAACATGAAAAGCACTTTTCCCAATATCAAAATTGGTCTAATGGTGGGAATTGGTGGCGGGGTTCCTACCAAGGCCGATATACGACTTGGGGATATCGTTGTAGGCATCAGGGTCATGCAATTTGACCTTGGAAAGACATTGAGTGGAGGTTTCCAGAGGACCGCCATTCCGAAGATACCCGACAGTTCTATCCGTACCGTCATTTCGAATCTACGATCTGAACATGAGTTGAAGACTAGCCGAGTCCCAATGATCCTCGAGGATAAGATGAACGAGTACCCTGCATACTGCCTACCAGATGAAGCGGACCGCCTTTTTCAATCGACATACAGTCATGAGTCGTCGAAATCTGATTGTGATAGGTGCGACCAATCCAAGCTGGAACCAAGAAAGATTCGTGGCTCAACAAATCCTGTCATTCACTACGGTGCCATTGCTTCTGGGAACCAGGTCATGAAAGATGCCACTACTCGCGACGAGATCGCTCGCGAACTGGATGTTATCTGTTTCGAGATGGAAGCTGCAGGTCTGATGGACATTATGCCTTGTCTGCCGATTCGTGGCATATGCGACTATTCTGACTCCCATAAAGCCAAAGAGTGGCAGCGCTATGCAGCAGCAACAGCAGCGGCCTATGCCTACGAGTTCCTGGAGGTTTGGGGAGGAGATGCCCAGTCAGCCGAAAATGATCACTTACTGACCCAGAGTAAGTCGCTCTATCGAGATCCATCGCAAACATTTAAATGGACGTTCTTGGGTGGTTAGTATCGTTGCTAATACTTCATAGATGAGAATGTTATACCATCCGGGCGTTGTGAAAGACTGTTAGAATACCTTGATTTTGAAGACATCGATTCTCGAAAGATCACCATCAAGACTGCTTATTCCAAGACTTGTCAATGGTTTCTCAAGCATCCTGACTTCCTTTCCTGGACGAACCCAGAGGAAATATCAAAGCACCATGGCTTTCTTTGGATCAAAGGCAAACCAGGAGCAGGCAAATCAACAATAATGAAGTTCCTCTACTCAAGGGCGAAAAAAAAGGACCGCAAATGCCAGACCCTGACAGGTTCTTTCTTTTTTAACGCTCGGGGAGCAGAGTTAGAAAAGACAGTTTCTGGCATGTACAGATCATTGCTGTTGCAGCTTTTGAAGGGATTTCCTGACCTTCAATGTGTCTTGGACAACCCTGAATTAGTGCCTCTAGCTCAAGCGGGTTGCCCCTCGCTCAATGTTCTCAAAGACCTCCTTCGAAACGCGGTTCTAAGACTAGCTCAACGGTCTTTTACCTGTTATATCGATGCTCTCGACGAGTGTGACGAGCAGCAAGTGATGGACATGGTCGAATATTTCGAAGAACTCGCCGAACAATGTACAGAGGATTGTGTGCGTCTTCAAATATGTTTCTCTAGTCGCCATTACCCATTCATTGACATAAGGCGGGGCCTTTGTCTTATTCTGGAGGAACAAGCAGGCCATACTAGCGACCTCGAGACTTATATCAAATCTCATCTACGAGTGAGAGACCCGCCACTGCTAACAGAGCTCCAAGAAAAGATGCTTGAGAAGGCTGCCGGGGTGTTCATGTGGGTTGTCCTCGTTGTTGAGGTATTGAATGCTGAGAATCGTCGTGGCCGTCTTTCCCTTAAGACAAGACTCGAAGAGGTTCCTAGTGGATTGAGTGAGTTATTCAAGGACCTTTTGAGGAGAGACAAAACCAATATGGAAGAATTACTGCTTTCTATACTGTGGATTCTTCTTAGTAAGCGGCCCCTGAATCCAGAGGAATATTATCATGCTCTTTGGTCAGGTCTCTCGTTAGAAGGATTAGCAGATCTTGACCTCCCAGGGAGCAACGCAGCTGACGCCAATGATTGCTTTGATCGATGTGTGATCAGCTCATCGAAAGGACTTGCAGAGATCACAAAGGCGAAGCAACCGACAGTCCAATTCATACATGAATCGGTTCGAGACTTTCTCATCAAAGATAAGGGCCTCCACGAGCTATGGCCCGAAATTAGAGCAGATTGGGAGAGCTTCGGCCATGACAGGCTGAAGCTATGCTGCCACTCTTATGTCAAAGTTACTGAGACTGAGAGACAGCAACCCTTACCACCTGATATGGAAAAGACCTACCCCTTTCTGGAATACGCCAGCCAATTCGTTCTACACCATGCCGATCACGCTAGTAACGCGGTTTGCCAGGAAGCTTTCTTGAATCATTTTCCAACTTCTATATGGATTACCATTGTCAACACCTTTGAGAAGTACAAGATTCGAAGATACACTGGAGATGCAACACTTATCTACATTCTGGCAGATCGAGACCACTCTGGTCTGATTCGCACATTAGTGAAAGCTGATCCTGAAAATCACGACATCAATCGTCCGGCAGAAAAAGAAAGATACCGATATCCTCTCATAGCTGCCATGGCCAAAGGACATAAGAATAGCGTGGTTGAGCTCTTGGGTTTGCCTTCAACTGTATACGATGGAGTTGATATCACTGAAGCTTTGGTACGCAACATAGATACTCAAGTGCAACGTGATCGCAATCCACTATTGTGGGCTTGTGAGCACGGTCACCTTGCAATCGTCAAAATACTTTTGTCAAAGCCTCAGCACAAACCTGAGAACAGCAAAAATGCTTGTACACCGCTCATGCTTGCGTCAAAGAATGGGCATATAGAGATCGTAAAGTTTTTGATTGACGACGGAGCGGATATTCATGCCAACATCAAGCAAGAAAATGCTATCTCATTAGCATCAGCGAACGGCCACGTTGGAACAGTCAGGATTCTATTTGACGCAGGAGCAGACCCTTGGTATCGTAACGCCCAGGGCGCTTCTCTACTATGTCTTGCTGTAAGGAGCACTAACGAGCAAGTGGTGAGGTTCTTCTTGGAAGAAGTTGCAATCAATAATGAGGAGGGAAGCTTTGGTTTTGTCAACAGGAAGGATGAGTCTGGTTTAACACCGCTTCATTATGCTGTACGTCAAAAGGGGTCTGTGGAGGTGATGGCATTGCTCCTTGCATATGGAGCAGATATTCATGCCCGAGATTTCAAAGGTAATACATGCCTCATGTTGGCGGTAACAAAGGAAGGAGTGGAATTTCTGCTCGAAAATGGAGCAGATGTCACTACTCAAAACGAAGATGGCTTCTCGTGTCTGCATGAAGCAATACGTAGCACAACTCTTTTTATGAACTATCGGCTCTTGGTCAAGATCTATCCGGTCTTGCTCAAGAACGGAGCAAACGTCAATGCACGAGATCGTCACGGCAGGACGTGCCTACATCTTATTAGCTCAATTACTTGGACTTTGCCACCCATGGACGCTGTGTTTCGACTTCTTGATTTGCACAAGATCGAACCAAACGCTCGCGATTACGTTGGCAACACACCTTTGCACTATTTGTACCAGGCTGAACGCGCGGCATTATCACCTTTCCTCAAACAATTCAGCGTGGATTTAAACGCAAAGAACCATAAAGGGGAGACACCATTGCACCATGCTTCACAGATGGGAACTATCCATTTCGTAAGGACGTTGTTAGAACGAGGGGCGAATATCAATTCTGTCGACAACAACGGCCAAACACCACTGGATCGGGCGTTTAGTAAAGACCTTGTGGATCTTCTTGTCGCAAAAGGCGGGATTAAAGGCACCATATCACGTACGGATGGCTGAATGGCTCACTGTCTCAATAGCTAGACATAGATTGTATCATTCTTCCAAATTTCCTAGTAGTGATAACTATTATATAACATCGATTTTAAAACTCTGGTGTTCTTTCCCCTTATCCTATTGGTACGACGTGTATATCCTTTTATCCTTGCAATTGTTGTTTACTGCATCCTTCAGTAAGCAATGCAGATATTGGCATGATAATTACTTCTGTTTTCATGAACGATAAGGAGGATAGTGGCTGTAAATGCTTCTCCTTGTTGGAAGAGCCTTTAAACCTTCTGACCCGAGCATTGAAAATCCTATTAAACTGCTTGTTTCACCAAGTGATATTAGTAGACACTTCAAACCAAACCATATTTTCTATCTCGGAGCTAGGTAATCAGATTCTATCTAGATCACGGAATGCACACACAAAACCCATCTGATATTGTTTATGGAGCGCCAAGAGGATGAGCCGACATTTGATTTCTTCCTCCTGAGTCAAAATAGTCGTAGACGATAACGAGTTTTAATTTGTTTGGGAGTTGCTCAGGACTAAATCACTTGAACTGATACACACCTTCAAAGCCTCAAAGCCATCCTTGAGCGACGCAACTGCTCCAGATTGGTTACCCGTAGCCTTGAATCTGATTGCAAAGCAGTTAGTTGACATATTTTTTGGGGAGAGTGGACACGAATGCACGAACCCGTGTGCCAACGATACCGTCGGAGTTTTAAGCTTGATCTCAGCTGGCTGAGAAAACCACTTCTTAGCAATTTCGCTTACTTGGTCCAAGTCCTTCCAAAGTTTCAGAGAGCTCGAGCTCTGAAGATCAAATATTCTTTTAGGTGAACGGCTTGTCTACCACGGCTTCCGGTATACGTTTCCTACCCCAAAGCGTGGGTGCTTCCATCGGTTCCCTTACCTGTGGTTATGTCATAAAACGTACAAGAAAATACTGGACTTTGGGTCTAGTTGTTGTTGCTGGTTCTGTTTTTTGGCTTTGCAGGCCTCAGTACTATGACAATCAACACTCCTACCCTTCCTATCTTGCTGTATGTTTTCTTGATTGGAGTTGGGTACGGCGGCATGTTATCTGTTGCACTTCTGGTGACTGTAGCAGCCGTATCACACAATGAGCAGGCCGTTGCTACCTCGGCCAACTACGCGTTCCGATCGACGGGCTCTACTATTGGGGTCACAATCGCCTCGACAGTCTATCAGAACTTGCTCCAAAAGGGACTACATAAACGTTTCGATGACCGCGAGGGATCTGCGGATGTTATAAAACGAACCCTTGACTCACTAGATGAACTGAAGCATCTCCCTCAGGGGTGGAATGAAGGTGTATATGAGGCATATACCGTTACACTGCGGGGAGTATTCCTGACTGGGCTAGGATTTGCCACGCTGGGCTTGATAGCAGTAAGCTTTTTAAAAGAGCATAGGCTACATAGTACTATCTCTCGGGCTGATGAATCATAGTTTAGTACTGCTGCTGGGCACCTTTGCTGCTAAGAGTATCTCAGCAGCCACGTGCTGCTTTACATATCACTTCCCTCTTGCTCCAATGTTATCTCTCTAATCAGCTTATTGCATAAAATCTACAAGAGATTAAAGAAAATATCGATTCAATGAGTATGAAGAACCCCGAAGCCTCAGATATTCCTGTTATCAGACACCTGTATAAGGTATGCTGCCAAATGTTCCATCATTTCATTGTACACGCATCTCCAGGAACATTGAGATACATGGACGGGAGTATAGAGGCTTTGAAATTAAAAACATATCTGCCAAAAGACGATATCACCCAGCCAATACAACTACAAGAAATAAAGAAAATAGCCATCAGTGTATATAGTGTCAGTAATGTCCTGTAAAGCTGTGGGGCTACTTCTAGCCTAGAACCAAGTCATATGCCACTATCAATTACCAGTCTCATTTACTTCCACGCTTATGTCTATTGGCGATGCTCTTCGGCCTGGCACTCAACTCGAGGCCTACCACCGCCTTAAGAGCATTAATGGTGAGTATACTACATATCTCAACAACAACAAAGGTGACTTCAAGTTGATGCAGACAAAGTCAAACTACTCGAGTCTACTCTGGAGATCAAAGACAGGCGGTGCGGATATTGTCTGGATGCAGTGCTGGGGTTTGTATGTGGGTTCCAATGGGAAAGCGTAGTATCAGAGTAATCCCGGTCAGCTTGGGCACGGTGATCTTGTTCTTATTGTTCAAAATGATGGAAATATGTGCATTTACTTGGGTGAGAACTGCAGGTTCTCGTCCAACACGGCCCATTGATTCCCAAACAATGATTCACTTTACTAGATTAAATTGAATAGATAAAGAGCAGAGGCAACTAATGATGTCAGCTTCTTACTCCGATTGGTGCCGGTAAGGCCGCCTAAAGTCCGCGGATATCGGGGTCGGAGCTTATGGAGCTCTTTAGCTTACCTTCCTCCCCCACTAACGTACCTATGATGGACCTGAAGATGATCCATTTCTTAAAGCGAGAGGTTTTTTCCCTTTCATCTCACTCAAAATCGCCTCATCTTCATCTTCATCTTTCACTTCTAAGACATCATTCTTATTTGGCATTGGTTATTCTCTATCCCCAACCTTCCCCAGATCTTGGACTGGAGGCGTCTCTCCTTCAATTCGAACCACTCACAACTACGATAGACGCCACAAAGAGGGGCTTAATCTCATTCAGCCTAAGACCGAAGACGTCAGCATTTGAGGCTCAGCAGGACACTATACAAGGGAGCATAAGCCTCACTCTCTCTCACTCATCATCTCTTCAATTCAATCGCAAAAATGAGTCGTCTGGCTGGTTGGTTCCGCTCGGGCACTGCGACCCCAGCCACAGATGCAAACAGTGATGCTGGTTCCATCTCCACCAAGGATAACATGGCTAGGGAAATGGAGGACATTGACGACGCCATGGCTTCCTGCGGTCTCATTATGAATGACGATATCGACGGTGCATGGGAAAGACTTCAGACGGGCGACTCGTCATTCCACCAGCTCGGTCTGGCTGTTACTATCTTCATGCGCTCAGTCCTGGGTTTCGAAAAGGCGGTCATGACAGAGACCACTACTAAGCTGGATGAGTGCGAGGCCAAGGCATGGGCAGACTACAAAAAGGCTCAGAAGCACGGAAAGGCTCGTGCAGGTAGTAAATTGTACCCTCCTGGTACCGAGTTTGAGCTTGTTCGTGCTGAGACGCAGCTCATGGGTGCCGTCGTTGGTGTTCTGCACGAGAGTCTCATTGACGCCATGAAGAGCTTCCTCAAGCTGCGCAAGGCATTCATGACTCTTGATGCCATCATTGAAGCTGAGACAAAGATCTTAGCCACCATGCCTCAAGCCACTTCCCAAACATCTCTATCCGCCAAGCCAGTCACCGATGTCACAAAGAGCATGGAGAAGCTCGACATTGACTCAGCATCTGGTACCCAAACACCAGCTAATGTGGATTCTTCAAGTTCTTCAAACGCAGGAACAAATGAAGACGAAAAGGTTGATGAAGGCGCACCACTCAAGGAAGCCAGGTCAAAGGCCACCGAGTCCGACTCTGTTCTTCTCGAGAACCCTCTCGACGTTTTCGTCCACTCTGGCGCAAACATGTGCTTTGGTATGATCCTTCTTATGCTGACCCTCGTGCCTCCTGCTTTCACCCGTCTGCTCTCAGTTGTCGGCTTCCGTGGTGACCGCGAGCGTGGTGTCCGTATGCTTTGGCGCTCTACGGCCTACTCCAATGTCAACGGTGCCATCTCCGGTCTCATCCTGCTATCTTACTACAACGCTCTCCTCGGTGCTGTCGATATTCTCCCCGATGCCAATGACTTTGACGAAGGCGCCGAGGTTGTTGGTCCTCCTCGCGCAAAATGCGAGAAGCTCCTTGCCTCCATGCGATCTCGATACCCCGACTCTCGCCTGTGGCTCATCGAAGAAGCCCGACTGTACAGCAACGAGCGTAACGTCGCCAAAGCTGTTGGTGTCCTCAACTCTGAGGGTGAGTCCAAGATGAAGCAAGTCACCGCCCTCAACAACTTTGAGCTCTCCCTCAACTCTATGGCCATGCAGGACTGGAACCTTATGCGGGATTCGTTCATGCGTTGTTTGGAGCTCAACGACTGGAGTCATGCTCTGTACTACTACATGGCCGGTATCGCCTCTGTGGAACTCTACCGTGACGCCGTAGCCGCGGGAGATGAGGATGAGGCCCGTCGCCAAAAGGCCAAGGCTGAAGAGTACCTCCGCAAAGCGCCCGGTGTAGCGGGTAAGAAACGGTTCATGGCGCGCCAGTTGCCCTTTGAGGTGTTCGTGCAGCGCAAGATCCAGAAGTGGGAGGATCGCGCTAAGAGCTTAAGTGTGGACCTTGCTGATGCTATTGGCGCGAGTCCCGCGGCAGAAATGAGTTACATGTGGAACACCAACAAGCGTATGGGCCCGGCCGAGCTTGAGAAGGCGGTGGGTGGAATGAGTTGGGACAGATGCACTGCTAAGCCAGAAGTGGCGGAGAAGATCAAGGCCGAGATTGATGAGATGGGATCATGGGCGCTCATCACGGCGTCACTATACAGGAACCAGAAGAAGTTTGTCGAGGCCAGGGAATTGCTGGAGACACACGTCTTGAAACACGACCGGTAAGTCGCATGAACTCCGAAGGCGAACGTCGACTAACCATATCAGGTTTGTATTCAAGGGTCCGACAAAAGATGACTACGTCCTGGCAGCAGGAGTATACGAAAAGGGCGCCATCGCTTGGTCTGAGTGCTGCAATCCACCAGAGGGCACACCCGAGGAAATTGCAGCATACCGACGGGAAAAATATGACGAGTGTGTCAAGCAGATGGACATTGCCAAGGTGTGGGAGACGTTTGTACTCGACACTAGAATTGGTATGAGGGTGCAGAGCGGTATCGAGACGCTCAACTGGTTTGCAAAGAAGATGGGATACAAATAGACGAGGCGACAGCAATCATCGGAACGGGAGTTTGTCTACATAGAATGGTTGCATTCATTTGGGAAGAGATGGGGAACAATCACTTAGGTTGGGATGGGATGGGATGGGAAGGTTATAGCATCAATTGAAGAACGAAGTTATGATGATGGATATTAACTAAGTTCGCTTAGATCGCAGCCTTGAACTCCTTCTCTTGCCACCCTCATCACTGTTTGAAAATTTGTCAATTCCTCCTTTGATAGCTCCCATGCCGCTATCCAACTTTTTCGCGGACCTTTCTTTGACGTGATGTTTCTCCGCTTCAGCTTTCACGTCATCCAGAACATCACGCCCACGACCAGTGCCATTCATCCAATCCAACAGACCCCATGCGCCGTAGTTGCAATTGCCTCCACTAGCATAATGCACCGCTGTGCGTCGTGTCATACCACCCATGATAATACCGGGTACGATACTATACCCCGACATGGCAAGAGTCTCTTCAGCCGTGCATAGCGAAAGGAAGAGGAAGTATGTAAGTAGGTGTGGGCGCAACGCAATAGATGGCAAGTAGATAGGAAGAAAGCGATGAAGAAGTAGAGGGATTGGGTGGTCCGCAAATAGTTGAAGACTATAAGGCGCCGCTGACCTCGCGTGGCTATATTGCTTGTGATATTTCGCAATTGCGCCCTTTGAGTGCAATACGTTGCGATGGATGTAGTAAGTCAGCACCTCTCTGGCCGTCAGCATCAGCAGAATATGCTTAGCCAACTGCCACGGTAAGGGCAGTACCGATGCAGTCTTGAAGTCATCCTCTCCAAGAATATACTTGAAGCCTAGATTTGACGTGCCCTCAGCCGCAGTCACAAGCGCCAGGTTCACCAGCACTAGCGCAACCTGGCGTACGATGAAACGGCCATTACGTTGTGGAAGTGAAGCGCGGCCACCAAGTTTGACGGACTCTGCAGCACTAGGTACGGAGGTGTCGAGAAGAAGGGTCAGAAGAGACGGTATAAGATACAGGACGAGTCTTATGGCAAGTGTGCCAAGGACGCGAATGCGAAGAGATGTATGGGACAGAACGAGGGTTGTCCATGTCATGTAGAAGAAGAGAAGATTGAGAGATGTAGACCATGATGCGGAAGCAGGTGACAGCAGGTATGATAAGATGGGAAGGGAGAGAAGGACGTCCATGATGTAAGCAACAGACAAAGTGGTGATGGTGGTTTTGGTGTTTTGGACTTGGCGTTGGCTAGTGGCGCATCACTCTCATCGTTGAACGGGAGGTTGTAAAGTCAAAAAAAGAGGGGGGTGCAGAGATTATCACGAGTTGTTATGATTCACGGGTAGATCTTAAGGAGAGCTGTTTAATTTGCAATGCCATGACGTCGCAAAACTGCTTGATCCTGGAACGCGGACCTTGAACTTGAGTGAGATTTGGGATAAGAAATAATGACGTAGGTGTGGCGCTGATCCCACAGCCACATGAGAAATACTACAGCCACAAAACAGAAGAACCCTGCAAGCTGTCAAAAGTGCCATCTCATCTCGTTAGAAGACTGACTGTCTGTAGAGATGACTTTTCATTGCGTAGATAAGCAAAGACGATAATACATTTATTTTGTCTTTGTAAAGCTGTTGAACTGCCAACGACCAGAACAATGCATGAACTTAAATGCAGGTACATGCAGCTGAGTACAGACGCTGACATGACAATGCATCATGCATCTTCTCAGCCATGCCGACAATGAATTGATCGATACCCATTCAAAAAGAAAAGTAGACCCCTCAATAAATAAACAATGTAACTTGTTTTGAACCAGTCAGCAGTCTCTCTCAAGACAGCTTTCTCAGCTCAAGTTTTTAACTAAAACGCACATCCATCCACTGTGGATCATGCTCGGGAGTCAGTGGAGTTCGGGTCATTAATTGGTCCCCTCCCTCCCCATGACCACGAGGATCTACATGCACAATGCCTATTGCTCGTGGCCTACAGTCCGTCTGGAATTATATCTGTGTTACGCTTTTTTCCTAGAGTCACCAGCTAAACTTTTAGTTTCCGCTGAAATGTTTGTGATAAGAAGGAATTGTCGATGGAATGCAAAAACTATGGAATGACAATAGACAGGGGATATGCTAGTTGAGCGAATGAGAAAGGTCGCAAGATCCAGGGGAAAAAGCTAACTTGCATTTTCAGGGGTCTAAATGCTCAGGGGTTCAGTCTAACTGACAATTGAGCGTCAAGACGAAGAAGAAACTGGAAACACAAATGAGAAAAGGGCTGAAGTTGAAGCTGGTCGGAAACTCACTGCAATCCATGTCCTGGTACTGCAGTCTCCCATCGGAACGTAACCCAAACTGCCTCTGATCTCGGTAACACAGCGAAAGAACAATCTTAGGCCCCCTCAGGTTAGGCATATTGAAACCATTCCTCCTCCAGATTCTCGATCCGTCAACGTTGCAATCTCAATCGCTCAGTACTACTCTATACTCATCTCTGTCTGTCGTATTTATGATGAAAAAAAGTAATAATACACTTTGGGCCTCAATAACAAACTTGCGACCTTGCTATTCATTGATAGATAAATTGATTGGCCCACTTTCTCTCTACTAGCCTCGTCCAATAATTCTTTCTCGCCCTCTCTCTCTTCCTTCCCATCCTCTCGCTTCTCCTCGTCAACCACATTTGCGCGCCATTCGAAATAATTCCCTTGCCTTGCCTTGCCTTTGACCTTTACCGCTTCAATCCTTGACCCTTCCTTTGTCTCTTCCTTTTCATTTTCTTCTTTCCATTCCTTTCTTCCATATTTTCTTCTACGCGCGACGAACCCACTTAGCTCCATATCCTATCTACTACGATCCTAGTTATTACACGCCTCTGGACCGATCCACCATCACCATTTCCTGCCAACAAACTAATATCCCACGACGTTTGCCTTTAATCCGAGACTTTCACACCATTTCATCCCTTTAATCAGAGGGTAGGCGCGTGCCACCCCATTGTTTGCGCGAGACACGCATCGCCGTCCGGTTTCTGTGAAACACACAAAGAAGCCCTTTGGGATATCTAGCATCCCTTGACATCCACTTCTCAAATTCACAACTGACTCAACGCCCTACTACGCTACTTTAAATCACCCAAGTCGGTGGCACGCAGAGGCCCCAGCCATGAATTTTGACTCGGCTGATGTCCCCCCTATCCCTCATCGTGCCCACGGCCATCACTCTCATGGATACAGTCATTCTCGACGTCGTTCGCTACAAGGCCCCTCGTCAAAGCGCTCCTCAAATGTCCCTCCCGCCAGTCCCGAGGTTATCTCAAACTTGATCACCAGTCTGAGCGTCATCTCCGCGCCCGCGACCTCCCACTTCGAGGCATCTCCTCATAGTCTTTCTTTGCCAGCGAGTCCAGGTGGTTACAGTCAGGGTAGCTTTGGCGTCGATTACGGAGCTTTCCACCAACCGAGCCTCGACGACTTACGACAGGATCCCGTCTCCCTCGACGAACTTGCCGCTCTACCTCCCGTTATTCGCACCTCGAAACCTCCCAGCGGATACTCTGCGCTAACCGCTACAAAGAGCCCCAAGAGTCCTCGAAGCCCGAGCCGTGAAGGTGGCCTGCGATCGTTTATCCGGAATAGTACATCCCGACCTTCGTCCAAAGGATCCTCCCAAGCCTCTAAGAACGATGATACGCAAAGTATAGGCGGCCTTTCAATCGAACGACGCTCCGGTGTGGTGACACCCGAATTGAATCACAAACAGTCGCACGACAGTTGGGGCAAGAAAACATCGAGAAGTGCAAAGGGCCTTATGTACATGAGCTCGAGGGAACGCCTACGCGAGAAGGAGGCAGAGCGAAAACGAGCATCTGGTGGAGTATCAGCTTCGTCATCAGGTGCATTTGCTGGAGAGAGTGTTCACAGCGACGGTCGCAACGATCCCTTTTTCGCCGAAACAGCCATTCGGGAAGAGTCTCAGTACGATCTTCCAATCGAGCGTCCAATGGATGGGCCTTGCGCTATCCCGGCGCGGGGTTCAAGTCTGGCAAAGACCACCCAGCCCTTGCGATCAAGTGGGAGGAGGTCAAGGCAGGAAGGTGCAGTTACTGATGTTATACCAGAAGGAGATGAACATATGCGACCTCGAGAACGGGAGACGGATAGAAAGAGACCGTCGCATAATACACATCAATCGAGGTCGTCCACAAGATCGCCCGTCTATGGTCTCAAGGAAGCTTCCCCTTCCAAGACCACTAGTGTGGCTGGTAGGAGCTTCCTTGACATCAGTCGAGACGACGACGGCTTAAGCGATGAAGAAGACGAAGGCGCACCCTTCCCTGCTGTTGCTCAGAACAGAAAGCGAGATCAAAGTAACGACCGCAATGATCGGAGACGATCTGGGCAGCCAAGTCCAGCGCCAGTGGAAGGGGTCAAGATAAAGCGTAGCAGTTCACGTCTCAAGCGCTTATCTGAGCCTCTACACCTCAAATCTGAAGACCGAATTCGCTCCTCTAGTCCTCAGCCGCCAGTTCAGAACCAGTCGCGCAACAACCACCACGATCGACCTCAATCCGCCGACTCTGTCGATGGCGCCGTTGACTCATATTTATGCTCGCCACGGCTGTCGCAAAAGATTCGACATCCCCAGACGGGTCGCGTCATCTCTTTCTCCGAAGTGGGTGATTCTGAGGGTTCTGCGGTCTTTTGTTGTGTCGGAATGGGCTTGACGAGATACATTACTGCCTTTTACGACGAGCTAGCATTGACATTGAAGTTGCGGCTCATCACTCCGGATCGACCAGGTGTTGGTGATAGCGAAGCTTACTCAGATGGAACTGCGACGCCGCTTAGCTGGCCTGGTAAGTCGATGTCTTTACGTGTCACAATGATGTGCTAATTATGATAGATGATGTCTACGCTATCTGTCAAACGCTTAAAATCACCAAGTTCTCGATTCTCGCTCACTCAGCTGGCGCCATTTACGCCTTGGCCACGGCACTCCGAATGCCTCAACATATTCGAGGCAGGATACACCTCCTTGCGCCGTGGATTCCTCCATCCCAAATGAACGTCTTCGGTACTTCACAGGCTCTGCCCCCAACCAACGCCATCCCGACTGCCCAACGTATCCTTCGAGCTCTTCCCACGCCCATCCTCAAAGCTGCCAATAGCAGTTTCATGACGGCAACAAGCAGCTCCATCACAAGCTCGTTGCCAAAGACACCACGACGAGGAAAGAAAAAGAACGGCCGCGAAAGCACGGGGAGCTCACGGAATGTCACACCAAGTATCGATAAGGAGAATTTATATAACAAGGCTACTACAAATGGGCATGGTGATACAGAGTTCGACCATCCCGCTGCATCAGATAATATGGATAGGATGAGTATTCCACAAGGCACAAGAGGTGAATCAGATGTCATCGCTGCGGCGACTGACGCCATGGCGGATAAGGAACGTCAGATGAACTACGACCTGCGACTTACCCACGCTATTTGGGAACTCGCGACAACAGGAGCAAATCCTGCTGTGGACCTTTTGGTCTGTCTCGAACGACGACACACCATCGGTTTCCGATACGTCGATATTACAAGACCAGTTGTCATTCACCATGGCAGCAGAGACACTCGCGTCCCCGTTGACAATGTTAAATGGCTTGGCAAGACTATGCGTCGCTGCGAAGTTAGAGTCCTCGAGGGTGAAGGTCATGGACTCATGGCTAGCGCGAGTGTCATGGGCTCGGTGCTCATGGAGATGAGTAAAGAATGGGAGGATTGGATGAAGGTCACAGGGACCGAGGGGAGGAAAGATCGTGAGAGGGGTCGGCGAGGGACTCTCGTGCGATGAGGGAACTTTTCTTTTGTGATTTGGATAATGTCATTTTGATACCCCAGAGATGACTTCTTTGCTCTGTTTTGGATACCGGACCAGGGCGGGGGTGTTATCTCTGTATTTTCTTAGATACATTAATCTTGAGGACGCCATGTCCTGGTAATGTCTTATACATATCATGGCGGAGACGCTATAATGACAACTTGATAATGATACCACCACATTTACACCTTCAGTTCCTGCTGTGCATGACTATCCCTCAGCCAACATCCTCGTCCAGTCAAACTTCCTCCACCCCTTCTTGAAGCCCTCTACTCTTGGATCGCCTCTCATCCACTTCCCTTGCTTCTTGATAATATGCGGCTCTGTATCGACAATACCACCTAGAACTTCTCGCGCAAAAAGGTCACCCTTGGGCCATCGCCCCGCATCTTCAACGATGTGCCCCAAGCCTCCATCCAACGTGAACCAGACGTGGAAATAGGGCATCTCCTTGGCAATGCTGCGTCTAAACGCTGAGCGTCCCATGCCGTCGCGCGCTTTGGCACCTGTATCAATGATCTTGCGATGCTGACTCCATTCCTCATCAGCTGAGAGGAAAGCTTCCTTGAAGTACGCGGGAGCCATGGCACCTTCTTCATAAGGGATGGGAACGGCGACCATGGCGGCGTGCATGCGACGATGAGGCTGCGCGGCGTTTTCGTAGAAGACGACTTCACGACCTTGCTCATGGTACATGCGCGTCAAGCTCTTCATGAAGTTGCGAATCTCTTCCCACTCGTCGTCGTCACATTCTAACAAGTTCGACCGATGCGCAAGAGGTGCAATGACTGCACCTCCAGACGAAATCTCAGGTTCTGTAGCGATCGTGAGGAACGCGCGCGTGCCGAGGGCGATAACGGGTGCAAGAGGTGGCTGGTTCTTGTCTTCGTGGTGGCACAGTGGACAATTGTCCAGCGCGCGGGACATCTTCTGGAATTCGGAGACGGCCATATTTTTAAGGTTGATGTCGGACTTATGGATGCGCTTTGCGAGTTTCTCGGCATTCTCGTCCATGTAATCCAGCCCATTATCGAATTTGCCATCTTTCGCGATGCGCTCCGCCAGACGGAGACCTTCGCCGCCTGCTTGGCCCTTTGTACGGCGTTCTTCACGGACCATATCGTCGATCGTCATCTCTGTATTCTCCTCGACATTGCCTCGCTCGCGGCCACGTTTGTTGGTTATGACCTTGGCTTCGTTTCTCCTGCCGGCGAGTTGACGGTTGTCCATGACGCCGAGGACTACAGCTTCAGGATCCGATTGGGCGGCAGAGAACATGGCTGCTGCCTTGTTGTATTCCTCCTCGAGCTGAGCAGCATTGGGGGCGCGGCGGAGTTTGGCTTTCATCATCTGCGCGCGGAGACGATTGAGAGCGGTTTGGTCCATTGCTGGAATGGTTGTTGTTTGGGGGTGTGCGTCTGGAACGATAGTGCCTTGTTCGGGTTCGGGAGGTGGTGAGTCTTTGTGCTGGCTCTTGATCCTCTCGCGGTATAGATCGCCGGTTGGCTTCTCGTGGCCTTTATAGTCTTTGCCGTAGATTCTTCGACGTTCCATCTCTTCTTTTTCTTCGCGAGCTTCGTCAAAGGGGCGCAAGTCGCCAAAGCGTTCGAGAGCGACCTCTTCGACTGACCGGCCGCTTTCCTCGGCTGCGGTGTACACGGCTTTGAGCTTTGTCATGCGCCAGGAAGAACCAGCGTCACCAAAGGTGTAGTCGACGGTTGGTTGTGATGGAATGTCGAGCTCATCAAGAGATTTTCCCTCATTAATGTCTTGGATGTGATTATTGATCTCGCGCTTGGACACGACACGCTTCGGCTCTGGTTTTGGAGACGGCGACTTGTTCTTGTCTGGACGGTGGATATAATCGACTTCGATAGATGAAGGGGCGGTCATCCAAGCATCTCTCTGGGCAGACTTGGACCTATCAACGGTGTCTCGGCTCTGAGGCTTCTCTTCGTCAGGGATGGGAAGATCCTCTTTTGCGTCCCTCGTTTTGCGATATCGGTCATCGCCATGTTTGTGTCGCGATCGGTGACCATCGTCGTCGTCGTCGTCGCGTGAGTGTCGCGATCTCTTACTTCTGTGTCCTTCATCGTCGTCGTCGTCGTGTCTTCGGTGATGTCGGTGTCGATGTCTATCTTTATCGCGTTCTCCGTCTCGTTCTGAATCGTGTCGATGATGATGTCTGTGTTTGCGATGACGCTTTTCGTCTTCGTGTCGCTCTGCGCGTTCCCTCTCTGCTTTCTCAGCAGCTAGAGTCTTTTCGAACTCGTCTAGGCCGTCCATTGTAGATGATTGGAGACTGGCCTGTAATGATTTGTTGTGTTATAATTGAGAAATTACAATTCAAGATGGTTTGTTACGTCAGGTCAGAAAAGCTGGCCAGCGTCAAAAGTGGGGCCATTGGAGGAAGCTCCGGTGGATATTGAGCCTCAGCTGCAGTTTTGAAAGCTTGAATATTCAAGATTACGAACGGAGAGTAGATCACCAAACGCTTAATGGGGCATTCATAGACATTAACACAAGTAGATTTGGAGAGAAGAAAGGTCATCCTAAATCAAGCCTTTTCCTACTCCAAGAATGACATTAAGAACACTTGCTTGATACATTGAAGGACACAATTATTCGACAAACACTATAGTCATCAGCGTGGATCAAGGAGTCCAAATAGCATAACGCGAAACTTTATCTTCATCCAGCACATTTCTAGGTTAGCCATCGATTCTATCTACAAGTTTTCGATCGATGAGACACGACCATTTACTTTGCGCTCGTACAATTGGCAACGTATTAGCTATAGCAACGGCAGAAACATGTTGTCGTTGTGGTTTAGGGTAGGAGTGAAGGCGTCGGTGAACTTGGGCATGGGCTGGGAACCCAAGAGTTCCACGGCTACGCGACTGGATGGCAAGGAATTGGACGTATCACTTTCAAGAACTCTATATGGAGAAAAAAACATCTACATTCTAGACTCGATGAGCTGACACACGGTTGCTGGTATTGTTCGTTGGCTTGATCACCAAACCTTCAACTGCGTCATGGCTCAATCGCACAACCACAACCCCACGATCGGCTCTCCAATCCATTCTCAGACAACCTTTACGCCCCCAAGATCGTCTCTCAGAGGAGCAGTTCGTCTTCGATTGTAACACAATGAGAGGTATTGAGGTGGTTGGCTCGACTTTATTCATTCTCTAAGATGGCTGTACCACCAGAACTAATGCACCCGCCACCGACCGTTAAACTTTGGTAACAATTTGGATCTGTCAATTGGACATATCTGCAAGCCGCATCGTGATGAGAACAATTGGTACAGACGCCATGTGTAAATGCGAAATGACGAGTCTCTAGACACACTTGTCGCACACCAGAGTGCTGCTGGCGACAACACTGTGTACTAAGGTAGGCTGGCAAAGGACGACAGGTTGCGCAGCGCCTTGCTGATGTTTCAGACACTTAGCACACATGGACCAAGCGGTTAATTGCAGCAGAGAAAGTGATCGACCGAGATTAAACAATGAATATCTCGCTCGCCTCACCTGATCTCATCTCATCTCATCCGATTTTTAAAAAAAAAAACAAGAACCGGGAGCCGAGGAGATAATCAATGTCTCGGGTGCAGTGAAGGAGGTTGATCAATTAATTGATTGAAAGGAGGTTGATTACCCTTGTTGCACTACAGATGGATGTAACATCTGTAAATGTGCAAATCATGTCTGGGTCTACCCTTGTTAGACATCCCTCTCCTTCTCAGCTTTGAAGATCAGATCTGGGAATAAAAATACAACAAACCCCATATTTTTGTTCAACCTGCTACGTGCTCGTGCTTGTGCTCGTGTCGCGAATTGACGTTTGAGGAAAAACCGAGGAGTGGGGAGAAGAGGGTTGGGCGCTAAAACAAAGCAAGTTGGTTGCGATCTACGTAAGCTGAAAGGGTCAAGTCAATTAATTGCTGACATCTGACCCGGCCCCTAATGAGGGTTTAAGAGCTAATAAGAGTGACAACCTGTCATGCATGAGGGAGCCTCGTATTCACTACCGTCTCCCGTATAGCACAGCAGAGTTTGTCGAAAGGGGGTTCACAAGTATATTTGACTGAGAAATGGCATTGTTTATGGAGTGTCCATGTTTGAGACATATCCGCCATTCTCTTTAGATTTATTTCCCATTGACATGAACCATTGACACTTGACACTGGCCGCTCAGACTCCGTACCGTCTATATTGAGTCTAGCTTCAGGAACAAGTGAGAAATCACGATGCTTTAGCGAGTGTTACCAAGTGGACTTGTGCTAACCAAGCTGTGTGACCACCCCCCTGCTCATGCATGCATGCTGCAGTGTCAGTGTTTTATATAGAAACCACTGGCTGCTAATAGTCCCGCCATTCCCTTTTCCCTCATCCCAACCCTTCTTTTTACTCTCCCTCATTCTTTTTGAGGGTATTGCCATTTGTTTCATTTATCCCGGTCACTCACTACGCCGGGTTAACAAAATATATCTTATTTCCAGTTTTTGATCTTTTTTTCCCTTTTCTGCCTTTTTATTTATCTACCTTATTCCCTATGATTTGATCTCTAGAATATCTCAATTGCATTTGTAGAGATGTTGTCCACTCTTTTCCTCGCCGTTGCGGCCCCCGCATTGGTAACCGCCTTCAACGGCGCCAACGTCCCCGTTAGCAACGACGATAACACCCAAGATGGCCTCATCCGCTTCCCCCTCAAAGTCAGCACCGGCGCACCCGTCGTAAAGGGCGTCACCAAGCGACAAAACGAAGTCGCCCTAGAAAGTCAGCAGAATGGCTTCTTCTACAGCATTGACGTTACCCTGGGAACCCCCGGCCAAAAGGTCACCGTCAACCTCGACACCGGTTCCGCCGAGCTTTGGGTCAATCCTGTGTGCGAAAAGGCACAGCAGCCTGCGTTTTGCGCCCAGTTTGGACATTTTGGAGAGAGTAGCACCTTTGTCGACTTGAATACTACCGGTGGTGTTGTCTACGGTACCGGCTATGCGTACTGGAACTATGGCTACGATCATGTTGTTGTTGGATGTGAGTATCTACAAACCACTCGATTGAAGTGGATCTATTGCTGACTTGACATTCAGCTGCCAGTATTCGCAACCAGGTTTTCGGTGTCGCATACGATAGCTCCTTCACTGGTGTTGGTATCATGGGTGCTGGCCCTGACCTGAACGGTTGGGATGCGCCTTATCCTCTGGTCATTGACAGCATGGTCAAGCAGGGTCTCATCAAGAGCCGTGCTTTGTCGCTCGATATTCGCACAATTGACAGCGACCGAGGTGCCGTTATCTTCGGTGGTCTTGATACCGCCAAGTACTCTGGCCGTCTCCAGAAGCTCCCCATCATCCCCGCTGCATCCTCCCCCGATGGCCTCACCCGGTAATTATTTTTGTGTCCACATCAAGGTCAATGAATTAACATTTCTAGATACTGGGTCAACCTCGATGGCATTAGCCTCGTTCAAGAGGATGGTTCCGTCGACTCTGCCTTCTCTGGATCAACCCCCCAGCCTGTCCTCCTCGACAGTGGGTACACCGTGAGCGCCCTGCCCGGAGCCATCTTCAACAAGATCGTCGCCGCTTTCCCTACCGCAAAGTCCAACGGCGGCGCTTACGTCGATGTTGACTGCTCTGTCGCCGATATCAAGGGTTCCGTCGACTTCAAGTTTGGTGACAAGACCATCAAGGTCCCTTACGCCGACTTCATCTGGCACAACGAGGAGCGCTGTGTTCTGGGTGTCTTCCAGGACGATGACTTCCCCGTTCTTGGAGACACTTTCCTCCGCGCTGCTTACGTCGTGTACGATTGGGACAACCGCAACGTCTGGATCGCTAACAACGAGGACTGTGGCACCAACCTTGTTGCCATTGGTACTGGTCCCGACTCTGTGCCTGACCTGGTTGGCCAGTGTGGTTCTGATTCTGAGGCTACTACCACTTCTGCTTCTGAGACGGCTTCTGCTACCGAGACTGAGACCGAGTCCGAGACTGAGGCTGTCACCTCGACTGTTACCGGGGACGTCACTTCTGTTGAGACAGTTTCTGCTGATACCACTACCGCCTACTTCCCTACCACTCGCTACTCTAACACCACGACTGCCTTCACTGGAAAGGATACTTCTTCCACCAAGAAGTCTACTGACGGTTCAGGCGAGTCTTACGAGCTTCCCAGCTACACTGACTCTGCTGCTTCCACAACCATCACCTCCACCGTCGTCACCAGCAAGGTCTACACCGTCACTGCATGCCCTCCCAGTGTCACAAACTGCCCTGTCGGCCAAGTCACTACAGAGACCATCACTTCTCTCACGACTTACTGCCCAGGCTCAGACGATTCTTCTTCTCACCCTACCACAGTCAAGGGCGAGGGCGCTCCCCATCCCACCGCCGTCCACCTCACTTCCTATGTCACTGCCACAAATGTGCACACCGTTACATCTTGCCCCGGAGAGGGAGCCTGCCACACCAACGTCATCACCGAGATCGTGCACAACACACAGGCTGCCCAGCCCGAAGAACCCACTGGCATCTTCACAATCCCCGAAGCCATCCAGTGTGGCGCTGGCAACTTTGGCTGCAAGGAGGCTACCACCAAGGGATACCGCACCGTCACCATCACTCCCGTCGTTAAAGCTCCCAAGCCCACTCCTGTTCCTGGCTACTGTGCTACTTGTGGTCCTCTCCACAAGGGTCACGGACATGACGACAACAACGACGAGACTGCTACCGGCGGCTACACTGCCCCCGGTAAGCAGACTGGTGGCTATGATCTGCCTACCCAGGTTCACCCTACCCAAGATTATCCCAGACCTACTGGCGATTCTCACAAGCCTAGTGGTGACTCTTCCAAGCCTAGTGGTGACTCCCCCAAGCCCAAGCCCAACCCTCTCGAGGAGCTTCACACCTACCTCCCCACAAACGTTTACCCTCAGATCCCCTCAAGCAACACTGTTGCGACAGTTGTCAAGCCCACAGGCACACCACAAGCCGGTGGACCTTCTGAGCCCGCAGGCACTCCCCCTGTGGTCATCAACGGTGCATCAGGCTGGAACGTGCCTGTTGTCGCCGCTGTTGTTGTGTGTGCTTTCGTTGCAGCCCTATAAGGGATGATGAGTGGTTATACAATACTTCTTTTTAATAGGGCCTTGGGAAAGAGCCTCCTCGTTTTATCTAGAGCGCATACATAGTTTTTTGAACTGTAGATATGGTTAAATTTATTTTATTTGTTTATTCACAGAATGATTGTATTAATTAGATGCGACCGCTGTCTCTGTAGGTGAAAGGCCTGCCACATGCTACGTCTGACCAATGATCAAGACTTCTCCATCGGCGCTTGTCCGACCTGCTGTACAAACAGTGAAGTCCATCTGTTTCCTCATATTTTCGTCTTCTCCAAACGGTAATATGGAGAAAAAGACTCTTTTAGTCGCCTTGCTTGTGCCATTTATTTCCACATAGTCAACTTCGCTTCATTCAACCTCATGCTCTTTGGGCAAAGCGTTATTTGTTTCAGACTTGAGCAAGACGACGCAATCCCCCAAGACCAATAGTTTCATGTAGTCGATCACAGACGCTGCGGCTTTTCAACCTGCCACATGACCTATTAGAGAAGACCTTGGGCGATCCCTTGGCGCTTACAAGCTGGAATTGCCATGCAGGACCGCACCGCACCGCATCTCGCAGCCTCGTTTGTAGTCTTGTCTATTTATTCTGAAGATACCCCCTCATTTTCTCGATCAACTATCGAAGACCTTACCTGGGATACATCCAGTGGCTCTGTACACACCCACCCGTCAAGCTGATACATCATCTTATCATCAAAATGGCGCAAACAGAGACTTTGCTCAGCGATTACATAAACTTCAATGACCAGAATGTCGGTCTTAGTGGCCAAGAATTGATCAACAAGGAGCTCACTTTCTGTGCCGCCGCCGCAGTCAGCTGTCTCTGTGACGAGCAGGAAAAGGGCATAGACATTGATGAATGTCTCCAACAAAAAGAAGAGTTCAAGTTTGTAAAAGAACTCAATTTGATCTCTGAAGTCTACAATACTGCTCCGATCAGCAAGCAGAAGGAGATCAAGTCAACGCCTCCTATTCTTGCATGGTCTGACCGTCTGCAAACTGTCTTCTTGGGTATTAGTTGTACTCGCGACATGAACGATCCCAAGTTGAACTTGAATGTTCGGGCTCAGGCGGCAGATGCTGTTGGCTCTCGCTTTTATCAAGGCCTTATCGACAGAGGCAGGGAATTTGTACCGCTTATTGAATGGCTCACGCGACAGTACAAATTGGTTGTCTGTGGCCACAGCTTCGGGTAAGAATTCTCAAGCCAGTATATCTTGATCATCGATACAGACAATGCTGATAACTGCGTTGTAGGGGTGCTCTAGCAACCGCTTCGTCTTACCTCGCCGTATTCGACCATCAATCTGTTCCCAATGTGTGGGAAGATAGCCAACACGGCATTTCCGTCATCACATTTGGATCACCCTCGTGCCATTTTGCTGAGCCTCAAGGGACTTCGACTTCCTGGAAGATGCACCTGAGTAGGAACTTCCACCACGTCATCAATCCTCATGATTACGTCCCTTTTGCACTCAATGATGCCTCAAGGAGATTTAAACAAAACTTGAATGTCATTAAAACACCATTGGAGACCATCTCACCTACAATTAAAATGTTTTGGCCGATTTTCGAAAACTGCCTGGACTTTCTTCTGGAGAAGAAGGGCAAATTCTGCCACTTTGGCTGCATGTACTCCATCGCCACCGAAACACCAGGTATTCAGAACTGCCTCCAAATACGAAGCGCCGATAATCTACCCCAGATCCCTGGCCCAAGGGAAGTGGATGAGCACCACAAGATGTCACACTACTTCCATTGCGTCAAGGGATCCATTGGTGCTCGACTACCGCAAGAGACTCTTTCAGAGAGCCATCGCGATATTGATCCCGAAGAATTTCCATCCATGATACTCCCGATGCCTGCCACTGTGACGAACTGCTCCTGCGTGGTCGAGAATGATCGACTTACCGTGTCGTTCAATGTCAATACTGCTATCATTCAGTATCTTCTTAGTGAAGCATTCTTTATGAAGGGCAGAAGCGAGATTCCTCTTACTGTCATCGGCTGCATTCAACATCCCGAAGACCACTGCCAAGTAAGTGTCACACTATGCCAATCTGGGACCTTCAACTGACCATCTACATCAGGCTTCTGTGGTGCTAGAATACAGGATTGAGGACAACAAAGTTTTTGATCATGTTGGAAAAGCATCCATCGCTCTTCAACAAGGCATCACGCTCCGTGATATATTTAGTCGATCGACATCTGTTAGAGTTGGTAGCGTGAAGCACCTGAGTCTTGATAAGGCTAGTCAGCCAGAAATATTCGAAAGTATTCGACTTGCCATGGTACGTGCACTGGTGGCCCAGACATCCAAGGTGCAAAGTATAAGAACACAAGACGCCTCTATCAATGCCGATACCCCCGGAGACGTTATCGAGTTGGATGAGAAGGTCAGGGCCGTGGTGGATCGTATCGACAGCCTAGTCAGCGACGCCAGCCCACATCTTTTCGTCAAACAGATGGGGCACGCCTTCGAAATTCTCAAAGCTCTTTGGCCTAGAGATTTTGAAACTGATCAAGATTACATCGTTTCTGTCCCTGGGCAATGGGAGATCGATGAATCTGATACTGGGCTTCTTCGGGATGTCCCTGTCGACTGTCCGCGTGTGCTCAGGGAGCTCATTACAAACATGTTCAAGAATCAAAAAGGTTCTACGATCACTCAAGCTGGAGCTTCTCTCAAGGCTTGGACGCACGCAAAGAGGCCGACATTGACACAGCAATTCGCGAATGTACCCACCCTTGTTGGCGCACTCAAGACCTTCAGTCACGATCTCTATCATCGGCCAACAGACTCTTCCAAGCGCACGGAACAGGCAATCTCCCAGTTTCAAGACGTCATGGGAGTCATCCAGTTGTGTCACCTGGTCATAATCACTCAGCTTGATGCGCCATACGAGTGGTACTGCAAATCGACCGAAGGGCGCAAAAAGACTTCAGCGGCATTGGGCATCCTGCCGAGCTATCTCTCATGGAGCTCTGCCCCAGCTTTGTTGGAGACCGTTGGTTTAAGCGCCTTGTCTGTCTCTAGCTTGGCTGTGGCTGGAGGTATGAGTGCCATGTACTACAGTTATCGCATTATCAACCACCTTCTCCATCTCCACAGCGAGTATCTCGACTTGTCATTTCCAGGAGTGCTGGCTGCCACTCTCCAAGCCCTTGGGCTTCCTCCAGCTAAGCCAGGCCACATGATTGAGAAAACACTGCTGAACCACTTGGAAGAAGATGCACTGACCTCACGTACACCAGAGACGCTGGAAAAATGGAGAGTCAAACTTGAGAAGGGCCTCGAAAACTATCCTGGGGTTAAGGAAAACCAATGGTCTATTATCCCTGATTACTTTTGGGCGAAATGGCTCTTTACCGTCACGGAGGTGGCGCAACTTCGGATTCAGCTCTTGGACAAGATCTGTATCGGAGTACAGGGCTCCACGGAAGCCGGAAAGAGCCAGATGCTGACGGTTCTAACTGGAGCGTCCAAGAACCACTTCAAACCAGGATCTAGCAGTCTGTGCAGGACGTTGGGAATTCAATCCTATAACTCTAGCGAGCTAGGCGCGATATTCCTTGACAGTCCTGGCTTTGATGATCAGAAACCACAGATCAGGTATATGGCCGACGTTTACCAAGAGCTGCTTGCTATTGTAATCATCGTTATTCCTATGGAACGTACACGATCCGAGGCAACAGAGAGTGCTCTGCGCATAGCTGTCAAATCGCTGCTCAATCGCGACGATAAACGCCCGTTGCGTATTCTTTTGAGCCAGGCTGATAAGCTAGACTTTCATCGAAAAAACAAGGAAGTGTTCAAAGCCACCCTCAGCGATGTCAAAGATCAGTTCATGTTGAAATTGAGGAGGGAAGTAGGTGAAAATTTCACTACTTTTAGACAACAGAGGTTTGGTGATGGTATCGTCTGCGTCCCAGAAACACTTGAAGATATTGTGAAGCCATTTTCGACTCACGCCCAGATGGATTTGGATGGCATCAGGGCGCTTGCAGATTGTGGTTCGAAGTATTCCTGCAAGATTGAGAGGGCGAGCCATTTCGAGAACTTGTGTGAGCTGGCTGATGCTGGAGAGATATGGGACATCGAGTCACTCCGCTCATGGCTTCGAGACCTCTCGCCTAAAAGTGTTCCGATATCTAATGGGCGGGTGCGTAAATACTGCGATTGATTAGATGACGTTGAATTGTACTACTTGTTGTCCTTGGTCTATTAATAGAAAAAGGGCTCTCGTGCATTGGTCCAGCAACTCGGACAGACCGAGATTATATAGAACGCATAATGGAGGGCGTCGGATAATTACGAGTACGATAATTTTGATCTACGTCCCCATTCTCAATCATACACTGACAGGTAGGATTATCCTTCAGCCCTCGACTATGAGTGCGAGTGCAACACACCGCTCGCTGAGTAAGTCTCTAACCGGATCAAGTATAGCCCAAATATCTACTGTGCTTATATCTCACTGATTTCTCCTTTTCTTTTCCAACATGACATGATAATAAAAAATGGTTAACATACTTGTCAAGATTGGCCTTTCGGTCGTTGTTATTCTTGCTGTTCTCTTCCAGGTTTATCTCAAAGAGGCAGTATGGCTTGCTTTCGGCATTGGAAAGGTCATGCAGCCAATTAGTGATTTCCCTTATACATGCCGCAAGATCGCCGATCCACGCATGGAAGCGTGCGAGGATATGTGGTTGTCTCAATCTACGAGGCAATTGTTCCTGGCCTGTTCGGATCCACTGGCACGAAGTGCATGGTTTCCACAGTAAGTGATCAGAAACCTCAAGATCTCGTTGTAGATACTGACGTGAGTACAGTGTTGGTGCGCTTAACATCTCGGGTCGTTCGCAGAGAGACTCTATTGTAGCTCTGGATATTGATACATCTGTCGGCAGCAGCTTTGAGCCTCGCATTTTTAAGACAACAGGATTCTCCGGGACATCTGGTGATGGGCTTATCAACGTCGCTGGCTTCACAGGCATTGAAAATTCTGACGGGAGCATTGACTTGTTGGTGACTAACATGCGACCTTCGGTTGATGCCGAGAGCGGAAAGTATCTCGATCAGTTTGTTCATGGGGCCAACACTACGATTGAATATTTTACGACTGTCGCTGGAGCGAACGAGCTGAAACATGTTCGTACTATTGCCGATGGAGGTATCGTTACGCCGAATCGTGTTGCTGTTATGGAAGACAAGACGTTTTATGTCTCGAACGATCATGGTCCTCACAAGATGGGCTGGGTAAGCCAACTAGTGACTATTAACATATTGAACGAGTGACTAACTATCCAGCGTCACCACATGTCCGCTATCCTGGGCCATGCCAACATCAACGTCTGCAAGCCCAACACCCCTTGCAAAGAAGTATCCAGCAACCTCAAATTCCCCAATGGCCTTGCTATCCATGAGAGCACCCTCTACGTTCCAGATTCGATGGCTGGCACGCTCACAATTTACAACATCCTGCCAAACAAAGACCTCGAAAAGGTGGACGAGATCAAGCTCAACTACGCACTAGACAACGTCTCCATCGATGAGAACGGTGATCTTTGGATCGCTGCTTTCCCTGTAGGCATTGAGATCTACAAGGCTAACAAAGACCCGTACAATGCACACCCACCTTCCGCTGTTTTGAGAGTCAGGAAGGTCGACGGGGAGTGGAAGGTGGATAAGGTACTTGAGGACAAGGATGGAGAAATCTTGCCGGCGGCTACGACAGCTTTGCATGACGCGAAAACCGGAAGAATCTTCTTTAGCAGTAAGTTGGACTCCACCAATGGATTGGATGTGACTAATGTTTATAGGTGTTATTTCACCGTGGATCGCAGTTTGTGAGCCAAAGGCTTGAGTGTTCCAGACGTAAACCATTCTACCAAAAATATCGACACTATCTCTTATGAAATCTCCTCTAGATACCTCAACTCAAAGAAGAAAACATATTTCGCGTTGAAGCAGTATGTTTGTACTGCTAACTGGCCTTAAACCACTTTGCAAAGACGACCGTTGGATCTCTGCTTCCACGTTTCACTTCCAACGCAAGGGTAGCACCACAACACATCATCCGGATCAATTGCTCTCTTGATGGATAAAAGTCGCTTGTAGTTGTTGCCCCAGAAAGCATGCTGCCAATCTGGTTCAAATGGAAGTGCCTACCAAAAATTAGTCGAAGAAATACAAATGACAGCAATGTCTCATACCTCATTGATATAAGCGCCTGCTTTGGGAGATAACTCTCGGAATGGTTCCCATGTTTTAATCAAACTCTGAACAGCCTGTGTCTCAGAGGTTCGGTTGAGAGGTTCGAAAGTATGTCCAGCAACTGAAGTAGTCACTGTTAGAGATAGGAAGTTGATACGGGAGTGAATACGACTTACGGGCATGGACGTATGTGTCTCTCCAACCAGGGTTTGCTGCAACACTTTCCCCTCTGGGCTTCGCATTGTGGACTCCCTTACCCGAAACTAGATGGGCAATCATCCCACCAGATGGTACACAACCTTGTTCAAGCGCATAGCTCAGCTTGGATTCATCTTTCTCGAGGGAATCCTTGGTCAAAAGTCTCGAGACGATGTAATTCGTTTCTCCAGCAGCACCCTGATCAAAGTAGACGTCGTACCACTTTAAGAATGAAGAGTAACTCTCCGACGTGGCAGTGAACTGGACCAAGCCTGGCCAACGCTTCTGAAGGGTTTCATTGATAGGCTTATAAAGTTTCTGGATGTAATTGGGATCTTGTACGTCTTGCGCAGCAAAGATGCCTGATACTCCAGCTACTTCCTTTGGTGCGCCTGGGCCGGGAGATGGGTTGGGAACGCGCGGGCTGAGAGATGCATATCCAGATAGACCGGCATCCGCGAGAGATGGAAATTGGGAGATAATGTAGGCGAGAAGATCGTACTTGAAAGGTGCCTCGGCAGATGTTCCGACCGTCCAAACTGATGCAGAGATCTTTGGCGTTTTATAGACCTTGAGAGTCATGGAGATGATAACACCAAAGGTCGAACCACCGCCCTAAAGCTTTGTTAGTATTATGCAGTTAAATGTGGATCGGTACTCACGCCTCTCATAGCCCAGAAGAGATCTTGATGATTGTTCTCGTTAATGGTCAGTATCTTCCCACTGGGAGTCACAATCGTCATCTGCAGAACCTGGTCAACGGCAAGGCCAAACTTCGGCGACAGGAGTGAATGGCCTCCGCCAGTGACATATCCTCCAAGACCAACTGATTTTCCACCGCCGCCAATAACAACGCGATCATACTTGTCTAAATAGGTGTAAACGTCGTACATCTGCGCCCCAGCTCCGGCTGTTACAGTATCGCCATCAATAGTGATCTTTGAGTTGTAAAGTTTGAAATGCCCCTTGTGGTAGGTCAAATCTTTGAGATGATGGGTCCATAGTGATAGAGAGCCCGGTGCGACTGATCGACCCATGTAGTCATGGCCCGTATTCTTGACGATGAGTCTGATGTTGTGCTTTCGGGCTATTGTTAGATGTTAACAATGCCCATCTAAAAGATAGTTTTAATTCATATTTACCAAAGTCAACACCAATCTTGACATGCTCAGCCTTGGTGACGTTGATCACATATGCAGGATATCCAGCGTCGCTGCAAGGATAATCTGCATCAGGGAGACAAGTCCAGTTGGGATACTGATCATAAATCACTGAGATTGGGTTCTCAGTGTGGAAGTCGTATTTCTTCCAAGCAGCTGCGACATTTGAACATGTGTCTTTGTTGTATGCAGGCCAGTTTTTGTGACAGACTGCGCCAGGTGGTGTAGGTGCAAGCAGACGCCCATTGAGACTGCTGTTGAGATGAGACCATGTTTTGTGAGAGGGCCACCCTGGTGTGCCGGGGTAGGCTTTGCAGGATTGGCCTGCAAAGGCTGGAGGTAGAAGGAAAAGGGTTGAGATGATGATAGAACACAGGGGAGTCATGATGGGTTGGATGACGAGCGACTTGATTTGAGTTAAGATAGCAGATACTGTCACACCTTAAATACCCATTCCATCACAGTGGAATGATGATACAGCGCATGTTGAGGTAGAGACTTCTTACAAGCTGACGCTGAACGAGGGATCATGTCCCGAGACTAAAAAGTAACTGGTGGATATTATTTGCTCATGTTGTCCAGTTAGAAAGACCCGTATTGCTCGTTTATTTGTTTAGTCGTCGCTCAGCCCTGCCAAGCCTGACGTTGATCTGGGTCTGGGGGTCTGTGTGGACGGACTGTGGAGGTGGCTCGGATGGGGATCATAATGCGAGATACGACAGGTAATGCTATCATTGAGCTGGATGATGTTTGGTGCTTATGCCTGGCTATTGAGACCGTTTTATTTGGCACTCCTAACTAACTCTCCTGTCTTTGGGGTAGTACTTCATGGTACCTATGCTACTGCACATCTCATTGAGGGAGGCGTATACGACTGACTCTCTCCATGACTATCACAAAACACAGCTTGATTATGGAGATCAACTGATCGATTCATTCCTTGTCTGATATAGACAGTTAATCCACTATTTAATCCCAATTGCGCAAGATGCTGCGAGTATTGTCCGATGAAAATACCGAGATCGACATCTCAAATGACTGGCAGGTCCATTAAACTACCCCATGTCGTTTCTCGCAGCATCATCCCCAATCAAGTTTAGCTCGGTAGAGCCTAATCTTGATTTCTCCAAGTCTCAGGGCCAAGCTTGGATTCTTCAGCGAACCCCTAATATAACTCATCAACTAATTAATTTCCCTCCTCCACTCTCTCTCATTCCATTGTCGCGTGGCGTGTCGCAAGATGCTTCCAGTCATTCATTGCTTTTTGTAGCCAAGCCGAGCAGTTACCAGTCACTCTTTATTGTTCAAAATGCTGCCAAGGTTATCGCTACTCTTCCATTCTTTGTTTGTCCCTCTCTGCATCGCGCGCGACAACAACAACACCAGTCAATATGCCGCGACCAGCGGCACAGTCTGGGCCACGCCCCACGATAGTTACTCGTCGTCAATAGGCGTTCTCGGTTGCAAAGTCGACACGAATCGCATCGCTTATTGGCCCAATTCCATCGATTGCGACAATATCTGCATCTCCTTGACCTACCAAGACCGCTCCGTCTATCTCCTCCGCATCGATCAATCCCAAGGCGCGCACGACGTTAGCTATGATGCATGGAATTACCTCTACACTGGCTACAGCGCCACCGACAAGCCTACAGCCGGCGGCCCTGTCGAAATGACATACGAGAATGTCGATGCTTCCAAATGCAAGCACTTGATCGATACAAAGGGTAGCAAATTACCCCTTAGCGCCGCCAACAGCATGAACTTCCTCACGAGCTGCCTCGATCGCAACAGCAGCACTTGGGTCGGCGACAATTACGTCCTGTATAACATACTCGACTCCATTTGTACGCTGGGTCACGATGAGAAGTGCGAATTGGACTACCCCGCCGCGAACCAGGCCGAGTGTCCGCATACAATGGGCGTCCCAGATGAATTGAAGGGCCAGACGGTATACAACATTCGGTATCCCAGTGGAGAAAAGGTTAGCGCCGCAGACGGAAAGCCTGCAGACGAGGATGGCGCGTCGGGGGTGAAGCAGCCGAGCGGCAACGTTTTGGCATTGGTGGTTTTGTTCTCGGCTTGTCTTGTCTTTGGCATATAGACAGCTTTTGTATTCTGCGATGCGATCAATGCCCTGGGGGTGGATGGTTCGAAGTCGATGTTAATGTCAAGATACCCTAATGCTTCATTCAATGCCTGTTTTAATACACTTAACATTGCCTGTTAATGGTAAAACACAAGATCAATTAATTATTCTGACAATCTGGTATCAACGCCGGCCTACAAAAGACAATCCGTCCTCAAGCATGTGTCGCGTCAAGTTGACACTTATTTTCCTAGGTTCAATGTTTCCTTGACCTTGCCCATTGCCGACTGATCTTTTTGTTGGTTGTCCTCGTCAACACCAACGTCCTCCTGTGTCAGCGCATCCTTGCCATGCATCTATTCTCAGTCAGTTACATGTCTAGTCCATGACCACTATTGACCAACCTTTTGTTCCTCCAATTCAGCGTTGTGAATTATGTCGTGCACCTCTTCGGCTGTCTCATCATTGAGACCAGTCGGTGCTTTGGGGTGAGAAGCTCGTCTCTCAGGCATAATATTTGTTCTCCAATGTATTGTCTTTGGTATTGTGATTTTGGTGTTGCTCGACGGGAAAGCTCCTCAGCTTGGGTCCCCAGGAATACCGCTTCATATAAGCTCACAGCTCAGCTCTTATTGTCGTCATCCTTTCTATCCTCCACGGCTGAAATGATGCTGACCAACGTCATGTCGAGACATTCGGGGTAACGTCTGACGATGATCTCGAGACCCCTCATTGTCACAGTGCAAGTGGCGCTGCGACAACATCTCACGACGTTATCCGTGTTGTCAGCTGGAAGTATACATTTTATTTGCTCACTGTGTCGACGTTGTGGTTTGATCCAATTGCGATATTCGGCGGACCTTTTGGGGTATGATTTGACTCGAAGTTTGCATGCCGATACGTGGCTTTCAAACGTAATCGCATGATTTGACCGCGTATTGGGTCAAGATATGTTCGCCAATCGCATTACCTCTCTCTCGTCAACCAACACAGAGTCGAAAGATCACTGCACTAGCTTGGCTCATGATCACGGGCCAGACCGCTGCACACTTGTTCTTTAAGCCTGTCCGGGACGAGAGCCTCAAGTGTAGTGGATGTGCTTGAATTTGTGATTTATAGACACGTTATCTATCAAATCGTTGGGTTAAAGGGTCCTAGAAACAAACATAATAAGTATATATTACTTCATACATCCTTTCAATCTAACAATATAGAGTGTTTGTGCAACAATATGCATAGTCGGGCAAAGTCTAGGACCGACAGTTACCCAGAGCATATATTTTCTCTGGTTCTTGGAAGTCAACGAGACCGTTGAACAAGAATCCGTTCGACAGTCTTGGTCAAAATCGGTAGTGACTGCTACGAAGGAAGAACCAGAAACCTCACAACTGTCCCATTTCTTAGGATACGAAGCATCCGTGGAAGCTCGTTCTTCTCTTAGGAACCGTCACGATAATTCGTGAGTAAAATCCATACACTTTGTATACATGAATCGAATTCTGAGGTACGTAAGATTGTGATAGGTCTTTAGAAGTTGAGGGAAACAAGGCTTGCGACAACGATCCAATTGATGGGTTTCTCAATTTCAACACAGCCTCAGCGAAGGACTGATTGACCTATAGTTAACGAGGTTCAATAGCGCCACGTGAGGCTGAAAATAGTAAGGCTGTCATGCAGTTTGTTTCCTCAACACCATGCTGATCGTGACAAGATATTGAGAGATTGGATGACTCAGCAGCATAGTATTATCAACTTCGTGGCCTGGGACATCAGCCCATCGAGAAAATATGTTACTGCCTCACTTCTTTACCATTAGCCAGGGTAGCTTTCCCTGATGTTCTTCGCTATTCCATAACTTCAATCCCAGTTATATTATCTTTAGAATGGGGAGTATCAGCGTACTGATTCGATAAATTTGGATGATTGGGGTAATTCCAACGACGGGTGGTAAAACGGCCTGCATAAGTGGAAATATGTCGTTGATGTTGGGCATTGGACCCCTATTGTTTTATGACAGTCTAAACAGCCCGGTGAGCTAGAAGGATTTCAGAATGTTACAAGGAGAACGCCCAGGTAGCATTGCAGAAAAGCTGCTTGACACCCCTTTCTCTACGCCAACCGTTGAATGCATGTTTTACAGATCCTCTAGCACATAGATATAGCGCCTCTGTCATTAAGATCTTCAGGTATGCCACGAAATGAATATGCGAGATCCTGCACTTAACAGACCCGCAGGTGGCTGCACACTCCTTTGTAGCTGTAATGCCGCGCGTCTGATGCATCTACGACATTGCTGGTAATGGTGTCATCTTGTAGTTCATGTTGCAATATGCTACAACCAATTGGACTTGTCTATTGGATATTAGTCTGAATGGAGAAAAAGGCTATGATTGTGGGTTCCACGACATAATCATTGTATAGATAAGAGTTTGTGATGAGATAAAGTCAGATACAGTATCCTGGAATAGATACCAATATCAGTCAAACAGTACAGGCTCAGTCTTCTCAGCTAAGGACGACAGTTTATTGCTTATTCAGGTGAGATAAAGTACGGACAAACCTTTCAGAAATACCATGGTCCCGAATGATAGACATGACTGGACCGTGGGAAAACTCCAGGTATAGCAACCTATTGATCAAAGTAAAGAAACAACAAACAACGTGCTGTACGATGCTGCAAAACATACATGCGTCAAGAGGCAGCCGTTATAAGAGTAGTTCAGTGGCATCTTTACTTTACACCCACAGTCCAACTAAACACTACACCATCTAACCTATGAAGGCCACAATGTAGACATTATAAGCCACGAATACTACGTATAGAAAAGCCCTTGGGTCTTGCAGCAAATATCGAACACAACCAAGGATCGAAGCTCCAGAGTTATGTCCGAATGAGGCGTGAGGACACTCCCTATAGTGGGTTCTAGACTACATATATATTTTATAGCAAGCTACTGCAGTTCAAAGTCTCTGTAGCCCTCAATCTACTGGTTTGATTTAACGGGGCACTTTGCTTTTGGAACCCTCTGTACTGGATCTACTTGTTAAGTATATGGTATTGTCAAAAGGAGTGTTGTACCGGCCTCAACATTTCGATATCGAGTTTGGCAATTAAACATACGACTTCCCCGGATTCCCCGGATCTCCTGAAGTGCCGTGGTGAGATTATTAGGTGACTTTAGACACTTGAAGCAATCGCATCGTACATCAGAACACTTGAATAAACGGCAGTTGAAATCACCATTCAATCGGCCATGATATTTGTGCTACAAGGTTTCAGAAAACAGATCACGGATTCTTAAGTTAATGCAACCTCAGATTCGTGATGATTAAAAACGAAGGTTATCTCTTATTAAGCCATGCATGTGCTCCCGCATTCCAGTCAAACCGATAACCCGGATGTCGGAAGGACTGGAATGTGGTAACTACCTTTTGTTCGTCCGAGTCCTCCTTTCAAAAACGGCAGTTTGGCCAGAAGAAAAACCAAAAGTAAGCGGCAATTTCCACCGTGGCTGGATACTTTGGCGCCGTCGCGGAATCTTGAGTGAGGCGGAAGTGAATTGCACTAATCTTGACAGCCAGGAACGTGCCATTTCTTTCTGACATCTCAATCAAAGGCGCAGGTGCTTATGGCTGATTTTACTTTCACAAATGAACGTTGAAAGAAGGGGTTTTCAGGACACAATAGAATGCTGTGTGAGTCTTTGGTGGAGGGTGGTCACAAAACTTTGGTTGTGATGCAGCCAATATGCAAGGCACATTTCAAAATCATTCTCCCATATTTCCAATAGTCGATGCCAGTGGCCACTGAGGACAAACACAGCCGCAGATTTGAATGTCACCAAGATTTTGGGATTTCCACAACGATACGAGACGATATACGAGGCCCTTAGCACACAATCATCTTCACGGGATTTACCTACTATACCAAGATACCGGGTAGCTCCAGGCTCGTATCCTTCAAACTCTATTTCTGTAGTCTTTACCCCGATAGCCTTTCGATCTGAATTTCTATGACTTGGCAATGAAATCTGAGGGGGCATAGCTTGATACCCTGAAATCCCCAGCCTTCAAAAATGTATGATGAGGCCCAACTACCTTGGCCAACTAACACATGCAGCTTTAACATGGCCATCAGAATAAAGTATTGAAGAGGCTTGCAGGACCCGATGTCACACAAGAAAGTTTTCAATCCACACGATTACATCCGGTGTGCCCGCGGCTTGGTGGCTTTCTTTTTTTCATTTCTTTTTTCCAGCTTGTCATGCTTGTAAGACTTTGGGTCAGGTCAGCATGCAATGGCTTTTTGTGCTCTTAGTAAATTCTGTTGAAAATTGTTACTGCTAAAAGATTCTTCTGCTTACTTTGTGCTGGTCCTGCATGGAAATCGGATGTCGGGCGAGAATAATATGACGGCATGGATATAGGTAGCGTCGAGCGACTCCCGTTGTGAGTGGCTAGTTTTAAGAAGTACATGAAGGTTGTGCTTATTTCTCAGACCGTCTTACACAAGAGCTAAAGCCATTGGACAGTTGTGTAAGACGCTTACTACACGTGGGCCAAGCACGATTTCAGGCAATACTAAGAGGTGTTGGTACGGTAAGGCAGTTCTCCATTCAAGCTTAACAGAGAGTGATATAGTCTGTCAACCTATGGGATCAACATTCGACAATGGGCTACTGTGTCTAGGCGGGGAAAGAATTACACGAAGCTCAGGCCATGCATGATGAAAGTCAATGATGGCCTGACTAGGATACAATGAGACTTTAGAGAAAAAGCAATGTCGGGGTGGTTGTAATGAGAAAGGGTTCAGTTCAACTCCCAGATGAGAAAAAGATGAGCATTGCATTCGCATTTTCGTCTGCATTAGACAAACAAGGATCGTGAATTATGTTTTCTGACTGGATCCAGCCAACATGCATTGTCCAGAGACTCATCGGCGGCCCATGGGCTGACAATTATCGCCAAGGATATTGCAGTTGTGGCGAATTGACTATTGACTGCACGGCGTTAATTAAAGTTACAAATAATAGCAAGAAATATAATTCCTAGAGAATACAATTACAAGGATGAGAGAAAAGAGACGAGTATGAATGATGATCCATTGAACTAGACTAGGTACAGTGACAATTGTACGATCGCCAAGCCGGGCTGATGGGGTTTTATGGTTTATTCTCTGATCTTTTTTGACGAATGAGAGATTGTTATTCCCTGGATCATCAGGCCAAGCTCATTCAATCCTCTTCTTACCGGATGCTGGGGATGATCAGGTCAGGTCAGGTCAGATCAGCCCCCGCAAATCAACGGCCCAACTTTAATCCCCCTGCTGTGCCCCGATCTAGTCTGGTCTGGCCTGACCATCATGATCACTGTCCGTCTACGCTACGGTCGATGAGCTGGTCCCTCTCCTGATGCTAAGCTGCGGGTGAGATTGCCAAGTCCCAGCTAGACTGCGATGGAAAATGCAACACGAGCCCTAGGTACTTCCCCGCACAAATAGCAAAGCTGACATTGTAGGCACGTCACAATTATGAAACGTAATTATCAAACCACCCTTGGCGACGTGTGTGTGGATTCTGAATCTCTCTATATGCCCCATCTAAGGCAGTTGTTGCGAAAGAAAATAAGAGATATCACCGTCATGCACCTACCGTTTGGAAAGGGGAGAAAAGAGACTATGAAAGTTAAAAATATCATAGTTGGAGTGCAAGTCTAAAAAAAAAACCAGACGGTTCTAGCCGGGAATGATTTAGACCTTGATCCTAGTGGGCGAGAATAAGTTCCGTTTTTGACAGAGCCAATCATAAATGCCAATTGATTCAACGCTGAGATCATACTTGACACGATATTTGCATCTATTCAGGTCCTCAAGTCACTAAAAACAGGTCCAAGACAAGTCAGGACAAGTCGAGACTAAACAAGCTTGTTTGTGCCGTGTCAGACTTGTCTCTTTTTCTTTTCCCCGCGATCGAGCTCACTTGGTGACCCCCTTTTCTTTGCTTAGCTTTTATTTAGATGCAGGGGTCCCCTGTCATCTGAGACTTTAACTCTTCACTGGTGGCCACTATCGAAACGACACGACGGATCTCTCGCGTTTATGTCTCTTTTGGCTTCTCTCATCTCATCTCATCTCGTTACAGTACAGCTTTGCAAGGTTGATATCATCCCTTACACGAGGTAGTCAACCCGATCGCTGAGCTGTTCGATCTCTGCAGGAGAAAAGCTAAGCAAAGCAACAAACTGCATTACATGGCATGACATTGCATGTTTCTTTTGTTCTGCTCGGTATGCATCGGGTCTCGGGGGGCCGGGACCGTCGGTCGGTCGGTTGAAGTCCCCTCTCTTTGGTACAACACATTGATGTGGCTGCATGGCTGCAGATGCAGGACTATACGTACCTTTGTTCGTGCACCTTTGGCTTGGTTCTACTGGCTACCGTACCGTCTCGTACAGTAAGACAAGCTCCAATTACCCTGGTTTTTGTGGCTGCATCCAACAAATGTCAATGCTCCTGCAGCTTTCCACAACGACCTGGGCTGTGCTATATTTACATATAACGAGGGTACAATGTCTCACACCCAAGGGGCGTACCTTTCGCGTGGCTGCCCTCACTACCAATCACTTTGTCTCTCGTATGACGGTTTTATGAATGAATGGTTAATTATCCATTTCCCATCCTCGTATTCTCAATATCAGCTTTTTTTCTTTTACCCTTGATAACATTGAAAATTAATTTGGCTACCATGTATGTATCTCCGTGCGGTTACGGTAATCACGGTGCTGAAAAACAAAAACAACCGGCAATTCTTTCACGCTTCCAGGGGTTGGGATCAGCTGTAGGCATTCTTAGCAAGGTACGAGAAGGAAGCCAAGAGCACGGCTCCTAAGAATCAATGACAGGGATTGTGCTTGTCTTACTCTCCTCCTCTGACTTCCCCTGCTGAGTCTACCAAGTATGGTCAGACCAGAGATTATCGGCCTGCATTAGCCAGCCTTACGAGCTCGTCTAAATAGCTTGACTTGATTTTTGGTCCAAGAAGAAGAGGGGAAGAGCGAGCTTGTACCCATTTTGAGCCTCCGCTATCAGAGCTAATAACGATTCTTCGAACGGTGTCCAACGGGAAGCCAGGATCACCATCCAAGACAGAGTTGGAACAAGCTTGAATTTCCAACAACATCTACCACTTTATCCATAGAAAATTGTACCCCTCATAGGTTGTATTAGAGCAACCTCGTATTTCAAAAGCAGAGTGTGATGCTCCACGCTCTTCGCGCTTCAGCTGCAGCCAGAAAGTACCTGCTGGCGCGAAGCCTTGTGCGTCACAACTGTCACTTTTCTTTTGCGAGAGGTTGCACTCATCTTGTCCGACAGGCCAACACCACAAGTTCAGCCGGGTCGTTGCTTTCCGATATACAATGTGGATGGGGCTTTCTCAGCCGTCGAATCACGGAGAAAATCAACTGCCACTCAAGCCTCTCGTCCCCCAAAGAAGCTGCCCCGAGCATAAAATTAGAATATTGCTAAGCTGTTTCTGGAAATCTCCTTTTCATTTCTATGTGACAGTTGAAATCTAAATGAGTCCAGAATGGGCTGTATCGCGATCAACCTCGACTTATGGATACACACTTTCCAGTAAGCATAACCTTGGGCTAACTTTGGTTAACCCTCAACACCCTTGTTCTTTGATGTTGTGGTTTGCCTTGAGCCCAACCACCGCACCCATGCCCATGCCAAGGCTGTATCTTCCCTGTTCTTTGGGAGAAGTATATGCAACCTTGAAGCTCGACAACTTGCAGCCCCAGTTGAGGCTGTGGTTGGCATGCAGGTCACACTGCCAAGTACCAAGAGCTACGAGCGACGACCCGGCCTAGGGAGAATTAGCTTTGACACTATTGACATCAGGATCATCGTCGTTCCCAAAGTAGCTTGAGCTGACTTCCTATCTGGATGCTCGGATGACCTGGACGAGCATCAGCATAGCATGACATGGCATGGCCCACACTTGGTCAACAAGATCTCGTGTTCTTGATAGCACTCAAGCAACTTCACGACGGCTACTTAAACCTCATCATCTCCTCCCCAAATCGAAACTATCATTCTCCTCATCACTCTCAAGTCAAGAAAGGCACTGGTCTCTCATCCTCGACTGACCTCCTCCCTTCACTCGCTCCTCATCTTTCGTTTTAACTCTAATCATCACTTTCGTTGCTGAAAGGCCTATAATCGCCTATCATGCATTTCAAGAACGTCTTGGTCAGCCTCTTTGCCCTGACCGTCTCGGTCAAGGCTATCCCTGATGTCGACACCGACTTCAGTCTCGAGGCCCGCGACGATACTGCTCCTATCGAGGCTCGTGATGAGTCCGAGTTCCTCGCTGAGCGCAACTACTACCCTCCCCCATCCTGCAAGGAGAACGAGCACTACAACTCGCACTGGAAGAAGTGTGTCTGCAAGGACGGCTACGAGGAGAAGTATGGCAAGTGCGTTGCTAAGAAGCCTTCTTGCAAGGAGAACCAGTACTACAACTGGAACTGGAAGAAGTGTGTTTGCAAGGACGGTTATGTTGAGAAGTACGGCAAGTGTGTCAAGCCCACTTGCAAGGACAACGAAGTCTACAACTGGCACTCCAAGAAGTGCGAGTGCAAGGATGGTTACGAGGCTAAGTACGGCAAGTGTGTTCCCAAGTGCAAGTGGGGACAACACTATGATCAGCACGCTGGCAAGTGTGTCTGCCCCAGGGGAACATCTGAGAAGTACGGCAAGTGTGTGAAGGACTGCCCTAAGGGACAATACTACAACAAGCACTCTGACAAGTGCGAATGCCCTCACGGTACCTCTCTCAAGTACGGAAAGTGTGTCAAGGACTGCCCTGCTGGAACCTACTACAACCGCCACAGTGACAAGTGCGAATGCAACAAGGGCACTGAGTGGAAGTACGGAAAGTGTGTCCCCAAGTGCAAGTGGGGACAACACTATGATCAGCACGCTGGCAAGTGTGTCTGCCCCAAGGGAACATCTGAGAAGTACGGCAAGTGTGTGAAGGACTGCCCCAAGGGACAATACTACAACAAGCACTCTGACAAGTGCGAATGCCCTCACGGCACCTCTCTCAAGTACGGAAAGTGTGTCAAGGACTGCCCCAAGGGTCAGTACTACAACAACCACTCCGACAAGTGTGAATGCAACAAGGGCACTGAGTGGAAGTACGGCAAGTGTGTCCCCAAGTGCGACGAGGGCAAGTACTTCGACAAGGACTCTCACAAGTGCGTTTGCGCCAAGGGTACTTCTGAGGTCTATGGCAAGTGTGTGAAAGACTGCCCCAAGGGTCAGTACTACGACCGCTGGAGCAAGTCTTGCAAGTGCCCCAAGGACCTGAGCTGGAACGGCCACAAGTGCGCCTACGACTGCGGCCACGAGGCTGAGTACAAGTACGGCGCCTGTGTCTGCAAGAAGGACAACCAGGTCTTCAACAAGCACAACAAGAAGTGCTCTTGCAAGCAGGGCTACTACTACAACCAGCACAAGGGTGTTTGCAAGAAGGGCGGTTACTAAAGGATTAGTAGCATGTAAGGGAGTGGGGGATGATTCAGATGAAAGGGGGTTAACAGCTGGGGATGGTCTCTAGTAAAATTACGGAACTGGCTGGTTTGGACATAAGCAGACTTTTGCAGCGATGGAACATACTTTTTTCTTCTACACTCCTTATATATTTCTACTTCTCTAGTTGATAATTTTTAAATCAAGGACATTTCGCGGATCACATTTCTTTCCAAGTTTTTGTGATGGTATTTCGATTACAAGTAGCCAGCAAGACTTGTCTGAAGTGTTGTAAGCTCAACTTTTTATCAACATTGAAAGACTGTCACAACTTGGGAAGAAAATTATTTATGTTCACTCGTGTGTGTATTGAGTACGGTGACTAACTATATGTACAAAGAACAAATCGTACGCGGGGTACAATTAGGTATCCATCATTCCAACCACGAAGAGATTCAAGATCTAATCTTGACTTCAAAACCTCCATCTATTCAGATAAAGATGAAGAGCTTACTTCTTGAGAGCACGCTTAGCCTTGGCAGCCTTCTTTGCAGCGCGCTTGGCCTTGCACTTGCTGGAGGGAGCCTTGGTAGCAACAGGGGCAGCGGGAGCCTCAGTGGTGACAGCAGCGGCAGTAGGGGTAGCAACAGGAGCAGAAGTAGCGGGGGCATCAGTGGCAGGGGCATCGCTAGCAACGGGAGCAGCGCTGCCAGAGTCGGAACCAGAGCCAGCCTTCTCACCAGTGCAGTCACCATCGCTGGCCTGACCGGCAAAGTTGGGGGTGTGGTCAGTGCAGGCGTTGGGCCAGGTTCGGGGACCAGGAGCATCGTACTTGGTCACAGGAGGGTAGTAGATGCTGAGGAGAAGGCTGGGGTCAGTGGCCTTGAAGGCACCGGGGAGCTTGACCATAGGAGAAGGCTTGCCAGCACCGGTGCCGTCAACAGTGATCTGGGCACAGCCGATGTAGAACTGAGCACCGTTCTTCTCACCGGCACCGTGGAGACCAACGTGCTCGGCGCGCATGAGGTAGGTACCCTTGGGGGTGTCCTTGGGGAGAGTGAAGGTGAAGTTCTGGATACCACCAGACTGGCCGTTCATGTAGTTAGCCCACTCAACACCCTCAGCTCCGATCTTCTTCCAGGTCATCTCGTAGACCTTGAACCAGTCGCCATCTCCGAGGTAGTCGGAAGCCTCAGTGCCATCGGGAGCCTTGCTGAGGTAGACGGAGAGGGGACCGGGGTGACCCATTTCGCTGGCAACAGTGAAGCCAACCTCGTCACCGGGGGAGACCTGCATGGTCTTGGTGGCGGCGCGGATGTCCTTGTCGAGACCGCCAGCGTTGCAGACAATGTCCTTTGAGGTGACATCGGTGACGGGGCTGTTGTTGTTGGTGGTCTTTCGGACGTACTGGTAAGGCTCAGAAACCTCGCCGTTGACGATGAGAGCCTCGAAGTTGTAGTGGGCGAAGGCGGTGGGGAGAGCGGCGGCAAGGGCCAGGACGGTAGAGAATGAAGTGCGCATCTTGAATGTTGCTTTGCTTTTTTGAGTTAAAAAAGGATTGTATGTGTGTAATTTGGTAGAGAATGAAGCGAAACCACCAGGGTTTGCAAAGAATGTAATGTCTCGTAGAGAAAAAGAAAGAAAGGCGCAAGCAACAGCTGCGAGTGAAGGATCAGGTCTCTGAATGGAGTAGAAAGAATGGGATGGGAAGGAAGGGAGAAAAGAAGCTAAGAAGGAGGAAGAAAGTCGTCCTTATATCAAAACTTGTAGACGCCGGACGGTCTCCTTTTCGTGACCTGGCCTGTCAGAATCGAAAGACATTATTGCTGGAATCTCGCTTCCTCGGAAAATTCGGTGCTGTTGTCGATGATTGACTGTGAGCCGGACTCTGAAACCGTTCCTTACATAGACGCCGAAGTTGATTATTGGGTCCGGGGGAGAATCATAGGCTCAACTGACAGAACTGAGCATGGGTGTTGTGTTTGACGTGTGAAAGATCCTTGTCTGGGAGTTACGTGAGACGTCTCAAACCATGGTGCGGCTAAACACATTTGGGCGATCATACAGAAAGAAAGAAAACGAAACTTGTTCAAAGAAACAAACTTGGCGTTTCTAAATAAGGCTGATTTCGTATAATCAATTATTACATACCATCTGTGCTCTTTATAGAGTTTCCACGATGTAAACTCAATCGTACAGTCTAACAAACGAGATAAAAGTCAATCAACATTGAAAGAACTACGGATTGGAAATTAGAGACTTCGGACATTGGATTCATCTGATTGGTGGAAATAGATATTCGCAAGGATAAACATTCAAGGGTTAGCGAACTGTAACAGGTGAGCGGGTCTTGGTGAAGGAAGCGCTCACTGTCATTACTCAATTACAATTATACGTGTATCCAAAAAGATCAGACGATCGGGAAACGGAGTAATTAATGACGAGCAGGGAATAATAGATCGGTCTCAACACAAACAAACCTTGCTGGTTGCCACTCTGCACGGCTGGGCACTCCATACAAGTGTCTTGGCTCTCTTCCTGATTACATCTTTGTCTTCTAGTCATTCTTTACCCAAATATTGTTCAGTTAGATATCTGCTTGATCAAAATTGCGAATAAAGTCATAGTAGAACTTCGCCATGATGAGTTGAACCCCCATCGCGATCCGTTCATTAACGTTATAAACATGAGCAATTGACTTTCGAGTACCTGTGTTCCATCTGTAGATATTCTTGCATAATCCTAAACATGTTAGCTTTCAGAAAATCTAGTGGCATACCCTGGACGACTTACTCTGGTAGTGAAGAGAATCTGTATTGCCTGTCATAGCACCGGGAGCCGGCACCACATATGGGGACTCTCTGCCCCATGTATATCCTACCGTCCCAGCAAATATATCCCAGACACGACCACTGGTAGGCGCTGGTGCCGCCGGGAAATATTTCCTCATGGCTTCCACGTTCAACGTACCGCTGCTAGACCCCTGTTTGCGCGCTTCTCGGGCCAATCCCTCGGTCAAAAGGTAATCATCGTAGTCGTTATCATCTTCAAAGGGTTCAAAGCGGAGATTGTACTTGTTGACAATACTTTGGACCAATTGAACGACTCCGTGCTCGATACTTCCCGCCTTATCCTGCGGCGCCAGCCCATGGCTGACACCCAATGAGACATGCTCGAGTAAAGCGTCCACTCTTTTTCCACCAGTGACGAGATCGACGGATTGGGATGTCTGAACAAGATACTGAGTCTCGGGCGAAAGTTTTGCCAGGAACTAAGCAGCCCCGTTGAAATCTCCCCGGGTGGTCGATCTCGTCAACTCGGGAAAGGCAGAAGGTGAGTATCGAGCAAAGCACGTCAAGCCTTGATGAACAGGGCCGTTCCACTCAACCTTTGGGTCAAATTGGCTCTGCTCCAGATTCGTAACTATCTCAGACATAATGCTGATTGCAGTATGGGGTGGTGGAGTAAAGCTATCGCCTCCAGGAACAGTCAGATTGAACCAAATGTCCATGTAACCTTTTTCATAAACTGCAGGCAGAGCGTATAGGACACTGTCAATTTGCTGCAGTTCTGCACCGCCCTTGTCGAGTATGACGGCGATTCCATCCTCTCCATATTTTTGCTCTAGGAATTTGGCTATTTCGCCGGCACCATGATTGCCAGAACACTCGTGATCGAAGCCAAATGCCAGTATAACAGTGCGCCGTGAGTTGTAGTCATCTTGTGACAGAAGAGCTTCAAGAGCGGACATGAGGCCTGTGATGGCAGATTTGTCATCTGCAGTACCACGACCATATATGTATCCGTTCCGTTGGTCGTAGTAGCCGTCGAAGGGTGGATGGTCCCAATCATGAAATGTATCTTCGTTTACTGGGACAACATCTTGGTGAGCTGTTAAGAGGATAGGTTGCAGGTCATTGTCGGACCCTTGAAAGGTGTACACAAGGCCGTATTCGTTGATGACATCAGGAGTTGTGTACTTGTGTCTACATCACTGTCGTTAATGTTTAGAATTTTGTGCTGGACACATGAATCACTTACATGTATGGATAAGAATCATTTAGAATGTCAGCGAATCTGGTAAATGGCGTCCATCTTTCATCCTCGTCGAAACCTCTTATGTCATCATAGCAGACTGTGGGAAGTCGTACAATCGACTGGAGACGATCGACCATTGTCTCGATAGACTTATCCCAAGAGAAGATCTGGTGAGAATTTGCCATGCCATCGCGCGATGGATCAACCAGCGGCGATAGATCACAACGAGGGCTGTTGCTCTGGTGTTTCCCGTCAAATGTCAGAGCGTTGGGTGCGAGGCGGTACTGTGCAACGTATGCCGTCACATAAGGCACTGCAATAATCACAGAGGATATAGTGGAAAGCTTCATGTTTGTTGAAGAACAAAGCAAAGACTATGGAGTCTTGCTTGAAGCTGACTACCAACAGAAACATGTTTATAGCCCATGTAAATATCGCAAGCACTACTCCTACGTCAGTGGCTAGAGCCATGTACGGCACTGAGTCGTACGTAACCTCTGTGTAGCACTCATTATCGTGGTTTGTACAGCGAACGATAACTAATTTCAAATCAGGAGAAAGAACTAGGGCCGATTTCCATACAGGTTTGTCTCAGAGTGTTCTCGTAAGACCGATCTCGACAATATTTGGATATTGGGACGCAGCATATAACACTCGGTCTGCCTGCAGTGTGACCACTCATTTGTATCAAATATGTGTTTTACAAAGAATGATTGGCAATACTTCGCTAGTCTTTGACTTTGCAGCACGCACTAAGTAAGATGATAAAGATAAAGGGTTGACAAGTGCAACTGGCAAAGATGAAATGTGAAAATGTACCAATACCAAGGTACGATAAATTGCTACATCCACTTTGCCTTGATGAGAATATCCAGAGAATTCGGTAAACACGTTTATTCTACATACATAGGAAATTTTCTAGTCTAGTGTACAGTTCTACAATCATTTTCTATCGGGCCCTTCGTCCTTTTGCACCTGTTCGACTCTTAATCGGTCTTCTCTTGAACCTCCGAGGACTCGTTCTTCTTGACCTGCTGGATCAAAGTGATACCTGCCACCTCGCTTGCCCCGCTCTCAACCTGCCTTGTCCAGAATGGATCTTGCTCCATTACAAGAACTGACTTTCGACGCTCCCGGTGGGCCTCACGCACCGCAAGACCCGTTTGCCTCTTCGTCTCCATCTCCTCAAGATGTTTGACTCTGTTCGCGTAGCGCTGATGGTGGTCGTCCCTGATGCGTTCGGAACCGATCTGTTGAAGGACGAAGCGAACAAGGGAGCGGAGGAGTAGGAGAACGTGTTCGCTGATGAATACGGTTACTGGGAGGGCGGCCCAGCTGCCGAATGTGCCGTTGATCTTGTTGCTACTGAAGAGGTGGACGATGGCGGCGGTGCAGATACTGCCGAGCCAGGTAAGAGCTTCGAGAGAGTAGATCCAAGGTCCAATTCCGTCTGATCGGACAGGAGCAGGTCGTTGATGCTCAAGAGAGAGTTTTGCGAAATCAGATCGTAGTTCAATCCAGTTGTTGATCAAGAAACCCATTGGAATGATGGGCCAAACAGGTGAGAATAGAGCTAAGTAGCCAAATTGAAGCACAATCTCGGCAATGTCGTCCTGAACGTTGTATTTGGGAAGGATGGATTCATTGCGCACACGCGACAAGAAATCTGATTCCTCAGGCTCATCCTTAACAACGGCCAGTAGCATATCGCCTTGGGAGCGCGATCGTCGGTAATCTCTGTACCACCCCGAAAGTCTGTGCTTCAGCATTGGCACAATGTTCTCCTCAAAAAATCCTGAGATCTGGCCAGTGACAGTCAACGCAATGACTTCGTTCCTCAACCTGTCTGCGTCAAGATGGAACGGCTGGTGTACAAATTTCTTGCCAACGCTGGCAAATGCTTTAACGAGGATGCTTTCAAGTCTGGGGACCACATCACCACCGAATGGAATGTAAATAAACGCTGTAAGGAAAATGGGTAAGTAGTTTGTAAACATATTGAGAACAAAGACTTTTTGAGTGAGTGACATCTCGTGAAGATCGGCTGTGCGGTGGTTTTCATATTCGGTCATTCGCTCGGCCGCGTCTTCGAGGGCTGAAGTGATGTACGGAAGTGACACGGCGAGAAGGATTGTAGGGAGATATTCCTAACCAGGTTAGTCACGAATACGTCAGTGAAAGTGAAAGGACTCACCAGATACTCCTTGTAAGGTCCAGCGTATGTCTCCGAGATCATAATCTCAATAGCAAACACAGCGATGATGGTGACGCCCAAAGCAAAAAAAGCAAAAAGCAGAAACGGAATTTGGGCAAGTTGCCGAACAACCTTCTTCCAGCGGGGGAAGTAATAATGCTTGCGCCCAGTTTCATCAGTGTACACCGTCTCGCATTTGTATTGCGGGCGGTTAACTTTAAGGTGATGGATTCCTCTGACGTTCCATCGGAGACTGTAATCGATTTCCTGAATCTTCCAGTATTCTAGGAATACAGTACACCAAACACTAGTCAAAATGCCGTAGGCGAGAGAGTACTGTGGAAGCCATAGCCATGCGATGACTCCGGTAATGGCGGGGAAGGTGAGAAATAAGAGATATGCCTGGATGAAGGCAAAATAAAATGCAACCTGGGATTGTCAGTGCCTTGAATAGAATAAAGAGATTATTGATATACCTTTGAACCGTGGATATTTCGGATAGAGTCAATATCATCCTGCGTCAAAAAGAACCGCCTACTCAGGTAACTGAGAAGAGATTGGTTAACTTTGGGATTGTGCAAAGGGAAAATGGCCTTGACATTTCCCCATTGCCCAGTCTCGGGTGTAATGCCGGCACCACCAAGATCCTTTGACCAGTTTACAAGATGATAGACAGAGAGAATGTCCTCGGCTTCGTAAGCTCCATCGACAACAGTGTTTTTATCACCACCAGGGTGATTTGGCACGATTCCGTAGAGCCAATCTTTGACCCTATATTCCTGAGTTAGAATGAGTTGATTGAAGTGGTGAAGTGGCTTGCCTTGACTTGTAGACCCAGTTTCCTAGCAACTCACGGGGAGCTCTGATGAAGATGAGGAGACTTTGCTCATAACCTGCTCTGACCTCTGTGTGAAGACCAATTTCTTCCAAGTCTTCAAGCAAGGTTTTGACTTCCTTGACGGCAGTATCGTGGTCTGATCCTCATTGTTAGTATTACTCTTTGTACGTCTTAGAGGAATTACTAACCTATCTCACTGAAATCGTAAAGAATGACATACTTGTCATTGTATGTCGTCTTATCTTCAAGGCCTGTGGAAGGCATCTTCCAGCCTATGAGATGCCTGCGGGGCGATGAAGTGGTAGTTCTAGGCTTAGTTCTAGTTCTGGAGCGGTCTAGTCAAGAAATAACCCTTGTCCGGCGAAACATACCCGAAGCAGCACAACACAACCTGCGATAATGATTGACAGCAAGCTTGTTGACGACTTGAGGCTGTGTCTGTCTTTTGACGGAAGGAAAGATGGAAGGAAAAGAATGTCTCCTCTTCTCCACTGCTTGTTGAAAAGACACCTTCTGTTCATTGTATTACTTCCACGTCAGCTTGATCCACTTGGCCAAGGCTTGTCTTTCGTCAGAAGGGGCCAATAGGCGGCTAAGTCGGCACCAAATTCCTTGGTGTTGCCTCAGCTTGGCGTTGTTGTACGAAGAAGCCACTGACAGCCTCGCCCCGTCTCTCGTGAATGAATGTCTGGGGCTTGGGGCTCTCAAGAGTTTAATTTCAATTGCGGCTTAGACGAATAGTTGCCGATATGGGATCTACAGGATCTACAGGGTATTGAGTAAAAATGGCACGTCGAATTTGGAGTCGATAATGTCTCCTTTCTGACCCGTGCCAAATGCGGAGAAGGAGATGAGTTTGTATCCGTAATTTGTTTCTTCACCTCTTGGCATTTTGTAGAATGGAGCTGATGTGTCCGTAAAATGTGTTGTAATATCTTACCGTGTCGTGTCGCAGGCTGGATAGTTCTGAGTTGAAAATTGTGAAGCATCACCCCTTTTCTTAGAGCTGATGCATATCAAAAACATGAATAAGTGTTTCTAATAATTGTTTTACACTCTCAATCGTCTGTACAAGAAAAAGATATTGTGATAACAGGTCTCTTAAGTCCATGTCTAGGGTAATCCACCTGCGATAAGAGATTAGATATGATAGCGTCTGCTCATGATAAAGAGCGAGATAAGATAAGATAAACCAAGCCAAATTCTGTCCGCATTCAATCACAGGAAAATAACTCGACGAGAGCGACTAAAGAAATTGGTAAATAAATGCTTATTCGAGTTAACTCGATAAATGAGCTATATTGAATTTGAATGGTAAGTTGATTGTATTTTGCTTTGTTCTTTGCCACCAAGGCGGCTGCTTATCGGTACTATCATTTCTGTTAGTTTACAAGTACCTTTTCTGGCTAAAAATATATAGGTGTACCCAAACATCTAGTGCTTTTGTTAGCTGGCTTCCCTTCAACACTCAAGAAAGCTTGGTTACACTCTCGGGCTAAGAGTAGGACAGAACCTCAAATAGGCTCTGCGAACAGCGACCGAGAAGTTGTGTCTTCATGCCTGCTGCTCAATCTCGGGCGTCATTTGTAAAACAGCCTCCTCAATTCGAACATCAAAGGAAGAGTGATACCCAGTAGATTGACCAGAAGTGTGAGCGTTCATGGCTTTTGAGAATAGTCCAGTAGACCCGTAGCGGTTGTGTCGTAGAGAATGCCATGCTCAGTGAGTATGCCCGACCGACCGATCGCTCTCACGTAGAACTGCAATGCCTTGTCGAACCAACGGTTGAATCCGCCTCTAATGTAATCACCGCGAGCGATCTCATTGGGAGTCTCAGGATTACCAGAGTCGAGGTAGAGTACGAACATAGTAGAGTCAAGAACGTGGAAATAGTCAACGTTGGCAGGGCTCAGCTCCAGAAGGGTTTGTCGGTTCTATAGGTATGTTAGCGATACGTGTGATGACAATGTTCTCGGCCTGGGCCTGGTCTATGGAAACATTCTCCCTCTTGCATCGGTATTCGTCGGCAATAGTGGATATGGAGAAGTTCGTGCCAGTCTTGCAAATGGAACTCCCCTTGTTGTGGCAGGCGACAGCGAGGATAAGCCAGAGATTTGCGCCATCATCGAATGGGCTGGTGTCACTGTTAACCTTCGAACAGGAAACCCAACAGGTGAAGTTCTTCGGGATGGGGCTGGCAAGCTACTGTCGAATGCCAAGTAGACAGAGGGGGCGAAGAGGATTCAGGTTGATATGGATGCTACAGACACAGTCGGGGTTATCACATCAATGAGGCACTTGCTGGCACCAAGGCCAAGTGAAGCAGAAATTCGGTTCTGTATCTCGAACAGAAAAGTGTTGGTTGGTCAAGCACATCGTTATCATAGGACCTAGATTTCGCACAAACATCGAGTGAGGGTTTCAATATATTAACATGTGATTTAAGATCTACAAAGAATATCCTATGAATTTACACAATTGTGCATAGGCTAATTGGGTTAACTGCCAAGCACCTCCCAGGTCACATGTCCTATGTTTCACAAAAACATCAGATGTCATCGTCATGCATTTACAGCCTTTTCATTTCTTGCAGGTCTTTGCATCGACACTTCAAATCTATATTATCCATAAATGCAGATTATCAAGAATAGTCTGAAGCCAAAAGTCTGTCGATCTTTCACAATGGGAAAGGGTTCTTGGGAAAGCCGAGCCGCTGCGAAGCGCGCTGAGACTCTGAACAAGATCCGTCCGGAATGGAGATTATCCCCACAAGACCTTGAACGCGCCCGTCAACAGCGCGACATCACTGGCCCTTTCATTCAACAGTTCCTGAACGAAGATGAGATTTCCATTACCTCAATGACAAGCGCACCCATTTTAGAAGCCTTAGGTGACAGGAAGTTGTCGGCGGTTCAGGTCGCAACAGCCTTCTGCAGAAGGGCCGCTATGGCACATCAAATTGTGGGTTCATCCAGTCCTTCAATGGTCAGTTACCCTTACTTACTTGTAGGTTTAGAATAATTGTCTGCATGAAGTCTTCTTCGATCAAGCATTGGAACGCGCCAATTATCTGGATGACTACTTCGCTAAGCATGACAAGCCAGTTGGGCCACTTCACGGGCTACCTATCAGTCTCAAAGACCAATTCCACGTCAAGGGTGTCGATACGACTATGGGATACGTCGGTTGGATTGGGGGCAATCTTGGTGTATCAGACCCGGACAAAACTCACAAGGTTGAGAGCCAGATCGTCACCGAGTTGCTGTCTCTGGGAGCGGTACTATACTGCAAGACAAGTCTGCCCCAAACTCTACTTTTTGGAGAGACCAAGAATAATATCATCGGTCAGACCTTGAATCCTAACAATCAGAATCTGTCTTGCGGAGGGTCGTCTGGTGGAGAAGCTGCCTTGATGGCTTTGGGAGGGAGCTCTGTTGGTGTTGGCACAGATATTGGTGGATCACTGCGCATACCAACTGGTTTCTGTGGTATCTATTCCATCAAGCCTACTTCGAATCGACTTTCTTACCGCGATGCTGCAAACACGAATCCTGGACAAGACACCTACCGGTCATCGCTTGGCTTCATGGGTACTTCCATTGATGCGCTCGAGATGGTGTTTAAATCTGTTCTTGGTGCAGAGCCATGGCTTCGGGATCCATCCGTCTTGCCGATCCCTTTTAGAAAAGACATAGTAGACTCGTATCTATCGAGGGCCGACTCAAAAGGCAATGCCAAGTCAGGCGAGAAGCCCTTGAAGATGGGTGTTCTTTGGTCAGATGGGGTGGTTGGGCCTCATCCTCCTGTTCTTCGTGGGCTTCGGGTTGTGGTTGAAGCTTTAAAAAAGGCTGGGCACAAGGTGAGTGATCGCACTCATACTAGTACGTATTTTTGCTGATATGCGTCAGGTAGTAGACTGGGAACCGCCATCGCAAGAAAGAGCTACGACCATAATCGTAAGTTGGTCTCTCCTACAACGACATGCACAGACTGACACTTGTGGCATTGTAGGGCGGCTTCTTTAGTGCAGATGGAGCACATGATGTACACAGTCACCTAGATCGATCGGGTGAACCACTGATACCAGACCTTGAAGACGGCTTCAAGCTCAAAACTCCCGCAGAGCTACTCAAGTATCAAGACCTGACCTTGCAAGGTCTTACGTATGAGCGAGAGTATTCTGATTATTGGAACTCGACCGAAAGCCAAGACGGTAAGATATCAACATTCATAGTATTTAGTCAGAGGCTGATGTATGTAGGCCAGATTGTGGATGCCGTTTTGATGCCTGTTGCACCGCATGCAGCTGTTATACCTGGAAAGTTCTATCATGGAGGTGAGTATTTTTTGCCCTGGTTGTATAGTTTGAAGCTAAACGGAATCACAGCCTACACCGATGCGATGAATGTGACCAACTACTCGGTTGTTGTCATCCCTACCATACGAGCTGATGCGAACAATGACGTCTTTGACAATTCATACAAACCCTTGGGTGACTTGGATAACAAGAATTGGAAAGCCTGCAAGTCATAATCTACGATACAAGCTTTTTAGCTATTCTGTATCTTGCGCAAGTGATTATGCTGACTACAGTAGATGATCCGGCTCTTTATGACAAAGCTCCTGTAGGGATTCAGATTGTTGGACGAAAGTTTGAGGAAGAGAAATGTCTGGCCATCGCTCGAATTGTCCACTCCATTCTTCGAAGTTCGCTGTAAGAGCATACGCACATCAAGAATTCGCATGACGCTGTTCTCATTTATGTCATATTTCGATTCGAGGCGATATGAATAAAGGCTCAACGTCAAACATCACCATTACTCGAAATAGAGTTCCGTTATACAAAACACAAAGACGACGCAAGACTTGGAGCTGATTCCAAATGGGTTAGTGAGTTGTGGCCTCGATTCCTGTCAAAGCACTGGTCAACGCGGATTGTCAAGGTCGACTAAACATCATTCTGGCCACAACAAAGGAATTGTAACGAGTACAATGAGTATAAAATAATCTTTAAAGTTCATTGCTTTTCCGTGATTTTGTAGAGAAACGTGAGTTTCAAGACGTTATCCCTCTCGATGGTTGTAGGCAGACATGATGCCACATCTATATGTGCGGCTGCTACAACAACTCCAGTCGCCTGCTTAATGAGTTGTAAACTTAGGCCATTTTTTCACATACGACCATAGCTCTTGGAAAATACGGGATCCCGTCTGCTCTCCCAGAGTCAAGCCGAGAAGCGGTGAATTAGTACTCAGGTCGGTGACGACTGGGGAATCCTCACTGTTGTATGTTTTTTTGTCTTCCTTTTCTTTTTCCCTTTGAATTATTCTTATGCTCTTAGATGTTTACTCTCATCTACCGTACAAGGCTCCAACCTGTTTCTGTGTTGTGGTGAATGCCGACCCATTTTCTGGAATAGGATGTTGATGCGCAACATGTCTGTAAGATTCACTTGTAACACAAAAACGTTAAGCCATCACCGCCATGCCGCGTTGTTACTTCCCTAGGTAGTGGTATTGTAGTGATCGAAGAATCAGAAACATATAATAGTCAATTTCTAGAATTTTTTCATTCCATCCTAGGTATGCTCGATAACTCGTTGTCAGCTTGAACGACTACGCCGTCAGCTACTACCCTACAATTTATTTACAAGCCCGGGCCAACTGACGGACAAGGTGCTATTTCCGGCCAACACTCAATTTCAACTAATAATCTGATAAAGCAATGCTGTCCGTTGTCGGCGTCGCTAGTGATCAATAGTGAAATCTTGATTCGCAAGCCTGTCTTGTTCAGAGCATTTCAGAAGACGCCAATCCGGAGGATCTACCACTTCAGGGAAGTTAATGGCCGAACAGCCGACGCTAGACCCGGGACCCAGTGGAATGGTACCCGGACACAACGTCGATAAGGAGATTGAACGTGTTAATGCGGAATTATTTCACGTGGAGACTGCGAGTTGGATACCATTTTATGAATAGAGAGACCTTGGAGTTCAGCTGATACACGAATGAGTTACAATAATAGAGAGCGGAATTGAAGAGTCGAATACTACCTAAATATGAGCTGGAATATGGGCTCGATTGAGGCTAGTCTTGATAGAACGGCCCAGAAACGTGGCAGTCCACATTTTCCTTAGTTGCCAAGTCTGTTTTTGATGGTCTAGAAGAAGGATCAAAGTTAAATTCGAGCCTAGATTAATTCAGGCAGGAAGAGAACATCATCAGGTAATTGAGAAAATGGTGGAAAGGAGCCATGATCAGACCCAGGGAATGGCTGACTGTCAGACCAAGGATCCCCTGAAAGTTCTGGTGCTGCAGGGATATTGATGCGCCAATAGGGACCCGAAAGTAGGAGACCGGTGAAAAAAAATCAGTGCTGCCACCAAATTCCCAATCTCAAACTGTTACGTCTCCTTTATGTAACGACAAAGACTTTCTTTGGCTGGCCTTACAAGGCGACATTTCTTTCCCCAGAGTGCACGACACATAGAAATTCGTTTAGCTTTAGAGAGCAATGTTTATTTCCCCAGACTTGAATTGTCAAGCGAGAATTGATACGAGAGCTTGCGCAGACGACATGTGAGAAATGCATCGCGACAATCCTTCCCTCGGACTAGCGACGGGACTGGATCTTGAGCTTGTGATTAGGGGCTATTTCCACGTGCGAGCCAGCCACTGTAGCAATCCTTTCGGTGCAAGATCAACAGACAAAGGCGACAAGTTTGACTATTGGTTAACAAGGGGCCCAATCCTGTACAAGGACAATCTTGTACAAGTGATGACCTCTATTATTGGCCCATATTTTGCGTCTTATCGGTCAAATTACAGTAGTCCACACTCAATATTATCTTTCACAACATCAAACAACAGATACTCCATACATGACACCACTTCTAGAGATTAATCCTTGGCGCCACATTCTAGGCGACTTCTTCAACAGGCCAAGACTCGGCGCACAACAACCTTTTCCGCGCTCAAAACCGCTATCTTTTTACGCCGACTTCGCAATCTGCACCTTGTTCAGAATGCAGTTAGCTCAACAGCCAAGAGTAAAACAGAATACGGTACAGTACGATACCCCTGGCTGTCAACCCTCCCCCAATGTAACGGTACCGATTTCGCACTCATTCATGATACGATCGTGACATGGATAGCGTCCAAGCCATTGGGAATGGGTGTCATTTCCATCCGGAGAGTCTTCAATCCGACAGGATTGAAGGATTCAAGTCTTGATAACTGTGCATCTGACCGCAACTACTACAACCAGATTGAAGTTGTTCTTCCAATCGATGAAAAACTCATCTTATTGCTTACAGGCCTGACAGGCTTGGTAGGATGAATGAATGGGTGGCGTGCCCCTGGCACTAGTTAGACTCGGCTCTTTTTAGTGAACGGCTGGCCATTGACGTGCGCCATCACCAGTGGCGGCTGAACTGCGCCGCTTTCGCTGACCATCCAACACAGCTAACGTCTTGTCTTGTCCTGCTTCGGTGACACAATTTGTCTGGACCAATTGACCAGGGTCTCTTCCATCGAGCCCCTTGTTCCTTTAGCTCTTGATCTGTTAAGAACTCATTAATGTCCCGCATCCGTCCCTCAAATGCAGGAACCATGTTTCCCAATTTTTTGCTTTTCCCCGCGTCGTTACACTCTTTGCTTTTTTCTTGACTTACCAACATCCCGGGGTTTTATACTCATATCGACCTAATCCGAATTGGCTCACCAGTGACTTGTTTCCGGGCGTACCGCCCTTGACCTTTCCGTCATGTCGCTCTACACGGACGCTCCCGATGCCCGGACCTTTGATCAAGACAAGCCAACCCTGCTTGTCTCGTGGTGGATCACAGCCTTTTGCATGGCCATCATCCTGACTCGAATGGCCGGTAGATATGTGCGCGTCGAAAAGTTACTCAAGGAGGACAAGATTGTGGCGGCAGCACTCGTACCACTCGTTCTAAGAGCCGTGTGCGTTCATTTTGTGCTCAAGAACGGCACGAATAATGTGAACTTGGATGGCGTGGACCTGAGTGATGAAGATATCAACAAGAGGGTTCTGGGAAGTCGCTTGGTCATGGCCAGTAGGATATTCTACGCTTCTGTGTAGGTAATAAGCTGTTGCTGCGAGGACAACGTTGCTAACAAGAACCAGGCTTTGGATTCTCAAACTTACCACTCTTGAATTCTTTGAGCGTCTTGCTGGTGCTACAAGACGAAAGTCACATCGTATAATGATCCACGTTATTCGCGGCACCCTCGCTGCTACCTTTCTTGCCGTTCTCATCAGCGATCTTGCCGAATGCCAACCGTTCCCTCACTACTGGCAGGTCACACCCGATCCTGGACCTCAATGCCGTCAAGCATTTGTACAAATGCTCACCATGGGCTCGTGCAACGCCCTTACTGATCTTCTTCTTATCGCATTTCCCATTCCCATTATTCTCTCGACTCAAATCCCGACTAAGCGGAAGGTTCTTCTTATTATGCTTTTCAGCTTTGGACTTTTGACAGTTGGCATTACTCTGTACCGCATCCCACGAATTCTGGAAGCGGGCGGTAGCCAAGTACTTCGCACAATGTGGGCGTCCATCGAGATCCTCGCCGCGACCGCCGTCGGCAATATCGTTGCGCTGGGATCATTCTTGCGTGACAGCGGTGTCAAGCGCAAGAAGTACAAGGACTCGGAGAGCTACGACGGCTACTCCAACTCGAGATCACAGTCTCAAGGTACGAGACTCACGCGTACGAATGGACAGAGTCAGTGGGAGGAAGACGAAATTCCTGTGAGGACGACGGAGGGGATCTGGGCCAAGTCGCATGATATTAGTGACTCTGTCTCCAAAGTCTCTGGAGAACGGCCTGTGAGTCCTACTCAGAGTCATGATTCACTTATAACACGTGATCATACAGATGAGTCGATGGATATCCCGAGAGATGGTTTTAAATACCAACAACCTCCAACAGCTGTGATTGCAGGAGATGCGAGACAAGTGCAACGAGCGCAGGCGACTAGTTGAAATTTGCGATTGAATTAAGCATGGACCATTTCCTGTATATATGTATACATATTGTTTGGGATACCACGATAATCATGAACTTTACTTTGTCAAACATGAGATGAATTTCCCCCCGGGTTAGTGATGTTGACCCAATTTATGTACGTAACAGCAACTCCAAACCCACCACGATAGCTTCAGGGACCAGGTCGACCCCAGACCCAGAGTGGATAAGAGATGGCTGTGCTCCCCATGGGCAGAAAGCATAATCTTGGGGTGAGAGTTGCTGATTTCCCCCGATTGATGGTCATGAAATAAGATTTGACTTGTGCAGGACATTCAATGACTCTGTCAGCATTGATCAGAGTTAGAATAAAGCAATAAACTCTTGATCTTGGCTCTGAAGCTAACTTGCTGATCTCGTCACCGTTGAAACGTCCCGCTGACATCTTCCACTTTCTGTCACCCAGACTACTGCGCTGCACGGGGTACACTAATTTCACCAGTCGGGTTATCTCACATTACCATTTCACTTTCTTCAATGCATCTTATCTCACATGCATAATTTCTCCATCACTAGCAAATTCTGATAGTGTCCCACTCTCCTTGTATCTCAATTGTTACCTTTTGACGATCTTGTCCATTATTTGCCACCCAAACAGAAAAAATACGCGTTTGTACCCGTGGCAAACCCGTCCATTCAAACCATCGACGGCAACAATCTTCTAGAAGGCTTCTAGAAGCCGATAAACAGATTTTTCCCCTTCCTTATCGCTCAAGGATGAATAATCTGCATCGCAATCTGGTTACGCAACTACACTCACACGATCATTCTCATCTCACAACGTCATTCGTTACCCCAACCTCAATCAAACATCATCCCCATGTCTAGCTCCATCACAGTGTCTCTCTTTACTCTCCCTCCGAAACCATAAATCTCCATATCTCCCGATCCCCCCGCCTTCCCATTTTTACCCATCTCAGTGGACCGCGAACTCAAAAAAACCTCACGATGAAGGAACGCGACACACAAAGCATGAACAACACACGTATAGAGCTGGATTCCCTACCAAGAAGTGATAGTATAAAACACGAACCTCCTATACTCAATGGTGCAGGGAATTGGATCAATGGATTCAGGCGCGCCGATCCGAGGCCAGGATATGAGCCTACCGATGCTCCCGAGAGGTTTTACGATTTAAGAGCCGCCAATGCTAAGACGGCGAATACCGCGCTTGCGAGGGAGTTGAAAGGGAGGCATTTGCAGATGATTGCTTTTGGAGGTTCTATTGGTGAGTGTTTACCTCTATTGTTCTTGGTCATAGATGATCAATTCCTCTCTCCAACATCCAACCTACCAAAGTCCATTTGCGATTGGAAACAATTGGCTAATTGTAATCTAGGAACTGGTTTATTCGTCGCGTCAGGCGGCTCATTATACAGAGGTGGTCCAGCAAGCCTTTTACTATCTTATATCCTCATCGGAGGAATGCAGTATTGCACAATGCAGTCTTTAGGCGAACTATGTGTAGCTTTTCCAATAGCTGGTTCCTTTTCGGCGTTTTCAACACGTTTCTTAGATCCATCATGGGGGTTTGCCATGGGTTGGAAGTGAGTCACAACATTCGTCTTTTCGAACAGTACTGACAGTTTGACATGTAGTTATTGCTTGCAATGGCTGTTCGTATTGCCTTTGGAGATAATCGCTGGTGCTTTTACAATCGGATATTGGAATGAAGCCATTAGCAGATCAGTTTTTGTCGCCATTTTTCTACTTATCATAGTCGTTATCAACCTATTCGGCGTCAAGACGTACGGAGAAGCGGAGTTTATCTTTTCTCTCATCAAAATCACTGCCATCGTTGGCTTCATGTTGGTCAATCTCGTTCACTTTTGATGTCTCTTGCTAACGATCGCGCAGACTCTTGGCTATTGTGATCAACATAGCCGGCGAGCCAGAAGGCCAATACATAGGTGGCATGTATTGGCGAAACCCGGGCGCGTTCAAGAACGGGTTCAAGGGCTTTTGTAGCGTCTTGGTGACGTCTGCCTTTTCATTTACAGGGACAGAGCTGATCGGTCTCGCTGCTGCCGAGACGGCCAATCCTCGAAAATCTCTACCTACAGCGATCAAGCAGGTGTTTTGGCGTATCATGATTTTCTATTTAGTAGCCCTATTGCTCGTGGGTCTGTTAGTACCCTCTGACGATAAACGTCTTGTCGGCGGTGATAACGTCGCAGACGCTACAGCGAGTCCCTTTGTTATTGCGATAGAGAAGGCTGGTACTTCTCTTCTTCCTGGAATAATGAATGCCATCATCTTGATAGCTGTCATTAGCGTCGGCAACTCAGCTGTCTTTGGGTCTTCGAGGACATTAGCTGCTTTGGCTGAGCAATCCCATGCACCTCAGATCTTTGCCTATGTGGACCGACAAGGTCGTCCACTCATGGCCATCCTCTTCGCATCTTGTATCGGCTTTCTAGCATTCCTTGCGGATGTGAACTCTCATGATGCCATTTTTAACTGGCTCCTCTCCATCAGCGCTCTGAGCACCTTGTTCACATGGGGCAGTATCTGTCTATGCTATATCCGATTTCGCACAGCCTGGAGCTACAACGCACACACGATCGAGCAGCTGCCGTTCAAGTCGCACGTCGGCATCACGGGAGCATGGATAGCTTTGATCGGCTATATACTGGTGCTTGGGTCGCAGATTTGGATAGCTGCGTCTCCTGTGTATGCGCCCGACATCAATGATGGCCCTTCCGGCGTTGCGCAGAACTTTTTCTTGAAGGTTCTGGCCATTCCGATTATCATGTTATTCTATATCTGCCACAAGGTGTGGTATCGCACGCAGATTGTGCGACTGGAAGAAATGGATGTTGAGACAGGGCGACGATACTTTCGTGTACATATCATCGCGGCGCAAGAGCGGGAAGAACGGTTAGGCTGGCCTAAATGGAAAAGGCTTTATTGGTTTTTATGTGCCTGACCGGCTTAATGTGTCATGCTCTAGACATAGACTCAATCTTAAAGAGATTCACATCTTGACATAGTGTTCATTTATATCTTTGTCTTTCAGCTGACATCACCACAACGTTATCGTAAACAGACAATTCATGGCAATCTGCTCCAATTTCCAACACCAATCATAACTACCCTTAGCTTATCAATTATTTTCCAATCAGCTAATGGCTGACAGAGACACTGGAGTAAGCGGCGACCTGGAAATAATGGTAAGGATCCCTGCATACGACTTGGCTCAACCAGTCGGCTTTTAGTAAGTGAGGGGCATAACAAGGAGGATAAATGAAACAGGTACTGCTCAAGAGAAATCTTTTTCGCGTTGTGGTTGACTTCTTTTTCAAATCTTTGTCTTTAAGTTTACAGATGATGTTTAACAGGGAGATGATGGAGACCTCTTACAAAACAATTAGTTGGTATGCAGCGTTAGCTGTCTTTATTTTCTACACCCCTCGCATCCTCACAGTTGCCCTTCGCTGGCATTCTCCTAAGTTTCACGGTCTCCCACGGCCAAAGGTACAGTGTCGAGCTTATCCAATTCACAATTCGAGGTCTGGAATTAATTGACACTTCCTCTCATGTAGGGCCATCAATTTTTCGTCGGTCATGCTTTGCGCATTCTTCGTGCCTCAGGTCCCCATGATCTGTATCTGCAATGGATGCGACAGTGGCCTAACGCACCCTTCATCAGGACTCTTTCGTGGCTGAATGAGGAGATTCTGCTGGTGAATAGTTTGGAAGCGTGCCGCGATGTACTGCAGACCAATATATATTCTTTCGCCAAGCCAGGTTTCTTTCATACGCTGGTAGGAGAGTTCTTAGGTGTTGGGTTGCTGTTTAGTGCTGGAGATCAGCACAAGAGGCTGAGGAGGATTATCACAGGTCAAAATGGACCGGTTCCAGTGCGTGCTTACGCTGATTTTTTTTAGGACCCTTATCAAGACCGAATATAAGAAAGCTGTTTCCAACATTTGTCACCTACTCTCATAAGCTAAATCGTGAGATTGGAGAGTCTTTGGAGGACTTTAATGGTGGAACTTTCAAGAGTATTTACCGCTGATCCCATGTCTCTATCTGTACTCCTCGCTGACCCCTTGAAGTTGAAGACCTTATAACTCGCGTCACACTCGACATCGCTGGCGTCTCATTACTCGGCAGAGAACTGCGTGACTTCCGCTCGCCATCGTCACCCCTGTCCTTCGAACAATGCTACAATGCTATCCTCGTCCAGCCGCTTGCTGGGCAGATCATAAGCTTCATCAACCCGTTTATCCCATTGAGATGGCTCCCTGTGTCTGCCAACCTGGACTTTATTCGCGCCAAATCTGCTCTGAAGACCATGATGGAAGGTCTAATTGAGCAGCGCAGAGCCGAAGTAGCGGCTGCGAAGCAACAGGAGGGCGGTGCTAGCCTTTCGGATGACCTGTTGACCAGGATGATTGAGGCAAGCGCTGGAGAAAGCAAGAGGCTTTCGAAAGAGGAGTTAATCGATATTGTAAGCAGTGTGTGATTAGATTCTGGTGTAGTTTGCTAACTCTTGAGTAAGACTTTGCAGGTCATCGCTGCTGGGCATGAGACGACTGCGAGTTCTCTAGTATGGACAGCATATGCACTTGCCAAGGACACTGCATCGCAGAACCGCTTACGGGCAGAGATTTATTCACTGGGCGCAGAAATGTCTGCCAAAGAAATTGACGAACTACCCTTTCTTGACAACGTGATTCGCGAATCTCTGCGCGTCTACTCGCCCTCGCTAATGATACCCTGGGAAGCGCAGAAGGGCATAACCATCGCCGGAGTATATATTCCCAAAGGAACAACAGTACAGATTATACCAGCTATGATCCAGCTCAATCCTGAAATCTGGGGCAGCGACGCCGATGTTTTTAGACCTGAGAGATGGGAAAATATGGACAGCAACGCAGCCAGTCCTTATGCCATGGAGGCGTTCTCGAATGGTCCACGGATATGTCCTGGTAAAGCGCTGGCCATGTTGAATACGAAAGTATTACTGTTGGGATTGATCAGGGAATTTGAGATGGAGTTATATGACGATGAAAGGGATGTCGAGTTTAGGAACCCGAGTTTGACTTTGAAGGCTAAGAAGCCGATCCGATTCAAGATTAGAAGGGTTAGCTAGTGGTTGAGGTTGCGATGCACAACTTATCTTTATCATCTCACTGGCAGGATAAGAGATAAGATAAGTTGATAAGTTGCACGTCCGAATTGGCTCCTGATAATTATATGGAAATTCGCCAACCCTAAATCACAACTCACATTTATCATGAGCCTCAAAAACATAGACAACTGGTACTGGTAGTATCTACAGGGCATTCTCAATACCGGAGAGTTATATAATAGTATTTAAGTTACAATGTTAGCATAGAAAATTTCACCATGCGAAATACATGTTGCAAAACGACAACGGTCGATCTTGAAAAGCGATGATGAGAGAATTGTTTAACTGCAAACCATGTTCCGACAAGTAGAAGATCGTGCCTATCATTAGATTCAAATAATAATGCTATGATCAACAGAAACGAAAGGTCAGCAACATTACAGCAAAAGACAATAAAATTAATAAGGAGCCTTCACACAATTCCATCCTTGTTAAGTAAGAATCTGTGTATGTTGACATTTTTAACGCCTAGATTAACTCCTTGGCCGAAAAGAGCGTAGTGACAGACATTTAATCTCGCTTCAATATCGATGTTGGGCTAGCCTACAGACTATTGGAAAGCTAGTGGTATAGGCTAACTATTTTTACTTTCAGCTCTTATTTACTTGTTGACTCTGAGCTAATAAATGGATTTCTTCCTCTCTTGTTTCACTCAATCTCAACACAATAGTTCTATTGCTAGTGTTGAAAGCCACAGCCACTTGGTCCGTCGAGATGCGCTTTACTGCTTTGTTACTGCCCATCGTTTTTGGTGCTGCTTCGGCGGGTCCCTGTCGACCCTCTAGCGCCGAGAGTAGCATTGAAACTACCCAACTTGTCAGCTCCACCACAATCGAATCGGTGTTCCCAACTGCCACCGCGACTTTGACAACCGACGATGCAAACACTACTGTGCCTGCAACTGAGATTGAATTGGCATCTACGACAGAATCAGCCGCCGCCGCCTCATCCACGACTGCTTCTTCTGGCCAATGTATCGCGCCGGCGTCGCTACAATGTTGCGTGAGTGTTGGAAAGGCAAACGATGGCCCGGTCAGCATGATTCTGAGTTTGCTTGGTATTGTTATCAAAGATACGAGCATTCCCATTGGACTAACATGTAAGTTTCCCCTCCAATCGTCCTGTTTGGCCATTTAACATTTCCTTTCAGGCCGATCTGTTCCTAATCCCGGAGCCTGTCCCAATATTCCAGTTTGTTGCAATGGTAACAGCTATGTGAGTACTTTATCCCTTGTAAAGTTTCAGTGAATGTTATTGACTTGTATTTCTACAGGGTGGCTTAGTTGCTATTAGCTGCACTTCCGTTTAGTGATATCAATTATTAGTTATCTATAATCATACATCGCATAGACCACTTAATATCAATCAATAGAGCCAAGTCGTTACTATACTTTATTAAGGTAAACTTTTGGCACTCTATACAATCCCCCAGAACGATGCACATATCATCATCAAACTGCATCACAATCTTGTGTGACAATGTCTACCCAGTCAGAGTGTTCTGTTGGGCAATCAAAACACGAAGAAGCGGCTTGGAGGACAGAGAAGAAGTCACTTTGCCGCAAATAAAATCGATATAGTCTTAATGAGACTTCATTTTTACCACTAGGAGCCCAACGAGTCTAAAGAGAGTACTGACTGCAGAACGCTGCCTCTAGATCAAGTTCCTGAAAGAGGCAGGCTGGCGTGGATAAGACAGGGCACTGTGAGTGTAGAAAATTAAGTTACTGAATTTAATAAACGCTCAAGGTTAAATATAGCCGTGGAGACTTTCGGGCCTTCTTCACATTTCCTTTCGTGTGCTTCATACAAATGACAGTCCTGTGCAACTATCGGCCCCTTTACCGAATGCCAGGCTACGAGTAGAATGCACCTCATAAAATCCTCCGACCTGAGACCCCCTGCGACTTTCGCAATTCAGCCCCATAGCGTCATTTTAGGGTGATAAGATGAACGTCCATGCCAGATACCTTGCCAAGCTGAATTTCTCCTGAGTTTGCAAGGTAATTCAACGAGGGTAGAACCAGGACCAGAGATCAAAAGCATACAGGAAGGGTTGATAAGAGAAGTACGTTGGCAAGAATATCGGATAGTATCGTCGTGGTAGCCAGTAATGTAGTGTAAGTTGGAGTTTGATTTGTGTCCAAGCCCCTATACTGGCTATGTACCACATGCCCTTGATTAAACAGCGGTCCTATTCCGCTCTCCTGTGCAACTCAAAACGACCCCTGTTGAATCGATAAGCAAAAGCCCATCCGAGAGACAACTTGCAATGGCTAAGCTCATTACGATGTTGCTAATCTCTTGTTAAACCCAATCCTGGGTCAGGATATTGGAGTATGTCGGGTAATCTGAGATCTCTGCGGGATCCTCCTGAACGGCAATCAAGATGCAGACATACTCTGTAGTTAAGCAGTGATAGCAATTGTTAACCGAAGGATGACGGAATTTGCGCCGTGCATGCACCAAAGATAACGACTCAGCATCTTGCTCGAATAAGGCTAGCGCCACTCAATGGGTCAAAACTATCACCTCTCTATTGACTTCAAGTCTCTACCATTGGACACGGAAGCGAATTGAGCTGCAAACTAAATTGCCTGGAAAGTGCTTAATTCATGGCAGTGAGATAAGGCTGGAATTACCCCAGACCAACGCTCTCCTAGAGACTCGAGTACTCCCGAGTCCTAACTCCAATAAGCATAAAGTTTCGAACTTTCCAGCATACGCGGTAGTTCTAGACTGAGCCCAGACTACGCCATGAAACACACAGCGAGCTAACTTGCAGTTGGCTTTTGAACTGAACGAATGGTATCACAAACCAATCATTCATTTGAGAAATGTGGCCGGGGACTGAATCGCACTCAGCTGTAATGTACTTTATGTGTCTTTTACAGCCCCCCTCCGACTTCCAGAGGTTGATGACATGTGCTTTTAGCTTTCATAAAAAATATCCCAGTATTCTGTAGGATACCGTCGATTAATTTGCACAATGAGATGGCGACATTCTCCATAAGACTCGACCTAAATAAACGCACTCTCAACGCTGCATGGTGGCTGCGCTACCCCTTAATTATCTTTTCAACACCAGTACGGCTTCTCTTTGTTAGCAACTTATCTAAAGCTCCGAGACAAAAAATTAGCTACACAATTCTCTATGATATGAGAATATGAGAAAAGATAGATGCTGTCATATTAAACATCTTAGCCATCTTGTCTATGTGAATCAAAAGTGATATTCCTAATCTTGATAATAATTTTCACATTGTGATTTAATATCCATGATATTGGAGATAGGTTGTTCAGCCTCTACTTTGAGCGATTTATCTACGCTCCATAACATCGGTCCTTATCTAGCTCATGATAGTCCCGACGAGCTGAATATACTAATCTCAGTATGTATTAACAGCAGACTTTAGACACTGCTAATGAGTTATTAGCGGTTATAAATCAACGCTAGGCTGATCAATCCTGCAAGGCAAAACGCCCAATCTCAATCGATCCCAGGCGCAGTTTGAGAAGCCGTCCATATCGAGCAGACTCAACTGTCATTTAGATGTCGCGTCGCTTGTTTTATATTATGCGTAGTGTAAAGTATCCTCAGCACTAGCCTCACTACTTCTCCTCGAGAACGCCACACCAGTGATTACGGGCGGCGACTGACTCAAGATACTGGAGTACACTTAACTCGAATTGAGATAGCGATAGATCTCTTGGTCTTTCCTTGGACTTAACCCACTTCCCTAAATAAATGCGCATGGAACTTTTGTAATGCGATCTGCATCATCCATGAGTTCCCTTCTTTCGTTCAGGAACTTTTGTTTTGACAGCTGTCAACCATGGTTCAAGCTTTCCCTATCCAGTTGCCTAGGCAGAGAGAATTGATCGCTACGTGGGTAATCCTGCCGATGTTATCAACGATCACAGTCGGGCTCAGGTTTTATGCCAAGACAAAGACCAGGGCCGCGTATGGCTGGACTGACTGGATGATTCTGGTATCTCTTGTGAGTTGTGTTGTCTTCCAGTATCGTCTATGACGCTGATGATCTGATCTTTTTATAGTTCTTCACGGACCTCTTTTTCGTCCTTCTTCTTCTGAGTAGGTCTTCCATCGTGCACATGGAAGCACGGACTTCTACCAGGGCTCGACAGCTAACACATGTGTCTGCAAAACAGTGCTTATATACGGAGGCATCGGCGTTCCTGGATACCCATATACTAGCACTACGGCGCCAACCGACGTCTCTTTAATCCACGATCAGGTACGTGCAGATCGATAACGGCTTTAGTGATCCTTGAGCTGACTTGAATGGGGCTTCCTAGATCGGCTTCGCCAACAACATTGTCCTTGTACTTGCAGTCTACGCATGCAAAGCCTCCATCCTCTTTCTATATCATCGCGTCTTCACAGGTCTTAATGGCCGGATGACAATTATTATATACACGGCATCGGGTATTACCATGGTGTGCTTCTTAGGCAGTTTCATCGGTTACCTCGCAGCGGTACGGCCGATCGAGAAATGGTGGGCATGGGGCGATGCAACAGCGGAACAGTTCCTAGCCATGCAGAACATCAACATCGCCTATGACAGCTTGACAGTTTTTACCGACTTCTTGATCTTTGTACTCCCGCTTAAGTCAATCTGGGGACTGAATATGAACCGACCGAAAAAGATTGGCATTATTGTATCGTTTTGCTTTGGCTTTATGTAAGTTTCCTTCAATCCCTGATACATCAGGAAAAGCGCGCCGTTGAACTGTGAACTGTAATTGACATCATTTGACTAGCACCTGCTTCATTTCCCTTGCCCGGGTCGTCTTTACACATGGCTATCAATGGAAGAATCTATACGACGAAGGAACCGTATGGAGCCTCGCAGGCGTCGAGCCAGTGGCAGGTATCATCTCCGCATGCCTCCCTGGGTTGCGTCCACTACTACCCAAGACCTTCAAGATGACATCTTACGGCACTCCTGCAAACCCTAGCAGATTCAGGACAACTGGCACTACAGCGACAGATAACGTTAAGAAGAGTACCATTAAGGATCCCAACCCATTTACGGTCCTCAATGATGATAGCTCGGTCACAGAATTCCGCCACACTGTCAGAGAGGTCCCTTCAAGATCGGAGGTGAGTGACGATTATATTGAGCTGGAAGAACGGCGACCAAAGGCTTTTGATGCCTAGCAAGGAGTTATCAAGAGGCACAGTAGGATACCCATATATTGTAAGATTATAGCAGCTATTGAAATAGGGAGATCTGATTTGTCTCCAAAACGCACAGAAGCGTAAGGCTTAGGGTTAGTACCTGAATGCCATTTCTTTTGTACTATTACAACTATATCCAACAATCTACCTCTGCTGCCTGCTGCAGATTGTCCGTAGCAGTGTTGTTCACCGAAGGAATAACTCATAGCTGAGATATAGTAACCATCCTAAGTATTTTGCTTGTAAGCGAGCTGAGTACTAGTGTAGTAAGTACATATATACACATGAGGGTTCATAAGAAAGATCAAGAGCAGAAACAAAGTGTAGACGAAAGGTTGAAAGAGACAATGTATGTACTATACAGCGATTGATAAAGAAGGTATTGTGATTCAAATCAGCCATATCATGTAATGTTACTTCTGAGAGAAAATAACAACATGATCCGCTCTCCTTCTAACCCATGGGTTTCGACTCAAAAAGCTGTTTACAATAAATTGATTCTTCACAAAAGAGTAAAGTAAGCCATAAGTACTAGTCCTCCATTGTGTACCAGAAGATACGGGAAGTTAACAACCAATGCTTACTGTCTAGTAGAGATGTCTTCTTGGTCGACAAGGAGAGCGCGTAGTTGTAGTTTGATCGCTGATGCCCTCGATAGTGCTAGTCGTCTCATCAGTCGCAGCGAATTCAGTGGTAGCACTAGATTCAGTAGTGGCCGTGGTGCCTGTTTCCCTGGTAGTCGTGCTTCCAACACTTGTCTCGGCTTTCGTTGCTGTTGATTCATCGGTGGTACTTGTCTCTGTCGGTATTCCAGCGGCAGTAGTTGTGGTAGTGGTCTCTTCTGCAAAAGCGGTAGTAGTAGTGGCGTCTGCCGTAGTGATGTCCAAAGCCGTAGCTGTGGTTGTCTCTTCGGAAGCAACAAACCAGATGAATGTACCCGATGTACCCGATGCTGTGTCCGAGGCCGGGATTATTTGTGTGTACGGTCGCTCTCCTCGTTCTAGCATCGTGGTCTGCTTGACATAGTTGATCTCTACTCCGTCAGGGGGAGACTCGTACTCGGTGCAAGAAAGCCCCTTGATCAGGAAAGCAGGGTCGTTTCCGCTGTCACCCTGGTCACATGCCACGATGCATAAATCGACTTGTGATTCGGGTACCGTCGACCTTGAATATCCTGTGACGCTGTCTGGCGGGAATATAGCATTGGGGGACTTTTCGATAGAGGATGGATTGCGAATTTATGTCTTGACCGTTGAACTTTGCAAATTGCTCAAACTTATCGGTATAGGCGAAGAAGCCGATACTATCGGGGTTGACACTATTCTAAATCGACCAAGTCAGCTTTCCGGCACCAACCTTAAGAGATGGCTATACAAACTCATTAGGCTTATTGGTAGCAAAGAGAAACTCAATTCGAAGCCCATTGTACCCAGCATCAAGAAGGACGCTCGCATATATAACAGCGGCATCTTTACTACCGGTACTACAATAGTCATTTGACTCTCCGCCCTGATTATCAAAACTTCCGTCCCCTCCAGGCAAGGCTCCAGATACTTGAACTGTAATTAGGATAACACCATTTACAATACCGAAGGGACCATCGGTAAAGGTTCCTACGGACCCGGCTACGGCAGTCCTGTCCCAGTTAACCACGGACACTCGTGGACCACTGGAAATGGCATTGGCTATGGCCTGGCCGCCATCATTGTCTACTGTGTCTAGTGAAGTCGTGGCAGAGGAATGGTAGAGCGAATAAGGCAGCGAGACGCCCAGATTTAATCAACTTCATTTTTAAAATCGTTGGAAAATGTGGTGAGTACAGTCGTTCGGCACAAGATAGCCTCCCTCCATGACCGTTAGACTCAACGATAGCCTTGTTAAAAATAGTCCTCAGATTCTTTAGAGTAGATAGTTTTATCTCCGACAACTTAGTTTCCAAGAAAAGGGCCCGAAATATTTTGAACATTATCCAGGAGATTGATGACTGCTGCTAGCAATAAACCAAGTTCCTTAGGTACTTGGTTCTGCTCCGCAACCACAATTCTGCCTGGCTAACAAATAAATCACTATTCCTATCTGCGCAGTAATTTACCAAGAGGTCCATAATCCTGATTTCCGTAAGGCTCTCAGCGGCATCGGATCGATTTGAGCCACTAGTAGTACACTACAAAGATAATCATCCCGATGAACATCCTGAGTCTGGTGAATGTGAAGATGGATCTCTTCAAGTGATATGCTGGCTTGAGAAGCAAGTAGATGCTCTGCATTCACAATTTATGCTGGGCCTTTCTTGTAGTCGTCCAGCCTTATCCTTCCCCTGCTTGGCTCACATCGTCTCACCTAGCCTTGGGTTATCCCAGAACAATCACCCAAGCCTTAGGAATATCTCAAATTTCGCGTTTACATAGATTACTTAAAAATATATCTTCTGTATTGGCAAAAAGAAGTAAAGTGCAACGGGTTGCTATGCAGTCAAGGGCTTAGCATTACAAAAAGAGAATGTAGGTGTAGGGTACGTATCGATTGAATAGCTAGGTAAAAATGTCAAGTAGAAATAAGGTCGCTTAGAAAACTCAATTGGAGGAAAAGTTGGGAATAAGGAAAACAGATCGGGATTGAAGATATCACGCGAGCAAAGCCAAACAAAGAAGGTTACCCGATGGTTCCGTGATGTTACAGTAAGAGATCCCAAAAGGGCAAGACTGAGCGTCAATGATGGTTTCATTGGAGCTGGGGGATCGGGGAAAGACGAGGTTAGTTCATTGTCTTGTGGAGGGGCCAGAGAGTGGTGCAACGTTGAAGGACCTGGTATGTGTAACGGCGCAGAGTCAATTTTTTCTCACAGACGCCCGTTGAGTAGAGTGAGGGATATCTTTGTCATGATAGAATCACAGATTCTTGTCTAATATGAAGCAAATGGAGAGACTGTTTGTTGGAGAGCCTGTTAGTGTGTGGTTTATTCTGATGCCTGGGATTTAGCGCCAAGAATTGGGTACAAAATACTGCTGCCTTGGCATCAGCTCCACTACGTCATTTGTGCCGTTTATCCGATGACGTTTAGGCAGCCGAATTAATTGGTACGTACTGAGATTTCCTGCAGTCGTTCACTGAGACCTCAACCCAAACCCAAATTCAAGGTGTTAAGTGGCTTTTTTTTACAGTAGAGCACTAATAAATAGAGGTGTGATTATACTGATGTCAATTGGCTAAAGGAATTGATTGCTTCTCCAACTTGGAGTAGCGGATCATCATGGGGAAGAGGAGCTGTTTGACCCGTTGCCTTTGATACTGGAGGCGAATACCAGCCATCGAAAACAAAATGAATTAAGTTGTGATACATGTTTCACAAAAAATGAAAGAGTTCAATGTTGACCGCTACAGCTTCATTAATGTTAATTACTTACAATGTACCTCAAACCTGTCCAACCATCATAGCATCACGCAGTGTAACCCCATCCCTTGAACACGGCAGCAAAAGACAAGAAACGACCCCTGCTTCCCAACATAACCTTAAGTTTCCACAATTCTCCTTGTGTGCTTACCACTAAGAAGCTCTCTTTCATCACAAACTAGCACACCATCACGCTCAGAACAACTGGAGTACGGGGATGGGTCGGGGATGAGAACTGAGACATGACCCTATCTCTGCTGATCTTTTCCCCAAACTTGATGCTTACTTGGGACTAGACTAACCTTTCCCCCAGACACTTTGCGAAAAAAAAACAAGCGGGGAAATGTTAGTGAGTCTGGGGATTGGGATTGACTCGATAATCTCCTCGATGGCTCTTGCCCCTCGGCTCAGTAGCAAGCAAAAGATATTTGTCTCACCAGGGTATTTAATATTGCGCTGATCCCTCCTGGTTTCTTTTTTCTTGGCCAGGGCAATCCATCAAATCCTTCTTCTACTCATTCTCACACCACTGAATACCAGGATGGATAACAAAGAGCTGGGCCCCGACGTCCCTCAAGCGTCTCACGACGAGAAGCATGCCCTTGATGGAGCTCATAGCGACATTCCTCACGCCAGTGGAGGTCGACGTGGCTCAACTGCTCTCAATATCGTTGAGAACCCGTTGCAGGTACGTTGAAGTTAATCATCTTGGCGATTCCTTGGCCGCGGGTACATCTCTTGGCCTCGTGGTTTACGTCTTGGCGATGATCGCCTAGCTTCTTGGCAGATCTAATCCCTGCTCCAAGAAAAGAAGTCATCAATTGCAACTCTCCAATACTGCATCATATCACTAACACCATTTCTACTCACAGCGCGTAACACCTGAACAAGCCGCCCACGATGGTCGCATTTTCGCTCAGAACCACGGCATGCCCGAACACGCAGAACTCTTCGGTCGCGCTGCTCTCGTAGCCCGTGACCAAGGACGATTCAACATGGTCAAAGAACTCCAAGAAGACGAGCGACAAGCCCTCGAGTACGAGAGAGACCACAAGTGGCACGGCCCAAAGATGCTCTGGTACTCTATCTCTCTTTGCGCCATCGGCGCCGCCACCCAGGGCTGGGATCAGACCGGTTCCAACGGTGCCAACCTCTCGTTTCCTAAAGAATTTGGTCTCGATGAGAAAAACAGTATTCGGGATCAATGGATCGTCGGTCTTGTCAATTCCATCATCTTTCTTACTGCTGGTCTCATTGGCGCATTCATCGTTGACCCCCTCAATCATTACTTCGGTCGTCGAGGTGAAATCTTCATTACCGCATGCTGTCTTACTGCCACGCCTATCGCCTCCGGCTTCACCCACTCATGGCAAACACTTTTCGCCGTGCGCTTCGTCATGGGAATTGGTATTGGTGCCAAAAACGCTACCGTCCCTATCTACTCAGCTGAGATGGCTCCCGCACGCATTCGTGGTGCCCTCGTCATGTTCTGGCAGCTGTGGGTCGTCGTCGGAATCTTCCTCGGCTTCTGTGCCAATGTCATCGTCAAGGACACTGGCCGAATCGCGTGGCGTCTGCAGCTCGGCTCTGCCTTTATCCCCTCCTTCCTTCTCGGTCTTGGTATCTGGTTCTGTCCAGAGTCGCCTCGTTGGCTCATGAAGCACGGCAAGCATGCCAAGGGTTTCCGATCGATGCAAAAGCTGCGAGCGCACGACATTATCGCCGCGAGGGACTTTTACTATTCTTGGGTTATCTACGAGGAGGAATTAACTGTTGCAAGGGGCGCTGGATATTTCCAGCGTTTGTGGGACTGCTTTGCTGTGCCACGAATTAGACGCGCCAACTATGGTGCTTCGACTGTCATGATTGCGCAGCAGATGTGCGGTATCAATAGTAAGTCAACACCTCTGGATCATAACTACAGGGGACTAATGTATTGCAGTTATTTCCTTCTACAGTTCTACCATTTTCGTCAATGCTGGCTACACCGAAGTCCAAGCCCTGTATGCTTCACTAGGATACGGTGCTATTCAAGTCATTGCAACAATCCCGACGTTGTTTCTCATCGACACCAAGGGACGCAGAACGCTATGTCTCATCGTAAGCAGCCCTCTCCACCTGTCGGCTTCGATACTAACTATGTCCAGACCTTCCCGTTCATGTGTGTCTTCTTGCTCGCTGCTGGTCTGTCTCTCCTCAATCATAGTGGCAGCCGAGGTGCGCAGATTGGACCCGTTGTTCTGTAAGTCATATCATGTTTATTATCCAAACCCTCACTAACCAGGTTTAGGTTCGTCTACCTCTTCACAATCGCCTACTCCCTGGGTGAAGGTCCTGTCGCCTTTCAATACTCTGCCGAAGTATTCCCTACTATCCAGCGTGAGCAGGGTATGGCCTGGGCTGTCTGCATCAACAACACCTTTGGTGAGCACTTACACCTATGGCAACAAAAGTATTTGTGCTAACAAGATCTATAGCTGGTATTCTCGGTCTCACCTTCCCTCGAATGACTGCTGCCATGACACCCACTGGAGCCTGTAAGTGTTTCTACAAATGTACCCGTCTGCTCACTTGCTAACACCGCACAGTCGGCTTCTACGCAGGACTGAACCTGATCGCGTGGGGCATGATCTTTTGCTTTGTCCGTGAAACCAAGCAGCTCACGCTTGAGGAACTTGACCGTAAGCAGGCCGCCATTCACATTTCCTCCTCATTTACTGACAATTCTGTGCAGAGGTCTTTTCTGTTCCGACAAGCCAGTTCATCTCTTACGAGACCAAGGTGTGGCTGCCATACTTTATCAAGCGCCACATCCTCCGCAAGAAGATTGAGAAGCCCCCAAGAATCATTGAGCGAGCTGATAAGTCCAATGACTCTGCTTGAGCATGTTGATCATGGGAGTTGGTGACTGGGACAATACCTAGTTGATTGAACAGGGTCTGGTATGGCTTGATGTATTCATGATGGTAACTTACTTGTTCCGTTGAGTAAATATTAAAATTGACATATCTTTACGATTAATTTAATTATGCTGTGCCTTTCTTATACACTATTACAACGGTTAATTATGAGATCCGGGTTGTTGCAAAGCCTTTTGAGCTATAAATGTTTTATACGTAACATTCTCACCCCCCTTTCGTATCAATCAAGTGGGCCAGATCGCCATGTAATGACTAGTATCAGCTATCTTAGCGTAAAACGCTTAGGTGAATCATGAAAGGTAAATTGTAAAAGTCAAAGTTATCAAATTGAAAGTGTGACATAAACATACGCTAATGCAAGACTACCTAATAAACATACACAAACTCATCGTTCTTGGAATCAGTGATATCCATAAACGCATTCTGTCCCAACTGATCATCCTCGCCCTCCGCCGCATTAGCCACATATCGATGCTCCATACTAAGATCCCGAATCTTGGCAGGCTTTCCATTGTTGACTCGCTTGCGCTCCTGCAACTTGTTCAAGAACATCAAGTTGACCAGTTGAAGGATGATGACTCCGATCATAGCACCAGTGATGCCCATGGTCTTGGTAAGACCGGGCTTGTAGTAAGGTGCGTCCTTAGAGCTGAAGAGTAGCGGACCAATGATGTTACCGGCTGAGACGCCAATGTTGTACAGGGACATGATGACAGACTTCTTTGTGGTACCGGCAATGTTGGAGATCATCCACGAAACGATAAGTGGGTTTCCACCGAAAAGGAAGGCTAACATGTAGTATGCTGCCAGAAGGGGAGCTGTCTTGTCGCGGCTGAGCTGGTGCAACATAACGGCGCCTGCGAGGACAGGTAGCATGACTGCGACCAGGAAGGCCGACTTGACACGGAAGCGATGAGCAAGGTACGACGCAGGGAAAATGACTAGAAGTTGGACTGCGCCAAAGGGAATGTTGAGAAGCGATGTGACACCCTTGTCAAAACCGAAGCCACCAACAATGATGGGTCCAAAGGTATTTGTCACAGCAGCAGTGACATTGAGGCACAATGCCATACCGATGAATAGCCACGTCTTGGGCTCAACAAGAGCCTCAAAGGCCTGTGACCATGTAAAGTTGCGGCTACCAGTACCTGTCTGGTTGGCGCGCAGACGCTCGATGGTCTGTAGCTTCTCGTGTTCGGTTAAGAAACGTGCAGAGGGAATATCGTTATCGAGAGCCCAATACACCACGGGTGCTGTCAGGACGGTGATGAGACCAGCGAAGAGAAATAGGATACGCCACGACGCAAGAGATCCATTGATCTGGCCGAGTCCGAATGACAATGCAGCGGCAAACATGTTGGCTGCACCATTGGTACCATACCAACACGCCACACGCATTGGCTGTTCAGCGCGGCGGTACCATTGGGAAGTGATGACGGAAAACAGAGGAAGGCAGGCTGCTTCGAACAAACCCAACAAGAAACGTGTAGCCAATAAGCCTTCATAGGTTGTGCAAGCAGCCATACAGGCTTGTGCAGTTCCCCAACCTAACACAAGGGTGCTCATAAAAATGCGGTGCGGGACTTTGACCATGAGCCAGGACGAAAAAGGTAGCCAGACGAGTTGGGCGATGGGGGCCATGGATCCGACCATGGAGTACTCATTTCCCGTGAGGTTTGTGTCCTCGCGCATGCCCCAGACGGCACCGTATCCGAGGACGGACTTGTCGAGGATTTGAAGAAAGTAGACCCATACTAGGATGGAGAGGACGTGTTTGTCGGTCTTGCGACGGAGGCGTTTGTTCTAAAACAAGTCAACTTGGGGTCGGACGGATAAAAGATAGGAAGTGTATTACATCTTCTTCTGTGACTTCAATGTGCTGAGTACCAATCATCTCAGCTGCACGGTCCGCATGGTCGGATACGGGGACGGGCTTCGCGATATTGGATTCGATGTCTTCGGTTTGTTGTTGAGAGGGTTCATCGTCGGACTTTGAGTTTCGTGACATGGCTGCGGCGAAGAAGCGATAGCTTCAAGGGTGAGGGTGTAGGTGAGAGTATAGGAACTGAGTGGCAATCACAGTTCTTTTATCTTCGCCTTTCGGAATCAGTATTCAATGGTTTCTGAAGTTCCCTGCAGCAAATCAAGAAGTATGGAGAAACCCCACGATATTAAAGTCTGGGGAATCTGGGGGAGGAGAACAAAGTGGAACGATAAATGTTGCGGGGTTGGCCTAATCAATTGACTAGCAAGCGGTCAGTCGACAGTCACCCAGTATGAAGATCATTGCTTTTCTGGTTTCCTTGGAGTTTCTTCAATGCCTCGGGCTGTGATGCGAGTCATGCATGCGGGGTTTGGTAGACGTCATTTGCCTAGCTTCAGTTCTTCAATAGCCGAAGACGTGGGGGCTCACAATCTGTCGGCAATCCAAAATGGTCAAGTACAGAACCTTGAAACGGACCGGAAGTGAGCCGCGGGAAGGTTGACTGTCGACCTTTGAATGGGCCGATTCTGTTTGTTTCTATCTGGTGATGAAGCGTGGGGGTTTCTGTCTTTGGGCTCTTGTTTTGTATGCCGCTTCCCCCATGTTTAATGCCCGATATGTCAGTTACTTGAAGGTTTAGAGCAGGATCAGGATTTCCCCGCATTCTGTGCCGCAACCGTTGTCCTTGGCCACGGAGTGAATACCGGCGGAGATGAAAACGTGGGGGTTGGAGTTTGAGACAGGAAGGTTTAGCCAGGCTGTCCTTTTAACTCCAGATATCAGTCACATTCACGACCTATTATCATCTAATTTTTGCGCCTTATCCATTGCCAACAAGAGTCAAATGGTCACTTGAAAATTGACTCTTCAGTTTTCTATTTAGAACAGGCCAAGTAAATGCAATGGGTATAAATTGATAAGAAATCAAGCACATTAAAATGGACCACGGTAAAGATGTGTTTGGACCAAATCCTGAAGTCTCCAAAGTCTATCCTGTAAATTACCTACATCCCTACCATAAGGCTGCATTACAGATCGATCCAGTCCAATGTAAATGTAACTTCGCATAACTACTGGAATGCGTCAAATGCATGCGTACGCTGATCAGTTACCCGGCAGGTTGGGTTTCATCATTCGAACAGTGACAAATAGTCCCAGCTTACCCAAGAGGTCTACGGCTAAGTCAAATCCTGAAGAGATGGTCATACGACGGTCTTTATGCTAAGAAATATTTCTCACTAAAGGAAGCGGCCCGACGACAGCTTCACTTACCCCGGATTTTCGAGTACGTGGGGGTATTAACGCGTGGGGGTTCAGTTTATTCATCTTGTGTCTAGTTAAGTGGAGTTGAAGGATCATGAGGAGTATTACGTTACCCAAGGCCATCGGCGGGGAAGCCGAGTCATTGCATAGAAAAGTTCTCTTTAGCTTTTGCAAACGCACCTAATTCAGTTCCTAAACACTCACTTATCTCTGAAAATCCAATCAACAATGGCTAAAATCGCATCTATCGTATACTACCGTGTGAAGCCGCGATGGCTGATGGTCAAGGTTGTTGATGAGAATGGCCAACACGGATGGGGCGAGGCAACGCTTGAAGGTCACGATCTTGCTGTGGAAGGTTGCCTTGATGAGATGATACCTCGAATCATTGGCCAGGAAGCAAAGTAAGAAACAGGTTGACAGATGAGAGATTCTTGAACTGACGTTAAACCAGTGACATCGAGAATATTTGGCAGACATTCTGGCGCCATGGTTTTTACCGTGGAGGGCCTGTCTTCATGTCAGCCATGTCAGGAATTGATATTGCCTTGTGGGATCTCAAAGGTATGGCACTTAACCTCGTCTCTACATCACATGTTAACCTCGGATAGGTCGCAATCTGAAAGTCCCGATTTACGAGCTTCTAGGTGGCAAGGTGAGGAACAAGGTGCAAGTGTACTGTTGGATCGGAGGAGACCGGCCTTCAGACGTTGAAGCAGCTGCGTAAGTTGTTCCGCTCTGACAAAGCTCACCTAGTCTGACAATTCGGCAGCAAAAAGCGTTTAGAACAAGGTCTGACATGCGTAAAAATGAACGCGACCGAAGACCTTGGATGGATTGACTCCCCATCGGCCCTTGACAGCACTGTCGAACGATTGAAGCAAGTAAAAGCACTCGGTCTTGATGTCGGTCTGGACTTCCACGGACGCTGTCACAAAGCCATGGCCAAGCAGCTTGCGAGAGCGCTCGAACCTCACAGACCATTATTCATCGAAGAACCGATTCTTTGTGAGCATCCTGAGGCGATCAAAAAGTTGTCAGACCAGACCGTTATTCCTATCGCATTTGGCGAAAGGTTGTATACCCGTTGGGACGTAAAGCGTTTCTTGGAAGACTCAAGTGTGGACATTTTACAACCCGACATTGCACATGCAGGTGGTATCTCAGAAACGAAGCGCATAGCCAATATGGCGGAAGCATACGATGTTGCCATCGCGCCGCATTGTCCTCTTGGACCAGTCGCGTTCGCAGCTTCAGTCCAAGTTGCATTGTCGACGCCCAACTTTGCTATCCTCGAGATGAGTTTGGGAATGCACTACAACACTGAGGCAGGCGATATTGATTTGCTTACCTACTTAAAGAACCCGAGCGTATTTGACCTCGACAGTGGACATATCAGGGCGCCTACTGGCTATGGACTTGGTATTGAGATTGATGAGAAAATGGTGATACGAATTGCAAAGGAGACTGAGCCTTGGCAGTGCAAGACGTTCCATGGACCAGATGGCGGAATTCGTGAATGGTAAGAATAGCATTGATCGTTCTGTTGATAGAAGAAATTTGTTACAAACCAGGATCTTACAGTGTCCACGTGTTTGTGACATACATGCACAGAAACATCTTCAAGCAAGCTAACCCAAGGCCTACACCGATGTAGCCCATGCTCACCTTCAAGGTATTCGGCCAGTCGGGATTATTGTAAATGCCTCAACCGATGCACTCATAGAAACCAGTGAACAAGGTTTTGAAAAACAACGATTGTCGATTACAATCAACGCAGCGTTTGTTAGCGGCCTATCCAACAAGGTTGCAACGGTTAGCCAAAGATCCAGAACATCGGCCCTTGCGCCATTACCAGAAGTAAGCAGTTGGTTAAGCATATTCTTTACCTTAAATGAAAACAATAAATTGAGACTAGATCTGCGGCGTTTTCGCTCAAAAAGGTTATGGACAATGCCAAGATACCTTGATAGATACTGCTGAGTGGGACGTTGCGAACCCGGATAGACAACATCATCCATGGATGCCAGAAACACCACAGTGAAGGGTTTTCTAGCAGCAGATTTATCGACGCCAAACGAACTGTAATTCGTCCATTGTTCTTGGATGACGCCACTAAGGCTCGGTCTGTTCATGTTTCTTTGGGTTAACTCAACCTGCACGGTTGAGCCCTGTCGCTCATATCCTTGCCCCACGACTCTAACAGACAAAACGCTGCATATCAGATTCTCACAGGCTAGAATTGAAAGGATTTCCGGCCATTCTAGGGAGGTGGTTGGCCATCCTTGTTTCCACCTTATGGGGACCCGGATGTTACGATAAACATGTCATGGCCTGTCAGCAGACCTGTATAAATACCCTCAAACACCTCCTGCATCTTAGCTCCTCCAGCCTCTCAGCCTCATCTAGACTACAACACCACTCTTGAGCCGACAATCCTCAAAGATCACATCCTTTCAATTAAACACTCTTCAAGATGATGTTCAAGTCCACCACCGCGGCCATGCTCCTCTTTGGAGCTGCCACTGCCACTCCCATCTTTGGCCGTGCCGAGGCCAGCCAGACCAAATCGGCCTCTCAATCTTCCAAGACAGGTGAGAGCAGCGCTTATGACTGGTCAGAGGGCTGGACCAAGGACTACCCCATCCACCAGTCCTGTAACGCGACGCTCCGTCGCCAGTTGTCCAACGCTTTGGATGAGACCGTCCAGCTTGCCCAGCATGCCAAGGACCACATTCTTCGACATGGACACAAGTCGGAGTTTTTTACCAAATACTTTGGCAATGCTTCTACTTCTCAGCCTATTGGATGGTACGACCGTGTTGTCAACGCCGACAAGACTGGCGTACTCTTCCGTTGCGATGACCCCGACAAGAACTGTGCTACACAAGACGGTAATTAAAACACGATTCAAACATTTTGACCAATTGATCTAACTGTTGTAGCTTGGGCTGGACACTGGCGAGGTGACAATGCCACCTCCGAGACAGTCATCTGTCCCCTCTCCTTCGAGATCCGCCGCAACCTCGACTCTGTCTGCAATCTGGGTTACACTGTCGCCAACTCCAAGTTGAACACTTTCTGGGCCACAGACCTTCTCCACCGGGTCTTGCACGTCCCTATCATCAGCGAGGAGACCGTCGACCACTTCGCCGAGAACTATACTGATGCTCTCGCGCTTGCCAAGTCCGACCCCTCCAAGAGCGTCATCGACAGCGACGCCCTGCAGTACTTTGCTATTGATGTGTGGGCTTATGACGTCGCTGCTCCTGGAGAAGGATGCACTGGTGAGGTTGAGGAAGATGATGAAGAGGAGGAGCCTACTGCTACCAAGTCTGACTCTTCCAAGCCCAGCGCTACCAAGGAGGCTCCCAAGGAGTGCCACACTCACGATGACGGTGTTGTTCACTGCTCTTAAGCGCTGAATGCACTATGAAGGATAAAATTTCGATTCTTATGACCCTTTTTTGTGTCGGAGAATGTCGGGAAAGCTGGCATTTTTGAAAGCGCGCAGGTCTAGACGTATCCATGCGTATATGGAGATTAGTGGAAGACAAAGACAAGACCCTGCTACGACCAACTAAGAAGTAATGATAATAGACTATTAGAATATTCTATAAGTATAAGTCTTAAATGTTTACATTGTGATTCTAATTCATATGATGTGACATGCGATTAAAATTGAAATGGCTACATACTCCTTCTTTAAATACAGTGTCTACGCTATATGTTAGTCGTGATAGTATGATCAATAGAGATCTTCATCTCAAACATTGCCTTCATCTGACTCTAATCCTACCGGGTATCCATACGCAAAGAGCCAATATTCGCATTTGAAAACGTCGGTAGTATATCGCCTGGATCCTCCAACCTATGAAGTCTTTCCTCCAAGCTCTCTTCACCGTCCATTAACTCCAGCTGCCTATTGTATAGCTCTTTCAACTCGCTCCTCGTCGCCGCCATCTGTTCTCGATATAGACCACAATATGTCTCGAGAGTCTTGATTCGCTCCTGCAATGCTTCTATAACTTCCCACGCTGCTGAGCTATTCTGATATAAAGCTTTCATTTGCATGGCTGATTCTTCTTCGTTACTCTCCACTGTTTCCTCGAGATCGCTGATCCGACAGACCAAGCTTTCTGGTTGATAGCTGCCTTTTTGGTGCAACATTGATTCCAGATCCTTTACTCTCTTTTTGAGAGTTGTTAAGTCGTCGCCCGTCCTTTGAATGGAGTGAGGAGAGTGGAAGCATGCGAAATGGCCGCAGTAGCACGTTGCACCAGGAAGAGATGTGTTATGATGAAATCCCATACATCCGCATCGGTGGCCTTTTAGCTCGGGTATTGTGAGGATGTAACGGCATTGGCCTTTGGGAAGTTGGGAGACATCTCCTGGTGGAGCTGAGGCTGACTGAGTAGAGCGATGCAGATCGTGAGATCTTGGGTCATGTTGAGGACTGCGGGCACCCGACATTTTGGATAGGTGATTTATGTATACAAAGATAAGATGGACAAAAGAACAGGATTACCCGTGAAAATCCCGTTTTATTGAACATTCTCACGAGAACATTGCCACCGGCAAGTCAGCTCACACGACCCCGCGACAAGACCTCGGTGTCAAGGCCGAGAGGGGACGTGGGGGTCAAGTCAGGAACAAATCGGCCAACTCTGAGGTTTCTTTAATGTAAGAAATCGGCCCTAAAGCGTGCATCCCACGATCTGCGGGGAAGCCCGGATTTTGATGCCGGGATTAAAGTTCGTCATGTTGTTGCCGGAGGATGTGGGGGATAGATCGGAGAACTGTTACCGGTATAACCGAAGTTGGTAACGGAGAGAAGGACAAAGGCATCGAAGATACACAACTACGTCAGTTCAAATAATAAAAGGAGATCTAATCCCTCGTATGTATAGATTAGATATATACACCTTTGGTGACTATGTTACTTGTTTGCAGCAATAAGACGTTTGTTGATGGCCAAAAGAACAATATAAAGAGTCTCGATGGTCGTCACCTCGATCCCCAACTCTCTGCCCTTCCTAACAGGATATCCCAAGATAACCTCTACCTCCATCGGCTTTCCATTCTCGTAATCAGTCCTCATGCTACTTCCAATCGGTGGCATACCTAGAATCTTCTCCAAAAGCCGATCAATTAGCTCATACTGAAGAGGTACATCGAGAGCATTAGCTACATCAATGACTTCTTTCATCAGTCTTCTCGTCATTGGCGTCGACAAATCTGAAGAGCTCAACCAGGAATGCGTGTCCGTGAGCGTGAGCGCTGTAAGAGAGTTCCAGGCTGCATTCCAGACAACCTTTTCCCACCGCTGGACCTGGATATCCGGAACAATTTGGAAGATGGTTTTACCAATGGAGAGCAGTGATTCGAACTGCGAGAGATGAGTTTTGTCGAGAGCGGAGTCACCGGCTTTATTCGGGTACAACCCCATCTGCATGTCTTCGGATGTGGTATGTTCAACAATACCAGGTTGCGGCTGCCTTGCTCCAACCCATGTCTGATAAGTTGTTAGTCATAGAGTTAATAGCATGCATAAAGTAGCATAGACGTACCACGCATGATATGATGGTGGTCTTGGGAAATGACTCCCTGAACGCGTCCTCATTGCCGACACCATTCTGGATGATTACGATTGTCGTATTATCGCCAATAGCAGGTGCAATATCGGCTGCAGTACTGGCCTGATCAACTGCCTTGTTGGTACAGATGACAAAGTCGAACTTTTGACCAGCATCCTTGACGTGTCTAAGGACTATCGACTATTTAGTAATGTGTAATGTTGGCCAATTGATGTAACCTACCACTGTCAGGCTTCACGTGATGTTTTCCATGGTTTTGGCTGTTTATACTGATTCCATTCGCGGCCACAGCGTCGTAGTTGGATCGAGCGACCACTGTTAAGCGAACTCGTTCACTGCGACTGAGGATGAACGCGTAAAAGGAACCGATGCTTCACGAGGGTGTCAGTACCAATGTCGCAACTCGAACGTGAATGATTTTACGTACGCTCCTAAACCGTAGACTAGAACTTCCAATTTTTTATCACTCATTTTGACAATGACGACAAGGTCTTATTGAAGTGGAGGGTCGAGGACGGACTTTATGTGGTGCTTTTCCGAGCCACCCAGACTCTTCCCCTCACTCGGGTAAGCCATCTCCAAAAGTGGCAGTGTACTGTCAAACCAAGGGCGTGGGGGTCACATTTGATTGCCGAATTGCTTTGACGAAAACTGGGGGTCATCTTCGGTGGTTAATGTCCGTATCCGACGGTCAATTGAGCATATGACCATTGCAATGCTGTTGCGGTAACTCCTTTGTATGTGTCAACTTACCTTACGCTCATTTAAAGGCAGAGTCGGTACAACGGGACGCATAACATAGGCGCGTTACTAAATGAAAAAAAACTCATGTAAACATACATAAAGAGGGAGATACAGATCGTCGCAGGTGGATTAATTACCATCAGTCATTTAAATGGTCGTTAATTTAATGTTCGGCCTTTTTGCACTGATCTGGGGTCGCTGCATTGTTTGATTGCACTCACTTGTTGTGGGGGTCTAACTCGTTTCTCACAATACACCACAACCATCTCATAATGTGTATAAAAGCATGTAATCGGCTTCCCTGGTCTTCCATGAAAGTTTGAATTTTATCCCAGGTTTTCTTGAATATAAAAGCTCCACGTCAGAAGGTGACACGTCAAGCAATCAAAAACTAGTCGCTTTATACCCTAGATCTGACTGTTAAAGCTTGATCCGGAAACCCATGCTCTATAAATAGACAGATTATAATGCATGTATGTATGTATATCTAAAGATGAGCAGGACGTAAAGATATGCGAAGCAGGATGTATCGGAAATCATATTCAGCGTTACACAATTGGATGGATCAAGTTAATTGCGCGGCCTCATTCCTCAAAACCGTTATCACGTCGCACCGAGCAGTAATATTATGCCAAGTAGTGATACGAGAGATAACTTTCGGCTGATTTGCTTACCGAGAGTAGGTATGCATACCGAAACCCCGCTGTATCCGGCCTCATAGAGTGGCTTGATGCATCAGATCAGATCAAGAGAAAGCACCTGATCAAAGGTACCATCTAAATACCCCTTACTCCCTCTTCTACATCGGGAGCCCTTTGTCTCACCTTTTTCTAATGACCATGGCTCTAAAGCAAAATGGCGGAGCTCATTTGAGCAGCGACATCAATTTTATCCAGACTCCCAGAGCGCCCGCTGATACCCTCTCAACGGGTAGAAACCCAGGTGTTCCATTGACCAACGCATGTTTCTCCCACCTATCTTATGTATCTGCTGACATGGCTATGTGATTTAATAGTACCCCTCCATAAAAAACGCTCCTCTCCCTGCTGATGGTCCCGGATACGAACAATGGTCCAATATCTTCCTCGCCACTGCTCTCGTTGGCATTCCCCAATGGCTGTCATGGAAACTGGGCGGCGGCTTCAAAACGGCTCTTTTCCTCTCAATATTCACAACTATTCCCATTTTAGTTGTGATCTGGAAATTTATGTCTAGCTACAGTCCCCGTATCAATCATGAAGTCACATTACCCGGCCGCCCTGTGGAATTCTACCTTACCTTCAAGAGCGATTCACATCGCGCGCGATGGACAGGGAGGCATAAGATACCAATGGCAACATTTTTCGAATTATATTTCACAGGCCAAGTAGATCTCAATGGTGATGCGCTGGAGGTGTTTGAGTATCGACATGATTGGGCAACATTCAATTTTACTAGCGAAACATTTCGGTACATCTTGTTTACTTTCTTCCCCGACGTTGTCCTTCACCTTCGCTCACAGGACGAAGAGCAGGTGCGTACAAATTATGATAGCGGAAATGACCACTACGCTTGGTTTCTGGGCCCTCGTATGATCTATACTTCTGGTATCATCTCAGACCCTACTCGGGAGGAAACTTTGGAGGAGATGCAAGATAATAAGCTTGCTATAGTGTGCGAAAAGATCGACCTGAAAGAAGGGGATACACTTCTCGATATCGGTTGCGGCTGGGGTACCTTGGCCAAATTTGCCAGCCTAAACTACGGTGCCAATGTCACAGGCGTGACCCTCGCTCGCAATCAAGTGGATTGGGGAAACGACGGGCTTCGAAAAGCCGGTGTGCCGGATGAGCAGAGCAAGCTTCTATGCTGTGACTATCGTGACATTCCCGAAGAGCAGAAATTCAACAAGATCACACAGTTAGAGATGGCTGAGCATGTGGGCGTTCAACGCCTGACAGGCTTCTTTCGACAATGCTACGAGATGCTTGAGAACGATGGAGTTATGTATGTTCAGGTGTCTGGTTTGCGAAAGGCGTGGCAGTATGAAGACTTTATTTGGGGGCTGTTTCTCAACCAGTATATCTTCCCGGGAGCTGATGCATCTACGCCATTGTCATATTATGTGGGATGCCTTGAGAGCGCTGGTTTTGAGGTCAAAAGGTGAGTGATTGCAGCAGTTCTCTAGAGCGATATCTGACCGAGGTAATCCAGTGTCGATACTGTTGGCGTTCACTATTCTGGCACACTTTGGCGATGGTACAGAAACTGGCTGGGTAACGCCGACAAGGTGGAGGCCAAGTATGGAAAGCGCTGGTTCCGCGTACGTATCACATCATACTCATGGTATTTATTTACTAACCCTTTCACATCAAGATCTGGGAAATATTTCTGGCTTATTCCACCATTGCTGCCCGTCAAGGCTCGGCTACATGCTTTCAGATTGTTGTGGTGAAGAATCTCAACTCGACTCATCGCATTAATGGTGTTTGCTCTCAATATGGACTTCATGGTGCTCTTGAGGCAGCACGGGCTGCTGGAAAGGCTAGCCTACACAAGTCATGAGACATGTTGTGGCAAGAAAGCGATTACTTACGATGAATAAGTGAGTTGGCAATCGAGTTTGAAGTTTGAGACTGGGATATCTATCAATAGGTCATAAATCCGGAACTCAAGGACGCCCCATGTCGAGCAGAGTGGGTGAACAGATGTTGGGACGAAATGCTGGATTACTATTATTTGCGGAGCCATACTCATGATTCATTTCGATCAAAATAGCAAGTATTATTTCCTATGGATTGACATCAAACTAAACTTTTGTACTTTTTAATACTCTTATCTCACCCAACCATGCACCATATCAACGAACCTCTGGACTTGCATTACATCAGTCGCCCACGTTGTTAATAGTCTGATAACAGCCTCATCATCGCCACACTTCTCCCATACATAAAAGCTAAAATGCTCCTTCAGCATCTTGATCAATCCCAGTGGAAGCACCGCAAACACCTGGTTTGTCTCTGTCGCAGCATATACCGAGAAGCCAGCGTCAGCGATTCCATTGGAAAGTGCCTCAGCTGCCAGATTTGCCTTGCGCGCAAGGTCAAAGTATAAATCTCCTTCGAATAACTCGGCGAACTGTGCGCCAATCACCCTTCCCTTAGCTAACAGTGAACCATGTTGCTTGACATAAAACTCGTATTCGGAAGCCAGTCGGGCGTCCTTGACGACAACTGCTTCGCCTAAGAGAGCACCGTTCTTTGTTCCTCCGATCCAGAATATGTCTGTCAATTCGAGGATATCCGATAGTGTCATATCGTTGGATTTTGATGCAAGGGCAGTTCCAATGCGGGCTCCGTCAAGAAACAGGATGAGGCCATTCTTTTCGCAAACTTCCTTTATCGCGGCCATTTCGTTCCTTGTGTATATGGTGCCGATCTCGGTCGCATTCGAGATGTATACTAATTTGGGTTTGGCCATATGAGGAAAATGCCAATTATCGTCCAACGCCCGCTCAATGCTTTGAGGGGTAAGTTTGCCATTGACAGGAGCAACATTTATTATCTTGTGGCCGCTGGCTTCCACAGCACCTGTTTCTCTTGTCACGATATGTCCAGAGCTTGCGGCAATGACTGCTTCGTGGGGACGTAGGCATGCGGCAATGGAGATGGCATTGGCTGATGTTCCGCTGGGTACAAAGAAGATGCCGACATCGTCGCGACCGAGGTGGGCTCGGATTCGCTTCCGTGCGAGATCGCAGTATGTATCGTTGCCGTAACCGGTTTCTTGGGTGGTGTTGCTGGCGATGAGAGCTTTGAGAAGGGCTGGATGTGCGCCTTCGCTATAGTCGTCCATGAAACCATAGCGAGAGATTGGGGTTGGTATTTGAGAAGGCATCTTGAATGTGATTGAGGTTCTAAAGATGTGATGATCTCTCTTAGTGTGGCAGACTAATTAATGAATCAGTTGTGGCATTTCTATATAGAATATTCCATCTCCACTCGATGATGCATAGAATGGGGTCGTTAGTAATGGCGTTGTTAGTCAACCGTTACTTGTGGGTCAATTGTTACTCAACATTCCATGACACTTGCCAGACTATTGCACCGAATTCTTCACCGTGTCTTTCGTATTGACAATAACTTTCGTCGAATCGTATCATGTGGTCTCTTTCAATTTCTTCAATTGCGCTGCTGACGACAACCGGCCCGGTTACAACAGCCCACGGGACCTCACTCGTACATCGAGCCCCATCTAAATCGTACTCGCTGCATCGAGAGAAAAGTCGATGAAGCTTCGGTAAGTCTCCACTGTAGATGGATCCAGCGGTTTCGGATACGTAAGTATCTTTTGATATTTTGGCTTAAGAGGCATGCCAGTTGCTGTCAGGCCTCCCGCTTGATCCCACAGCTCCGGATACTTTTCGAAGAAAGCGGGGTCAATCTTGTAATAACCTGCTCCCTTGTCCATATTCAATTTATTGAATGCTGCTCTTGCGTATGCGGGCGAAGAAAACAGGGTTGAAATATCCGGAGCAGGTAGAACAGCAGTCATGGACTCATCTCCAGATGATCGAGCCATTGTGTTGATAAGATCTGTAACACGTACGTAGACCATTATCGGCGGGGTACCCAGTATCAGGTCTGACATGAGTGCCTCTACCACGTAGCCTGTCACTGCGTCGCAGAAGATCTGGTCAATGTGTGGATTGGCCGAGTGTAGCTGGATTAACCGGTCTCGGATCGATGGGAAAGGTATCCAATCAATGATTCCAGGGTGAGGATTTTCCAATTGTGCTTTGGTAGGGCGATACCGAGGATGGAGCTTGTTAAAAGTTGCTGCCGAAGGATAGAGTTGCCAGGCGGTGAGTTCGATAATGTGATAGAAACGTGTCTTGGCATACCATGCCATCACGTCTGGGCGAGTCATACTATTAAACATGGAAAGGACCATTAATACTGGCTGATAGACACTTTGAATAGTTAGCAATCGGCGGTCAACATCTAAAAGAGTGAGTTTACCTGTGTACAGGATGATGACCCTCTGGAACAAAACCGAGTGTGGTAAGCTTAGTTTTCAACATTTTTTGAAGCAACTGTATGTGATCCGAAAAGGGAGAGTTTGTGAATGCGTAATCTTTGCCCAATACCAGACTTGATTCTTCGGTTGCGTTGATGGCAGTGATGTAAGGCTCCAGGCCCATCTGATACTCGTGGCTCCATATGCTGGGTATCTGAGAGTATAACGGATTCGTTCCTGTGACGTTGATGAGCTCTGAGGTGAGACTATTTGTTGGCTCTGGAGCTGATTCTGCATTTATTCAGTTAGGCCTTACGCTTAACGTGTTGATGGTTTCATCACTTACGCGTAGTGTTTGTTGACACAAAAGGCACATCAAAGTCAAGAATGGACGGGTCAAAAGAGTCGAGATCCAACGAATTCATCGAGGAGTTTGATATATGTTGATCTTTCTTCTGAGTCAAAACATCTCCTTCCTGGTCCGCCTCTTCCGGTGAATGACTCCCGTCTTTGGTGTCGTCCAGCGTTTTAGTAACAGAGTCACTTAATAACTGAACAGAAGCCAAGACTTTAGACATTTTGGCCTGAACCTCGATTAATTGCTGTCTCAGCATCTTGTTCTCTCTCTGCAGCGCCTCCACTCGCTCGCTATCAGGCCGCTGGTCCGCATTTACGCGGTTGCGTAGTTCTCTGATACATTCCGCTTGCCTGCGACGGAAAGCCCGCTGTGAAAGCCGATTACGGAGCTTCCTGAAAAACTTAATGTTAGCAAGCGATGATGCGGGGAAGGGAAGGGTTATTGATTACTTTCTCTCTGCTTCACTGATGGGAGCACTCTTGTCGTCGGCTTGGGACGTGCTCGGTGAGTCCATATTAGTTCGGTGTGCAATGTCCTAGATACAAGGCCAGCGACGGTGAACTGCACGGTAGTCTAGATCTGATCAGGTCGGCATTCGGAGAGTAGCCGGATCTTTGGGTCCCAATTCCGGTCTTAGACGGTTAGGATCGGCGGTTCGGATTTACGAGTTCGTTTAGGTTCCGCACTAACCTTAACGTATCTAGGTAACTGCCAGCAAATTGACGTATCCTCTTGCTGACGCTATTCAAAGAGGGGAGCAGGGCAGCTTGTGACGACTAGCGATTACACAGACAAAACACATAGCATCGACCTTGAAAGAAATGTTATTTCTAATTACCAAGAAAACTTGGGCCTTCAGATATGGATGTCAACAGGAGACTGGCAACATTAAGAGGGGAAGAGTTTGCCGCCGGGATACCTGCTATCCTCCAGGCAGCGCGTGATGCGGACTCTGTTCAAGATGGCGATGTTTCAGAAGACGAGTTCTTCAATATCATTAGGTTGCGTGCGATGGAGCCCCCAGTCATAGCATCTCTCTCATCCATTCTCGAGTCGTCGATTGAGGACGGCGATTTTGCCTCACTTGAGATGCACCAGCTCGTTTTCTATTCCGTCGTTTCCAAACTATCTCTCGAGCAATTGCAAACTTATCGACCCGCAATAAAAACACTGATAGGATTTGATGTATCATCTTTCAAGTCCCGGTCTAGTCACTATGTGCAAACTATCCATCTGATCAATAACGCAAGGCTGCTGGACCGATTTATAGAGAAACCACAGGATGTCTGGGTCCCCGAAAACAAATTCGACCAAATTTCTTACCGGACATTGTGGGAGCGCGTGCATACAGCGGATCAAATGAGACCGTACATGCATGATCTGTTCAACTGGCAAGTAGACCCATGTCATCCGCCTTTCAACCCTTGCCGTGAACAACTGGCGCGGTTCCCCGTGGTTTCTGCTGCTGTTGCTGCCGAGGTTATGAGTATGGCAGTCAACGATATCGAGCATCAGCACTACTTGATTGGTTTTGTATCAGAATGTGTGCCTGTTGGCAGGGCCTGGTATCCGATGCGTCCTCCAGTAGAACAGATGGTACGAGCGCTCGAAAGTAAAAGCAAAGAGCAGCTTGAAAAGGACGGCGAAGAGGATTTTCTTGACGAAGCAAAGACATGGTTAAAAGTTCTTGAGAAGTGGGAGATAAATAGTCAGTTTATAGGTGTAGCTTAGTATGCCTCTACACAAGAACAATTTCTTTTTCTTCGTAACCGGCCTGCCGAGCTCGAGATGCCACAACCGCCTGACCGTCCATAAACTTGTACATATAGCATTGCCCTACCACCTGGTACTCCCCAGAATCCCCCTTAGGCCTTAAAACAAAAGGGACATCAGCACCAAGAAGTACAGCACATATATCCCCGGACTGCATAGCTGAAGGCCCCATTCCCCAATACCCTTCCATCGTATTGAAGAACCGCCTATTGACAGCATGAGACTTGAAACTAGGCGTGAATGACTTTCCGACTTCTAAAACAGTGCTCAGGTTCCAGAAGCCATCGCCGTGTTTTGGCACCAGATGGGCTTGGTAGAAACCATTGTTCAGATGCATACAATATCCAGCCAACTGCTCGACCACCCGCTCGCGACCGTCCATAGGTTGGTTACCCCTGATCTTGTAGTGACAGGAAAGTGTCGACGCAAATGCCGCTAGTACCTCTTTCGGTAGATATGGGTGCGGTCTCCGTCCTGCTAGATCCCAGCACAAGTCAACGAGCAGGCCGCCGAAATCCTTGTCCACATCGAAGTCCGAAGACTCCATCGTTCGTGTGAACTGATTAACCTCCCCAATAATGATCCCGGATACTTTGAGTCGATTCCCATCAACAGAAGCCTTGGCAGGATTCCCTTCCTCCTTTCGTAGACTAGCGTCCCATGCTTCCCAAAAAGCGTCCGCGTGGTTTTGCGTCTTTTTATTCCACATTGGCACCCATGTTGGATAACCAGATCCAAGTTTAAGGCTTTCTCCAGTCTGGTGCGCCTGTACCAGGAAGTTTAATGAGTCTTGAGACAGGCTAGCGGCTAACAGTCGGTGCTGTTCTTGGACGTCAAGAGAATAGTTGGCCTGTAGCCATGGAGCCTCCGTAACAGGATTCCTAGCCTTTGGGTGACCCAAAAAGGCATACACATGATCTAGCTGATTGGTGGCATTGAAATACCGTGAAGCCTCAAGAACAAGGACGAAGTCGATACTGCATTGGCCAGCGATAAGCTCGGCACAACTCCTTAGCAATGGAGTTCGGTATATCCATGACTCTGTCTTTTCGTACGTGGACCAGACGTTCCACACAGCATAGAGGGGAGCACCCGAGAGAGTTTGAGTTATCTCAGCCCCCAATGCGTGCCTTAGTTCCTCGGTGTAGTATACGTTCCATATGAAGGAAGCAATCTCGCCAAATTCAATAGTACTGTCTCCCCATATTGCTGTTGCTGAACCTGCGAGGCCAACTTCTTGAAGAACCCACACGCGAGAGAACCAAGATAGATCAAATAGTTTCCCAACACAATCTGTTCCCTTTTCACCCAGCACAGATGCATGAACTGATCTCCTTCCGACGGGCCGTGACATTTCTCGAGGTTCTGGATTGGCCTCGGTTTTCATGTATACGGTAGGCATTTCTCCTTCATCAGGGTAGAAATACTCCTTGTCTGTCTTGGTATACAATTTGTAATTAATGGTCTGCAAGCAGCGGAATGCCTCTGATGCAGAGGTGGTAGGATCAGGGCCCAACCACACAACCACATGGTTAGCATTGTCATAGATAGCACCCATTAAATCGACTTGGTGACCTTTCTCATCGTTGTCATTTTGATTGATACATATTGCGTCAGCCCAGGCAATATGCGCCTCATCGGGCTTTCGAAGACGACGCAGCCCATCTGAAAGACTTCGTGTAATCTTGCAAGCATGTCCTGACAGCTCCAAGTCTGCGACCTTGTTTGGATTTCCCCAGACATATGAGAGAGCTGTGTATGGTGTCGAGTTGTCCAGGTCAGACACGAAAAGCTCGCACGCCAAGGCATCGTCAGACGAGCCTGGGAGAATTCTGAGCAACCGAAAGTTTCGCCCGGGTGGAATACCAGTGTACGCAAAAGATTGAGAGTCCATGGATTGTTCGGCCCTAATAGGCTAAGTAAAAGACGATATCGATGTGAGAAGAAGGAAAGTGTGTTTGTTGTCTACCACAAAGATCAAATCTCCACTCATAAATGTTTTGTATGAGGGGTATGTCGCTTCCCTGGATCGTTCGCTGTCACAGCCCCACAAAGATTAATGAACCCGGTTCTTACCTCTTCAGTTGGGATGGAATGATTTCGAATACAAGACTAGTGAAAATCTCATTTCCAAGCAGATAATATCGTCTGCTCAAAGAGTAAGTTCTGCTATCAAGCGTCTCGAACCAACCCCCTGTCTGTCTTGGCATTGGCCCCTGACGTCTTACCGTACTCCAAACGACGAGGCGACGCAACCTTTACAATACGGGAAGGACGACAATGACCCAAAACATATACTTGAGTTTTAAGCTTGTGAATTATATCCGAACACGCATATATGCTCGTAGGTAATGTAAGACGGGAATCATCCTGTTTTTATGAGATATTAATGGTTGTCAACTATGTTTATGCAATGGTTTATCGACTCGAATACACAGGAGGACTCTCGTTATTAGAGTATGGTGGCAGAGAGTCAAGTTGTGTCTGTTCCGCCTTTTTTCTCTCTTTCCTCATCTTCCTCCGGTTCCAGTAACACATGCAAAATAGACAGGTGAAGAGAGCTCCAAAGATAATAGGCAAGCCAACCATGAGAAAAGTAAAATAAGAATCATTGAAAGGGGTATCATTGCCTTCATATCTTGCACGTAGGTTTCGGCTGTTCATAGGCTGGAGAGCCTCCCAGAATTCAATAGTCTGTTCGCTGCTCACTGTAGGTGGCTTTGGAGACAGGGTGGTCTTGTCAGAAGGATGCCAAGTGACGGCCCATGCCTGATGAACCATGAGGGTGCCGTCGCAATGCGGAGCAGTGACTGTTGCACTAGCGAGATCGTTTTCTAGCCTTTTTAACCATTGTTCACATTGGTTTGAGACTACGGAACTAGTTGAATGGGGGTCTTCACTGAGCGACCTTAGCTGATAGCCGCTGAGATAATAGCCGTGTTAGTGTGCTTCGCATCTAGTCTGAGTGGTGCACTAACCTTGCGCAACACAACGCGGTTGCGACCACTGTTGAGGATTGAGATACTCGGGAGATAGCACTACAATTCCAACCTGGTGGACAAACACCCGGGGTAAAGCTCATGAACTTTCCACTGTCGGATTGCTCCCAGCTGGAAGTGAAGCACGGCATGATGGTGTCAGAGACCGGAACAAGCGTAGCAGTAGATCTTCTAATGGGTGTTGTCTTGAAGCTCCTCCTGAAGCTGCTGGGTTCTTCGTATGCTGTAGGTTCAGCAAACTGGTTGTCGACGTTTTTGAAAGATGACATTGGGTCGAAATATACTACCAATATGACTACACTTTGTTTTGGAGTAAGCTATCATCTATTTATGTTGGGCTGAATAGTTCTTCTACCTTTTTAACCATTTCATTTTGTCAATTGACCGTTGGTTCAGGCCTGTTTTCGAAGCTGCGCCCCGGGCTGTGTCACATCAAGGTAGCATTTAACCCCTGCTAGCTTAGTTCTTGTTGGCTCTGAGGTTCTGGCTACTACATAAAGCCATTCGTTAATTAAAATACCTTGTTCTCTATGCGGCGCATAGGCAGGATGAAATCCTGTCGGTATTCAGCCGCCACGCACGCTTCAAGGCAACCTACGGGGATCGCGCCATGCAGTAAAATCTGGTGATCATTAGTCTATTAAGTAGAATCCTCGATGATAAGAATAGACAAAGGCAGAAAGGAAGGATACAGGGCGGCAGCAGGTGAAAGAGATAAATCAAGATGGATATGACATCTAGCCTTCCCAGCCAGTAACCAACTGGGCGAATCGCACAATTGAGAGTAATTTATGTTTCCATCGAGGTACCCGTGGCTGGTGTTGGTTCACAGGGTTGACAGTAGGAGGGATATTGATGATAAGCATGGCAGAATCAAGCTATAGTGATAATAGAATTGCTATAGCCTCCTTTTCGGTTACAGAAATTGGATATACATGTCACAATTAACTCTTGGCATGGGAAAACCCGAACCTACATCTACAACTCATTACTATTATAGGAGCCCAAATTAAATTGACTTTCCATACCATGCCCAACGCCAAGGCTACTTCTACCATTGAGAACTTGACCATAAACGAGAAGGTAATTTGCAAATACACCAACGTTACTTCGAACTTATGCGAGGTAAATGCCGAATGAATTGCTAGGGTTTTGCGGCAGGTACGTTTCCAGACAAGCAAGTCACCTTCCTATCAATCATTCGTATGCATGAGTTTATATTGGGAGCCAGTGTTACAAGCTGCCTTTCTCGCATTGAGCGTAGTGACACGTTTCCCAGTTCAAGGGCATGGGGTCCAGGTAGAGACTTGAACTGGCACTCTGTTACTATTAAATACATTGTTACAGCTAAGGGTGGGAGTTTTGGACACTGTTAGCCGAGCTATGGGAAGTTCAAAGAGACTATATAAGCTAATTCAGATACTACTTGGGGTACATGAGGTGGGGGTAAATCATGACCTAAGATTCTGGATAACTTTGAAGGTTAGCTCAATGTCAAATATATCTTCCATATCGGTTCTATTGAGAACTCTTGATCTATGGCATAAGATAGTTGCACTGGCTGTGACAGCCTTTAACCACGTCGAGCCTCCAAGTGTGTGACAAAGTGAGCTCAAGTGCCCGTGTGATCTTCATTTGATTTATGCCATCATTGCATTTTGGTTCAGCTTTACATATTTTCCCTGTATTAAAACACGTATCGGCCATCGTGTGAAGAATGAAATCGCTTTGTCGAGATGTCAATGCGATTGTGTTAATGAGCCATATTTGATCCTCATTTTTCCACCTCCTGCTCCTCCACGTGACATGTCACTGTGGCATTTTGCGGGCAAGACATCGTTTACATCCTGATTCAAGGATTTAGACTATGAGCTAAGCTGATGATAGCTCAATTTACAATACGTGGCCTCAGTTATCTCGACAATGTCCACAGGTGTCAGAATTGAGTACAATCATGCGATTGGTCCACACAATTGTCTCCACTCAAGTACTTCCAAATCGCTCATGAGGAGACGATCAACTCAACTCTACTAACATCACCAACCATGTCTCCCATAACAGACGATCTTGTTCTTCCTCGCCCTGGTGCAGAAACCTCATCCCAAGAGCCGATACAAGGCCCTTCAGAAGAATCATTCATCCAAGCTTTTGGAGCCTTGCTCCCACCTGCCAAGTTTCTCCAAACTGCCCACGGCAAAGTTGCTTATTATGAGACCCTCCCTGCAGCGTCCGAGCAGCCAATCGATCGTGTACTTTTCATACATGGCGTCCAGACCCCGGCACTAGGCATGCTCCCTCTCGTCCGCGCCCTCGAAAAGTCTTTTCCTCATGCGCATCTGGTTTTGGTAGATCTCTGGGGCCATGGACTTAGCGACACGCCTATTCGACCTCATGAACCGTCCTTGTTCCATCAATTGATTGATGACTTGCTTGATCATCTCCAGTGGTCTTCCGCTCACCTCGTTGGTTTTTCTTTTGGTGGAGCTACCACGGTTAGCTATGTTGTAAACAGATCAACTCGTGTAAAGAGTTTCACACTTGTTGCTCCCGCTGGTCTTTTACGTTCGTCTGATTTCACAATGGAGCAACAATCTTACCTCCGCGGTGACGATGAACAAGCAGCGAGGAGATGGATTTTGGAATTCCTTGAGGGCGGTGAACTTGTCGTGCCTCAGGATTGGAAAGAAAGAGTTGCAAACGGTGAGGTCGTGGCTGAAGCAGTGAGACATTGGCAAATACAAGAGCATCCTGGGCACCTGGCCTCTGTCGTAGCGATTTTCAGAGATGGTGGTGTGATGGATTCACATGTGCAGTTTTCTAAAGTGTCTCAGTTGGAGATACCAAATCTTGCCGTGCTGGGTGAAATGGACGATCTGGTGACCGCGCAGCAGCTCGAGGAGCATGGTTTCAAAAACGTGTTTGTTGTTTCTGGGGCAGGTCATGGAGTGGTGAGGGATAGAGTGAATGAAGTGGCAGCTCTGATTTGTGATTTCTGGAATGGACTCGATAGTTAGGAGCCAATCGTCATCGACATGGCAGCACAGCCTTCCTGATTACTCTTACGAGCAGCCGCCTGGTCTTACAATGGATAATCGACTAAATTGTCTCGAAAGAGCACAGATTCGTCAATCACATGCAGAGCACGTCCTTGACTCCTCATCGATGACGTTCTTATCATAAATACCGCATCCTAGCAACGGAGATTCCCATAAGATCATAACCGTGCATTGCCGATCCCAGACCCTATACATGTCTTAGTTTACACCTTCGACACGGTTCAAAGCTTGAAGAATGCAAGGGACTTCAAGATCAAATACCTAGTCCCATGACGTTAGAGGCTAAGGAGGGACCATGCATATAGAGCGTCTAGATATTCTCCCCTTCTACACAAAACCACCACGTCCTTCCTATAATTTTTAACACATACCAGAGTCAAAGCACCACAAAAGCAATCTCAAAATGGTTGTCGTCGAGATCAGCAGCCAGGACCATTACAATTAGATCCTCCGAAACAACGAAATCGTCATTATTGACTTCTGGGCTACCTGGTGTGGTCCTTGCTAAGCTATTAGGCCAAAGTTTGTGGAATGCTCTGAAGAATACCCTGGTGCCTTTTATGCCGCGGTTGACGTGGATGAATTTCCCGGCATTGCAGAAGAAAATGGGATTCGCGAGTTACCCACATTTATCGTTTTCAAAAACGGAGAGAAAGCTGGTGACGTCATAGGAGCTAATCCTCCCGCCATTTTAAAGCTTATCCAGGCACACACGCCGTAAGAGTGAACTACGCGAGACGATAATTTAGAAAGTTTCATCCGTTACGAAATACCTACAACTGTTTAGAAATGGGCATTTCGAATTGGCTGGCATTTGGTCCTGGTTATTATAACTACAACGTTTTGGGGATGAGGACGGAGAGCAAATAATATAATCGACAATCTATGATCGATGCTCTTTATAGAAATTGGCATGACTTTTATTATTGTTCGTGGAGGAGGTCTCGAGTTAAAAATAAACCCAATTCTCATATCACTATAGTCACATCTCCAATCTTCCTTCCCACAACCTCATCGACGCGAGCATACCTTCAATAATGTTTTTGTTATTCTTTATGCTATCTGCAGAATAGATGGAGATGAAATGGGAAAAGTGACACCACTGATTTCCAACTCCCTGAACAAGCTACATCACTAATTATCAATGCCTGTCAGCATGCAAGCCTTGTTTAGCCGATCCGGACATGTCTCTAAATTTGCGCCATTCATGTGATTGAAAACCTAACAGCGCTGAACACGTATCGATCGATCAATTGTATGATGTCAGAGGCGGTGGAGGGGTTGAGTATTTAGTACCCGTGGATTCTCATAACATGAGTTCATCGCCAGTGATAATCACTTCTCTCTCCTTACCTACCTACCCAACTTTCAAACACATTTTTATAAAATCAATAACATCGCCAAAATGACCGTCACCGCTATCACAAGCCTGGCTCAATACAAGGAGATCATTGAAACCCACGAAAATGTCATCATTGACGCCTGGGCACCGTGGTGTGGTCCTTGCAGATTTATCAGCCCGGTTTTCGAAAAACTCTCCGAAACCTTCAGTAATATTTATTTCGCCAAGGTAGATGTGGACGAGGTGCCTGATGTTTCGGAAGAACTTGGAATTCGCGCAATGCCCACATTCACCGCCTTTAAAAATGGAGAAAAAGTCGATATTCTCCAAGGAGCTGATCCTAACGGGCTTGAAAGACTTATCCAGAAACTGGCTTAGTCGACTACAACAAACTACATAAAAGGATAATCGACAAACGGTCATTTACTCTGATATAATTCTGTTAAGGGTTCTTCTGAACGGACGGCTTCTGATGCCAATTCTCATAAAGATTTTGTTAACGGGGCAGAGCCAACAAGATGAAAGGAAAAAACGCTATTCAGTATCTATGGCCGACACCCTCCATGGTGTGCGTTTACATGGAGATTAAATTTCCTTCTTCAATAATTAAACTGTTGCAAAGGAAAACTCAAGTTAAAACTGCCCCAATGCTCATACAGCGGTATTTGCATCTCTGACCATCTTTCTCACAATTTCGTCGACGCTGTCTGTCCCAAGACCTAACACACGATTCCCTGAACTTTCTTCCTCGGCATAATTCGCTCTCAGACCATGCGTGTTTCCATAAGTAGTCGCGTGCACAAGAATAAATCCACCACTGAAGTCTCCAGCACCCAACCTCTTTCTCGCTTCAGTGACCTCTGCGTCAGTGGTAGTCCTTTCGACATTCCACTTCTCACCAGTGGCTTGCTCCAGGGAATTCAAAATCTCATTTTGTGTAGTCACAACTGAATAAACGTAGAGGTAGCGGTTTCGAGTTTCTTCAGGATGCTGCAGCGTTGAAATGATGGCTTGTGCAAGTTGCTTTTCGTTGGTCAGTGTGAACCTTTTGTTGCCTTCATCCCAGACTTTGGCGGTTCGGTTCTTGATGTCGTATCCAAGAAAGCCATTTGCGAGTCCCTACTTATCATAAGTGTTTCGTCTTTCTGTAATTAGAAAATAGAACATACCCAGTCGAACAATAGACCAGTGGCTAGGCCAGTCCAGCTCAATCCGTCTTTTTCCTTGGACTTAAGATAGTCGATAAGATTCTTCTTGACCTCAAACAATGGTAGTAGTTCCAGCACAACTGGATCCCCACTACTAGATGAGAACTCAGAAGGTAAGAAGCGCTTGATACCAGCACGGACAGAAGCATCAACTAGCTTTTGCTGTTGATCAAAGCCTTCGACTCCGAGGGCGGAAATGACAACTTCTTGGCCCTTCAGCGCTTCCGAGAGATCGTCTTCAGAGAAATCTGTGGTTCGGACTGTCACATTTTCTGGATAAGTCGCTTTACTTTCCTTGCGAGAAAGCACAGTGATATTGAAACTAGAGTTTGATGTAAGGCCGTCGATAATTATCTTGCCAGTGCTTCCGCTAGCCTTTGGGCCATGTCAGTGGGTGTTCCAGCAGAGAGTTTACAGTGACTTACACCGACAACAACAATATTCTTATAAGGCGACATGATAGAAGATACGTAGGTGTTTTGAATGAGGTGAATCAAGATGCTATGAGTGAAATTGTTTGTTGGAAAGCTATATGTTGTAGTTCCAAGCACTTAAATACTCATCAATATCGTCGTGGTCGTCACTCCAGTCCCAACATCCGAAGTCTTGACTTGGAAAGGAACTTGCCTGAACCAATCATGCTTTAGGATGTAGCCTTGGGCCAATTACAAATGTAATGGGCTAGTGCTGACGGTCGATCCATCTAGATGTTGTCATCATAATCAACCAATCAATTCCTTCATTTGTAAAGGCAAAAGGATCGTCTTGGTAAGCCTGGAGAGTTCCGAAGGATTTGGCTTCTGCATTTCTCAGCATCTGTTCCTAGTGTGAAACTGTTGAAAGCGAAGAGCCGAACACCGAGACTTACCTCTGTTAGTATCTCGTTAGTAAATTAGACTAGGAACTTTTTTTTTTCATGACAAAGGACTATCATTAGTTAACCCTATTCTGTTTCGCTGCTTTACCCACTGGTAATATTATTACGAACTGAGCCTCCAGGATTAACATCTAAATCGAATGGAAATTTGACACCAATGGCGGATAATTAATAAGATGGTAACGTTAACAAAGACAAGCCAATTAGGAGCTTTGTCACAATAGTGGAAGACTATTGCACCATCCATACGTAAATTCACATAGCTCATCAACTTGACCATGTCATCGATACAGGTAACCTATGTATATGTCATGCTATCAGCCATTCTACAGTACTCCAGAAAGTCGCATTACGGCAATATTGGTGCCAAAAAAAGCCTTCTCCCATCGTATTTTGTTTGTTCTCTCTCTTTCAACCTTCTTGCATGGGTGTCAATAGTCTCTGCCTTGGTTCTTCTCAGCCGAGGGCAGCATAGAGACCAACAACGCCCCCAGCTCCAATAAGCGCAGCCCTCACAAGGTTGAGCCAACGAAACTTCTCTAACAACGCATTCACCTTTTCATCTTGTTCTTGATTTGAGTCTTCCTTTGTACGTTCCTGAGGCCCACTGAGATCGGTGAACTCAACACCCTCGCCACTTCCCTTAACAGAATCGAAAGCACTTCTGTCAGTCGAGGCGTCACCTTCCGCGGCGGCCCTCCGACTTCTAGCTCCGCCCAGTTTGTTATTCTCCCGAATGAGAGCAAAGTTTGTAGGGATCATAACTTGAGTAAACGGTGCGATACTAAATGAAAGTGCTGCAGCAAGAAGAAGCCCATTGGTTTTGGAAGTGTTATTTGATATGAAGTAGAGGGGGCTGGAGCTTCCATTATCGAGTGATGCGGAATAGATGAAGCCGATAGTTGAGATGAGTGAAGCGGAGGGAAAGACATGAGATCCGCGACTAAAAAGCCATCTAACTGCAGGAAGGGAACGAGATGCTGGTTGAGATTGAAGCTCGGGAATGTCGAAGAATGTCAAAGTGGCGATGCCACCTGATGCCAGAAGGGCGGTGGTGATGGAGAGAACTTGGACGTGAGACATGATGAACTGATATCAGTCTTTTTATTTTATTTTTAGGAGATATGAATGAGACGTGATAGTAACGACATTTGAGACAATTAGAGTGCTGATATATCTGAATTAATATGGATGACGTAGACGGATCTTTAACAGAATGGCGTTCCAATACTTGTGTCGGCATTTTAGAAGTTTCCGTTACTCCGCCAATTGTCCGCCTATCAACAGGTACTTCCATATTCTTAGCACATTAATCACGTATTTCACTACAATTCTTATACAACATTGTTTTCTTCTAGCCCTCTTGAAATTCACCATGGTCCATTGCCATCTCGCCACTCGATACGTGGATAGAGGTCACCTCAAAGATCGACCTTGACAGCGATAGCACTTTGCGAATAGAACCCTGTCGCAAATAGCCAACCCTTTTTCTTACCACCTTCCAACTCAGGGTCAATACCGATCAATACTGCTGTAGCTGCCGATCGCAGCCTGTTTCCATCGTCTTCGAAGAGAAGCTTCTTCTCCCATTTCCCATTCTTTGGCTGAGCTAGCCAAACCATGACGGGTTCAGTTCCGGATGCAACTCCAACTGACTTTGCGAGATCCCCAGCTTTGGATAAACCTGCGGAGACATAACCACTGCTGTCCCCGTTCACGTTGGAGAAAGAATCCGAGTACCACGAAGGGTTATCCACGGCCGTGTCAAAGTCGATGGTCTCGAAAACCTCCAGGGAGTGGTTGCTTTTGACGGTTGCAAGATGAATATCTCCACTTGCAGCACTTCCGATTGCTATCTCATCCGGTGTCCTGCCATGACCTAGACCGTTATTGTTGTGAAGCCCAGTGAGCGCAACAGAAGCATTGAGACCAGCAATAGCATCTTGGGAGGTCGCATCTGTGACTTGCACAAATATAGTGGTTGACCACTTTCCGCCATAATAGACATCTTCAATCTGACGAAGAATACCTTCTCGGTAGTGATGATCGTTGGTAACGTAAAAGCTAGTCGGAGTGCGAGCAACGATATCATTTGGTGTTTGGATCAACGGATGACTGACGGAACGAACATATCGAGCAGTAGAAGACCCTGTTTGATGATGGAATATCTCAATCTGAGATGCCGCTTTGTTTCCGGGATATTTATCATAGGTTTCCCCATCAACCACATGTTGCAGATATTCGGGGTGAGGAAGATGGTTAATAGCGAAAATGTACACACTGGAAGCATCCTCGGGATCCGAAATAACGTCAATTCCATGGGTGATGAAAGGTCCAGCAAAACCGTCAAAAATGAGTTTCTTCGACTTGAATGTTGCAGGATCTATGACGTGGATAGACCCACGGGACTTGCTCGCAGTGAGGGGATCATGGACCACGCTAAGTCCAGGAAACCACGAGAAGCGCGACTCATAAGAATCCTCACAAGCAGTAAATAGCAGGCCGCTAGACTTGTGAAGATGTAAGTCTTCGCAGAGCATCGTGTCCTCAATTGTCACAAAATCTCCATCTTTGACGACAGTGTTGGCTGGTTGGCGAAAGACGCCAAGGACGGTGGTGAAGCGGTTAATTGGACGGGCCAGAAGAACACCGAGGCCAATCGCGAAAGCAGATAAAGCCAGGGTCTTTGGACCTGCAATGGAACACTTGGAAGATGGCATCCTGAAGTATTTCGCCAACTCGTTTGTCTTGAAAGAAGTTGTTACTTTGGTGTTAGGGTCTTGGGATGAGGGGGCATGGAGACAGAAACTAGACTAGACTAAACTACACATTTGCCGAGGTCCAGCTCAAATCAGTGGATTGGTTTACATACGACGCCGATCATATCTCTTCTTCCAGTTGCGACACATTGGAAATCCAGTTTTGTGATGAGTGTTTGTAACCAGGGTTGGTTACAGCTCTGAGTGGTATTTTAGTACCTACCTAGCCACAGGCAGTCTCTACAGATCGCATGTTTCTTTTTTCCATGCCATGAATTGCGACGTAACTTCATTTTTCTGCACCAAATACCTCTACTTTGCATTAAAGAGCGTACATCTGGTAGTATCTGAATACAGGAAACTCGTGAAGCACAGTAGACTCACGTGCGCCACCATCCGCGCGATGCAAAGGTGTAGGTTTTGTGACTAATTTCAGCGCGACTAACAGCAGTACATAGCGAATCAGCATGTCAAAAATGCGATAGATAACCAATTGCCGCCAGGGGTGCAAAGCCGGTTCGTTAAAATGTTAAGGTTATGGGGTGTAAGCCATCGAGAGTCTGATTGGTAGGTCAGACTGGGATGATAAGCCAACTGGTAAGACACAGTCATATCTCTTTCTGGGTATAAGATGTCAGCAAAATGCTATATCTGCGAGCTTACTTCCCGTCACGCAACTCTGCAAACTCTCATAGTTCTACGCATGACCGACATACAGTAGATCATCAAAGAATTAAAAGATGGACGGGACAAATCAGCTATCGAAACCTAGGCTCATCTATCTCGCGGTAAGTTAAACCCTTACAAGCAAAGTGTAGCCACTAACCACCGTCCCAGCACTCTCCAAGTACGCAGGCAGTGCTATGGCTCCTTGAAGAACTTGGAATAGAATACGACATCACGAAATTCGACCGTCCTTTGGACAAGCGAGCAGCCGGTCTCAGCCAAACACATGTACAGGGTCACGCCCCACAGCTCATCCTACCTGATGGGCAGGTTATCACACAAATGAGCGCTTGCATGCTTTACCTCCTTCTCACGTATGACACCAAACAGACGTTCCACAAGACCGATGTTGGATACAGAGTTCGTGAAGACTATCTGGTTAGCCTTGCCACGACTGATCTCGTGGCGCGGTTGGGAACGAAGCATCTATTCATGGTACTGGGTTCTGTAACACCTTTCTTCATAAGTCCTGTAATAAAGCTTCTTGGGTATGGACTCAACAAAGCGTTTCTGGATGAGGATGTCCACAATGCCTTGCAAGTGGTGGAAATGGAGCTTGAAGGTCGAGAATGGATTATGGGAGGCAGCGCGCCTTCGCGAGCCGACATGGCGCTCAAGATTGCTTTGGATATGGCAGTTCAGCCGAACCTTGTCGAGATAGACAAGTGGCCAAGGGTGAAGGCATGGCTGAAGCGATGCGAGGCGAGACCTGCGTGGAAGAGGTCGATTGACAAAGGAATTGGGTATCAGCTCGACTGGAACTCCAGACTTCAAGAAAGCCAAAAGCTTGGTTTGTCGGCTTGGACATGGACATCGGTGGCACTAACTGGGGCTGCAGTTTCTTATTTTGTGATCCGCAGTGCCAATTAAGACCGTTCTTTGCATTTGCATCTATCTGTTATATGGCATTAACCTTCCCAAAGATACTTCTGCTCGACTCCTGGTATCAATGGTCTCAGCGCCATACCATAGTCCCCTCTATTAGGTGTCCTCATCAGCGTGTGAATGTGAAACTTGGCGGGCTCTTGATTATTCAAGAACACGCCTGAGTGGTGATCAAACTCGAATATCACCACCGGACTCTGGATTCTGTAGTAGAATGGATCCTCATTGTTGTAGCCGCCGATCCAGCAGAAATATGTTTCATGAAACCACTTCTTAAACTGCTCTAGACGTATCTCCCTCGCTGTGGAAGGTAGATAAAGAAGGAATTCGTTTGCAATGTCCAGAATGTATTTCTGCTGCTCAGCCGTCATCTCTGATACAAGTATACCTTCGTATGGAACAATTCTGTTGTCGCGATAGGCACCACAGAGATGTCGCTGGTCATCGTGGTTCCACCGCGCATATGACATGGCAGGGTCCTTCATAAGTTCATAGACTTGAGCTGCTTTCTGCTGGTCAGGCGATAGGCTTTGCATGAGTCGTAGACCCAGGTCTTCCTCCCGGTGTAGAATTCGTGTGCCTTTGTATGGTCCGTCATCGATCAAGTTTGGTTCTGCGCCTGTGAACCATGGCGACACCACAATTTGTGATTTATATAGGAAGATGTTCAGACAAAGGTGGTGGCCGTAGAATGAGAAGCCCCAAGGACGAGTCGTAGAGGGTTCCCCAAACAGAGCGAAGTTATATGAGAATTCGTTCATGATGGAAGGTGACTCCACAAGTTCCCCCAAGAAATGGTTCACCCGCATGGCGCCGATTGCTTTTTCGTACCCTTCAGGAGAGAGGGTAAGCTCCAAGACTTTGAGAACCTTTGCCCTCAAATCATTTGTGACCTCATCGAGACGAATGCCTTTATCACTAAGCAAGAACTCAGGGTTGGACCATGAGCGCCACTCTGGACTGTCGATATGGTAGAAGGTCTTGTCCTTTTGTTCTTCACTCAGGCTGTTGCAAAGACTATTCGCGGCCTCTACTATGGATTCTATGGGGATGCTCTCGTGTTGTAACTCGAATAGACCATCTCTCACGGCGCCTGGAGATCGTTAGTCGAGCGACTAGGAGAAACCTGGGATACCTACCATCGGAGGTGACGCCTTGATAAGGCTCATTGAATAGCTTGCGCCAGTGTAGATACAAGCCGTATAGCCAGGGAGGATTTCCGCCTTTCTTGAAATTTTCCGCATACTCGTAAGCATCTTGCTTCTTCATGTCCTGGAACCGCGGTTGGTTTAGATCCGGGAGGTACTGGCGAAAGCCCTCAACATGGCCTGACTGAGACATGATTGATGCAATGAAGGGTCAGCAGCGCCTCTCAGTTTACCATAGGATACTCAAGATACGGTGATGGACGTGATCTTGATCCAAAACTGGGGGTCTTGAAAGTCGTCATCAGGGACAATGTCTTCGATCGAGGACGGATATATGTTTCATTTTCAGTATCGGTCGCCCGTGGTTGTGATCACTGATTGGCTGTCATCGTTCTTGCTGGCTTCCCCGCTGTATTCAAGTGCGGGGGGTTCAGAGCGCTATATCCGAGGTCCAATACCTCCGATACAGGAGGGTCAGCAGTCGAAGTAAGCATCAACCACAACGCAGTAGACATTAAGGCCTATAGTGATAGTCCTCTGTGTTGTCTTGCATATAATAAAAGAGTCAAGATGTCGTCTACTACTTTCAATCGTAAGCAACGTTCCGGATGCTACGATTAGTTGCGTTGTAACTAACTTGCTAGGTCTTGTGCGGTTTGTACCCAAGTCAGACTCCACGAGTATCCTAATCGGTGAACCATCACAAGAAGATCTGGACATCGGTCTTGCTACTCGTGATGGGAAAGATGTTACCGTCGCGGTATTTACGGGATCTTCTGTCCTGTCTCCAGGTACCCGAACAGACAGGACCGAATCTATCGAGAGGATCTTGTCACCCTTGGCACAAGAGGAAGTCGGAACTATTCGCTGCATTGGATTGAACGTAGGTCTACTAAAACAAAAAAGGGTGTGGGGAGATTTTAACATTTTTACAGTATGTCCAACACGCGAATGAAGTCAAAATGGACATCCCAAAGATCCCAACTCTGTTCCTGTAAATCCCCAAATTCCTCATCGCAAATACACCCGGCTAAGTATCTGTCGCAGTAAGCCTAGCACAGCATTGGGTGATCCTTGGCCTGCTCCCACGTTACTACCTAAAATCACCCAAAATGATGGGAGTGGTGATTATGAATCAGAGCTGGCAGTAGTTATTGGCAAAGCTGCCAAGAATGTGTCTGAGGAGAATGCCATGGATTACGTCTTGGGCTATACAGCTGCCAACGATGTCTCGAGCCGTGTCTCGCAGCTTAACCAGTCTCAGTGGTGCTTCTCCAAGGGTTTTGATGGAGCATGCCCTATTGGTAAATCGTTCCATCATTTTGTTCCGAAGGCAGATGACTGACCATCGATTCAGGGCCTGTTCTTGTCTCAACTTCAGCTGTTCCAGACCCTTCCAAGTTACACATTCGTGGCTTGAAGAACGGAAAGGTTCTCCAAGACTGTTCTTTGGAGTGAGTACCCGTCTTGTTACATATTCCTTCACTTACTCACATTTTCCAGTGATCTTATCTTCAGTGTCCCCAAGCTTGTCAGTTTCTTGTCACAAGGCACCACGCTTCCAGTCGGCACAGTAATAGTTACGGGTACCCCTGCTGGAGTAGGAATGGGCAAGAGTCCCAAAGAGAACCTGGAACATGGTGACGAGTTCAAAGTTGAGATTTTGCCGCACATCGGAACACTGGTTAGCAAGTTTGAGAACGAATAATGGCTTGGTTACAGGTACCAGAGATTATGAGAATAAGAATATGAGAAAACATTTATTTAAATACCACATCTAAAAGTCCTCCAATTTATACTTTATACGTGTGCTCAACCCAAGATAATTCCCGACTCCGTTTAAATCTAGCTATCCAACAGGGCAGGGACCTTCTCAACGAGATACTCAACAATCGCATCTGGTCCTCTCTCAACTTGCAGACCAGTCGGTATGGCATGAAGCTTGATGTCAGGTACAATAGACTTTGCCATTGCGTGAATTTGTTGTGCCTCTTCTGGTGACCACATGGAAGCGGAGAACTAGGAGGGGCATGGTTAGAGTGTGTCAAAGTTGCACTGCCTCAGATAGTTAACTCACCAACACATCAGGCTTATGTTCAGTCACTTTAGGGATCACCTCGTCCATGCCTAGACACCTTATCAGTGAGTCACAAGACACGGTTCACCAGCCAACCTACTCTGACAGTTGTCAACGTGAATAATCTCGTAATCATCTTGAAGCTCGGCAATAAGACGTCCAATGAGACGCTTAGCACGTTCTGGTGCCGTGTTGACAGTGACAAGTCTAAATGGTCCTTTTCTTGATGTCATTTTATCGTCGGTTAATGTTTTGCTGGTCAAGTGCGGAGAAGTGAATGTTGTTGATTGTGAGTCGGATATGATTCGGCCTGTTTGCTCCGTATTTCCGGAGCAGAAAGTGGGGCAATGTCCGAAAGAAGCTATACAACTGTGAACTTAGCATTCAATGGTACCTAGACAAGAATGGCGATACCATCTGGAGCTAATTGCTACAGTCCAGAAGGAGCTGACCATCTATCCGGATACCTCTTGTGGCGCGCGATTTTGGGTCATCTGTGACAATATACACTTGAATGCCTTGGGTGAACGTTTTATTTTTCGAAGTTTAATTTGAAAACCAGACCTTCTCAATATACTCTAAACTCTAAACCGAACGTGTGCACATCAAAAACCCAATAGATCAAATACGTATTTCCTCAATAACTGACTAACTTTCCCAACAAGAACACGTGCACTGTGATTGACAACAAAGGCTGAACCCTATGTTGAGGGGCCTTTGGTGTGAATTACGCCAAAATTCAAAGCATAAAGGCCTCGATTCGAAGGTATAAATGAGGGTGTCCTTGTTATCTCTGTCCCTGTTTGACTTTACACCTTTTCATGACCTTCGAAGTACTTCGTACGCCCTTTCAAGGCTTCTCCCTACTATCATCATTTTAGTACTTCCTACATTTCAGCCAGTTCAAAAACTCGATTATCTATTTTGAGCTTACTGACCTTCACCCTTTCAAGGTATCCTCCCCCTCCATCTCCTACAACATCAACACTATACAATTCGCAAGTCAATATCGGCAGGTCAACAAACCACACAGGAGAAAAGGACCAGCGTCGGTATATTATAACATGGCGGTCTTTAGAATGGACATTGTGCTATACGGAGAAGTTTTTTCGCCTGAAGATCTGTTTTTTATTGTTAGGATTAATTTAAGGCGAGAATGTACACAGGCTAGTTCTTTTGCGGCTCTTTTCATGATGCACACTTATTCAAGGAGTGTCCTGATGTGCGAGGAAAGATTGATTCAATTGATCTCAGTCAGTTGGATCTTTCTACAGTTCCTAATACGACCATTGCTAGCGAGTTCGCAGCTTTCATTGCCGGTGCTCTAGGAATCAGCAAGTTCAACCTCATTCCGATCCCAGACGAATTGATCTACCCAGAATTCCCTCCTCATCTCACCAGGGTCCCAAGTACAGTACCAAAGGAGTACTACATCAAGAGACCTTCAGTTTTGGGTCATGACGGAAAACATACTCTCACCGCCGAAACGGTTCTACAAGAGACTAAGGTTGGAGAGGTTCTGATGAAGAACCCCCATCCAAACATTGCCTACTACCGAGGATGTGAGGTCGTGGATGGCAGGATCCGTGGCCCTTTCTGGGATAGGTGCGCAATGACTCTGCACGACCATTTGCGGGCAGAAAAGCCTTTAGACGTTGAACACTTCCTGCAAGGTTTGGAAGATGGTCTACGCCATCGTCACAATTTGGGTTACTGTTACAATGATATCAACGAATCTAACGTGTTGCTTGACGATGATGGTAACGCTGTTATTATTGACTTCGATTTATGCATGCTCCAGGGGAAGACGTTATTAAAGGGCGGTGGACATCCAGGATTTACTTTGGGAGGGATGCAATTTTCTGATCCCAAGAACGACATGTATGCTTTCAGGCAGATGTTAGAACACTTGCATGGACCTATGACAGATTATCAGTGGGTTGATGATGAGGACATCGGGGAATTCGATGATGGGTAGATCTATTAGGGTGCTACAGACTATCAGTATTTATTGAAGTAAGAGATGGATAAGATACTATTCATTGGTAAAACGAGAGTCTTCTCCAAGTACGGTTATGGAATGACGGTTAACGCGCGTCGCGTGTGAAGCTGAAATCGACGACGCACGTGTTTTCACACTGTCTGTGGTGCTAACAGAGCTACTTAAGCTTGCACCATGCTTGACCACGATTTTAGGTATTCGAAGTTAAACAAGCGAGTGGTTATCACTTTCGCCATCCTGTTAGCCCGCCCCGCAGCAATCATGACTTGGTGCACTCACCACCAAAATGAAAACACCTTGGCTAGAACGATACGGTTGTTGACCTCTCGGTTTAAACTCAATTATTTTCAAATAGTTTTCAAAGACAGTTCTCAGCCCATTCCTTATAATCCTCACCACCACCGTCTTTATAACTCTTAAATATAAGAAGAAAGAAAAAATATATAAAGATATCCGTAATTGTTTATTAACAATCTGGAATATGCAAATGCAGACATCCTGTTTTGCACCTTATTTTCCTCGTTGTTACCCTAAAGCTTAGTACTTATGGGTATGATATCTCTTTATCTTATCGTTGGATAAGACCTGAGATAAGAGAAATAAGGTAACAGGGGATAAACAGGTGTACCAATGTAAATGGGCGTTCCACTCCACATTTTGTGTTGCAATGGCTGATGCAAGTGCTGACTTAGTGTGTATAGCGCCTTTCCTGAACCGGCCGTAAACGGAAGGTAATTGGAGATTTGATAAGTTGATCAAAGGGAAGCAATCGTGAACTACGTGGAGACAGTCCGGATTTGTTTTGAGATATGTGCATCATATGGTGACTACAGCTTCCCCCCGCGATTTTAAAGGATACAGAGAGAAAGGGTTGCAAGGTCTGAAGTGGCCCAACGATGTAAAGATTGCTGTGTCATTTGTCATTAATTATGAAGAGGTAAGCTTAATACTAGATAGATAACGAGCTCAATGACAGTCTGATAACTGAATTCGGATGCAACTTTAGGGTGCTGAGCATTCGATCGACAATGGCGACGGGGTTTCAGAGACGACTCTCCGCGAATTCCCTGGGATGGCGTGTATCAATGAACGCGATTTCAACGCCGAATCAGAACACGAATAAGGTTCTCGGGTTGACTTCTGGAGACTGTTTAAGCTCTTTAACAAAAACAATATGAAGTTCACTCTTTATGCTGTCGCGCAAGCACTTGAGAAACAACCTGAAGTAGCTGCGCGTTGTATGCAAGAAGGCCATGATGTAGCGTCGCATGGCTATCGATGGGTGGATCATCATGGTCGGTCCCATGACAAAGAGAAAGAGTTCATCAGAAAAGCAATCAAGAGCTTGAAAAGTCTCAGAGGGTACGCACCAAAAGGCTGGTGCTATGGTCGTCCATCACCTCGCAGCCGAACTCTCGTTCCACAGGTCTACCAAGAAATGGGCGAAGAACTGAAATGGACGAGCGACACGTACGCCGACGATGTACCGTACTGGATCGATCTTCCTAGTAAGCATAACAAACAAAATCCAAAGGGGTGTCTTATGATTCCATATAGTTACGACTGTAACGACTTTAAGTTTCATACCGTCACTGGTTTCAACGACCCTGACGGCTTCTGTACTCACTTGAAGAATGCCTTTGATTTGCTCTACGATGAGGGAGAAGACGGAGAGCCCAAGATTATGACCGTCGGTTTGTATTGTCGCATCATTGGAAGGCCTGGGCGGTTCAAGGCCTTGAAAGACTTTGTGGATTACATAGAGCAGAAGGAAGGAGTTTGGGTAACTACGAGAACAGAGATCGCCGAGGTATTCAAGACCCAGTTCCCTTATAATAGGGGTCAACTGGTGGAAGGTGAAGACAGCGAAACCTAGTATCCTTCAATTCATCTGTGGTATTCTGGATTCAACAAGTTGAGAGTTGCTGATCTGTATGCCTGCCAAGAGATGCCGTTGAAGAGAGCCTAGCGTTGTCGGCTCATCTCAGGTGACGACTGTGGAGAAACCATTATGTCAGTCTCACCACAACAATCGAAAAGTCGCAGATCTTCGAATAGGACACATTGCTGATCATCTAAATAACAAATCGTGCCATTCTTACACTGATTTCTTACTTGATCACTCACGCCAGTTTCACACCATGCTGACCGAAGCATACAAACTCACGGCGACGGAAGTCATCGCCAAAATCCGAGATGACCAACTGACAGTGGAAGAATATGCGGAGTCACTACTGGCACGCATCAAAGAACGTGATCCGATTGTCAGAGGATGGGTTTATATAAATCCGGATCAAGTGCTCGATGAAGCTAGAAAACTCGACGAAATACCCAAGGAGAACCGAGGGCCACTTCATGGAGTCGCTGTAGCAGTGAAAGACGTCATCTACACAAAAGGTGAGTCGGCAAGTAATGTAGCAGTCTGAATGTCGCCCAATATTGACAAATTAGATATGCCTACTCAGTTCAACTCTCCCATTTACGAGGGTGACGCTCCCCAGGTGGATGCAGCCAGTGTTATCATCCTGCGCAAAGCTGGTGCTCTGATCTTTGGCAAAACCACTACGACAGAGTTTGCAGCTACCACTGAAGGGCCAGCTACCACAAACCCACACGATAGCTCCCGTACGCCTGGAGGCTCATCATCAGGATCAGGTGCAGTGGTTGGGGACTTTCAAGTGCCCATTGCCCTTGGCACACAGACCGGGGGGAGCATCATCCGCCCGGCATCTTTCAACGGCATCTACGGTTTCAAGCCAACTTGGAATTCCATATCGAGGGAGGGCCAAAAGATGTTTTCGATCATCAACGATACTCTGGGGTTTTATGCCCGAAGTGTGGCTGACTTGAACCTGCTGGCCGATGTCTTTGCTTTGGAAGATGACCAGCCTCCGAACCCAGACGTTCTGCTTCAAGGGCTTAGGATAGGTATCTGCAAGACAATGGTATGGCCTAAGGCAGGTTACGGTCTGGTGGATGCGATGATCAAAGCTATTGAGCTCCTTCGTTCGAACGGCGCTACAGTAACCGAAATCGAGTTCCCAGATCATCTTCAAGATTTGCCTGACTGGTACTCCACCATCTTCAACTCTGACGGAAGAACGGCATTTTTACCCGAATACAGACTGGATAAGAGCCGTATCGCGGATCAGCTTGTCGGACACGTTGAGAATCGCAAGAAAATCTCTAGAGCTGCGCAGCTTAAAGCCTTTGATGCCATTGCGGCGGCAAGACCTGTGGTGGATGAAATGCTCAGTCAATACGATGCTGTCTTGACACCTAGTGTACCAGATGAAGCGCCGGAAGGCTTAGAGTCTACTGGCAGCGCAGCATTCTGCCAGATATGGACGGTGAGTATTGTCTCAGGTTCAAGTTTGTGTGAATAAATGAAACTGATGCGACACTGTAGGTTCTGCACAATCCAGTCATTAACGTTCCCGGGTTTCGTGGTTACAATGGATTGCCGATTGGATTATCACTAGTTGCACCTAGATATCATGACAGGAAGCTTCTTGCGGTGAGCCAAGTTGTGGGGAGATTATTCGAGGCTTCTATTTGATGCGCCCCTTATCCGAGACACATGGAACCTGTATTTGATGACTTGGAAGTTTCTCCAATATTGCAATCTATTTATCCTTCCGCGCAGTATGCATGGTCTCTCTAAACCAAGCCATCGACCGTGATCGTGCCCGTCTTGTGTATCATGTACTCATTTACAGCCACATCCTTTCCAGCCTCCTTACCGTAGCCAGACATTTTAATGCCCCCAAAAGGCGACTCAGCTGCGGACGAGTTTCCTATTTACTTGGTTAGCAAATATACAAGCCCTATCCTAAAAAGTATGAAAAACATCATACCGGTATTAAGCGCAATCATGCCAGCTTCAAGATTCTCGAAGAGTCTCCAGATGCGATCGGCATTCTTAGTGAAAGCATAGCTGGCCAAACCCATCGGCGTATCATTAGCCACCAGGACGGCTTCCTCTTCTGTCTCGAACTTATAGAATGCAGCGATGGGCGCAAAGCACTCTTCGCAAGAAATGAGAGTATCATGAGTCATGTCTGCCAAGATGGTTGGTTCAAAAAAGTACCCCTCTTCGCCGCCCTTGGGAGAAAGACGATTCCCACCCGTCACGATACGGGCACCTTTTGAAACGGCGTCTTTGATGAGGCGTTCAGCCCGGTCCAGGCTATCAGGCTTTGTTACTGGTCCGAGAGTGGTTCCTTCAGAAGCACCATGGCCGACGACATACTTTGCTGTTTCTTCCGCAAAGCGTTGCAGAAACTTGTCGTACACGGCTGATTGGACAAGGAAGCGGTTTACTGTAACACAGGCTTGACCAGCATGACGCCACTTGAGGCCCACGATTTCACGTAGGGCTGCTTCTATGTCGGCGTCGTCGAAGATTAGACAGGGACAGTTGCCTCCAAGTTCAAGCACCACTTTCTTCAGACCCAAACTGCAGAGATTCGCAACTAAAGTCCCGACGCGCGTTGATCCAGTGAAAGTGACCTTTTTTACAAGGTCATGCTTACAAAGCGCCTCGCTCAGTGACGGTGTGTTATCCAAGCTAGTAGGCAAGATGTTCAAAACACCATCTGGAAATCCAGCCTCGGTAGCTAACTTTGCCAGGGCCATGGCAGTCACTGGTGTTTCTGGCGACGGCTTCACCACCATAGTACACCCCGCCGCCAATGCTGCTGCAGCCTTTCGCAAAACCATTGCAACGGGGAAGTTCCAGGGAACAAGGGCTACAGCGACACCAAGTGGCTGTTTGATAGTTAAAACCCGTCTATCTGGAGCAGATGGAGCGAAGCATGTTCCCTGGATACGCTCTGCCTCGCCAGCAAACCAGGCAGTGAAGGTCAAAGAATAGTCCATCTCTCCAATGGCTTCAGTGTAAGGTTTGCCCGTTTCATAGACAAGCAGTGTGGCCAAATCAGCCTTGTGCTCGCGGATAAGGGCGTCCCATTTCAAAAGCCACTGTGCGCGTGCTCTTGGGGATGTCTTCTTGAAAGTTTGGAAGGCATCGTACGCGACCTGCACGGTGAGGTCTACGTCGTCTGCCGAATTGTTTGTTACTTTTGCCCAGGGTTTGTTCGTTCCGGGATCTGGGACTGTTAGCGTGGTAAGAGCATTGGATGGGAGAGATTACCCAGGACGTCAAAGGTTGCACCTGACTGTGCGTTTTTTGTTTGACCTGCGATGTAGGAGTCCGTAATTAACAGATCAGGGCGACTAAGCTAATTGACATGTGAGCTTTGGTAACATTTAGCGATGATAGTCCATGTACCTTGAAAGGTAGTTCGTACGCCATTATGTCTGTCCGTATAGTTTCTTCCTGTGTTGTAGGTCTGCACCGTATAGATAACAGAAACAATGCCCTCCAGCTTGACGTTGATGATGGGCCAGAAGAGGATCCCAATAGAATTCAATAGTTTACTGTGAAAATGTCGTCTTTTCCGTCATGGCCTTGTCTTTATGATATCCACGTAACATGTTGTTTAGTAATGGTCATTGAGAGTTTCCCCGCTTGCTGATCACCAACCAAATGTGTCGTGTCGGCTCATAGCTGCAGCCATCCGAGTTCAAGCCACCTTCCAGAGACAGACAAGATCTGCATCTATGAGAGGGTGAAGCAACCAACATATCTCAGTAGTGTGGACACCCACCAACAAGGTCAATAGTGAGACAGCTATAATTATCACAGAACTTCAATTATCATCAATAAAGATTCTACAATACTCCATTCAGTAATAATGGGACGCTTAGACGGAAAAGTCGCGATTGTTACAGGTCAGTCTCTACGCATCATCGTGTTCCCATACTGTAGCTGACACAAACTGAAGGCGCTGCGTCTGGCTTTGGCCGAGGCATCGCAGAGCATTTCGCTGAAGAGGGAGCCAAAGTGCTCATCTGCGACATCAATGAAGAAGCCGGCAACAAGGTCGCTACAACGTCCGAGTCCTTTACGTTCCAGACCATGAACGTCACAAAAGCAGGAGATTGGCAAAGTGCAGTTGAGAAGGCAGTCCAGCTCTGGGGACACATTGATATCTTGGTCAATAATGCGGGAACAAGCTATGAGAACAAGGTATGTTTCACGCGAGGAACGGATGACTACAGGCCGTTCATTGACGTTATGGTTTGTAGAGCACCAATCTCGTCACCGAGGACGAGTTTGACAAGGTCATGAGCGTCAACGTCAAGAGTGTCTTTCTCGGAAGCAACGCCTTCACAACGCAGGTCAAAAAGCAGGGCACAAAGGGTTCCATGATCAACATTGCCTCTGTGGGTGCGCATCGCCCAAGACCCGGACTGGTGTGGTACAACGCCTCCAAGGGAGCCATCACAAACGTAAGTAAACTCTTCATGGCCACGAGTTGGTATGCAGTGGAAGGACGATGCATCCTTCTGTCCCCATGGAAGAGACAAGAGACAACTGACAATCGAAAGGCAACAATGGGTCTCGCTGCAGAATATGGCCCAGATGGCATACGTGTCAATTCAATTTGTCCTCTCGCCACAATGACAGGTCTTCTTCCAAAATTTATTGGCAAAGAAATCACGCCCGAAGTACAGAAGGCTCTGGGCAACGTACCACTTGGCCGTATGGGAGAGATCCGAGATGTTACCAAAGCTGCGGTATTTCTTGCGAGTGAGGAATCTTCATTCATTACTGGTGTAAACCTAGATGTTGATGGAGGCCGTGCAATTTGAGATATCAGGCGAAACCCTTGTATGTTATGCATGTTGGTCGCACTTGTATGACATATGACATGGAAGTCCACAGGTAGCCCCTCATTAATAGCAAAGAACAATGGAATGCCAAGTTCTGCATCAACAAGGGTCTCTTCCTCTCGGGGATTAGAAACAAGGGCCGGAAGATCCCGCGCCTATAAAAATTAAAAAAGTACTCAGATCCTGGCAAGTGGAATGTTCTCTCCCCTTTGCAGTTTGTCGATCCAACGACCGTGGATTGGACCTGTGACATAACATGTCGGTCTACATGTGAAATTGTGCAGGGTTGATCCTATACCGTAACCAGCCTGTCACAAATCACAGAGTTGGTTGTTGTCCCTGCGCTTTCGATAGGATGAGAAAAGAAGCCAAAAGATCTTGTTTGCTGACCCAGTAGTGGGGAAAGGGTTGCCAACACCGTTTGGATCGCGATGAGATGAGTACGATGAGATTCGGGTGTAGTAGGTGTTCCAGTAGTTCAATTAAGAATGGTATCATCACATGCTCATGAGAATTAATCAGATCGTATCAACAAAGCTATTATGGATTTCTACTATTAACTGAATATCTCACCGGGAGATTTATCGTGACCCTTTGACCATCATCATAATCGACTGCGCCTGTGTGCGCAATCTACCTCTCAGAGGAAACATTCTGACTACTGTTGCTGGAAGGGACATCATTTACGCCAGTCGCCGGACCCTTGTCTCTGGCATGGGCTTCTGAGATCAGTTTCCTGTCAATGGCAGCTCGCTCTTCATCCGTGGCATCGTTTATATGCACAGCAACCTCATCTCCGAATTGCTTACCAATCTCTTCAAGAGATAGTCGCGCTGTCTCGGGCCAGAAGAAGTAGATAGCTGGGATGAAGAGAACACTCCAGCAAATGACGAGAAGAAAGTACTTCCATCCCACGGCGTTGAAACCAATGGGGGCGGATTGGAGAAGGATGATGGTGGCTAGTTGGGTCAGTTTGGTCATACATAGAGACAAAGATGTTGTTGATACTTACCAGCGAATTGCCCAAACAGTGACCAACCAATACCGATGGACCTGATCTCGGTAGGGAAGATCTCTGAGACATAGAGATACATTGTTGTGTTGCAGAATGTTCCTTGGAAAGCAAGGTACAAAAACATGAACAAGACGCCCATAGCATTACCTGCTTTGTTGTCTGTACCAGCATACAACGAGATCATGGCACAATAGACAGAAGTGGTAATGACGATACCCACAAAACCAGTCATGTACATCTTGCGACGGGAGTTTACCTTGTCATGGAGCCAAGCACCACCAGGGTTGTAGATGAGTCCAGCGGTGGTTAACCACAAGGCAGAGAGTAGCAGAGGCATGTAGCCCGTCTGCCCCAAGCTGGTATACAGGATGACAGCATAGTTGTTCTTGCGGCGGTGAGTAAAGGCGCTTCCAGCAACAGATGGGCACTTACAATGATGAGAGGACCTCCAAACTCGGCACCCCACTGCGTCATGAATCCAATGATCATGCGAGTGCGATAACTTTTCTTCTTCAGCACGGCCTTCCAAGGGTTCCCGCCATAAGCCTCCAGCTTTTTAGCATCAAGTTCAAGCTGCTTGTCAATCTGGTAGAACTCCTCTTTCGCAACCAGATCTTCAGGGTCATTGGGCGACTTGCGAAGACGCACGAGCACTGACCATGCTTCGTCGCGATGGCCCTTGGACATGAGCCATCGAGGCGAGCGCGGGATCCATGGAGAACCGGCAAGAAGCACAACTGGTGGGAGGATTTGGAACGCCAATGGGAAGCGCCATCCAAACTCGAGATTTGAAGAGAAGTATACAGCGAAACCGATCCAGGAGGATAGCATGTAACCGAAGACAAGAAAGATCGCATGATGACCTACAAGCCAGCCTCGGGCTAGAGGGCTGGACATCTCGGAGAGGTACATGGGCGTTACGGTAGCCATAAGACCGACACACATTCCCATGATCCATCTACCAGCCTGGAACATACTTCAAACACGTTAGCCTTGAGCGCGCATTTCTCGCAGTCTATAAAAGAGCTTACGCAAGATTCTGAGCAGCGCATTGAAGCACACCACCGAGAATACCCAATGCGCAACCAAATTGGATGCTCCTCAAACGCCCGTAGTAGTCGCAAGCCCACATGAGTATCAGGCAAGCGACGGCGCCACCAGCAGAGAAGAGGCCATTGGCGGTTGCAATCGCTGGTGTGGTTATAGTATCGTAGCCGGGTTCGCCATTTTGAGGGAGATTGAAGAATTGATACCAGCCTGGTTGTCCGATCGTGCTTCCTATGATTGAGGCGGCATATCCATACGTCTAAGCGCAAAATTAGTATACCGTCTTGAGGAGCAATAATGGAGAGAGTCAACGCACGGTACCGCCAATAGCAACAAAAGTGATGACAAGCTTGTTGTACAAGCTCGTCTGATTCCCTGTCTGTGGCATTGTAACCCAGCGACAATACTTGACGGAAATTTCGATCAGATACGAGAATCAGGGAAAAAAGCAAAAAGAAGAGAGAAGGTACAGAACACGGATTGAGCAGAAACCAAAGTTCTGATCGGCATTTACTTTTTGTCAAAGAGGGTCGTCCTGGGTCTTTTTGACACTACTACTTACTGTACTCCTAACCAGAAACTCGGTTGCCGATCACCGGAAGCGTGCTGGACCTGCCGAGAGTCAGATCAGTTCTTGTGCTGCAGGGATATGCGCTGTGGCTTTCCTATTGTGACTGTAAAGAGGTCCACTCGGATTGCATGCAGTGGCAGGGCATCAACGACAAACATGCATTTCACACAACAACCTTTTAACGAGTGGTGGGTATATCAAGGATCTTGCGAAAACTCGAACCATTTTGACTCTTTTTGGACTGGGCTCCGGCACGGCAAGCGGCTCGTTGACGCAAGTAGACGGGGATCACGATTGCTGTGCGTATAAACAAGGACCAGATCAAGTGCAGCATCTTATTGTTCCTGCATCTCCTAGCTGAACTCATTAATATTTTTATACTCATTTCCAGCACAATGGATCCTTCTATTATGGAACAAAGCTGGGACGAACTTCCTGACCCCAAACGTGTCTGGATTGGAGAGCCAGGTAGTCGAGAAGAAGGTCTGGGCCGTCTTGTCCTCCTTACGCCCGAGCGTGTCGCAAGTGCAGCACAGAGTCAGATCAAGACAGGAATACGAGTTAACTTGGGTTGGGATCTGAATAAGCTTGAGTATGCTTGTTTTAATCGACAGCCATGTGAACTGAAGATGGTGCCTTTGCTGGACGGTGTGGCATTTGATGACATCTACGTTATGAACCCACGTCAGTACTCTCGAATTTGGTGAAAAATCTTGTACTAATGGCTTTGCAGAGCAAAGTAGCCAATGGGATGGTCTGCGACACTTCTCCATGCCTCGCGAGAAGGGTAGTATGGAGCGTGTGTTTTATGGCGGGACTACTAAAGAAGAGATTCTGGACCGGTCCAACGACAGAATTGGTATTCATCATTGGGCTCAAGAAGGAATTACAGGTCAGTTCTCAACTTCGGACTCAGCTGCTTCAACAAGATATTTACGAACCAGGCCGAGGCGTTCTAATCGATTATGCATCATGGGCCGAAAAAAGAGGAATCAAATACACAACATTCTCTCAACACACCATCAAGCTTGCCGAGATCAAGAAAATTGCCAAGGAATGCAATATCACTTTCCAACGTGGCGACATTCTTCTCATTCGCATTGGCGTCATCAAGGAGTGGGAGCATGAAATGGACGTAGCAGCCAAGCAGGCCTACGCTGTCAGCACAAGTCCCAAGCACGCAGGCGTCGAAGGAACAATGGACGTGCTCAAGTGGGTATGGAATACAGGGTTTGCGGCTGTGGCTGGCGATGCGATTAGTTGGGAGGTAAGTCCCTGCCGCCTGGACATGCTTGGCTTTCGGTGATTAATGGTTCTTGGCTTCAGGTATATCCGCCTCCCGAGGGGACAATCTTGATGCACGAGTATATGCTAGCTGGATGGGGGATGCCGATTGGTAGGTTCTCTAATGCTTGTTGATATCGCATTCACTAACTCTACAGGTGAATTGTTTGATCTTGAGAAACTGGCTGAGACGTGCAAACAGCTGAACCGTTGGACATTTTTTATGGTTTCATCGCCGTTTAATATGAAGGGTGGCATTTCTTCTCCACCAAATGCGCAAGCCATTTTCTAGTCTGGCCGGGAACTCGGCTCGGAGGACAGGCATGCATGTGAAGCAAACAAACAAGGGTCCACGACTCACAATTAGCCTATCCGTCGCCAACAGTCAGAATTATAAGGTCATAATTGCTTTTTGTCGCCTCTCGTTTGCATCTTACCTGAAACTAATGACCGTGGCTGAGAGAACAATAGCTCAGTCATATTTGACAACACAAGCGACCCTCCATGCCAAGATCATATCATCAACTTTCTTTCCTCGTCTCTTCCCTCGAGGCTCCGCAATTGAGACGTCAACGGGCCGCTTCCGAAGCCGCGGTGGGGATTTATGTGTCGATCATTGACGAGTCTGGGCGCCATGTAACCTTGGACTAACCAACAGGATATTTTTCTGCTTTTTTGTTTTCTCTTTACGTGCTTGAGTACCGTGGTTGGGAAATAGGATTCAGCATTTAATCTCGGCAGTTTCTACCTTCTACATATGTATGGTGAGCATGAAGATCTTTATGCAAGAATCTTTTACATGCTCGGGTATGTGCTACGCTACATATCTTCAGCGTATTGACAGACATTAGAGCTATGTAGGCTATCCGACCGCAAAGTGATCTACGTTTGATGTGCATGTCGGCTACAACAGGCCTAGAAGCCGTTATTCATACTCCAAGCGTCTTAGCATGAAACTTCGACAAGTCATCAAATATCCGAATGCTCAACCAACAAGGTCCAGTCTTTTCTGCCGCGTCCCACGCCATCCTTCAGCCCATACAAACTCGCTTAGCCAATCGAATCCTACAACCCCAAATTCCTGATCTCAGTATTCAAAGAAATGCGACAAGAGGAATCTTCAACTCAAAATCGATATTTTGTATGCACGTGAATCGGCCAAGCAGCGCCACTCAGGGGCAAACATCTTGCCTCGAAGCCGAGACTGTTCTGTGACTCGCCCAAATCCTTGCAGGCTCGGAAAGCAATCACCCGGTTGTCTGTCATCTTTCATTACAGATTGTCTGTAGCGCCTTCCCACTATGACATACATTACCTAAATATCCCAGCCCAATAATCTTGTAACAGCCCGCTGATGTCCGTTCATCGAGCAGACATGCCACTTCAGTATTAGCTTCTTGCCCCTGGAGCAGAGCAGGGGATGCTTTGTTGATATACTTTATATCACTCCCCTCAGCTAAAATGATCGTCGTAAAATGCCTTAAAAGCAAGCACTAGTTCGTCGAAGTATCGCTTAGAACTTTTCCGAGTGTTTGGATACAACGATATCCATCTTTAGAGCCAACATGGTCAAACCAGGCATGGAGCCCCCACCGGGGAAAGAGTCAAACTTTGAAAACCCTGATCGTGAAATGTATTACATATGCATTGTGTCGAATGCGATTGCCATGTCGGTTTGCTCCATTTTCATGTTTCTTCGGCTGTGGGCCCGTTACATGCTCTCTATGAGGCTTCGGATAGATGACAGTATGATCAAAACCATTCCTCCCATTTTATGCATGCTAACTTGAGATACAGTTGCTTGTGTCATCGGATATGTAGGTTATCTTTTCTACCGCCTCCACGCTATTTATCCACTAACATGTCTGTCAAGATTGGGTTCATGGGGTATTGTGTGATATGCCTTTTGAGTCAGTACTTCGTACCACGCCTCTGAAGAGTGCAAAGCTAACAGCATGCAGTGTTAAGATATGGAGGAGGCTTACATCAATGGGATGTCCCTGAGCATCTTGTGCCCAAGTACAGCCAAGTAGGTTGACTGAACTCAGGTTCAATGCGACATGACATACGCTAACTCTACCTCAGACAGTCTATGCCACCATGGTCAACTACGGCCCAACAGTCTTCGCCATCAAAGCTGCCATCCTGCTCTTCTTAGCCAGCGTTTTTGCCCCATACAAGACCTACGTAAAATGGATCTACGCCTTCCTGATCGTCATGGGTATCTACTATGTCATTATGCTATTTCTCAAGATGTTTATCTGCCGTCCCATACCTATGTTCTGGGGGGCCACAACCGATGGTGAATGTTTCAATCAGCGTGTTCTCATTCTCGTCGACAACATCATCAGCCTTCTTAGCGACATCGTGGTGCTTCTTTTGCCCTGCCCTCTTACCAAGAAACTCCAAGTAGGGCTGATGGCTAAACTCAAGATCGTCGCTATCTTTGGGGTTGGTGGTATCGCCTGCATTTTCAGTCTGGTTAGACTTGTCTTCATCATTCAGAATGGGGAAAGTCAGGATCAGACCTACGTCTTTCTCCAAATCAATCTCACTGGGTGAGTCATTAGCACTTCTCCAAGTCATTTCGCAGCTAACCAGAAATAGAATCGCCGAGTGTGGCATCGGCCTTGTCTGTGCTTGCTTCCCGTTTATGCCAATGCTTTGGAAGTCAATTCTCCACAAGGACAAGCCGGGCTACTCGTCTAATTATTCCCGGTCGCAGTTTGAGATGATGAGCGGATCAAACAAGAGGTCGCGAAGCGTAACAAACAATGCAGAGAGTGCTCACTATAAGGAGACCATGGGCAGCGATGAGAACATTCTCATACCCAACGGCAAATCATATGTCACTACTAATATCAGAGCCGGAGATGCTGGCACTGTAGGCAGTAGTGTTGGTGATGAGAACGGAAGGCATGGGGCAAGCCTTGATGACTCTCATATTTTACGGACGGTGGAGGTTGTTCGACAGTACGAAGAGCGTTGATGATTTCTACTCGTTACATCTTGATATCCTAATCGAGACAATCTCATACCATATACACTCATTCTGTTCAGGATGGGATAGCAGTTGATCAAAACATAATTTCATTACTCGTAAATATGATGCGTAACAATGCTAAAGCGTCCACCCAAAGCTTCACACATTCTAGATGTCGCCACACCAAACCCTTCCCGACCATAATCGCCCATGAGTCTTGCTTGACACAAGACTTAGTACTTGTAACGCCAGCCGCGCTCGACCCCAGAGTTCTCGGTCCAGCCGTCTTGCTCGTCGAGCTTCTTGTTGAGCTTGATCGCCCTCCATCGGACGAGGAAAACAGAAAGAACAGTCAGGCCGCATCCAAGAAGGAGGAGACCACCAGCCATGCGGTAGAAAGGCTCCTGGCTGGTGGGGTAGAAGTATGGGCTGAACCAATGGCTGACCTGGCTGATACAGTTGGCGATGGCGATAAGAGCGGCCTTCTTTGCACGAGGAGCGGGCACGACAGTGGTTTCCCAAGAGAGCTGCAAGTTGAGACCGTTGTAGGTACCGCAAACGAGAAGAATGATACCGATGTAGCGAGCGGCGACGTTAATGGTACCGATGAGGATACCGCAACCGGCAGCGGAGAGGATGATAGGAATAACAATGTGGTAAGTAGACTCCATGAAGTGGCCACAAGACCAAGCGATAAGACAGGCGGCAATGTAGGCAAGGGCGTAAGGAGGAGCCTGGATGAGGTAGGTGGTCATCTTGTTGAAGCCAAAGGTCTTCATGATGGAAGGGAGGAAATCCTTGAAGCTCTGAGCAGTGACGAGAGCGAAGTGCATGAGGCAGAAGTACCAGGTGAATGGATCGCGAACAGCTTCCTTGACACCATCCCAGGTACCACCAACCTTCTCATCGATACCACCATTGGAGACGAGGATACGGTATTGAGCCATCTCGCGCTCCTGCTCGGTGAGAAACTTGGTGTCGTTGGGCCAAGAGGGGAGAACGAAGAAGGCGACAATAGCAATGAGAACGGAGACGATACCCTCAATGAGGAAGAACCATTGCCAAGCGTGCATGCCAGCAACACCGTCCATGTGTTCTAGGATACCAGCAGCTAGAAAGCCAGAGATGATGTTGGAGATTGTGTTACCAGCGTGCCAGATAGCCATTCGGAAGGGGCTCTCCTCCTTGGTGTACCAAGAAGAAGTCATGAGAGTCAGACCGGGGAAGAAAGGAGCTTCCATCAAACCGATGAAGAAGCGGACGAGACAGAAACCGACACCGTTGGTCATAGCGGGCATGCAGATGGTTCCCGCACTCCACATGAGCATGACAGTAGGGAGGAACACCTTGGGGTTCGTCTTGGCCATGATGAGGTTACCGGGGAGCTGGCCGATGAGATAGCCGACGTAGAATGTAGAGATACCAGTGTTCCAGATTGTATCGGTCATATTGAGATCTTCCTGAAGACCGGCGAGACGAGCGTTGGAAACGTTGATTCGATCGAGGTAGCTGAGTAAAGTTTGTTAGCTATTGAGTTTCATAGGGCTGAGTGCGTATTGATTTACTTCATGAGGAACATGAGAGTGACACAAGGCATCATGTGCCAGTCAACCTTCCTGAGAACGCTCTTGTTCAGAGCGGTCATCTGAGTCTCGGACAGATCCCTCAGAAGAGGGAATCGAGCCTGGATCTCAATAGGAGGAATGTTACCGCGAGTATGCTCGGCCACCTCGACCTCAGCGAGTTCGAGCTTTTCGTCGCGGACGTCATGGTCGCTGTTGTTGTTGTTGGCGGCAGCAGTCATAGTGGCGACTTGCGTTAAGCAACCGATTAGAGAGAAGAGTTGTAAAGATAAGAGAGTATGCAGAGACCAGGAAGAAGCTGATTGAGTGTCTGGAGAGTGAGATCTGCTGTTTCAAAATCTGGGGTAGGAGGATGCCCAGCTTATATACTCAGCTTGGCGCAAGCTTGGAGAGTAGAGTATGTCCTTGGCTCAACATATTCGAGAAGAAGCAAAGGAAAAATTCCGTCAGAGCGTCCAGGTTCTCGCCCTTCGTCCCACCCACCGTTAAGGTTCGAACTAGCTTGGTTAAGCTTAACTGCCAAGACGCGGAGAACCCAGCTTTCGAGGGCCTCGAATCGTGCGGTTAGACTGTCTTTGCGGGGAAAACCTCTCAAAGCTGGGGAGACTAGGCCAAACTATTGTCATCTATGCATCGTGGGGATTCCCGCGGGACTAGAATGCCAAGGCCTTCCCGGTTTTTGAGGGGCATTTATCTCACTTTTGGGGAGGATAAACGAGAGATGTGGTAAGCGATATCGTACGGGAAGCGCGGGAGCTGAAGATTAAGCTTAAACAGGGAATTGGAGTTAAATGTTTTGCTGTATCTGGTATCTGACTCCGAACGCCGATCCCGTTACCCCGGTCTTGGATCTGGGAACGTGGTAACTCCACGGGTCGGTGTTCTCTGTTAGGCGAAGAGGGACGATGCCAATGCGGGGACGTCCGAGTTATGGGGGAAGTCTCAGTCTGGGCAGATGACAGACTGTCGGTATCAGTCAGCGGTAAAGAAAATTGTGGCGAGTGCAGGGCAAGGTATTGAGCTCGAGTCATGCGAGACTGTACCGTTGGATGATGATCTGAGCCAACAGCCAAAGACTAGCTGACAGGATTATCACAAGAAATGCTGGAATATTACAAATGAATCTGTTATTTCATCTACAAGTGACTTTGCGATACCAAGATGAATGCCAAGGGCAAGAGAAGAACAAAGCTTTTGCCAATGCTGAGACAATGCCGACCAATTCATGGCATCGACGATATTGTGGGGGAAGGTATTGGCAAAGAAGCTTAACTACAAGGTTATATCTTTATTTTACCGGTTTTTATGGGTAACGCCGATCGTAAATGCACTGTCACCATGCGTGAAGCTGTCTCCATTTTGAATGCAGGGTAACTTGACACTCAATTAAACAGCACACATTTAATTTTGAAGCTTAATTACAAAAACTTCCTGACAAATAATGTCATATCAGGATCAAAAAAATACTTTTAGACGTTTCTGAATGATTTTTTCTCTCTCTTTTTTAATGATGCCTTTTACTTTTAAACGGTGACTGGACCGCGACGTTATGAGCTTAACAATAATCTAAGCAACCACTTCACGTGTATCAAGATTACTGTTTCAAAAGTGGTGATTGAGTATGATTATCTTGTAGTTTTGTTTTTGGTGTTTTAAATTGTTCAATCCGAAAAAGGCGATACCATCATAGATACTGCTGAGACAATTCATTTTGATGAGTACTAGAAACGATGGCCTCTTCAGTTTAGGATACGGAAATAAATAACCTACAATAACCTAAATTGCATGAAATGACCTACTGATTTCGTCCCTTACGCCCCAAGCGGACAACTTTTCTGATACCCTGAGGTTACTGAAAGTCAATCAATAAGTTGCACGTCATATAATTTACTCATTATGTGAAGATACCAATCGTACAGTAATTCTTCGATAAATGCGTAAATTCATTCTATCCAATATAAACTGATGCAATGCCCTTTTTGGGAAATGAAAACCAACACCTGGAACACCCTAAAATGCTGTGATATCATCCAATGCTACCCTCTCTTTCCCCTCCCTCATCATATGCGTTTGTACCCTTTATTTGCCACCCATCAAGAGCGCAGCGATGTTCTCATAAGCTGTGAAAACAATACCACCGCTCAGAATCAATCGACCCAGTCGCATGGTGCTTCCACTCCAGAAGGCTCTCACGCCTCCATCGCGGATCACAGCCTGGAATGCCTCGCCCATAGAGACACCCTTGGCAGATTGAGATCTTGTCTTGATGGTGTCAAAAGGTTGTGTCGCGTAAACAGTGATGACACCAGCCACGGCACCAATTCCGAAAGTGATGAAAGGATTCTTGGCATCAGGGCCAACAAACTCCTTGAGGATGTTGTAAGAACCCATTCGCACACCAGATGTGGCAGATTGCTTGAGGGTTGTGGAGGTGAGACCACGGTAGATCTCGCGGATACCTCGCTCAGCAGCGATTGTGCGAAGAGCGTGGAAACCACCATTGAGACGCTTGGTTCCTGATCGCGCATCATCAATTCTGAGACTTATTAGTATTTATTTCGTCACGGACAGTATCATAAGGGCTTCTTACAGGGCAGTCTTGATACGCTCAGTAGGTGTAACAACAGTCACACTCTCGACAGCACCAGCAATCATACCACCAAGAATGTTCTTTCCTGGGGTAAGCTTTCCATTTGAGTCGGCCAATTGAGCCTTGACTGTGTCAAAGGTCAAGAAACGAACACCAGCCTTGGCAGCAGTTCCCTGTTAATCAGATTAGACACAATTGGACAGCATCTAGATATTGCGATACATACAGCAATCAATGAAGAGCATCCGGTGTAGATGGCGCGAACTCCATCAGAACGGATGGTGGTTCCAATGACGGCAAAAGGTGATCCCGCTGTCTTGACGCCAGGTTGCTTTGCGCCCAATTGAGCAACAGTCTTTGCCCACTCAAAGGGGTATGTGATGGTGGCTTCAATACCACCAGCGACAGCACCAGCAGCCAGAGAGATACCGGGTGTGATCTTCTTCTTTTGCTGGGGTGTGACCTTTGGTGCAGTCAATTGCTGAGCAATGGGTTGTTGTACGGCGTCCATCTTGGCGGTTTCTTTTTTGTTGGTGGATAATTTCCTGTGAGGCTGAAATGAAGGTGATGAGGGGAATATGAAATTTACAATAATAGATCCTGGCCAAAAAGAGATTACGGTCACAAGAAAAAAAAGGGAACTAATAAAAAATAGGCGGGGGAACGGACGAGGTAAATAAGCGGTATATTTAATGAAACGCCTCGTTCATGTAACGTCTGAGTGTAGGTTGAGCCTCAAAAGATAACGAATATGTGATCCACTAATTATTAGTTGAATTAATTACTGGTTTCATTCCATGGGGAAGGGAATGAACGGAAGCTTACGGACGGGTAGTGAAGAGTAGTAGAGATACTATGGAATAGTTGGAGAGAGACGATTATCCCGCGCTTAACCATAAACAGAGCTGCGGATCAATAGTGGAACCGATGAAATGGGCGAAAAACAGGAACGAGCGCTCATTTTTGCTTCTTCCCGTCTCTTCCCGTGGCTGCTTTCTTCCCTCTTTTTTTCCCTCTTCCCACCAAGCAAAGGACCAAAGATCAACCAGACTATGCCAGACGTTCAGCCTTCTACCCGCGTTCGTAGGCGTGCAACTGAAGCATGCACCTTTTGTCGCAAAAGAAAGGTATCTGACTAATCATCCATTACCCCATCTTTTCCTTTCACTTCTCCTCTTCTTCCCCATGTTTGCCCATATCATCCCCTCACATGCACAATGTCCATCATGCATCTTCCCGCGGGACTAACTCAACCAACTATAGATCAAATGTAACGGCCAACGCCCTTCATGCATCAATTGTCAGACATACGAAAAAGACTGCGTCTACCAACCTGTTCCCGACGCCAATAAAGCGGAAGGACGGCAGAGACATCAACGTCTCAAGACCAAAAACCGTAGCGTCAGCGTCAAGGCTCGGACTGTGTCCCCATGTGCCAGCGCTAGCGGGGTAGTCCGGAGGTCCAACGAGGTGGCAGCACCAACGTCAGCCTCGTCGGTGACGGGTGAAAGTGAAGCAGCCGCAGTACCAGATGAGCGTAGTAGTCAGCAAGCAAGAAGAAAGAGTCATGATGGCACCCGCGGTAGGGGTAGTAGCAGTAGTGGTGACACAAAGCCTGCAATTGTTCCTCGACAACAATCCTGGGATGAACCTGCCCCAGACTCTTCCTCACGACCCATGGATCCAGGTGTTGCCCGTCTTCTTGTCCTAGCCAATGGCGAATCGAGTTATCACGGCCGTACCAGCGCGCTGTTTGAAGATAATGCCCAAGACCAAGAGCGGCCTGTAGAGCAGGAGAGCAATCCGCGAATGCCGGACCACTGGGTAGAACGTGGTCTTATCGCAGAGGCGGCCAAGCAACGTGGGTACCTCCCTTTATACTCGAGATAGTCAAGAGATAAACTAACGTGCGATGCTTGACTCAGGCCAATTGGAGGACATTCACTACAGCAAGGGCCAGCTCGACTTTGACGGCGTCGATCCTGACTTGGGAATGCATCTCCTCTCGCTCCACTGGAACCGACAGCACCACTCGTTCTTGATTACCTATCGGCCAGCCTTTATGCGGGACATGGCCTGTGGTGGACCCTACTTTTCCAAGCTTTTACTCAACGCCATCTACTTTGGTTCATCAAAGTTCAGCCCGCGCCTCGAGGTTCGTAAGGACCGAAGCGATGTGCGTACCGCGGGATGGAGGTATCGCGAGAGGGTGCGCGAGCTGTTGGGCGGTTCGCTCGACAGGAGCGACATCACCACTATCCAAGCGCTGCTTGTTATGACCAATTCGTTGTTTGCACTTGGTGATGAAAGAAGTGCTGCGTGGTTGTATGCTGGACTCGCGTTCCGCATGCTGATCGATCTCGGGCTTCATGTCGACTTGACAAACTCGCATATCTTTTCAGATGAAGACCTCGAGATTCGTCGTCGAGTATTTTGGGGAGCTTTCGGTATGTTGTCTTCATTCTCTTCCATTGAACCCATCAATGCTAACTCATCGCAGTGGTCGACAAGATACAAAGTCTGTACCAAGGGCGTCCTGTCACTCTCAAAGAAGCAGACGCCATGGTCCCTATCAAGTTCGTCGACACATACTCGGAGCTGGAATTCTGGCAACCCTTTGCCTACTCGACATCCAAGAACGACTACTCAGGTTCACCGGCCTACAGCATCTCGACCTTCACTGCCTTGTGCAAGCTGTCCATCGTGATGAGCGACATCATGAGCTGCATCTACACTGTGCGGACGACAGATCAGAACCCAGGCGAGCTTTCCACCATGCTGGACAAGCTGCAGCGCAAGCTACGTGAATGGCAGGATGGGCTGCCTGATCATCTCAAGCCTGAAGCGGCGAGCCAGCCTGGCGCTGAAGTTCCTCCGCCTCATGTTTTGAGTCTTCAGTAAGTTTACTTCCCAAGGCTGGTGTCTTACGACGTCTGACTGATTATCTAGTGCCATGTATTATGTCCTTGTAATACTTCTTCATCGACCTTTTGTTGCCGATGGTCATTTGTACAACACTTTCCGTTCTATCTCGGTTGACTCGGTTATGAAATGCTCCGCAGCGGCATCCAGTATATGCACTCTTCTACGCGCCTATCACCGCGCCTTTTCAGTTCGTCGCGCACCGTACCTCATTTCTTACGCGACATATGTTGCTGCTACAATCCACTGTCGTATCGCCGCGAAAAACGGAAAGGGCTCCACAGCCTATGCCAATCTCATGACATGCCTGGCCGTCTTTAAAGAAAACCAAGAGACCAATTCGGCGGTACAAAAGGCTGCGGTTATTATCCACAGGCTTATGAGCAAGTATGGTGTTGTGGTGGAAGACATTCCAGATGACGCATTGGATGCTGAACCGGCCACACGAACGCGGGATCAACAGCCACAGCAACAACAACAGCGCATCTCCAACCAACCCAACAATAACTATGAAGGTCTACCGAATAGTGCCAATCCTCGGAACAACAACGGTACACCTTCCAGTCAGGAAATGCACACTGTCGAATTGAGTCCCAACAGTGCTGTACCCTCGCCCGGATCAGACTGGATCAACATCGATGGCATCATCCAGAGCTTCCTCCGAGACAATCAACAGAGCGACTTTAATAACGAACCAACCGCATACGGGGCGAACCCGAATCAAGTTGGACCGTATCCGCACCCCCATGCCCAATTCCAGCATCAACAGCAGCAGCAACCTCCAAAAATGGCGCAGCAGGCTGCTGATGGGGAGCATTATCTCCACCAGCAACAACAGCAACCTGTCTATTTCCCCGCAAATAACTTTCCCACGGGAATGAATCCTGGCCTCATGACTCCAAATGTGTCGGTCCCGGCAACAGCTACCGAGATGGAGAATGGGAATTCATGGCAACAGCAACAGCAGACATATTGGCCATCCAATCAAGATGCTGCCTTTTTGGAGGACCCGATTTTCGGCTTCAACGGCTCCAATTCTGGAGAGTTTCAATACATGGGTCGATAAACTAACCGCTTTTCGCCACTCTTTCATCCGTTCCCGTCTCTCTCTTCTCTTCCCGCGGGATTGAGACTTCGTAACAACAGTGTAGCATCAGCAAAATAACGGGAACTTGGCACCGGCTTTCTCCCACGGCATTGCATGGCATATCCACAGATTCAATCTTCCCTTCCCGGGGCATGACCCTCCAAGAGTAAGAACCATGTCACTCATCCACTGCCAATGCTCGTTGACAGTACCAAGCCCGAGAAATGGCGAATTTGTTCCCGGAAACAAGATTTATTTAACTCTTGTTTTCTTTTCAGTCATTCGTATCTTTTTCAATTGATGTATATGGTGTTTATTTGTTTTACTTCATATAGTTATACATCAACACCCAACAACACTATACTGTAACTACTTGGATACCCAACTGCACTATACTACAATCACAATGGCTATCCAGGTTCAACCCCAGCTTGAGGAGCCCTGTCCCACTCGACATGCCCTCTCATGTGTGCTCATGCGCGCAGGCACATCAAAGGGTCTCTTCATCCACCGCAAAGATCTTCCCGAGAAGCAATCTGAGTGGGCTCCACACCTGATCTCAGCTCTCGGATCACGAAACAACGACGCCAAGCAGGTCGACGGTGTTGGCGGTGGTTCATCAACAACTTCAAAGGTTGCTGTTATTGCTCTGTCAGAACGTGAAGATGCTGATGTCGACTTTACCTTTGTCCAAGTCGCTGTCGGCAAAGAGTCCGTCGACTTCTCCGGCAACTGTGGAAACATGAGCTCCGGTGTTGGTCCCTTTGCTGTTCAAGAGCGTCTTGTTACTCCTCAACCAGGACAAACAAAGGTTGATGTCAGAATCTTCAACACAAACACCAGCCGAATCATAGTTGAGACTGTCGAGCTAGACCGAAACGGCGACTTTAAGGAAGACGGTGACTTCTTCATTCCTGGTGTCAAGACCTCCGGCAGTGAAGTCAAGTGTGCTTTTGTCGACCCCGCTGGTAGCATGGTCGGCTGCTTGTTCCCTACAGGCAAGAAGCAAGACTGGCTCGAGGTTGAGCCCTCAGCTTTGTTACCCAATGTCACACCCTTCAAGATTCGCGCCACATTGATTGACGCTGCCAACCCCTTCGTCATGGTCAGCGCTGCATCTGTTTCCGAACTTCTCAAATCCGATGATACCCCCGAGACAAAGCATGCTCTTGTTGAGACCATCCGATGCCAAGCTGCCGTGGCAATGGGCCTTGCGACAAGCACCAAGGCCGCTGGTCTAACACGCGGTACTCCCAAGATCGCTATTCTCTCTCCACCAAAGCGATCCCCCGACGGCAAGACCCCCGATATCTTCGTCCTGTCATACTCTATGGGTCTTCCCCACCCCAGTTTCCAACTCACAGGCGCTGTATGCCTTGGCTCAGCAGTGAGCATCCAGGGTACCATTGCCGCAGAGTTATCAGCCATGGTTGAAGGACCCCCTACACCTGAGCGAACACCATCACCTGTGTCGCAAGAGGATCAGCGAGAGAATTTGTCTAATAAGAGACAAGTACTGATTGAGCACGGCAAGGGAACCATCCCCGTGCTTGTGGAAAAGAAGGGCGATGACGAGATTGCCAGCTGTGCTGTTTCGCGAACAGCCAGAAGGCTGTTTGAGGGTCGCGTTATTTACTATTTGTAAACATTTGTTGTTTGTTTTACACTAGCACAGCACATCATTGTTACGGCGTTATGATATCACATGAATTGATTCAATATTTTTTATCCATATTATTTCTCGCTTATCTGGCATATGCCACGAACTGTGTATGACCTGAAAATATGACGTTTAATTGTTGCCCTACAATGTGGGGGAGGACAAATTAACTGGCATCAATTACCCATCTTACAGGGTGGTATTTAACGTCCCAATAAATAACCAAGCATTTAGCAAACCTCTTTTGGTAATGATTGTTGTTTCTTTATACATGAGAATGGAGCCTTATTGCGCTGCGCCTTTCCAGCCGCAAGGCCCATTATGCAACCACTGCATGAATTGTATCAGCTGCTGTAGTAAACCACCAATCAGTCCACTAATCGTCAGTCCCCCACGTTAGTGGCTGCTTCAAAACACGGCTGTGTTGGCACGGCATGCAGATTTATTGTAAAATGACTCAGCCTTTGCTTTCCTCAAGGCTGTAAAATACTTGCTTTGGACAACTCTTATTGAAACCATCTTTTTTCCCTCTCCCTCTTCATAACGGGCCTTCACAAATCACAACCATCAACTTCATAGGGACCTCTTAACGCCATCTGGAGGTGTAATGTCGTTCCAACTAGAGCAGCTGTATCGCAAAGAGATGCACCCAGTGAATGAGGTCAAAATACAAAACGGTATTTTTACTACCGAAAGAACTGTCGCTCAGATATGGGACATGAATGTATTAGGCTTCCAAGACGAAGTATATGATGATGCTACTCTCAAACCTCGACTTGCTACCATGGTTGGTAATTCGCCTCGTTGGTCTGCGAACTGTGTCTAAATGTCTGGACTTTGTGTATAGGAAATGTTCTGGGACACACCTGATAAGACAAAGGAATTATGGGATGAATGTCGCAAATTTGTTCTTGTGTAAGTAAGGTATCTTGTACTAAGTTTCATCTCCGTCTATTAACATCTAGGTAGAACTACATTTGGAGACCCTACCACTGCTCGGCGCGCTCTACAACTTCGCAGGAATAGCCTGGACCGTATTGTCGATGTTGGCAAGTTTAATCGATCTCAATCAAATAGGCTCTTTACTACTTGGCTACCATTCATCTCAACCTACCTTCAATACGATGAGGATGATACAACCCCTACACATCTAAGTAAGTACATCAAACCCAGAGCTTCCGAGAGAACGTATAATGTATCGTCGAATGGCCTGTTAACGCCCAAACAGATATCGTCTTTCGATCTCTAAAGAACAGCAATTCGCTAATTTGCTCCATGAGGATACACCTTGCATCTCTAGACTGCTTTGTGTTTATGAGTGCAACCCAACCGAGTGATACCAAAGATATTCGGTCACGTTGTATAGCCAATATCGATCTGTTGAGAGTCCATCCTCTGTATTTCCTGTCTATTGTCTATGAAAACCGATACGAGCGATGGACCACCTGGATTGCTAAGATATGGAATCAAGTCGCCTTAATAGAGACAGTGACAAACATGACGCACCCAGATTGGAGAGCAGGTTCCATTCAGTCGCATGAAGTACAGTTGATGTCGACTGTCGAGAGTTTTCTTCATCAACTCCATGCCACTAATCTTGAGTTATGTCACAGCAGCACGGTCTTAGCATATGCATTCAGGTTCGGAAATCGTTGCCTGGAGATCATCAATGAGACGGATGACCTACGGAAAGGTCTTGGAATGTCTTCTCCTTCCCCACGTCAAAGCTCAGAACTGAAAGATAGTTTCAACGCCATTTTGGAGCGGCTGGCTCCTTTGTCAGATCGCATATCTGAACTGAAGCAAAGGCTTTCCAGTCAGATCACTGCGGTAAGAACTCTCCATGAAGCTCAGGTCATTTGGAGGTTGTTCAACTAACATTGCTGCTTATCTTGAGTCATCAAGTTTGATAGCCCAGAAAGATAGCAGGGTTAATTTAGCTATTGCCGGGCTACAAGCCAACGATAGCAGAACGCTGAAGGGTATTGCAATATTGACATTGTTATTTTTGCCTTCAACATTGGTCGCTGTAAGTAATGATTCTTGACCTGCTGTTCCGAAGTTTCACATTCTGATCGATCAATGTCAGACTCTATGGACCACAAACCTCTTCGAGTTCCAAGGAGACACCAACTGGAAGGTGTATATCACTATAACGGCTGTCCTCACGTTTCTTGTCATCACCTGCTCATGGCTCTACACTCGTATCTTTCAACGACGAGACAATGTCCGTTGGACACGCTTTGCGGCATATGATCTTGGCTTTCATTCGAACAGTAGGCCTCATATATAGCACAGGGGGAGATTAAAGGGACCTATAACATAAGTTGTGACAAGCTTTGTACCGGTCTTTACTCAGTGGTCGGTTATGGCCCGTTTCCAAACACTGTCAATCGCCTCCCAGTATTTCTCTGAACTCTTCCTCATGTGATCCACATGGCCGCTTTCGAAGATCTGGCTCTCCGTTTTATACCCAAGCCTTCTTCCGTTGGCAATGTGCTCCTCTATATGCTCCGCTGGGATTAGGATATCTTCTTTCCCATATAGGAACAGCCTTGTGCTGCCCTTGCTCTCCCATTTCTCATCAAAGAAGAGTCTTTCACAAAACTTGGGAGATGATTCTCGACCAGCTATAAAGTCAAAGAGGTGTATGAATATAAAGAAACCAATACAGAAAGATTGCGTGATAACGAAAGGCCAGGGCAGTTTGGCTGCTGGGCCCATGGCCATGGCATTCGACCATCGTTTGAGGTTGGACCAGTTGGGCTTGGTCTGCCCAGGAGCTGAGTCGTAGACTGTCAATACATGGGGCATCGGCAAATTGTAAAGCTCTTTGTACGCATTCAATGTGGATGAATAGTTCCCAACGCCGGAGTTCGACAAACAATGGAGTAGAATCAAGTTAGATGAGTTGGCTCTCTCTTTTGGGAACAGCTCGTTGACGACAGGCATCATGTCTTCTGTTCTTTTGGAAACATGATCAAAAAAGCCTTGGCTGATGGGTGAGAGGATCGCAATTTGCTTTGCGTTCGGGTAGAGTTTGCGATATCCGTCCGTGAATTTGGCGACGTGTTTTGGAGGTGCGTCACCCCAGCCGTATACGACAACCGTATGGGGATGTCCTGGGACTGGTTGCCTTCCTCCGAGATCTTCACCATCGCGGACGAAGACTCGTTTTGACAAGGAGTTGAAGCCCGGGAAGCTAGGTTGCTTAGTTTTACTCATGATGGTTAATAATGACAGAAACTAGATCTTGCAAAGAAATAAAAGGACGGAGACAGCTTAACCGTGTCGATGGCAGCAGCATTGCTCGCTCTTAAGAACTCATGTCTGAATAAGCTTATCTAGTTACCCCGCTCCAAGGGCGTGATAACCTTGCGATAGGATCCGTTTCCTCACTGTTGGCATCTCTGTCTTATGTCAGATACTGGCCCAAGCCTCCTGATTGCTTGGAGCCTGCGGCCAGATTGCCAAGCTCACCAGACTGACCACTCGAAGTAAGCACTGTGTTAATATTGCGCCTGGCTTTTGTGAGGAACCAATTGGGATCTCTTCTCAGCCGACAGAGATTCCAAGCACAATCCAAATGTGACCGATAAAGATCGGCGATGCACTTGGGCGCTGGGTCAGCATGCACTCTTTGGACGATCTCTAGGTGTTCGTAGTAAATGATACGCCGATGGAAAACTGTATTGATCCGAGTAATCAGGTGTAATAGCTTCAATTCCCATTGCAAAATCCCTTCGCTCTTTCGGTCTTTCAGATGTTGAGTTCGATGCCACTCAATCTTGTGGAGGCGACTCCCCACATATCATCCGTGTACTCGATTTCCCGCTGAGTAATAATTCCCGAAACTCAAAGTGACAGAACAAAAGAAGGATTAGTAGATCGAAGCGCCGCGATTGGTTTGAAATCATTGCAAAGGTATTGAAAATGAAAAACAGAGAATATTTTACATATAAAGTTAATTATGTCATGAGGGATGGGCCGTTGAACATAAAAAGGGACGAACTTCGTGCGCAAGCATTTCGTTTCATATTCTATCATTAACACATCTTCGAAGATTAAAATCCACCTATCATCATCAATCAAAACAACCCGCGACCATGGCCACGTCTCAAGACTTGTCTCTTTGTGTGACTTGCGGAACGCAGTTCGACATTCCTTTTGACGAAAGACCACCGACATGCCGCATGTGCAATGTGTGTATTCCTACTCCCCTATGATCCATGTAGACTTGAAACCCAATGGCATAACTGGTAACAGTGACTGACACAAAACAGGAGCCCCGGCAATTTGTCCCATCATCCGGACAATCTTGGACCACCCTCGAAAAGCTCCACGCCAGCCACAGAAACGAGTTCAAACAGGACGAGCACGACGGTCGTATCTGGTCAATCTTCTCCAAGCCTCAAATTGCCATTGGTCAACGTGCCGTCTTCATCCAGACCGAACATGGTAATGTCCTTTGGGACTGCATCAGCCTGCTGGATAAAGAGACTATCCAGTTCATCAAGTCTCATGGTGGCCTCAAGGCTATTGCAATTTCTCACCCTCACTTCTACAGCTCCCACCTGGAATGGGCTAAGGAATTTGACTGTCCTGTATACCTTGCTGCAGAGGACCAGGAGTGGCTGAATCGTGAGGACACTGAGCATCGAAGAGTGCTCTTTGATGGCGAGACTCAGAATATCCTTCCTGGAGTGACTATGGTTAAGCTTGGGGGACATTTCCCTGGAAGTTCGATCCTTCACTGGAACACCAATATTGTGAGTACTCTTGAAGGTCTAGAAGCTAAATTACTGACCGGATATTAGTTCACTGGTGATACTATCGGCATTTCTCTGGTAAGTAAACTGTTCATAGACAACAAGGAGCAAGTATTAACGACTCACAGTCCGGTCTCAATCGCGCCCACCACAACGAGAACCACCAAGTTTTCTTCTTTCACTATGCATTCCCAAATTTCATCCCACTGGGCCCTACTGCTATGCGTCTTATGTGGAAGAGACTTCGTCCTTGGGATTTCACAGCAGTGTACTCTCTATTCTTTACCACTACGGTGCATGAGCCAAATGTGAAAGAGATTATCTTGGAGAGTATGAAACGCCAGGCTATGCATCAAGAGAATGATACCCATCCTCTTATGCAAGAGCAACTGGAGGCGTGACAAACAGGTCTTGACAGAAGAGAAGGCTGAATCAGAGATTTCTAACAGTGCTTTTCTTCACAGTTTAGTGTAATGTACAACATGCTTTTGCTCCTTCATAGTCAACAAGGTGTATGATCAGACTGACAATTAACCAGGGTTCAACATTGTTATATACTCAACTAAATTACCATTAATATCGCAAATCATTATCCACTACTTCTCTTCAATCTTTCCAATATCTGCGTGCTGTCCAATAGCCTTCTTTGCATTCTCCCAAGAATCGTCTCCAGGATACAGCTGGCTTCGGAAAAATGCCCAACTAACCCTCTGAACAGTGGCAAGCCTCTCAGCACTCTCATCCTGACACTCCAGCGCATCCCAGCCACTCACACCACCGAAACCATGCTTCCCACCCTTGATCTCAAAGGAGGCTTTGGGGCCGGGTGACCCTGTGTATGGGTCGGCGTGCCAGTCTGCGCCACGAAATGTCAAGTGAGGGCTCACATCTGAGTCGCCCCATGCTACAAGGCACGGTTTCTTCATGCTGGAGAAATCGATGTTGTAGAATGGCATCATGGTAGAACCTGCTTCTGACATATCGGTTGTTCCGTTGCCAAGGGCGCCCATAATGAAACCAGCTTTGATACGAGAATCAGCTAGATTCATCTTTTCGCCGTCACGAGGGTCGGTGTTGACAGCACCAAGAAGGATGTTGGCTGTCAAAGAGCCAAGGGAGTGACCAGCAACAACGATCTTTTCTCTATCAAGGCGGCCCTTAATAAAAGACACAGTTTCTTCAATAGTGTCAAGACTGTCGAGAATTCGATGCATATCTTTCACTCGCTCATCCATAAAAAGCTCCCTGATGTTCTCGCCGGAGAGTTGATAGCCTAGCTGTCTGGAGCTCAGGTGGGTTGGCTGAATTACCACAAAACCGTGGCTAGCCCACCAATCGACGATGGGTCCGTACCCTTTGAGGGAAGAGAGGTAGTTGCTTGGGCCATGGCCGTGGGAGAGGAGGATGATGGGCAGGTTTGAACCTGTTGCGGGAGCCGTGATCTTAATATCGAGAGGGACTCTACGGTCTTGCGCTGGGAGAGTAACAGGCGTGAAGGACACGATAGGTGAGGGGGAGTTGACAGGGATATCGGCTGCGCCGCCGATGAAGGGAGTATTGGGAAATTCCATGTTAAAGATATGTTGGTGTTGATTAAAGTCGAAGTAGTCTTGGTTCAGAAGCTTGATATCTCAATTGAGCTATGTTGTAGATTGCGGGAACAGATGATGATGGGAAGTATTCATCTTGTATTTGCGGTGAGAAATCACTCAACTTATATGGCAAGAGACATTCACAGAAGTTCCAACCCAATCGAATTGATGATATGCACAAAGTAAGCAATTCAACCCAACATGAACAACACGATCCTCTGAAATGCTGACAGTGCATAACTTACCAATTGAAGTTAGATTGTCATGGCCAATCTGGCTGTTGATTGGCTACTTTACCTGGCTACATCCCGGACAATCGTACTTGTCCGCTGCGCGGGACTTAACACGGACTTCTTAACGGACATAGTTTGAGATTTCTCAACTCAATAGTAATGGTCATTATCACTTTTCGGATATAGCTAAACACCGCAAAACATCCTGAATGCTATCGGACTTTACTTTTATGCTCTCAAGAGTCTATATTGTTTGTCTTCTTAACCTGTTGTGGGTGGTACTTGTTCTCAAGATCAGAGTGGGTACCCCTCTTTCTGACATGCAGCTACCATCAATCTGCTCATTTCCGCTACAAGGTCTTCGATAAATGCCAAGTGAGAAACCTCTGCAACAGTCAGCCTCCGAATGGGAATCTGTCGAATCACCCTTGTGAAGTCTTGTAGAAGTGCCAAGTTGTTGTAAACCGAATTGGTTTGGGTGTTCACGAGTGCGATGGAAAAGACTGTAAAGATGGCTGTCATGGGATAGAAAAGGATTATCCTTGATCATGGTCAGCATTTAATGAATGAGAGAATCTGGAGTTCTGAGTAATTGAAGAAGAACTTACCAAAAGCATTCGTGAGCTACAACTGGCAAAGCCTTCTCCAGATACGTCAAGATTGACTTGGAAGCATCAACCAATAGTTGCATGTTCGCCTCATGGCCGTCTCCGACCAGACCAGAGGCAGGACTGAAGATCCTGCATCGAGCTTTGTGAATTGAAATGACACAATGATGATACGAGAGACGTAGCATTATCGCTTGTGTATTCGTCTGCGCGTCCACTGGTGTCTTATCCAAGAAAGAAAGCGTCGGACGATGATCTAAAGACAAGGTAAGACGCCAAACCTCCAATTCCTCATCTAAATATCGAATGCGTCTCAGAATCTCAGCTTCGGGCTGCCTTAGCGCGCTCATCGAATAGAGATCGTCGTGAATTCGAGACTTTATGATGGACAACCGGATATCCCACGGGTAGAGCGGTACAGTTGCGGGATTGTATGGAGAGAATTCGCTAAGGCTGAGGATGTTGGCGTTTTGCTTCTCGGCATAGTTTGGGGGGAGAGATAGGTCGCAATGAGCATCGTTTATGGCAGGTGGCTGAGCAATTCTGTGGCATAGATCTTTATCCATGCAGTAGCAGACCCAGAAAAGGTCGCGTATGTGATGGCTGGTGTTTCCTTTGTCGTATGGTTCTGTCATAGAAGGTGCGATGTGGGCGCCGAGCTTAAAAATCATCCGGGATGCGATTGAGATCAAGAATGACGCTGATTGAAGATCTCCGACGAAGTATTTGTATATAATCTTCCCGAGGTTAGTATGACAGTCGTCTTCATCTTGTTCAGGGTTGTTTATGAATGCGCTCACCAGCATCGTCAAAGCTTCGAAACCATCTATTGTCATCTCTCGTAATATCACCGGCAACGACGCTTCTATTTCCCTCACATAGTCTCTTGGAACAAGCGCGCCAGCCTCTGGAACATCAGGACCGAAGACATTGCTAGTCAACAACATGGCCCGCACGCAAGCTCTAGCACTAGTTATACCACTGTATCTGTCTGCTGTGTTGAAAGTATCTTTGTATGCAAGAGGTAATGTTGTGGAGATGAAACGATGGAGACTGAAGGTTGGAAAGACAAGGAACTGTGCAGATGAAGTAAATTCGATAGCAAAGTCCTTTATTCCATCGAATGTCACAGGGTGTAGGCTGTCTGAGGATGAAGACTGAGGACTGCCAGGCGAGTTGTGTTGATGAATTGGGAGGAATCTGTTTGTGAGGTTCGACCCCGTAGCAAGCCGAATCCAGTTTTGACCGACGTCGCTGAAGAATTGTAGACCGTTCAAGAGTTGAAGGCCATCTAGATAGGAATGATGACATGGTGCATCGGAAGGGTCTGGGACTACAAGGATATTGGCGTAAGTTCAACAACTGATCACGCTAAACGGTATGAGCAATATTAGAACTTACAATCTGAATTTGAATTGCCCAACGCTTCTTGGTAACGTTGTGGTCCGGACGCCTTAGTACTTGGTGGTGAAACATTCACAGATCTATCAACGGTTACTCCTCAACGATCAACAATACACAAAGTTCACTCCAATACTACCACCAACGACTTGCAAAGCTGCATTATAAGTGGTTGCTTGAGATAATGTCTTCGGCAGGTAGGATTTATAACGAAAGTATTTACCTTGATGCAGAACCTCTTGCCTTGGCCGCTTGTTTGTACGAGCAAGATAAATTATGATGCTTGCAGTAGTCGCATCGAGGTACAGCTCTATCGCAATGTATCTAACAGGTTCAATTAAACCAAGCACTTATGAAAGCACCAAATTCATGTGATAAAAACGTCCCAAGATAAAGACTAGGCACCTTGTTTACAGGAAATGATGATGGCATTGGACGGTAACTTTACCTTCTTCTTGCGGCAAGAGTCACATGATTTCGGCTTTCGACCTCTCACAGATTCCGGCATTGTAGCTGTATAGGTATGTATGATCCGTAGGAACTTGTTTATCGGCTATTTTTGCGGGTTCGTTGCAGGATTCAGCTGAAGCCTCGCATATTTTCTCTGAATTTTCCGCTTATTAATACAAGTTGGTCGGAGTCGAGTCAGTATTTATCGTGACGTAGGTGGGAGCGCGGCAGTTGAACGTAGGCTGTTCTCAATTTGAGCTTAGCTAAAAAGATTGTAGTAATGATTCATTTTCGGAAAATTGAATGGCATTTCGAACTCGTCTTCAACTCATTGTGATCTAATTGTCGCTCTACGGTACTTTGGAAAGACCGGGCTTCAGTACTTGTGGATCTTGGAGGATACGTGTATAAGAAAAGTGGTAATCGACCCGCTGAATCAGCGGCAAATCTATTATGACATGTATACACGATAGGAACAAATCTACGATCTTTAACAAGGCCCACAGAATGAGGAATCGTAGATTGACCAAGATTTTGTTGTTATATAAATATTCAACATAGCGCCTTCATTTGTTATTTATTATCAATCACCTTCTTCATACTTCATAATATCCATCAAACTCTACAACCTTCATCGCACTACCGAAATCCCACAATGACTCAAGAAACTCCACAGAAGAAGAGGGTTGTCATCATTGGTGCAACCGGTCTACAGGTAAAGCCTTCGACTCACATTCACCTATCCTTGATCACTAAGCTAACACACTGTCTTTCATAACAGGGAGGTTCTGTCGCAAGACTCCTTGCCCAATCTCCAGATCGTTACATCGTTCGCGGCTTGACTCGCAACACCTCTTCTCCGAAGGCTCAAGACCTCTCCAAACTAGGCATCGAAGTCCAACGGGCCGACGTCGATGACTCAAAAAGTCTCCAGGACGCCTTCCACGATGCTCATGTTATCTTCGCCATGACAGACTTTTGGCAGCACATGTCTGGTGCTAGAGAAGAAGCCCAGGGCAAATCTATCATGGACATTGCTGCTGAACTACCGCACCTTGAACAGCTCATTTGGGCAGATCTTCCCGATGCTAACAAGATCTCCGAAGGATTTTATCCACATGTCTATCACTGGCAGAGCAAAGCTGCTGTCTCCAAGTACATTCGTGAGGAGAAGCCTGAGTTGTGGAAGAAGACTACTTCTGTGCTTTTCCCTAACTACTTCGAGAACTGCCTTACTCAGCCAGGCACTTATCTTCCTATCAAGGTACGCAAGCATTTTGAATTATATGGAGGGGAATTTCTAACCAAGCTAAATAGCAAGCGGATGGAACCTATTTGAGGTCTTTTGTCTTGCCCGAGACTACTCACCTCCCCAATGTTGCCATCTCCGACACGGGAAAGTTAGTACAGTACATTCTCGATCATCCCAACAAATGTCTTGAAAAGACCATCGCGTTTTACTCCGAAGCAATCTCGGAAGGAGAAAAGATTCGTTCTATTGCTAAAGGTACGTAACACAGAGATTGTCGAAACAACTATTAACTGATGATTTGCAGCATATAATATCGACATTCGTTACAACGAGATGTCCCCGGATGAATTTCAAGGCATCCTCAAGAAGCACATGGACGATGTGACTGCCTTGGACTTTACCGAGCAGCTACTCATATTCCGAGATTTTGGAATGATTTATGAGAGAGCCGAGTTTGTCCAAGCCAACCAGGTAAGAATTTTCCAGAGCTCAGGACATGAAACGTTCTAATATGACTATGATAGCTACCCGGACTCAAATTGACGACCTGGAAGGAGTTCATGGAAGCGAACGACTTGCACTCTTATATGACCAGGGTTTAATTATCTTTGTACCTGCAAAGATTTTGTGACTACACTACGACGGGATAAATAGAGATAGAATATAGACCAAACCATAGCTTGTTTTGCCTTCAAACTGTGTTCATTTTCAAACATACCATCTCCGGTCATTCCGTTTCTTGAAGCCCGTCATTAAACTAACGTCGAGATTTGCATTGATCCAGCCAATTGTTGTGGTCCCTAGTTTCTTCTTCTCGAAGCAATCGTAATAAGCTTCCGACGTACCGAAATGCCGAAATTGCAGGCGTTTTAGTCAAAGCTTGATTGGTATTTTAACTACCGACGTTGCAAGATCTACAGAATTCTTGTGTAGAGCACTGACCTTTTGTAATATCTCCTGTCGATCTAGTTAGCTCTTGGACATTTCTGCGCATGAACTCATCAAACTCTAGCTACGTCCTTTACACCCCGCGGAACCTTGTTTTTTTTTTTTGACCGTACCGTACCTTCAATTGTAAAATGACAGGGACTTTTACTGTCTAAGCCATTCATGTGTCTTAAAAGAATGTTGTTCACATCCGCCATTCACAGCGATCTATATATCATAATGCGTATGGCCTTCCATCTGCTTTGAGTAGTCTTGGTCATTCTTTATTTTATCGCTCCATTCATCACAGCCACCATGCTGTTGACTTCTTTCTTTCATAGCCTCGCGCTACCACTCTTTGTATCAGCCTCTCAGAAAAACTTAAAATCTGACAGAAACCTTCGCTACCCGGAACAACGTGGGCGCGACTATGACTATACCGGCTTTGAGCCAGATCAGAATAAGCGTGCAGATGAGATTGTTGAGATGTTCCGCTTTGCATGGAATGGCTACTATACACATGCCTTCCCCCATGACTCCTTGCGACCCAGGTACAGCAACTATACAGATGATCGTAATGGATGGGGCGTCACAGCTGTAGATGGTCTCGACACTGCCATCCTCATGGAGCAGACTGACATCGTTGATACAATTCTCGATTTTATCCCCACTATCAATTTTACCAAGACAAATACTCCGGAGCCTAGTTCAGTCAGTCTTTTCGAGACTAACATCCGCTATCTCGGTGGTTTGCTGAGCGCATACGATTTGCTCAAGGGTCCGTTCCGCCATCTCAAGATTGAAGAGAAGAAGATTGATAGGCTGCTCGCGCAAGCCACGACACTAGCCGACACTCTCAAGTTCGCTTTTGACACACCTACTGGTATTCCCATGAACGACACCTTTATTGAGAACAGAACTTCCAGTGATGACAGTTTGACGGAAGATGGAATGCGAACCACAAGCTTGGCTGTGATGGGTTCCCTTGTTCTCGAATGGCAGCATCTCTCAGATCTGACTGGAGACCCCCAATATGGAGAACTTGCCAATCGCGCTGAAGATTACTGGCTTTCACCATCCTCAGAAGTGTGGTCTGGGCTCACAGGTGGAAACTTCAGCATTGAGACGGGAGAAATTCTAGACAACTACGGAGGATGGACATCAGGTAATGACTCAGCTTATGAGTATCTCATCAAGATGTTCGTCTATGATCCCGAACGCTTCGGTCACTACGGTGAGCGATTTACCAAAGCCGCTGACTCAACCATCAAACATTTGATCTCCCATCCATCCTCGCGACCAGACTTGACCATGGTGACGACATTTGCAGGCAAAGAGCAGGTCAATTACACAGAATTCCTCGCTTGCTTCATCGGAGGTTCATTCATTTTGGGAAGCTCAGCTATGGATCGCCCTGACTGGCTAGACTATGGCCTCTCCTTCAGCGAGTATTGCGCTAACGGCTACCGATACACCGCATCAGGCATTGGACCGACACTGTACAGTTGGGACACAGATCTCCTGTCGCAGTCTGAGAATAGTAACCAAACAGAGTTGTATTCACGCTCAGGCTTTTTTATTCCCGATGGTATCTTCTCAGGTGGTCAAGCCCCAGAGGCGGTGGAGAGCTGGTATTACGCCTACCAGCATACCAAGTCTCAGTACTGGCGCGACGTAGCTTGGGCGTACACCCTAGCTCAGAACAGGACCATGCGTGTCGGTGATGGATTTGCGAGCGTGAATAACGTGCTCTCTCCGTCTGGCGACGGACCTCAAGGGGGCATCATGGCTAGCTTCATGCTTGCTGAGACACTCAAGTACCAATGGTTGATCCAGACAGAAAGCAAGGGCGAATGGGACGTTTTGGGTGGAGATGACGGAACTAATCTGTTTGTTTACAATACTGAGGCTCATCCGCTAAAGGTTGCTGCCAGGAGACCTGTTTAACCTTGTATTTAGAGATTCAGTCTATTGATTTACGTGGCTTGCTCTAGGCTTCTTTTGGGCACCACCCAGCCCCCCTCAGCGTCGGCAGATGAGATTTCCGGGAATGATCAAGCCCATTCTTGTCCCTTGTCAAACATAGTTTTAAAACAATAGAAATGTCTAATTGCGGCGATTGACCTCAGCCCCGATTCCTGGCGAATTGTGGTGAAAGAATGCCTTGCGGACGGAGAAACATGTTGGATGGCGTCGTTTTCTCGCTAAAACTCTCCCAAATCCGTCTGGCTTGCTCGAACTAATCTTTACCAGAAGCTCCATAAGGCTGATATGCATCAGAATGTATTGGGTAAAGGGAATGGTTATTTTTCAGCTCCGACCACTAGTGTTGGGTCGTGGCTGAGTGGCTAATGTCTGCGCATGAAAATACCCACCAAAGAAGGTCTAGATGCTAAGAGACAAACAGCTGTCTGCGATCTATAAGAGGGAAGAGTAATGTCAGTATTATTAACTTGTGTAGCATACATTCAACTCACCTTGTTCATTGTCCATTACCTTTACAAACAACCTTTTTTCTGCTTGTCACTATGCGTTTATTGAAAGGCCTTGTCATAGGTCTCCTCATTGAGAGAGGTCTAGGCCAAACCGATGCACCTTCGGCAGGTGACGATGCTGTAGCTACTGTTGCAGATCCTCCTACCGAAACAGGTGGGGCAGATGTCCCAGTTCCTGAGCCATCAGCCGGAGGTAAGTTAATATACTCATCACCATATGTGGGTTTGAAGAAGCCGACCCTATCCTTTGTTCTGTATAATAAAAGCGCTTGCTAACATTTGTCGACAGGCGGTGGAGATAGCGGTGGAGACGAAGAACCAACATCCGATCCTATTCCTGATCCAGAACCAGAGCCAGAGCCCTCTTCCGGTGACGGCGCCCGAGCCCCTGCCGACGAATCCGCTCCGGTCGAACCCTCCACGGAGCCCTCAGAACCTTCCGATGATGAACAGCCCAGTGCCACCAACGACCCTGAGCCTACAGATGCCGATACCGATCCTTCTCCCACCGATGCAGGGCCTACAGATGTTGATGTTGAACCATCTCCCACAGACGGCCCAGAACCTACAGATACAAACGGTGAGGAACCTATCGCAACCAATAGTGAACCCGATATTGTTCAAAGTGATGCTCTGAACTCTGCGCCGGAAGAGGCTAAACCCGGACCAACAGAAACTGGCCAAGATGACCCAGTATCTACTCCTGAGGCCTCTGATCCACCACCGGCTCTTTTGCCTACCGTGACACCTGGTGATTCAGTGACTGAAACTCCAGATGAGCCTACAGCTGACTCAGGATCAGAAGATCAATCATCAAATACCAGAGCAGAACTTATAGGACCAACCTTGACTGGAGGCGATGACGAACCAATTGTTACTAATGCAGAGCCCACAAGCGCTGCTTCAGATGTTACTAACAACGACGAAGACGGCAATTCAGGTACGAACAGTCCAATAGCTTCGCCCACTGCACCTTTGGAAACGGAAGGCGATCAAAACCAACCTGAGACCCCCTCTGAGACTGGCAATGACTCCCCTACCGAGACCGATAGTGATGAACCATCTGCGGATAGCGATAGTCCCAAGACGACAGACCTTCCAGATGAGCCCCAAAAGACCCAGGATACAGACTCTGACCCAGATACCATCTCAACAGGATCCGATAATAAACCCCCCAAGGCGTCTGCCCCTGCTGCCACTGGTAAAGATGGCTTCACCACGGTTACCGGTTCGAAACCTGCCCCAACAGGAGAGGCATACGAGGTTCCCGTTGATTTGGAAGAAGACACCAAGCTTGGTGACTATGCCGAGTTCAAGGAAGCTTCCAATGGCGAACAGGCCGTGTAAGTATTCCCATCTACAACTCTCGACACATATCTTATACTGACCCCATCTAGACTACTCAAACCCCCACCAAACGGCAAAGCAAACTGCGAGATCGCACCCACTGGCGGTGAGGTTGATAAGATCCCTGCCGGCGAATACATCCGCGTTCTTCTTTCCGTCAAAGTAGACAGAATCGGCTCTGTTAACTCCAAGGATGGCAAGACTGGATCTCGGCTCAAGATGTTGGTCGATGAGAACACGGTCTACGACAAGGAGCTTATTTCCAAGGGTGATGGCGATGATTCGCAGGACATCGAAAGTGATCCCTTCGAGTCTGCCAAGAACCAGAAAATCCGCATGATTCAAGAGTGTGGAGAGGAGCCAGTTGAACTCACGATTGAGGATGCGAATATTAGGGTTGCCAGGAGTGACAAGAGTGGTGGACGTGGAGGCGGAGGCGGAGGAGGGAAGGATGATGGTGGTAGCGGCTCCGGGTCTGGGTCCGGTGACAAAGATGGGGATGATGATTCTGGTAGTGGTGGGGACTCAAGTGATGGTAGTGGAAGCGGCAGCGGCAGTGGTTCTGGAAGTGGTTCAGGCAGCGGGGACAAGGGTAGTGGCGGTGGAGATGGTGGAAGTGATTCCGGAAGTGGTTCAGGCAGCGGGGACAAGGGTAGTGGCGGTGGAGATGGTGGAAGTGATTCCGACTCTGGCTCAGGCTCTGGTTCAGGTTCCGGTTCAGGCTCAGATTCTGGGTCTGGTTCTGGAGCTGGGGACGCAGCATCGCCATCAGCGACCACCGTCGGCGAGGGTCAGACCAACATCGCTGGAAAGACTCAAACGGTACGTGAGCTACTGATGTATGCTCTACCACTGCTCGCAGCTTTCCTGGGGTAACCTCCTGGAATTACTGAGCTTGGAAGGGGAATGAGTGATGCCTATTCTTAGTTTATACTAGTACCTCATTATACGTACCTCTGTACTTGATTGGATGATAGAATCACAATTAATCGAGATTGAAATCTTATTCGGTCATATAACTTCCAGGTAATCTCGCTGTGACATCAATTCATAGTCTTATTACTATGTACTCCATAGATCCTGCTATTTAAATACACGACACAATTTTACAAAATTAACTTGAAATACCACGATCTGCTTCCTCCAACAAACATAGTAACTAGCCTCACATCTTATACTCTCCCATCTTTCGAGGGCTGACCTTGTTGTGGAACATGTGATCAATCTCGTCATATCGTCGGCCCTTGAGCTCAGGGACATAGACCCAACTCCAGATAAAGCCAATGAGACCAAGTCCACCAAAGATGAAGCCAACCTTGCCCTTGAGATTACCCTCGTCAGGGTTGACCATGTAAGGAATGGCAAAGTTCATAGCGACGCCCATAACAGACTGGGTAGCGGTAGCTAGCGCCATGGTCTTGGCCTTCAAAGCCAAGGAGGCTGTCTCACCCAGGACGGCAAAAGCCATAGCTCCGACGGTGGCAAAGTAGACATATGCATAGATGACAGTGCAGGCAGCCTGAACCCATTTGGCAGCAGCGGTGGGGACTACGTCCATGATACCAATGAGAAACAAGAGAACTGTGAGGCCGCCCATACCAGAGAGGAAGATCTTGCGACGACCGAAAGAGTTGACGACGAACCAACTGCAGATGTTTCCAAGGACACCACATGCTGTGACTCCAACACCGAGATCGAAACTGCGAGAATCCTCAAGGCCAGCGAGTTGGAAGAAGTATGTCGAGTATCCCAGGACGAAAATGATGCCCACAAAGTGTTGGCAGACGAAAACACCCATACTAGTCGTGGTTCGAACAAGGTTGGTTCCCTTGAAGCATTGTGCCCATGATGGTGCTTCGGCTGACATGGCTTGCTCTTCGGCAATTGTGTCCTGGATAGTGGCAAGCTTGGCGTCAACATCGACCGATGAACCGTAGAGCGAGATGATGGATTTTCTGGCCTCTTCAATCTTTCCCTTTCGAACTAGATACCATGGTGTTTCAGGAGCAAAAGGCAGACCCGCAGCCAAAAGGACAATGAAGATACCCTGAGTGGCAAAGGCACCTCGCCAAGCCCAATGGTCAGTCCTCTCGCCGAAGGCCTTGATCACACCATTCGAAACCAATTGACCAATGGCAATACCAAGGTTGACGCCTGCTGTCGCGATACCACGGAGCACAACAGGCGAGATCTCGGATGTTGCGAGTGGTGCGAGAGTAAGGAAGAAACCCAGTGCGAAACCAAGTATCAGCTTGGACATGAGGAAGGAAACGTTGTTGTGTGACATGCACTCTCCGATGGTACCGCCAGTAGCTAACAAAAGAGCCATGATAAGGGAGTTCTTTCGACCGACTTTGTCGCAAATCCAGGAGCAGATGAAACCGCCGAAGAAGCCTCCGACGGAGCTGATGGTGTTGAAGGCTGTTTGCCAATCGGCAGGGAGGATGGCTTTGCCGTCCTCGACATATCTAATACTGCGTTAGACGGGTATATTAATCGATCGAGGGTGGGCATACCCGAAGTCACGTCGGAAGGAGGCGACAGAGATCATTGCGCCGTTGATCTGGGCATCGAAACCCCTATACCAAAACTGTTAGCGATATGGTTTGCAAAGACAATGGATTGTTCTTACCAACCGATAGCAGCAATTGACCAGTAAAAGCACCAAAGAATTACTTTGGGATGCTGCTTGAAGCATTGCCTCAGAGTAAGATCATGCTCAGCTTGTCGGTCCGTGTTGACAGCATGGGACTTCTCATCGACATATTCTGTTCCTGAGACCTTGGCCTGGAGTTCGAGGTCTAATTTGATGGCGGACTGCTTATTTGAAGCCTCCATGGTGAATTAATACCGTGTTGTAAGTGATGAAGAATGGAGTGCGATTGTTGGTGTTTCGAAACATGGAATAGGGGGCCAGCTGCTGTGTCTTATATACAACGACCCATGCCACTTCCCGATGTTGGTATTATAGCATCGGATGTACCATGAGCAACGGCACAAAATGGTGTGACAAGGAAACTCATCATCCACTGTCATGCGAAGAAAAAAACGATCCAACCCAAGACTCACTACTAGTTCGGTCTAGACCAGTCTGGGGTTTGTGGGGAGATCGTCTTTCGGCCAACCTGGGGATCGCGGGGATAGACTTATCCCTGATTTGGCGGATATGAGCGACATTCCCCGATGAAATCTCCACTCCAGGTCTCTCAAAGTGGTGTCACGACTCGAATTGTAAAAGGAGCGACATTCCCCGAGCTGAGAACCTCCACTCCACGTCCTTCACCTCCACCTCAACCTGCCCTTCGGTAACAAATGACGGTACGACAAAATGACTCCGCAAGCATCAGCCGATCAGCTCCAAGGCCAGGAACCGGAACGTCGCCCAGGCAAGAGACCAGCACCACGCGGAACCGCCTTCTACCCGCGAAAACGGGCCAATACGGCCTGTCAAGTGTGTCGGAGCAGGAAGACTAAATGCGACAATCTCAAACCGACATGCTCATACTGTCTCAGCGTCGGGGCGAACTGCATTCAGTCCCCAGTCGATCTGTCGGCATTTGACCCCGCAAGTCTCAAGATTCTGGAGCGATTGGATGAGCTGGAAAAGATACTTCGCGATACGCGAGACAATGACTCTCATTCAGCACCAGCTGTTGGTTTTGGGCAAGCAGATGGCCCTGTCCAGGAATTGCCTACTGTTGAAGAGTCTCCCGTGGGGGAACTAGACCATTCACCTATGAGCGATATACCATTGAGGAGTATCCTGCCAGAGAAAATGGAAAGCCTTCTCCTCTGGTCCGTTCTCTCACGAGACATGTCGGCCCATGCAACACTTCAGAACGATGCTCCCCAACCATCACCGTCTTATTCACCTGGTTGTCACTCGCTAGCGGATATAGCGGATTTAGACACCCAGGGTGTGAAGGTGCTTTTGGATAACTTCTTTGCGCACGTACACTGCAAGAACCCAATCCTGGAGGAAGCAGCTGCAAGGAGGGTTGTTCTCAATGTCGTTATTGAGGGGATTGATTGGTCGCCAGGATCATGTTTAACATTGATCATTTGCGCCTTGGGAAAGATAGCTACATCTCTTGACGCCACTTTCCATCTACGACCTGACTCGACGCAGTATCTCGAGGCTCAAGCGTTGTTCCAAGCAGCGCAGAAGAGAATCGGAACACTTATGGCTCGATCTGATATTATTTCCGCGCAATGTTTCTTTCTGTCTGGAGTCTATCTTATGAGCACTTTCAGGCCATTCGAAGCCTGGCGATATTTCTCACAGGCACTAGCAACGTGTCAAACACTGCCCTTTCTGCAGAAAGCACAATTCTTAAGCGCCTCTGATGGGCCAGAGTTTCCAAGACCGGAATTGGGTGAAACACAACAAGAAGCTGTGTACTGGTCTGCTTGGAAGTCTGAGATGGAATTAAGAGGAGAACTGTCGCTTCCCGACTATAGCATGCCTTATTCTTCGAGCGTGCTGTATCCACCTTTCTTCCCTACACCTCCACATCCTCTGGAGTCAACCAAGACTACAGCTTCCAGCAGACAACATACAGCCTGGTTGTTTTATCTATCCGAGATATCTCTTAGGCGGCTCTCCAATCGCACATGCAAGGACATCCTCGAGTTACATCGCGCATCAGCCTCGAATGTGGAGTTTCTAAAGCAACTCGCTCTTATTGTACCATCTTATGAGGCTCAGGCAAATGAATGGTCTGATAGTCTCCCACCAGAGCTCTCAATCACATCGAGCCCCGAAGAAGACAACGTATGTCGATTTGTCCTCCGCGGCCATCTGGTAAACTTCCTCGAACGACTCTACTGGCCCTTTGTGATGGCCCATCTCGCCGCCCTAGAGGGAGGTATCACGACACCCGTACCAGGCCTTCAACTTGTAACCAAGGGTTTAGAGTATCACGTGTTGAACGTCGATGTCAACCAAGCTGGCTTCCTACATCGTCATCACGGAACATGGTTCATGATCCGAGCCCTCGTCCGATCCGCGACGGTATTGCTTGCAGCTCGGCTGTTGGGCTCGGCAATGCCGAACGGTTGGCGAGAAGCGTGTGAGAGAATTATGCAAGTTTTGAGAGCATGGGAGGATGATGTAGCAGGGTTGTCACACCATCGGATATTCTTGGAGGAAGTGTTGCATAAACTTGGCGATTAACATGGTAGATTAGTTGTATGGGGCCCGGGTTTAACCAGTCTGTTGTGTACTGGATAGCAAAAAGCTTAATTTTTATTTAGGCGCGAACAAATTCAATCAAAGCTGAATAGCTAATATCCTTTTGTTTCTAGTCACATCATTGCCATACCACAAGCGTAATTTGCTCGCTTTCCCCGTGTTTTGGCGAGTCATGCAGAATATCCACTGTAGTCGCGGAGATCCTTGCCCTCCGTGATATGAGTTGGTGTGTGGAGATGTGAGCCGTCGGGGAGTATCGCTCGTAAGAGACCACCTGATACACTCCACTTAGAGGATAAACAAAGTATTTAGGTGAAAGGTGATACGTTCTCTGGTACTAGCAAACATCTTACAGTTTTCATTCTTCTTCCTATCAAGTTTCCTTTTTTTTCATTTCTCTTCTTCATCGCACCAATAACCCTTCACCATGGTCGCAGCAGCTGACAACTTTAGCTCTTACGAGGGCGTTTCAAATGGCCGCCCTCAGAGAGCAACATGCAAGATGCTGCACACAGAGGGTAGCAAGATTGTTGACTCCTCAGGAAACCAAGTCATCCTGAAAGGCACAGCCATTGGTGGTATGCTCAACATGGAGAACTTTATCACTGGCTATTCCGGCCACGAATTCCAACACAGAGAGCAAATGGCTGAGGTTCTAGGCGAAGAGAAGGCCAACTTTTTCTTCGACAGACTCTGTCACCACTTCTTCACAGACTCCGATGCTGCCTACTTTGCATCATTAGGACTTAACTGCATCCGCATTCCCTTCAACTACCGTCACTTCATCAATGACATGGATCCTGACAACCTGAAGCAATCCGGTTTCGATTGGCTCGATCGATGTGTCGAAATTTGTGCTAAGCAGAACCTTTACGCCGTCCTGGATCTACACGCTGTTCCCGGAGGTCAGAACCAAGATTGGCACAGCGACTCTGGCCTTTCCCGAGCAGCATTCTGGGACTTCAAGGACCACCAAGACCGGGCTATCCAATTGTGGAAGGCCTTAGCGACTCACTACAAGGGCAACCCTGTCATCGCTGGTTATAACCTCCTCAACGAACCTGCCGACGAGTCCAAAACATCTTCAGGCCATTACGGCGACAGACTGATCAAGTGGTACGAGAGAGCCGAGAAGGAGGTCCGAGCTATTGACCCCGACCACATGATCTTTGTCGATGGAAACACATACGCTATGGACTTCCGAGCTTTCCCAGAGAAGCCACTTCCCAACGCTGTCTATGCCTGCCACGACTACAGTTTCCTCGGCTTCCCCATTGGCGAGCAATACGAAGGCACTGAGGAGCAAAACTCCAAGTTGCGCAGCAGCTTTGAGCGTAAGGTCGAATTCATGAGAGAGAAGAACGTCCCTATCTGGAACGGCGAGTTTGGACCAGTTTATCAGAATGAGCACAAAGAAGGCCAGGAGGGTGTCAAGACCAACAACAAGCGCTTCAACCTACTACAAGAGCAGCTTGCGATTTACAGAGAGACAGACGTCAGCTGGTCGATTTGGCTGTACAAGGATATTGGTTACCAAGGCATGGTTTACCTCGATCCTGAATCACCCTACATGCGTCTTATTGCTCCCTTCGTGGCCAAGAAGCAACGACTTGGTCTCGACTTTTGGGGTGTGGTTAACAAGGACGGCGTCAAGCACCTATACGAGCCCTTCATCCAAGGACTCAAGGACGAAGTGCTGGAGAAGTATAGAGATACCAAGTACCCCAAGGTCTGGACATTTGAGCGACAGTTTGAGCGTGTCATCAGGGAGTGTTTGATGAGCGAGTATGCTGGATGGGAGCTTGCAGAGCTATTCAGGGATAAGAGCAAGGATGAGTTGGAGGAGCTTGCAAGCAGCTTTTCATTTGAGAAGTGCATTAAGCGAGATAGACTGGTCGGTATCCTAAGTCACGACTCAAAGTTGTCATCGGGAAAGCAATAGTGGAACTACATAACTCATAGCATCTCATTTTAACAAATCGGCGATAGGCACATTCCCATGTAGGATGTATTAAACTAGATTGCTTTTTTTTTTATTTTGTCATGTCGTTGCGACGTATCTATGTCATAACTTAGTTCTTTCCAAGCTCTTGGGCACGGTCAGCAGCAGCCTTAACAGCCTTGTTGACAATCTCCTTCAATCCCGAGTTCTCAAAGCTGACAAGTGCAGCATGGGTAGTGCCGTTAGGGCTAGTAACGTTCTTTCGCAATTGAGCAGGCTCATCGGATGACTCGACGAGCATCTTTCCAGCGCCAAGACAAGTCTGAGTAGCGAGACGAGTGGCTTGCTCCTGAGAAAGTCCCAGGCTGACGCCGCTAGAGATGAGATGCTCAACAAAAGCGAAGAAGTATGCAGGACCAGAACCTGATTGTTGAATTAGCATTGCAATCTAGGTGAGGATGATCAAAACTTACCAGAAATACCGGTGACAACATCGAGAAGCTCCTCCTTGTCAACCCACTCAGTAGCCTTACTGACACTGCCCAAGAGAGCAGAAGTCAACTCCTTCTCAGCACCAGTAACATCCTCGGCAGCATACAGGCCTGAAGCGCCCTCTCCGACTAGGGCAGGTGTATTGGGCATGATACGGACGATGTGAGGGGCCTTCCCACTATCGCCCTTGAACCATTGTGCAATGCTAGCAAGGGTGATGCCAGCAGCGATAGAGATGACAACAGGCAGGCTATCGCGTCCAGACCAAGCTGAGCTGAGCTCTTCGCACACACCCTTGGCAACCTGAGGCTTGACAGCGAGGATGATAACATCAGCGTCAGCAGAGGCCTCCTTGTTGTCGGCGGTGGTGCGGACGCCGAGGTCGGCCATCTTGTTGCGGTTGACGTCCCAGGGTTCAGAGACATAAATGTTTTGCTTGTTGGTGTTCTTGGCGAGGAGACCGCCAATAATGGCGGCGGCCATGTTGCCACCGCCGAGGAAGGTGATCTTTGCGTCTTGTAGTGAGGGAGTCATTTTGAGTGTGGATGATGCTGTGAGTGAAAGTTGTGATGAGACAGTGGTTTTTAACTTGGTGTGACTGATAACATAAAAGTTTGGAGTTGAGGATGAGTAACCCCGCATCGGATTAACCCTACAATACCCTTTTTAGTTCTTCTTGAGCCATGAGCGATAACGGCCTGGCTTGTGATCTTTGTGACTACTTTCTGATAATGACTACTAATATACATGTAAATTGTCTCTGGTTTATTTCATTTTGCAATGTAATAAGGGAACAGTTCTCGATACATAAGGAAGCTCATGTAACTCATCATCTGAATGGCGTCCATGTCTCAATATGTGTGATATTTTTACATCGTATCTCGATCATAATAATTGCAATTCTTCAGACTGCCATAATCACAATTCTTTCTCATCAACGCCGGTTTCAATGTTCTATGCGATATTTTCCAACATCTTTTCTTTTCTTTGACAAATGCAAATCACCCTCGGTTAGAGTCGGCGTTGAGCAATTTTCTGATAAGATAAATGATACGATAGGAGATAAGATAGACAACACAATCTTATCACCCCTAGGAATTCCACGCGCGATGAAGTAAACATACTACAATTGGGCTTTACTTGATGTAAGATATAAATCTGCTAATTTTTTAAGTATAACGAGTGTTCATTTGTCCTAAAGAACTAACAGATAAATGGATGGTCATTTGATGAGTAACGCTCAGTTAATTGCACACGTCAAATTTGTTGATGACTGACAAAGAAACATGGAAATCAATACCCAATTCTCTTGAACCGGATATCAACTAAAAAAATGGAAGTTAAGGCTTATGATTATTTCTAGCAAATATCTCAGAATAGGCAATGTATAGAAAACAATATCATAGATGACATGAAAGGACTACACTAAGTAATAGAATTCAGAAAGTTCGAGTTATAGGGTAAGACTGATGTCTTATCGTAATAATGTCACTGATAAGAAGCTTGCATCATATTGCAATTATCAATCTGAATTATGCAATTTTATATCCAGATGGCTTATGAATTAGTGCATATATAGTATAATTACTCCTTGCACAATTCACAACATGTACTCTGTATTTACAACTCCCTCTTATCGGGGAATTTGCGGAACATATCCATGAGCTTATCGACAGGCGCGGCCATGAGTCCCATCACTGTCTCAAAAGGTGGATTCTCACCAGCACTGGGATGGCTTCGCGTAGGGACAAACTGCTTTGTCCTGGAGAATTGATTCGCCAGAGACTCAGTTTCCTGCGCCTGCGATTTGAGGGCTTCTTCAAGAGCGGGCAGGTCGCGATTTTCTTCCTCTTCGATATGCTTCTCCAACAAACTCCAGATCGCTTTGATCTTAGGTACGTACTCTGGGTCCGTGGAACTGAGATTTTGGAAAACTTTGAGATGCTCCTTGACCTTTTTCACCATGTGTTAGTTAATGGTTTCACAGGTGAAAGAGTGTTAGGGTCTATATACCTCGTGATGTTCCTGGCGATCTTCGTCGGCCAAGCTCTTTCCCTTTGCACCCATGTACTTTTCCATAGCCGGGTAAACAATCAACTCCTCTCCGATTGAATGTCTCGCCAGCTCCCAAACAAATTGGTTACCGAATTTTTGCTGATGATCGTGGTCACGCGAGTTGACTACCTCATTGTAGTAATCCTTCAGCTCGCGGTGGTCTTTGATAATGGCGTCGGAAATAGCGGACATGGCTGCGATTTGGAAACGGATAGGACTTTGTTGAAGACGAAACGTTCGAGGCTTGATAGCTGCTCGAAGTTGAGGTGTGATAATTGCGCGGATGGATGACATTTTCTATTCAGTATGGAATTGCTTTCAATTGTCTGACGAGATATGGACGTGCTTGATGCATTTATGAACTTTGAGAGCTTGGCCAAGAATGCTGTCTACACAGCGGTGAACCTGCCATGACGACGAAATGATAGCCGTGCCTCAGTACTCTTGACCTGCTTCAGACACCTTTTGACGCATAATAGTGCAAGAAATGACAGACTTCGCTCATGATGCTGCTGACGATGCACGTGCGATTGACCACTCACAAAGCATCAATTACACTGCACCGTAATTCCCAGCTCCTGATTCGTCTTGTTTCTGAGTTTGTCTCGTACCGGGACCTAAGCTCCGGTACGGACAGTTCCGGTATTGATAATAGGTCAGAGCCTGTCAAGCAGTTGTCGATGAGAAAGGGTGACACACAAATCACCCCGACATTCGTCGCCCTCGTATATGCAGATCGACAAAGAAGAACAGCGTAAAGTGTAAATGAAATCGAAGATCGGCATCAGAAACTAGTCAATCGGGATAAAGTTGACTCGTCAACCGTTTCTACCTATCTACGTTGCAATTGGTGTCTATGACGATAGCGGGTGAAAGACTCCGGTGAGAGTCAATCAAGAATGAGCAAATATGAACCAGCATTATCATTGCAGGGGGTGTTTTCTCTCTTTCGTCTCTTGCAGGGAATGTCCTGCTTGTCGGTGCTCAGAGATCATGTTTCCCGGGCTTTAATGCTCAACTGCCGTTCGACCAAAAGAATTAGACAAAAATTACGCCATGATCAAGTCACAAGTACGACAACGACGGTCCTTACAGTTCGGATTAAACCGTCACAAGTGGACTAGTTCAAGCCTCTTCTCTCCGGTGATACAACATCGCAATTCTTTATTCCCAGCGAAACAATCAAGTCATAATGTCATTGACTTTGGAATCAATTGAGTTTCATAGAGTACACGAAATTATTGTCTTGAATTGTGCAGTTGTTGATGGCATCATTACGACCTCTACTACGTGTTGATTGCTCTTTTTGTATGACGCGACATGATTTATAATATTCTTTAGCACGCATCATAGTGGATCTTGTTAATGCAGGCACTGTAGGTTGTAAGTCCGATCAGATCTGTCTCATCCAGTTATCCAACAAGCATGTCTTCGAAAGTAAATAAAATGCTCGTGTTGGTCCTGCATGAGATTGTTTTTTTTGTGCAGTAGACAGGCATTCTTCAAGATCTATCGCATCTTACAAGCCATGTCGACAAAATCCTTCTTGCGAAGCGTAGCCCTGCTCGCTGTCGCAGGCACTTCCCACGCTGCTCCTTTTGTCTCAGAGGCACAGACAACTGTCTCTTCATCTGGTATCGCAGCGCCTGTCAGGCCTTACAGCGATGTGACTTCTCACGGTCCATACACCGGAACACCCACTACCACAGGTGCTGTGTCGACTACCATTTTAGCATCCGCTATTCCTGAGAGACCACCTCCTCCGGGATCTTACGACTACCCTGCTGATGGCAAGCTTCACGCTCCTCAGCCTGCTCCCTACACTCCTGATGGCGGTGTTGGTACCAATGGTTCTGCGCCCGTGTACCGTGTCCAGAGCGACTTTGACTACCAGTCTCTTGCACTTGCGCTGTACCAGGAGTGGATCGAGCTTGATCTCTTCCGCTGGGGTCTAGCTACTTTCTCCAAGGAGGAGTGGGACTCCTACGGCATCGGAGCTGAGGATCGATTCTTAATCGAGTACATGGCTGAGCAGGAGATTGGTCATGCTACTGTCATCAGCAACATGCTTGGCCCCGAGGCCCCCAAGCAGTGCACCTACAACTACCCCGTTTCCAATGTCCCCGAGTTCATCGACTTCAACCAGAAGCTCACCCGCTGGGGTGAGTCTGGTGTCTATGGATTTTTGCCCCATCTCAACTCTGGTCCTGCGGCACAGCTGCTGCTTCAGAGTATCACTATCGAGGCGCGTCAGCAGTTGATTTTCCGACAGTTCGGCGGCAACTTCCCCATGCCGGAATGGCACACACCTGGCATTCCCCAGAGCTGGGCTTGGACTCTTCTTGCTCCTTACATCTCCAGTTGCCCTGCCGATCAGACCCGTCTTGTTTGGCAGAACTTCCCATCTCTGAATATCATCAACCAGCCCAATCCTGCTCGTATCGACGGCTCCAACGTCTGGAACGAGACTACTGGTGGTTACGCCAACACTCTGTCGACTGCCGACGTCAAGGATGATGAACTCTGCGTCAACGCTACCGACAAGACTCTTGATTGCCCCGCTGCCATCACCAACAACCGCAGCATTCCACTCTCTTACCCTGGGCGCCAGGTCTTCCTGAACTGGGACGCCCCAGGCCAAGCTGTCGGTCCCAACAACAGCTACATCACTTCAACCAACGTCAAGGCTCCCAAGTTTGCCGCTTGGGTGTCTCAGCTCAACGTGACCTACTCTCCCCTGCAGAACGTAAGCCTCGAGGATCGAACTGCTTATACCATCCAACCCAACGTTTCCACATGGCAAGGTGACCCTGCTATTAACAGCACGATGTTCCTCGCCCTGACTGACACTGATCTTTACGTTACGCCTTACAACCTGACTATGATCAACCCCCACGTTGCTGCTCTCGCTGTTTACCAGGCTGGTTAAATTTGAAAAGGAATGATACCATGGTGGCTCAGCACTTTCTGACCAAGCAGATGTTCTTTGTACAATGATGGACATGGCTTAATACCTAATTATATAATTCTATTCTATATAGCTATATCACGAGTTAATGATATTTGCAAACACACCTTCAGCACTATTTCCAACCAACTTGCATTTTGGTGGACTGATTCATTCTTTCACTACTTAGGCTTAGAAAACTAAAAACAATATCGTGCTGTAGAACTTCAAATATCGTCATAAGTATACAATCCTGCTTCCAATCCCTTAATCTGCAAAGCCAATAGCTTAGAGTAATACCGACACATAGCCAAGTTGCCACCATGGAACCAGAATCCAGGTAGTCCACTCTTCTGCCAGATAGTTCTCATCTCACCCTCCTCGTTGAAACCCCAGACATCGTTGACCTTGTCGGCAACAGCATCGCCAAACATGGTCCTCGACTGCGTTCGCATGTTTTGGTATCCCGTGGCGAATACAATCTCATCAGCCTCGAGCTCTGTGCCATCAGCAAATCGAAGACCATTGGGGAGAACAGTCTCAATTTCCTGTCCGTGCTTCACCTTGATCTTGCCGTCGGCAATGAGCTGCGATGCGCCGACATCGATGTAGTAACCTCCTCCGCGCTGGAAGTACTTCATCAAGAGTCCTGCACCGTCTGGGCCGCGGTCAACCTTGAAGCCGGCGCGGTCGAGGCCGTCTAGGATGGCTTTGTCACATTCGGCTTGCTTCTTGGTGGTTTCAACAGCAAGTGCTTTGAAGACTGGGATGGGAAGTCCGTGAATGAGGAGATCGGCATCGTCAACGGGAGGACCATCTTCGCTGTAGACACCCTTGAGTCCAATATCGGTGATTGCCTTTGAGGAAACAACGTGAGTGGTGGACCGTTGGACCATTGTTACATCGTAGCCCTTCTCGAGGAAATCCTGAGCAATGTCGTGTCCTGAGTTGCAAGAGCCTACAACGATGGCCTTCTTGCCCTGACTGTTCTCCTTTGCACCAGAAAACTCGGAGGAATGGCAAAGACGATCGCCCTTGAAGTCGGAGATGCCCCTCATATCAGGCATGTTCTTCTTTCCAGAGTGACCAGTAGCCTGGATGATATGGCGAGGGTGAAACGTTCGCTTCTCAGTGGTACCATCATCCTTCTTCCTCTCAACAGTGACAGTCCAAGTCTTGGAAGCCTCATCCCACTTAGTGTCGATGAGAGATGTCTTCATCCAGATGTTGAGTTCAAGAAGGGTAGCATATGCCTCAAAGAACTGAGCCAATTTGTCCTTTGGCGTGAAGATAGGCCATTGAGGTGGGAATTGAAGGTAAGGCATGTGGTCATACCAGACCGGGTCGTGAAGGACGAGTTGGTGATATCTCTTTCGCCAATTGTCACCTACACGGTCGTTCTGGTCGATTGCCAAAGCTTCTACGCCTAGCATCTTAAGTCGGGCAGCAGCAGTGAGACCGGCCTGGCCAGCACCTGACATTATTAGTAACAAATATTGACTGCTTGGATAGTAGCTTACCAACGATCAGGACAGCTGGGTCATCTTTGGTGAACTCGGAAGTTTCAGCTCTTCGCTGAGCCCAGTTCTTTCGGCCAGGCATACCGCCATGCTCAACGCCACGAGGTCGATGGTCGTTGACAGTTTCTTCATGACCTTTGAGATCATTGATGCGTGTGTAGAAAGTAAAGATCTTCCACTGGCCATTGACCTCCACCAATCGCGCAAGACCCAGTCCCGTACCTAGAACGGTATCAAGAGTGAAGAAAAATTGAACACCTTGTACTTCACCCTTGCCATCGATAGGGATGGATTGAGGCTTTCGCACTGCGGAGCTGGTATCGAGACCGATTTTGGCCAAGCGAAACCCATTTTTTGATTGAGAAGATTGCTTCAAAAAAGATAAAATATTATCTGGTCCTTGGACTGTTCTAAAGGACCAAGTGAGCGCAAGATGATCTCGCCAGAAACCGTCTTCGGCGAAGAGTTGCGATAGAGCGGGGTAGTCTTTGCTCTGTAGGGCCTTGTTGAACGCGTTGACTACGCTGGTGGCAATTTCTTGCGGGTCGGAAGTTGTGGGTTTGGGTGAGGCAGAGGGGAATTTGGCTGGGATGATGTTGGTTGAGCCTGGGACTGCCCACGCTCGAGAAGCACGAGGAATGGATTGAGGAATGATATCGCCCATGATGAAGTCTGTGAGTAGAAGAAGATGTTGATGAAGAAGGATAGAATTTGTTGATTAAACTGAGGGGAAGACCTGTCCTTAAGTATTGAGTTGGCTGTGCATGCAGCAGGTTGTGAAACATAACCTATCAATGATGTAGAGTGCAGAACCCTTGGCCTCAACCATTTCGGCAGTTTCCCAGTTATCCTCACAGAATTGGCATATGTCAGTCATCCTATTGGACTCTTCAATGAGGCTGTTGAATCGTTTCGTCAACTTGCTTGACCTTTCCCCACGTTTCGAAGTAAATCTGGTACTAAATTGGGTCTCTCAAGAATCCTCCCCGCTTACGCTAGCTGTAACCATCACTAACGCAAACCACCCCGCACTTGAACAGTGAGTTGATTGACAGACTGCGGTTCCGAGGGGACCTGCTTTGCGGAGACGGGTCCGGATGGCTTTTGCGGAGGCGGTTGCGAACGTGGAGGACTAGGGAGATGTCAATGGTATTTATCTCGGAGTAAGGGATCATTTGGAGATACTAATTACTTGATAAGAGATGAGCATTGGAGTTTGTGCATATTTTTCTCTCATTATTCCAGTGCCCGATTCACGGTGATAGTCCTGGATACACACTGTTTCCCAAGGTGCAAATCTCGCTTGCGTGAGATTCCGAGACCAGACTCATCATTTTGGTTGACTCACATGTCTTCTATTCATGCCTTGATGAGTCACAAACTCACTAAAAATCTTCCATAAGTATTGATGAGGTTGAGATGAGGCTCCGCGTATCCTAAAGATCGTCATGCAAGCAAGTTGCCGGCTTTGAACCAATGGACAAGAATGACTTGTGATCTCAAGCTGACAACCGCTTGGCAATCCCCAATGCCGGACCACCCCGGTCTATCTCCGTTGTGGCAATCGGACGTATATGGATGCGATAGAGATTTTTGAAAGCTGGTATTGACATCTGATAATGAATGTCCCGTCGAAAAGGAAAGAAAGAAAAACTCTTTAATATTTTTGCCATGTTCGCGAAGCAATCTTCACCTAACTGCGACATTTGGAATGATCCGAAAGATAGACTTCGATCCGTAAAAATTATGTACCAAAGTAAGAAAAAGCTTTGGTAGTATATAGAGGTTTATTAAGATCGCTTGCCTATATTGGGGGAGTTATAGAATTTGGTATTGACTAACAGTGAAGCATAGCACAACTCAGAGGAAGTGACCTGTGAACTTTCAGTATTTCAACACTCTCAACATCGTTCTTTGCATGGCTTCTAAGGGGACGAATTGTCTGGCTTGCTAGGTAATCAATAAATCTCTAGCAATCTTAACAAATCTTTGTCGACAAGGATGTTGCTTTAGTTCGATGGAATGCCCTATGAGTGTTTTGCACATGCGATTTTGAGCATCGAAAATGATGTTGAAGAAGAAGAATAAGTTAAAAAAAAACTCGCGCTTTGTAGTTTCGAGGCTTGTTCAGAAGAAAGAAATATGCGAGCGTTAGAAGGTGCCTAGAGTCAAAGCGATCCAAGACGCGTAGTCAAGGACAAGGCCACACAACTAATTGTCAGTTTTTGGTCAGCTTGACTCTTTTTCTTTGTTTCCCATTTCTTCTGATCTCATGCACTGTTACACTGTCATGATGGTTACAATTCCACATGTAACTCCGCCAATCAATATTATGCAGGCATGTATAAGTAAATACGATATTCGGGCAATTTGGTCCGCTAATCACTACCGATACCCTGGTGAGGCAGGATCCTTGAGATGTATCACAAATAAAATACTTCCTTGTCGACCCGCCATGACAAACAATCAAGATCCACTCTGATCTCAGGGTCCGAATCGACATAGCAGGAACCTAAGCTATAACTCCGATGCAACTAATACGTCGGCATATATTATAAAGGAATGCCTTCACTTCATGTTGTATTTGAAATGGATACAATTGCTGAGAAAGCTGTTGACTACAGCTTACTAACCCTTGTGCAAAGTGGGGAGAAGGGTTCAAGAGGGTATAGCCACATGATGACAAACCGTTCTAAACAGCTTACAAGCGTATGACAATACACCCACTTGCAAGCGGGCCGCATATTATGCATATTCGTATAGCTTCCTGTGGCTGCGGGACTGTTGCATGTGGCTTTATGCAATGGCATATCAGATCCTCAGAGTGTTTGGCCAATATGCATCTTCGAAGGTTCGGCCGCTGAGTCGGATTTCGAGCCCGACTATGCATTGAACCCTCGGTGCAGTCTATGTAATCAGTGAGATTGGGACCAGGGACGTGGTCGTGGGAAAGATGCAGAGTCGGAGGCTTGCATGGAAGAAATTTGAGTATATATAGCTGTATTTCTGCCCAGATTTAAAAAGTTACTCGACAGGTTCGAATAGCCATCTCAGCAGATTCAGTACTTCCAGAAAGCCTATTACTCTCAAAAATCGACAAGATGAAGTTCACTTCCATCATCACCGCAGGCCTTCTCTCTGCTTCTGCCCTTGCAAAGCAAGCCGCTTACAAGTATGAGCGTCTTGACAAGGACGATGCTGTAAGTAGCCTCTCGATGGTCATCGGCAGTATACTGATACGTACAGCTTCTCCTCGTTGTCGACATTCAGGAGGGTCTTTACCAATTGACTCGCGATTGGGATCCTACTCTGTACCACCATCAGTCTATGGCTCATGCTGCCATTGGCAAGGCTTTCGAGATGCCCGTCATTCTCACCACTTCCGCTGATCAGGGTAAGTCTTTACAAAGTCGAAAGGCTACATTCTCTAATATTTCCTAGGACCTAACGGCCCTCTCATGCGCGAGATCCGTCAAATGTACCCCAAGGCTCCTCTCGTCCAACGTCAGGGCCAAGTCAACGCCTGGGACAGTGAAGAGTTCCGGGATGCTGTCAAGGCCACCAACAAGTCTCAAATCATCCTTGCAGGTATCACCACTGATGTGTGTACCACCTTCCTCGCCCTGTCTCTTCGCGACGCAGGCTACTCCGTCTGGGCCAACATTGAGGCTTCTGGTACCACAACCCCTCTCATCCGCGATGTTTCCAACGATCGCATGCGCGACGCTGGTGTCCAGGTTGTCAGTCTTTTCTCCATCATCTGCGAGTTGATGAGAGACTGGAGAAACACCCCTGGTTCAAAGGAGATCTACCCTTGGCTCGGACAGTACTTCCCTATCGCTGGCTACATGGCCCGTGGACATGCTGCAGCTATTTCCAATGGTACTATCCAGCCTGGTGAAGAGGGTTACACTTCTTACCCTTAAGCCTTTAAAACAATATTATGACAAAGGCTGTTGGAAAAACAAATGCGGCAGTTCACTTTCGAAATGTCGTGGCCAGCACAGGTAGACAGAAAGTTGTCGATTGTGCAGGCGGAGTGTCCGCTCGAAAATGACCTGGGCAACTCTCAGACTACATAGACTTTACTCCTTTCTTAGTCATTAATTGGCTCCCATTTCACTATAGACTGAATAAACATCGGATTGACTTCATATGAGACCCATGTGGTTGGAAGAACCTTATTGTGACTAGGACTGGACATCATCGAATAGACTTAAAGCAACGAAACTACCAGTCGAGCTACAAATTTCGGAGGCAGTAGGTTCTGATGGTACAGTCGGTCATTAACTCGATGAACATGCAATAAGCCCAGACGGGAACAAGAAGGACTTTAAACGTAACTGGTCAAATTCAGCCACCGTCTTGATCCCCTCGACTTGGATTGGTTCATCAGAGCTCAGCTCACCCCAGCCAAGACTATATCACTCCATGATCTGATAAAACACGTTATCGCCTGTTAATGCTACTGTATAAGAGAATGTCACCCCGGAATATTTTGCCAATCATTTGCAGTCCTCTTTTCATGATAATTAGTGCTTCGGAAAGAAACTGACAGAAGTCCACCAATATGGCGTCAAATACTACAATCCCACGTACAATGCAGGCTGTTCAATGGCACAATATCAAAAATGGCATTGAAAAAAACCTAAAGTTCATCGTCGATGCCAAATTGCCTAAAGGCTCTGACTCTCTACCCAAGGGCCATACGCTAGTCAAAGTCGCCTTCGCATCCGTCAACCATCTGGATTACAAAGTTGCTGAGATGCCACTGGCAAGCATGATCTTTACCAAACCCGTAACACCAGGTCTCGACTACTCTGGAACGATTGTTTCCACTAAACTAAGAGATTTTGCGATTGGTCAACGTGTCTTTGGGAGAACCGAGTTGCCGACAGGTGGGACTTTGGCGGAATATATTGTGGTTGGGGAGCAGGGTTTGGCGGCATTGCCAAATGGTGTGTCCTTGAGGGATGCGGCATGTGTCGGAATTTGCGGAACTACGAATGTTCAATACCTCGCATCCTTGATCAAATTGGGAGACAAGGTATTCATCAACGGCGGCAGTGGTGGTGTCGGTATGTTTGCGATTCAAGTTGCAAAAGCTTTAGGGTGCTCACACATCACAACTACTTGTTCAGCCTCGAATGCCGAGTTCTGTCGCGCTCTTGGGGCTAATGAGACCATCGATTACAAGTCCGAAGGTGTTTTGGAGATACTGAAGGTTAGGGAGGATCAGTTTGATCTGATCTACGATACACTCTTCAGCAACCCTGATCTGTACTGGCAGTCGCACCATTACCTCAAACCGCAAGGATCGTACATCTGCATTGGCTTTCCACCCACTTTTCAATTCTTTAAGACTCTGGTCAGTATCAAATTGCTACCTAGATGGTTTGGTGGCGGACAGAGAACGATCAAATTTCAGTCAGTCGTGGCAAATCGACAGGACTTTGAACAGATGGCTGAATGGATCAGAGAAGGGAAAGTGAAGGTGGTTGTCGAGGAGGAATTCGACTTGGAGACTGCAGGTAGGGCTTACGCGAAGTTGAAAGAGGGTAAGACCAGAGGGAAGTTGGTGGTTCGTGTTGGCGGAGAAGCTGGTGGAGAGTAGTAAACCATTGAAGATCGTGTCAATACAAATGTGATGGCTTATGTTGGCGATGGGAGAATGTTATTATTGTGAAGGAATATTTAGGATTAATGAGTAATTACATAGTCTGAGAACTATGATTGAAGTGACCTTCAATACAGAAAGTCCTTGCTACAGCTAAAAAGAAGTACCTCTCATTTCCCCGTTACCATACTGACGCCCAATCGAAGACAAAAATCCAAACTCCATCCAGTTCATTAACAAATGCATACACACAACCCAATCTCATAGCACAAGTGCCTGGTCATTCAAGTTCACAAACATCTCATTCCAAGTCATCTCCTCATTAGGCGCTCGCTTCCAAACATCTTCCAACACCGCGATTACCGCATGAACAGACGCAAACCGAATCTCGTCATATATAAACCCCGCCAAGGCACGAATAGACTTTTGTTCTTTAGGGCATTGCGAGTGTGCGCCTGCTATGCAGATTGGCAAAACCGCACAGTTGAGGATCTTGGATGGTTTCCGGATGTTGAAGATACAGTCGAGACAAGATTGTGTGTGTTGTTGCACGAGAGGATGATTCGCTGGGAGACCACAGACGGCGCGGTAAAGGTAGATAAGTGCTGCGTGTTGAAAGATGCGCACCAGGCTATATGCTTGGGCTGACTCTTTATCGCATTCGATGGGTGGTTGATCGACGGGCGAAGCGCGTGGGGATGAAACATCCTCCACGGCGAGAGGAGCATAGGTCGGTCGAAGAGCGGCCTCGAAAACACGAATCCTTTCAATGGAGAATTCTTCAGCCATCCGTGCCGTCGACTGGATGTAGAAAGCCATGCTTGACACTTCTTGGAACACTGTTGATAGTGAACAGTATCCCTGCGTGTCTCGTCCCCACCAGACTGGTCCTCTATCAACCACTTCCCAGATTGTTGGTGGAAAAGATGGTGGTTGGCCTGTTAATATCGCTCTCGTAAGATCTGTAGTCGCAAATTCCGATAGCATCATGTGGAGAGGATCCTGGCCTGTTCCTAGCACCGCCGTCATACCACCCAACTGGTTAATGATAGCCAGCACTCCATCTCTGTGACTTGATGTTGATGACGATGTCTGTGCACACTCGAGGAACCCGTCGTGGAAATAAAGTAGCAGCACTGCAAACAGCAAGGTCTGCAAGGATCCGGCTGACTTGGAACAACACCCGTCAACTTCTGCCCGCAGTGCAGCCAAACACTCAGCCCTCTTGACGTTCAGAATGCTCTTGCTGTTTCTGCCATCTTGCAACCACCGATGGGAGTCAGCGAGAACGCACGTCGCGAGAAGCACAACACGATGTTGCAGTGCAACCATAGTTGGTGGGGCACATGGTTTTGTCGACGTTGTCAGTAATGGCCAGAATCGACCGTGGAAGTAATCCAGGGAACGCTTTTCATAGACAGCGAGTGACGCGACAAGTTGCTCATCTGCTGTAGAGATCTGGTAGATGGCCGGCACCGTGACGGCCGGCCGAGTGCTCCAGCGGATAAGGCGCTGGTTGTAGTCACACGTTGCGCCAACTTTGACGCAACGTGAGCAGGTTGGCTTAGCGAGGTCGCACTTGATACGGCGCTTTTTGCAGGGCCAGCATGATCCTTCCACGACGCGGACGCGCGCTTTGGGTGCCTTTGAAGTTGCGAGTTGTGTTTCGGATCCCATTGCTGATGTCGAACTGATCCACGGCGTAGAAAAGGGATAACGGAACTGAGTTTGGACAGGGTAAAAACTCGTCGTGATCTGTCTTGGCTTGGTCGCGTTATGTTATCTTAGCTGCATCCTAGGGGCGATCATAGCCTAGATGTATGTAAGGCACGGCAGAATAAGGTAGGGCAAAAGTGTCAGGATCCACTGAAAAGCAGAGCCCCCTTTTATTCCAACAGTAAGGCTCAAGTGAGTGAGTGATAAGGCGACGAAAGGGTTCGTTTCCTTACCAGTCACAATCTGTTGACTGCCGTGTGTTACGCGGGGAAGCGACACATAAATTCAACAAGGTCCAGGCCCAGCCAAATGGCTCCTCCGCAATTTACGCCCCGCTCAAGAATGGGCAATCTAGTTTCCATCTTGGGTATAGATCCACGATACCATGACTCGTCGTGACTGGCTGCGAGTCTGTCTTGAGCGGAGATGCCGGGTATAATTCCCGGAGGAATGACCGGCTTTAGACCGGTCGAGCCATTGGTCAGAAACTCAAGCCACTCATCATGGTCGACTCGGCCAGCAAATTAAGACTGAGACGGAAAGACAATATGTATCATGAGATACAGGGTTTCCCCGTATTTTGAATGATCTTGACCAAAGTTGCGGCATCATGGGCCGTGAATCAACAACACTGAACTGAGGGGAATTGAGCTATGTCTCACTTGAGATCTCGATCTCTGGATAGGTATGTGTATTTGTAATCCGGCCGGCTGGTCAGGTGACGGTTTCAGGGGAAAAAATTAACCTTAATGTTAATTGTTATGGAAACCGTTGAGTACCTAGTTAAAGTAACATCTGAAATCTCATTCCAATCGATTTCATCAGGCTTGATAGTATTTCAGCTCTGGTGACTAAAAAATACTGCCTAGATGTATGGGTACGATTCAAGTGTATTCCCATATTGTAAACCTCTTATGGACGCTCTTTCTGTGCATATTCTTTCCATCGGCTTGCAATTTAGTAGCATAATGATCATGCTGATCTCAATTTATTGTGAAAGAATCCTTCAAGGCTGTAATGGCTATTCCTGCAAATCTTCGTCTGTCATTACTGATACATCAACATTTAAACTCATGAAATAAGGTAGCGACCATCGATGCCTCTAGGAACACCCTGCGACTGTAACCTTACATGGCTAACAACTCTACAATAACCTGGAATTTTTGCTAAAGCAGTTCTTGACCGAGTTAATAGTTTCATTAGAGATCTGCATGCACTAGAAAACAAGTTTCATGAATCGACATAAAGTAGTTAGTTCCCAACAAGATGCCATTGGATTTACCAGCAAAATGTATCGATATTAATCTTGCCCAGTATCTGTAGTCGTATGAAATGACTTGGGTTGTATTATTCCAAGGTGGTTATGTTTAACTGTGTAAATTAGGCGGTGCATAAATTCCACTCTAGGGTCCATCGATGTAGACCAGCGACGACAAAACGTACTTTTCACTGCATTGAAGCGCACAACTAGATGTTTGATACACATAGTATTGGACGTCATTTGTGATCTCGTTAATGCTCAACAAACATAGCTCGTCACCCGCCATTTAAGATTTATCATAACTCATGTATCGTAAGGATTTATGTACAATGAACCCAAAGAATGCTTTTTGAACCACTCTAGTCAAGGCGAGGGAGATCACCCTTCTTCTGAGCCTCTTCAACAAGCTTGTTGTAGACTTCTACCTTCTTTTCGTACTCCTTTACAAGGGCCTCATCTCTCTTGCCAGGAGTAGCATCATCCCCGCCAAAAGCTCTAACCGCGGCGAAGTAGACGTCGGCAAGTGCTCTGCAGACACCAGAAACACTGGAGGATTGGCATTGGAAGTACAAACTATTGAGGTCATTAGAAATGTATGAGGTGCTTAGGGATTATCAGGTTACTAACTCGGTCTTGAAGTTGTTGTCGATGCGGGACTTGGCGCTCACGGTGAAGCGGCTCTGGGCGCGGTAGTTGTGGTAGCCAAAGTCGTGACGGTTGCAGGCAGGGATAAAAGGGAAGCCGAAAGGGTTGTCGGGCGAGGAAGTGCAACCGTCAGAGGTCCAGTCGACAGTGGGAGGATCACGGGCGTTACGACGAGCAGTGAATTGTGGGAGTGTGACGCTGAAGAGGAGCTGATCTGTCACTGTGTTCACGCTCTGGCGCTTTGAGACAGATGCATCTTCGCCTGTGGGCAGGGCGAGAACTGCCGGGAGGAGTGAAAGAATGGTAGCGCTGAACTTCATCTTGAAGATACTAGAAGTGATGGATAAGGAAGGAAAGAACCAAAACTGTTTTCTGCTGTCGAGACGTTGAGCAGAAAGGTCTAGTTTGAACAGCTGGAGAAAGTGCTTTGTTGAAGAAGTTCCTTCCGTGAGGTTATGAAGAACTATTTATATGTATTTTGGACACATGTTACAGAAACTAATCTGCAACTGTAGCATCAATGCATTGCTATGTACAACGGCGGATTGTCGCCAGCCATTGTGCCAAGGCTATAATTCGAATTGACTACCTGCCTAATGGAGTAATGATCTCTACTGACAGGACGATTTCCAAGGTCACGCACCGGTCTTGAGTCAAATGATTTGCTAGACATCGCCAAGACGCGGCAGTACCTTATTCTCAGTTGCCGACCTGCTTGTTTAAGTTCACCAAAATACATGGATGTGATCTTGTTCGTGGTGCTCATCGTGAACATTATTGGATAGCTTAGAGTCTTTGTCGATGCGGGGTTGATCAGATTGCCGCTCGATTTCTGAAATAGGAATATTGTCCGATGAGCGAGTGGAAATGGACAAATGACATGCTGTAACGCGGAGCACTTGTTATGTCTTGGCTAAGAATCAAGGAACTGGCAAAAAATATACAATTCAGCTTCCTTTTCTATGTTCATACATGGTGACTAGTAGCAGACATGTGAATATGAATGTAAGCTACTGCTCTTCGTTTTCTGCATATATAAAATTCGCAGCTGTATACTATGGTTAGCCTGGCGCATTTGAACCTTTGTATGTAAGGAAACGTACCAACAGGAGCAAGACCATTTCGTTGCGCCCATTCACGGACTCCATGTCCGGCATCTTCGGAACCCCAGTGCCTCCTCTCTTTCGGTTTGGTTAGATGGAGTTTCTCAGTCGTTCCGTTGGCTGCGGCGAATGCGAAGAAGACATAGCGGTGCTTTCCTGTTTTTGGTGGCGGAGCGGGAGCCTTGTACTTGACGAGATCTTTCAGATGATGCTTAGATGTTGTTGATGAAGAGATAGAGGTTCCCGTTGCAATCCAGTGGCAGAATTCGGACCATTTAGGGTCGTCTCTGGATGGTGCGTCCGGGTCAGTGAGAACGACCACATATGTGGCGTGCTTCTTCAGAATTGATTCAAGAGAATCATCTGAGTTAACCCTGTCGAGATGAACCTTTGGGGCCTTTTTGAGGTGTTTTGGTTTGAGGGTATTGCCAAGATCAGCTGAGTCGCGTTTCCATGACGCGCTGAACCCAAGAGTGGGAGGGAAATCGTCGATAACCGTCGGAATGATCTCAGCTTCTAGGAGTCTAAAAGTATTAGATTTCTTGCTCTGTAAGAGGTTTTTGATTGTTGTACTTCTCGCGAATCAGATCCAGACTATCCCCATTGGATCCAAGCACATGCTGCTTCTTGCAAATGACGCTGCCAACCTGTGCGGCAAGTAGCAATGAAAGTCCCCAGAGCATGTTGGAAGTAGTTTCGGTGTTCGTTTGTGTTGTTAGAAAGAATTCGTGCAATAATATCTTGCACCCAATCGATATGATGGTGAAGAGTTTTGCATTGACATTCCCCGCAGTCAATCATGTTATACCTTGCCGTTGAAACGCTTCATGATGTCACAAATACCTGCCACTGACGTGAGTGGAAAGTGCGACACTACAATTCGATAACAGCTTCTGGAACCACTATAACTGCTTCCATATAAAATTCATTTATGGTCAAAATATGTACAATTGAATTATATGTGAGAACTATCGTCATTCGGCCACTCCGTCCCCAGTGGATCTAATATCTGGGATCATTAATATCATTACACCGGTGTCAAGCTTAGTTGAAACCCTCGGGCCAAAACTCCTCAAGCCACTCATAGGGGTCCTCAGGCTCATAAGCCAACTTGACCTCGCCCTTGTACTTGGTGATGTTATCCCTCGTCTCATTGTACAAGGCGTACTTCTCATCTGGTCCGTTTCCAACATAGTAAGGAACTGTCTGCACGTTGTTGCCAATCTCCTTGTCACAGATGCTGGTGACATTGTCGATTTGAGCGTTCTTCAGGCGGAACTCATCGCCAAAGTTGGGGTTGATCTGGAGCCAGGTCAGGACAATTTAAACGGGATGTTAAGGGAATGGTTAACTAACGATGCCCATTCGAAGACCATCTCTGGCAACGACGTTCTGGATGGTGGCGTTGCGCTTGGCTTGGTTGAGGCAGTTGCCACAGGACTGATAGAATGTCCCAAAGCCTTCAGCGTAGAAACCGGTGATGTTGTACTTGCCACCAAGAGAGTTGTCTTGGAAGATCTAAACATATTAGTATTATTCTTTCCAAAATGCAGCAAAGACATACCTTGTCCGTGGCACTTCGGGCTCCACCACCGATGACTCTCAATTGTGTGTTGAGACCCTTGGATGTTAGAGCATCCTCGCAAACATCCTCCCACCAAACTGAACAAGATTAGCACAATTCTCAAATCAAGATATTGACCAGGACGAGATATACCATTTTCGACCCACGCATCACCCAAAGCATGGATACCCTCAGCCTGATGTTTTCCAATGATGACATTTCGGATAGTCGCGCCAGGCATCAAGTTGAAAACGGTGTCGGCATCCGTACCCTCTGCCTGTTCGTTGCAGCTTCCCTCTGGACGCTCATATCGCTTCATCTTGCCGTCAAAGACCTCGCCGGGCATGATGTACTTGGCATTCTTGAAAACAACTGTCTCTTTGGCAACGGGAAACTTGGTGATGGGGAAAGGGAATCTTGGTGGTGGTCTTTGACTGAGATCGCCTTGTGTAGCGTCTGTGTCGCCCTGCTTGCCATCACCAGTCTTGGATTGGCGGGTGTCGATGACAGCACCGTGGGCGAGGGGTAGAAGTGATAGGAGGAGTGATGCCTTCATATTGGATGCCTGAGGGTAGTCTTTGTTGAGAGGATGAGGTCGTGATTCTTGAATGAGGGAGTATTGGAGGATGGACGTTCCTTATATATATTTATCTCTTCTCAGTGGTTATCCATAACTTCCCCCATTATGTGTGATCCCAGACTCATATCACCGAAAACCCTACCATCTATGCATGGACGAGCAATACAGGCTCTACTAAACTGCGTAGCCGAATGGCTCGTAAATGCTAGCGGATTTAGTGTTGCGTTCCCATTAATCCCCGTACCAGATGCACTAAGTTATTAGTGACATGTCGGGAGAATTCCCTCCATGAATCATCTTCAAGGGAAAAGTCGTCGGTTCCTTCTCCAATGCTTGGCATCTCGTTTGTTTGACACAGAATCTGGGGTTGGTTATGTTGACTCTCTTGGCATTGAACAATTGAACATTTTGTGGGGGAAGTTGAAAAGGCGGGGTGCATGGGATTCTGTAGCACAAGAGTTTAATTCGGGGAATCGTGATTGTCCGCCGTTCAGAGTTTCTTCCATCAATCAGCCGCCATATATCTGACAAGGGTATGCTTCTCCAGACCAGATGGATTGACCAAATTGAAATAAGCTCACCGATAAACTCATTAACGTGGCCGGCATAAGCTCATATGCTCATGTGAGTCTAGAATATCGTTATTGACTACCCCGAGGTGTTGTTGCATCGGACGTTTGTGGGGTTTGTTCACCCGTTGACATGGGATATTTGGGGGCGTTGCATCACCCCCAAACCTTGACAAAGAACACATCCTCCACTTGAGCGTCTCGCAAGATATCTTTGTAGGCCTCCACTCCGGCGTTCAGCAAGTCAGATCAATATACATCGTGCGTTGTTTTGTGTATAAAAAAACAATGGAGACTGGGAGATAGCTGCAATCTCATCTTGCTGGGAAGGTGTAAGACATATTGAAAATCATATATAGCCAGCCGTCAAGACCCACGATGTCTTCCATTTTCTGCACGATCCGATAGATTGGATGCCCAATTAGAAATATCTATCCTGCATGACATAGATATACTGGAGACGATACTTCATCTCATGGCGATCATTGCACGCCTTTCCACGTGTCGCTGAAACGTTTAGAGAATGTCGAGGGTGTGTAGTCAAAATCACTGCCAGCCTAAGTCCGGCAATGGAATCCCAAACCACTTCAAACCGTCTCAACTAAAACCACACTGGGTTATACGTCGCTGTGCCATGTATGTAGAGCTTATTGCCGACGGCTGCGATTGAGGAGATCATGCTGGAGCTATAGGGTGACTGCCATCCATTAATGAAGTTGTTACATCATAACCGGGGTAATGCCTGCGACGTGCAACTAGTCTTGGACCAATGTTTATTCTCAACTTTATCTTCTTGTTATTCTTAAATATCAGTGATATTTTCCTAAGTATCTCTAGAACAAGCATGCGTATAAGCATGAATGTGTTACTCCCACAAAATCGGAAAGCTCTTCATACTTGACAGGCATTCACGCGACTAGAATATCTTGTTTTCTCCCTCCAATCTGAACTTGCTTGAGTAAATCCCCAGCAAAGGGTAACTTCCTAAACACGAATTGAAAACTCTGAAAACCAGGGCAGATTCGGATGCAACCCCCAAACGTTCTAATATGGTTATATGAAGGACTATCTACCCTGCGTGGATCGCATCTCATATCCGTGTTTGAGCTGAAACTGTTTAGTATTGGACAGAAGGGAGATGGGATGACGCGCCCCCCACTGTCTTCCCCGGACTTTGGGGTTTGCCGCTTCACTGTAACAGTATGGAATAAGTCGAGATCCATTTTCATAGCTATACACTGGAGCATGACCAGTTTGGAAGAGAAATGAGAAACCTGTCGTTTGAGGTTTGAGATAACACTTCAGGCTTCACATACAGACAATTTTGAAGTACTCGACCGAAAGACTACTTTTCGAAGTTTGCTACGTTCTCAAGATTCGGTTTTGGAGATCACAGCCTCTAGCCACACCTTTTATTACCCCAGAATGAACCCTTGTGTCTATAGGAGCTGATGCCGAAGTCCGTGTAGTATGACAGAAGATCGTCATTACCCCAGAAATCATCCACCAACCATCGCAGATTCTTTCCTCAAACTCCACCAATGACGGGCCACAATACTATAGTTCTTGTATGAAGGGTAGCATTTACTTTGAACCTTCAAATTTGTTGTTTCACAGATGGAGCATTGTAGATGGAATGTCCCGTTGTTGTTCCAATAGAATCTTGTGACGATTCAAAGGTATGACCTGAAAAGGGAATTTAGACAATATCTCCTGGGTCCGTGGCTCGATCTGGAAGCGCTGCTTTACTATGATGAATGTCGACATCAGGCTTCACTCGCGATTCGAATTTCTATAAGAAGTCGCCAAGTTTCGCGATATCTTGGCTTGGATATCCAGCAGATTAAGGATCTCAGCTCTCGATCATCATCTACACAAGCTCACCGAACTGAGCTTGACAAACCAGATTTTTACTCCTGACAATACTCTGAACTTTGCACGCCAGCCAGCATCACATCATCATGAAGCTGACCTCTGTTTTCACGGCCGTCTTTGCCACCTTGGCAGTCGGTTCACCTCTCGAGACTCGCGATGCGCACATTAAGCGTCAGGCCTCTGAGGCCTGCAACGTTGGGTACTGTACTCAAAACGGAGGAACTACTGGTGGTGTCAAGGGTCAAACTGTCACTGTGACCACTCTCGCCGCTCTCCAGGAAGCCGCCACGCGAACTGGACCTCTCACTATCATTGTTTCTGGCAAGTTGACTGGTAGTGATCGCGTGCGTCCTGCGTCTGACAAGACTATCATCGGTGCGGCCGGCAGCTGTAAGTGCTTCATAACCAGATAAAGCATGCTCAAACTGACTCGTTCCAGCTCTCACGGGCATCGGATTCTACGTTCGTCGCCAGAAGAACGTTATTCTCCGAAACCTCAAGATTGCCAAAGTTGATGCTTCCAACGGCGATGCTATCGGTATCGATGAGTCGACCAATGTCTGGGTTGACCACTGTGACCTGTCCGGTGATTTGAGCGCTGGTAAGGATGACCTTGACGGTCTTCTTGACATCTCACACGGTGCTGATTGGGTCACTGTATCCAACACTTACTTCCACGACCACGTAGGTTCATATCCAAGCTCAAATGTGATAGATTTGCTAACGAAACCCCTGACAGTGGAAGGGCTCGCTCATCGGCCATTCTGATAACAATGCTTCCGAGGATAAGGGCAAGCTCCACATCACCTATGCCAACAACTACTGGAAGAACGTCAACAGCCGTCAGCCTCTGATCCGCTTCGCTACTGTTCACCTCGTCAACAACTACTGGGACCAGATTCTCCTCTCCGGTGTTAACACTCGCATGGGTGCTCAAGTCCTGGTTCAGAGCTCTGCCTTTGCCAACTCTGTCGAGCGAGCCATCTTCTTCGCTGATTCCAAGGAGACTGGCTACGCTGTTGTTGATGATGTTGATCTTGGTGGCTCTGTCAACTCTGCTCCCAAGGGTACACTTACTGCTGCTTCTTTGCCTTACAAGGTTACTCTTCTCGGGTCTAAGAAGGTTGCTTCTGTTATTCCCGGCACTGCTGGCCAGAAGCTGTAAACAAAGGTGTTATTTAGTGACGGCAGTCGCACGGATCCTATATGGGTTGCTTGGATACAACATCCGGCATGATGCAGTATTGAGCTTGTCCAACATAGCATATAGTGATGAATTAAGAGATTCCCGATTGTCTCCATGTATCAAGTGCGCCACGCATAACATGACTGTAAATTTATTAATTCAACATGAGTATTTACACCAATATCTCCTCTGGTTGGGTTTGCTAAAGTAGTGGTCAGATTCGTGAGCCGTCTCGCATTACATAGAGAGGCTGTCAATCTGAAACTTCAACCATCAGTGATTAAAGAATTGAAGTATATATGTGCACCGGGATTTCGTTAACTTAATCAGTCAGAACTGGAGGAGGCGCTGGACCAACGTCGTAGAGAGAAACATCATCGATACCAAGAAACAAGGTAACCGCATCGGGACCATCGCAACGAAGTCGGAAAGAGAACCTGATATCCTCATCAAATGGCTTGAAAGTCGTCTCAAAAGGTTTGTACTGGTTGAGCGCCGTGTAGTTAGGTGTCCAGTCTTCAATTAATCTTTCGTTTTGCAGTGCTTCAATGACACAATTGGTTCTGCCGAGTACTGGCTCGGGGTCGTCGAAAACTGCAGCAGAGAAAGAGAGGCGGTAGAGGCGTTCTGTTTCGAGGTCGTTGATAGTCTGGTTGAGGGTGTTTCCTCCGACACCTTGGGCGTTCACAAGCTTGAAAGTACTGCGCTAGGTTAAGTGGATGCCTTTACAAGATGTGGGCAAGAAGATGAACTTACCCGTACTTCTCGCCTGAGTTAGCCTTCCCAGGTTCACTTTCGATACCTCCAGTTCTGGAATCCCAGTCTGCATTGTTCTTATCCTCAAAATTGCCGTTCTTGATGAAGTTGGTGGGCTCGGGAATCTCAGTGATGGTAGTGGTGAAGTCCTCGATGGATGTGGCATCGGTCGTCGCAGAGTATTCGGTGGTGTACTCAGAGGCGAAGGAGGTAGTCTCAGACCAAGTAGCAGTTTCTGTGATGGTAGTCTCGAGAACGCTGGTGACATCACTGGTGACAGTAGAATGGGAGTCGGTCTCGGTGGCGGTCGCAGTTGTGAGTGCCTCAGAATCAACGGTGGTAGTCGCAGACAGCACTGAAGTAGGGTTGTCAGGCTTGCATGGCGCAGCAATGGCCATAGGGAGCAGGACAGCACCGATGGTGCAGAGAGAAATGAAACGCATCCTGAATATGAATGAGAGTAATGGACGTAGCGTCTGTAGTAAGAGAGTGTACGAACGACAACGTTGGAGGGAAGAAAAGAAGAAAGGCTTAGTATTTAGGAACAGACTACGTTTTAAGCTATTATAACTAGACAGTCCAATCCGCTATCAATACCTTGAAATCGTTTGTAGTGGATCGTAAAGAGGCACAGCTGTTGGCCAAGCCAATATTTGAAGATAATTAAAGATTGAGCGTACCTCGCAGCTAAAACGATAGCCCAAGACCTAGCCGGGATTCGTTCTAGACTTCTGGGTTGCTTTTTGCTTAGCGCATGATCTTGGCTTGCGAGTGGTGCATTTCAGGGCGTTATTCAGCTCGAGTCAATAGTTCATGGCAAAGTCCAGGGGAACTTGGACCCGTTTAAGGTCAAGCGAGCGGTGCACTAACCTTGAAAGACAAGCGCTATCAATCGTGGCTTAATGTGGATCAACGCAACAACCCCTAAAAAGTAATTCTCAGTCTCGAGAAAATACTCAGGGGGAACTGATCTGTGGTGAAAAGAACCTGTAAAGCTACTCCTATTCTCTCCTGACGAGACATTGTTTGAGTTCAAATTTTATTCATCTCGAACGTAGAGTACCAGAGAGAATGAAGGCAAGCAACAAACAAACCCTGCAACGAGTCTGTCTCTGGCTCGGAGCTTTGTTCATATTATGGCACGCGATATCGTTCCTCTTCTCAGGCAGATCGCCAAAACCTAACCAGTCAAAGCTCGAGGAGTCCGCAAACTTGGTCAAGACTCCTGGAGATATGCAACGAGCAGCAGCAATTGTCGACGCTTTTCGCTTCTCGTGGGACAAATACGAAAAGTATGCAGCGCCTCATGATACGCTGTTGCCAGTCAGCAAGACTTATGAAGATGATCGGTACGCTTCATATTACAATTGAAAAGATGGTAATCTGACCCTTCTAGAAATGGTTGGGGTGCAACAGCTGTGGATGGTCTAAGCACAGCCATACTCATGGAAGAGGCTGTCATTGTGAATAAGATCCTGGAACAGATCGCGGCGACTGACTTTACTGCTACTGCGGTCCCTAACCAGCCCATCTCGCTGTTTGAAACTACAATTCGCTACCTTGGAGGGCTATTGTCGGGTAAGATCTTCTTGACCTGGCTTTCCAGTCTAGTTTACTCATACAAAATCCACTAGCATACGATCTGCTCTCGAGCTCCCACAAGCATCTTGTCAAAGATTCCCATCACATAAAGACACTATTGGAAGTAGCTGTGACTCTTGCAGACAGGCTCAGTATTGCCTTTGACACACCCAGTGGTATTCCTGATGACGAAGTCATCTTCAACCCGACACCTCGCCGATATGGCAACACGGACAACTCCATCACCGCATTCGGCACGCTCGTTCTTGAATGGACTCGACTAAGTGACCTCACGGGTAACAAAACATATGCTTCTCTTGCCCAGCGAGCTCAAGATCATTTGATCCACCCCAAGACCAACGAACCTTCTACGCTTCCTGGTCTCATCGGCACGTACGTCAAACTCAAAGATGGTTGGTTTGGTGACTATCAGGCCGGCTGGGGCGGTGGCTCTGATAGCTATTATGAGTACCTCATTAAGATGTACGCGTATGATCCTGTTCAGTTCGCCGAGTATGGTGATAGCTGGATTCAGGCCGCTGAGTCGTCAATGAAGTATTTGGCTTCATCACCATCCACACGTCCCGATTTGACGTTTCTGGGAGAAATGCGCGGAAGCATCCTTATTCCTATGTCGAGTCACTGTAAGTTCCCAACTGGCGATAACTATTGAACATGGGCTAACAGCAACAGTGGCCAGTGTTTGCGGTGGTTCTTTGATCCTAGGCGGCCTCCTTCTCCAGAACCAAACCTTTGTTGACTTTGGTCTCAAACTATCTGAGTCGTACTTTGAAACCTACCGTCGAACTCCTGCTGGCATAGCCCCCGAAACCTTTCGTTGGATGGACAACGGCAACAACCCTTTAACCCAGGACAACGCCAATCGCTCGCCTCCCCGAAAATGGCAATCCTTTTATGAGAAGAGCGGCTTTTTCCACACCAATCCCGAGTACATTCTCCGTCCTGAGACAATAGAAAGCTTGTACTATGCCTATCGAGCTACTGGAGACAAGAGATGGCAGGACATGGCGTGGGAGGCCTTCGCGTCGCTGAATAAGATGAGCAAGGTTGAGGGTGGATACACAGGATTGAGAAGTGTGATGAAGAGTGCAGACGACAAGACCAGGGGTTTCGTGGATAAGATGGAGAGCTTTTGGCTGGCAGAGACGTTGAAGTATTTGTACTTGATGTTTGCTGAAGACTCGGAAACCCAGGTGAGAAGCGATGGCAAGATGCGATGGGTGCTAAACACAGAGGCACATCCGCTGTTAGTAAGGGGTCAATAGTATCTATCAATCGCTTTGTAATAGATTCAAGGATTTCTAAAGCCATTCGACGCCACTAATGCCACTATCAGGAACTCCATCTCGCTGTTGTTTATATCTCAAAGAATCTATAGGGTATATCCACCAACACTACCTTGTAGGCATTGCGGTCACGCGATACTTAGCTCACATGATTCTTGTGTGAATATAACTCTATCAGTAAGAGCTCATTCTATTGTAGGGGCCCTTCCACGTGGAATTTGCTGTGTAGAATAACCCTAACTCCCGAGGTTCATAGATCTGCCAAATTGTAACGTAGCAACTTCTTACATAAAAAGTAAAGATCAACATGCGCACATGACTCTTGGTATCCATCCACCCCAATTTAGGCACGGAACGAGACATTTAGAAACCCAAGATCCAATATTGTGTAATTCATCCTGTTTTATTTTGGCGCACGAATAAGCATTCAGGAATTATGCGGAGAAGATCAAGGTTTAAGATCGACAGGGGGCGGGTGCATTTCCCAGAGTAGATACAAGATGACGATCCGGGGTATTAACTGCCGAATGACGTCTCGTGCAAAAGGGAATGACCTTGTTAAAAAGGTTTGCCAAGAGGTTATTCTAGAGTAAAGCAGGAATAGTCAAAGTTGCGGAATGGATAGATGAATACGAAGATGGTGGGACTGGAGACTAGTCAAGCTTATGTTAACTAGTTGAATTAGTATAAGAAGCTTTCATTTCTGCAATCTTGTCCGAAAGGAACAATCACGGGTCTTAATTCTATAGGGATATCCTCTCAGGATATATCGCCTTTTCATCATGCTTGCCCACTTCAAATCTCTGTCCCTGGCCTTTCTTTCACTGGCTACAGGTGTCAGCTCCCAACCTCAAGTCCACGAAGCTTTGTCAGCTCTCTCCCTCCGCAACGCTGATAATATCCGCAGCCACTTGCACCTCCCTTCAACTTCAAACGGCCACTCCATCACTTGGCGAAGTAGTGATCCAGACATCATCAACGGAGATGGTCTAGTTAAACGTCAACCGAGTGACGCTGATGTTCTCCTCGTCGCATCCATTGAATTGGACGGTGAAATCCACGAGCGTGAATTCAACGCCTCTGTTCGTCAGGCACCCACTCTTGAGCCTTTGGAAGCATATGCCTTTTCGTATTTCACAGGCAACTCCCTTGAAGGCGAAAAGATCTACTTTGCCGCCAGTAAGGGCAACAATGCACTGGATTGGCAGGAACTCAATGGCGGAAAGCCTGTTTTGAGTTCAACAAAGGGAACCAAGGGCTTGCGAGACCCCTTCATCATTCGCTCCGTCGAAGGCGACACCTTCTTCCTCATCGCCACCGACCTTTCTATTGGTAGCGGTACATCATGGGGTGACGCTGTCCGAAAGGGCAGTCTTTACCTTGAGATCTGGGAGTCGAACGATCTCATCAACTGGTCTGAGCAACGACATGTCAAGGTGTCCCCCGATAATGCCGGAAACACCTGGGCTCCTGAAGCCTTCTGGGACGACGAGAAGAATTCCTATGTTGTGTTCTGGGCGTCATCCCTGTACAACACGGCCGACCACTCTGACAACTCTTACCATCGTATGATGTATTCTCTCACTCGCGATTTCGTTACCTTCTCTGAGCCTGAGATCTGGCAGGACAGCAAGACATCGCGCATTGACACTACTGTCCTCAAGTCAGGCAATTCATTCTACCGATTCACCAAAGATGAAGGATCTGTCAGCGGATGCACCGATATCATCCAAGAAAAGTCATCGACTCTGCTCGCCGACGTTGATGGATGGGCGGTTCAAGCGACTTGTATCGGCAAGAACGCTGGATTGCAAGCTGTTGAGGGACCTACAGCTTTCAAGTCTAATGCTGATGATGCACACGGCGAGAAGTTCTATCTGTTTGTGGATGAGTATGGTGGTCGTGGTTATGTGCCTCTCGAGACAGCAGATTTGGATAAGCCTGCCTGGAAGGTTTCGGCTAACTATAAACTCCCTACTAGCCCCCGACATGGAACTGTTATTCCTATTACCAAAGCAGAGCACGAGAAGCTTATGAGTGCTTATGGTGCATAGATATCCAGGTACAGATCCATGTTTAGTTGAATTGATAGTTTAAACACGTATTTATGCAACTGTACTGTGCCTCATTGTGAATAGACAAGAAGAATATTTCCTTGTCTTTTGATTATAATTGATACATGATGCCTGCATGAGGATCATATGCAGACCATGATTTTCCTCCAACCCCATTGTCCCTCTTTGCTTATTGAGACATGCGATCTATCATCCCACCTCATCTCAACCCCTCACTTCGTCATGATCTGCATGTTGTGATAATAGCAGCTCCAATCAAAGCTTGGCAATTCTCCCGCTCGAACCCCTCACTATGCAACTCTTTTACATACTGGATAAATTGAGACAGGGAAACTCTTTTTACTTGAATGCTTGGAAGTTCAAGGATTCATGACGCCATGGGGAGAACGGACTTGAATTTCACCACCAATGCGAGGTGCACCTAGCGGCAAATCCGGGTTACGAGCCGGTGCAGGCGTCTTGACCTTAACTGAGATTTATATATAATAAATCTTGCTACCGTATAAATTCACGACTGGCAATCCATCTACTATGAGCGCCAAAATATACAGATGAAGCTGTCCAATCTCTTCCTGACTGCCCTTGCGGCCGGTAGCTGCCATGCTACCAACATCATGCCCCGTGGTGGGCGGCCGTCCTCCATCATCAACAATGCTCACAAGAGAGAACTTTTGCAAGACATTGTCACCTTTGATGAACACTCCCTTTTTATCAATGGTGAGCGTGTGACTATGTTCTCTGCAGAAATCCACCCTTTCCGTCTACCTGTGCCGTCGCTGTATCTCGATCTATTCCACAAAGTCAAAGCAATGGGCTTCAACATGGTCTCTTTCTACGTCGACTGGGCTCTTTTGGAAGGTAAACCGGGCGAGTTCCGGTCCGAGGGGGCGTTGGATCTACAACCCTTCATAGACGCTGCCCAGGAAGCGGGTATTTACCTTCTTGCTAGACCAGGGCCATATATCAATGCTGAAGTATCTGGTGGTGGATTTCCAGGCTGGTTGCAGAGGGTCAAAGGGTTCTTGAGGACCAACGCCACCGACTATCTCGCTTCAACTGATAAGTATGTTATACTGTTCTCGTGGTAAGATATGTGTCTAATGTGTGTCAGCTATGTTGCAAAGGTGGGGGCAATCGTCGCAAAGGCCCAAATCACCAATGGTGGGCCCGTGATACTTTATCAGCCAGAGAACGAGTATAGTGCCGCTCAAGGAACACCTTTTCCAAATCACGACTACTTGGAGTATGTCAACGACCAGGTCCGTAAGGCTGGTGTAGTTGTGCCTCTTATCAACAACGATGCGTGGCAAGGTGGTACCGGTGCTCCCGGAACTGGACCTGGAGCTGTTGACATATATGTATGGAATCTAGAGACACACATTCAGCGTTACTAACGTTACTAGGGACATGATGGATACCCCGTCGGGTTTGACTGCGTAAGTTCAATGCAGAAAAAGAATACAAGCGTTGCTCACTAGTTTTAGACGAACCCTTACAAGTGGCCAAAGGATGGCTTACCAACGACTTGGCATGCCGAACATCTAGACAAGAGCCCCAACACTCCGTACTCGATCATTGAGGTATGTCTTTCTACTTGTTGTCAGGTGATTTCTACTAACCCTCCGTAGTTTCAAGGCGGGGCTTTTGATCCTCCCGGAGGCACCGGCTTTGACAAATGCTATGAACTAACCAACCACGAGTTTGCTCGTATCTTCTACAAGAACAACCTTGCTGCAGGTGTGACAATCTTCAACATCTACATGGTACGTTCAACTTCCACCTCGTAAGAGTTGACAAGATCACTGACGGCTCAGACATGGGGAGGCACCAACTGGGGAAATCTTGGCCACTCTGATGGATACACCTCATACGATTACGGTGCGGTACGTTTTGACACTCCAAAGTTTTGTGTGAGAGGTTACTAACATCTCGGCAGGCTATCAAAGAGGACAGAACAATTACCCGCGAGAAATATTCAGAGATCAAACTCCAAGGCCAGTTCCTCGCAGTTTCACCAAACTATGCCGTAGCGACAGCAAGCAACTTCACAACGACTAAATACACCAACAACGACAAGATTGCCGTTACAGCGCTGACTACGAAGAAAGACGATGCCTTCTACGTTGTGCGACACGCAGATTATCGAACAACAACCACCGCATCGTACAAGCTCAAGGTAAAAACCTCTGCGGGACAATTGACAATTCCTCAACTCGGTGGCTCGCTTTCATTGCATGGCAGAGATTCGAAGATCCATGTCGTGGATTATCCTGCTGGGGACTACAAAGTTTTGTATTCCACTGCCGAAGTGTTCACATGGAAAGACCTTGGTGACAAGACTGTTCTTGTAATCTACGGCGGACCTAACGAGATGCATGAAGTTGCTGTCAAGAGTGACTCCAAACTCAATGTCGTCGAGGGTGATGGTATCAAGACGGAGAGAAAAAAGGGAGCGACTGTCTTTCAGTTCACGACCAGCTCTAAGCGTCGGGTTGTTCAGATCGGATCTCTCCACGTCTACGTTTTGGGTAAGTCCTTTCTGATCAAATTATCTTTCAAAACTAATGTCGCCAGACCGCAATGCTGCGTATAACTACTGGGTTCCTACACTACCAGAAAAGGGCGACCGCGCTGCCTTTGGATCTTCTGTCATGAACCCAAAGGCAGTGATCCTCAATGGTGCTTACTTGATTCGTTCTGTCGCCATCAAAGGGTCGAAACTTTCCGTACAAGCCGACTTTAACGCCACTTCGCCGTTGGAAATCATTGGTGCGCCAAAAGGAACTTCGCGACTTGTCATCAACGGCAAAGATACACCATTCAAAAGGTCCAAGCTTGGAAACTGGCTCGTAAACCCAGCTGTCCAACTTCCTGATGTCAAGATAACTGATCTGAAGTCTCTTGAATGGAAGTACGTCGATTCGCTTCCCGAGGTGAAGAAAGATTACGATGACGCTAAGTGGCCCGATGCTGATCTAAAGAAAACCTTCAACTCTAAATGGCCGCTAAACAACTCTGTTTCTCTCTACGGAGGTGACTACGGCTTCCATTCTGGCGCGCTCCTGTTTCGGGGGCATTTTACTGCTGATGGATCGGAGTCCAAGTTCAAAGTCTGGACTTTTGGAGGTCTTTCATACGGAAGTTCAGTATGGTTAGATGACAAGTTTCTTGGTTCAGTTGTCGGCACTGGACCTGGCAATAATGATACGTCAACTTATTACCTTCCCAAGACGCAAAAGGGCAAGAAATATGTTCTCACAGTTATAGTGGATAATATGGGATTGAACGGCAATTGGGTGCCTGGTTTGGAAGAAGGAAAGCAGCCGCGAGGTATCATTGACTGGTCTCTGAAATCTAGCTCTGGTAAGGAGACTAAGATCTCCAAGTGGAAGATCACAGGCAATCTTGGCGGAGAGGACCACATTGACAAATTTCGTGGTCCGCGCAACGAGGGAGGTTTCTTTTTCGAGCGCCAAGGCTATCACTTGCCGTCCCCTCCTCTCAGCAACTTCAAATCGGGCTCACCTTTCAAGGGCATATCACAACCAGGTGTGGCGTTTTATACCGCGAACCTGAAATTGAACCTTCCGTCTGACAAATTCGACATCCCGCTATCCTTCGAATTCAAGAACAACACTGCAAGCACCGGCTCTTACCGTGCGCTTCTTTACGTCAACGGCTTTCAATACGGTAGATACGTGAGTCACGTCGGCCCACAGTCAGTATTTCCCGTTCCAGAAGGTGTTTTCAACTATCAAGGCGACAATTGGATCGGCCTTGGTCTTTGGGCGTTAGACAAGGGCGCGAACGTTGAGGGGTTGAGCTTAAAGGCTGGCGTTCCTGTGCAGACTGGTCGAGAACCTGTCAAGTATGTCAAGGGGCCCAAGTACGCTCATCGTCGTGGGGCGTACTAGTCAGCATGATATTACTGAGCCGAGAAAAAGGTGAAGTTATTCACTCTTGGCGTGCCGGGGTTGTTGATTGGTTGTGTCGTACTTGAACGCGGGTTGATGACTGTCTATATTTAGCCTGTAACAAAGTTTTAGGACAACAGACGCCACTTTTTGACTCTGCCCTATAGTATTGCCCGTTCTGAATGGCAATATTACATTATTTTACCACAGAAAATGAGCAATATGCTCAGTTGGTGTAGGCTTGACAAGTTTTGGCCAAGGCTTGCGTGGCCCTTCGGCTGCGAGGTGCCGCGTTCTCCACTGTGCCAAGCAGCAGATCTTGTCTTAGCAGGTTCGTTGTTATCAAGAGTTGTGCCTTTTGTTCAGCGAATTTTCTGTAGTTTTTTTCTGTTAAAATCTCGTTTGTCTTGACGCATTCTGAGTGAATGAATGTGTTTCTATCAATGGTTGACATATCTGCACGTCATTTTGATAGAAGACAGGGTGCTGCGCCTCGCGGGATCTGGATACGCCAAGGTCCGGTTGCAACGGCCCCGGTTGTGGAGATAGTCTCGGAACGACCGAGCAAATGCCACCGCTTCTCTACGTCTTGCTGCCAAGATATTCCCCTTTTCGTCTATTTCTCATCTTATCACAAGCTTTCATCTTTTACGATGGAACCTTGGCAGTGACTATTCACTCCAATCAGCATAATCGCGTGACTTGTAATTATTGTCATCTTTCTTGGCAGTCTGATGGATAGATAAAGCTAACCAGCTCTACTCCAAGGCAACTGGTTCCCCATTCCAAGTTTTGTTCGTTCTTTATCAGATGTAAGGATACCGGGTTACTTCTGCATATCTGCGATTCTACCGAGTCTTCCCAGCGACAATCTACACCATGAAGGACCTCATAGAAACCCCGTCTGCGACGGCAGATCCTCAATCCTCTGAGAATGTCCTCTCTATTCCCGGTCCTTCAACTGTTACCCTTTCGAAATCTCGATCTAGCTGGTGCTGCATTGACGACAACCGCTTACGGAACAACCTCTTCGCCGCCGTCGGATTTCTCGAGCTCGCAAACGCGGGTGATTTCGCCGCCAACGTGTGGAACGACGTACCGGTTCCCATCTACGCTATTGTCTTCATGGCCATCGGAGGAACTTCAGCATTCGTCTTGTCAATATGTGCTTTTTTTGACTCGAGGAAGGCCTGGAGGAATATCAAGTTTCTGAAACAACAGAAGAAACTGTTGAAAGCCGAAGAGACATCCTTGAGTCGGGATGTTTTCGTTGAGATCACAACACGCGAATTGAGAATAGAAGTTATCAACCGTTGGCTCATGGATCTACTTATGGGCGGGGGTGCTATGCTCATCAGTACCGGTACATTTATGGCGATCGGGGGAGCCAATCCCAAAGTCTGGCTCGCCAGTAACATCCTCTCCGGTTATCTTGGAAACGCGCCTATCGCTCTCTTCGGTCTGTTGAGTGCTATCTGGGCTGTCATGGTGGTATTTAAGATGACGTCCCACCGCGCCGCAGCACGAAAAGAACTCCAAGGGTCACCGACGCTGCGCGTTCTCAAGGAGAGATGTTTCAACGTACAAGTATTCTTCATACTTAATGGAGCCTCCAACATTCTCGGTGGCGTCGGCTCCATGTTGACGGCTGAGAGATGGTGGGGATACGTAATCCTTATTCCTGTTATTATATCCTCCATCTTCTGCAACATTTGGTGGCGACACCGCGTTGGTTACGATCGCCCATACATCTCAACACTTCCTGCCACTAATCTCGAAATAATTACTGAGACTATTGAGGCAACGTCGCAACTACGACATGGTATCCAAGACGGCGCAGGCGTTAACCTTGAGCATATCTTTGGAGATTCTGTCACCCTTCAGGAAGTTTTGGAACTTTTTGTCAAGCACGATTTATTTGAACAACTTTCTCTTCGTCTGGTTGCGAACAAGCATGTCAGACACCTCTTTGTCCATGCTGAGGTCACAAGTGTACAAGTCAGCGTTGATGGTATCTTGGCTGTAGCAGAGGAATACCACGCTACAATTATGGGTATTTCAATGACATTCTTGAAGAAGCACGGTCCTAGGCACCTGCTGCATCGCGAACGGTTTTTGTTAGAAGTCCTGGGGACTTATCTCGTGGAACACAAGAAGAGGGAGGAGGTGACAGTTGAGAAATAAATTAAGAAGCACGTTAATCAAATAATACCAATTCATTTACACAACAATTTAAAAAGATTATGCCGTCTAGCCGAAAACGAACTCCGTGTAATTCTTTGCCATTTGCGCGACACCATGCTCCAGTGTCCATCCTTTGAACTCGCAAATCGCTCGATACATCTCCTCGAGCTCATTGTCCATCCTTTCGCCGGCTGTATGAAGGTCACTCTCCACCAAGATTCGATTGTCTGGTACCGCCTTTACAGCATCTTGCGTCTTTTCCGTCGCCCCATCTGTGCCCAGATTATTCGCCTTGGAAAACGAGAAAAATATCTTGGCAGGGATTGATGGCTTAAGATACTGCTTCACCGCGTCGCCTTTGCCACTGAATGAGTGGAGACAGATACGCGGAGGATATGGTTTCGGGACTTCTTCTTCGCTATTGGCTGTTTGGGTGCTTTCCTTCCTTTCTTTATCCCTTGCACGACGGCCCTTGATTTCGTGTCCTTTCCAGCACTCTGTCAAGGCGTCGTACAACAGTCCATGTACTTGAACACCATGGACACTGACAGCTCTTCCAAACTCACCAGCAAGCTTGAGATGTGCCATAAAAACAGCCTTCTGGTGTGGAATCTGTATACGGTGCTGGCTGAGTGGTCTCCTCTCGCGTCCCCCTTCCGTACGTTCGGCATCTCGGGGCGATCTTGGGTCAGGCCACTGCATTGGTAACCTGAAGGGCTTGTCGAGACCAATTTCACCAACCATGGCAAATGGATCTTGTATAAGCCGAGCCCTGGTTTCAGCAATGAACTTTGAAAGAGGGATTGGCACTGGCTGATCGTGCCACCAGGCCGGGTCTTCTGGGGCTGGTGTAAGTACCGCCTTGTAATGTCGCGCTTTAGCGGCCTCAACATCATCGGACGGTACATAAGTGGGATTTTCAAGCGAGTCGTCAAAAAGCTCATGCGAAAACCACGGATGCCTCCCATATCCTGCGACAACAGTGGTTTTATCTTGCGAGAAACATTCCGAGCCTTTCACGCCATGCTGTTCGACGATGGCTTCAATGAGTGGTTGATCCTGTGTTCTGGTTGCCATAATTGCTACCGCTCTAGATTTCATTGTTGGTAGGTTGGAAACGGAGTAAACTCGTTCGCCGATGTGATTGTGGGCATCGAAAACTCCCAGATGCCAAGGAAACAGTTCTGAAGTGTTGAGAAGCGGGTTTGTCCCCGCGCTCTCTTGATGATCGTGCATACACATAGTTGCGATATTGGTGTAGTTTTTTACAATATGCACTTTGTTGACTCACGGTTGGAGAAGGGAGATACGGTTTGATAAAGGAACTAGAGATGAGTCATCTTGGGACTGGTAGAGGATGGCCTCAGGGTTTGAGAAAAATTGACTGCTAGAAGCATAGGAGACGAAATTAGTAGGTCAGCTTATGCTACTCAGACTGTATTTATTAGACTACTTATTTTTAACCCTAAGACTTAGGCTACCCACTAGGCTAAGTCATGCATGTCAGCAATGGAGGATTCGGGATAGTGGATCAGGCTTCCATCAAACTGCCTTTCGTCTGTTGCTGGTACGTTTAATCCGGGGCTTCTTCGAGATCAATTGTGAAACCTCACTATGGCTACAGCAGCCCGAGCAAGAGAAGCGGCATGTTCCTGCTTACCAGGTGTTTCGATGTCGCTAAATGATTACGACAGTCATGTTCTTTTCGATGAGTCCTCCCATAACAGGACAGACCGTGGACGCGACACGTCAATCTTCCGTCGAGATTCCAATCAAGTATTGAGTTGGGTAGATGGCTATGGTAATGCGCAATGTGCTGCTGACGAAATTCAACTTGGAGACCGGGGAGTCGCTGATCTTGTTCCTCAAGAACGTTCATCCCTATATTATTATTTGGCAGTGAAAGAAATATAGTTCAAGTAAAATATACTGACAGTTTCGAGTATCGGGAGTGGATATGTTTGAAGAGCTAGGATGTTCACTCATCTCTTGGAAGTCTGGAGCTTCTGGGATGTCTTCAGGTCAAACAATCTCAGTGTCAGAGTCAATTGGTGGTGGGATATCCTCGTGCTCCATGGTCATGCTTGAGACCAGTAATCCGACAGAAAATTGCGAGAGAAAAAAGGACAGCCAACGACAATACACACAGATTGACCCGAGTACTCAATTTCTCATGTCAACATGTAGCCAATGTTGCGATATTGAACCGTCACCAGCGGCCGATAGCTGAGAGCCACAAGCCGGAAAGTGTAATCGTCATATGTTTAACCATGAATCTAAGCCTACTTGTCTTCGCCGCTGAACTGCCTGGTTTTACCTACGACGCGTCGCAAGTCACTGATAGCCCTACGGACTTCAAGATGACAAGGCCCACTCTTTGCTGATATTCTCATCCCTTGAATGCTCGTGATTGGCTTTGTCTACTTCCGAAAACGACGCCACGCCGCACTCGCTTAACTATACGTAGTATGTATGTGAGCAGATTGCATACACCAATTGCAAACACCAATTGCAAGATACTGGGCACCACGATATAGAGAGGCTCAGTCTCGGAGACATATGTACTCAAAATCTGTATATAAACCAACTACATTTCTAAAAGAAATGGATATCTCAAACTATCAATCACTCATCACTCAAAACACTTACTTCACCTTCTGGAAAGCATCATGAAATCCTCGATTGCAACTCTCCTCTCCCTTTTCCTCTTAAACCCCTTGGTTGATGCCGCAAAAGAAAAGAATCCCTGGCCTGAACCAGAACATGGCTTCTTCAACATAGCCAACTTCACCTTTGACACAGGCGAGGTCCTTGACGACCTCGAAATCCACTACCAGACTCTTGGCAAGCTCAAAGTCAACAAAGATGGCTCTAACAATGCTGTTGTTCTCCTTCACTCTACTACTTTATCCGGCGAGCAGTTTCTAAGCGAAGACTTTGGCGCTGTCTTGTTCAACAAGGGTCAACTGCTCGACGCCAATGATTACTTCATCATCATGCGTGATGCTATTGGACATGGAAACTCGAGTAAACCTAGCAACACTGGCTTACGCGCTTCGTTCCCCAAGTACCAGTATCCCGATATTATCCGCGCCGACCACCTCCTATTAACTAGCCACTTTGAACTGAACCGAACGCGCTTGACGCTCGGTGTTTCCATGGGTGGAATGCAAATTTGGATGATGGGAGCTAAATATCCTGGATTTTCGGATGCTTTAATGCCTATCTCTTCCTCCCCTGTTGAAGTCGCCGGACACAATCGTCTCTTCAGAAAGTTCATAACTGAACTCATCACTCTTGACCCAGCATGGAAAGGTGGCGACTATAAAGAACAGTCTGTTGCTGGCCTTGGCGGTTCGCTTATGATCCAGCTAACCATGCTCTCGTCTCCCGCTTATTGGTAACGTGGCTTCCCCACACGCAAAGCAATAGATGAGTACGTGGACCAAGGCATCATCCCTCGCTTGGGAGAGTTCGATGCCAACGATCAGCTTTACGCTTGGAATTCGTCTCAGACATACAACCCCAAGGCCGGACTCAAGAAGATCAAGGTTCCTTTGACGGCTGTCAATACTGCTGATGACTGGATGAACCCTGTCGAGTTGGGTTTTCTCGAGGATGGTGTTGTGAACGACATGACACCTGGGTATGGCCGGGCGATTACTCTACCTGCTAGCAAGGAGACGACTGGCCATGATAGTTATATCAAGGCGGAGCTTTGGAAAGATGAGCTTGAGAAGCTACTCGCCAGGTCAGGCTGATGGGGTTCCCGGCCATGATGCCACACGCTTCGGTTGGTTGCACCACACAGCAACATGACAAGACATACACAGCCAGTCCATAACTGGATTAGATTCATTTACTTTTGTATCTGCTAGATTGATATTTTGCAATTGAACAACTTCCATCGCGATCGTGATAAGTGGATTCTTCAATATCGATACGTCAGTGATGGGTGTTTTTGACGTCACTACCAAGCCTTTAGCTATAGCACCGACAACGAAGCTCATGACATCATGCAAGAGCCTGGATGGTTTTATAGATATAAATAATTCTCCTACATCATCTCAGATGTCAGCTTTCTTCTCTCTCTATCCTCAATCCAATAACGTATCTTTACACCTTTAAACACAACCCATACAAACCAATCCGTCATGTCCGATGCTAAAGAAGGCGGAGATCTCTTTGATATGGCCAAGGATGGCACATCCAGTACGACCTTTCCATTCCCATATCCTTCTTCCTGCCAAGTCCATCTCTAATCGATATGCAGTTCCTGGTGACGCAGGCAAGATGAACACAATCAAGTCCGTTCCCAACCCTGCGCAGCGCGATGGCGAGGCCGCAGGCGGTCTTGGTGCAACTTCGCTAGCCAACGCAGCTGACAATGCTCTCAACGAGCATGAGGGCCGAGAATCAGGCATTGGCGAGGTCATCAGCGCTACGGGACATGATATTCCCAACTCAGTCACTGGAAAGCCCGGTGGTCGCGGCGGTACCCAGGGCAAGGAGGAGATTCGCGCCGACACTGGTGGTTTCACCAAGGATCGGTCAGCGGATAAGTTTTAATGATGTAATGAGCTCGACTGTAACGACAGTATAATCTATGCTATAATGAATCGACAGAGTGGCTGAAAATGTATCTATCTTGTGACAAAAATGCGTTTCGGGTTAGTCGCTGCATCGACCACCCTGATAGTCCAACTATTCGTCAGTTACTTCCTCGCAATCACAATATTAGCCTTGAACATAATCTTATTCTTCCCATTCTCGAGTTTTTCGGATCCCTCACTTTTCTTGAGTGCCTCAACAACTGTATCAACTGCAATATCCCAATTCTCCTCATCTGACTCCAACCAACCCGCACTAGACGTTCCTCCAATGAAACTCCAAAGCATAGTCGAGAAATGCTTCAGGTCACCAATGGTGACAAACACATCCTTCTTTTCCAGCTTTACCTTGTCAGCTGAAAACCCCCCATGGATAACGATATTTCGTAAAAAGTCTTCGCTTTCCCACTTCTCAAGACCTTGACGAGGGAGTGGTGTTCCAGCTGGCCGTGTCTTTTCGCAGGCGGCGACGATGGCGGGCAGAGTTGGTACGTATGCCCACGAGTTGACAATGGCGACTCCATCTGGCTTGAGAGTACGATGTATCTCTTTCGTCGCGTCGATACCATCATTCGGGAGAACGAACAGCAACGCGTTGCCAATGGCGTGAGTGAAGCTTTCGTCCCCAAATGTGAGGGCAGTAGCGTCTGCCTTTACGGCTTCGGCTGGCCAGTTGTTCTTAGAAATCTGCTCACGATAGAGGTTGAGCATGTTGTCGTCAATATCGCTTCCGGTTATCTTTGTGTTTTTGGCATTAGACGCAGCTACGACAGCGGCAGTCGCTGCGCCCAGACCGCAACCGACGTCATGAACGACAGCCTCTGAGGATGAGGAGAAATCGATGAACGAGATGGATGCACTGGCAAGTCGCTCCATGCCATCGCCTACGAGCTCGCTATATAGCTCTGGGGTGGGCTTCAAAGCCTGCTTGGGAGCGTATGGGTTATCCGACTCTGGAGCATTCATGTTGAGATGTCAGCTGGTGAGTTTATGTTGTGTTCGTATCCGTCGTTATGTATTATAAACTTCGGACCTCAGTCGAAGTCTTATATCAGATTTGTCTCCGAAATGTATCCGCCAGGATTTTGTGATAGTCGAATGAGGGTTGAATATAAGCACCAGTCTGAGTAAGCTGCTAAAGAAGCAAAGCCTCATCTGGCCAGATCAAGGTGCGTGTAAGCCTAGGCCTACTCTCGTTACATCCCATCTCACATAATCTCATTCAAGCAATTTAGTGCCATTTTCGAGTCATACCTTATAATAATGATGCTATGGGTTAGGGAGCGTCTATGTGTTGTCACGTCTTGCTGAGCATGTGAGCGATGGTAGCGGTAAGCAATTCCCGGCGATATAACTTAGGACGAAACACTGTCATCAACTGAAAGCGGTTAAACACAAATCCTATCACTGTCACCATCATATGAGAATGGATTCACTCTTGTACAGTTCGACATTTATTTATTATCAAGTTCACTAATCAATCTTGAGACTCAACGTTGTTTGTAAAAAGTCTGAGATAATGGAGCATCCATGAGGATTCGTCTTCAATAGACTCGCGCCCGTTGTGCTCAGCATCTCGCAAGCACAACGACTGGTCCGCCTTGGACATGCCAAGCTGCTCCTGCGACAGTAAACACACTATCCTCCCACCAAACCTCCTGTTGGAGCTGAGCCTTGTCTAAAACTTCCTTGCTGGATGACGTTGTGAGGGTGACATGACTAACTGGCCTGATAGACTGCTGGTGATTGAAGAAGTTATCGGAGTCCCACTCGGACTTGACCTTTTGTAGACGAGTGTAATTCTTTCCATAATATGATTCCTGCCAGTTCTGAACTGTGCCGTCAATGTAGTTTACATATGCAGCCTTTTGTTCAATTGCAAATGGTGACAGCTTGGCTTTGCACTTGGTCATAAAGTTCATGACGTCGTGACGCTTCTTCTTGTCTGTCCACTGTGCCTTGAATGTAGCGACGTAGTGACCATCGCGCCAGTAAAATGCTGTATCTTCGGCAGGAATCTCCTCTGTCTTGGCGCCAATGTGACTCCATGAAAAGTGACATTTCGGCTTGTTGAACTTGTTTTCTTCCGTAATGCCGACGACACTGGTGGCTTCTTTGACAAGGCCCGCAACGGTAGAAGTGAGCTCTGGGGTGATGGCCCCTTCAGCGAATATGAATGACGCATGGTGGTGATAGACTTTGCTTTCAGTATCCCAACCCTCAGATTGCTCGACACAATCGGTCCAAGACATCTCTTGTAGGGTGTTGTCAGTGGGTCCGTGGGCAAGAATTAGCCTGAGGGCTTCCTGTGCCTTCTCCATACAGCCATTGTAGATGACTGTCATCCCACCGGTGAGCTGCTTATTCTGTCCGTGCGACCAAAAAGCGTCGATGGTCAACTCAGAAGGCCACTTGTTGGAGTTGAAAGTCTGCATGGCCTCATCGAAAGCCTCCTGTTGCTGTGGAAGATTCCATGTGAACTGACCAGACACGACCTTGCCGGCTTGGTCTCTCAACTTGCGCAACTTGGACTTCATCGAGACAGTGACACCAAGATTTCCACCGCCTCCACCACAAAGAGCCCAGAAGAGATCACGTTTCTTTTGGTCTTTATCGTCTCTTGAAACCGTGACTACATCGCCACTGGCAGTTACGACAGTCATCTCGAGCAGATTGTCACACCCGAGCCCATAACTACGCGAGAAAGGGCTGATACCCCCACCCAAAGTGAAACCGCTCACACCAACAGAGGCACACTGTCCACCGATGACAATGTCGCGCTTATCCTGCAAGTACTTATTGTAGACATCGTCCCAGAGAAGTCCGCCTTGCATATCAATGGTCATGTTCTCGGAGTCAACATGGCATCCCTTCATCTGGCTCATGTCAAGAACGATTCCACCTTCGTTGAGACAATATCCCATGAAGGAGTGACCACCACTCTTGGCAGTGAGCTTGATCTCATTTTTCTTGGCGAATGTGACGGTAAATCTGACATCTTCGACAGACCTAGCTTGGACAACGACAGCTGGATTAGTGTAGCGGTAGTTCAAGTTGCCAACGAAGACTATGTAAACCTGTTAGTAGATTACACGGAAGTGAAGGTGGGCACCCTTACTAGCTTTCTTATATGCTTCTGTTCCTGGCAGGAGGACTTGTCCTTCGGGCAGGATGTCTGCCAGGCAGGATGTCTGCCAGGCAGGATGTCTGCCAGGCAGCTCCAAGTACGCTCGCTTACAAGACCTGGCATGATGTGATGGGTGAGATAATTTCACAAAAAGTATGGTGATTTTGAGTATAATGACAGCAGTAACTGGGCTTGATTATATGATGATGATGGTTGAAGGATGAGATTGAAAGACCGACCTCTTTATACATGATTTCGAAGCCACTGATTACATCTGTCTTTGCTCATCAAAGACAAACGTCAAAGCTGAAATACCTATCCAAAGACATTCCGTCCAATAAAGCCGTTTCCACCTGTGGGCCAGATGATTTTAAGTCCAGCTGTGGTTATCTTGCGCGCCGCCATATGCAGCCACTGCAGATCTATGAACTATCTCCATCGTGCCGTGTCTTAGACAGAGCTGAAAAGACAACAAAAGATAAGAGATTCGGCATCGCCAGTGGTGGATTTTGGTCGATCTTGGACAATTGACTTTCATTGTCAGCGCTTTGATATTGATCTGCTGAATCTCTGCATGAAAACAGGTTTTATCAAAGAAGCTGTTGAGTTGACTTGCTCTTTTGGTGTCTCAGCCATCTTTACCCCGCCTTCGCGAAGTTGACACGTCTCACCAGAAATGAAGTCATAATGGTGAGCGCAACTTCTCTCATGAGCCGAGCATGATGGGATGTACTATGGCACATTGTATGCGTGCTCTCGGCCTGATGCTACTGAAGAACAATCAACAATGGAGCTAGAAGCTGATGCAAACAGCACGATACTCTGAAACAATAGCTCAGACCAATTGCTTGGACAAGTATACTGTATGCATACTTGCGTAGTACATCTGCAGTCAGACCTTGGATGTTAATCACGGATGTTTCTTATTGATGTGATATGACCAAAGATTACTTATCAGATTTCACAGTCACAGATTGACCATCATGTAACCAACCTATATTGCTCATATCCTTTCCTTTTAGCAATCTAGAGGTGATAAGTCTAGTGGAAATGTACAGTGCAAGAGTGGACTACGTGACGGCTTGCGCGTTCGTTCCCTTACAATATAACCACAACATACCCTATACTCTTATAATTTTGTTGAGAGTACATTACTCAACCTTGTGTTTAGTCGGTGGTTTTCTGAAGCCAGGCGGAGTAGTTGCATAGATAGTTTCTGTACGCCTTCGTGTGGAAGCTTGATCTCATAATGCTATCAAGTAGTTGTTGTCTTATTATTTAGAGGTCTACCTGGGTTAACCACCAAGTTTATTATTGACACGTTGCACACAACATATCATAATGTTTAGCCGTAGAAGAATGGAAAAAGATCCAGTCTACCCATTTCCAATGAGTCTAAACACCATCTTATGTCAAGGATGGGATCACTGGCACACATGCTTCTATCGTATAATATCGATCGACCCCACTGTAACATTATACACCCTTCTTAGTGAATAATAAACTTAAAGCGCTTGAAAGGAAATGCCGAAGTAGTTAAGCAATAAAATCACTAGAGTTACATGGTGCGAGCCCATAAGCGCCAGGTGAAAATAACACATACAGTGATCTTATTTCCCAATAACAATAATCACTAGAAATAGCCCATGCCTGGAGATAAACAGCAACATACGAGGGTTTCGTAGTAATCTGTTATATAATTTGTTTAATATTTAATAATATTTAGCTGTTCACTTTGCCTCGGGCAATAATAATTCTCTCAACCGTTTCTACTACTGATACGAATCTTACATCAGGGACTTTTGTTTGTGAAGATCATTTACTGGGGTAGGGACCACGTAGCCCATATAAACTCCGATCCGCACCCACCTAGCTGAGTGTCGGCCGCCTTATTACCCCTGTTGATTGATGTGGAGGGATCGAGTCAGTCAAGCCGCCAACATCTGCTATAGTGCCACGGCATCTGTCATAGTAGTAACTCGTATCACTGAAGAACCATCACGCTTAGACTTGACTGCTATCGGATAACTAATTCCTGTCACTGTAAGATCTCAACAACGACTAGGTATGCTCTTATATCCATATACCCGTACCTCATTCAGGCAAACCAGCAGTTTCATTTTGTTTCAGTGGATTGAGTTTGCAGAGCTCGCTTGATTTCATGCGTTCCTTACGATATGCGAGATCGTTTGGAAATATTGCATGTCACTGATACTCCATAGAGGTAAATGTGCCCATCTCTAAAACAATTGGTTAAATGTTCGTTAATTTTGAACAGGTCTACGGGGAAGCTATTGTAAAGTTTCAATGTTTTTTATTCTCGAATTACGACCAAATTCTGCCAAGCGCAAGGGGCGATTAGTAACGATTCTGCTACGAGAATTCATCTCTCGAATCAAATGTAGTTTGTTCTGGCTACTGGCCTATCTGATCTTTAAACTCGGTGGATGGAATCCCAAGCATACGTGACGATAGGCTGGGCCTTTTGTGATTTTCGTGACGTCAAGACTTAAATTCTGGCTGAGTGGGTACGCTACTATAGACCTGCGGCCAATTTGAAATCACTCAGGTCCTCTATGCAAATCTTAGACGCCACTGTGTTGAAGATACCTATGATTATGTTCAAGTGCATTCAATAGCCTGCTGTTTCAACTGCACGTAATGTGACCTTGATAAACTCCAAGGGAGATTGCCACTCAAGGATTATCCCAACCTCGCCGCGGCATTATTTGTGACTAACTGAAAGAGGAAAGAATTTACGTAGGAAAGGATGGCCATGCAAGCCACAAGCTAGCCTGATATGTTTTTGCATGAGACCTTCAAATTGTTCAACATGTGGTTCAGTAGGTTCTTCACAAACAGAGTGTTCAATAGAATTGGAGCATCGCCCATGTAGGAAGGGAAAAGAAAATGTCTATTCTATGGGTATCTCTCTATGCTACATTATGGTTGGGACTTTCATTAAAAAATCGTGTCATCTCAACAAGCTCAGCTGTGCTGGATGACGCGTCTGGTTGAAGTTCTGGACGCGAACTCCCCTTATATATGGCGTGCTCGGTCTGGTGAGAACTAATATGCGGCGATACCCCGTGTTTTCTCGACGAGCTCCCACTCTTGTTGTGGTATGATGGTCTGGAATCGTTCCTGCTGTTGAGCCTTGGGAATGCCTTGACTAGGAGGAGTCGTAGATCGGGCATGCAGGCACACCAAATTCCGACATTAATCTCGATTACCGACCAATAACAGGTGTCGAAAAAGTCCCCTTGAATATTTTTAGTATTATAGCTAGGGTCATGCATGCAAAGGGCGAACTTACATGTGGGGTTCGTGGATTTGCCAAAAGCAACGAGAAATTGCAGACGGATGATGCTGACGACACTGACACTGAGTGATAGTTAGTGGCAGAGCTTATGTCACGAATGGATTATCACTTACAAAGTACCGACAACGAACATCATTGTGACGGCCAGTTTCCTCTGCCACTTCATCTGGAGACGCAGGAGCTGGAACACTGGGATTGCGAGCACCCAAAAGTCCATGGCGATGGAGACAGCTGCAATTGACCAAGCCAATGGATTGATGCCAATACAGTGTCCTTCATGAAGTTTATCCCACCCATTCCAAAAGAAACTGATTGGTTGACATTGCGCGATTGCCAGTACGAGAAACACGACCATGCTGAGAGCGGCGACTCCAATTGTCGTCCATATAATTACTTGTACCGATCGGACGGGGAAGATTCGGAGGTAGAAGAGTAGGACGCAAATTTTGGTCAGGAAGACGTCGGCCGCGTAGAAGGTTTGGCCGATGTAGACGTACTAGAAATTGTTAACAGGTTGACAACTAAGGAACGAGGGAAGCAACTAACGCGAAGAAATTCGCTGATGGTGTATGGGGTGTTCGTCCAAGCATCCCTTCCAAAGCCATTGCCAGATACTGTTATTATTGGTAAGTATCGGTGTTATATCTGAATGAGTGATTAAGTATTTACGACCGTGGACACAATTGACAGTGTTGCCGATGCAGGTGATCAAACAAACGATAATCACCCAATCATCTGCCCGTAATAGTCTCTCGAACTTCAGTTTCTGGTAAATCCGTGCAACGACGATAATTATGGTGACTACACCCATGGCGATGCCTAATATATCGAACTTTTGATGTCGGTCGCGTATGGGATAGTCGCAGGCCACTGAGGTAACATTGAGCGTATCTACATCTTAGTTAGCGTACAGTGGGCAGTAGGACAGCTCCAGCCAAACTCACAGAGAGCCTCCCGGGGCAGGCATTTGCTCTGAACGCAACTTGCTGCGACGGTCTGCAGCTGGGGATCGGCACAGAGACATTCGACATCGATTCCGCATGTTGAGTTTGCTGCCAGGTCCAGCAGACAGCTCCCCTGATTCCAATGTTAGCTATGCCTGCCTGTCACCAAGCCACCAAGTCTTCCTTACCGCACACTCAGGGATCTGGGCTAGAAAAGACGCAACATCGATACTCAGCACCCGTCCCACGAGACATGCCCATGCGACCAACAGCCACGACAAATGCATTATTGTCAGATGGCGATTGACATGTTGACGGGGCTTGGGTCGGGGAATATGAGGTTAAAATATGACAGATCGTGACATGTTATGTATCTGCTCGATCGAGTTGTTAGGCGGGTCGGGCCACATAATTGTACCCCGATTTCCACTTGGTAAGCTCCTGTAATCATCCACGCCTCGAACCGCGAACGGCCCCCTGCCCCCGCTGAAGATCATGCAACTTTGCAAGCCTCCGAAGCACTATCCAATCAAGCCGATAGATCACCCTTTAGTTTCGGTCTAGCCGTAAGATCGGCACATGGGCTCAAGTTTGGGCTGAGGGTTCTTTAGTGAGCCTGCCGACTTGCTGTCAAGCGAAGCTCGATAGTTGCAAAAACACAACATTCCAAATGTCCTAACTGCCGAAAGTTGACCAGTGAAAGCACTCACAGCATCTCCTTAGTACCAATCTGGAGTGCCATGTGGAGATCTGTCATAGCGCACTCTGTTAGCTTGAAGAATTGAGTCATGATCAGAACGACTCCACTGACTTTACTCATCGGACTGGGATTGATAGACAAACAGATAGAAACGCCAAGTTGTCATTAATCGGTAGACCTAGTCAGTTGGGACCGTCAAGGAGAAAAAAAGAGGGAAAAAAAGCAAAAGGCAACGATTCATGAACCCAAAAGCGGCTCTAGTTCCCGTTACCTCATTCCGAGTGAGTCTAGATTTGACTGGACTAGTCATGACGTCTACATGTCAGCATAGACGTTCGGGATATATTATGTCACTGAAATAACAGACCTTCCTCCCCTGAACATGTCCCGAATCTGATCCATGGCGCAGTTTGAGGATCCTATGCTTGAAACATGTTCGTCTCGGGCAGTGCGACTTGTGCATGTTGAAAGAACAACTGTTGATCCGTGCAGAGCTGGAAACCCTTGAACCAAGAGCTTGTCTTTTTTCAGTCGCATTGCCGATAATGTTTCACATTACTATCTAGATTGAAAACGCAATGTCGGCCCTATGTTTCAATGGATCCTCGTAGGCCTACTGCGCTTAACAGGGGACGATAAACGCATCGACTGCAAATCCATAATTTTAGGTACCTTTAATGGTCCTATGGAGATATGTAGATACTATAAGGATCGTTAGATAAACAAACTGTTTCTATCCTACCAACACTGTCGGATATTTGACAAAACTGGTAACGTTATATCCGAGTTGGCGCGAACAGACCGCGCGTTTGGCGCGTAGATAATTCACTATATATCCGGTGACCCTGTGGTCGATCAAGCACAAACACTATCAATCGCCCAAGTGGACATTAATTTATCATTTCGTCTCAACAGAGCGGGAAGGTTTCCCAGAGTAGTTGATGGGCCGTTTGTGGACCTATCTAACTGCCAGATCACCGCTCTTCTGTTAACACTAATAGCTACTAGTCTTTGTTTCCTGTTCCACAGGTGGCCGTGCTTCAAAACGATGGCCCTTTTTTGCCATCGGACACTTACTAATACTTAGTGGAGATAACAACATATTAATGTCTCAGGGAATAACCTAGTAACAGCACGAATGGCTGGCTCAGGAGGCTTTACTACTGCAATGATGAGTAGTCAATTCTATCTACTGAATAGTCAGCGAGACAAAAGTTCTTTCTATGACAAAAAACAGCTATGTGCAGGGTAACAGTATAGATCTCAAACCGTGTACTGGCAGCTCTATTGCTATGTGTGTATAGATCAGGACTGCTAATTGAGGGCAACTACTTGTACGCCTGCCCGTTAGAATGCGACGGGATCGTAATTAGATGAATCGAAGCGCATACCAAGCGGCTTAAATGTGTTGTGATCTTGGGTGCTTTGACCTTTTTTAATTGATATAGCCAATCTCGTGTGAAAGTTAATAGGGAGCTTTATCTACGTGCAAGTTCAATTTTAATGGTATTGTTCTAAACCAAAATTTAAATTTTATGATATGCTTTTTCAACACTCTGGATTTGTTAGCGTTTTCGGATTGGTCGACTCTACCCCTTGGTTTTCGAATTTACCACCAAAATCAGCTGCCTCACCATTTGAGGGGCATCCACGTTCAGTATTGTGAATTAACTTGCTTACTTAAGCATTGCAAAATCCTACCTTAGCTGTCTTCCCAACTCACTGATAGCCCAATACTGACATGATATTAGCTCAGTTGTTGTTATGATCTTCAACTTGCGAATTATTTACTATTAGCTTGTTCTAAGTTCCAGTAACCAGCACTTGACTTCCCGCGCCTCTCACTTAACATTTACAATTCGCTCAGCGAGATAACTCTGTTGATACTCTGCGTAAGTTCACCTAACTTGCATATCAGTTCTACACCAGGAGATCAAAGAGCGTACTGACCATAGAATTTCGCAGATAATTTCTGAATTAGTAGACAGACTATAGACAGCAGGTAGACTCTACTACAAATAACTTATAGTATTAATTTCGCAACCGGGGAGGAGGTACAATACAATATTAGACACCAACCAGATAAAAACGAATGTTCAATACGCAGATTCCATTATGTCCATTTCTCAATTAAAAGCATGTTTAGCGACAGTAACTAGATAAATTCTATCCATCAGCATACAAGATTTAGATGTTAGGGTTAATATATACTTCACTTATGAAGCTATATTCTTTCTTCTGGTTAACTTAGTGGCTACACTCGTGAGACGTTATACCTCTCTTACCTGACTCTTAGTTAACACTACTTGTATTCTTTCAGCTTCTACTATTATATATAAATTGCAAAATATAATATAATAAACTGGCAAGCTCTATTTCAATTTACATTATTGTATATAAGTTAGACAAGTTGAAATCTTAGCTGGTGTAACCTGTTTTTATTTAATATATTGCGAAAGCGAGGTCGTGATAGATGAGATATACTTGCAGTTTTCAAGTAGAGCGATATTATTTAGAAGATCTACTCACATGAAACTCTCTCTTCAGGCTCTTACTTAACAGATACTTTTGCGAAACTGGATCAAATACGATATGTAATCGTGGAATAATTAGCAAAGAACATTTGGAGTTTGTGATATATCGACATGACATATAAACCTCGGTAATTTATATTTTTCTCTTTAAATGCTTGTTAGTCACATCATTTTGCGAAACCGCGTTAAGCGTAGTCAAATTTCCAGCTGCTTGTGATCTTCTTGCTGAGTTCTTCTGCGAAAGCAAATTCGGCGGAAGACACTCTCCGCTTCAAGAGGCCTCAATCATATTTACCGATTGTGAACATACAATGAATTATTCATAGAACTGGCTTACTCATATCACCCTGCTGTAATGCTCTGTTTTTGAATTATTTGCAAAAATGCAGCAAGATGACAGACATATCGAAAGCAACAAAGATAAACAAAGCGATTTCGCAATTTAATAACACATATTCTTCATCGCGCTTGGCCCTGTATATTGAGACGCCTTGTAGCGACCACTACGACATGTTCTGCGTTAATGCTATTCAGAACAGAATGGCGGAGTTTACTTGTGCTGCTGCGGTTACACTTTAAACAAGTTTGGATACTACGCAAAGTAATAGCCGGGACAGTTGCGATTTACCCGATAAGTGTCTACTATTCAAGATACCAACTGCGAAAGGAACTCCGACTATCCGCTCAAGTCACTTGCGAACTCTAAGCGAGGGGTATGTCAAACGCTATCACGTTATCGTCAAATGATGACAAGTGTTATTAATGTTGTGAAAGCCTAATAAACTTATGTGAGCTTCCACTGGAAATAAATTCTCTTGATAGTTAGTAGGTCTTTGCAAAACAATCTGTATTAGAAATGTATACCATATCTTCCTTTAGCGGTTGATCTTGGTAATCGTTGGTGTAAATAGATGTCTATAGATTAATCTGGATTAGAAGTATGAGTATATTTATTGTTCGAAATCAATCTTGGTAATAATTAGTGTAAATGGATATTTGAAGATTAATCTGGATTAGAAGTGTGAGGTATGTTTAGTATTTGTAATTAATCTTGATTTTCTTGGGTGTAAATGGCTATCTACTGGATTAGAAGTGTAAGGTATATTTGGTATTTGCAATTAGTTTTCCTTAGTATAAGTGAATATGTTTAGACTGATATAAATCGGAAGTGTATATTATATCTGCCTTTTGCATTTAATCCGGATTGTCTCTGTGTTGGTAGGTAGTAAGCCCAATTGAAGTCTTTCGCAATTAAAGTCTAAGTTCTTTGCTTACACAGGAGTAAATAAATGGTGGGACACATAAATTCAACTTCGCATTACTTACTTTTTTATTTGTTTCTGTACTTTACTAGCAAAATGCAAGTCCAAGCCTCTCAATAACTTCAATATTCAACAAAATATCCATATGGATTAAAAACTCATCATATCAAATCAAGGTTCTCTCAATAACTTACTTTCCCACCAAGAACATACGCTGTGTCAGGGCAATAACCAAACTCTGTAATGAGGGTTATATAGAAGAAGTTTCCGAGCTGTACGCACAGCTATTTATTCCTCCTGCAATCATTGATCCACCAAAATTATGCCAATACCAACATAACAGTTAGTCAATCCTGGTCCCTCTACAATTTGAGCGCATTACTTACAATCTCTTGCTTCTCTCTTTTCTACACTGCAGTGAATTACTGACCCAGCCCATTTCCTACCACCTCAAACCTTTGAACTTGGTCTACCTACACCTCCACCTCAACCTTAACTTTCTCCATCTTTATCCTTCTACTCTTCAACACGCATCACTTTCTCCTCTCTACATCAACACAACACGCCACCAGCACTACAACAGTACCTCAAAACTCTTTAGATTCAAAGACCTATCTCTTTTTGTATGCATTTAACTTATGCGGGCTTTTTCTTTTTTGTCTCTTTCCAACATTCGCAGTCTTCTCCCACATCCTCCATTTTCAGTCACATGAGATTACACAGCATCTTCCAGTGCAGCCTGGGTCCTACCGCTAGTTAGCTAGCCAGTACGCTCATAGGTCTTCCAGACAGAATCAAGAGCTTCTGGGCTACTGGATAGTAGAAAGGTTATCCTAAGTCTTAGGGTATAGAAATAAGTAGCCTAAGAAGTGTAGCCTAAGTAGCATAAACTGCCCTACTGATTTCGTCTATTGTACTTCCAGCGGATAACCTTTCTGGTATTCTAATGCTAGGGCTGATTTATGCTCAACCAATTATACACAAACGAGAAGTCGCTTGGAAATACCAAGGCGGATAAGAATGATGAACCACAACCCTACCATAGACATGCAGCCAGCATAGTAGGCAGCCGGCCTAAAGGTTGAGACATCCTCATCGCCATCGCTTCCCGACAGTGAATAGATACCAGAGGCTATAGGAGTACCCTAGTAGAATCAGCATGGAGTTAGATGAGCTTGGAAGTTCTGTACTTACGAAGAAGAAGCCACAAAACCAAGTAGTCCAAACGATAGGCAGGATACCAAGCGTATTCTCAGGACCCATTGTCGCACCCAGCATTGGGGGTACAAGACTAAAGAAGGCGCCACATCCAATGCCGTTGAAGATCAGGAAAACGGAGAAGATACCAACGCTCGATGCGAGAGGCCAGACGACCAATGAGCTGAGGCCGATGCAAAGCAGGCAGACAATCAGACTATTAAGTGGACCAAGGAGATGGTCGGCTGTGTAGCCACCCAAGACTCTCCCAACAGTCGAAGCGAGGTTCCAGGATGCAAGTATAACAATGGCTATCTGATTCGAGTAACCCATTGATCGCGAAAAAATTGGGATGAAATATGGTGGGATGAACAGTGGAAAGCATGACAACGCTGTGCCGCCGATGATAAGAAGGAACCGAGGTTCTTTGAACCGATACCTACGCAAGATGTGAGTTGATAGACACAAGAACAAGGGGTATGATTAGGAACCAACCATTGTAACTTCAATCCCGCGTTCACGGATCCGGTAGGTTGCTGGATGAAATAAGATGCTGGTATGCAAACTCCCCAAAGCATAAATCCAAGAATACGGAATGTCCATGCAACATCTACTTGCTTGACAAGAAGATTGGTTGCTATGCTCATGATAGCGGCACCAAGACTTCCTCCTCCGAACACGATGCCCATGGCGAGGCCTCGGTGTCTCTTGAACCATCTCAGAGGGGCGGTTGAGCAGGCCTGAAAATGTGTGAGATAGGATGTAAGAGCGTTGGGGACTGCTTGAACTTACAAAGATAGATAGACCTCCGCCGATCCCGAATATCACACCATGGAAGACAAACAGAGCTCCAACATGCTTTGTTGTCCAGCTAGCAAGGAACTCACCCAATCCCATCAACAGCCCGCCAGCAAATGCTGTCTTTTGGTATCCAAGCTTGCGGACTGCCATACCAGAAAGGATGCTGAGTGAAATCATGAACGAGGTTGCTAATGATCCGACGAATGTCAAGGTTGTGAGACTAGTTCCGGTCACTTCGACAAGTCTCACTTGCATGATGCCCCAGGAATAGATAACCCCTAGGTAAACAAATAGAGAGCAAGCCGCTGCTGCTACTGCGATCCATCCTTTAGGGTCATCAAACTCAAAGGGAGTTGGTGTTGTAGTCGGTGATGCGCCGCCGGGTTGTGAGCGGTCGGTTTCGTTACCCTTCTCATTGTCCGACGCACTTGATGATTCGGGCCAGTTGGTAACTAGAGTTGTGCCTGCAGTCATCGTACTATGGTACCAATATGGATGTTGGTAGAAAGATGGCACGAGTTCCGATAAACAAAATGTCTTTGAGCAGAACAATCTTGTCAGGAAGGGTCGGGAAATAGTTAGGTTAAATATTTGATCTCACATCGGTCACCGGATTAGGAAAAAGAGAACCGATAGCAAAACCGACGCCCTAAACAGAACAATCCCAGCTCAGTGGATCATAAATCACGATGTTGTTTGTCATGGAAACATTGCAACTGAGCGATGGCCCGGTATTAGTCGGCTGGTCGGTGTTTGGCTGAAAATTCATCATTCCCGAGTTCCGACGAGTTCCATCGGATTTCGGTTTTGGGCTCTTATAAGAACGTCGAGGCTTCAACCAGATAATACAGGATTCTATTAAGCAAGACAAGAAATTGCATATCAGATTACTAATATCTCTACACTTTCATATTCCTCTTTTATTCCAATCATGGCACCTTCAACGATTGGGGACGTCTGTGATGCCCCGGATTATCAACTCTCCACACCAATCAAGCCCATCCATCATGAAGGCGCTTTGATGCATAGATCCCTTGTACAACATCCTTACATGGTTGAGTCTGCGCAAGGAATCGAGTTAAAGTTGTCCAGCGGCCAAACCATCATCGACGGCTGTGGCGGTGCAGCGGTCGCGCTCGTCGGACATGGATGCGAGGAAGTCATCCAAGCCATCACCGACCAAGCCCGCAAAGTCAGCTACGTTCATACACAATCTTATACCACTGCACCTGCAGAAGAACTTGCCGATGTTCTTTTGCAAGGTAACCCGTACGGCCTGGAAAAGGCATTCTTCGTCGGCAGTGGCAGCGAAGCTGTCGAGTCAGCACTGAAGCTTGCTCGTCAATACCATTACGAAAAGGGTGATTTGGACAAAGTACATATCATCTCTAGACGTCAATGCTATCACGGAAACACAATGGCTACCATGTCTATCTCTACAAACCTTGCTCGCCGGGCCCCCTACCATGGCTTCCTTTATCCCAATGTATCTCATGTCTCGCCTGCCTTTGCCTATCATTACAAGGACAGCTCCGAAAGTGAGGACCAATTTACCGCTAGATTACTGGTCGAACTTGAAGAAGGATTCCTGCGTGCAGGACCTCAAAAAGTCGCTGCATTTATCGCCGAGACAGTAGTTGGCGCAACATCTGGATGTGTGGCTGCTCCAGCTGGCTACTTCAAAGGTGTCAGAGCTTTATGCGACAAGTATGATATCGTCATGATTCTTGACGAGATCATGTGCGGTATTGGCCGCACAGGCACTTTCTTTGCTTTCGAGCAAGAAGAGGTAGTGCCCGATATCATGACGGTTGCCAAAGGCCTCGGAGGTGGTTATGCTGCCATTGCCGGCGTTCTCATCCATAAGCGAGTGGTCGACGTTCTGAGACAAGGTTCAGCCACTTTCAATCACGGACACACCTACCAAGCCCATCCAATCTCTTGTGCCGCTGCATTGGCTGTGCAAAAGATTATCCGACGGGATAACCTTGTTGGGCGGTGTGCCAAGATGGGGTTGGTCCTTGAAAGAATGCTAAGAGAAGATCTCAGTAGGTGTAGGTCAGTTGGAGACATTAGAGGTCGGGGCTTATTTTGGGGAGTTGAGTTTGTGAAGGATCAAAAATCGAAGCAGCCATTTGAACCTACAGCTAAGTTTGGCTTGTTGGTACAACAACTTGCCTTCGAGAAGGGTGTTGCTCTGTACCCAGGTAGTGCAACTATCGATGGAGTCAACGGAGACCACATTCTGCTTGCGCCGCCATTTACAGTAACTGAGGATCAGCTGCGGACCATCTCTCGGACGTTGAAACAAGCAGTGGAAGCAGCAGAAAGAACGGTGTTCTTTGACTAATATTCGGGCACAAGAGAGACTTAGATCAACTATCAAATAGTTTATAAATTATAGATCAATACAATCTTTCAGAAATTGTGACATATGAGAGAACTACAGTTGCATCATATTCCTTCTTGTATCTATATGAATAATAACTAACTAGATTAAGAATAGCTGACTGCCGAATCCATCCCCTTATTTTACGGACCGTCTTAGATTGTATAACGAAAGAATGTCGCGTTGTCACCCTTCTCGCGCTCAGCATACTTCTCTGCCTCGGTGTACAAGCTAGGGTCTTTATGTACCGCATCTCGGCGAGCATTCTCGCGACGCAAGTTAACAGTCATCCAGATAGACAAGATCAGTGACATGATCTGAAGACCCAGGAGCGTGCCAAAGCCTGGGAAATATCTTGGAGCATCCTTCGCCAGGAACAGATAAGCCGCAATCACCCCACCAATGTTGCCGCAGCTCACATTCATTGCGATACCGACACCCCGCTTGAGGGATCCCCCAATGTTATTGCTGTTCCAGGCAATCCCCTGGGGAACACATGGGAATGCACCTGAAGCGAGGAGGAAGCAGCCGAAGTACCTGACACCCGCATGTTCAACGGCCATAAGAAGAATCAGTCCAATCGCACTGATAGATGGTCAGCAGTCATGAATAGGGGAACATGCGAGGATACTTACGACATGGAGATGAAGGTGATCATAAAGATCCCTCTCTGCTGCACTTTATCAGCCCACCACCCAGCTGCAACACAAACAACACAGGCCACCAGATAAGGAGGTGTGCTCATGAGCTGCGCGGTCGTACTGGAATAGCCCAGATCGCGGATGATGGTAGGAAGAAACAGGGAGTATGCGTAGACTGCAGTAAAGGTGCCAGCTGCGATAAACATATGCACCCAAATTTTGAAGTCGCGAAAGGCATCCCGCGCATATCTCATCTCGAACTCCTCTGCCAATCCAGACCGATCGAGCATCAGACGCTCTTGAATGTGCTTTCGCTCTTGTTCGGTTATAAATTTCGCTCGTTCGGGGTAATCAGACATGAGCTTGAATGACGCGAGTGCTGCAGAGATGTTGGTCAACATTATTCGCGATGCAGAGCAAATGGCTTTTAAATACTGACCGACAGCGACTGTAAGAAGGCCCTCGATGATAAAAATCCATTGCCAACCAGCCAGTCCCGCCTTCCCGCGTAGCTCCATGATGCCACGAGCAAGAAGACCGCCAAATACACCTGCAGCAGTAGCGGCAGAAAAGAATATGGCCATGCGAAAACCGCATTCGTGGCGACGATACCACATGGTGATACTGCGACTGTAAGCCAGCTGTAGGGTCAGGAGATCAGGAAGACATACTAGTAGGCAATTCCTGGAAACAGGCCACCCTCGGTGAGACCGAGGAAGCCTCGTGCAACCATCAGACCAGCATAGTTGTGGACGATGCCCATTAATGTGCAACAAATTCCCCAGCACACCATAATTGAAGGGATCCAGATCCAGGGTTTGAACCTCTTCATGGCCATGTTTGAAGGGATTTCTGCCACGATGTAGAACGGGAAGAAGATGACCAGTGCATGATTGTACATAAGGCCTGACATGCCGAGGTCTAGCTCTAGGGTATCGAGACGAGCATTACCAATATTGGTTCGGTCAAGGAAGGATAGTAGGTAGAGGAGAGAGACGAACGGAATAATGGCCCAATCAATCTTGCGTATAAGCCTGTTTGTATCTGCTTCGCTCCAGCCTGCAGTTTCGACAGACTGGAGCCTGTCGACATGTTCAGACATGTTGACACTTGCCTTGTCATTGTCCGTAGTGGCTTCATTCATGATGGCCATAGGAAAATGAGTTACGAGATGGACAAATGCAATGGGCAATTGGTGAAAAGCCGTCAGAACGTCGGCACAAGGATTCAGTTCTTGAGTTGAGTTCAGGAGTCTGTTACGTTGTACTTATAGTGCGAATGATAACAGCTCTACACGTGGCCATGGTCGTTATACCTAACCAAAGTGACCCTGTTTTTATGACTAGCTAGGTCGTATGCGATCAGAGACTGACTAGTATCCTGGGGTAGCTTGGGGAAACAAGGATTTTGATTCGATGTCAAAATCTAATTACCATTTTAACAGTTAAGCTTAACTAGACTTGCATCTTCCCCGCGAATCAAGACCTAAAAGGAGTCCTATAACCACGGCCCGAACCCGGTCCGAGGCCCGAGGACATAACCGTGTCTAATATTGGCATAGAGATCAATGACTGCAGAGTCATGGCGACAATGCCAAAGACAGTTATCTTACTCGTGTTGGTTTCCGGCATCTTCATTGCTTGGTTATCCTTTCGTGTTACAGTTAATAGAAAGAAGTGCCCTGCGCACCATGTTGTGGCAGCTCAGCAGCATTCCGAGTGCTGAATCCGATTCCGATTTACTAGTGCATTCGTGGGTGCTTTATCTAAAAGACAAAATCAATAAATGACCAGTTCACGAAGTTTCGCAATCGTTCTGTGTCATGATTGTAATGTCTTTTTCTATCTATCGTATAATTTACATGCCAGGTCATATCAATTTTGTTTCCCACGACAGTCCACGGACCCTAAATACACTCGCTTTTGTGTTTTTAAAACATTACCATCCTGCATATACCGTGCCTTCATAAGCCTTAAGAACCACGCCTTCCTTACTAAACTCGTCCGAGTTCTTCCCAAGTAGCCTCTTGCCCCATGACCCATTCTTCAACACAACTTTCTGTTCCTTGTTCGAGAAGTTAAGGAGAACAAGAGCTACTTTTCGATCAAACCCAGTCATGGTATATGCAAAGATATCTTCGCTGTTCTCGTACTCAGGCAGGTTGGTAAACCATCCGTAGACAAAGACGTCTTTCTCCTTTTGTCGAAGCTCTAAGACCTGCCTCCAAAAAGCCAGCACGCTGTCGTCGTCATTCTCCTGGTTAGCAACATTCCACTCCTTGAAGTCGTCATTGACCCGCATCCATGGCTTGTCGCCCTCAGAGAAGCCAGCGTTCTTGTCGGCAGTCCACTGCATGGGTAGTCTTCCATTATCACGTGCCTTGAGTCTCATCTCCCTCATGACATCAGACATGTCAGCGCCTGGGCCTCTTTTCTCCAACTGGCTCTTGTAATAATTTAGTCCTTCAACATCAACATAGTCCTCGATCTTCCAAGACTCTGGAGCGTTGGCCATACCAATTTCTTGGCCTTGTAGAAGGAATAATGTTCCACTCAAAGTACCAAGATAGATGGCCAACATCTTGGCTGCCTCCTTACGGTACTGGGGAAGATCTGATCCATATCGTGACAGAGAACGGCCTGAATCGTGGTTGTCCATGTAGACGGTGTTCCAACCATCGAACTTGGGCATAGCTCCTTGCCAACGACTAGTGATTGTCTTGAGCTTCGATAAACGAAAGTCATCTCTTTCGTATTTGTGGTTGGCACCAAAATCCATGTCGACGATGTCTCCTGTGAACAGCATGTTCAGCTCATGACGGTCCTTTGCCACATAACTCGCCACGCTCGCCTCGTCTTTCGTGAAGCCAAGCTCTCCAACAGTCATGCAGTCATACTTGTCGATGACCTCCTCCCGTATTTCTCTGATGTACTCGTGCATGCGGGGTCCACTGGCAAAGTACTTGTCTCCGGGTTGGAATTCTGAACCAGGCCGAGTGATGGGTGCGTCCGGGAGGTCAGGGTGCTTGGACATGAGGTTCATCGAGTCGATTCGAAAACCATCAGCGCCCTTATCAAGCCAGAACTTCATGTCGGCATATGTTGCTTGACGCATATCGTCGTTGGCCCAGTTAAGGTCAGGCTGTTCAGGTAGAAAGAGCGACAAGTAGTATTGGCCCGTGGGCTCGTCAAACGTCCAAGCACTGCCGCCAAAGATGGATGACCAGTTGTTTGGTGGTTTGCGATTTCCATCTGAGTCAAACTTGGGATCACGCCAGAAATACCAATCTCTCTTAGGGGATGTTCTTGATGAACGTGATTCTCGAAACCATTGGTGCTCATGGCTGGTGTGATTGACCACGAGATCGAGTAGTAACTTGATACCTCGCTCATGGCATCCCTTGATGAGAACTTCAACATCTCGAAGTGATCCATAAGGGCTATGGATGTCGCGGTAGTCTGAAACATCGTAACCCATATCATGTTGAGGACTCTTGAAGATGGGGGATAGCCATATGGCAGTTGCTCCGACTGAGCAGATATAATCAAGCTTTGAGATAATGCCAGGCAGGTCACCAAGCCCATCAGCATTCGAGTCGAGGAAGCTTGCTGGGTAGATCTGATAGACAACGGCTTCCTTCCACCATTGTCGGTCCGGAGGGTTGTGATCCAACATGTTGATTTGTGTGATAATGAGATGGTATGGGATGAGTTGTTCTGGTCATAATTAAAGTATGATTCTGTGTTTCTTATACCCTTCCCCGGTCCGACAAATGTGCTTTTGGCCGTTGCAGATGCGGGGAATGGACTTGTCGGCCGATATTGTGATGGACGATCCAACCCATGTTAATCCCGGGCGAATATTGGGTACGGAGTTCGGCCGGCTGAACTTGGAAGGGTGAATTATGATTCGTCAATGAACAACCATGGACATTACCCCAGAGGCGATCGATATCGGTCCGACAATGGCCTCCGGCTTGTCTGTTCTGGGTCGATTCTTCAGGGATCTGTCAACCAGTAGAAATTCAGCCATTCAATCCTCGACTCCATTCTTTTTCCTTTCATCTGACTCTAGGGTGATGATGATGGTGGCATGCTCAACTTTTGGAACATGGCAGTCCGACAAAGGGTCAATTTTTTTACTAAGATCCCCATGGGGCTTTTCTTAGTACCAAAATTGATGACTAGTTTCTGGGGAAAGATACTCAATACTGTGTTTCTCCAATTGATATAAATCTCAACATGAATCCCTTCAAAATTATTTTCGCAAGCTTCATCTCCAACATCGTTTCAATTTCGCCACATTCATCATCACATCCTCTTTTACAAAATGGCAACCAAGATTGAGGCTCTGGCTACTGTCTCTGACCATGTCGAAAAGGCAGCAGTCATAGATCCAGTTGGAGTTCAGAAAGCTATTGATTCCCAAGACCTCACCCCCAAGCAACAATACCAACGTCTCTGGACAAACTTGAAGAAGGACAAACGCTATGTCTTTTGGTCGCTCTACATTATGTCCCTTGTCTTCGGATGGGGCTATGATCAAGGTCTCTCAGGTGTAGCGATCGCCTTTCCAGAGTTTCGCAAAGTCTATGGTGAATACTATGAAGTCGGCGACCAATACGTCATCCCAGCGCTCTGGCAATCTCTTTGGAACGCAGCTAGCACTATTGGTCAGGTCTTTGGAGCTTTCCTTGCTGGACAATTCGCAGACTATGTCGGTCGAAAAGCTGTCCTTTGGACTGCTGTCGTTTTGTCCCTGGCTGCCTCTTTCGCTCTCGTCTTTGCACCTAGCCTGCCCATCCTTTTCGTGTCTAAGCTCTTGCTCGGTCTCTCGGTTGGCCTTTCAACTGTTACTCCTCCTCTCTACGTCACAGAGAACGCGCCAGCTGCTCTCCGAAGCTCTCTCAGCTCTCTCACCAACGTCGTTATTGTGCTGGGATTCTTCCTCTCATCCATCACTGGTTGGGGATCCTCGAAGATTCAGGGCGAGTGGAGCTTCCGGCTTGCCTTTGTGATGACATTCCTTGTGCCGACACTATTTGCTATCGGCCTCCCCTTCCTACCCGAATCCCCTATCTGGTACGTCAAGAAGGGTCGAGACGACGACGCGCGAAAGGCCATTGTTAAGCTCTATGGTGATTCAATCGATGCAGAGGAGAGACTGAACTTCATCAAGTCAGAATTGGAAGTCGCCGCTGGCGAGGCCTCGATGGCGAAGCAGACAAGCTGGAGAGCCATCTTCTCCAAGGAGCATCGAACCAGAACTCTAGTTGCAGTTATGGGGTTACAATCACAAAACTTCTCTGGCGGTTACTTTGCAAGTAAGTTAATATATCCACATAAGCACCAAATCAGACACTAACAACAACAGACACATACCAGACCTACTACTTCGAGCTCATCGGCCAAGCCGATCCCTTCGGCCTAACTGCGATTTCTTCGACACTACAATTCCTCTCGAACTGCTTTGCCGTCACCGTTTCCGACGTCCTTCCCCGACGAAAGTCTCTAGTTGGAGGCGGTACACTTCTGTGCTGTTGGTCAATTATCATTGCTGGAGCCTCGCTAGCTGGTACATCCAATCGCGCCGCCAATACCGCCCTACTTACATTCATGATCACATGGTCTATGTTGTACACCGCCACTGTCGGTTGCTTTGGCTGGGCTGTCGCTCAGGAGACTGCTTCTCAGGCCACCCGTCCCAAGACTATTGCTTTCAGTCTCGTATGCCAGCAACTCACAGCCCTTATGTTGTCCTCTGTGTTCCCATACTTTATCAACCCTGATCAGCTGAATTGGGGTGGAAAGGTCATGTTTTTGTTCGTTGGAGCTGAAGTTTTCATTCTCGCTGCTTTATTTTGGTTCCAACCTGAGACCAAGAACAGGACATATCATGATATTGATTGCTTGTATGCTGGTGGTGTTCCTCCTAGGAAGTTCTCTGAATTTGTGGTTAACGACGGCGCCGTCGTTCAAAGGCCTAAGGCTTAAGAGTGGAATTGAGACCCGATCTCTAGGTCGAGGCGAGTGGGAATGGGGGATGTTGGTATACGAATGACAACAAACTTACTTTGCATGTTTTTAGCAATCTATTGGCATTAGGAGTGAATCGAATAAATTGTATGACTCTATGAACTTCAACATACGTAGCCTTATTGCCTGTCTCTATTGAAACAACATTTCCTTCTTATGTCCCGTGAACAATGGAGTGGATCAGTGGCGTTACAGCTACAGCACTAAGACGTTCCCACCCATAACTCAATTTCTCTTCTCCGCATTATATAAAGGCAATTCCCCACAAACTTCAAACCTTGTTTGACCAATTTCAATCCTGTTTCATTCAATCATGTCCACTCCCTCGATTCCCAGTCCATCTCAAAAGCCTTTTAAGGTCCGACAAGCTTGCGATCCCTGTCATCGACGGAAAATACGATGCGATGGCTGCAACCCGTGTCTCAATTGTCGAACCTCTGAGTTAGGCTGTACGTACCTGGCTGTGCACAAGAAGACCGGACCTCAAGGGCCACGAAAAGGTCGAAGAGCCAAAAGACCTGGAGAGTCGATTCTACAAGTTTCAAGTCCTCTTCCAGTTCCAGTCGAAAACAATGAATTGGTATTGGTACCAGTGGAGAGTCCTAGCCTGGCACCAGATACTGAAGACTTCTCTCCATCACCACAAATCACTGAAGCTGTTGTCAAATGGTGTCTGGATGCCTACTTCAAGCACAAATACCCGCTCACGCCTATTCTAGACCGCCAACAACTCGAAGAAAATACGATTTCAGCTGAGAAGTACAGTCTGATATCAGCCTGCTGTGCTATAATTGCATTATCCCCGGAGATTTTACCACCATCGCATACACAGGATGACATCACCCTTCCATCTGCCGACTTTTTGATATCAGAAACTCTTCGCTCAAGGGCACGTTGCAAAGCTGTGGAGCACCCATCGCTAAGTCATGTCCAAACTTCATTCTTTCTTTATGCCGCTTTCTTCTCTATGGACAAGGATAATTCGGCATGGTACTACCTGCAAGAGGCTATTACCATGTTACAGACACTGCGGCTACACGAAGAAGTCACATATGATGAGTTTATTAACCCAATTCTTTCCATATATGCTCGGCGCACGTTCTGGGTTTTGTTCATCACTAAGAGAGCATATGGGCTACAAAGAAACCGTCCCATCCGATTGCAGGAAACTCTGGAACTGCCAGCTATTGATCCTTTGTCGCAAGATGCAGAAATACTTCTTGGTTTCCACGATTTGATCTCCTTATTTCGTCCCTTCGATTCGGACTTCATTGCGAACTGGAACCAGTTGACTCCCTCGACATCAGCTGATTCTGCTCGCCTGTCGCATCTTCAATGCCTTCTAAAGTATTCACTACCAAACTTGTCAAATCACTCTCAGGTTCAACAAGCAGATCTTCTCATCTCGCGCCAGTGGCTGAAAACAGTTGTGTGGAAACTTTGTGCTTCAAAACAGGTGTTATCTACCGGAAGCAGCGACAATGTCATGTCGATCCATTACCCTGCCAGCATTGCGCGTGATATTGTTCTCATATCACAGCTGGTGCCGACCCAAGCTTTCGAAGCCAATGGTATCGGAATTCTTGAGAAGGTATTCGATGTGGGATGTTCCCTGGCAGACCTTATGCTACTGGTGCCGCTGGACTTCCAAGCGTCGGCTATGGACGTTGGTGCAATTGACACTCTAGTGGAGATGGTGAGAATAGTAGGGTTGAGATTCGGGGGGAGTTATCGACATTTGAACATACTTGTCGACAAGGCCAGCGGCTGTTTCTTACGGAATATAGATAGAAGCTTGCCCTTGCCATCAGGCGACGATGATGGAGAGGGCCAGACTACTTGGTCGACCACATCTCTTTGAAGATACACGAATTTGACGAAAATGACGTACAACATTGAACACCTTGGCATGTTAATTGTCTGAACAATATGATGATGGAGGTAATAAATCTGTAGAATCCAACTTTCATTATTGACATGTATATTAAGCACGGCAATGTAAAGCCAACATATACTTTTATCTCAAGGTCATTGGCATCGAAATAAGCGCCCTTGTAGCTCAGTGGTAGAGCGTTGCACTTGTAATGCAAAGGTCCATTGTTCAATCCAGTGCGGGGGCAGCGCAATCTGCTTTTTTTGCATTTTCCAGGTGGGGAGAGGATCCCACAGAGGTCCCATCTTATTTTTTGTCACGGGGACTACTATTCTATGTATACATAAGCATAAGTGTGAAGTATATCAGACAGTTGGTTAGATTGCGTGGCAACGTCAATCTAATTTTGTGTATATCAGGGTACCTGTTGCATTGCTGGGGAATGGATCAGAACCACAAAGCATCTTCGTAATTATAAATTAATCTGATAGCGCCGGAAAGGTCATGGGCTACCTCTAGTCTAGATTTTAAAAAAAACCTGATAAATTTATAAGATCATTGAACAATTGTTCCCTGCGATTTGACCGAGCATCTACCTTCTATCTCGCTCTTATCATGGCCCAGGTGGTCGATGTTAAATCTACCCTAAAGCCTAGACAAAAGAGGAGTAAGATTATTCATTGCCTTCCAGAGCGAGACCTTAAGGACTGAAAAATCCACCTCGGCATGAAATGTCAGAAGCTGAGAGTCAGCCCACCGTAAAACATAGTGTAACAGGCTAACTTGCTGATGGCAACCACATGGAGTGTCATCCATAGATCTTTTTCCAAAGATTGCCTAGACTCACAGCGCTCTTGTTCCTTACCTCTAATAGCTTTCAAGGGGCCACTCCTATTCTCTGATCGTCATTTGAAATCACAGTGTCCACCGCATATATGTTATATCTTATAAAACACTATAGTTAAATGGGAGTAAGAAGTCGGTGTAACATATCCTGAGCTGGAATACGGCAATCTTGGAGCTACTAACCCACCTTTTCTGTATATCCGATCGTTAAGCCGCACATCCGTACATCCGGTCCATCTTGTGCGTCATCACTTGCATAAACAACCAAGACAACGTAGCAACGAACCACTGTGATCTCCTCTCTAGCTATGAGCTTGTGGGGTTGAGGGCTCATCGAGTCACAAAATCGGGTAGTGATACCCATACTTACTTGCCGATTGGTCCATCGGTACTTTCTAGAAACCGCTAAGAACGCGTATAGAGACAAATTATCTAAAGTCCTTGTAAAGTCCTTTCAATTACATAGTATATCCGGAGTTCCGTGATCACGATCTCGTCTGCCATGACACATATAAAGCCGTAGGCAAGAGTGCTTTCACTGGCATCAGGCTCGACCACAATACTCATCATACCAGGGAAACAATGAGACGTACCTCTGCAATCTTGGCTATTGGAGCTTTGGCAAGCCAGGTTCAAGCTGCCACTGTCAGGCTCTTGTCTGGTGCAACGATCATTGGTTGGGATGACTCCAACAACGAGCCCAAAATCGTTCGTGATGGTCACATTTTGATCAGCGGTGATCGGATCAAGACTGTCAGCACATCCGAGCCCTCAAACTTGCCAAACGACACAGAGAAAATCGATGCTACTGGCCAGATTATCACACCCGGTTTCATTGATACCCATCGCCATGGCTGGCAGACTGCCTTCAAGACGATAGGCTCAAACACTACACTGGCAGAGTACTTCGGTCGCTATGGCGAGTTTGCAGCTGCCCCTCACTTCACAGCTGATGATGTATACTGGGGCCAACTGGCTGGACTGCTCGAAGCTTTGAATGCTGGCGTGACTACTTCGCTTGATCACGCCCACCACACCTGGTCCAACAAGACTGCTTACGCTGGCCTCAACGCCTCCATCGCTAGTGGTGCTCGAGTGTTTTGGTCTTATGCCTTCCACGATGTCCCAGCACTGAACTATACTGTGCGCGATCAGATCCCCAACTTTGTCGAGATCGCTGAGAGAGAACTTTTCAATGACAGCAACGTTGAGCTTGGAATCTCGTACGACTCTTTCGGACCCAACCCCCCTGATGTGGCGAAGGACGTGGTCGACCTGGCCAAGGACTATAACGTCTCTGTTATCACGACACACGCCCTTGCTGGGCCATTCGGCGTCAACAATCTCCCTGAAGATGTCCATGCCCTGGGTCTTCTCAACACTTCCATTCCCGTTGTCTTTTCTCATGGCAGTTTCATGACAGCAACGGGGGCGAACCTCCTCCGTCAGACAGACCAATATTTGTCTATCACACCTGAATCCGAAATGCACTATGGTCACACTCACCCACACTCATACTACATCCAAGACCAAGCTGCCCTCGGAGTCGATACCCACTTTACCTTCTCTACCGACATTCTCACACAAGCGAGAATATGGTTGCAAAGTGCACGCTACTACTTCTTCGACAAAGTGCTTGACGACTTGAAGGTTCCTAACAAGAACCCTATGAGCGTTGATCAGGCCTTTTACCTCGCCACTCGTGCTGGCGGTATGGCTTTGCGACGCCCTGATCTCGGTATCATTGAGGAGGGAGCCAAGGCTGATCTTATCGTCTGGAACGCGGCAGACTCACCCGCTCTTCTGGGCTGGGTTGACCCCGTGGCAGCTGTTATGCTCCACGCCAGTGTCGCTGATGTCCTGCATGTCATGGTTGATGGAGAGTTTGTGAAGAGGGATGGAAAGTTAACTGCATCCGATTATAAGGAGACAAAGAAGAGCTTCTTGAAGAGCGCAGCCAGAATCCAGAAGATCTACAAGGAATTCGACTATCCTGAGCTTGAAGGGGAGTTTAACGGAGGGGGTTTCTATTATGGTTCTCCAAGAATTGTCAGTACCGAAACTGGCCTTGTTGAAGAGAGTAACTAGGGGAGGTTAAATCACACTAGAGAATCGTAAACATGAATTTCACCCCACTTATATTAGTAGTAACTGTATATATGTGTAAGAATCTTTCACTTTAATACCTATTAAATTACATGACTACATGCTTTACCTCGTGCTACTGAGATAGTGTCCTCAGCTGACAGCCCAACATCATCATCGAAATGTGATACTTAACAGCCTATAACAATCGATTTACTTCACTATTGATATGTGAGAGTGATGATTGAATGTAATGATTGAAGATCTAAGTTGAAGGATTGCAGACAAGAAAAGATGTACATGTATGCATTCTGTGATCATGTGACCCCCACGTGATATTCTTCACTCTCAACATTCACTATAGTGGCCCGGTATATGCTGTTCGCAATCTACTTTGCGCAAATCGTAGCAGTGACAGTGGTAGGGCTCGGGCACCCGAATACTTTCTTCATTGATGGCGTACTGTAGCAGCCAGCCTGTCCAGCACGGCAGTCAAACTTCTTGCAACCCGAGCCAGGGCTGAGGATGTTGTGCTTGTTGGCAAAAGGGTTTCCCCATTCACTAAATAGTTAGTAAAACGGTATGTGAAAGGACCATGAGCATATATACTTACGTGCTAAACTCATCTGGACAATACAGTTAGTAAGAGCCTTGGTCAAGGTGCGAGCTGTGATGTACTTACAGTAGACATAGTTGGGCTTGGAGGTTGAAGAGTATCCGAAGAAGAGAGGCCTAGTGAGAGTCCTACTAGTAGCAATCTTGACAGTCTATACCGTGTACACTCGTCTTAGTCATGGTCATCTGGTTAAGTGAGAAATGCACGCATGGAAGTCACTAACCGAGCCGGATGCACGCATGTTCTCGGCGAACTTCTGTCCTGGCTTCAGGGCAGTCAGAGCGCCTGGAGCCGCGCCATTATAAGGGAAAGATTGAACATAGATCGTGGTGGGACAGTTGTTGATGACAACAGCCTGGTTAGCAGCAGCAGAGCTGCTGACAAGAGCAGCGAAGGTAGCGAGGATGCTGAACTTCATGTTGATGGATGAAAGGTGTGTGATGATTATGAGGAGAGAAGAGTAGGTACAGACAGAGTCTTGCTGATTTTTGTTAACATACGGAACATGGCCACTGTTTTATATGCGGCTGGAAAGGTGCATGTGGTCAAGACAGCATCCATTGATTGATACGAGCCCCTCCTCATCCGTAGCGTCGAACTAACTCGTACACGAACAACTAACTCTTCGTATTTTGAGATGGATCAGCGAGCTGTCAGGATTATCGGATGATGGCTCACAAAGTGCCTAGTACTAATCCCGATGCGTCGATGGAGTCCACGTGCCGCTATGCATCGTGCCTTGGAGTAGGCAAAAATAACCTTCCCGCCTCGTGCCGAAATACCGGCGAGCCATGAGGACTTCCTAATCCGGGTGTAAATAACACCTAGATTTGGTCTGGATTGCCATCAGACATGTTGAACTGCCAAACGACTACTTCGGCCATCCAAGTTCGGTTCATATCTGCCTTACATTACACACAGGCGACTACCGCTTATAGCTTCCTGGCGCTTTTACACTGTATAGAATTAGGTTAGTACTTAGATGGGAGCGCTGATAACTTGAGAACACGCCAAGACATTGAGCTGAGCTTTGCATTCCATTGACAATTAAATTTTGCCAAGTTGTTTAGTCGCCGGAGCTATACCACAGACTTTGTAGACCAATTCACATTCTCGCTATATTTAGAATCAGGTCAATTCGTCTTGAAAAACCTTTGACGAATTGCAAGCATAGAGAGAAACCAAATTCCGCTTCCCCTGTGAACAATGAAGGTATACGGTTACGACAAGGCATGAGGACATATCGTGTATAATGAACATAGTACTGTGGCAACTCAATAGTCGAGCCACTAACGGCAATTACTCATGTGATATTCAGCCACCATTCAGCCTTAGGGTGTCCAGACCTCATAACGGAACACATCGTGGATATTTACTCAAGCATTAGCTTTATGCCACCAATTTCCCCTGCATTCAAGGTAATCGTCTGGCCTGATTAGACTGGAATCAGACCCGCCAACTAGCAGATGTAAACGAACAATGCTCTTCACATTCCGTGAACCAACCGTATATTCCCTGAATTGTTGTCGTTAACTCGCTTATGGAAATCCTTTGCGTCGTAATCCGCATCGAATCAAATCTACTTTATTTTGGAGCAAATACATGTTGATGTTTTCTTGGCGGACCATGAACGAAGGATATTTGTTAACGTGTATTAGTTTCGAGTTCAAAACAGAAGTGTTTCACTCATGTGTTGTCAAGAATCGGTTGGAAGTGTATTCGCGTACACAGTCAGGAACCGGGGAAAAGAAACTCGTTCTTTGCATGGTACCAATACTCCAGAATGGAAACTATAGCTGTATATTAAGACGTAGTATACTGCCTAAGGTATTTACCCACGGCTTATAGATCTGCCTCCTCCTCATTGGCAATTGTGGCAGCGCCTCCGCCTTCAGCCTCAGCAACAATCTTTGTCCGCAAGACCTTTCCAGCGGGGTCGGTGTAGATGTTACAATAGGCGCTGAGGCCGTGATAAGGCGAGTATGTGTACTGCAGCTCATATTCGACTCCTCCATCCACGGTGATAGTTCTGTTGTGTCCGGTGAACTTCATGTCCTTGGTGTAGTAACCGACTTCTTTACGATTCTTCTCACGACCCTGGTTGTCGAGGTAGATGTTGTAAAGGAAACCGTCTTGTGTCAGGACACGGTTTGTGTGTGCTGAGCCGGAGAAGTCGTTCATGGAGTAGAGAATGTTGTTCTCAAGGCGGATGGTAAGGTCTCTCTTTTCTACAGCCTCGGGATCTTCGCCAGAGCTGTCGTCTCCGCTGCCTCCTCCACTTCCACCACCGATGACATCGCCGACATCACCCACGACGTCTTTCACGGTATCACCCAGAGTAGCGATAATGGGGTTCAAGTCAATGCTCTCAAGCACATCATCGACCATACGAAGAATGTTACCCAGGCGAGCTTCAAGTTCAACCTTGGCTGTGACGTTGTAGATACCGAGCTTTACTCGGTCAATGCCGAGATCGACACCGGCGTTGAAGTTGAGCAAGTTGAGAACCTTTGCGTCGAGGTTGATTTTGGCTGTGATATTCTTTACTTCGACTGAGATCTCGCCAACAGAGACATTGGCGTTGAGGTAAACGTCGGGTTCTTCGTTTAGAGGAGCGATGCCATTGCTAGTGTTCTCGGTTTCGTAGATAGCAGACTCGTCGTCACCGCGACGGTTCAGTTTGTATCCGTAATAGCCATCGCCCTTGGCCTTTGCAACAGCGAAACCTGCAAATGAAGCCAGGGCCAGGGCACCGAATGCTGTGTGATGTCTCATCTCGAATCTTTGTTTATGGTGTTTTGCTCAATGAAAGGAGTGTAGGGTCGAGGGAAAAGAGCGAAATTGAAGACGAAAACGAGATGTCTGTACGGAGGGCACACTGGCTAGAATAGAGAAAAGAAAACCCCAGTTCCAGCTTGCAAGTATTAACTCACCTTGCCTGCCATTGCGATGTGATGTTGGCTGATTTAGTATAGGCGAGTACCACCTTATCGCCCGGAAAAGAACTTGAAACGGTAGCAATGCCCGGTTACTAAGATCCGGACGCGATTTACTTCAGCCCAGTTTCATGCTACTCCATGTTTAATGCAGGGGAAGACTCGATTGTGGACCTTTGCTGGCGTATCAGAGACGGTAGAAGGGTTGCATTTCTAACAAGCCCTTGTTCCTGCGTCAATGCATTAGCGAAAATCTCGATCGTCTTCTCCCATTTAACCATCAGTAATTTCTTTACAATAAGAATCCGGTTTTTTTCGTCTCGTCTAACTCAATGTAACGATATTTCCGGCAATATAGCCCAACCAGAATAAGCTCATAAAGCCGACAGACAACTCTACGCGGAGATTACTATAGTTCCAAGGAAATAGCGCCAACGTTCCACTTATGCCTTACGGTTAAACTGATCAAAGGCCCAGGGTTAACTGAAAGCAAAAGCAAGAGCAGAGTCTTGAGTCCCCAAACAAATTTCGTGGCTACTGTCGCTATCCCGTTGAACCTCCCCCAACACCATCGTTCGTTGTTATACTGTCAATCAATCAATCGTCAACATGCGCATTTCTCTTCTTCAGCCTTTAGTGCTGGCTCAGCTCTTTAGCTTCGGCCTTGCACAAGCACAAACACCTGATTCTACAGAGCCAGCAACAACCGCCGAGAGCATCTCAATCGCTCCAACTTCGTCGCCAGTTGGCGATGATAACGCCGGTGGCTCAACCGAGACAGGTTCCGGTGGAGGAGGAGGATCATCAACAAGATATAACTCATCACAAGGTCCTCCCGATGTTCACCTCAAGGTTCCCGAGCTCTCTGTTGGCCGCATTGAGCTCGATGTCGACAATCTGCACGCAGATATCAACCTCAATGCAGACATTGCCAAGCTCGTTCAGCTCAATGCAGGTATTCAAATCGGCATTGAAAAGGTCAACATTACCATTGTCGACGTTGAGGCAGAGCTTGAGCTCGTTGTCAGACTGGGCCACCTGGTTGAGATTGTCAACCGAACTCTTGCCTCACTCGACCTTAACCCAGCCCTCATCAACCTCTTGGACTCTGTCGGTGATATTGTCGAAGGTGTTATTGGTGTAGTGGACGGTCTCCTTGGATCTATCACTCAAGGCGACACAAAGCTCAATTTCATTATTGACAACCTGGGCAACATTGTTCAGCAGGTCACCAAGGCTGGTGGCGATGCTGTCAGCTCCATCATCGGCGACTACAAGCAAAACATGACCTTCACAGGCGAGGAAAAGACACTATCAAATGGACTCGTTCAAAAGACGTACGAGTACTCAGAACTGAGCGCGTTGGTCAACATAGTCTTTAATAAGGCTGGTCAAATTGTGCAAGCCATGGTAGTCAAGGGCGGTGGCTCAGGTGGCGGTGGTGGTTCTCAGCCCAGTGGTACCGGTACTGCATCGCAAACAGCGTCAGCTACTGGAACATCTGCTGCTGGAGAAGCAACGACCGCTTCAGCCACCTAGGATCCATATATGTAATGCAGGAAATTATATCACGTATAGAACTCAGTGTTCTTACCACCAATTCATAATAACTTCATCCGTATCATCTCGCCTAGTGGGATGTGTCAATTGAGTAAGGTTAGCGAAGACTTATATCCAATGTGGCGTGCATAAGAGACTGGCGCCATTAGAAGGTCAAGCTGGCCAGGTTTCGGTGTCGCATTCGCAATGACTTGTCCAAAGATTTAAACCAGTACCAGGTAACAATCGATCGATCGAGAACTCACAATAATATCTTTTGGTGTCTCCAACATTCCCACATCTGCCACTGTTTGAAGCTGGAGATTGTGACGTATGTATTCGTTGTTTCACACGATTAGTCATGGAATATTGACATGAAGGGAAATGATATTAGAGATGAGGTTTGGCAACTTCAAATCTTTCGGATATCTGTGATTGATTATCAGTGCCCACCGTGCTGTGAATAGCATACTCTCTCTAGGTTTAGGTCCAAGTTGGTATAGTATCCCTATGTTGCAATCATTGACGAGCTTACTTTTAATTATCCAGCAATACTCCCATGTTTATCAAACAGTTACTATAATAAAGCTAACATGATGTCGATAGGGAGGGAGGTTTCTGCTAATAGATAGGTGGTCTAGTGCGACACTAATCGAAGCCATCACCAGGGCAATGAAGACATAAAATACAAGATTTGCCCCCAACACGGAGACCAAGTTATAGAACAAGTTTGCCCTATATATGCATTTAGCGATTTAGCTGCCGTATTCAAAGGTGAAATGTGAGAATCCATCAGAGGAAAACAAATAAACGGATTTTTTAAAATAGCGTCGATATCAGCTGCAATATTAAGCTCTAGATATTAAATGACTGGATTACTCTGAAAAAGCATGTTATAAAATCCAGATTTTGGTTTAGAACAACCCCATTAGAATTGAACCTATGAACATTGTCGCACAAGGCATGCAATCATTCCATGTTATATCAGTCTCAGAAATAAGATAACTCAGTAGTGCAAGAATGGTATTACTATAAAGCCAAGGTCGTTACATCATGTCCATGCCTTATTCACGAGGACTTATCATATGTCCCTCCCAAGATGCCTGGTGTGCTTGCGAATGAAGTACCATTATACTTGCCTTGTTCATCTCGGCCAAGGAGGAAGCTCTCTGGGGGTCCGAGGTAAGACTGTCGCACACCACCAAGGTCGATCACAATCTTTTGAATCAAGATGTTAGGCAGCAAGGCCCAGATACGAAGAGTATAGGCTCCCTCCTTAGGAACCTCAAATGACGACGTAGTATAATTACCATATAGACCCCAAACAGCGTTTCCAACAGCGTAACCCCATCCATCGGGCATGTTGGCACCCATATTGGGGCCGATCGGTCGGACAAGAGTTGGATCAGGCTGCTCCTCGCTGGATGGGTATAGTACAATGGCATACTCGAGCGGGTTTCGATCTCCAAGGTAGTTGGCACCGGGAGACATGTAAATGGTGACGTTGGCCGCAGAATGGTTGGTGTATAGGTACATATCGTACTCCAACGCAGGCCCCTCGCCGACATCCAATTTCTCAGTATCAAGAGGATACAAGCCAACACCAGCGAGAGTTCGGCCGTAGTTTTTGATAGTGTGATACTCGAGCGATGAGTTATCAGAGTCTCCCTCAAGAATGTTTTGGTAGTGTGAGGCTTCGATCGAAACATGTCCATCCGATTCGACAAAGCCCTCCTCAAAGCTGTCAGGTAGCTCTCGGTTGATGACCGTCGCCATAATCTTGGGATCCCGACCGCTGTATCTCTCGAATCCCTGGCAGTCACTAGTAACGTTGATGAAAACCTCGGTTGTGTTGGGCGCCTTGGGAGCCTTATCCCAGTCGATTGTGACATATACGCGGCTATCAGTGCCGTTGTTGCCACCGACTGTACCGTTGTACTGTGAGAGCTGAACATAGTCTTCCCATGGTGCTGCAAACCAGTTACATGACTTGGGACCTCGGTGGAAGATGTCGATGTATCGAGACTGAGCTCCGAAAGGCTCAAGAGGAGGAAGTCCGAGAACATTGGAGGACAAGGAGTGCCATCGACTGTCACCCATGATGGTGGCATTTGAACCCTCAACGCCAACACCATATTCACCACCGAGTGATGGCCAGACGTCTTGAACGAATCGAAGATCTGGGAGTGTGTTTCTCATGGGCTGTTGCCAGTAACCATCATAGCCCAAGTGAGTTTCTGTGTACAGTTAGATATGATACGTCACGGCATTGGGGATAACCACTTACGATCCATGATATGTGCCCACTTGCCATCAAGAACCTCGTTCCATCTCTGTGTCAGGTTGGAATCCTTGTACATGAGATCTAGGGACTTCCAGATGACATCGTTGGCGGAGTTTCGCTTCTGCCCAGCGTAAAGCTGGTTCTTGGCGCCGTAGATTTGGATCTTGTTGACTATCTCGCCACCAAGAACTGGGTGAAGAAGCATCTCGAAAAAGGCAGGCTGGTATTCAGAGTCAAGCTTGTCATAGACAGCCTGGGTATCCTCTCTCAGAGTCGCCCACTGCTCCAAAATAGCTTCAGCTTCGTGGTAGTTGATGACCGAGTAGACCCAGGGCTCCAGCAACTCGAATTTGCGACGAGCAGCATACATGCCGTAGCGTGTCATGATACTTGTGATGGCTTCTACATGCTCACTTCCGAACTCTCGCTCGACCCATGCTTCAACCCACTTGGTGGTACCCTCAGACTCCCATCGCTCTGTGTCGTAGGCGAGATCCATGAAATGGCTGATGGGAATTTCCTTTGGCTTGAGATCACCAACGTTAACGATCCAGATGCGGCGGGCATTCCTGTGGTATGCCAGAGTCATTTGCTCAGTGGTTTTCTCGAGTTGAATTGTGTTGATCCATTTATAATTTCGAGGATCACCAACATAGTCGAAGTGATAGTAGACACCAGCACCGCCAGAACGCTCAGTCTCGTTGGCGAGAGGCAATCGTCGAATATTTCCCCAGTTATCGTCTGCCCACAGGAGGGTGATGTCATCCGGAACCTTGAGGCCGCGCTCCTGGTAGCCCTGGACCTCCTTGTATAGACACCACAAAGAGGGAACATCGGTGAGGTTGTCGACCTTCAGACCATTTCGAAGAATTTCGCGCTGGTTGTCAACAAGTGTCTCAAGCATGTCAACGATACCATCAACTCCCAGATTGCCTTCAATGGCTGTATCACCGGTTCCTCTCATTGCCATAGTCCACAGGCTATTTCGAGCATAGGGCTTGGCTCTCTCGACACCATAGCGGAAGTACTCATCAATGGTCTCGTTGTTGGTGTGGTACTGCCATTCACCCTCATAGAATGTGCGGAATTCGTTCTGTGCCCGCATCATAGGCTCGGTGTGAGATCCACCAAGGACAATTTCGTAGGCATCAAGTAGTGGCTGGTTGAGCGGGTCATCAATGTAGACCATGCTACCCCAGACAGTTGGCCAGAGGTAGTTGGCTCGTAGACGAAGCAGTAATTCTGAAACAAGAGCGTAAAATTCATGGTTGTAGGGAGCAGCATTGTTCCAAGTTGGCTTCCAGCGAGATCTGTTAGAGTTAGTGCGTGTTTTGCCAAACATGACTCCGAACTTACCCAACCCAGCTAGATAGTCCTGGCTGCTCGTCGTTGAGGAAGATACCTCGATACTTGACTGAAGGTGACTTTTGAACCTTTGGCTTGGATGTAACATAGATCTCGTCCCGTTTACGCACAGGGACGTCGGCCCACCAGTACCATGGACTGACACCAATCTGTTCGCTGACATCATAGATACCGTATATGGTTCCTCTGGGATCACTTCCCGCAATAACCAGTGCCTGGGCTGTACCGTTGACGGGGTTCTTGACCAATTGACTGACAAAAGACTCCCATTTGCCTTCAATCTTACTGACATCGATCAGGCCATCGTCGATAAGAGAGTCAATAAGCTTGGAATGGCCAATGGTACCAACAATAATGGCTGTGCTGGCTTCATCTGGGTCCGAGTATTCAGGACCAGAAAAGCTCTGCTCTTCGAGAGTGCGGTACTGCAAACTGTTGGTCCTGTGCAATCATGTGATAGAAAGTACTTACATATGTGTTGTTCTTTACATCCACAGGCTCAAAAGTGTACTTAGCCGCAGAAGCATCCTTCTTGCCATTGCTTAGCGTGAAGTTTGTGCCAGTGACACGTCCAAAGTCAACGGCAAGGTCTCCAGCAGCACGAATGACTCCCCAGTATTCGTCCTCGGATACACGGATTTGGCTTTTACCTGCATCGCCACCAACGATCTGGAAGGCATCGTCTGAGCTGTTGAAAGAGACAATAGCCTGTTGGCCTAGACCTGACGCCAATGGCACCAGGCCCAGTAACGTTAGCGATACTCGTGAGAGTTTCATCGCCTAAAAAGAAAAGAGGTCCTGGGTGAGGGACTTCAAGCAAATTGTCATAGCTATAGGAGGTCTCGACCAGCTATAGTTTTCTTATATACAACTGCCGGATAAATACAACAAGCATCTTTCGAGGAATTTAGTTTAGGCATTATGGTATCGTTGATTTAAGTGGAACTTGTCCTTGAATAAGTTGGGGTATGATCATCACAGTGTTGCATCAGCCCCACTGAGCCGGGTTCCTTATTAGCCACGAGACCGGTTGTTTTCAAGCTTGAGTGATTAATCCGAGGCATTGACCAACCGGAAGCTCTGTAAGTATTTACCCACGATGATCAGGCCAGGCGGTAGATGACGGTCAACATCCAGTTTGTTCGTCTCGATCACTACTACGGACGAGTCCCCGCTCCTGGGCAAAGGTGCTTGATTCGTGGAATTGCAATAACGTGCCATGACGATGCTGCGGCCGAGGGAAAGTCGTGTGTCAGTCATGGTGTTGTACCAATCATGCCAAATAGAGTACCGGTCTGGGTTTATCCACTCACAAGCTTTTACTTGGCTAAGAGGGGAAGAGTTATGGTCATACAGGTATCAGAAACATTGACCTCTGGAAGCATACAAGACAAAATTAGTACATCATGTTATGCTCCTTAGACTATGGTTCTTAAACTACTTATTTTTGTATTCTAAGACTTAGGAGGCTAATATTTCTGCTAACTATCCACTAGATCGTTAACTCTATAACCCTGCATCAATGATTAACTTGACGGAAGCCGCATTTTTCAATTGGAACCATATCTTTGTTAGTAAAAGAATTTGGATTAGAGATACAGCGACACCAATGACTATATGTATGTCCATCCACTTTTTCATCTAGTTGTCAAAAGTCCCCAATCAACCTGCACGAGACATTAGCTATATCAAGTAGAAGTCAGTTAAAGAAACGAGTGAACGATGAAAGTAAGATGAACTTTGAAATGTATTAAATAATCTCTATCCCCTAAGAATCCGCCACTGAAGAAATGACAAGCAACTCTAGTCCGGCAAATGTGGCCGTGATACTAGATAACTGAAGAATGTACGTGAATGCTAATACTGGACAAGAGTCCTAGAACAGGAACCCAAACGATCAATGCTAAGAACAGTTATGCTCCACAATGCAATGCCAAGGTACCATGAAACTCCAACACAAGAAGGAAGATTCTACAGGACGAAAGCGAAACCAGCAATGGCAGCGGCCAAGCCGGCGAAGGACTTGGCAGCACCAGCGGTGACAACAGGAACCTCGGGCTTTCCGGTCTCAGGGTGCTCAGTCTCGGGCTGCTTGGCAGGAGGAGCAGGGTGCTCAGGTTGCTCAGCAGGAGGAGCAGGGTGCTCAGGCTCGACGGGGTGCTCAGGCTTGACGGGGTGCTCAGGCTTGACTGGGTGCTCAGGCTTGACGGGGTGCTCAGGCTTGACTGGGTGCTCAGGCTTGACGGGGTGCTCAGGCTTGACGGGGTGCTCGGGCTTAGGCTCAGGAACAACAACAACAGGAGGCTTGCCAGGGGTGATAGGCTTAGGGGGGTGGACGGGCTTGGGAGGGCTGACAGGAGGGTGAACGGGCTCGCACTCTCCGTGAGAGCACTTCTCGTAGCTGTAGCAGTCGTCCTTGCACTGGTCGAAGTAGTAGCGATCCTCCTCAACGTCACAGACAAACTTGCGGGCGTAGTCAACGGAATAGTCAATCTTGCAGCTAGATCCGTGGCAGGTGATCTTCTGGTTGCACTCCTCGTTCTTGTAGTCAGAGTAGTAGCAGCTACCGTTCTTGCAGATCTTGAGCTTGTTCCATGTGTCGTCGTAACATTCGCGAGGCGCACAAAGGTTGTCCTCGCAAACCACCTGCCACTTGGTGCAGGTAGGGCAGTGGACTTGAGGAGCACAGTAGTTACCGTAGCAGATAATGATAACACTGGTAGGGATGACAGGCAGAACAGTTGTGACGGTCTTGGTGGCAACCTCGCCACTCTCGGTGAAGGTAACGGTAGCTGTGGTGGTGGAAGCAGGCAGAGTCTCAGTGATGAAGTCGGTGTTGACAACGGTCTCGGTTTCACCGGGGTTGACACCGATGGCGATGTAGATGGAGAGGAGAATGTCGATGTCGATGCTCTGGCGGCGCATGATTCGAGAGTTGGAGGTGCGGCCACCACAGTTGACTGAGTCATCACCAGGGCAGATAATGTCACACTGATCGCTGCTAACAGCGGTGGCTGACGCAAAGTCAAACTCGCTGCTGCAGTAACAGCTCTCATCATTCAAACCGAAGTAGTTGGAGCCAGCACATGCCTCAGCACATTCGTCGGCATCGTTTTCCTCGCTGGAGTAGGCCAGGGAGAATCCGGGGAAACCATTGTCGGAGAAGCAGCCAAGGAAGTTGAAGCCATCTGGGTTTCCGATGCCTCCAGCAGCAGTGCTGGTGGAAGCAGCAGTGGTCTCAGTGCCAGTGGTCTCAGTGCCAATGGTAGCGGTACCAGAAGTGGCAGTCTCAGTCTCGAAACCTGCAGTGGTGGTGTTGGCAAAGCGAGTGGTTGTGAATCCCTGAGCGGCGACCACATTGCCCATGGCCAGGGCGAGGATATCGGTGTAGCGCATCTTGAAAATTGCAGTAGAACGAATGTTTGAATTAACGATTGTATTAAACTCTGAGGAGAGTAGAGGAGTGAGTGAATGGAGAGTGTGAGAGTTGTTGGATGATGAGAATTATTCGATTTGGGGGGAATCAAGTCCTCCTTATATGCGATTCAATCACTCACCTTTTGGTACGGGATCCAAGTTTGCCCCTATCGTTCATTTGCGACAATTCCAAACATTGCACTGAGTTAGACAATTTGTTACAATTCGTGATGCTCTGAAGGTCAAGACTATGACAATTGAGACATGAAGTTCCAGCGAGGCAAACCAAGAATGTAGATGCTGACTCGACTTGTCTCGCCCCACAGATAACAAGGGATGACCCCTGAGTCTACCCGAATTTTCCAACGTCGGGGAGATTGAATTGCCTTTCATATTCTATTGTGAGATTAATCCGAATTCCAAACATCGTGATACTAGAAAAATACCAGCTTTGTTCACCGAGTCTCGGCATTCTGGAGTAATTTGTATTCGAGACACCGCAAATGACAATACCTTAGTCTTCGATTTATTTTTAAATTGTAAAGTAAATACATTCCGGAGAAAAAGCCAATTTGAATGTAAACAATCTGTTTGTAAACATGCTGCATCGAATCGTTTCCGCCGAGGCGCCAAGTCTCATACCTGCCATGGAAACTCCCTCATGAAGAGTCGGTCCGGCGTACTTGAACAGGCGTAGTCGAAATGACTTCCTCGTCATGATCAAAATATTCGCCTGACACAGTACACGGAAAATCCTCAGTGGTTCCCTTCCAATCTCCGGAACCTTGAATCTCATACAGTAGTCTCATTTGCTGCAATGTACCATCTCTCTCCCATCTCCTAGCTCTCGATACCCCTCGGCCTAACCACGTCTGGATCCAGGCCATTAGGAATTCAAGAATGAAAGAGAGCACTATTATATACAACCCAATACCGAATAGTAAGCCGAGACCGAGAATGGAAAAGTTTAGAGTTCCCTGAGTCTCCTTCGTTCTCTGATTGTAACACATATTCTTGTAGGCAGTATCCCATGCAGTGTTCGCCGATGAGTTGCCCCACGGCTTTATCGGGTTGATTGGCGCAGGCGCCGAAGAGCCAGCTGCATATTCCATCATATGGTACTGTAGATTTGCAAGCGTGTCGTCAAACAGAGCGCTCATCTCTATCTCCCACTGGTTCGATGGCAGTTGTTGACCAGTGATACCGGCCACCTTTTCCTGGGCACGAAGAAAGCTTTGGGTCCGGGTCCAGATTGTGTGGTAAAAAGGACTCGATTCACCTAACACATGCTTGAGTAGTTGTGCAGTGACAATTTGTGCGACATTTAATGCCATAGAGTCTTCCATCGCACTCTCGATAAGGCGATCGCGACCCAGTAACGAGGTGCACTTCTCGTTGTTGGGATTGCATATCTGATGTTGGTCGACGCAAGCAATAGGGCTTACCCAGCGATCGGGAAAGTAGCCAGCCACCCCCAGGGCACTTGTTCTAATTGAAGCAGCGAATACCGGGTCATCGTTGGGTTTCAGATGAATGACTGAGTTAGGTGCGATGAACATTATTGTCAAGTCTGTACCCGGAACTAGAAGCTCGTCTATAGGCTGCCAGATCCTGTTGTCAGTGTAGAAGTATGTCCAAGTTGAGTACCCAACATTGATATTCCGTCCAAATGTGTTGTAGGTGTATGTGTGGTTAATTTTGCCGTTCATGTTTTTACCATAAAAGTATCTGATCAACACGTTGTCTGGCCAGCCCAGCAATTCCGCTTCTGAACCATTTACGTATTGGGTAAAGTTGCCAGTATCTAGAGGAGAGCAAGTTGTCTGCCTCTTGTATTTCAACCTGTTCTTCTGGGGGTTGTTGAGTCCCAAATCATGGTGCGTGTCAATCATGCCACTCTCCATTTTGAAAGCAGGCACACCGAGGCAGACCCTTCCTCCAAATGGGCACTCAGTTGATGAATTGGCCCAATCCAACCTTCTTGTAGGTAGAGTATCACAAATTGGAGAAGATGTATTGCCGTAACATTCCTTAGAATAGAGGGCGGCTCTCTGATTGTCAAACGTTGCCTTTTGATACACGTCGTCAGTCATCTGGAAGCCGCAGTTCGGACTGTGCAAAAGCCGATACACAGAAGCTGAGTCTGATATCTGAGAGGAGAAGACAGCAAGAATGGCGAAGCCCACAGAGTACATAATGCAAAACAACGCCAATGGGATCGTCCTAGCGAGGGAAGATCTAACGATGCCGCGCCAGTACCAAGCTTGTTGGAGAAACAACCATGCAGCTGCTGGCGCGGATTTGATGTTGCGAAGAATGACTTGCCGCTGATAATAAAGTCCATCATGCTTTCCACCAGCCGCAGAGAACTGGTGGGTGGTAAAAGCAATGATGAGCCAAAGCCTAATTGCGACGACTGTCACGAAGGCTGCGATGAAGGCGAGGAGAAGGCTGGCGTCCCTCGATGATAGGGTGAGAGTTGCGCCTAGAACTCTGCTTCGTGACCAGTCGGTCCAAGCACCTGTATAAATCTCGAAAGACATGATTGAATTGTTGTGCTTATCTTGATATAAGAAATCACAATTGCATAACTACTTGTCTACAGAGCCCAGCAAGGAGTATAAATAAGTTGAGAAGTGATGGTCTAGGAGACAAAGGGAACCTGTCTTGTAGGTCATTTGAGCCCTGTGAGTCTCGCGTCGAATTAAGCATTGACAATACAATTCCCTTACATAAAAGACACAACTGAATGCAATGTGATTGGATTGGCGTCAGAAGCTGAAAGAGGTGTACGCCATGTTCTGTAACTATCGGTCTTGGCATATTGTTGGTCGTTGTGCATGCACTAGCTATTCTACATCCGCGAATACCTTCAGTGCATCATGCAGTTTGCCAAAAACGCCTTGATGACAAGTCGCAACTTGCTTCCACTCGTCCTCCGGAAAGGTGATACTCATCATGCGCAACCACGCGCCAACGATCATATCGGCGTAACTGACTTGTTGCCCAAGAAGGAAGGGTCCGTTGGTGTCCCTCAAAAAGAGCACTGCCAGATCGCCTAACATCTTCTCGAGAGACTCTAGTAACTTGGCTCGCGCTTCTTCACTGAGCACGAAGTCTTCCCACCCTGAAACTCCAGCACGTCTCACAAACTCGGCCTTGCTCTCCTCTTCTGTAGCGGGCTCAAATGGCATGCCCTGAACACCAAGCTGAAGGTGGGCAGTGAATGCTGCGTCAATGTTCATGTTGAACTTTGCATAGTCAGGGAATTCTTTATCGTTGCATTCCGACAAAGGTATGAGGATGTAGGGATGCTCAAAGTCGAAGTCGAGCTTTTGAGGTGGGAACAGATCACCCCCGCCCGAGTACGTTTTATTGAGGTATAGCGCAATGTCGAACGAGTCCCCCACCAAGGCACCAGTGGTAGGGTCTTGAATGATGGGCAGCGTATGAAAGTCTTTACCATCGGCGAATTGGCGGCCTGCTGGCACGTTGAGGCTGGTGCGCGTTTTTGCTATGTCCGGGAGAGCCACCCATGTCGTTGAGTACGGAGCGCCCTTGAAGTTGAGTGCAAACCTAGCTTTCCAAGGGTTTGGGGCATAGGCGTTCTTCCCCACGGGAGGACGAGGCGTAATGTCATAGAATGTGATCTTGTTTGACTCCATGGTGGATTGAGAATGTCAAAAATGGATGATGAGGAGAAAGAATGTGTTCTTGAGGCGCAGCGCACATTCTGTAAGATATGTATGTCTTAGAACCACGGAAAACTTTTAGTGTATCGGCTGACAGGCAAAATAAGTTAGTCACTTTATATAACGGTTGGCAAGTGTCTGGTCTGTTTATTTTCTGCTTCCCCTCTAGCGTTCAGAGATTAGATACGTGGCCAATTGGGGAAGCAGGTTTGATTTAGTGGGGATTTTAGGTACTTTGTGACAGTAATTTGTACTCTGAAATGACATTTGAATTGTCAACTGACATTGAAAACCTCTAATAATCTCAAATGAGAACAAATCATGCATTCATTAGACTGAAAAGCCAAGATGGAAACAACATGCCGTTTGCCAAGGGCTCTACTGAAGACTATGAGATCCACAGTCATGATTGAACAGCGTTCATTCGTCTTCCCGTATTAACATCTCTGACCCGCAGCGCAGGGTCCATGAGATGGTCATGACCCTTTCCTCAGGGTATCAGAAAGATTGACCGCTGGAAGCATAAGAGACAAAATTAGTAGGCCACTTTATGCTCCTTAGGCTATAGTTTCTAGAGTATTTATTTTTATACCTTAAAGCTTATGAGGCTATCTTTTCTGCTACCCACTAGCCTTTCTAGATGGCAGGCTATTGATTCTGGTTATATATCTTGGCGCATAGCATGAAATTTAAGTTTTCAGTTCAATACTTTCCTTCTTCAACTTTTCTTTCTTTTCCTAAACATCTCGAACACAATCATCTTTTCAAAATGGCAACTGAATTCCCATTGAGTCGTTATAGAGCTGGTGGCGGCCACCCAAGTGGTCAACGCAATGGCATCGAAGAGATTCTTGAGGAATCATTCCTGACTTACTTTACTCAGATATTCAACAAATACGCTGGAGCTGATGGAAAATGGCGTCGTGACCAGATCGGCCTTTTCATGCATCACGTTCAGGCTGAAAACCCCAATGGTCTGGCTGCCTACCTTGCCGACCAGGAAGAACTAAATCTTCATGAACTGATCAAGTATCTCACATCACCATGCGGTAACATCTTAGAGATGGCGGCCCCTCAAGACTTCTCTTGGCCATTGAACAACTACTTCATCAGCTCAAGCCACAACACTTACCTCACCGGCAACCAGCTTTCCAGCGACTCGAGCGCCGAAGCCTACAAGGATGCACTGTTGCGAGGCTGTAGGTGCATTGAGATTGATGTTTGGGACGGTGAGGAGAAGTGGAAACCCGGATTTGCAGATGACGATGAGAATGAAGACAGAATCAGTACCGAGCACAAAAAGATTGGTTTCAGGGAGAAAGCATTCATCAAGTTTGGCCGATGGGCAATGAACAAGTTCGATCCCGTCGACCCCGATGGTAAAACCTTTGATGACAGACTTGAAGATTGCATCCATGCAGAGCCACGAGTCCTTCACGGGTTTACCATGACCAAAGAGGTTTCCTTCCGCGATGTCTGCGAAACTGTCCGAGAGTATGCATTCGCCACTTCTGAACTGCCACTCATTGTCAGCCTGGAAGTACATTGCAGTCCGCTACAGCAAAACAAAATGGTAGACATCATGAAGGAAACGTGGGACGACTATCTTCTGGGGGAACCCGAATGCGATCCCGAACACTTACCTTCGCCTCATGAACTGAGAAACAAGATCCTCATCAAGGTCAAATACGTCCCCGAGGACAAGGCTGAGAGTGAGGCCTCAGATGACGGGAGTATGCTCGAAGTTGTCACAGAAGGAAACGAGAAGAAGACCAAAAAGGTCAAGGCACCCAAGATCACGACACGTTTAAGCCGCTTGGGGATTCATACACGTGGAATCAGCTTCAAGTCGCTCGATGAACCGGAGGCTACAATGCCAAACCACATATTTTCACTCTCGGAGGACGCGGCATTCGCAATCCAGCGAAGGCTACCCAAGGCCCTGTTCTCGCACAACAGACGATACCTCATGCGCACCTACCCACATGGTATGCGCTTCGACTCATCCAATTACGATCCCGTCGCATTCTGGCGGGCAGGCGTACAAGTAGTTGCGCTCAATTGGCAGTCCTGGGATCTGGGCATGATACTTAACGAGGGCATGTTCATGGGCTCGGACGGCTATGTTCTGAAGCCGCAGGGGTACTGTCATGACGGCCTTTCAAACGACGATGATGTCTCAATCCCGAGCAAGACGTTGGAGAGGCTAGCCATTACAGTGGTAGCGGCTCAGAACCTGCCACTGTTGAAGAGCACCGATGATCCCGCCAAATTCATTCCTTATGTCAAGATCGGCTTCCACACGGAACCCAATGCCTTCTCAGCTATGACTGACGAAGACCAGAGTCCGGAAAAGACGAAGCAAGTTGGCTACAGTGGACAGACATGTAAAAGCAAGGGAACGAGCCCGAGTTTCAACGAGGAAACAATCGAGTTTCTCAACGTTGATGGTGTAGTGCCTGAGCTATCCTTCCTCTCGTTTCGAGTCATGAATGATGTTCCTGGCCCAGACGTTATGGCTGCATGGGCATGTGTGCGTCTGGATCGACTGAGACTTGGGTATCGGTTCCTTAGACTACTGGATAAGGATGGCATGCCGAGCAAAGGAATTCTCTTGGTAAAGGTTACACTGAGGGAAGCTTCTACATGTTAGCATCAGCTACTAGTTTGTCACTAATATACATTGTTATCTGTAATACTAACTGCCCTTCTATAAATATGCCCTCTCACCAGTGTCGTGCTCATAGCTTTCTTTGCACCATTTAGTTTAATATCTAAATCATACTATACAAGAGAAGCAAGATACTGAATCTTAATGGAACCATTCAAGCATTTGTATAAATATGACACCCAATATATTATCTGGAGGTTTGGTCATTTTTAACGGACTGTTACCTGAGACTTCACATCCGTACTGCCAGGTGTTGTAAACGCGTCGCGTCGCGTCTTGCTGGAGGGCTTTCGCGTTCAACACTAGGCCTGTTAAAGGATAACTCATTTTTAATCAGGGTGACTTTTGAAAGGACGCATCGGCGCAGTGCAAACAGTTCTGCTGGTAAATTGCTCCTTAGGATTCCTTACTGAGTATGGATAATTAGTCTGGACACGGCATAGACGACTGGCCCAATCTCCATTGATACAGATAATCAGATGGTATGTGTGGGAATTATCCGGGCGACAAGCCAAGAACAAATTAGGAGACAAAAAAACCCCAGCCGAGAAATTCCGGGTAGGGCATCTCCGATCAATGACCAGTTTGCAGAAAGTTGTCGACATTTTATTCCCGTTGCCGGCTTCTTCGTAGTCGAGCCAATAGGATCGTGGTGTATCGCGGCCTAGCATTCCTCATCTCATGAATGATGTTTCCAATCCAGGGATGTTACCCTACAGCTAACCCAAGGAAGCCTGATGAAGCACTGAATTCAGCGATGTGAAGCCACAGTCTAAAGACAGCTTTTCATTTTGCCATCAAGAAGGAAAAGCATATTCTCTAAAACTACTGATTAATTTTGAGATGCCTCTGCTTTTATTGTGCGGTCTAACATCTAGAGCTTAATTCACTTTGAGTGACGGTTGGAGAAAACAATGGCAGTGAGATCGACACTAACGGGAACAAAAAAATCAATTCACGATCAGGTTGTTAGGTGTGGGTCGATTTTGACACATCTCAAACTCAAAATACCTTAAATGACACTGTCTAATTGGAATCTCGTGCCGTTGTAGGTTTATCTAGAACACTGTCAGGGAGACTCTATCAGGAAGCTTAAACATAGCATTTGATACAGGATCGCAATCATTTCTGACAATTCGCTGCAAGCATTTTACCCTGTCAATTTCCTTCACATGCTGTTTTCTGATCCGAATGAATACGACAAAGACGAAAGATACCATGATGTGACTTTTCAACGGATCCGCGAATAGTGCCCGGCTCGCTCGGTTCTTCCCACGCTTCCGACAAGCCGTTTTCGCACTAACTGAGCCCACACGGTTTTCCTACTGAGACTAGTTTGATTTGAGTAGTGATGCCCTCGCAGCCACAGTAGGTAGAACCAACACCCGACAAAAACGTCAGAGTCTCCCCAGCCGAGGAAAGCATGTGAGCAAACCCAACATCCGATCCAGAAATGTACCAATGGCAGCTCCCGGGGGATTGAACCCGTCTGCATCACAAGTTTTAAACCTTGGGTCTCGGGTTAGCTGGTAGGCTTGTGAAGTTGTTGCTATCATTCCTGCTGACAGGCTTAAAGTCAAACTGCTTTCAGCTGTAAATGAGTTTACTTAAATTACTTGGCAACCAACACGCTCTCATGCCATAATAATAATAATAACCACCATCGAACCAGGAATTGTCAATTGTATTCGTTGCATCCTGGTATCAAAAATATTTCCAATCAATTGCTATACCCGCCATCAGTATGGCTTCACAACAGTCCACGGAAAGCCTGCCAGACTCAGGTCACGAGAATGGATCAACATCCAACCACTCGAGCCATGATCCCCAATACTCCACTGGCAGCACCTACGGCCGGCCCTCAAACATCTCGCGAGCCAACACAATGATAATGGATGAGCAAGATCGTCTTGAACTTCACAGACTTGCTACCGGAATTTCACAGCAACGCAGACAAAGCACATCTAGTTTTGCGCCGACAGTGCCAGAGATCGAAGAACAAGACCCTGCACTGGATCCGACAAACAAAGCTTTTGACCTTTCAAAATGGTTGCCATCCTTTATGCACCGATTGCAAGAAGCCGGCGTAGGACCAAAGAGTGCCGGAGTCGCTTTTAAAGACCTCAGTGTTTCCGGCACTGGAGCGGCTTTGCAGCTACAAAAGACTCTTGGTGATGTGTTATTGGGGCCATTGCGTATTGTACAGCATCTCAAATCAGGCAAGAAGGAGCCAAAAACGATACTTCACCGATTTGATGGCCTTCTCCAGGGAGGGGAGACTCTCATAGTCCTTGGTCGCCCAGGTTCCGGATGTTCGACACTGCTCAAGACCATGACCGGAGAGCTTGAAGGCCTCAGCGTCGGTCAGCAGTCCATCATTACATACAATGGAATATCCCAAAAAGACATGATCAAAGAATTCAAGGGCGAAACAGAGTACAACCAAGAGGTAAGAAACTAAAAAATATCCGATCATGTCAATCGAGGCTTTACTGACCCATCTTCTCGACAGGTTGACAAACATTTCCCACATCTGACCGTCGGCCAAACGCTCGAATTCGCAGCGGCATGTCGCATGCCCTCCAACTCCAAGACAATTATTGGGTTGACTCGCGACGAAGCTTGCAAGAGTGCCACCAAGATTGTCATGGCGGTCTGTGGCTTGACTCACACATATAATACAATGGTCGGTAACGATTTCATTCGTGGTGTCTCGGGAGGAGAACGGAAACGTGTCAGTATCGCCGAAATGATGCTGGCGCAATCTCCCATGGCTGCTTGGGATAATAGCACTCGAGGCTTGGACTCGGCGACTGCCTTGAAGTTCGCCGTAGCCATTCGTTTGGCGTCCGACTACACTGGATCTGCAAACGCCCTGGCCATCTACCAAGCCAGTCAAGCCATTTACGACCTGTTCGACAAGGCCGTGGTCCTCTACGAGGGTCGACAAATTTATTTCGGACCAGCGAAAAAGGCAAAGGTCTACTTCGAGAAGATGGGCTGGCAGTGCCCTCAACGTCAGACCGTAGGCGACTTTCTGACCTCTGCCACCAATCCCCAAGAGAGAAAGGCCCGACCAGGAATGGAGAAGATTGTGCCCCGTACCGCGGAAGAGTTCGAGAGGTATTGGCACAACTCACCAGAATACAAGACATTGCGAGAGGAGATTGAGCAGTATCAGGGCAAGTATCAAGTTAATGACCGATCCGCGGCCATGGCTCCGATGCGAGAGCGCAAGAACCTCATGTAAGTGTCACCCATATCCCACCCACAACAAGTATGCTAATGATACGTGGCCAGTCAAGAGAAACGCGTCCCACGCAAGTCCCCATACATCATCAACCTCTCAACGCAGATTCGCCTAACCACCAAACGAGCTTACCAACGAATCTGGAACGATATCGCCGCAACCGCTACACATACTACAACGCAAATCATCATGGCCCTTATCATTGGTTCCGTATACTATGGCACAGACGATGATACCGCCAGCTTCTACTCCAAGGGAGCTGTGCTCTTCATGGGTATCCTGATCAACGGCTTTGCAGCTATTTCCGAGATCAACAATCTGTACTCGCAACGCCCTATCGTCGAGAAGCATGCATCTTACGCCTTCTATCATCCTGCAGCTGAGGCCATCTCCGGTATCGTGGCTGATATACCCATCAAGTTTGTTTCCGCAACGGTCTTCAATATCATCCTTTACTTCCTCTCGGGGCTCCGTCGAGAGCCTGGTCCATTTTTTCTTTACTTCCTCATCTCATTCATCTCCACATTTGTCATGTCAGCCATTTTCCGTACCTTGGCTGCTATTACCAAGACGGTTTCACAAGCCATGACGTTGGCAGGTATCATGATTCTGGCTCTTGTGATTTACACAGGTTTCATGATTCACGTACCACAAATGATTGACTGGTTTGGCTGGATCAGGTAAGCACACAAGTAGCCTCTTTACTATTGTTACTGACATTTGTTAGATGGATCAACCCTATTTACTACGCCTTCGAGATCCTGGTATCCAACGAGTTCCATGGCAGAGACTTCGAGTGTTCATCCTTCATTCCTGCCTATCCTCAACTGATCGGAGATTCATGGATCTGTTCAACAGTTGGGGCTGTGGCCGGCCAACGAACAGTCAGTGGTGATAACTTCATCGAAACGAACTACGAATACTATTACTCTCATGTCTGGCGCAACTTTGGCATCCTTCTGGCTTTCCTTGTCTTCTTCATGGTCCTGTACTTTACAGCCACTGAGATCAACTCAAAGACATCCAGCAAGGCTGAAGTACTCGTCTTCCAGCGTGGTCACGTTCCCGCTCACCTACAATCTGGAGCGGATAGAAGTGCGATGAACGAGGAGCTTGCTGTGCCCGAGAAGAATGCGCAAGGAACTGACACCACTACCGCTCTTGAGCCTCAAACCGACATTTTTACTTGGAAGGATGTCGTGTATGACATTGACATCAAGGGAGAGCCGCGTCGACTTCTAGATCATGTCACTGGTTGGGTCAAGCCCGGTACTCTTACAGCTCTGATGGGTGTCAGTGGCGCTGGCAAGACGACCCTTCTCGATGTTCTAGCACGGAGAACCAGTATGGGCGTTATTACAGGAGACATGTTTGTCAATGGCAAGCCACTGGACGCAAGTTTCCAGAGGAAAACAGGTTACGTTCAACAACAAGGTCAGTATTACATCCATATTTTATCCATTCCATCTAACATCAATCAGATCTTCATCTCGAGACCTCAACTGTTCGTGAAAGTCTACGATTCAGCGCTATGCTTCGCCAGCCAAGTAATGTTAGCACTGAGGAGAAGCAAGAATGGGTTGAGAAAGTTATCGACATGCTCAACATGAGGGACTTTGCCAGCGCTGTTGTGGGTGTCCCCGGTGAGGGCCTCAACGTTGAACAGCGCAAGCTTCTCACGATCGGAGTCGAGCTAGCTGCTAAGCCAAAGCTTCTTCTTTTCCTCGATGAGCCAACAAGTGGTTTGGACTCCCAGAGTTCTTGGGCCATCGTTGCCTTCCTTAGAAAACTGACAGACGCTGGGCAGGCTATTCTTTGTACTGTCCATCAACCCAGTGCTATCTTGTTCCAGGAGTTTGACCGACTCCTCTTCCTTGCACAAGGAGGCAGAACTGTCTACTTTGGCGATGTTGGTAGAAACTCACGTACTCTTCTGGACTACTTTGAGAGACAGGGAGCACGAATCTGTGGCGATGATGAAAACCCAGCTGAATGGATGCTTGAGATAGTCAATAACGCTAAAAGCTCTAAGGGAGAGGACTGGCATACTGCTTGGAAGGCAAGCCAGGAGCGAGTGGATGTTGAGGCTGAAATCGACAGGATCCATTCAACAATGTCATCGAAGGCAGTCGCGGATGATGATGCCAGTCAATCTGAATTCGCAATGCCTTTCATGGCTCAACTTCGCGAAGTCACCTTCAGAGTCTTCCAACAGTACTGGAGGATGCCAAACTACATCATGGCGAAGATGGTCCTCTGCACAATCTCTGGTCTCTTTATCGGCTTCTCATTCTTCAACGCCAACTCTACCTTTGCCGGCATGCAGAACATCTTGTTCTCTGTCTTTATGATTGTCACTGTCTTCACTGCTGTGGTTCAACAAGTAAGTCTCAGACTTAGAATTGCTATATGCCTTGCTAATATTATGTAGATTCACCCGCATTTCATCACTCAGCGTGAACTATACGAAGTCCGAGAGCGCCCCAGCAAAGCATACTCTTGGAAGGCCTTTATGATCGCCAACGTTGTTGTTGAGGTTCCTTACCAGATTGTCACTGGAATTCTAATGTTTGGCGCATTTTACTACCCCGTTATTGGTGTGCAGGGCTCGGCCCGTCAAGGTCTCGTACTCTTGTTCATGATTCAGCTCATGCTGTACGCAAGCTCGTTTGCGCAGATGACAATTGCCGCGCTTCCCAACGCACTTACCGCGGCTTCTATCGGCACGCTCTTGGTTCTAATGAGTTTGACCTTTTGTGGTGTTCTCCAACCTCCTTCCTCCCTCCCTGGTTTCTGGATGTTTATGTATCGTGTTAGTCCATTCACCTACTGGCTCGCTGGTATTGTGTCCACAATATTGGCTGGCCGTGCCATTGAGTGTTCGGAGGACGAGACGGCAACATTTAACCCACCTTCTGGTCAGACATGCGGCGAATACATGGCCGCATACTTGGCAAAGGCACCAGGAAGGCTCCAGAACCCTGACGCTACGCAGGAATGCCAGTACTGCTCGCTTGTCAATGCGGATCAGTTCTTGGCTGGAAGTAAGATCTACTGGGGTGAGAGATGGCGCAATTATGGCCTTGTCTGGGCATATGTTGTATTCAACATATCTGTTGCTGTTTTGACTTATTATGTTTTCCGGGTTAAGAAGTGGAATTTGGGTAAGAAGAAGAAGGCTTGATAGTTGTTTATTAGTCAATTGTGTAGTTAGTATAATTTGCACTAATATCGTCTCCTATTCTCACGGCGTCTAAGAATTGTGACACTTCAAGGCCAATTAATATGATTTCACCTGACTTATACGAGAATAATGACTATCAGCAAATTGTTGGTGCAAAATGCCTGACTGTGGGATGTGCATAGTAATTTGCCACTAATTACTCACTGATTGATCCCCGCATGCATGATAATGATGAATACAGCTTCCTTCCTAATCAGACCAAACCCCCGCCCGGCAAATGAGTCACGCACTTTCCTCATAATCTCCTGGCAACTGTGGAAGCTTGAATGCGTCAGCCAGATAAGGCCTGAAAAAGTGTATATAAGTCCAAACACCCTGTCAAAAAGAGTCCTGCTATGATCATCCACATTTTCTTTGGTCAATACTGAACGAAACGAATAATTATGACGTCCACAAAACCGACCTGTTCGCTCTGCGATTTGTCGTTTGAAAATTCTCAAGAGCATAGATTACACGCGAAAAGTGAATCGCAGTAAGTGTCTATTTTACCATCCTCGTTGACGGAATACTAATTCTACCCAAGTATAGCAGCTTTGAGACAGCGCGCGGTCGCTTCAGGATTGATCGACGAAACAATTGACGATGATGACACCTACATCAGCCAGACACAAGTCACGGATGGTTCACGCAAACAACTATCAGGTAGCGATACAGAAACCTCAGATGAAGTCCCCGACGATGAACTACCAGAGTTCGAGCCCGAAAAATGCATTATCTGCACCCAAAACAACAAAAGCTTGGATGACAACATCCAACACATGAAGACAGCACACAGTTTCAGGATCCCGTATGAGAATCACTTGAGTGTGGACTTGGAGACATTAATCTGGTACCTCCACTTCATCATCAATACCTACCGCGAGTGTATTTATTGCGGAACGAGAAGCCGTACCGTTCAAGGCATCCAGCAACATATGGTGGGCAAAGGCCATTGCAGAATCGAAATGTCAGACGAGATATTGGAATTCTACGATCTCGAGGGACTGAAGAAATACGAAACGGAAAACGGCGTTGCCATCGACAGCGAGACCCTTCGACTGTCATCTGGAAAACTGCTATCACATCGTACAGCCCCAGCACCTAAGCAATCGCATCGACAAACGTCTCAGGACGAAGCACAAAACCAAGACAGTCAAGCTGCACTGCCCGAAACTGTGTCGTCGGATGCACTCACAACAAAGGATAGAAAGGACGCAGCCTTGGCGTCTCAACTTGCCAGACTAAGTGTCAGAGACCAGCAAAGCTTGATACATATGGCATCTTCAGAACAGCGTAGCTTCTTGCTACAGAGAAAGAAGGAAATGGACACGGCACGACGGTCAGAAAGAAAGATGCGACTCAAGACCGAGAGGCTCAATAACAAGACCATGATGAAGAACTTTCAGAACGATGTGCCGGGTCCAAAGAATGGTTGAAGGGTTATAGACGCAGAAAGAGGCCATTGTAACAATCCCGCAGCTGCATTTAAGCTAAATCAGATACTAATAGCATTGAAAGACGCAAATTGGTTATGCGCAAATTATCGCTATGCAAAAAAACAAGCCTGATGCTTATTCTGTAGCTTATTAGACAGTAGCAAGGATGGATGTCAATCAGACGTCGCCTATACCCTTCTAGGCCAACAAATTTATTCATTGTTGATCAACAGTATAACGTTTCAAGGGGTTGGCTAATCACCTGGTCTTACCGCTGTGATCGATGTATTGCCTGTAGTTGTCATTAGTATGTTGACTTAACACTTACTTTACCAGTTGTCGTGACTGCTTCCAGTGGTATGAATGCGATGGTTTAGGCAGTTTAGGCGCTCCAGGCGGGTCCGTCGCTAAAAATGAGGGGAAACAGACTGTGGTCACTAAATTGCGGGGTTGCCTCCAGTCAGTGATGAGGCCGGCAGAAGAATTGCCCGCGTAGAAGGTGAGATAAACATATGATATGACACAAACTGCTAACTCTTTGTACAGAAACTTGAACAACTTACAGAAATAAATCATATTGTCAATAACAAAATGGCGTCAGAAAACCAAGAAAGTCGCACCCTACACCTTGTAGGCATTGGTGTTGGCCATTCCATCGCTCCGCCCATGCACAACCACATCGCACAGTCTCTTGGCCTTCCATGGACCTTTTACGCCACGGAGTGTGCAACTCTCGATGATCTGATGGAGCTTGCGAGAAAGAATACTACGGCGGGTCTGGTTGTCACAATGCCCTATAAGAACGCCATTCTCCCTCGTCTTGACGTCTTAGATGACCTCTCCACCACCATTGGTGCTTGCAATAACGTCTATCGTGATTGGGAAGATCCTAAGAAACTGCATGGAACCAATACCGATTGGCGCGGCATCAAGGGTTGTTTACTCGAGAAGGGAGATCAGGCTGGTGTACCTGTTCTGAACAAGCCAGCCCTGATAGTTGGTGCAGGAGGTGCGAGCCGAGCTGCTGTCTATGCATTGAACTCCTACTTCAAATCATCGGTTATCTACGTGATGAACCGCGATACTCAAGAGGTGGAAGACCTCATGAAAGATTCGCAGAAGCTTTCGCCCATCCCCAAGATTATTCACGTCAAAGAGGGTGATGCTCAAAATCTTGAGACACCATACTACGTCGTTGGCACGGTTCCTGATCTCGAACCTAAGACTCCTGAAGAACTCGCCGCCAAGGCGTCTCTCGAGGAGTTCCTTTCGCGTTCAGAAAAGGGCGTCCTACTCGATATGTGCTTCAAGCCCAGGCGGACTAGAATGATCAAGCTTGCAGAGGAAAAAGGATGGCCAACTGTTGAAGGAACTCACGTTATCGGGTATCAGATTGAGGAACAGTGGAGGCTTTGGGCTGGGCCTGAGAAGGTTAAGAAACTTGACAAGGAAGGAGCATGGAAGGTTCTCATGGCGGGAGCAGAGAATAGTGCTGGGATCAATTTCTAGACTTACGATACATTGAATAAAGTTTTCTATACTGCACATGATGAATTGGCGTACTCATAGTTCGGGCATGCAGTATAACAATTATGTCATGTAATGTTGCAACATTATGAGCTATATATAATTCACTACATGCGGCTTGGTTTCTTTGCTATCTACCAACGTGCCTCAGTTCAATTGCAGCCGCTCAACAAGCTTGTTCCAAGATTTGATGCCCCTTTCTGCGTGCTTTTGTGGCACATCTTTTCCTTCCTCAGACATTGTTCTTGAGAAGAGCTCCATAGAGACATATCCCTTGTATCCCATATCGTGAATCAATACCTTGGCAATCTTCTCCACAGGAAGATAAGCACCACGGTCTTCCTCGTACATAAAGGTTCGGGCATTCCGAGACCAATTCATCCTTGCAGGGTTCCCATCCACGTGGAATGGATGGCCCTTGACCAGAGGCGACTCTATTCTCTCCGCATCAACAACCTGGATGTAGAACATCTTATCCAAAGTGACATCTTGAACAATTCTTTTGAGAGACTCTTCCATGTCTTGGTCCGCATTAGGTGTCATGCCTGTTGGTGAGGCAGGGTCGCCCCAAACACGCCCAGCAATATTGAAGGTGTCGAGGCACAGACCGAAGTTGGGCCTGTTGACCTTCTGAGCTACTTCCCATGACTTCTCCCAGGTGTCGACATGCGTGCTCCAGCACAAAGCTTCATATGCAAAACGGATTGGAGGGTCTTGTTTGAGTCCTAAATCAGCCAGTTCGACCAAATCGCCAACAATGACATCCATGTTCCCGGTAAGTTGGTTAGCGGGGAGGAAGTTGGCTGGAATCTGAATCGTGTTGGTTCCAAGGCGTTCGGCAATTTTAAACCACAGTTTGATTTTTTCGATCAGGCGGGCATGCTGCTCACGATCCAACAGGCCCTCGTAAAATAGGAAGGGCTGGAGACCAATTACTGTGAGATTCAACTCGTCCAAGAGCTGTCGAATACTGGATGCTGCTGACAGTATCTGATCGTTACTTGGAGTCTCAACATTGTGTAGTCTCTTTGCCTCGTATTCGAGATCCTCGTAAAAGACTTCGATGCCTTGGAATCCTTGGGTTGAAGCCTGCTTTGCTTTCTCGGCAAACTCATGTACCCATGCTCGACCAAGTGAGACTGATAAGATAGCGGGACGGTATGTAGCCATTTTGATAGATGTTGGAATGATGTTAATTGTTAATATTTGAACTTTGACAACTTTTCGTGACGGCCGGTATTGTGTTATTGGAGAGGTGATATCATGACGAGGGGCGGCTGAATGCTGTTCCGGCAAAATTGGGCCTCGGATATGTCTGTCTGGTTAAGTATCAGCTACTAATTCGGATCCGCCAACTCGCTGTATAATACATGTTTTGGAGACTTCTGGACCAGGCCCACATTAAGTTTGCTTTCGTCAACATACCGGGACTCTGATAATCATTTTACCCAATTCCTCCGTTCATGAGGAGTTTATTCTTCAGCACTGATATAACTAATATCTCTCTATGGTTGAAAGTGGTATCATTTTTCGCCGTCCTAGTAGTCCTGTCATCGGCTAGACCTGTTTCTCAAAACTCCATATCAAAAATATTCTCTATGCTTTTCGATGGGTTATCAAGTAGACCGAGGTGTTGCATGAATTCAGGAGGGTTGGCCAGCCTGAATAATAGTCAATACTTGTTACTTGTGTATCGATAGGGAAACGTACCAGTCGGTTGAATCCAATGTCGCAAGGCTATCAAACAGACCGTCGTCCTCCAAATCTTCCCCCAAAGAAGGTCCTGATACATCAAAAGTCGCGTTGTCTTCTAATCCCAGCGTCCGGGGTAGAATAGTTGTCGAAATATTATCCTGGGCCATTGAGGAATGTAAAACTTCTATCTGTGCACCAAGGGTGAAGGTCGTAGCCGACATATCGGAGATTGTATCGGTTCGCGGTTGTGTAGGGTCATTTGTAAATGCAGGGTGCATTCGCTTTGAAACATCAGTTAGTCCTTGATTTAGTGAAGCAATGTCCATATGGGGCTCTTTGTTAAAGACGGTCTTTAATGAACCCATAGATGCAGCGATGTTCTGCTGAAGACGATCAAAATCATCTTGGGCGTCAGTGCCGGCATACTGTTGTTGGTGACGAGCAATCGTCTTTTGCAGGAGATCTAAACAGCTTTGGACTACAGGAGATACAGAGCAATGTCCCATGGAGTGAGTTCGAGTCTGTATTAGGTCCACGAAGGATGCAATACTCCTCCAGTAACCATCGGGACGCCACGGGTTTGTGCCATGTGAGGCAAGACGTTCTGCCGCTGCAATCTCGAGTGTCGCAATAGAGGCCATCCAAAGGCAAAGTTTTTGAGGAGGTATATCAGCAGTGTATGTATGGTCCTCAGCGAGATTTTGCTGACACGCAAGCATCATTTCGTGTAGAGCCTTATCCGATAAGGGTCGCTTTTCTGCATGGATCAAGTCATTCAACTGAGCTATGACCTGGAGTAGTCTATTGAAGGTGCTTATCACATATCCAGGCCCATGAGGGTTTGAGACCTGCTGACTTGCAATGACTTTCGTGTCTACCAGAATCCTAGGTTGCCATGGTTCCCATTCTTCTATTCCGTCAGTCACAAGAAGGGTTTTAGGCGAGATATCCGAAGATTGTAAATATGTTGCGGTGCCGAGTCGCGATGCAATAATGGTTTCTAGTGTTAGACACCCCAAAACTGTCCTTTTAACGTCATCGCCGTATAACAACTCTTCTGTTGTTGAGTTCCGCGATATGAATCCGAGTGAAGTTGCTGTATATACTGCGCGACCGATAGTGATCCAAGCATCAATCCAGTTCTTGTGATCCATCTCAAACAAGGATAGTATGAGGAAAGCTTTGACATGACCCAGGTCGTAAGCGGTGAGATCAGCAAACAAGGAAGACTGAGTCAAAGTTTGCGGCGATTCAACTCCATAGCTATGGTCGAATGACGATTTCAATATGTTTTCCATTGTACTGGCTTGATGGGAGGCGTATATGAGCACAGCATGTAAGAAGGCTAATTCTCCGGGAGAGGGCGTAGTGGCAGATTTTGATGAGCTGTTTGCTACTGTGTACGCTGTACGTAGAAGCTCGTGCTTCTGGGAAATGGGCAACCAGCTATGCGTGGTTTCGAAGTAGACGTCCATGAGGTATGGCCAGTTTGTGGGGAGTTGGGGTATAGGTGAAAGAGATGGTTTAGTATCGTTTGACACAGTGATGTTTTGTTGTGGGGTGGTGGATGTCTGTAATAATGCCTCTACAGAATGGTTGGAGGGATGGGCCAAGACGACAGGCGTAGGAGGTGACTCAAAGAGTACCACTCCTTGTGGTGTGGTATCCGTGTTCATTGGCGTCAAGAGGGCGTTTGCATCATCATCTTTAGATGACTGAGATAGTGCAAAAGCTTCGACTACTTTTGTATCAAAAAACCGAGTTGATTCAGTGCCATCTTCATCAGTCTCGAGACCCTCTTGCGCCAGGAGCTTTCCTGCTTCTTTGGCCAAACTGCATTTACGCCATGTCTCAAGTAAGAAATCGACAGACATATCAGATTCCTGAACTTTCAGCAAGGCTGGGCGGAAGGGGATCTGTCCTGTCTCTCCTTTGAGTAGTCCGCATATCCAAGCTTCACTACCCTCGATTGTAGTGATAATTAATCCCAGAAAGACTTCGATGGCTCTGACGTAACCAGGGCGAAGCCCGCGTTTCTTTGATGGACCATAGCTGCAAACACGATCATTCTCGGCGCAAGATCTACAAGACGGCTTTTGACCACCGCAGCGGTCTTTACGTCTGCGACATTCATTGCAGGCCCTTGTGACACGATGTCTGTTCCTCCCATTCGATCCTTCGTCAGACTCATCAGCCTCTGTCCTTGCTCGCTTTGGACCTCTCGGGAGTGTCTTCGATGGGATTTCGGTATCCAGTTGACTTTTTGTTGTCGACATGTTGTGCCCAAGACCAATTGATAACTTTGCTGTGCTGTTCTGTCCTACGCCATAAGACTGATCTTTCTGCTGGGTCGTCCATGGACCAGTGTACCAGGGTCACCCGTCATATCCAATCAAACTATCGACCTTGAGACCCAACCACATGAGGCAAAGTGATGCGGGGTACGAAGGCTCCATGTTTACAAGCGTGGTATTGGCGGCAAAGACTTCTGCCGCCTGTCTTCGATTGGTTGAAACTCGTTGCCAGTATCTTTAGCCACTATTACAGAGGCAGGGCTGCTAAATTATGGCAAAGCTGGGTTACAACAAGCTAGGGTCCCTTCTAGGACCTTCATGATACTGTAACCAGTTTTACTACTTGACTTTATTGACAAACTTCAAAATGTCTACATCACCGCGGTTAGGTGATGAAACGACTCATCTTGCCAGATCACCATATACTCCATCCTCACGGGCTGGTACACCAAGAATCCTTTCAGAATACTCAAATGCGCCTACTCCCAAAACACCAAAGTTTAGAACATACAGTCCAGACACAACACGGCGAATAATAGAGTATGCACCTGATGCATCAATTGCACTAATTGGTATGCGTGGGAGTGGCCTCTCCACGTTGGCTGTGTTAGCTTCAAGTACCTTGGGCTTTCGAGTTCTGGATGCCGACCAATATTTCTACAAAGTCACTGGCCTCTCAAGAGCAGCTTATAAATCTGCCCATGGTATTTCTCAGTATCGTCAAGAGGAGCTACGACTGATGAGATCTATGCTCTTTGATAATCCAACTGGAGCTATTATTGTCTGCGGACCTGGTGCTGTGGAAGGAAAGGGAAAAGAATGGCTTGCGGAGTTCGCCAAAGAACATCTCATTATCTATGTCTTACGTGACGCCGAGGACATCCAAAGGCACTTGCGCTTGTTTGATCTAGACACAATCCGAGATCTCATTCGTCGAGCCACGCCAGCATACAGAAGGTTATCAAGCTTTGAGTACTACAACACCTCTGATACATCAATCCGCAAATCAAGCACCTCGCCTTCACGTGGGGACCTGTCTCCTTCGGCTCTCGCGCTCAAAAATGTAGAGAAAGACTTCCTCAACCTAATACATGGGATAGTTAAGCGAGATGATTCGTATGGGAAATACAAAGCTCGACATAGCCTTTCATCTCTACCTTTAGTTTCACGGAGCTTCACTTATGCGTTATCGATACCACTCACAACTCTTACTACCTTGATGTCAGAGCTCAGGGACGTTGACATTGAGGCCGACGCCGTTGAACTTACCATACCAATGTCAACTGTATGCAAGGACGGGCATGAACTAGACGACACGATAGGAGATCATATTAGCAGACAAGTATCTGTCATCAGGAGAAATATTTGTCTTCCTATCATCTACCAGGTGAGCTCCTACGACATACATCAAGTCAGCACGGATGACTATTTCCGTCTACTAAACCATGGGCTGAGACTTGGACCTGAATATCTCTGCGTGGATCTCGAATTCGACACAGCCAAGATCCAAGCTCTGGTATTTTCAAAGGGCCAGACAAAGATCATTGGTCATTATTCTGCGTCCGACGATGGAGATGATGGATGGGATTCACCGAAACAGTGGGATATGGTTCAGCGGGCCCAAACCCTTGACTGCGATATCCTTCGTGTATGCAAGAAGGCGACATGTTTGGCGGATAATTTCTCGGTACAACACTTTGTCCACCGTGTAAAATCCTCCCAGCAATACACAATTCCGGTGATAGCTTACAACACTGGCCATCTTGGACGCATGTCCTGTTACACAAATTCGATCCTCAGTCCAGTCACTCATCCACTTGTCCGCAAGTTAGCACCCGAATGCCCGTCAAGTTCTCTCCTCACTATCCAAGAAGCTCAGAGAGCAACCTTTGCATCGTTTTTACTCGACGACCAGTTCTTCGGTATATATGGAAACAACACCTCGCAGAGTCCGTCGCCCGCCATGCACGAAGCTGCCTTCAAATTACTGGGCATGCCCCACCATTACAACATCTATACAAAAGACTCAATGGATGAACTTTTTGAGATGGTGAAGGACGTTAAATTTGGGGGAGCCAGTATTACTGCTCCTTTTAAAACTTCAGTGATTCCTAAAATGGACTTTCTCAGTGAGGAAGCCAAAGCTATTGGAGCTGTCAACACCATGATATGCCTAAAATCCCCAACGATGGATTCCTTACTCGACAGAAACACGGCCGGACCAACTGTAGCGCTTTTCGGCGAAAACACTGATTGGATCGGTATACATACCTGTGTTCAGCGCAATCTCTCTCCCATCAATGCTGTTAGGCGGCGAACAACGGGCCTGATAGTGGGTGCTGGCGGAATGGCTCGAGCAGCCGCCTACGCCTTTATACGCCTGGGAATCAAGAACATCGCTGTTCATAACCGTACACGGTCAAAAGTCGAAGAGCTCATCGCACAATTCAAGAGTCAAAGACATGGTACCAACAGGCAAGGTGAGACTGATCCGCAGGCCTCTCGAAGGGAGAGTGAGAGTCCAGATCGCGCGACAGACCTAGTGTTTAAAATACTTGATTCCAAAAATGCTACATGGCCAGAGGAATTGAGTTTACCAACCATTATTGTATCCTGTATCGCTACCAAAGACATTGACAGTAAATGTTCCGTGGACACGAGTCTTCCTGAAGACTGGCTATCGAGCCCAACTGGTGGCGTTGTAATCGAGGTAAGTACCATGCCTATATCACATTCTGGAGATCAATCTCACAAGCAATCGTAGCTTTCATACACGCCACTTGAAACTCCATTATTACAGCAAACTAAGCAGTTGGCTGACAGGGGATGGATCACGGTAGATGGTCTCGAGGTTCTACCAGAGCAAGGAATGATGCAATTCGAGCTGTTTACAACTCGAAGAGCTCCAGCTAATATTATGAGGCAAGAGGTCTACCAAGCATATAATAGAAGAATGGGAAGGTGACTCAGCCTTGGATTAGGAACATAATAATTACATGTTTAGTACCTGACGCGATAACTATATAAACAAAGTGTATAGCTGTTGTACTTCTGTTCTTATCATCAATATATACAGCCCATGTTTCGGGAAGCACTAGAATGAGGCAAATGTCTACAGATCCACATAATTAAGATGTTTGCCCTGGCCGGGAAAGGTCTTTGCCACCCAGATCACTATCCATCCTTCATGTTATGTCGATTCAAACACACGTAATATCCTCACCTTGAATTTTTCATCATCAGGCAAAGACAAACCGTCACAGTCATACTCCAGTCAAATAATTTTATACTACTTCACTTCCAATCAACTATCTATTCGCCATGGTTGCGAACAACAACTCCCCTCAGGGTCAACGACACGAAGGCAGCCAAAATGCCGCGACCAAGGTAATGAACGATAAGCCAACCAGCCAGTCACAAATTATGGACAAAAAGCAGTTTTTCATCTTTGGTCACAACATTTCTCATTCCCTATCGCCAACCCTGCACAATGCCGGTTTCCGGGAAGTTGGCTTTCCACATCACTACCAGATTCACGAGAGTGAAAACGTCGATCAAACAGTGGAGCAAATCATCAGTCGCCCAGACTTTGGCGGTGCATCAGTTACATTCCCTCACAAGTTGCAAATCGGCAAACTCTTGGATTCTGCCTCAGAACAAGGGCAGAATATTGGTGCTATAAACACTGTTATTGTGAAAGAGGCACATGGGCGACGAGTCCTGCATGGCGATAATACAGACTGGATTGGCATCAGAAGGTGTATCCTAAAGTCTGAACGTCGGGACTTTACATCATCGTCGGCACTCGTTCTTGGCGCTGGAGGTGCTGCTAAAGCGGCTTGCTACGCTATCCAAACACTTGGGTTTCGTGAACTCATTGTCGTCAACAGGACCTTATCCAAGGCCGAGGAGTTAGCATCCAGGTTCTCAGAATTAAAAACACGTGTCTTTGCTTCATTAGAGGAAGCCGAGAAAGCTGGAGATGCCGACATTCGCCTCATCGTGGCGTGTATACCTGCTGATGATTTGGGAGAAGACAAGATTCCTGTTGGCTTATTCTCAAGACCCGGACAAGGAGTGTTAGTGGAGATGGCGTATAGGCCTCAAGTGACGGGAATGATGACAGTGGCTCAACGACACTCACAGTGGGATGTGTATAGGGGTGTTGACGTCCTCGAGGAGCAGGCGTATGCACAATTCGAACTGTGGACAGGCAAACAGGCTCCGGTAGAGGTAATGCGGAGTGCTATGCAGGCGAGGGTAGCAGGTGTTTAGAAATCCAGGATGCCGTTGATATGTTAGACTGTCTTCTCTGTCAAAGCATATCCAAGACCTGACTATTCTTCATCGTGTTAAATACAGGGTTAATGTTATTCTGATGAATTCGTCACAACTCACTGTCAAGAATTCAATGTAAAATAAGTCACCTATAGCAACTGAACCATGATCGAGATGGCTGAGTACAATCTCACATAGTACATATCCTAATTCTGTACTAGAATTCTGGACCTCGGCTGTAAAGAGACCCTTTATCACCATCGGTTACTTGGCTGTCGTCCAGGTGAGAGTCTAATCTGCTGTACAGCTCTTGGCAAGCTTACCATATGCTTACTATAGCATTTCGCCTTACTCCATATAGCCATCAGCCGAGTGGTAGAAGCTTTACCCGCCCGATATCAGGTCTAGTGGCAGGAGGAAGGCTATTAATCTACTAAAATATCCCACGTGGTAGATGCAGTGACATTGGTTTCGAACTAAGAAGAAGCAGTCTTCCGGACCTTCGCATCATTACTACTTGGTCAGGAACCGGTTCCACCGTTGTAGCTGTCCCGAAAGTTTGGTCAAATGTGGATATTGACTGTGGCAAGAATTTGAGGGCGCAACCGTAGAAGCGATCATATATGCGGATGTCTTCCTTTTTGTATCATGATCAGCTCACGTAGATATACATATGGGCAACATCGCTGCTGCACCCGGATGCTACAAGCAACCCTGCATGAAATCTCAATAATAAAGAAGAACCATGCATCGATGGCATACAAATACCGGACTACCTTGAGATTCTAGCGGTCTGCTACCCCGCGGCGAATCCACTTATAGTCAAATGTGACCAGGGAAGAATTATCAACAGCGCCCAATTGAGAGAAGGCTATGGATTCAGAAAAGACGCTATTGTCGTAAATAATAGCCCTAAGACCTCAAAGTACTTTTAACTCTCCGGTACCCAAAGAATTACTCCCAGGAACGACAAGTAAAACTTTCACATACGTGTATCGTGCATAATCTATACATTCTCATCATGGATGAAAGCGATTTGCAGCAGCCTCGCTGCACCTATTTATTCGGCTACCCATTACAACACTCATTGGCACCTCTTCTCCACTCAACCATTTTCGAAAGCCTCAATGTGCCATGGACCTACGAGCTGGTCGAATCTGTCGACAAGGGTGATTTTATACCCAAACTCAAGGATAGCAACTGTATAGGAGCTGCTGTCACTATGCCACACAAAGTTGCTTGGATCAACGAGTGCGACGAAGTAACAGACGAAGGTCGGGCAATAGGCGCCATCAACACTGTTTATATCCGCAATGATGAAGTTACGGGTGAAAGAAAGTACATCGGTACCAACACAGACTGCGTCGGAGTTCGCGAGTCCTTCCTACAAAACTGTCCCGGAATCACTGAAAGGAGCAAGGGAAAGCCGGCACTGGTTATCGGTAGCGGAGGTGCCTGCAGGAGCGCTGTCTACGCTCTACACAAGTGGTTGGGAGCCAGCGATATATATCTCGTTAACCGTCTGAAGGAAGAGGCGGACGCAGTGATTGAATCCTTTTCAGCGCTGGAAGACGGCCCAAAGATGACCTATGTCTCATCTCTGGAGCAGGCAAAGGATCTAGAGACGCCGGCTCTTTTTGTTGGCACAATCCCCGACTTTCCTCCTAACACGAAAGGCGAGATTTTGGCTCGAGACATTGTTATCGAGTTCGTTCAGAGGGAGGAAAAGGGTGTCTTACTCGAGATGTGCTATCATCCCAGGATAGTCACGAGCTTATACCGTCTTGCTGAGGATAATGGATGGAAGGTGATCCCTGGAACAGAGGCCATGATCTACCAGGGTATCGCGCAGGAGGTTCTCTGGATGCAGAAACCATTAAGTGATATGCCACTTGAAGCTGCCAAAGGGGCGATAGCAAAGGCTCTCGGATCACAATAAAGAGTAACTTAACAAGCAGTATCTAGATAAGAATTAATTTCCAGATTCCCAGTCCCTCCATGCAATGTCTTAATCATATGCCTATTGACAATATGCATTATTTGTGTGATCTCTCTAAGAACTGAAGTCGCTGTCACATCCATTAACAGAGGGAGAACGAAGCGACAATATTTATGTGATGCTTTTGACCATCCAGGAAATTATTCCAAATTACCTCTTTCGAGTAATGTACCAGGGTGAGTGCATGCGCCAGATCGAGGGGTCTGCCTCATCGGGAAGAGTCCGTCCGATCTAACCCTTGAACAACACCCTTGGTACTGTAGCTTGGCAAGTTGGAAGCGGTAATTGTCTTTTCCGCCCACCACCTGGTCGAGATAATGCTCAGATCACCCGGGGTAAGGATCCGGGGTAAAACATCTGGGGTAGTGCCCCTTTCTCCGCATTGCTTAATTGAGGCCGATCCCAGAGATGCATATCTATTATCATAACCGCCCCTCTTCCTGTGCCTTATCTTCTCATCATTCCACCTTGTAACCATTCATCTTCATTAACAATAACAACGGTCAAGATGGTCAAGAACATATTTGCCAGGCCGAAAGATGACTCGGCCAATCCAGCGCCTCCAGAAGTTTACAACTGGAGGATCTATGCTCTCGCCGCTTCCGCAGCGCTGGGATCTTCTATGTTTGGCTACGACTCAGCTTTCATAGGAGGTACTCTGTCACTCCCATCTTTCCAAGAGCGCTTCAATCTGGCCTCTGAGACCGGCACTGCACTGGCTTCACTGAAGGCAAACATTGTCAGCACGTTCCAGGGCGGCTGCTTCTTTGGTGTGTTGCTTTGTTATTACATGACCGAGAAGCTTGGCCGTCGCTGGGTTCTTATTCTATGTGGTATCGTCTTCAACCTCGGTGCTATCATCCAACTTGTTGCTGATGGCAAACTGTCCTTCATCTATGCCGGTCGTGTCCTTACTGGTATGTCTTCCCTTCAAAATTCCAACGATGATTGAGGCAACAGCTAATCCCTGTTTAACACAGGCCTCGCCGTCGGTGCATCATCCATGATCATTCCTGTCTACATTTCCGAATCCGGTCCACCTGCTATTAGAGGACGTCTTATTGGCATATTCGAAATCTTCCTACAATTCTCGCAGATCATAGGTTTCTGGGTTAATTACGGTGTCAACATCCACATTTCTCCCACATCCGATTCACAATGGCATATTCCATTTGGACTGCAGCTTGCTCCTGGAACGTTACTTGTTATCTGCATGTTCTTCCAGCCCGAGTCCCCCCGTTGGTTGCTGAACGCTGGACGAACTGACCAGGCTCGCAAGGTACTGCAGCGTCTTCGACAACTACCCGCTGACCACGCTTACCTCAACTGGGAGATCGACACTGTTCTGAACCAGATAGAAGAAGACAGAGCTATGGGGGCTGATAGAAGCTTCTTTGCCAAACTACGTGAGGTGGTGGGGCCTACCAACAGACCTCGTCTCCTTCTCGGTGTCGCTCTCATGTTCATCCAGAATATGTCAGGTATCAATGCGCTCAACTATTATTCTCCCTCTATTTTCAAGTCTATCGGTTTCACTGGAACAAGTGTTGGACTCCTCGCAACTGGTATTTTTGGCATTGTCAAGGCGAGCGCCACAGGACTTTACATGATCTGGGGTGTTGACGCTCTTGGTCGTCGCCAGTCATTGATGATTGGATCGACCGGGGCAGCGATCGCTCTCTTCTATCTAGGGATCTATTCTAAGCTTTCGGGATCTTTTGATGCTGGAATGGTCCCTGCAGAAAAGACCCCTGGCACTTACGTGGCTATTATCATGATTTATATCTTCGCTGTCTTTTATGCAATTTCATGGAACGGAATACCTTGGATCTTTTGGTACGTCTGTCTGTTTCATATCCATGGAGGCCTCATTGCTAACATATCTCCCCAGTGCTGAAATCTTCCCCATGGCTATTCGTTCTATCTGTCTAGTCTTTACAACTTGTGCCCAGTGGCTTGGTCAATTCATCATTGTGTACTCTACTCCTTACATGATGACGGACATCACATACGGAACATTTCTTCTATTCGCATGTTCTGTCGTCTTTGGTCTATTCTTTGCCTTCTTCCTCATTCCAGAGACAAAGGGTATCTCTCTCGAGGACATGGATATACTATTCAGTCGCAAGGGTATGCCCCGTACATGGCGTTGTCAAACAAATGATGTTATTGCGGAACGACGGGCTACAGAGGAAGTCTATGGCAAGCAGGGTGAGAGTGTTGTGCACGAGGAGAAGGCGTAACGTTGACTTGATACAAATGGATGGTAGAAACTTTCCTCAGGTAATTTCGGCAGCAAACCTTAATAAGACCATGGCTGTGTTTTTTCTTCATCACTGGATCAGTCATATGTAGACGGGTACCACTGCTGGTAGCCGGTATTTCCGGTGTTACAACAATTGTCAGGCCAACAAGAGCCACTCATTAAATGTTCCACTAACTGCTGTCCAATGTGATTCGTTTCACCGTATCCGTTTGACTATTACGCTACGTCATTTGCAAATGCAGACGGGGCTTAGCTGATTGCCGATCGATCCGAGATTTGACGGCTCATCCGCCGAGGGATCCAAAAAAAGATTAGGTATTTACTGCCATAGAAGATTGGGATTGGTTCAGATGCTTCCGCCAGCAACAGAATGGAATCTCCCATCAATCTGACCTGAGCCAGCGTGGCAGACGCGTCACGCTAGCCATTCACATTTGGTCTGTATGTGACGTTTAACATGTGCTCAGGCCTCCTGTATGGAGTAACATCAGGGGATCTGCCGCTTAATTCTCCTGTTACCTACTTCGTATTTCTTACAATGCCCATCAGCCATCCGAGGCTGTGCAGATTTCTACACCTACTTGAATAGCTATATTCCCCGACATTTTATCAGCAATATTCAAGACATTCATATCAATACTTAGACATTGGCTTGTTTCAACAAGCAACATGCTTGGCCCTCTCGTCTTTACTTTATGGCTTACCAGCTCGGCCATTGCTGCCCCGGATGACGCGGGTTTGGTCGCAGCACCAGCAATTGGCAAATCCCTCAGTATCCGGGCTCTTCCGGACTCTCCAAGCGGCGGTTATGCGCCAAAAGTGGTTGACTGTCCCTCGACGCGCCCGAAAATCCGACTTGCCGATGGACTTTCAGACCAGGAAGAAGCCTGGGTTCGTCGCCGAAGAAACAACACAATAGATCCAATGAAAGACTTGTTATCCCGAGTCAACATCTCGGGTTTCGACGCCGAAAAGTGGATTGAGAAAAACAAAAACAATGCGACTGCGCTACCTAACATCGCCATCGCAGCTTCTGGTGGTGGATACCGAGCCCTCATGAACGGAGCAGGCTTCATCTCTGCGGCTGACTCACGCAACAACGAATCCGGTCCCATCAGTGGTCTTCTACAATCTTCCACTTATTTGGCTGGTCTGTCAGGAGGTGGTTGGCTTGTTGGGTCTATCTTTGCCAACAACTTCACCACAATCCCCGACCTACAAAAGGGAGACAAGGGTTCAGATATCTGGGCTTTTGACCGTTCAATTTTCAAAGGACCCGAAAAGTCAGGCTTGAACGTTTTGAACACGGCTAAATACTGGGATGACATAAAAGACACCGTTGACGAAAAGGCCGATGGGTGGAATACTACACTCACTGACTGGTGGGGTCGTGCTCTGTCTTACCAGCTGATCGATGCCTCTGAGGGTGGTCCTGCGTATACTTTCTCCTCCATCGCCGATACTTCCAACTTCAAGGACGCCGATACCCCATTTCCTATCCTCGTTGCCGATGGTCGTGCTCCTGGTCAACGCATCGTTTCACTCAACGCAACTGTGTACGAGTTCAACCCGTTCGAGTTCGGAACATGGGATCCCACTAGTTACGGGTTTGCTCCCGTCGAGTACATCGGCTCTAACTTCACGAATGGAACTATCGAAAAGGGCGGCGAATGTGTACGTGGCTTTGATCAGTTCGGCTTTGTTATGGGCACATCCTCCTCGTTATTCAACCAGTTCCTGCTCAACAACATCACCAAGATTGGAGAAGAAAATGACATTCCTTCACTTGTCGTGAAGGCTATCCAGGGATTCCTGGTAGCTTTGGATACCAATGATGAGGACATTGCGGATTATTCTCCCAACCCATTCTACCAGTGGAACGTGACAGGAAAAAGCTACAACGCCAAGGACCATCAATTGACTCTTGTCGACGGAGGGGAGGATCTGCAGAATATCCCACTCCATCCCTTGATCCAGCCTGTTCGTGGTGTCGACATCATCTTTGCCATCGATTCTTCAGCGGATACGGACAACAATTGGCCCAATGGTACCGCTCTTCGTGCGACATACGATCGTGTCGATTCCAGCTTAGGAAACGGAACTCAGTTTCCCTCTATTCCATCAGCTGAGACTTTCATTAATGAGAAGTTGAACCAACGCCCAACACTCTTTGGCTGTGATGCAGACAACTTCACGCTTTCAGACGGCAAAGCTCCTCCTCCTCTTGTCTTCTACATTCCCAACGCGCCCTACACATTCTTGAGCAATGTCTCTACCTTCGATCTCTCATACAGCATCCCTGAGCGTGACAGTATCATTCTCAATGCTCTGAACGGTGCCACTCAGGGCAATGGTACTATTGATAAGGAATGGCCCACGTGTGTCGTTTGTGCCATCATGAGCCGAAGTTGGTGGAAGTCCAATGAGACTGTTCCCAAAGAGTGCAGTACGTGTTTTGACAGATACTGCTGGGACGGAAAGTCGAATAACACAGCTGTTAAGACTTACGAGCCTGGATTTATCATTGCTAACGAGACTGCGGCGGCGGAAGACAATGCAGCCGTTGCCGGTTTCACACCGAGTTGGTATATGTCTGTGTTTGTTGGAGTGGCTTTATTCTTGGCTATTTCGTAATTAGCATGTAGTTTCTGAGTTTGAATATATCTACATCATGCCAATAATATAATTAATCATATTTATTTCACTATTGAAGCCCAAATCCATGTCATCATTATCTAGCAGTTCATCTGCATCTAATGTATCATCAACGTACCAGTCTAGCCCTTCTAGCAGAAACATGAGCCCTCTAAGTCGTAGAGTACATCAATAAGTGGTCTGAGAACTCTAGCCTAAGGAGCATAAAATGACTTACTGATTTCGTCTCTTATGCTTCCAGCGGTCAATTTTTCTGATACCCTAAGACCCCCCTGCACCACAGCCTTTTACTGACTTGCAGGCAATGTTACCAGGTTCATGGAACTTAGCAGTTTCGTCAGTTGAGGTACGTCAGCAGGGATATCATCCCAAGACAGCAACCTATTCGCTTTGGCAGTAATCATGTTTGCGTAAACATCGGCAACCTTTTTGCTATCCCAAACTCCCTCTCTTCTACCAAGAGATCGTAAAAGCCGCACGCCTTCCCACTGTATTCTCTCATCCTGGCACGATATAATAACGTAAGCAATGGGTGGTATCAGATTCGCCTGGAAGTTGAATATGTGGCCTGTCTGGCACTTTGAAAGATCCATGATTGACTCCGCCTTGCTCAAGATCTCCATACAATCTGATGTCGCAAGATTACCCTTGATCGAGTTCAACTTGAACCTAGCACGCCATGTTGTCTCTTCAAGTTCAAGGACTTTGTGACGGGACATCTCGGACTCTGAGGCTTTCGTAGGGTCGAAATTGAGGTTGGACGGGCTATAACGTGCGCTCCAGTACCGGAAGAATGATGCGGTATCTAACCCACTCTGAGATTTCCCACAGACTGAGGCATCCATGCTACAGGGATAGCCCACACTCGAGCACATGTGACATTCGTAATACGCGTCTGTTTCATGCATTGTTTCCATCTGTGTTCGCCACGATGCTGCGGCCTGTACTGAGAAGAACGGGGCCCCCGGTTCCTGTAGGTATATTGGGTCTTGTCGGTGAAGCCATTTCTGCAATTCAGAAACAAGCTTTGACGACTGACTATCTCCCATGAAGAAAAAGAGATCAGAAGTAAGACCACAAATCGCAGGGCCCATATCTTCCATGAATTTCTCTAAATTATCTTCACCGCTTTTCAGTCCGATTCCAACGCTATGGTTGGAGGTGTGATGATGATTCAAAAGGGAAAATGCAGCCTCGAGGTGCCGAGTCACGTTCATGTAGCGGCCATACAAACTCTCGATGCAGATAAATATGAAACAACATGTCAGAATCTCCTGTAGATTCATTGCTGGTAATTCCATATACTTTTGTATAATATGAATAGAATTGTTGTACTGTTTAATTGATGCCGCTTCATAAGATTGTGCAAGAGACTGGGTCAACGGGTCGGTCTGCGTCTGGAGTTTGAAGGCTTTGTGCGCGCCGCCCAACGCGCCTATCGCGACTCTGATAGATTCGAATTCATGGCTGAGTGGTAAGACGTAGGTCTGCCAAATACTCGTTGCATTCAGGGAACTTTTAAGCTCTGGAACTGTGCATGTTCGGAAATGGTGAAAGAGATCCAGCTCTATCGGTGAGCCAAACGTTGCTGTTGACAGTCCTGCCGGGACGAGCAGTCTTGAGGAAACTGTGGTTCGGTGGACGACGGCGTCTTGGTTTCGTTTCTTCCTAGGCTTGTAGCGTTTTGGCGCTTCGTAGCCATCACATGTCCGCTTGTCCTTCAGACACCGAAGACACTCTGGTTTTGTCTCATCGCACTTCAAGTGGCGGATTCTGGGTAATAGTTTAGGTTATCGCTAGTTTTTTATTATTTGAAGGGTTACAAACTTGCTGTGTTCGTTAGCCTCGAACGTGTGACGTGATGAACTGAACTTACCAAGTAGTACAGCCAGATCTGACCTTGGGACCGCGCGCTCTCTTCCACTTGGATGACTCGGTCTCTTCTGTCATGCTTGCTACCGTGGTAAGCCGTAGTAATATAGCCAGGGGCAGAAAGTGTAATATGTTAGGTTCTCAATATAGGTCTTCTTTAAGAGACGCAGGGTCTTTTGTCAGGCACCAGGGGTCATGATTTGATTTGTCTGGAGGACAGAATGGCAATATCGTGGATACAAGTGTATAAGAAAAAAAGTCCCATGCTTGAATGGGCAGAACGAAGGCTGGTTTCAAGGTGGGGTTTGGAAACTCGTAGCTCAAGCCTCATTTCTTGGCATATTAGGTAACCACGATTTTCGGAATTGAGCTATTGAATACTTCAGGCTTTACAAACAAGACAACAACAAGTAACTACTAGTAGGCTTAAAAGGATTCCTCGACGGTTATAATATTGCTAAATAAATACTGGAACTACAACATCACTTAGGTTGTTGTAGTTAATTATTCCTTCATACAACAACGGATTATACCGTTTCCGTTATCATATCCCGGTATAACATTCTTCCGCCTGATATCAAGTCTCGTGATCTCTTGTTGTGGTTCCACAGATAGTCGCAAAACATTCATCGCCAGAAACATAAGAGACAGAATTAGTGGGTTGGTTTATGCCACTTAGATCCGACTTCTTGGGCTGTTTATTTTTGTATACTATGGCTTAGGAGGTTGGCTTTCTTGTCATCCACTAAACACTACCCTATAACAAGATTGGTGATGACTGAATGTAAATAAAGGGAGATCACCGGTGACATTAGAAACTAACAGGACAATTAGTTCGACATTTTCCATTTTGAAACCCAACAAACTATTTCGTGATAACACTCAGGATGCTGACGTTTCCCTTTTTGGTTGAAATATTACAATTTGACAATGTTCTCACAATTTGCTCGTCAATTCTGGTCATTAGCAATTTTATTGTCACTCTGTTCACTGTGATCCTGATAGAAACCTTGTGAGAAATCTTCTTATGGCCTACAAAGGATGCCTAGATAAGACTAATTATATTATTCATGATGCAGCTTGCATGCGAATCACCTTGTCGCAGTTTAATATGCACATTGGGTCAAACGCATTCTTCATCTACGATCCCAGCGTTAGTCACATGACGTCAGTAATAAAGGGGGAAAACTTACTGAACGCATCATATCCACAGTTTCTTTGCCCAGTTCCTTTTCCAGATAATCTCGCTTAACAAGCCCGACGCCATGCTCACCCGTAGCCGTCCCTTTCATCTCTATCGCCTTATCAACCATTCGGTGAACGATGTCTTCAGCCACTTGTCGCTTGTCTTCAGGAAATAATAGTAGTGTATGGAAGTTGCCATCACCAACATGCCCGACAATGGATCCGAGCAAGCCTGACTTCTCAATGTCATCCTTGGCAAAGTCGATGATGTCTGGGAGTCTACTCATCGGTACTGCCACGTCGGTTGTCCAGACCTTATCTGTTGGTGATTTTCTCATGGCAAGCATGCTCCAAAGCGCGTTCTTCCTCGCCGACCACAGCTCGTTTCGCTCTGTTTCGTCTGACGCGAAGGTGTATGCTGTGCTGCGATTCTTTTTTGTGATAACTCCAACCTTTTTGGCGAGATGTTGGACGATGAAATCATCACTGCCGGTAAACTTGAAGAACAGAGTTGGCTCTTCTTTCCATTTAATGCTGGTCAAAGCAGATTCGTTGATGCTTTTCATCTGAACATCATCCAGGATCTCAACAGCAGCGACATGAATACCTGCAGATAACACATCTCGCACTGCAGACGCGGCATCGCGTAACGATGGAAATGTGCATACGGCCACCGCTTCACAAGGAGGCTTGACAGCGAGCTTGAGCGTCGCCTCAGTGATCAGACCCAATGTTCCCTCGCTTCCGATAAATGTCCTTGTCAAATCGTAGCCTGCACTTGACTTTCTTGCCCTTTGGCGAGTTTTGATGATCGTACCGTCGGCGAGGACCACGGTTAACGATAAGACCCAGTCCTTCATAGTACCATACGCCGCGGCGTTAGTACCAGAACAACCTGTTCCGACCATTCCCCCGATCATGGCACCTGGGCCTGGATCTGGTGGGAAGAAGAGGCCATGTGTTGCAAGCTCTTCATTCAAGTCCATCCAGCCAATACCTGGCTGCACAACACAATCCAAATCATCTTTATTGAGCTCCACAATGCTACTCATTCGACCAAAGTCAACACAAATCCCCTGAAAATGAGGAATGTATTGGCCCTCGATGGAAGTGCCACCGGAGTAAGGTGTCACTGGCAGCCGGCGTCGGGAGCAAATCTTCATCAACTCTGAGACTTGCTCAGTTGTTTCTGGATAGACAATGACATTTGAACAAATGGCTTGTTCTTCAGTCCAAGCATAAGATTGGTAGTCCGATCCGGAATGGCTGATGAGGTCTGCTTGGTCTGTGGATACGTTTTCGGCACCTAACAACGCTGCAAACTCTTCAGTTGCAGCTCTAATGTTAGCTACCGTGATGTCGTGTTGTATCTTGGGCGTGCTGGCGAGTGGCTGTGTAGATAATGACCGTGTTTTCTCCGACCAGTCAATGGTGGTAGATACACAAGCAGCAACACCGATTACTGCAAGTCCGGCGATGTACGCCCCTGTTGCAGATAAGTAAATAACTTGATAAACATTTAACAAAAAGTGTCATAAGCCTACTCGTTCGGTTACCTGAACCATTCCTATATGATGGCGCTGGTGAAGCTAACGTATTTGATCGTGATCTGGATTGGTGACTTAGTAGGCGTATTGCTGTAGAAGGTCCTGCCCTTGCGCCTCGTAAGGCTTTCAACGCAACAGACATGATCAGCGAAGAAGAAGATATCTACCGAGACTGAGTAGTCGGCTAGAGAAAAGATAAATAAATATGTACGGACAGAGGTCTTGCGTCTGTTTCTCATTAGATCACGGTCTTCTTTTTGTATATCTGAATCTCATAGTTGATGAAGTTTATGTGGAGCTGGTGACATCGGCTATGGTGTCTACGAATTTCCTCTTACGGTCATACACTATGAGCCTTCGGCTATGGATGACGGCCTGAACGGGCTTGGCATCCGAATCACCAAGTGACTACTAGCCAGATCTACCCCGCGTTATAGTTATCGGGTACCAGAAAAGTTGGCCGCTAGAAGCATAAGAGACGAAATCAGTATGCCAGTTTATGTTACTTAAATCACGCTTCTTAGGCCACTTATTTCTGTACCCTAAGACTTAGAAGCCAACTTTTCTACTACCCACTACATGATGTGAGCATCAGACACTTCCCCCGGACGATCAAGCAAACCGAGCGCCTAGAACCGCAGTCCGATTGTGATTCTCTACAGGGATTCAGATCAACCGCTAAACCATGTCTATATGATTGATCGTTGATTGAGGTCCTATGACTACAATGCCTTAGCCGTATGTGTCTGGCATGTCATCCCTCATAAACAGGCTCAGAACCAACATTGGCTATTCCTAGATCGGCCAGGAAGTACATGGCTTGATACTGAGTCGAGTCTGGCTGTGGAAAGTCCATGGCATCTCCAGAACTTGTGTTAGAAAAGACTCCGTTGGCCAAATACATTGGCCAGAAACCTCCCCCGTCCACGCTGGCATCACTGGAGTCTTGTCCAAGCATGAATGTGGTGTTTCCGAGAGTCAAATCAGACATGACGAACACGGGCTCACCCTCTTGTGATGGTGCGCCTGCCAATACCTGGGCTGGTTCCTCCTGGCTGTGAGAATGCCCTGCCAATTCTTCTGGGGCTTGCATCTCGGTCGTATTCTCATTACCATGTGGGCTCACTGGTTGACCATCCCCTCGGCTGCCCCCTCCTGTCTCAGATTGATTCAAGATATCCATGAAGAAATTCCTAATCCAGCGTGCAAGATTATAGACTTGTTCAAATTGCTTGAGAGCAAGCAGGCCACGGCGAATTTTGACAAACATTTGGTCACTTCTGGGCGCTGTGCTACTTCCATCCACCGCAAGAGCCATCATGGCTGAGAACAGAGCGGATACACTACGAATGAGTTAGCAATAGAATGCCAAGATTCAAGCAGACTTACTAAATCATGGGGAAATGTTCTGGAGTCCAGTATAATAAGGAGTTCTCCACTAGGTTGAATATTTGTGTTGCGGCGTCAACGACGAGCTTTGTCTCTCTAGACTTACTGCACTGTCTTTGTAGCCTCTGATACAGGTTTATAGCGTAGTAACTGGAAGGTGAATTAAGTAGGAGGCAATTCGAAATAACAGAATACCTACTGGTAACAGACTTGAAGCGTTAAACTTAAATGATGATTCCCGTTGGAGAAGTTTAGTGCCGGACACTCATCGAACCATGATTGTAAGGTTGTCTGAATGTCCTGAATGGCCTCTTGACAAACTGCCAAGTCCTTACTTAGAGGAAGCCGCAAGGGTGAGCAATGCGCGAAGTACATTTGGGCCACTATAAAGTCAGCAAGATGTCAACACTGGAGGTATGGGGCAGCTTGCCTGCTTTGTTCAGTTTGACCTGCGCGACGATGTACTGAGCTGTCTCCGCGCTCTCATCAACCAGGTCTTCCACAACAAGTTCTTCAACGTCGTAATCCATGTCGTTGATCACCATGGGTGTGCCAGTTGATATCGCAATTTGACGGTCACGAACCTGCTTGGTCAGCTGAGGCTACTTGTCCTGGGTAAGGACTTACATATAGACACCACCATATCCGCTTCCATCGAGATCGTTGCTCAGAACACAATTGGCTGTTGCTTGTACTTCTATGATAGCCTGTGCACTGCGCAGATCGAATAGCAGCAGCAATCCACCAGTGGCAGTCTCGGTAGGCTGTGGGGTTTCCAAACCAGTAGTGTAAGAGGTAGGACGACAGTATCATGTCGAGTCTCGTAGAGTCTCTATCCATGTCGAAAGAGGTACTCGCATTGGTAAACAAGTCATGGTTGGCATCCAAGCGAGTGCTATGCCCCATACGATGCAGAACTTCTAGATCGCAGTGCAAGGATGCAACAAAAAGAATGCTTCTCAATAGTGTCCCAGATACATTCCCTTCGTGTATGGACGTAAAGAACAACCTCTTGCTGAGAATTGGACAGAAAGTATGAAACCGATCAAAATACGCTTTAATCAGAGCATCAACCATATCTGGCTTTGGAAGATCAGACAAGCCAGGCTTATCTTGAGGCTGTGACAAGTTACTGGACACTTCATTCGTTCTCGTAGCGAATGTAACATCTTGGACTGTCTCATTGCATTCACCGATTGGTCGATGAACACTGTTGTGGCCGGGAGTATAACCTCTCATAACATAGGACGCATACCAGCTTTCACCAACAACACTCGGCTGTACGGTCAGCTGTGACGATGGGCTTACAGCTTGGGCCGAGGACGAGGCCCGTTCAGATCCACTTCTTGCTTCCTGCGCACGACTCTGAGGTGGAAAGGGCATACTGTTGTCCATTGCGTTGTCGACGGTGATATCAGCTGAGCTTCGAAGTGATTCAGAACTGGATGGAGGCTCCAATGTGTAGCGTCCATCAGGCCCTCTACCAAGACAAAATCAGAACAATGCCATTGCGGGTTGGTAATAACGTACCTCCTACGTTTAGACAGTATGGGGGCGCACTGGTCGTGATTGTTGCTCTTTTGGCAGGCAGAGCAGGGGACGCCAATGATAGACCCATCACATTTCGTCCTTCGTTTATTGCAACGTTGACATGCGGTACTTCTTTGCCTGCCAGAATTGGGTGCCCGGTTCGTGCCTGAAATCATGCCCCTTGGCTGCAGGCGTATGCGTGACAGCTCCATTGTGTGTAACAGTGAGGTCCGATTGTACTGACTCTGGCAAGATCTGGGGTATTACCGGCCGCCGTAAAGCCTCGACATCGAACCCTTACTAGACTGGGAATAGCAACCAGCCAACCCCGCATTCTTCCACCGGAACAGTGCATGACGGCCAAGTTCCTATTTGTCCATTATGGTGGAGATGTCTTAAATAAAGTTGTCATCCATCGGCTATGGACCATAGCCGATGGCCAGTCCCGATATCGCGTTCATCCTCGCAGAGTGCAGAGTGCAGTAACTTTGTTACTCTGGATTTTCGAATCATGCAACCTCAGATACTTTAGTCAAAGTTGGCAATGTATAAAAATTCCCTGCATTCCATCTGAGAAATGACTGTTTGATGACAATACTACCCACTTCATATACATTTACATCCACCATGGCCAACGAACATGACATCGACATGTTGAAGGAAGACAAACAGCAGATAGAACGAGTAGACTCCAAGTACAACGCCAAAACCACACAAGATGCCAAATTTGAGAAGAGAGTTCTTCGAAAGATCGATTCTCGACTCTTACCAATCTTAGGATGCCTTTATACCATCGCTCTTGTTGATCGATCCAACGTTGCAGTCGCCCGCATCTCAGGAATGGACGAGGACCTCGGTCTTGCACAAGGCAATCGTGTTTCTATCGCTCTGATGGTATTTTTCATCGGTTACATTATCTTTGAAATTCCCAGCAATGCTTTCATTCATAAACTTGGTGCTGCCAATTGGCTTGCGTTTCTTGCTGTAGCTTGGGGCTTGGTGTCTTTGGGCATTGGTTTTCTACACAATTGGATCGGTCTTGCTATCCTCAGGGCGCTACTTGGAGTCTTTGAGGCCGGATTCTTCCCAGGTAAGTTGTCTGTTATTCAGAGCAATCGTGCTTGCCTTACTAAACACCTAGGCTGCGTCTATCTTGTCTCTTCTTGGTACAAGCGATACGAGGTGCAGAAACGTATGGCCGGTTTCTTTCTCACAGCCTCCGCATTATCGGCATTCGCCAACATCCTTGCCTACGGTCTGATCCAAATCTCCAAACATCATCATTACAAAGGGTCAGTACACACAGGCTCGATTTGAGAGGGCCTGCAACTAATTAGTATAGGTGGCGCTGGATTTTCATCATCGAAGGTGCCATCACAGTAATCGCTGGTATCGGTTCGTGGTTTATCATCGTCGACTTTCCTGACTCGGACAGAAACACGTTCCTCACCGCCGAGGAACGCACATTCGTCAAGGCCCGGTTGGCCGAGGACCGTGGCCCCGAAGAACACGAGAAGGTGACAATAAAGATTCTGGCAACAACTGCCGCTGATTGGAAACCATGGGCCTACTCTCTTATGTACATGGCTGGTGCTGTCGGAGTATACGCCTTCCTGTTTTTCCTTCCTATCATCCTTCGGGGCGGCCTTGGGTATTCTCTCGAGCTGTCGTTTATTCTTAGCACTCCTCCAGCTCTCTTCGCCGTTGTGGAGGCTATGACTATCTCCTGGCTCGCCGACAAGTTCCAAATGCGCGGACCCTTTGTTATCTTCCAGGGTCTTGTTGGCATTATTGGACTTTGTATGACTGGATTCCTCAGCTCTCCCACACCCAGATATATCGGCACCTTCCTCGGAGTTGCTGGTGCTAATGGGCTCGTTGTGACAACGTTGGCTTGGCAGGCTAACAATATTGTTGGTGATGCACGACGTGCGGTATCAACTGGTATTCTGATCAGTGTCAGTGGCGTTGGTGGCATTTACTCGAGCATGGTGTTTCGTAAGTTCTGTCCAAGCTTATCCCTTCCATATTTCTAACAGACTCAGGCCAACAAGATGCACCCAACTACCTCCCGGGCATTGTCGCCGTCATGGCAATTAATGTTGCAGCCGTTCTTGTTGCTGCTTTGACTATGCTTGTCCTCCGCCACAATAATAAGCAGGCTGATGAAGGAAAGTACCTGTGCGAGGGTCGGGAAGGATTTAGATATACTTTGTGAGACGCCCTAAATTGGAACAGGATTCCCACTGTAGAATCTATATTATATAATGCTTTATTTTATATCTCTATCTAGGTATACCAGTATGTCTCAAACGAAGTTGGATGGCTCGAAAGAAGGGACAGCAATGGGCTAATGTCATGTAAATTATTTTTAGGGTTGATATAGTAGCATATATACAAACTCAGCATCGGAAAAAAAAATAGGGATAGAGAGTTCGGTAATGCTTGGTTGTAGTTTGTTTAATATGGCAAAATCTAGTTGAAGATTTAGTGTAGAGTTTAACAAAAAGTTTCCGTTTCGCTTGCTCCTATCTTGAACTCATCTGCCAGCATAGATCGAAAACTTCAGAAGTCACGCTTACGATTCTAAGCTTGTCTAAGACCTATACTCCTTATTTGTAATAAAATGGTAATTTCGCAATACTTTTAAAAGATCTTATATGTAATCACTATGAACTCTTGCGAAATTTTTATTACCATTCTCATTATGACACTTGGTATATTCTTCCATTCATCCGTATTTTCGCCATCCACTCTAATCCTCAGATCTCTTTCCGTTCTCATTCCCATACTAACTCCGTATTCATTCCATTAGTCTTATCTTAATTACTCATTCTTCATCCGCATCTGAGTTTGGCACCTCCAACCAAAATGGGTACTTGAATACCATTGACCATTCCAAAGCTTCATCTCTCGGCTTGAGAGGCAATTCAAGATCATGGCCAACAAGTTCTGAGCTCTCAACAGTGTGTTCAAGTTGTTGCTTCTTTGTAGATGATGGCGGCGACAATTGTGCAACTGCTGTCCGGTTTGTTGAGTTTGTTGATGACGCTGAGAACGGCAAGGTTGGTGCTTGAAGTTGCGCTAACATTGCGTCATGGTGCTAAAACAGTGTCAGTAAAAAGACATGAAGTAGACAAGCGAGCGACTTATAATATGCATCTTGCGCTTCAGATGCTTCTTGAGACTGTTGACTCGCTTTTGATCTCCGCCATAACAGGACAGACCGACGACACGACAGACTGATGTTGGGGCATCATATAAGTCCCAATCAATCTCAGATTTGGGTAGATGCGAATACAGCGGCTCGGCGTAATGCCTAGCCGCGCAGCCTATTCATCCCTGATGCCAATCGATGCAGCCGGTTGCTCGGGGGGTTCCTGTTCTTTGAACTCGGGTGCGTCGGGAGGATTGGCGGGCCAAATCAGCTCTGTATTCTCTTCAATAGTGAATAGAGGCTGTCCAGCCGCCGGCGCCATCGGTTCTGGAATTTGGGCCATCGTTGAGAATCCAAGTGCTCAGTTAGACGTCTCATGGACATCCTCCTCGAGTTTAGGGGGTTCGGGCATATTTTCGAGCCAAATTATCTCCGTATTCTCATCAATGGCGAATAGAGGCTGTTCAGCCGCAGGCGCCAGCGGTTCCGAAATGTGAGCCATTGTTGCGAATTGCTGGACTCCCTTAGACGGCAGGTGAGCGATGGGTTACTGAGGTCGGGGGTGGCCTCGGTGGCCTGTGTGTCCGACATGGCGGACGGCGGACAAGTTGGGAAGGAGCGAGCACGACACTGCGAGTGAACGCGACACTACAGATCAAGAAACATCATAATCAAAGGTACAGGATAAAACGTCACTTATTCTAGGTTATAGTAAAAGAAAAGATTGTAGTTGTAAGGAATATTATTGTAAAGGTAGATTACTTTGCGTTGTTGTCTGTGGTTGTCTGTGATTCATTACACACAAATGCACCATTCTCCTTATCTCATTAATTCATACACCTCTCTCATTCCTTCATGCACCTTGGCCTCTCCTGCAAACATCAAAGAGGTTTAATGTTCCTCCTCCCCTTCGCAAATCGATATGTCCCATCTCCTCCTACCAACATTCCCTCCGCTTCCCAAAGGCTCAGAAACATCAAAAGCTGTAATATTGCGGTGCAGTTATGCGTATGATGATGTCGCTTCATGTGTCCCTCGGAATTTGCAGAATCGCATTCTAAATGCCATAAAGCAATATAGGAAGCTGCACCTCTATAGGAGCGAAGAAGAGGAAGAGCTAACTGTAAGAGGTGTTACGACGTTTCTGGTGTCGCCGAGAAGCCACTTTATATAATTTAGGCTATAGATCTTAGGCTATTTATTCTTATCCTAAAACTTAGTCACCTCTTATGGCAAGCAGACCTGACGGAAGGGGAGCTGCACTTTTATTTCAAAGCGAAGATACCTTGTTTTTACGATCATGGATGATGATCATCTCCACTAGAATGCTTGGCTCCGAGCTCCAACAGTTGGACGTTTCCAAAACTTCGAGTTTGCTTCTTATTTCGCAGTTCGCGCAGAGTGGCTTGATGAACCCTCACAGGAATGGCGAACCATCCCAATCATGTTCTACGGAAAGAAAGTCGAAACTACCGAACCCCCGCCGCCCCTTAGTGCCATTCCCAGTGCACGGCTAAAGAGACGAAATTAGTATGTCACTTTATGCTTCTTAGACTACAGTTCTTAGACTACTTATTTTTATACCCCAAGACTTATCTAGGAGGTCCTTTTTTCTGCTACCTACCAGACGCGTCGCATCTTGTCTTTCGTCACCCAATCTCAAACCTCCACTGGGGACTATGCACTTCGTATTCAAGACACTGGAACCCCAGATTGAAAGCAATTTGCCTATTCTTAGCGGAAACTTAAATCGCGTATCATTAAATACCCATGTTCTAGTTGTTCTTCGGCAAAGCAATGCCGTTAGTTATATTGAGCTTAACCGAAAAGAGTCATTCTCCTTGTGCTAACAACCACTAGGCGTCGACAACCTAGAATACCCCTACGAATACTACAAATAGATTGAGGTCTGGATCGATTGTAATGTAGCATTTGACGTCTCGTACGATTTCAATGCCATGAGTGGATCTGCTGCGGTTTATCGTGCCGTAAATCAGTGTGAAGCTCAGCAGTTCAGCACACCGCGTTTGTTGGCGACGGACGTAGTATCAGAGTCATGCATAGGTTTGTAGCTCAGCCGTGGTGCATTCGGAAACAGACTGGTCATTCTCAGCCCACCCTGCCAATGTTGCGATGACCTCCTTTGTAGGAAAACAAAACATTTATACACCGAAATGGACATATGGCACCCAGTAAGCGGGAGCCGTACTATCGTCTTCGCAAGAAATAATATCCCTAGCTTCTCTCTCACCTCCCCGAACACTTCTAGACACTGAACCGCCATCCTCGTCCATACTCTCCAGCCAAGCATCCCTCATCACTCTCATGGCCCTGTGTAGCCCTCGGCATACCGCATTATCGGTCATCCCTTCTTCTTTGATGGTTTCATATGTGATACGCGCAACATCAACACAATGCTCGTCCTGTACCCTCCACAATGTTCCGACGATGTGTCTAAACCCCGCCAATTGACAGGCACTGATGAGATGGATACTTTCGTCGATAAATTGCTCATCCTGAACACGCCCTGTGCTGCACGCCGAAAGATATGCGAGAAACGGCGACTCTTCATGAAGGTCCAACTCCAACAGGTTTGCTACCGTCAGGGGATCGTTCACATCGCCGAAGCACAGATGACTCTTTGACGGATTGGTGCTATCCGTGTAGCCGTGCCCTGCAAAATGGAAGATCTTGCTACTTCGCAAGTGATCCAATGCATTTTGCTTGTCCGAACCAGCGATCACACATTTCACTCCTCCCATACTATTGCAAATCTTGCTGACCAGCTCAACTTCTTCCATGGCCTTTGGCAGGGGAGCCTGATTTTGTGTCTTCTCCATGGCGACGAGAAGAGCCTTCGCTGGACCTGTGGGTGCTTTATGACGACGACGGCCATGTACCAAGGCCTTGACAGATGGGCTGTAGGACGATATCACCCGATCCATCACCGTCTCCTCAGATCTCTGTAGATGAAGTCCAGCAGCATGTATGGGGAATCTACTCAAGTGTCCAGTGGGAATCCACCAGACATGAGGCCATTCCTGTCCCTCTGACGGTGTTTCTGTAAAGCCCAACGCCTTCAATATTGCATCCATAAATGAGTTCCAAAGTAACTCGAGTGTCTCAGGACTCCCATAATCATGTTCGGCTACGTCAAAAATCGCAGTATAATCATTCAAATTCGTAAAAACTAGTGATGTTAGTCTCTCTTCTTGTATGATAATAGCTTCGATGCCCATCCAACTGCTGTTAATCACCACCACAGGACCGTGAATTGCAGCGGAAAAGATCTGATCAGTTGTCAAGGGCCCTAGAAAATCTTCAAATCCTGGTTTCAGGCGAATATTGGTAAGTAGGTCATCGAAAGCCTTGCCCGCATCACGACGACGGCGTCCATTCAGCAAGTCCTTCTCATCTGACAGTGAGCTGTTGGAAGAATCAAGCTCGCTTCGAAGCCTCACGAACTCATCTGCCAACTCAGGGAATCCTTTCTGGAGGTCCTGGATATCCGTGCGTATCTCATCCAACGATGCAGCGAGTAGTCCACGCCCCTGTTCCAGTATAGAAAGAGCTTCCGAAGGCTTCTTTTTGATCCTGAGAGCTGCTCCTGCTGTATTGGCTGCGAGACCTGCGGCATGGCCCAACAAGTACTGCCTATCAGCTGTTTCAAGCGAGCGCACTGAAGCAAGCATAGGGACCATATCTAGGGCTGCAAGTCCTGTTTCATATGACTGCTCATACTCAGGACATAGCTCCACTATAGCTGTTGCAGCAATGACGCGACGCAAGGGATCACCTGTAGGATGTGTGACTGCTGCTTGATAGTACCCGACTGCTTTCTCCATATCACTATGCAGTTTCGATAACGTAAACTTGCTGACATGTAAACCACCTAGTGTAGTCCAGTGCTCTGTTCTGGATGGAGAGTCGTCAGGTGTGAGGTCCAGAGCCTTTTTTGAGATTTCGATGGCTTCGTTCACATCATCTAGGGAGCCTCCACCGCTCTTCACCTGCTTCTGTAGTAGAATGGCGAAAGTGCTCCTAGCAGTTGATCGTCCAGTATATTTGTTAGTCATTGCGTAAGCGACCTTTCTGCTAAGCCGTATGCTGTCTTCGAGATCCTGCGCCGACTTCAGTGCATCATATCGGCAACTGAGAGCTGAAGCAAGCCGATTCTGATATGTCTCTATGTCCGGATGATCATCTGAAACACAACCGAGTGCTTTTTTTGACATTTTGATTGCTTCATCCAGAAGACTGATATCCCCGTAGCTCCGATTGTACTTCTTTAGTAACGCTGAAGCCAGGTTATGGAGTTGAACGTGCCGATCAGGGTCTTCCTCCGTTGTTGCGTTTAGGGCAGATCTAGCGTAAAATATAGCATCATCGAGATCCACCAGCGAGCCAGTTATACGAGACCGAACAGAGAGTGCTGTTGCCAGGTTATTCAGTACTAATTGGAGACCCGGTTCATCCTCTGACATCACTCTCAGGCTTTCTAGGCCATACCGGACAGACTCGTCAACTTCAGTGGGGTCCCCAGTTCTTTCGTAGAGAGCCATGAGGTTGACGGAAATATTGTTGAGTTGTGTAGGCCAGTCAGGATGAGATTCTCCGCCCTTCTCAATAAACTTTCTATTGAGACTGATGCACTCCTCAAGGTCCTTGAGCATGCCCGTTTCAAGATATAGCGAGTGTAGCCGGAGGTAAAGAAATCGTATGCGAATCAGCCAGTCAGGGTCATCCTCCGAAGTAGGAGCTATTGCTTCTCTGACCATCGAAATCGATTCCTGTAGATCCGCCAGAATTCCTCTTTCAACATAAAGCTCATCAAGAGACAACGCCAGACTGAACTGATGAGCCGGCTTTGCTGCCTCCTGATCTCGTTTGATAGCAGATGATTTGGCTGACTCATTGCTATTCGTGATTACGGACAAGGACTCTCGTCGCAGTTGTACGACCTTCTCTAGATCATCCAACAGTCGAAGATTTAAGTGCCTTAGATCGTACAGCTCGGCGAATGTCTCATACCACATTGCACGGTCATGGTGTTGATCCGAGGCAAGGGCAAGTGCTTGCTCTATATGCATTGAAGCATTGATGAAGTCTTGTTCACTCCCTATTCGATCATACTTCTCTTTCAGTAGTACCCCAAGATTAAACTGTTGTATAACCTTGCTGGGGGTTCCATCTCGCATCTTATGCAATGAAGACTCTGTCAAGACAATTGATTCATTCAGGTCAGACATATCTTCAGTGTGGAAAAAGAGATCGCCCAATTGTAGTCCTAGCCAGTACGAGTACTTATCAAAATCTGCGGAGCCGACGGGTGATGCATCTATAGCTTGGCGTTCGAGAGATGATGCCTCTTGAACATATTTCTGGTCAGGTTCAATGTGCTTGTATCTTTGATAGAGAGACCATGCAAGAGCATGCAGCCATACTGGGTGCTTTTCAGTGCCTTCAACAGTGATTGCAAGCGTCTGTCTTGCCAGAGAAATTATCTCTGGAATTTTAATTGGGTCATCTGACTCTCGATAAGAGGAAACCATTTCTTGCAAAGCATATTCGGCTTCTATAAGCACATCATGGTTGGTCTCGACATCAGGTGACTGCGTCTTTAATGCGCACGATGTGTTTGTTGATTGTTGGTTCATCTTCACGATAGTATATTCAAGGGTTAAGTGCCTTTATTTCTCCTCAAGTCAAGACAAGGGACGAAGGTAGGCCACATGGAAGTTTTGTAATGATGGAGTTGTCAAGAGGCGGATGCGGCTTTTCGTACCTATGCCACGTTACATGGGGTACGCTGACGTTGCTGACGAATAACCTTAACTAAAGATAATTGGCTGGATTGAAGAAGAGGGAAGGGGCTAAATCTGTTGAGATGTTTACCCTCAGAAAATATGCGTTAAAATGAGAGTCGGTCGACAACGTGATTGGTATTTGGGTTCGGGTGTCTAGGGGACCAGGAAGTGGCGTCAAAAGAAGGCTGAAAAGTAAATTTACGCGATTACTTGACTGGTCAAAACAATATGGATCCACACTGTTAAGATGATGCAACTTTGATAAGGCAGAGAAATATGCAGCTTCATGGCCAGCTCTTCCTCTGAAAAGAAAGAAGCCTCAGCCACCGGAAGCTGAAGTACAGAACACATAAGATATAAAGCAGAATGACCCCCGATTAGATAATATAGTGTCCACGTCTTCAATCAAATTTCCGTTCACAAACACCTACTTTCCCTCACCTACCACATTCACCGATCAGAAGAATACCAGTCATGGCACATTGGAAAAAGGAAATAACACCACAATGCATCATGCTCATCTGTGCCTTTGCTACCCTAGCGATTATAGGGTATTATTTCTTGCGGAAGTGGACAAACAGGCTGAAAGCAGGCATGAAGATATGAAAAATGGCTGTGAGATGGCCCGAACCCCCAACCAGATGCCGATATCCAGTCAGGAGTCAATGAGTTCGAGTACGCTTCAACGGAACACGAAAAGGTACGTATTCCGATAATAAAGTTTCTAAAAAAGGTATAAATTTAACAAAAGTATCACAGCAAGAGGACAAGTAACAAGGCTATGCGGTTATAAAAGGAGGAGGTGCCATCCAAAGTAGTAAAGTTAGACAAAGACTACGAAACTCAACTTCCCGTCATTTTTGGCATATCGACTTCGCACAACCGTCATTTCTTTATTCTTGGACTTGACTTATACGTCAACGGGTCCAAGTAGAAACTATGGGCACCACATTCAGCAAATTCAATAACAAAACTTTTGAAATCAGTTGCATACGTATCGGTATTGCCCTTACGGCCTTCGCCTGCCTATTGATCGTGCATCGTTTCTGTACTTATGACAAACGGGGGCGTCATCGCTCTAAAAAACCACCCAAAACCGAAGAGGGATACTGAACGAAAAGCCCTCATCCACCTGGAGTCGTTATGACGAATCATGCGGAGCAGACAACGACGAATGTTGGCGACACAACAACCATTTTTCAACAACATCTATCATGGATATCGACTAGGAGATCTACCCTTCTCAAGTGGTCGGCCAATACACATTGTGGAATCTGTTTGTCCGACCAAAGAAGAACACAGAAAGCAAAGGAATCTTTTCGGGGAGTCACGGGGTTATGTTTGGTATCTTCCTCAATGTTCACAACTTTGATCCGAGTGGCAATTATCGACATCTTGAAGGGGAGGGAATACGGTGGTATCTGATAAGGGCGCACCCTGATGATTAATTTTAAGATTCACGGCATCAAATAGACTTCATTGCTTTCGAACGTGAGCCATTGACGCAAATGATACGTGTCATTTAGTTGATCCAAAGTCTCTTGCTCTCAATTTGACTTGGTAAAACTTAAGTAGCTCCAAGCAACATCAACAGCACGAATTCGGTCTCAATCTCCCTGACTGACGACTTGCTTTAGAGATAACTCATACACCTGATCTGAAACAAACAACATGTCGTATGAGTATTTCAGTTCACATGTAAACGCCAAACATCTACAACTTACGCAGAATCCAGTATTTCAGGTAGCCTCTACGCAGATCATGTCATCTTAGGAGGAAAGGCTGCAAGATATAGACTGATTAAAACGTTCTATTTCTCGCCATTTCTGACTAACTACAGAGTTTTAAGTTATTTCTTTGTTTGTCCGGCGAATATTTGTGTAGTTTGTCCACTAGATCATACAACCTTGGGCAGCGGACCTCTGACACAACTTTACCAAGGGAGCTCTTGGCCTTTGTTCGTGACGAACTTGCCCGAAGTCTTCTCTCGAGTAGCGCCATCAATTATCTCGAGCATGTCCTTGACAGATCTTTCGACACTCTCAAGCATGGCCAAAGGGAATCCCCACTCCGTCGCGGCCGCATCACCCATCTCCGTGCTCACAAAGCCTGGGTGAAGCGCAAAAGCAACCAAACCATCATTTTGCACATGCAAAGCCTGCGTAAGCCAGTTTAAAGCGGCTTTACTAGGCCCATATGCGCCAGCGACAACCTCCTGGAAAGTAATACATCCAACTGATGAAGAGACATTGACAACTTTAGGGGCAGAAGACATCTGCAAGTACGGCCAAAGGCCCTGAGTGACGGTAAGGGGACCGATAGTGTTGATCTCAAAAGACGATCGAAGATCACTGGTGGGTATCTCAAGTACTGGGTGACTTGGGGGGCTGAAGGCGGCGTTATTGATCAGTACGTCGACGCGATCAACGTCAAAGGCGGCCCTGATGTACTCAGGAGAGAGGGCAGTGGAAAAGTCCAACTGGACGACGGAGATGGTACTGCCATCACCTCTTGGGGCGTCTTCAAGAGCAGCTTCAAGAGATGACTGCGACTTGTCACTGCGGACAGTCGTAAAGACAGTGGAATGGGCACGAGCGACAAGAGCTCTGACAAGTCCAAGGCCTATGCCTCTGTTACCTCCAGTAATGACATAGACGGTGTTTGTGTTGTTAGACGTCATGATAATCTTAGGCAAAACAGGCGTAAATGAAAAGGGGCAATGCTTTCAAAAGGGGCAAGGTATTTATGAAAGCAAGATTCGTACTGACGAACGAAAAGAAGGGCTGCGTCTTATAAGTGACGACCAGCGTGATTTACCATGGTCAGCACCCGGCCAATGAAGCGCTGCGTGGAATGGATTATTGATCATCCGTCTTCTCAGCCTTGGCGGGTGTAAGTGAACCAACAATGAAGAGACGCAAGTTGCACAAAGGGACCTATGGGAGAAGGGCTCCTGAGCATCCTTACCGGACACACATGATGGGGGCGGACTTCATACTATGATGACTTTGCTAGAGACTGAAACCACTTGCTGTAATTGATTCACTGAGTTCTATCAAACCCAAAAACCCGTACAGCGGTTGTTTTGGTCGGTGTTGGCAAAACGTCCCCATACGATCCAAGTGCGTGGTTAAATAGAAAAGTGACATATGTTCCTTGAAGAACTTCGAATTTTAAGAGTCGCCTGAAATACAACATCTTCCAGGAGAAAAACACTTCTCTACCTTGGCGCGTCTACAGTACACCAAACAGCTCATTGTAAGTTGCCTCTTGACGCTGACTTGACTCATGCCCAACACTGTCATTCGGATGGCTCCCAAGAAATCTCCCGAGCCTTTTCGCTATTCCAAGTTCGGTCCTGCATTTTTGTTGGTAATCTTGTTATACACCCAATATGTTGACATGTTTATCAAAAATGATTCGAGCGTAACCTTCCATCGAAGGTTGGGGCAAGAACCCAGTTGGTGCATTTGTCGCCAGATGTCACCGAGGCAGCTGTGGATTGTTGGCGGTGTCTCCTGGTCTAGTAAGTTTTCGAAAAGGAATTATTTGAACTTTAGGGCATAAACAAGAATATGTAGCATAAGTATAACCTACAGATCATAAATTAACTAACAATTTTCGTCTCTTATGCCTCAAGAAACCAAAACTTCTGACACCCTGCTAACATCAGTTAGGCAAGTGGAGTATCTGAAGTCTCATTATTCAGCATCTTCTATGACGTTATGAACTCATCAGAACATTACAAATCATCCCTCAAGTCTCACTCTTGGCGTATCTCCAACACACAAGTCTAATTGAACAAATTTCATGATGAAGGCGATCCAGATCAAAGAGTTCAACGCACCCTACTCCGTGTCAGAAGTAGATAAGCCCAAACCCAAACCCCACCAACTTCTGGTTCAAATCAAGGCGGGCGGGTTTTGTCACACTGATTGCATGGCACTCGGAGGGGAATTCAACTCAAAGCTACCATTTATTGGATCCCACGAACCAACTGGCGTTGCTGTGGAAGTTGGTTCTGAGGTTCAGGGTTTTGCGGAAGGTGATCGTGTAGGATGTCTCAACTTTGACAGCTGTTGCGGTAAGCATGGGTACTGGGGGAGCATTGACAGCTGTTCTGATAAATAATACAGGAAAGTGCCCGGACTGCAAGGCTGGAAAGCCCATATACTGCGACGCTCCTCTCATGAAGGGAATCACTGCGGATGGAGCTTGGGCAGAGTACATGGTAGCGTGAGTATGCTCTATCTTGGCCTTGCGGAACCTGCTAACTATTTCCAGCGATGCTCGTTTCGCAGTCAAGCTACCTGATGCACTCGAATTTCCCACTGCAGCCTGCATGATGTGCGCAGGTGCAACCATATACGGAGGAATCAAGAACGCCAAGGTTCCAGCTGGAGGTTCGATTGGCATAGTCGGTATTGGTGGTTTAGGGCATATCGGAACCCAATTAGCAAAGGCAATGGTACGTACAACTTCTTTCGGATGCAAACTGAGTCTAACGTACATACAGGGCTATCAAGTCGCTGCTATCGACGCCAAGCAAGACACCTTGGATCTCGTCTCATCCTACGCCCTCAAGCCCGACGTTTGCGTTCTTGCGTCTGACTCTCCCGAATCTTCCATGAGGAAAATCACAGACGTTATTAAAAGCGATTATCCAGGTCTCGACGCGACAGTCATTGCGACAGACGCACCCGCAGCATTCGATCTCGCTGCCCAACTCACGCGCAAACACGGCACGATGGTCCTCCTAGGCCAGCCCGAAAAGGGCATCACGCTATCTTATCAAAATATTATTTTTCGAGATATAAAGCTGGTAGGATCTCTCCTCGCAGATCGCCCTGTGTTGGAAGAGCTCTTGGAGCTGGTTGTGAAGCATGATATCCAGGTCGAGATCAAGGAGTGGAAGATTGAAGATGCTGAGAAAATGAGGCAAGAATATTTGACGGGCAAAAACAGCGGCAAGAACGTAATCGTATTCTAGTTTACGATGTTGGTGAATATAAAACTGTTGGGATCAGTCCACAGTGGCGGGTAGCAGAAACATCCTCCTAAGTCTTAAGGTATAAAAATAAATTACCTAAGAAACATAGCCTAAGTAGCATAAACTGACTCACTAATTTCGTCTCCTATGCCCCTAGCGTGATGCAGTTTAAATACCCTGATCTCATAACGAGATAAGCTCACTTCATCTAACCACTAACATCGACCGATTGACATGCTAAACTGATCCCCGAACACGAACACGTTTATTTTTCGGTTTCAATACCAATCGTTATCCTTTTTCGCATTCATTTTGTGGTCAACCCTTTTTTCTTCCTTCGCAAATTAGATAAACGCCGCGGGCTCCCGCGGAATGCCAAGCGAGATCATCCCACAATAACCTGATGGTGATCCTATTTCCATCAAACTAAAAAAAGGAGAGATTTGTTTTAAATCTCCGACGTAAATCCATTTTATTCTCGGGCTTATATAACAGTCGATCTGCAGAATATCTTGGATTCCATGTTCTGTATTGCTGATACTCATCATGGCTACCAAACTTCACTCATCAAGACATCACGGAAATAAATACAAGCGATCAGACCACTTCTCGCTGAAGAAATGGCTTATTGATAATCAAATGGGTAAGTAAAATTATATCCATCGTCATTACCCTCACCGACATACGTTCCCACAATACTGACTTTGGTAGGCATATGCCTCACTTTGCTCGCCCCGTTACTGCTTGCCCAATGTAACGCCGTCACGCGTGCTTTTACGGAAAAATTCACATCGCTATCTTATTTGAACCCCGAAACAGGGGAATATGGCGTCGGCTTTGGCGACAATTATTTGGTGGTAGTCCTGATCGTTCTCTTAACTGGTCTTCGCGATGGGACGATGCGCTTCGTTCTGGGGCCGATTGCCTCAGCATGGGGTTTGGGCAAAGACAAGTCAATGAGGTTCAAAGAGCAGGCGTGGTTATTTATCTACTATTCCACATGTTGGTCTGTGGGCACTGTATGTTTGTTTATACCTCCATCTACTGGGTTTCTGCTAATATCCTATCCCTAGTATATTTATGCTACATCTCCATATTGGCTGGATCTCAAGGCTATGTGGACGAATTGGCCCAATCGCGAGGTCTCAGGCCTTATGAAATCTTATATGCTAGCTCAACTCGCTTTCTGGCTGCAGCAGATAATCGTCGTTAACATTGAGAAACGTCGAAAGGATTACTGGCAGATGATCTCTCATCACATTGTCACCATCGCTCTAGTGTACAGCTCGTACCGTTACGGCCTCACCCGCGTTGGTAATGTGGTGTTGATATTGATGGATCTCAATGATCTGATATTCTCAGTGGCCAAGTGCCTGAAGTACATGGGACTTCAAACCTTGTGCGATATCATGTTTGGTGTGTTTGTTGTCAGCTGGGTGCTTTGCCGGCACGTTGCATTTGTTATGGTTTGCTGGTCTGTCTACGCCCATAGCTTGGCCATTGCAGGTTCAACGTGTTACATTGGCTCAGGAAAAAATATTGACGGTCCTAGACTTGTGCCACAAGGGTATTTTTACATGTTTGAGCCACTGATATACGACTCTGGGCGGATCTGCTACGACTACACCATCAAGTCACTCTTCCTTAGCGGTCTATTATTCTTGGAGGGTTTGATGATTTTCTGGCTTGTTATGATTATCAAGTTGGTCGTCAGAGTTCTCCGTGGTGGAAATGCAGAGGACACGCGCAGCGACGATGAAGGAGAGGCCGAGGAACAAGAGATCATGGCACCTATACAAGTTGTGGTTGATACGGAGAAGTTTGAATGTCCATTGCGTTTTTCATCCAGTGGAAGAGGCACATCGTGTGTTTTCCAGACAACAAGTGGTTTGACGATTGGGCAGGAAAAGAAAAACTATTTAGGTCGAATCGGCTGCGAGCAGAGGATATCACGTTGAAGATGATTACAACGTGGGTCAGATATGCCTTCTGTTTCAATAGTCCTATATTAGAATACGTAATGTTTAATGGCTACAAGAACTCGCCTTCCACAACAAGTATTATGACCGATGTCATTTCCTGCATGTTTGTCTCAGATTTGACCGATGAGTATGCAAGTATTTTTATCAGCTGTCAAGACGGCACGTTCGATACCGAGCAGTTGCCAAGTTCATAACCACATTGATATCAACAACCCTCAGGGAATCACAAAAAATAAACACTTAAAGCATAAGAGACGAAATTAGCAGGCCACTTTATGCTGTTTAGGTCATGATATTAGGTTATTTATTTTCGTACCCTATAGCTTTGAGGGATTCTTTTCTACTACTACCCACTAGACAACGAAATGCCTGGAACCTTTGGCTTGGCATAGATTCATCGACAATCTCGGATTTCTTGTCAAATTATATCCGGTCTCAAAGCATATACTGCCCATACTATTACCAGTCACTGATGAGTATTGGCAATGGTAGGGTATCTCCTGTTCGTTGCTCGATTTCTAATGATTGGAAATCAGTAGAGTTCTGACTTGACTGCTCTTGGCCATCATTCCATCTCATCCCATTCAACACCGATGGTACTTTAGTCAAAACTATATCGTACCCAGAAACAAGACTATCCCACATTGCCGATGCTTCCTTTGTCACAAAAGATCTTACCACGAAGCTCTCCTCGTTAGCTATCTAGCTAGATGAAGCCTAGCGCCAAGAGGTCTTCCAAGGTGAAGAGTGGCGAAGGCCCGAAGCGAAGGCCTCATCCCTGCGCGCTCTTGTCAATCTTCGCATGATATTCATTACCCTACCCCGCACGCAATAAACGATCATCAGTGCATTGATTCCAAATCAGAATTGTGTCCAGGCGAGTCTAGGAAGGAAGAAGACTGTAGGCCGATGATTCGGGAAGTTCTGTTAGTCCTTTGGGGATTAGGTTTCCCGTGCTATGCCGCATGCTCGCATTGTTCTTTAACAATGGACTGTAACACCTACCTATAAAGTGGCTTGCTAATAGATGCAGGTACATTACACCAGAGCCGAGTAGGGTAAAATAACACTAAAAATAGAGTTGTTATGTGACACCGAGCGAACGCGCGCGAATCACAGGACGGTGATTGAGAGAAAATGTGTTTGTGTGTGGCTTGAAAAGTGATGGGTTACTCATGCAGGGTATCCACGGCTCTTGTGAAGCCATCAACTGCGCCATGAACCTGCAGAGGGGCAATCTTGAAGAGTTAGAGAGCTTCTGTTTTAGTCGAGCAATATCGTTCAGCGATAAGATTCTCGGCGCAGGGGTAGACAGACAAGACCGGATGATTGTTGCCACCCTTGACAGGAAAGGCAATAGTTGGGGGTCTTATGCGGTGACATCGTCGATAGAGTTGCCGTTCTAGCGCTGCAGGATAACCGAGGTGATGGAATCGTTTTGATTGAGCGCTTTGATGCTTGGCTTTCACCAAGTAGCCAACAGAGAGGAGCAAACCAGATCATTTTTGTGTGATTGTGATAGAGGACATTTATCGCAGAGCCAAGAATGCGTGCAGAAGTCGGTATTTTCCATGGCTATTATTAGAAATAAAGTCTCGGCGAAGGAACATGCACTTTGCTCTGTTGTTGAGAAGGATGAGCCCCAGTTGACTGAGTGAGAATTGATGGATCAGACAAGGTCGCGTAATGGGCCATGCATGCATCTGACCCCGAAGTGCAGTTTTGTGCTGTGCTGTGCTTACAATAATAAGCTCAGCTACGAGCCAAGACCAGAGACAGCAGCTTACCCTTGTCACGAGGTTGCTTGCTGTCAACGTCAGCATCCAATACTTGAAATCTGATTCGTACAGGCTGTTCTTGGCTTTTGTGCATTTAATCTGCTGTACCCAAGACATTGACTGCGGTCAGATAATGCTCAAGCCCTAAAGACGCTAGGATCCATCCACAGCAGAGTACAGGTTGCTAAGTGCGCCGCGTTTTGATACGGAGTGACACAGCATTCGAGGCCACCGCAACAATTGTCATTGTCTCAGTTTTACAGTATCTTCCCAACTTGTACAAAGTGACTGTCCCTTGATGATGAATTCGATCAAACCAACTGATTGATGTACATCAACTCGGAAAAGTGACACGGCATTTGGACTTGCTTAGGGCCATTTCCTCCGGGCCGCCTCCACGGCATTACATTGATTAATCTGTTTCACTAAAGCCCGATTGGACCACCTACGGGCACAAGCGGTGGGGGTTTCGGGGACATTAGTGGGATGGACGAGACACACTTGGCGTTGCAGTCCACTGAATGATTCCCAAATTATTGAGCCAGTCTAGAAACCGACAAAGAACGCGCCCGTTTACAAACTTTGTTAAATGAAGATCCCTTGAATAAAGCTTAATTAGTCTCAAATCGAATGATTCCGTGACCGAAAGTTTATATCAGGCTAAAATTACCACCTTCTTTGCCTGATATCTCACGTAAACGAATAGTAATGCAGAAGCCGTAATACTTAGCCACTGATTTGACCTTCTGTAAACATACCTAAATCCCTGTCGGCAGTTGGGGTACTAACTGCAGGCTTGGAGAAAGAAGGCTTGGACTTGGACTTGGGCCTTGTAGGGTACCGCTTATCAGGGTCCCATCAGAATCAGCACTTGATTTCTCCGTCTCCACACCCGCTACGGAAGAGACAACTAGACAAGGTATCGTCACCGCCTATCACCATCTGTTTGGAGTAAGAAACACCACAAGGGGAGCCCGGCTTCGTAGCCTAACACTGCAGAGGCCCCAGCATGACGTTGATGTTGGTGCTTAGAAGAGAAGGCTGCGTACTTGGCAAAAAGGATGCACTTTCTGCTTTGCACACGTGCTACAGCCCACCACCAACCTTGACCCTGTCATTTCCTTGTAAACAGCCTCCTTGCTTTTGACTTTGCCCCATCGCAAATAGCTACCCGCATGAAAGTGAGCGACTTGTCTTGTACCTTTCTTGATCGTAATGGCTTATCCCAGCATTTGACTTGTTGCAGGACGCCATATTCCACTAACAGTACCGGCTTGGTCGTTGCAGCCCCTGTAGATCCAAACAGCCTAGTTTCACTCCCGCCGCCTACAAAACTAAACATAAATCCACCTCAAATTCGTCACACAACACAGGTCTACTTACCCACTCATCTACTCGCTCTGTCAGTATCACCATACATACAGATCTGACAAGACAAGAGACCTATTCGTTATGCACGCCAAATCTCTCTTGCTGGCTACTGGCCTTGTGCCACTTGTAGCTGGCGACTGCCCCTTCGCCGCCAAGCGTGATACCCAACAGAACTTGTTGCCACCAAGAGAAATCTCCGAAGACTTTGGACGATGCCGCGTCGCCAGTAACCAAGCTGGTGGTGGTTCAAGAACCAAGGACTTCTGGCCTTGCCAGCTACGACTCGATGTTCTTCGACAATTTTCGCCCCAGATCAACCCACTAGGCGAGGAGTTTGACTACACCGAAGCGTTCCAGTCTTTGGATTGTGAGTACCCGTACTACCAGTTTAATGGACAAGTTGCTAACAACTTTCAGTCGAGGCTCTTAAGAAGGACATCCACGAGCTTCTTACTGATTCTCAGGACTGGTGGCCTGCTGACTTTGGTCACTACGGTGGTCTCTTCATCCGTATGGCTTGGCACAGCGCTGGTACTTACCGTGCCATGGACGGTCGCGGTGGTGGTGGAATGGGTCAACAGCGATTCGCTCCTCTCAACAGCTGGCCTGATAACCAGAACCTTGACAAAGCCCGTCGTCTGATCTGTATGTATTACTACTACGTCTGAGAACTCGCATTCTAACCAACCCAGGGCCTATCAAGCAGAAGTACGGCAACAAGATCTCTTGGGCTGATCTTATGCTCCTCGCTGGTAACATCGCCCTCGAGAGCTCAAACTTCACAACTCTTGGTTTCGCCGGTGGCCGTCCCGATACCTGGCAAGCCGACGAGTCCATCTACTGGGGTGCCGAGACCACTTTCGTCCCCAAGGGTAACGATGTCCGCTACAACGGTAGCACTGACATCTACGAGCGCGCCAACAAGCTCGAGAAGCCTCTTGGTGCCACTCACTTTGGCTTGATCTACGTCAACCCTGAAGGTCCTGATGGTAGCTCTGACCCCAAGGCTTCGGCCCTGGATATCCGAGAAGCCTTTGGCCGTATGGGTATGGATGATGAGGAGACTGCTGCTCTAATCATCGGTGGACACACCCTTGGAAAGACCCACGGTGCTGTCCCTGGAAGTAAGTAGTCATGAGCTTCAAAGACAGACTGAGTGTTGACTAACTGTTGCGCAGAAAATATTGGCCCTGAGCCCGCGGCTGCTGACCTTGGAGAGATGGGTCTCGGATGGCACAACAGCGTTGGTGAGGGCAACGGTCCCAACCAGCAGACCAGTGGTCTCGAAGTTATCTGGTCCAAGACCCCTACCAAGTGAGTCTCACCACCTACTACTTCCCCTCCACTCTCACTAACGAATACCAGGTGGAGCAACCACTTCCTTGAGAGTCTTCTCGGCAACAAATGGACTCTAGTTGAGTCACCAGCAGGCGCCCACCAGTGGGAGGCTGTCAATGGTACACTCGACTACCCTGACCCATTCGACAGCACCAAGTTCCGCCGCGCTACTATGCTCACCTCTGATCTTGCCCTCATCAACGACGAATCTTACCTCAAGATCTGCAAGCGCTGGCTCAAGAACCCCGAGGAGATGAACGAGGCTTTCGCAAAGGCATGGTTCAAGCTTCTTCACCGTGATCTCGGACCCACTTCTCGATACCTCGGACCTGATGTCCCCAAGGAGAAGTTCATCTGGCAAGATCCCCTCCCTGAGCGAAAGGGAGATGTTATCACCGACGAGGATGTTTCTAGCCTCAAGGCTGCTATTCTCGAGACCGAGGGTCTGGATATTTCCAAGTTAGTTTCTACTGCCTGGGCTTCTGCTTCTACCTTCCGTGGAACCGACAAGCGTGGCGGTGCCAACGGTGCTCGCATTGCTCTTGAGCCTCAGGTCAGCTGGGCCAGCAACAACCCAAAGCAGCTGAAGCAGGTCCTGTCCGCTCTCAAGAGCGTCCAGAAGGAGTTCAACGGCAAGTCCGAGTCTAAGCAGGTTTCTCTTGCCGATCTGATTGTTCTCGGTGGTGTTGCCGCTGTTGAGAAGGCTGCCAAGGACGCCGGTTTCAAGGACATCGAGGTTCCCTTTACCCCCGGTCGTGTCGATGCTACTCAGGAGCAGACCGATATCACTCAGTTCAACTACCTTGAGCCTCTCGCCGATGGCTTCCGCAACTACGGACACGGAACTGCTCGTGCTCGCGCAGAGGAGATTCTCGTCGATAAGGCCGCTCTCCTCACTCTTACCCCACCCGAAATGACCGTCCTTGTCGGTGGTCTTCGCGCTCTCAACGCCAACTTTGACGGTTCACCCAACGGTGTTTTGACTGAGAAGAAGGGTCAACTGACCAACGACTTCTTCGTCAACCTGCTGTCCCCTGCTTTCAAGTGGTCCAAGAAGGACCAGCGCGGTGAGCTCTGGACTGCCACTGACCGTGCTACCAAGTCCACCAAGTGGACTGCCACGCGTGCTGATCTCGTCTTTGGATCTCACGCTGAGCTCCGTGCTATTTCTGAAGTTTACGGCAGCGCTGATGCCAAGGAGAAGTTTGCTAAGGACTTCGTTGCTGCCTGGACCAAGGTCATGAACCTCGATCGCTTCGACGTCAAGGTCAAGAAGGAGAGCAAGTAGAGATGTGCGTTAATGGTTTGAGGCACTTGCCCCTTTTCTGTTTTAGACTTAAATATTTCCCTCTTCCTTTTACATATTGCGATTAGCCTTTACTTTAGTTCATACTATTTTCGTACAAAAGAATACATTAAAAACATTCACGTCCAAAACTTACGCGTTTAGCATTTGAAGGCTATCTATCAGTTTTACATATTCGAACTTGTTGAATAAGATGACAACGTGCTTCAGATGGACTATACTTGGCGGAGAAGAGTTTCGAATTCTAAGGGCCTCATAGTATCAGAAAACTACCTGCTGGAAGCATAAGAGACGCGATTAGCGGGTCCGTTTATGCTCCTTAGACCATAGTCCTTAGACCATTTATTTTTATACCCTAAGACTTAGGGGCTAGCTTTTTTGCTACCCGCTATAGGGGGGATATAGTATGGAAGCAGCTTTATGTGGATTTGCAAACAAAGCTTACCACCTACAACAAACGTGTTGTTGGGTCCCCAGAAAAGCGAAAGGTTTTCTGCCTGCTCCAGCACTAGCCTCTTGGAATGCGAACTTCAAGTTTATAGCAGAGCAATTTGGCAACGCTTTTACACTCGTTGGATGCGATCCACCTGACATCAAAGACAAATTCTGATCTGCTTCAGGAGTAGATCTTGCATGGCAAACCTTGGACAAGATCATCGAATGCGACTTTTGCAAGTACTTCAAGTCTTCTGAGAAAACCCACTACACGAGAGATCCAAATCGGACTGATACCTGGGTATGTACACGCTGTTCATAAATGAATCGCCCTTGCACATATACCCCGAGAAGCGTGTCACTGGAACTTTGGGGAGTTGATCCGCCGTATCTGAGACCGGCTTCCGGCGAACTTTCGCAGTATCCGACTGGGCCGCATCACAAGCTCGCCTTTCACAATACGATGTCTTTTGGACAGATCAACACGCCAGTTCGCATTCCAACGCCATTCACTATGCAGCCACTTGAGATCCTGGGGTTGGAGGAACAAAACGATCTCCTGGCACCTGACAATGAAGCCGAACATGAAGATGGAGAATATGAGTGATTGGGAAGGCAATCACACCATAGTTCGCAATGAGGTTGTGTTGTATTGAGCGGAGGGGAGAAAATGAACAATGAGATATAATTGCTAAAGACATTTACTTACATGGGTTAGCACTGTGATTAATGGGTAAAAGGGAGTAAGGAAGATGAAAAACAAGACATAATTGCGAAAAATAGTCACTGGTATTATTAGCTTTATAAGTAGTAAGGATTAATGGCAACAGGGCAAGTTGCGAAGACGGCTTTGAAAGCTTATGCTGTCAAGATGTATAGACTCCTTTACCCACCAAGCGTTTACCTTGAGGCGGTTAAACGTCGGCAAGCTCGGTTTTTTCAACGTCAATGAATTACATTCACCTCAACTCCTTGCTTACACTCTCTTTCTTCTACCACTTATCTTTACCGCCTGGATACAGAAATTATTTAGCAAGATTATATTTGAGAGTTTCATACAATTAAGAATACTTGCGAACAGATCCGACCAGCAGGGTAGAAGCGCGTCTATATATCATTGTCGTTTCTTCAACAACTAGAGCAGCGCTTCCATATGACATCGTCATCTCAGCAAAGGTTAGATTATATGAAATTTACTAAACACAATCTATCATCTTTGCGAAATACAGGCTAATATACATAGTAGGTAGTACTCAAAGCTAACACGTTGTGAAAACGACAGATTAGCATGATCTTTGCGAAAAGTACAGATGCTAGCACCGGGATGTCAGATAACAGCTTGCAAGCTCTTGAGGATTTAGACACCACCTGAAACAACTGCTAAAGATCATAGAGCAAGATTCAATTCGAAGACAGTGCAACATGGGGCATCAACTTGACGGGGAATTGTGTCTCTTGGAATATGCTGAAATAACTGCAGAATCTCAATATGTAGGTCTCGCAATCTTCTCAGTTGGAGCCTGAAACCACGTCGCTGCGCAAGTCCTGGATAATGCCATAAGAAAAGATTCCAGAATCTCAGTATGTGGGCTTCGTAACTTCAAAAAATGCATCAGTTGACTTCTTAGCTGCAGCCACAGAGATGAAGCGGTGTGTGCCTGTGTGGCACCGTGTACACTCTGCAATGTTTCAATTCGCACTGGCTCTTTTGCTGAACATTCGCAAAATGCTATATGAGCTTCAAATAAGCCAAGATGGAAATTTGGCTAAGGGAGACTGAATACGCTTTTGACCTGGTAGGAGAAACTGGTACTTAAAGGGCAGTAGTCTAATATTCGCAATATCAGTTTATTAAAAAACAGTGTGACTAGGATGTTGAATTTTAACCTGGTAAACCTCCTTTACTTACTAATTGTAAAATTGCAAAATTGCAAGATATATCTAATAGATAAAAAGAAGAAGAAAAAGAAAAAGTGACAAGTGAAAATAGTAGTGGTAAAGAAGAAGATTTATCTTAGTGTATTGCAAAATCTTTAAGTGTATCTGGATAGTGATTTCATCTGAATAGTTTTTATGTACTGGACAACATGCAAGTAGTGATATCTTACAGTTACTCTAGGTAATTGATACAGATTCAGACAATTAGTGAATGACAACTTATATAGTTTGCGAAGGACGATTGTGGTCTATCTTGAGCTCTCTCACTTCCCTTGTACCAGCCAGGTAAGGTGTGCTATAGCCACGTAATTGTGCACGTGATATCCCTCACGTCCAACAACAATTCACTCGACCAAATGCAACAGGGACAAGGAAGTAATCATGTAGAAATCATAAACATTATATTCTGTATCTCATAGTGCGTTTTTTGCACCCTCTATCGTAAAGTTAAAGCTCTAAAAATGCTTCTAATTAAACCTGTGGTGTTTGTTCCATTTCAATCATCTAAGCCATGTCGCTAGCCTTCTTCTCGTACTGCTCAACAATGACATCATTCTTCTCGTTGTCAGTGATCTCATCGACATGAGACTCGGGAGTCTTCTCGACGAGGATCTTCATGCCGCCACGGACCCAGCACACAGCGACGTAGCCGAGAACGTAGACAAGGCCAATAGTAGGGACAATATAGCTGATACGAGTGCCCTTGGCATCAGCAATCGCTCCTTGGATAGGGGGGAATACAGCTCCGCCTGATACACCCATAACGAGGATACCAGCAGCACGTCGAGTGTGTCGGCCAAGGTTGGCGGTACCGAGGGCGAAGATTGTGGGGTACATGGGAGCCTCAAAGAAGAAGATGGCAATCAGAACACCAATGGAGGCAGCACCGGAACCAGCACTGCAGTAGGCAGTGAGGGCGATGGCGATACAAGAGTAGACGACCATGATGAACTCGGCCCGGAGGAAGACAGCCAAGCCGGTGGCAAAGAAGCGGCCAACGGTGAAGGTGATGAGAGCGTAGCTAAGCATGTTGCTGGCAGAGGCAGTAGAGACACCACCGTTCTCGTGAGCGTAGTTGATGAAGAAGGTGGCGATGGTAACCTGGGCACCAACGTAGCAGAACTGAGCACCGAAGGCGAACCACATGTTGTACTGCTTCCAGATGGAGCCCTCGTTGCTGTGTCCAGCCTCATCCTCGATAACAGCCTCGGAGATCTCAGGAAGCTTGGCAAAGAAGAAAAGAACAGCAACAGCGGCACCAGCACAGGCGACAGCGAGGTAGACAAACTGGACATTGGTAAGGCTGTTCTGGTTCTCACCAGTGAAGAAGAACTTGGAGGCGATCAAGGGACCAATGAACGAGGCAACACCGTTCCAAGACTGGCAGAACTGGAGGCGAGCGTTGGCACTTGCTGGGTCACCGATGACGACTGCATAAGAGTTGGCAGAAGTCTCGAGAGTGGCCAGGCCGCAAGCAATCACGAGTGTACACGCGCAGAAGCCGCCGAATACTGCGCGTCCGTTGGCATTGGAGTCGGCCGACTTGGCAACGGGCCAGAACAGGATGGCACCAAGAGAGTAGAGAGAAAGACCCATCAGAATGGTTTGCTTGTAACCTCGTCGCTTAAGAACCTCGGCGGCAATGGGAGAGAATAGCAAATAACCCTGTGAGATGATTAGCATGTTGTACAAGGTGACATCTGTGATCAACCACTTACACCACCAAAGTACATGACCTGGAGGCCAGTGGACTCGAGACGGCTAATGCCGAGAACAGTTTGGAAATGCTTGTTGAGGACATCGAGAAGACCGTAGGAGAAACCCCAGAGGAAGAAGAGAGAGATGACGAGGGAGAGGGGGAAGATGAGGGCGCGGCCCTTGAGGTAGCCGCCGGCCAATTGAGGCGCCGCAACAGGAACACCACCAGCCATTGTGATATAGAGATAAAAAGACAAAGAAGTCTAAATGATCTATCAGATTAAAGCTGATGAGATTGAATTGATTGATGAGGAGATGAGTGCTGATGAACAAGAATTGTTTGGAGGTGATGCAAGCACATCTTTATACAAATCTCTCACCCCAGACTTCACACCAAAAAAGCCCAGATTTTATCGCCCCGACACTAAAACCAAGAGTCGAATCCACTTTCCCCAACACTCCTCATTCTAAAAATCCCCAGACTCCAGACTTGGGGTTGGAGTCGGGTCAGTGTGGAGGATGAGCAGCTACTAGCGGAGTAAACAAGCTTCTCCATAGCTCCACGACCCCAACTTGCGAAAAAAATCTTGTTGGCCAACAGTCCAGTGACACTGACGGCGTCGCCTAACCCGGGTCCATGAATCGAGACCAGTCTGGGGAAGAACCATAAAACAAGCTACGAGTGGGGGAGGAACAAGCTCAACCAGTCGTCTTCTTGGAGTCAGACGCCAAGGAGACCATGTCCCCAACTTAGACTACATCAGGCAAAGGCTCTGTGGAGAGCTGTTGCAGGTCGGACCGACAATACGGCCGTTGATGGCTTCACTAAATAAGCTTAGCAGGTCAAGGCGCCGCTTTGTAGATCTTCCGGGGCGACATTCAATTCGCTGTTGAGCGACAAAACGGGTTCTCAAGGCTTTGAACTATTCGGGCCTTTACACACGGTCCAAGGCACGCTATTGACCGGCATCGGCAGTATCTCCCTAGTTGAGGGCGAGAGCGAGCTACAAGGCTGGATGGGTGAGCTGTTGATTCGACGCGCTACCTCTTGCTTTGTGCTTGCATCATGCCATTGGACCATCAGGCTCCAAAGTTGCACGCCAGATGGAGGTAATTTGTGAAATGGTTGCACAGTTGATAGCCCCAACTAGTGAATCAAGCTTCAAAGCAAGTCTGTTGTTGAGCAGCTTCTCCTCAGGGTATCAGAAAAATTGACTGCTGGAAGCATAAGAGACGAAATTAGTAGGTCACTTTATGTTCCTTAGACTATGGTTCTTAGACTACTTATTTTTATACTCTAAGACTTAGGAGGCTATTTTTTCTGCTGCCCACTAGCTTCTATGAGGTTTTTACTCTGTGAATGCATGCCATGTGCTGCACACGATCAAGGATAGCTCCCCTGGCTCACTTTTGGAGTACATCTTGGCACTCATCATCCTTGATAGATTGGGTACGCATCACTCACTAGACTGGCTCGAAAGCCACAGATCTGTTGCATCCGGCCCGTATATGATGCCACTGGTCCAACAATTGGGGTCAATCTTTACCCAAAACACGCGGTCATTCAAACCGCGTTAATTAATATCGCGCAATTGCCAGCATAAAGGGGTCGATGATCCAATATGACTGACAGTCCAAGGACGAAGGGAACAAATCCTTCCTTGATCCTGGCCTGGCCTGGCCTGAGCTTTGTCGCAGCGAGAACTATACCCTAGCTCACTGAGGGGAACGCAGTCTGGCCTTGGCAAAATGAAACAAGAGAATTGGGGAAATCCTCCGGAATGCGTCTGCAAGAAATCCCATTCTCGTCAAGTCACCCGTAGTCGTGAACGTAATCTCAAATCTGGGTCTAACCCCTTTGTGGTCTGGTTGCGAAAATGCTTCCAGGAAGATTCGATTCCTTCTAATGGCCACGTGAGGTCCGAAAATCAAACTCTTTAACGTTAGTCCCAGCAAAGACTGCAGCGATAGCTTGTGCAGACGGGCGTAACCGATTCATGAGGGCTGCAGAAATAGTGGCTAAGCCGTTTTTATCATGGCTGTAGGACGGTTTGGCCCGACAAGCCACTTTAGATCCCATCCAAACTTTTGCATACACAACGAATTTTACAAGCTTGTCTTTTGACATTCGATGGTCTGTCTAGTCCCTTACACATGCGGTTACCTTGGGCGGCTTTGCCTTGATCAAGATTTCAGATGTCGCCACTATCGATGCTGATGTGTTTGATGGGCACCCGAGAAACTGAAGACACAGTTGATTGATCCTGGCGTGAAAGTGAGAAAATAATCAAGGAAAAATCACTTTCAGCTCACGAAAATTCAAGTTAGTGAATTGGTTGTTTCTGCTCTCTTCAATGAACTGTCTCCACTAGCCTGGAATCAAATTAATAGTCTGAGCTTGAAGCTAATGCATCCACTTTGCCTCATCGTTGCTGTGATGCCCGAGCTTGTACTGTGTAATGAACAGGCATGAATAGGTTGATGTATTAACAGGGTTGTTGACTGTTTCGTAAACATGCTTGCCACCAAAACTGATATTTGAATGCAAGCTTTCGGTGGTGAAATGTCTCGCCATATAATAATACAAGTCGAAAAACCAGAGCAATGAATGATATTGTCAACTATCGAAGAATGATGTTGGCATTCCTACGGTTTGGTTCTTGGGATGCCAGGTTTAAAGAAGTAACAGATCTAGGGTAGTTTTCGATGAAGAGGGACAAGACGCGCCACAGATAACGCGTTTAGATTGGACCCATAAGTATCTGATATGTTATCTAATCTTATCTGCTCCACGGGGTCGGATGGTCAAACTGTTAAACCGGCCCAGCCACAGCCACATGCCGTTTTAGAACCGTTTCCTGAACGGTGAGACAAACGGGGGTTAGTCCCCGCTTGTTGAATGACCGAACTTGTGGATGAATTTACCGAGCCCGAGCTTTGACGTAAGGTATCCCGATAACACGAAGACGGGTATAAGTAGATAGCGGACATTGAGTGAATCACTTGGTAGTTTTCTTCAAAGTCAGATAAAATGAGTAACCAAATACTCCTCAAGAACGGCACTGTGCTTCAGCATGACGAGAAAGATAATATTATTGTTCTGAGAAATACCGACATCCTGATCTCGGATGGTCGCATCGCTGAAATTGGTAAGGGTATCAACAAACCTGAACATGCTTCTGTCATCGATTGTGAAGGCAAGATAATTTCGCCAGGATTTATCAATGCTCATCACCATATGTGGCAAAGCCAACTCAAGGGGTTGCTTGGGGACAGCACTATGCTAGACTATATGCTTGAAGGTACGTGACTTCATGTCCTGCTGGAAGAGGGGCCTAACAGGCTTCAAGCCAACCTTCAAAGCTTCAATTTCACTTCACGAGACATATTCTGGGGCCAGCTAGCTGGATGCACTGAAGCTCTCGATTCTGGGACAACTTGCGTAGTCGATAATGCACACATGGCTTCTCAACCTGAAGATGGCTCAGCCGCTCTGAGTGCTACGATTGCATCGGGTATACGGTCTATATTCTGCTATGGAGTTATGCCGCTCCGTGCCACAGAGTGGACAGAGTCCTCTTTCGAACTTGACCGTTCTACCCAGCCCGATTGGCTACTGCCGCAGATCGATGATCTTGCTGCAAAATCGCCATTCGGAGATGACCAGCGAGTACAACTGGGCTTCTTTTTTGACTCTTATTTCCTACCCGAAAATGTCATCTCCAAGACTCTGTATCACGTTAAGCAGGCGGGAGTGAAGTTGATTGCAAGCCACTACCGACATTGGCCAATCTCGAAAGGTATGCAAAGACAGGCTCCTAAAGCACTTCAAGCGTTGAGTAATTAACTTTACCGGAAGGGCAATCCAAGGTCCCCGAGCAGCTAAACGCCTGCGGCTTGCTCGGACCCGATATTCTTCTTACACATGGTAATGGAACGACACCTGAACAAGCATCCCTGCTCACATCGTCCGGGACATACACAGTCGCCACTCCAGACGCCGAAATATTCATGGCTTCCGGCGCAGACCCTGTAGCCTTCAGAGATGACCTTCCTCTGACGTGTCTCGGTGCAGACTGCCACTCTTGCGGTCCCGTCAACATGATGCACCAGATGCAAACGGCTCTAGCAAGCGATCGTGCAATGCAGAACACTAAGACCTTCTCTTCAGGACACTATCCTAGAAAGCCACGAGCTAGCATACAGAAGGCTTTTAACTTGGCTACGATCAAGGCAGCTCGTGCGATAAATATGGACAAAGACATTGGGTCTATCGCCGTTGGCAAGTTGGCGGATCTGGTCATCTTCGACACGACATCTCCTTCCATTGGCTGTGCAGCCGAAAACGATCCTTTGACAGCCATTGTTCGTCAAGCAGGGGTCAGAGAAGTTGAGACTGTCATTATCGGTGGTAAAGTGCGGAAGCATAATGGGGTATTGCAGGATGTGTACTTGGATGAGGGTTCTCGTGAAGGTGGCTTCGAATTGAAGCAAGAGGGAGTTGATCCAAAAGATGGATATTCATGGAGACGAGTAGCCGAGGAGTTGTCATTGAGTAGAAGGGATATTAAGGAGAGGATTGGAAAGACTAATAGGGACTTGGCCAAGTCTAAATTACTTGGAATGCTGGGAGGTTTAGACGATGTCCTGGTAGGTTGAGAGAACGATCATTGACTCCAGAACCAGAGCTCTCCTCACTTTATAATATCGTCTTCTATTAATCTCTTGTACAAATGAATTCGTCTATCGATCAATCTCAACACAGTCAGCCAAGTTATAGGAATGGCGTCCGGAACTCGGCATAGCGTCATAGCTCAGACGTCACGAACCCACTTTGACCCGAACCAGCCTTGAACCCAGACAGAGTGAACGTCAATTGAGTCCTTATAAGAGGAGACTACTGTGTCTGTCTGACTTCGGGACCTCATCAGATATATCCAGTGTTCACAGCAACCAAAGCCGATCCTGATTGTGCATTGACAGCTGCTAACATGTCAAGCTCACTCAAGCCATATCGCACACCCCAACTCGAAGGCGGACACCGTTCAGGTTCCGACGCAATCTTCAACTCGCGCAGCAAAGACGATATTCTCACAACTCTTCAAGAATGGAAGTCCAAGCGCATTCTTCTCGTTCACAGTAAAGCTCTTGCCAAGAATACCTCCATCATAAAAGACCTCAAAGAAGCCCTGGGTGATAGACTCATCACTACTAAGGAGGGTGTCGGCTCACACTCTCCATACGAAGATGTCATTGACATTGCCCATAGAATCACTGGGAAAGACATAGAATGTGTTATTTGCGTCGGTAGCGGTTCATATTCTGACGCCTGCAAAGTTGCGCGTCTAATGTCAGCGACCCTACCTCAAGGTTTCGAGGAGAAAGACATGGAGGCTCTTCTCGACCAAGAAAAAGGCGTCGCACCCCAAGATAAGATGAAGAAAGCAGAAGGAGTAAAACTCATCCTGGTACCTACGAGTTTGTCCGCTGGAGAGTGGAACCATACGGCAAGCTGCACCAACAGCGTTGGTAAGAAGCAGCATTTCTCTCTCAAAGACGGCGGTGCACCAGACTTGATCTTGATGGATCCATGGATTGCGAGGACCGCGCCCGAGAGACTGTGGTTGAGCTCTGGTATACGTGCCGTGGATCACTGCATCGAGACACTTTGCAATCCAGAGTGTGCAAAGTACCCCGATGTACAAGAGTGGTGCGAGCAAGCACTATGCGATTTATCCAAGGGCTTGGTTGAGTACAAGGAGGGTGTCAATCGTGGAGAAGAAGGTGAAGAAGAGCTCGTTCATGGCATCAGCAAGTGTCAAGCAGGAAGTCGAATGGCCCTCATGGGTTTTATTATCTACAGCGTCAACATGGGTGCCAGCCACGCAATCGGTCATCAGTTGGGCAGCGTAGGAAAGGTCATGCACGGCATCACGAGTTGTATCATGCTCCCTCCTGTGCTACGCTATACCAAAGACAAAAACCCAGAAGCGCAAGCAAGGATCGTCAAGATCTTCAATGAGACACTGGGATGGAACGAGACCGAGGCTGGAGACTGTGTTGCGCGGTTGGTCAAGAGTGTTGACTTGCCATGTAGCTTGGGGGAGGTTGGAGTTACGCGGGACGAGCAGATTGAACAGATCATTGACAAGACCATGACAGATGTCATGTTTTCGTTTGGGAAGGTTCTGACAAGGGACGAAGTCTCTCAGATAGTGTACTCGGCCAAATAGACATGCGATAGCGACGGGATGCATTGTTGGCCTTGTGTGGGTGATAACTCCGGCCCAATAGCTCCTGGATGGAGGAAGCTTTCAGCATATTTTCTACTCTTACCTTTCGCACACCCAGTGTATTTCGTGTCTCGTTCGATAGCGTCGAGGAAGGATTTCGATGCGACAGTATGAACAAGCCCTTGCAGAGACCGGCAAGGCTGATACTAACTGCTGAATTGTAGAGTTCGATGCCAAAGAGGATTGTTTAATCGTTCAGATCTTCCAAAGCTGTTCTGACCGAACGCACTTCGGATCGTTATTGCTTAGGCTGTCGGTGGGGGGGGGGGGGGGGGGGGGGGATCGCTGTTTGAGGTCGGTTGCGTGTTAGTCTGGCGTAGACTGAGAAGGAGATTCGTCAGGTATTGGGCAGTCAACTCGGAGATTGGATACTGAGCGGGCTGGAAAGAAGATCAGTAAATAGCAAGGGAATTGAACGAAATGCGTACAAACCTCAGTCTCGAGCCAACGGGTCAGCTACGCGCATGATCACATTGCATCCCAAAGCAACTTAGAATGACCAATGGACCCTCCACGCTCAATTCATTCTGTGTCGCGCCCTTGCTCTAAGCTGTGGGTTATACAGGTGTTGATGGTTGAATAGTATTTGCGAGCTTGATCATGGCGACCGTGGACCTCAGTTCTGTTTGAGCTTGTACCTCACGGCGCTGCGACAGAGGAGGAACCGGATCGCTTCTTTGTATGGCTTTGTATCTCTTGGGGAATCATAGTGTCGATGCAGTGGCTACGCGTGAGCCGTCGAAGAATCGAAGGAGGAGTTGGCGCAGAGCTTCAGAAGCTCAAGGGATAGAACATCGATGGCGCTACGTTTTGAGGACCTCGTTACCAATCATCAGGTCCCGTTGAGGCGTAAAAAGATTGTGTGTCCTCTAGTATAGCGAGTAAGCTTTTCGATTGAGCAATAATCTCTCGGTCGGAGGCCATAGTTTGTCGTTGACTGTTGTCGCTGGTTTGTCTTGATGTTGCCGTTTCTTGACCTTGAAGCTGACTGAACGCGTCAGTGGTTGCGCTGTCGGGTCAGCGTATGTCCGGCCATTGCGGGGTAATTTACTGGTTCGTAACAGTGGGCAACGCCATGGTACCTAAGAAAACACTCTGATACACCCTGGGTTTATGGATGTCTACACGAGCAGGCTACATTGGCAGTAATGGAAACAGACAGAGATATGATTGTAAATGTCAGTGACCAACTCTTTCTTGTTTCAGTTTTCATCAGTCGGTTCTAATCAACAGCTTGCGTCGACCTTTGTAGCCACCTCAGCAGACGCGTGCTGCCACATTGAACACACTCAACGTGATGTGATTACTTGACCCATTAGTGGCAGATCCCCTAAAGACTTGATTAATTCCTTCAATTATAGCACTCGGCGCCCCTCCATCAACACGTAATTCAACCATTTAGCCATTGAACCCGTCAGCAATGCCTTCATTCAGAGTCAGATGGAATCAAGATAAATACTTGGCTTACACCCAACCTGTTTTGAAGTGTTGATCAAGCTTGTAGTCTTTTCTTACAGCACGCAACAATGGCTTCCGAAACATTAACCCAGACGCCCATTGACACCGTAACAGTGCAATCTAATATATATTCACCCGGTGAATCCAGACCGATTGAAGCACTGCAAATTGAAGAACCTGGCAATGAAGAGGAGAATATTGTCTTTCCCACTGGCCCAAAGCTTTGGTCAACCATGTTGTCAATGTCCATCGCTTTGTTCCTTAGTGGACTTGTAAGTCGTCGCCCTCACAAATATCGCTGACTTGACTCATCAACTGCCCACAGGATATCACGATTGTTGCAGTTGCCGTACCAAGTATAACCGACGAATTTCAGACTATAGCTGATATCGGATGGTATTCCGCTGCATAGTAAGTCCCAACGTCTTGGATCCTACACTTGTATTGATGCTCCTACAGTGGCATGTCCCTCAGCGCCTTTGTCTTCTTGTAAGTGCACAATTCCGAGTTGCAATCATCAATTGACCCTCCCAGTTTCGGCCAGATCTACACTTTATTTTCCACCAAAGCCGTTTTTCTCATCGGCATCGCAACTTTTGAGATAGGTGCTCTAATTTGTACCCTCGCGCCCTCATCCGCAGTCTTCATTCTCGGGCGTGCAATTAGCGGTCTTGGCCGGGGAGCCATCAATGGAGGTCTGTTCAAGCTTCTAAAGCAATGTTTCCCCCTATCTAAACAAGCAATGGTCAACAGCTTGCTCAGCGGGGTTGGAAGTCTCGGCCTCATCACTGCACCTACCATTGGCGGTGTTTTAGTCGATGCTTTCTCGTGGAGAGCGTGCTTTGGTGTCAACATTCCCCTTGGTGTCTTGTGCTTGATCTTGACGTGGTACGGTGTCCATGAGTCTTCTCATCATCGAGAGAACGCACCCGTGCTCACGTTAAAGGAAAAGATTAAGAAGATAGACTTCCTTGGGACGTTAATTGCTGTTCCAGCTGTTACGTGTCTTCTCATGGCCTTGCAATGGGGAGGCACCAAGTTTGGCTGGGGCAGCTGGCAGATTATCTTGCCTCTTGTCTTTTGCGCGCTGCTGTTTACTGCATTCGGGTACCTACAATACCACCAAGGTGACAAGGCCCTGCTGCCCCCGAGAATTCTGAAGCAGAGGAGTATCATCGCGGGCATGTGGTTTGGAGCATGTTGCGAGGGGGTTCTTGCGGTTACAGAATACTACATGTCCATCTACTTCCAGGGAGTGCGAGGATATACACCTACGAAAGCTGGGTTGCTTGCTCTTCCTATGGTAGGCGGCTTGTCTATCGCCTTTGTTATTTCCGGCCTTGGCACGACATGGCTTGGATACTATTACCGTGAGTTTGATGGGCAATCTTCTCAACAGAAACTAACCAGATCCATAGCATTCATGCTGGCCACGAGTGTCTTGACGCCCATCATATCAGGCCTTCTCACAACTATAGACTTTGAGGAACAGGTAACCAAAGCAGTTATCCTTTTGTCCTTTTTAGGGCTGGCAGTCGGTCTTGGTCTCAATAGTCCAATGATAGCACTTCAAGCAGTTCTTCCCATGGAAGACGTTTCTCTTGGTGGAGCAGTTTTGACCTTTGGTGCCGGGATGGGTTCCGCATTGTGGATTTGCGCATCAGCGACATTGTTCCAAGACCGTCTTGCCAACGAGATTAAATCAACCTCACCTGGTACAGACGTTGATGCACTTCAAAAGGCGGGGTTGTCAAAAATGAGAGAATCAATTGGACCAGATAGGTTGAAGAGTGTGCTGAATGGCTATGAGAATGCTGTTATACAGACCCTGTACATTCCATTGGCTTTGGCCGTGCTTACTATTGTTGGCTCTGTGGCTATGGAGCGCAAGTCTATCAAGAAAAAGCAATCCTAGACATAGGGGTGGAGGAATGCAATGCTGAATTGCTGTGACCGAGACATTCTCACTTGTCTCTTTTCGCTCAAGATTCTGTCGCTTCCAGGTCCGTCGGAACAAGCACAACCCCTCTGTGATGATGACGAAATTGCGGCTGATATGTTGGCCAATCATGTCTTATGCGCCACAAAAATAAATGCGTGAGGACGCGAGGACGCGAGGAGTAGCGCTGCCATGATATCATATCATACTTGCAGCCTACTCTTGTTTTAAACATCAGCAATAATTTTATGCCTGTCAAACTATTTCCTGTCATGAAGTATCGACAATACTTGCGTTTTCGACTTCAGTAGCCAAGTGGCTAGCATATGGTCGATCTATGTTGACATATAGGCCAATCAAACCCGCCCTTTCGAAGTATGGGACCTCTCGAAAGGGACCGCAAGATCGAGCTGCGTCAAAGAGGAATGGCATAATCAAATCAGCTTGTTGGGAGTGTCGTAAGCGAAAATCAAAGGTAACAAAAGTTGACTTCGAGGTCAGGGTCGACTGGCTGACACTAGATCTAGTGCAATGGACTCAAGCCTTCATGTGCAAACTGTACCAAATGGGGTGCAGAATGCATATACGACTCGGATGTTCGCGATGCAAAAGTCAGAAATCTCCAGAGTGTCAATGAGAAGCTCGAAGCAGAGTTGGAGGCTACCAAGACGCTTCTGATACAGGTAGCTTCTGGGTCGGATCAAATGAGAAGCATTGTGTTGGAGCTTCTACAGAATGCCAAGGAACCGTTCGAGATATTAGAAGCACTAAGCGACACCGGAGGCATTGATTCTGCCATGGCAAACTCACAAGTTCCTCATGAGACGACCGTCCCGCATTTTTCGACAGAAGGTGTTTTACCTAATGTAGAACCCTTCGGTATATCCAGCTCCGGATCAGCAGATAATGGTTTCGGGTATTCTTCCATGGCACAAGCACCCCTTTATCAATCTCATCTAGGTACATCCATAAACGTCCTGATATATCCTACGGTAAGACACTTATTCCACCAGTCATGATACGGAGTGCCAATAACGTACTTTAGCCACCAGCAAAAGACGGCTCGCCAAGTCTCCAACCACCACGAGTTCTCCAGTCTCAGTCTCAGGCAACGATACCATTCCGCAGTAAGATAGAAGGCTCGACTGACTCAATCCTACTGGCAAACAATTCCAGTGCGATATCGTGCCAGCCAGGGAAACAAAGTCTATTCTTCGAACCGTTGTTCAACCACGATGACTTCTTACTCACAACACCTGATGTACCAGGACGAAGCCCTCATAACAGTCAACACGGGACAGTACACCATATCAACGAACAGCCTCCACTGATGCATGAAGGGCCGGTTCATTCAATGTCAACCGCTGTATTGGACGTTGACAGCTACATATCGCCCCTGTCGAATCTTCAAGCGAATAGCGAAGAAGCTTTATCCCCATCGCTCGACGTCCAACCAAACTTTCGGAATCACTTCAACAACCTGTCGCTCTCAAGTAGTATCCGAGCGAACGGGTACCCTCGGAACATTCAAGACGCGCAAATACGCAACATCTTTGTTCCCGATTGGGCTGCTGCCTCGCTCAACACTATACCAGACCCGGGACATCTCGATGATGCGTTTGGGGACATTTACAAACGAGTTACCAGCCTTCTGGAGAGTGGAGAACCAGTACATCGAGTCGCTGGTCATCATCCCAACATTGCTGCGCTATATGACCAGCAAGAGTTTGATAGATCGTGTCTTTTGTCACAGTGGGCGGCGAGAATGGTGCATAGCGTTAAGCGTCAAGGTAATTAGCCCATCTTTGGGGTTTGGGAAGTGATTAACTGATATTCTCAGGATACGATTTCACATGTTTTGCATCCATGAATGTGTTCTGGTATATGATGAGATGGATGGTCGACCCTACGCCAGAGTCATATGCTGCCATGCCGGAATGGATTAGACCAACGTGAGCCACCTCCTACCTGCCTTGCTTTTGGATAACACATATTAATGTTCGACAGGTCGAATCAGCTGTTTACACCTCATATCAGCATGGCTGATTTTGTACTCTGGCCAGGATTCCGTGACCTCGTTGTGCAAGTACCGCAGCTTCAAGAACGTATGGAATGGCTCGCAGATATGTCGTTGTTCATCAAGTGTGACTGGCCTTATCCCCTCGAACAGGCGTTGCATAGAAATCCTGTCTCTGGGGATGTAGATCTTGTGGATCTAGCAAAGGTAACCATATTCATTTCTAGTCGCGAATAGTGATACTGACTATCTAACAGCAGCATGTTTGGACACTAGGATGCTGGTCTGTAGGACCTTCCTTTAGAAGATTTTTACACGATGCGGATTCATACCTCTTGGTAAGGCCGGAAGCGCAACCTATATAGGTATTTGTGGGAAAACTTAGATATAAAAGTAATGGGATAGTAAGGTTGTAATTTCATTAGAGGGGATTTTTAGACCGACTGCATTCAGAAAGGTGGAAAACAATGAATCTTTCCACACAGGAGACTTATGATGAAGGCAAGGGAGGAAGTGTGACCTATACTACAAACGAACTTAGTTACACGCACTGGAATGGCTGGCTGGTCTCGTTCATTCCTCTTAAGAGGGATATGGCCAGTTCAATACAAGAGTTCTATCCACAACATTCAACCTTTGTCAACTTGACATAAACATTCTTCGGCGCTCTCGTCAACGCTACCATCTCTTCATCCGTTGCCAACTCAGCCTTTACTGGCTCCAACTTGAATTCCCAGAACACAAACGTAAAGAAGGCCTTGATCTCCATATATGCCAATTTCTTTCCAAAGCATGCACGAGGCCCCAGGCCAAACGCTTGCTGAGGACCGTTGTTGGGATCGAAAATGGTAACCTTTTCTCCCTTCTCGTTAGTCTGTGTAGTGAGCCACCTCTCTGGAACGAATTGGGAAATGTTCGATTCGTCAAAAAGTTCCATCTTGTTCACGTGTGCTTGAGAAGCTTCGGATCTCTTCTTGGGATCAACAGGAATACTAGGCATCATGACTCCAGGGCCATTTCCTAGAAAGCCGATGGTAGTTCCCTTAGGGATGTGGTAACCGAGAATCTGTGTATCTGTAACGGCTTCTCTAAGAGTGATGGGAGCGACCCGTGCGTGGCGGAGTATCTCTTCGATAACAGCGTCGAGGTATGGGATATGAGCTTTCAGAACCTCGTCCATGGTTGGAACGCGCTTCTGTTCGAGTGCTTCAGCGTAGCCTGTGCGGAATGCCTCACGGAGAGTCGACTGAACACGCTGATCTTTCGTCAAGTACTTCATTCCCCATCTTAGAACACCTGAGGTTGTCTCGTGACCAGCGACGAGATACCCAAGTAGCTTTAAAGGTTAGATTAGCTCCCAAGTATAGATATTCATGACATACCTCGCTAAGAATCGCTTGGCTTCTGTAATCAGGTTTACGTCCCTCCTTCTCGGCAATCGCGTCTTCGCGAGCCATCATGTTGTCTAAAGCACAGCGTTGTGGTTGGCCCTTTTTCCTTCTTTCGATGCTCTTGGCAATCTCTCGGTCTTGCAATTTAGCGCGCATTGCATTGGCTTCCCTCATCTTCGCTGACAAGTTGCGATAAAGGAAGTGGCTGACAAGTGGGTAGGGCGATCTCATCGAAACGTTGAAACTTTCAATCAAAACATCGAAGCAGCCAAGCTCTTCATCGTAGAATGGGACACGCTCAAACTCGAACATGTCATCATCTCCTCCAGTCATGGTCTTGCTTCGGAGCTCGTCAAGCTCTTTTCCGATCTGTCCCTGCCCAGAATCGACACCAAATGAGGCTCCCAGGATTATATCGAATGCCGCATTGTGAATATCGTGCGAGATGTCAAATGGTCTTCCTCCAGATAATTGTCTCTTGCGATCCCAAAGGGTCATCAGAGTCGAGAACTTGTGGTGAATTTGAGGAGCTGTGGCCTGTTGGAGGAAACTAGTTGACATCAGATCACGAACCAGTTCTCTATTCCTCTTGAACTGTGGATCTGATGTTTTGAGCGTGATTTGATGATGCGGTGTCAGCCCGCCAAATTGCTGTCTTGTGATGTCCGCTCGGTCAAAGTCTTTGAGTCGTCGCATGCAAATATCCGATGCTTCAAAATGATCCGCTACAAAAACCCAGGGAAGCCCAAACGGCTTCATGAAAACTTGGACCAAGGGAGATTGATGTTTTACAGCTTGTAGTGCCCACCACTCGCGACGGTTCTTGGCTGCTCTGAATTCGGGCATGTCGCCCATGATGGAATTGATTGCATTTTTGTTGTATGGGATGCCTGGGATCGGCTTAGGGAGGAGGGCACGTCGTATGAGATAGAGAGTACTGACAATGGAGAGGATAAGCGTCAAGATGAAGCTTGTAGGCGCTTGTCCGTACAGCTCGACAAGGTGAGACAACATGGTCATTGATGGATGATGAAGGAGTGTTTGTTGGCGTAAGCATGAGATTTGATGCGACGCCTGTTCTTTATACGCCGCCATATGCTATCTACATGGTAACTGCCGAATGCTTATAGTGTGCTCTTAGTACTGTAATTATGATGGCAGGCAACTAACGTGTACTAACTGCAAGCTGAGCCTTTCCACTGGCTGTGCTATTGCAGCATCAAACCACTTCGGTGTTAGCGGCGTTGTCAGCGGGGATCCATTACGCTGTAGGGTCTGAAAGTGTGTGCAATGGCTTGTCCAAATGGCAATATATCTTCGCAAGACCGACATGTGGGTGAAAGTCAAAGAGATAGCAATCAATTTTCTCGGCTCTTGTACTGTCAGTACTGATTACATCTGATCTTATTTTCGTATTCTCTTGCAGGATCCGAGATAATGCAACCTGTTGGAATGATCCGCGGTGCGCATGGCTTATCCCGTCTGAGGTAAGCTGACTCTGCGTTTACGAACATCTCAGTTGTCAAGAGAGTCATCACTTGGCAATAAACAAGCATAGAATTACAGTATTGTTGTCATTCTGTGATCAAAATATTACTCAATCTGTTGCTGCTCATCAACTGCTATAGAAGATATCCAAACTGTGATAGCTATACAGAAATATTGAAAACCGGTAGTTAGCCATGGAGGTTTATCGTAATTCGTCGGAAAAGACTGCCTGTCCACTGGGGTATTCGACAATTTCTCGGCTTTGTCGAATATAAGAGCGCCTGTAAAAATATCAAGAAAAACAGCTCATCGTCAGATCCTACCACTGCTCCTAACCATGCATCGCAGATCGAAGATGCGTTTAATGAAGTATGTCTGCAAAAAGCTTTTTGAGTGCTTCAAACGCCTGATCCATGCAAGCCGTGTTCCAACTCTGTCTTGCTTCTGGATTTGATGAGTCTTACTTGCTGGCGTATGCCGTTTCTTGCTACTGTTAGACCGATGGCGGTGTCGCGCGTCTTTATGTTGACGAGATTCCTTGTCTTCTTTGAGCCTGCGTTTGTGTACCTTGGTTGCTTTATTACTCCTTCGCCATTGTGAATTATCAACAGATACCACTTCTGGATGGAGTTTAGGGACAGATTTTTCCAAAGGGACGACTTGTCGTTCTGCCAACGCCACAAGAGCTGGAGTCCCAACCACAGTTGTACCGCCTCGAGCTGAACATTCATCCATACCCTGCTGCTCATTCGCGTCTGGTTCGGTATTTTGGTTAAAGACCACACCACTTTTGGTGGCCAAAAGTCTCCAAAGTTGCTTTTTGCCAAGTGTCAATGTAAATTCTAGCGCTAGAAGAGCTTTCCCCCTGTCTTCCTCGCTCTCGTTGCGGTCCTCTTGTGGCTCGTCTGGCTGGTGTTCTGCATCCTTCTCTTCTTCGTGCTTTGATACCTTGCCATTGTCTTAAGTGGCTGCATGGTTGATGGTTTCTGCTGTCCATTCCGTAGAAGCAACCGGGTTTCCTTCTGTTATAGCACTGATAGTTTGACCTTCTGACTCGATTTGCTTTGGTACCTATGTCTTTGACGCTTGCTGTTTAGCAGACTCAGATTTGTATTCTTCCAGTTGTTTCACAAGCTTGGCGTTGTCCTTCTTGAGCTTGACTTTCTCTTGTTTCAGGGTAGGAGTTTCTCTCTTGTGGCGTTCTAACTCTTTCTCAACCTTTTCTAGATCCCATTTCCGCCTTGAGGCATCAGACTTGGAGGTGTCAAGTAGTTCTGCAAGCTTGGTGTTGTTTCCTTTGAGCTCAAATCCTGGTATCCTAGTTGGTGTACATCGGCCGAACTTGGGTGCATCTTGCTCTGGTGTTGAGAAAGTGCTTCCTGGTGTCTCACAGCCTTCTGTACTGCTCGACGCATGCGAAGGGGTAAATGATGATGAAGAAGAGCTTCTTGTCTGTAGGTTACGTGCATCATGGCTTTTGATCCTACGCGCCCTGACGGATGGTGAGTTGGGTTTGCTCCTTGAAGCTATTTTGAGCCAGGTCTTTACGAACGAAGATTTCGTTCGACATCGATGGGAGAATGGGCGAGTGATCATATAATACTGGCATCATTTGACACAGAACTGCCACAGAGCCTCAATTTTGACTTGGAACATAGCATAGCTTTTGTCTTTGCAAAGGTGGTCAGCACAGCCTGCTCCATCTCACACTATGGCGTCCAGTTGTTGTGATCTAGGGGGCCTCAACGCAACATATATTGATCACAAGACTTCTTTGGCACTGCCTTGTATGTGCTTTGAACCCTTCGGGTTCGCTCGGTCAATCATGATCGCGACGTCGCTCGCCTCACGTTGTTTACCAATAACCATCTGATCAATACGAGTTCACCATAGTAGGGCGGACTATGCCACCATAATTATGTTACACAGAAGAGACATGGAATACCAGGTCCAGTGACAGAGCCTTTCTTCACCAAAAATAAAGATATACAACTCAGTCCTGCGTAACTCGAACCCCCACGTCCTGGAAAGGACTGTCGAAAGTCATGCTGTGCTGTTCGGCTCGCGACTCGGTTTTACGACAAGCTCGGTGATCCAGCGATGGAGCATATTAGCTTCTTGCTCATTGTAACGCTCACTTGCCGCTTTATTTGAGCCGTAAGAATACAACGAGTGGTTCAAAGTGGCGGAGTCACAATTTTATACATATGATGATGAATCAGACAGAACAACTGCATGGAAACATCTTATCAGTCGTTTGATTGCGGGGAAGCTCGTTCGTTCCTTCAAGGCTCCGGCAGCCCGGGTTGCAACTTGGGAGAAGATCAACAAGTGAAGAGTGCTACCCTGTACCATCGGAAAGCCCTCCGATTTGCCAATTTACTTGGCGGTGAGTCCAGAGACTGGGATGAAGACCTGTTGGAGTTGACGGAGCTTCCACAATCCCTGTTTGTGACGTTACTCTAGTGGATCAACGGTTAACCTTCGGCTATCTTGTTGAGCGTGAGACAAAGCAATGAAGGAAGTGCACTGATAAATAACAAGCACATACTCAGCATCAACAATACAAATTCACGTCATGAGAGTTTGACAAAAACACTCAGTATGTGGCCTTCTCAATTATTGTGTCTTGCTTTGCAAGCGACAGGAGTCTTATCGCGCCCTGCTGAGCCTACCCACGAAGAGTACCCATCGCGTAAGTCAATTAGCTTACCCACCAAAATACCCCTGACTGCCGTGAAGCTAACCTCCAAATACAGCACAAGGCGAAGGCAGAGGCATCTGGAAGAGCGCCTACTTCAAAGCCCAAGAATTTGTCGCGCACTTGACGCTTGAAGAAAAAGTCAATGTGACGCGTGGTTTTGCTGCCGACAACGTCTGCGCTGGTAACACTGGAACGATACCGCGTTTAGGATGGCCGGGATTATGCCTCCACGATGCCGGCAATGGCGTCAGAGCAACTGACCTCGTGAATTCGTACCCATCTGCTTTACATGTTGGTGCAAGTTGGGATAAGAACTTGACGTACCAGAGGGGCTACTATATGGGAAAGGAGTTCAAGGCCAAAGGAGGTGAGTAGTCAGCAGGAAACGATTGCTGTAGGATACTGACAGTCTTCAAGTAAATGTCCTGCTTGGCCCCAACGTTGGACCTCTGGGAAGAACACCACTTGGTGGTCGTAACTGGGAAGGCTTCTCAGTCGATCCTTACCTCACAGGCAAACTCAGCGCAGAATCCATCATCGGACACCAGGATGCTGGAGTCATCGCCAATGTTAAGGTCAGCAGGTCCTGCATTGAGAGAGATTTCAAAATTGACATCTATAGCACTTCATCGCAAACGAGCAAGAGACTTATCGTCGCCCATATCACGGCATTGAGGCAGTCTCCTCCAACATTGATGACAAAACTCTTCACGAGTACTATCTCTGGCCTTTCGTCGATTCCGTCAAAGCAGGCGTTGCATCGGTCATGTGCGCGTATAACCGCGTGAACGGCACCTATGCTTGTGAGAATAGTAAGTTGATGAATGGAATTCTCAAGTCTGAGCTTGAATTCGACGGGTTTGTACTGTTGGATTGGAATGCCCAGCACAATCTTGAAAGCGCAAATGCAGGACTCGACATGGTTATGCCTATGGGGGGATTCTGGGGAGAGAACTTGACCATGGCGGTCGGAAATGGTAGTGTCAAGGAGGACAGAGTTACTGATATGGCTACCAGGTTTGTATCGCTCACAGTTCAGCTTACTCTTGCTGACAGTTCTCCAGAATCCTCGCTGCTTGGTATCTCGTTGGCCAAGACAACGCCTTTCCAACTCCTGGTATCGGAATGAAGAATCTCTCCCTTCCCCACGAACAGGTAGAAGCTCGAATTCCCGAATCACGACCAACTTTACTCGAAGGCGCCATCGCAGGACATGTACTTGTCAAGAATGAGAACCACGCGCTTCCTTTCAAGAAGAACCCCAAGATGATCTCTGTCTTTGGATATGATGCTACGGTTGCCAAGACCAAGAACACCGGCAAACTATTCGAGCTTGGATATGCGTCTTCGCCAGAGATGGGGCAAGCTGTTCTTGGCGATGAACATCACTTCGATCAAGCTGCCAGAGGAGGAACCATCGTCTCTGGTGGAAGAGCTGCTGCCAATTCACCTCCATACATCAGCGATGTGAGTCCATCCTTTTGAAGTTTCTTAACAATTGTCTAATATGAACCAGCCCCTCAGTGCTATTCAGCAAAGAGCCTCTAAAGACGGAGGTTGGGTCAACTGGGATCTCTCTTCCCCTGATCCGGATGTCAACGGCGCAAGCGACGTCTGCCTTGTCTTTATCAACGCCATGGCGACAGAAGGCTGGGATCGCGATGGTCTCCATGACGACTTCAGCGATGGTCTGATTCTCAACGTCGCATCCAAGTGCGCAAACACTATCGTAGCCATTCATGCGGCTGGTATTCGTCTGGTCGACCAGTGGATCGAGCATCCCAACATCACGGCTACCATCATCGCTCATCTTCCCGGCCAAGATAGTGGTGAAGCACTGGTGAAACTGCTATATGGCGAAGCCGATTTTTCGGGAAAGCTACCTTACACCATTGCGAAGAATGAGAGCGACTATACACCGTATGCGCCCTGTGGACGAGAGGGAGATAGTACGGACCCTCAGTGCGATTTTACAGAGGGTGTCTATCTTGATTACCGCTCTTTCGATGATCGGGATATCGCACCGAGATACGAGTTTGGCTTTGGTTTAAGTTACACCAAGTTCGACTACTCTTCACTATCCGTGAAGGTTGGTCAGACAGCATCTTCTGCCGCCCCTGGCGATATCTGGGAAACATATGCCACTGTTCAAGCAACAATTTCCAACATCGGTGAGAGAAGTGGCGAAGAGGTTGCACAACTCTACATTGCTATACCCAACAGCCCACCCAAGCAACTCCGAGGCTTTGAAAAGGTGAGACTGGACAAGGACGACTCTGTTGAGATCCCATTCGAGATCACGAGACGAGATCTCAGCGTTTGGGATGTCGTCAAGCAGGACTGGGTACTACAGTCTGGCAACTACACGATCTTTGTCGGCGGAAGCAGTCGCAATCTTCCATTGACGGAATCCTTTACCATCAATGGTTAAGTCTATAACTTTCAAGAATAGAACTAGAATAAATACACTTTTACGCAACCGAGGTTCTGTTATCCCTCGTTACTTATCTGAAGTCCGATGCATTGCTCCAGAACTAATCCCGGAACACCAAACCGTGGTAACAAAACCCGCGCCCTGGCAAGTTGTGTAGATAGCCAAGCCTGGCTACTATGTCCCTGCATTTTACCCAATGCCACAGAAAGTGACCACATGAAACGATAAATTTGGCGTGGATCTTCGGTTAATGCTTTGGTCGCCACAGTGAAGATATATGAGAGACAAGTTTCAGGCTTGAATGATGTTTCGTGGTAGGTGTCTAGGCTTGAACATAGGATTTGAAGGGCGTGGAAGTCGAGGGCTGCAGCATAGACTGTCCACATGAGACGTTTACCACCCGAACTGGGGGTTTTCTTGGCAAGGAGTAGGATATCTACAAATTCCTATAACTGTTAGCGAAGACCTCAATTTTCAGGCATTCCCATACATCACCGAAATTTTCAACATGTCGCCAGAGTTTTTTCAGACTGCCTTCCTCCGATCCATCATGTGTCGTTGATCTCGCGAGCCTGAGAAGCTCCAACTTTGCTCCTTGGCACAGATGATAGAGACGTAGCGGGCGGTAGTTTTCTAGATCATCGAGAAGTTCGGATACAGGATATTGCTCGCCCCACATCTTAGGAAGAGCCGATCTCACGCTAAGAAAGAGATGTTCATGGGAAATGTATTCGTGAGCATCACGGGAGAGAAAGTCGAGACAGAATTGGCCGCTGTTGGCATTCCCTGTAGCCGAATCTGCATCCAGATACCTAGAATCTATCAGTATGCGCGAAAGTAAGTTTTGGTCACTAACTTACAGAGTGTATAGCAGCATAGCCTGTGCTACACATGGTAATCTCTTCTGTCTATCCCCTTGCAGATATGGTCTTAAGAAAGACCTAATTCCTTCGAGATGCAATAAAGATGACCCAATGGTTTCTGAATCGTAAGCCTCGTATCTCAGAATAAGGAACCACATAGTGAACAAAGCGTCGACATCACAACTCTGTTCTGCTGTCTGACAGATATGATCTAGTAAAGACGATAAATCTTGCAGAGCCTGGGCATAATGAATGGTTGCAGCGGACCCTAGTCGACTTGCCCTTTCCAGAACCCCAGCTGGGTCGATAGCGTCCTGTGCGGTGAGGAGATCCTTTGCTCTGAGCTCCATGTCTGCGACTGCAATAAAGCTTCTCATCACCCCAGGGTATTGACTCGCGATGTGCGTGTAGATATATGAGAAGTTACTCCATGGCCACAGTTTCCCATAGCTCAAGACTAATATTGAGCCAGGAATATACGCAAACGCTGCACGATCCTCGGAGCTCAAATGAAGCGAGTTGGCAAGGGCAATATGGGCTGCTGATAGAGAGGGCCGTGGTGATTCATAACTACTCCCTTGTGAGTGGAAGTCGGCTGGGCTTGCCGAGTCGGTCGGGGTCAGATTTGTATTTGGCGATTCACTCGACGCAATGAGTCTGGGACTTCCATAGCCAACAGGACTCGAAAAGCTCTTAGTAGGCTGTCCCCTTGCACTCAACGATTGTCCCGGCTCAAGCCATTCACATTTGTTGGGGCTGTTTTCGCATCTTTTACAGACCGGCCTGCTTTCGTCGCATTTGACCTTTCTGATGCGACACGTCAAGCAGCCTAGATAGAAAGCAAAATTAGCAGCGATACCGGAAATAAGACGGACCATAGGACAACAACGATGCCACGGCACGCACCATTCTTGGACCTCGCTTTTCGCCGATCGGCGACAGGGGAGCTTGAGCTCATACCAAGTACTTTGAGTCGTGGGAGTACGGGGAGGACGAGGCGCCTGACTCGATGACTGTATCATTTGGTGGCATTGAAGAGATGGGATGGTAAGCTTCGATATTTGCTTATTTTACTTGCGGGCGTTCAAGTCTCGGCTTGCAGATTTTCTGCAGGCTTGTTTAGTAAGATTTGATAACGGAAATTCGGAGTAAAGAAAAATCTTGGCTTGGGATACAGGGAATACACACGAAGCATAGAGTTTGAGTTTAGTGCGTGGATAGCTTAGCTTACTCCGTCATATCCGGGTTTTCCGTTGCGTATGGGGTCAAAAAGGAGAAGAAACGTTGGTAAGAACTTCTCTTTCTGGAACGATTGCAATAGGGTCTGTTCAAGGATGGCTCAGAATGTCATCGTAGATGTCTGGCGATTTGCTTGGGATAAAGATACTCCCTTCTGAGTCGAATTTGCCGACTCATGAAATTTACAGCCCGAAACGCAACAGTTCAGTTCAGCCTCAAGCCAAGTAGCGTCAGACTCCCAGCCTGTAATTGGTTCGCTCGGCTATTTTAGCACAGACCCCCCTCTCTCTGAGCCGTCTATCCCTTACTTAGCGAGAAGTTTTATCCAAAAGAAGTAACAAAGTTGGTAGTATTTCCTTCTCTCGGAGTTTCCTGATTCTGACAGAGGATTGCACGGGCTGAGCGTTTAACGAGGTGGCACATGTGATGTAACGATAGTCCAGGCTTGGGGGATTGTCTCATGCGAGGTTCTCGAGCCGTGGGGAAAGGAGCTAATAAAAGAAGAGAGTTAATGTTCATATAAGGCGAAAGCCAAGCCCGTTCTTATTCCCAGAATGAACTACGGCCGGTAATTTGTTGACTACCGATTTCATTATTACAAAATGTCTTTTTCCACTGAAGAGCTTCATGAGAGAATCTCCCGATCCGTCTCACATCATGAGCACGATCTGGCTGAGATTTGTAAAAAGGTACGTCATCACAATCCCTGTCGTCTTTACGTCTCTAACATTGAGACAGATCCACGAAAACCCGGAATATAATTACAAAGAGTTCAAAGCCCACGACAATATCTGCAATCTCATGCAACAACTGGGCTATAATGTGAAGCGACATGCATACGACATCCAAACCTCCTTTCAAGTGGAATACGGCAAAGGCGGAAGGCTCATCGTCTTCAATGCTGAATATGATGCACTTCCTGGTCTCGGCCATGCTTGCGGACACAACCTCATTGCTACGAGCTCGATCGCTGCTTTCTTGGCGACAGCCGAAATCATGCGCGAGAGCAACATCCCCGGAAGAGTGCGACTTCTTGGAACTCCTGCTGAAGAGGGTGGCGGCGGAAAAGTGCATCTTATTAAGGCTGGTGCGTACGAGGGTGTTGACGCCTGCTTGATGGCTCACCCTACGGGAAGACTTTCGCCTCCCGATTCCGATACCGTTGATGGTGTTTCTGCTGCCAAAACGAGCGCAAGAAGACAACTCAAGGTATCATTTACAGGGCAAAGTGCCCATGCCGGAAATGCGCCTTGGGATGGAAAGAATGCTCTTGACGCTGTGGTATCGTCTTACGTCAACATTTCTCTCCTAAGGCAACAGATACAGCCTACAGAAAGGATACATGGCGTCATCCGAAGAGGTGGCTCTGAGCCAAATATCATTCCTGACTCGACTGATTTGGAGTATTATTTGAGAGCTGCGGGTGTTGAACAGGTCAAGGATATTTCTAAAAAGGTCGAGGCATGCTTTAAGGCAGGGGCTATGGCAACAGGATGCGATGTGAAGTGCACATGTGACAGGTGATTTCTTTCATATTCGTTGCCAAGGCAGTACTAACTCCCATACAGTGATCAAGATTACATGGAACTTCGACCGAATATCTCCATGTCTACAGAATTCACCAAGCACATGAAGGCTTTCGGGAGGGACTTTATTGGCGATGCGAATCAACCACCCATGGGCGCATCAACAGATATGGGTAAGTATACTATCAACATTACTTAACCACTATAATCTAACAGTTTAGGCAACGTGTCATATTGTCTACCAGGAATCCACCCCATGTTCTCCATCGGAACCGAAGACCCCGGTGTCCAACCTCACACACCCAAATTTGCCGATGCCGCAGGAACAAAGGAAGCCCTGATTAGAGCTTTGGATTGTGGAAAAGGATTGGCAGCCACAGCTTGCGAGTTGTTTCTACAGCCTGAGCTATTAGAGAAGGCAAGGGATGAGTTCAAGCAAAATGTTGAACCTATTGGATATAGACTTTGATGATCCCGCAATGGATTGATAATAAAAGCATATTTTTTTACTACTCTGAACTTTGAATCTTGTTACAGAATTTGTGGCCTCTTCTGCATCTACCATCCAAGAGTGCTCTATGACAACTGCCGACGTCAATCTTAACCCTGGTAAATACGTTGTCACAAGTCATGACGTTCAACGCAAATGAGCCATCGTCATCACACGAAACCAAACGCACGCCGAGGAATAGAAAGCATACCAGGCTAAACTAGATGCCGCCCCCCGCATCACGGACCGCATTCCCAATGAGTTGGGTCCGGTAGACAGGCTTTACTGCAAATCGACTCCCCGAGTCTCATCATCGGGGAACCTTCAGATTGCTACTGATTAGCCGAGTTGACCAATCGGCATCCCCAGCGACGCAATCTATGTGTAAACAATCTTCCCCTGCCGAGCTACCCAATCACACTATCATGATACCCGAGCTGAAGGAACGGCTCTTCCAGACGGGTAGAAATTTTATGTTTTGATCGCATTGCTTCAAGCGATATCTGGAGTGATGAGGCATGATTAACCCCAGACTCTTCTAAGGGCGATAGATACACTATCTTTGCGGGGGTGGAGATACCCTGATCAATTGAGGAGAGATAACAACGCCATCTGGTCTAGATCATCGACCTGGTACATGTCGTCGTCTACTTAACAGCCTTCAATCCCCAGCTTTGGGCATACAGCACTTTTTCAATCACAAACATCCATTATATATCTACAATATGACAGCAGATAAGGCAGACAAGACCAATCTCCCCCATCAAGATCTTGATGCCAAGATGGGCGAGACTTTGAGTCTCCAGGGCTCGATACAAGTTGCTGAAGAGGGTGTCGACAATAGAGCACGAGGTCGGAAAGTATTAAGAAGAATCGATCTTTGGTATGTTGAATGGGCTATCATGTGGGTGAAAAGAGCCTAACATGTCATTCCAGTCTTATGCCACTACTCCTTGTTTCCTATACACTACAATTTCTTGACAAGCAATCACTGAACTTCTCTTCGATCATGGGAATAATCGACGATTTGGTCAGTGCCCTTACCAATTGTCAAGTCTTCTACTAACACTATCAGGATCTCGTTGGATCAAGATACAGCTGGTGTAGCAGTGCTTTCTACTTCGGCTACCTTGCTTTCAGCTACCCAGCCTCTTTTCTGATGGTCCGCCTTCCACTCGGAAGATATCTGGCTGGCTCGAGTTTGGCCTGGGCTATCGTGCTGTGCTGTCACGCTGCAGTCCAGAATTTTGAAGGGCTTCTCGTAGCACGTTTCTTCCTTGGTGTAGCAGAAGCTTCGATTTCTCCAGGTTTCTCTCTTATCACTGGAATGTGGTATACTCGAGAAGAACAACCGTTCAGACATGGAATTTGGTTCTTGGGCAATGCTATTGCAACGATGATGGGTGGCTTACTGGCTTATGGGATTGCTCAGATCGGAGGTCCCATAGCTGCTTGGAGAGTAAGTACACTGGTTCGTCCATGTATAACGTGGCTAACGCTCTTTCAGTGGCTTTTCATTATCTTCGGTCTCATTACTCTAGTCTGGGCCATCGTATTGGCTATCTTTCTGCCCGACACTCCTAGTACTGCGCGCTTCCTCAATGAACAGCAGCGCATCGATGCGGTCGATCGAATCCGAAGCAACCAAACTGGAATGAAGAATAATAACTTTAAGTGGGATCAGGTTCGAGAGGTCATCACAGATCCCAATGTTCTCCTCTTGATGCTGTTCCAACTTACCTTTAGCATTCCCAATGGTGCCCATACTACTGTTAGTAAACACCTTCGAAACCAAGATGATACTAACTTCTTCACAGTTCAGCAGTCTTGTCATGGCTGGCTTTGGCTTCAGTAGACTCGAGGTGTATCTCCTCAACATGCCTATGGGTGCCATTCTTGCATTTTTTGCACTTGGATCAACATATCTCTGCAGTCGCTTTGATGGCTATAGAACTATCATCGGTGCATGTCTCAGCTTGATCAGGTAGGCAATATAGCTGTTCTCTGTGCCATCATTCTCGGCTAACTATTGTAGTCTTACTGGTTCCCTCCTTGTTCGTTACGGACCCAACCAAGGGAGCCAACTGTTTGGTCTCTGGGTCTTTGTGGCCTTCGCAGCTGGCTTTCCCATCGCACTATCTATGGTGGCTTCCAACGTCGCTGGCTTCACTAAAAAGAGTGTCGCGTCTGCTATGATGTTCATGGCTTATACAACAGGGAACATCGTTGGACCCTTTCTCTTCTTTCCATCAGAGGCCCCAGAATACTCCGTAAGTCAATACATCTATGCTGAACTCTCTTGTGTGAAACTTAGCTGATACCAGTACAGAGTGGCTTCCTGGCGACCACGATTTGCTTTGGCGTCTCGACGCTGACGATGCTCCTCCTACGGTTCACGATTATCCGTGAGAATAAGCGACGTGATAAACTACAACAGAATAGCATTGATCTGCAGGAGGGGACGACGGATCATCTTGAGCTTTCAGACATCACTGACAGGAAGAATCTCAACTTCCGCTACGTGTATTAAATCGCGCAGGCAGCTGTGGCGAGATACATCTGGCTACCAAGATTGGGCATATAAATTGATGATATAGCAGTTGCTGTTGGGCCTTGATTCACCCTTTAGAGACAAATTTTTCGTATTTGAGATGTCCAAGCTCGCTTTCGTGATACTTCATCTCGCCACTACCATGGTCATGATGTTACTCCTGACGATTCGGCACTATGTTTTGAACAGACATCATCCACTATTCCTTGTCCGATTGCCTCCTGGTAGAGGCGTGTACTTCCCTTACACCAAGGTATCAGCATTCGATGGGCCTCGAGCGTCACTATTCCATACAGTTCCCACTCTTCGTCCCCGCTGCTTGACGGTGTTGCCGTACTAGGGGTCCCAACACTGGAAGCTTCCTGTTCATTCTGTCGCGCTCTCACATACCACTGAGTCCAGCTGATGACCTTTGCAGGCGCATCAGTCCTCGACACGATTCCATTAGGTACTCTCTGGAAGATGATGGGCCATCTGCAATCCCTTCCCACCCCCGGACCAAGCCTAACGATCTCATAGGCTTCGTAGGAGCGAAGGCTCTGGTTAGGGTCCGAAGCGTCGAAAAAGGTGTCATGAATGACAGTGTCATAGTTTATGGCTGATGGCGACCATGATACCATGCCAGGGTTGTGCCGAAGGATAGGTTCATATGTCTGTATGTAGTCGAGAACAACCTGGGGTGGAATATGGCGCGGAATGGGGATTGTGACGGTGGAATGGTGCTGCGAGCGCATGCTCGCCTATATCACTAATGATACGTCAACCAACTGATCGACCAGAACCTCGGGTCTCTCTTGACGAGACCAAGAGCTGAGGCGGCCGACTGTGGAATCCTTTCGTCTGACGTACGTACCGGATCGGCTGCCGAGAGGAGAGGCCAGGGTTTATTGGTCCCAGCGCGAGTGTCGCATATCCACAGTCAGTGGCTTCAAAGAGGGACCAAAACACCACAAAAGACAGACGCTTAGTAGCTTGTTGGTAAGCATCAGCTGTTGTGACAACAAAGATTGACGGGGGAATATCTCTAGAACTGTGATGTAATCGAGACAAAGGGAATTCCGTCAGATTGAGTGCCAAATGCATCAGTTTAATTTGACAGCGGTTGTGGGGTATTAAGACTGAAGACAGACACCTCCGCGCCAATGACTCGTGGCTAGGGAAGTGGGATGGCCGACATGTTGGGATCTAACCTTGCAGGACAAATAATATCCAGCCTAAGAGCAGGTCATAACCTAACCTAAGATGTCTAATTTATTTTGTCTCTCATACTAGTCTCAAGGCTCGGGAGGAAAAGGTAAGTTCCGTCAAGGATTGAGCCAATGTTATTTTTAGTTCCTAAGCTTGATCCTTCAGGAAGGTCAATCCGAATGGCTGGTCTGGTTGGTCAAGGAGCGCAAGGCGCAGTTGCTGTCAGCTACTCTTATCAGTTATCACAGTGGGATTTGAGATGTCGGGACAAAACCTGACTCTTTATTGTCAAGCCGGAAGCGATTTGTTGAGAAAACGGTAGGATTACCTCGCGACAACAATATCTACGTATGTAATATCGGCTGTTTTCGCTCTCGTATTCAACGCATCAAGCATGTCGGGCTCCTCATTTCGTGCTGATGGCTCCCGACTACTCTGAATTGAGGAATGAAATCCCATGTTCCCATCGGTCACTATCACAGGAACCACGTGGTTCCGAAACTAATGTGTGTTATACCAGCATATGGGCTTACCTGCGAGGTGGAATACATCATGTCGTTCAATTGTCCTCTTTAGGGTACCTGTTCAAAGCCCAGGCTCACCACTTCTGCCCAAGAACTTAGCGTATGGCGCAGCGCCTTGACCCCTGTAATAGAAGTGCCAATCGCTTTAGCCTGGTCGTTTTTCGTTTACGCGACGCCAGGGCAGTCGAGGTTTTGGGTCGATCACTCGTAGCTAAACTTACGGAATTATTAACAGTAAATACATGAAATTGAGAGAAACACCATCCGCAGGTAGAGACAACGAAGCGTTTTTATTGGCGATGGGGGCGACTTTGATAAATAGCATAAAAATTGTATCAGCACCCTAAGAACTTTGGCTCCTGAAATTCATCACCAAACAGGCATTAATTCCGCCTAAATGTGACCTTTGGCAGGGATTAATCGTAAGACGGGTCAATGACTCCTTTTCATTAAGATTGCATCTTATGTTCTAGAAGAAGAATAAATGGTTGAAAGCTTGGCTATATTCCACACCTGAGATCATCATTACATTACACCCATTCAAGATGAACCGCTTTCGTAAAAGCCAGACCCCAAAGAATTCCGTAAAGGATAGCAAAGTGCTAAGGAAACTAAGCCCAATGTTCGTATCGATGACGCATGCTTAATCCAAGACTAAAACTGACGAGTCAACGCCAACTATAGCGAAGGCTTCCAAGCTGCTGGGCATTCACTACGTATCTATGTTGGATGCGTGATAGCTTGCCGCTACCATGTAGCAGAGAGCTTCCAAGGTTCTACTGCTGAATCAAAACTCGAGCATAAACTTGAGCACGCAATTGCGTGCGCTATTGTTCAGCATCCTCTTTTCACTGTTGGTCGAATTAATGAGGCGTCAAAGAAGCAATATTGGGTTCGACTGGACCACATTGACTTCAACAACCACATCACGTGGCAGACAATCTCCGAGGGAGAGGACTACAAAACAGCATTTGATGCTGCTCTAGACTGGCAGGTCAATGAACGGTATACTGATCTGGAGACGAGGCCCGGGTGGAGAGCAACAATCTTGAAATCTGCAAAATGTGATTACGTCGATGTCATCTTTGCTTGGGACCATACAGTAGCAGATGGGAAAAGTGGAGGATTTTTTCACGACAGTCTCCTTGCATGCCTCAACAAAGAGGCAGACAGTGATGCTGTCAGCTTGAAAGACAGATCTTTTAAAGTGCCAGTTACTGACTTGACGCCTCCACTGCATCATCTGCTCAAGCTCCCAGTTTCGCTGAACTTCATCTTCTCTACCTTCAGCCAAGACTTAATATCGCAGTCGAAACCCGCCAAACCTGAAACCGCGGACTGGGCACCAATTACAATGGAGCCATTCAAGACTCGTCTCAAATCGACCACTCTTGCGAATGATGTTTTGAAGCCTGTATTAGACGCTTGTCGCAAACAGGAAACGACATTGACTGGGCTTTTGCATAGCCTCATCTCAGTATCAATGGCAACCCGCCTCGCCAAAGACAGAGCTCGCGCGTTTTCATGCGGGACACCTGTTTGCCTGAGACAGTTCCAGCCACCAGGAATGGCAACGGTGGACTTGAAAAAGACAGCTATCAATAGTGTAGTATATTGGCCTTACGTCTTCGAGCCAGGTCTTGTTGCGACAATCAGGCAACAGGTTGACGATGCTCAAGCGAATAGTGAGCTAAACAAAAAGATTGAGGACACAGTTTGGTCTGTATCGAAGTCGATAAGAGAAGGATTGTCCGCCAAGTTGAAGCTTGGCCCTAAGAATGATACAATCGGACTTGCCAAGTTTATCACTGACTGGAAGTCATATCTCAAGGAAAATTCCAAGACACGTACGCATTCCTGGGAGGTTAGTAACCTGGGAGTCATGCAAGGAGAATTGCCAGGCGATACTGTCACTAGGGACTGTTGGAAGGTGGATAATGCTACATTTACCCAAAGCGCATCTGTGACTGGACCGGCTCTGACTTTCAGTGTGGTTTCAGTCAAAGGTAGAGGCCTCACTCTTTCATGTAGCTGGCAGATTGGAGTAGTTGATGATGGGCTGGCTAAAGGTGTTTCCAATGATCTTGAAACGTGGTTAAATGGTTTGGGTCGGAATGGCTGTATCAATTTCACCATGTGAACTGAATAGCGGGAGAGATGCGCGAGGCTCACCTTCCCACTGTTTGTTCCATTAGGGATGGCAGTGAAAGTCGATAGATCTTATCGTTGGGGGTTGAAGTGGTAATGCATATATATAAGTGAAGGATAATCACCATTGCAGGGGAGGTGCCACAGATATCGGACGCCTGAAAACAGGATCGACTCCATAATTGAATTATACGATAGTCAATGATAACTAGCTTAGTACATTTGACAATTAATCCGACTTTTCACACCAGGGCCCTCCCCATCTCTTACATAGACAAACAAAAAGTGTCCCCCAGTGTAACATCCATCATTCGTACCAAACACCCGATCAAAAGAACTAGGAAGAAACGAGAGCAAGACTAAGGAATAAAGTCATTGAGAACTCTTCGGAAGTGCCAGCAAACGTTTCAATGACGCATCTCTGTACACATCGAGTCAGTATAACCATGACTGCAGCTGTATAGAACTGACACACCTGTCCAAACGTGCAGACATCTCTGGGCTGTCTCCGTTCAAAGTGGAGTATCCTTCGAGATGCGATACACATCATTCAGTGTTGAAGTAGGAAGTTATTGAAGCCTTCGAAGATGTGTGAAGATATTAATAGCCGACGTGTAGAATTTGAGCTTGATCGTAGTATAGAGGACGTTGCACCAGTAGTGCTAATGATGTATTGGAGTCACTTCAATAGCTGAAGTGGCACCTAGCTTGATTTTGTGAATCGCCGAACGCGTGGCAGTTAAGGAGTAGACGTTCCCAAGTCCGATCTTCATTGTATGAGGTGTAGAATTTTCCGATGTCGATAGAGGTCGATGACAAGGAGTTGAGATACGATTTGGTGAAGTAGTAAGGAAAAGATCAAGGAACGAAGAGGGAAAGAAGAAAGGTAATGGAAACCTGATATGCAACAGACTCGAGTATCAGGGAGATTGTTGTGGAACAACTTCTGGAATCGGAGATTACCTATCTGTTTGTGTAGTTGCTTCTAAAGTCGACTCGCTCGATATAGCTCTCTTACTCTTCTTGCAGTATAATAAAAAGCCCAAATATAACCCAAAGCATATGCAATACCGATGGCAGTAAGAATAATCGTCCACACCATGATGAAGTTATCTGGTCTGAAGCAGAAGAAAGGTCAATGGTGGAAAGCAGGAGGAGTAAGAAGAAGTGAGGAATGAGTTGGAGAGGCGAGGAATGAATCAGTCATTATATAAATATCTGGGGATCATCAGAAACTTCTTTTATGAGTCAAACACACCACAAAGTTAAGTTATTGTCGTCGTAACCAGGTCGCTGCTCTGTCACGTACATACTGGGAAACTAAGTTATTACACGGAGAACTTTACTAGATAAGTTTCCAAACAATCTGCACAGATAGACTAACCTTATTATGTACAACACTCAGAGAATTACACAGATTTAGGCATGGTTGAGGGTTAGAATGTGCACGTAGATACATCCTTTCCTCTGTATGCTCTTGTGTTCTGGCATTACGTTGTCATAGCTAGGATTGGTATCGGCAACTGGGGTTAGAGAGTGTGGCAAGCTGGGAAAATTGACTGACAGCTTGATACTTCAGTATTCAAGCTTAAATGTCAATTTGAAAGTGGTGTTTTCTTTGGTTGTGCCAAAGGAAGAAGAAGTAGGCTGATTAGCAGGTCTCACAGTGCTTTTATAGTTTGAGAATAAGGTTACTTAAGCCTACTTTCTGTGACTTAAAGCTTGAGAGCGAGGGAAAAAGTCGGTACTAGACTTTAGAAGTCGTGTACAACCACCAAGTATTGTGTGAGAATAAGGTTGCTCTACCTTTCTTGACAAAGCTGTAAGCTTGAAATGTCATCATCAGACTTTGGAAGGCAAAACCATAAAACAAGTACGTCCTCTGTTCTGGCAATGCATGTGGAAGAGTATTTGTTTTTTCGAAGTGTTACGTACAGAAAGGGGAAGAAAAGAAGACCTCATCATTCGCAGTTCTACGTATCTATGTAAGCATGTAGAATTCCATTTTCCCCTACGGTCGTCTCAGACTTGCACCGCTTTTACCACATTTCCTGCAACGACATTCTCTTGCTTCGATAGACACCATGTCTCTTGTCCCAGTACAAGGGCAATAACCCATCAAGGGAGATTTTAACAAAGAATACAAAAGCTCTTTCACAAATTCCGGACATTCAATGAACAACTCGTCCATCGCTTCTTGGACAAAGCCCAAGGTTGTCGGCCCTTCACCGCCTAACAGGTTCCGGGCGAATGACAAGACCGGGTCCCGAAGATCTCTTGAGCTTTCAGGCGTCAAAGCGTAGACATAGGGGATTGACGAGAAAAAGTCGTTGGTGCTCAGGCTACCATGCAATTCTGAGCAGTACTTCTTGGTCGATAGACTTCTGAGTCCTTCGATGTCATATTTGTCACCTAGTGAGTACATTATTGCATGTGTTGAAAGAGCGGAAGAGGTGCAGCTTGCGTCTTCGTTGGCTGCGTCCATATCAACCGAATAGTCGCCTGTATAAAGATAGTCGACCATGAGCTGAACCATGTCGGGATGATCAGACATCAAGTCATAGGTTCCAGACAGAGCTTCCTAAGAACTTGTTAACTAATGATCAGCCTCTTTATCAAGGTTTTTGTACCTTGAACTGACCAGCACATGCTGCGCGAAAAACCGGAGACTGGCTGCATACGATGATTTTGTGAACCTGTATGTCTCCGCCCTCACAAATGAATGTAAAGTCCGTAAACTCGCCCTTTTGACGAGCCCTGTTTCGTAAGTCAACTCTCGGTCTCACTTCTGGTGAATCTGAATCTCATACTCGACTATACGCGCCCTTGTCTTGTGAAAGTCCATGGTGGTGAAAGTGCAAAATGAGGAGACACAGCTTCTCCCATGTGGAATCAAGAGAGATCGGACAAAAGGATAAACTAAGAGGTTGCGAGTTTTTCATTGTTAAGTACCCATCACTGACGTGGTACCTGATTCATGAATTGGACGCGTGATTCGGTTAATTGCCCGATTAGCGGTGAACTGTTAACGCCACTGGCAATAGAGTTTGCGACCATTCCGCTGGGTGACATGTTGTGTTCTATGCCGTCATTCTTTTCTGTTTCAAGTCATTTGGTAACCGACGGGCTGGTAATTTGGCCGAATGTTTACTATTCCCGCAGCGACTTCTTCGAAGATAGATCGGTGAAACGAAACGTCTATCTACACAGCGACCAAGCCATTTCTACCTAATAAACGTGTTAAAAGTATGTGGAACAAGTCGTCTCACAGACATAAGAATTCGTAACTGCTGTCTTTATCTTATCGAGCTTACTGTGCTTGCCCAACTCGGCCATACAGGCGACGAAGGATTGCAGAATCTGGAGACCTTTGTCAGCTGACGTTATGTGAGCGAAGAATTAGAGATATAAAACCAACAGAACATCAGCATGTTTTATGTTTTCCTACATAGTTCAAATCCTCACTCAACTTTCCCTCGCTACACAATCTCAATATCACAAGATTCAGAATGTCTTCTGTCAAAGAACTCAGAATGGCCATTGAACAAACAACAAGACAATTCTTAGGCGCTTACAAGGACTGCGGCGAAGCAAATGACCCATCCATCATCAACCGCGACGTCACTGAAGACTGCAAACGTCACTTCCTTCCAGCCGGTGTCATGGCGCTTGTCGGAGCTCCCGAAGTGGTTACATTGAACAATGAGGCCTACGAGGCGGCAGTGGCTCAAGACATGAGAAAGAGCCTAGTGACAGGGACTCGAATTGCAAACCTGGTTATAGATACCGAGGCTCATAAAGCAGCAGCAACTACTATCACCGATGTGAAATTTCACGACGGAGAGGTGGTTGGGATGGAGCATTCCTGGGTGTTGGACTTCAATGAGGACGGCTCCAAGGTCAGCAACGTTGTTGAGTTTTGTGATATGGATGGAGTGCGCAGGATGGTGGAAAAGTCTTGGCTTTGAGCTGTATTAGACCATTTCCAAAAACAAACGATCATGACATTAAACCTACTCACTAGTCACTAGATTGTTTATAGAATAAAGAGAAATGAAGCTTTTGACTTGCCATACTTGTAACAATTTCGGAATATCGAGTCGTTATGCTATTCCAGAATACGCTCGATATCAATACTTATATATGTTCTAGTGGGCAGCAGAAACGTTGAACTTGGAACTTGAGACTATAACAATAAATAGCCTATGTCTAAGTATCATAAATTTACTGACCAATTTCGTTTCTTATGCTTCTAGCGGCCAATGTTTCTGATACCCTGATGATTTTATGTTGCGATAGAAGCGACTAGCATTATTTTAGAAAGTTCCAGCTTACCACGTGATAACACACTGTTGCCTAGTCATATAATTAGTAGTTGATAAAACCCGCATTTCCCTTCCGTCATGGGACCATGCTCAGGCCGCAATTCACTACATCACCATGGCCAGTATCACAAGTATACCAAATGAGATCCTTGAACACATCTTTATTTATGTGACTGATCATTACTACATTGACATATTTGAAGTCTGCCTTGTCAACAAACGGTTCTGCGAGATTGCAACACCCCTTCGAGTCCGCCATTGGAGCGATTGTGGCTTATTCAGCATCCACTGTACAACCCCTTCACTTACCACGATCAGTCGATTCGCGCTAGAGCTTCTAAGGCGGCCTGAACTTCGTTTGCAAGTCAGGAGCTTGAACTTTGACTGGATCCGATGTGACGAGGGCAAAGAAACTCCTCGCCGCTTGATACGACCAGAAAACCTCGAATTGTTGGCCAAGGCAGCTAAGGAGACCTTACCGGACTTCTCTAGCTCCACAGATCTGTGTGAAAAGATTCGCCAGGGGTGGGACGATGGCATAGCTGTCCTCGTGCTGGCTTGGACAACGAACTTGACCAGCCTTGGCTTGACAATCCCATCATATACCCAAAGAAGAGGTGGCAATGACTATCGGCTACTTATTTTAGTTTTTGCCAAACAACTGGCTCTACGTTTTGCCTCTTTTGATCCCAAGGCAGCTTCATCTTTGCCTCTGGAGAAACTAAATACGTTGGAGTTTTGGCATTGGGATGTAGAGGGCGAAATACATGTGAAACATCTCTCGCCCTTTCTACATTTCCCAAATTTGAAGAGACTTAATACCTCGTGGATCGGCGACAATAAAGGGCGAGATCTCAGTTATATGGTTTTGTCCACAGAGAACAACTATTCGATACCATTTCCAGAACGAACTTCATCACTGGAATCAATTCACATGTTGGAGCCAAAGCTGTCAAACTCAGGAATAAGGAGCCTCCTACACGTTTGCAAAAATCTGAAAGTCTTCAATCTGGAGTGTTGTGAAATAGGCACACGGAGCAGCACTATGCTTGCTAGGTCTCTTGTCGAACACGCGTCCACCCTTGAAGAAGTAAGTCTATCTATACAAGACGACGACTACAGCCAGTGGATTCCGGATTCGGATACAGATGAATTGCCTGAATGTTACAGGGCGCTCAAAAGACTAAAACGTGCCGGCATTCCCATGCAACACTTGTTGCAGAGGGAAGACGAAGATGATCCCACGACAACAAAGTTCAACCCTGGCCGACTTCCTGAATCGCTTGAGCATCTCACAATTTTCCACCCAGAGCTACACTCTGCACGGATACAATTGGAATATATGGTAGAGGAATTGTCGGGCGATATTCTGAACAGATTTGAATTTGACCGCGACCAAGCACTGGTTTGTATGCGAACGCTACTTGAGGAGACCGGGCCAGAGCGGCGATTGAAGAAGCTCAAGACTATCGATTTTTCCGATGGCTTATTGGACGATCCCATGGTAGAGGACATCAGGAGAGTAAAAAACTTGGCCAGGGAGCGAGGAGTTGAGTTTATATTTGGCAGGGTTGAGCGCTGAGGTTGTTTGATCCTTACAGGCCATCTCTCTTTGGATTGATCAAGTTCATTAGATAAAGCAAGGTGATTTTGCTTGCGGCAAACGAGTAGTCTCAAGGCTGCTGAGATACCTTGGCCTATTGATAGAGGAACAGCGACCATAATCTCGGATCACGCTTAATGGGCAGTAGAAAAGCCGGCCACTTAAGCCTTAGGGCAAAGAGATAAGTGGTCTAAGAACTATGGTGTAAGAAGCATAAAATGACCTACTAATATCGTCTCCCACGCTTCTAGCCGCCAACTTTTGAGATCTTGAGGCACGCTTAGCCCTTCCTAGCATATATCCCTGACTGCCCCAAATATAGCCAATTATGTCTTTCTCTGCTTACGCTCAATTAAAATTGCCAATTCCAACATTGTCAGCTTCGTCGTCGCTTTTACCTTTGTTCAACCGTCGCCGTTACACAATGAACGCCACGACGTTGGTCTCGGTTGAGCGAGACTTATACTTCGATGTGACCTTGTACGGCATGTACATTTTACTCTTCATTCTGCCTTTTTTCGTAACCTATGTCTTCACTGTGATCGGAAATACAGGCTATCGCGATGGGACAGTAGCGAGAGAGCCACCGAAAGTTCCGTACTGGATTCCATTCGTCGGAAACACGATTGGCTTTGCTTATGATACAGAACGATTTCTGTTCTCCATTTTGTAGGTTACAATTTATTGAAGAAGCATTCTTTTATTTATTATATATGATAGGCGCAAGTTTGGTAAAGTCCCTCTTCGAATATTCGTGGGCGCAGAGCCAATGTACTTCATCCCCCATGGTCAAACAATAGTCGAGCTCTTCAAGTCCTCTCGCTACCTCACTACCAAGACCTTCGGTATCATGACTGTCCGAGATGCATTCGGTCTTCCTCAGCCTGATGTCGAGATCTACGCGGGTGACGATTCTGGCGTTGACGTAAAGCCTGCGCCTGGTTGGGAACATGTTGAGCAAACGAAACGCTTTCACTTTGTGCAACATCGTCAGTTAAACACTTTTCTATCCGGGAGTGCTCTCAACACTATGACAGGAAAGTTTTTAGGGGTTTATTCAGATCATATTGCTCAAGACACGACTTTTCGAGATGGTGAATGGGTTGAGGTCGATGATCTTTACACCTGGTTTAAGAATCATCTCCTTCACGCTGCGGTGGTAGCCTTATGCGGTGAGCGATTCCTTGAGCTATCGCCGAATTTTCTCGAAGAATTCTGGTCGTTTGACTATCACCTCCCCAATCTTTTCAGAAGGTTACCCCGATGGGTCGTTCCCAAGAGCTACCAAGCCAGAGATCGTCTTCTGGAATGTCTCTTCCGTTATCACCAATACGGGCAGCAAACCCTTGATTTTACAGACGAAAAGCTTCTTCAGAAGGACTGGACCCCGGAATTCGGTGCCAGACTTATGAGCACGAGACAAGAGATGTTCAAGAATATTGGGATTTCACAAAGAGGTGGCGCTGCTCTTGACATGGGCTTGGTGTGGGCGTGAGTACCTTCAATCCATAGAATGGTGACATTCTTCTAATTACATCTAGGGTCAATGCTAATGCTATTCCGGCTGCCATGTGGATGCTCCTGAGCATACTTCTTGACAAGAATCTTACTAATAGAGTCATGATTGAGATGGAACCTTCTTTCCATGAGAAGTCTCTGTCTTTTGATTTCGATAGACTCTACTCTGCACCCCTTCTCAACTCAATCTATCTCGAAATCCTTCGTGTTCACGTTGCAGCACCGGTGGGCCGATCGTCACTTATACCCAATCTCAAATTCGGAAAATGGCAGATGAAGCAAGGCGTCGGTATGCTTTCAACATCGTGGGTCGGTGGCCACGATCCTGACTTTTGGAACACTGGGAGTAAACACCCAGATGGATCCGACGAGCACCCTGTAGACAAATTCTGGGCCGAGCGGTTCCTCAAATACGAAGACGATCCAACTAGCGGTCCAGTTCGAAGCATCGACATCAAGCCTTCGCCAGAAATTTCCAAGCGCACACCAGAAGATGATCGCAAAGCACGTGTCGTTACAGAGGGGACGCAAGGATATTTTTATCCCTATGGTGGCGGTACAAAAATGTGTCCAGGTCGCTTCTTCGCTAAGCAACAACTCATGGCAAGTGTTGCAGTGGCCCTGCGAGCTTATGAGATCGAACTCATCAATCCTGAAGCAGCGGCCAAGATTGGACCGAATATGGATTATTTCCCGTTCGGTACGATTCCTCCGAAGGGCAAGGTCCCTGCTAGAATTAGAAGGCGACAACTATAATGGAAGTTGGGTCAGACTAAACTCCCACAATTTCAACCATGAGAGAATGTGTTTGATAGACGAAAGGAAGCCTGTCTATCTGTTCCCCTACGTCTCTTTCGCAAGTTATCAAGTGTTATGCTACACGAATCTAGACGGTTTATGCACGTGACTTATCGCTGCTTTTTACTCAGGGTAGCTCAGGATAGGCTCACTCCACCATGGTCAATTTGCGCAGGAGACACAGAACCTTACTGGAGTTTAAGCGGTAAAGACTAGTTCTATAATCAATACATATCGCTGCAGAGAATACGTACCGGCTGGAAGCATTAGCTCCTAGGGTTTTAGGTCCACTATTCTTTAACTTTCCAACTGCAAGACTAGTCTGATTCTGTCTGCCTCTATTGCAGGATCCAATTCTGGCCTACCTTGCGTAAGTTGAAATGTGCCAGCTGCTGAAAATCTTTCTTCTGTCTCAGTGAATCCAACTCGGCACCACCATTTTCCATCCTGGCCTTTTCTACCGCACTAATAGCAAACAATACAGGCGCCGTAGAGGCTTTCATGATTTCGACACCCGCTTTCGCTGACTCAATAATAATGCAGATGAGAAGAAGGATGGACAGCGCAACTTGCGCACTTAAAAGTGCCAACCATTCCCAGCGAACTTGGACATAGACCTCACTATGCAATGATGTCCCATCGACGTTAGACTCTTCGGGAAGAAGTCTGTTGAGGACGTGTTAGAATATAGCCCCATGCAAGGAAGGATTAGAACTTACGTGTTTGTAAGGCTGTTGGCCGCATTCAACGCCATACCTTCCACAGCGATCCACCAAGATTTCTCTTTCTCCAGTTCTTCGAGCGAAGAATTGCCCCCTGTGAGCTTTTGTAGAACTTCTTTGGTGGCTTGTACTAAAATGTCACTGCCCGATGTACCACGAATTGGTTCTCCTCCTAGAACGATGCTTTCGCCACTCAGGGACTCGTTTAAGTGGCTTGCTATCATTTTGGTAGATAATCCACCAATTGTATATGTTACATCGTCTTGGGCTGATAATACCAAAGGCAGGTATCCGTGAATTTCATCCCCTTGTCTTCCCTGTAGCGTCGGGATCTGGGATGCCGACTTATTCATCTGAAGGACATTATCGACTAGATAAGGGCCGTAAGTGTCAATACACCAATAGAAGGATATTTCAGCTGCCCGAGGTGTGACCTCAGATGGTTCCCAATAGATAGCAAAATAATCGAGAATGGATGCGTTTTGCAGATGCTTGTGCACTAGAGTTGGTCCACTGCCGACAAAAAAGGTTGGGGCGCCAGTGTATCTGGCACGACTTTTGCCCGGTATCGTATAAATTCCATTTGGGAGCGTGATGTTCAGAGTGCCATGGTAAAAGTCGACATCCGCTTCGATCAGGTGGGTGACATCTAGAAGTAACATTAGATATCACAGAGCTTCGTCTGGCCATAGAGTCTAGGCTGAAGGGTGATTTGTGACTGTGTACTAAGGGAGAGATATAACTGACTGGTTAGCTCGTATCCTATTGCGAGCGTTTGGAATTGGGGCCATTCGCAGTTCGCTGAGGCACACTTGGGTTCTTTGAACGGAATCCTTTCGGTCACCAAATTATGGATTCCTCGCCTAACCCCTCTCGCAATAGCTGGCCCATTCACTATGCGTATTTGTCAGACATTTGCCAACCAGAAGCTAGTAGGAAGAAGATGTCATAGCATGAACGTCGTCGATAACCAGTTGTTAGAAGGAGTGGGTGACCTACTAAGTGCATAATCAGGGTAATCCCTCCCCCAGCTCTCCTCCAACCGCCATGCCTCTGCACTCCCCTTTTTTGTATCTTCAATATATCTAGATGGGTATGTGACGGCAAATTGTGTGATCGTCGATGTGGCAATTGTAGTACTCAAAAGAAATGCAGCGATAATACCGACGAACCTATTGCTGTGAGTAAACCTTCGAATTACAGGTAGTGTAGAAAACATACCATCCCTTGGTATATGAGAGTAGACTTAAACTACCTCCTAATCCTCTTGACGCTTTGTCAAATGCTTCGAAATCCTTGAGTGGTCGTGGCTTCTTCTTGAACCAAGTCCATTTGGCTTGTGCCAAGCCTTCCGTTACAGGAACAAGTAGCGCGGTTCTGCATATTGTGGCCATGCAAGCTAAAACTGTATTTAGAGTGATACCGGATGGCCAGTTGGGCAGAGGTTTGTGGTTAAATTCCCTTAGGGTCATTGCTAGGGTTATCAGGGCAACGATGCTGACTAAACAGCACAGCATTTCCTGCCACCAACCGTCGATGATGCGTCTTACGGTCTTTTCCCAGCCTCCCCTACTTTCTGACATGCTGCTTTCATGCAGATCAACTTTCTCTATCATCTTTTCCTTGGTTTTGTGTATCCTGGTGGTAACATCTTGATGGTTCAAAGCTGAACTCTGAATCTGGTCATTGATAGGTGATACACCGACAGCACTGACGGGTTGCTTCTTGTGATCGAAAGCTTCTGCAGCAACGTTGAAGTCGTTTTCCTGGTCCAGTAGAAGCGGTGTATTTGCAGGCTCGGCTGAGCTAGGCTTAACGCTGGTGGATACTATGAGAGCGCCGCTTGGGCTGATAGGTTTACGCCTTATCGACGAAATAAACAAGGTACTGTCGCGCTCGGATTCCATAATATCTTGGTAAAGAGTTTGCTAACGAGTGTGGTAGTGGGTCTGGTACAGTGGCAATGAGCTGAGTAGATAACTGCAACTCTAGAAGCAATTCCCCTCTTATATCAAATCAGACGGACACTTCTCAGCATCACCAGGATTGCCTTCTCGTGGAGGCAACATTCTGCAACCCTGCCTTACGACTAAAACGCATTAAGGCACCTGCTTAATTCGGAAATGTCTAATTTAACCAAGGAAAGCTTCATTGCGGGTCATTTTCGGCTGAGGCACCAGTGATCAAAAGCCCTTCCCTGATATCACAGGGGAGAATGGTGAAATCAGGCCATTATTTGCTTTTCTAGAAGCCAAGAATAAGGTGCCCACATATACTTATTTGTGGCGCATAATGATGAGGTTTCAGAGTTATGGGTTTATCAAACAGATGCTAAAGACAAGTAGATACCAATAGCCCGAACAATGAACTCTGTAGTTAGTGGCCGCCCTCGATTTAACATGGTCGTGTCGATGACGACTTTGACATCACCACCGCGAACTTATCAGTACGTATAACTTGTAGATTGCCTTTTCCAGGGATGGTTTCTAATAATTTGCCAGTACCTCTACTCTAAGTCTGTCCCACATCCTTGCATGTGACGACAACCAACACACAGTAGCATCAGCGACATGGTCCATGGGAACCGGTCCAGCCAACACGAAATACAAGGGCCAAGAATGAAAATCAATCGCAAATGGGTTTTGTTTTCCGGTGGACAGATATTATTTTAATCTTGGCTAATTGTGCTAGTGAGCTTTTCGATGCACCATCCGTTCGGAATTAGCCCAACCGTGAGAAGTATATTAACATAGGCTAACAGCAGACCCGTCTTGACTAAATAAGTTGATCCCTTATAAGATATTATCATTGAACACAGGAGGGTTAAAAACTTTAGCTTCAAGAAGTTCAATTTTCCTACTACTGCCTTCCTCTATAGGCATCCCCAGGACATATAGACAGCCAAGGATGCTTAACTTCTTCAAAGCATAGATAGGACTAACAAAAGCCACAAGGGAAGAAGTCACTATAAATTATAACTACGTCTATAGCTAATCTTTAAGAATATATTATATTCTATATAAAAACCAACTTAATTACCTCTAGAGCTAAATATAGCCTTAAAAGCTATGATAATTCCCTAAGTATGATATTTAACTTAGAAACTAGACCTTTAAGAAATATCAATTAGCGATTCTGCGCAAAGATCTATTAGTCTGCAATATCAGGATAAGATTTTGAACTAAGGTTGACTTCCCGATATTTGGAATCAAATGAATCGAGTATTGCACTAGTGACCTCACTCACTCGATCTATCGGCTTGGATATTAAGGTATTTTCGACAAGGTCTAATGCGGGAGAGGCGGTGATTAGTGTGTCTATAACCAGGGCGAATGGGTGGTTCTGAATTAATAATTATAGTTTTTATTTAAGTAAGAACGTGGTTTGTAAAGATGAGTATACCTTCAGACGTTCGAAACGGGACTACACGTTTCTACTGTTGCTTAGCTTACCCATCCATTCATAACTCAATTTGGGTGTATTTCGACAGCAGAAAATTGTTGCCGACTTAGTCTGAGGCATGTTCGACCGATTCCCGTCTTTAACCCTAATTTTGTACTGGCAGCCGATGAAGATAACAGTGTATGAGTGCCCTGACACCCAGCTATCAACAAACCAGGTTACAGGGTTACGGTAAACTTCTGGTCGTGCATCTTTTTGAAGAACAATTGTCCTTATGTCTACTTCTGTCCAAAAGATACGATCACTCAAGGATGAAACGTATATACGCACCCAAATAAGTAGCACCAGAAACGCTCGTGGATGACTATGCCAGGTAGGTAAGTAGAATTATTTAATGGACGCCTTCAGCCAGCAAGTCATCACATGCGAACTAGCATTGACGAGGTCACCTATTGTAGGACAGTTCTTAGTTTTGTACCTGCTAGGGGCCGAAACCAGACGCAGTAGACCCATATTTCTCAAATCTCAGCGGCGCTTAGTCCGTTCCAAGCCCAGGACAAGCTCAGGCATGCTCAGGTTAAAGCGGCATCAGCTCAGGATTATGGGCGAGAAGGGAAACAAGAAGCGTCTAGATTCTATCCTAGTATATGTGTTATATATGGCTGACATGGTATGGACTATCACTGAGTACCTTCGTTACAGGGTTACGTACGTGGCATTATGAGTTAGATGAGGAATATAATATTCTATGTGCTTGGTTTTAATTTGGGTATCTTGCGTGTAGAAAGGGGAATTGTGGAATGCCTCGTCTATGCCAATCTTCTCCCATATCGCCAGCGATGTAGGAGCCTCAAAGCCAGTTGAAGAACATCGTTCCCACAGCTCAGGTTATCTAGACCACTAGAATTAAGAAACTGAACCCTATAGCTCTCATAAGTTTTTCGAAGCTCGTTTCAAAAAGTCATATGATTCCTGCCAAACACCACGTGTATCAAACCCACCTCAATTGCATCCGTTTGGGTCACAACCATAGTCGCCGTACCATCAGATCCAAGACTCTAAATGAACATTAGTCTTGGTAAACAGTAACATGAAGAAGTAGTATGACCTTTCATTGATTGGTTTCAGAAAAAGCCCGTTAGATGTCCCATTTGCCGAGAAATGTCGCAACGCGCTGGCCAAGCCATCAACCGCTGCTGCATTTTCGTTCCGGAAATGGTGACGTACTGTTGGCAGAGTTAAATGTGGGAGGCCAGCCTGATACTTGTTGAATCAACCAAGGTTAAATGTTGACAAGCATGTTGCTGCTGTGACAGCCCGTGGCAAGGTACAAGTGAAGAATGGCTGATGTAGGAGGCCGACCACCACAAATGCCTTGCCAATGAGCAGCATTAACTGTGGCCACAAGCATTTTGCCTGAAAAGTTTCCTCGAGTCACTTTTGTTCATAATTTGTTGGACTATGAGCAGAGATATTAGGCAGCCATGCGTCCTGGGGTTGGATGTGTCAGTTGAGCTGTTGGTCCGTCTCCTATATGAAATTCTTGTCCATCTCACAGGTGGCATTGTGTTTCCTTTCAACATTTGCGTACCTACTCAAGATACGCATTCGTACCAGCTTTTGAATACTACAAATCCATCTTTTTCTCAAGCAAAAAGTCTCACGCCTGTTGTATCGCAACAATGCCCCGACCGAGAAGACGACGCCCTACATGGTCCATGTTCCCCGACCTACATGATCAAGTGGCAGACAAACTTGACGAAGTCCAAATCGACTACACCTTCAACCCCAACGACGACGACCTTTCAAAAATCAAAGCATACGACACCCACATAATGGGCCGTTTCACGTGCACCAACGAAAAGTGCAGTATAAATGGCTGGTCAAGCATGAAAATCGCTATCACCATTCGCGAATACTCTCGAGATCGGTATAATGCCCGCATATATCACCAGCGATGCAAACGATGCAAAAGCTTGGGCGAACCGACTCTTAACGAAGAGTCGTACGTCGACAGGGTCACGTATCGTATCAAGAAGTGGAACGGCGTCGAGATGGAAAGACCGATTTGGGGAGGAGGCGATTCCAAGGGGCCGCACGAGAGAGCTTTATGTGAGGGGTGTAAGAATGGGCATTGCCGAGAGGGGCTTACTGATATTACTGATATTGCTTGGGCGTGAGGATGTTTTGTATAGCACGTGATCACGGTTACTATGAAAATAAATATCCTAAGTCTCATCTACATTAGGTTTTATAAATTGCCCTCTTTATATTTCCTGGGACAACTATTACCTTAAGCACGGGCTACTCAACCCCTCAGGTCCCCGCTGCCGTAAGACCTAGTATCCTCAACCATGATTAAGAGTGGCGGAGCATTCTTTGCAGCGTGTACATTTGTTGCCTAAATAAAGGACAAATCCTGACAATTGCAATAACAGTGAAACAAAATCCTTCAAATTAACACGAAACAGTCAAACTTTTCGCATCGTATCACATCATGGGCGCTGCTATCTCTCAATTGTGGACACCTCCTCTCATCAACATTGGCGTCGTTGGACTGCCCTCGGCTGGCAAGACTGCTATAATCCACAAGCTCAGTCGAGGCCAGAAACCAACACTACCACTAATGGACAGTCTGTCTCGCCCTTATTTATTGGATCCACTTGATATACTAACGTCAGGTTAGCTGTTAATACCACATGCTTCTTTCAAGGCTCTCAAGAGTACTTCATCTTCGACTACTCTGGAAATGAAAAACTGAGAGCAATATGGAGAAAACTTCTATTCAGATTACAGGCAATTGTCTTTGTCATCGATAGCACAGATAGAGCGAACATGGAGGAGACTAGGGAGGCGTTGTGGCAAGTACTACGAGAGGAAATGCTTGATCCTCAGCCTGTTCTAATTCTTGCAAATAAGCAAGACAATCCTGTGAGTATGAGGAAACACTACGGTGCCATGAAAAAGCATTGACATGAGATAGAAAGCTATGAGTGTGCTTGAACTCATTGAGTGCCTCGAAATAGAGAAGGATCTTGAGAAAACTAGAAAATGCGTTTGTGTTCTTTTCTGTCAGTTCTTGGAAGAGTTGCCTGCTGACAAGCATTTAATAGCGCATTATCGCAACGAGTTCCATTACCGGTGAAGGTTTAGTCGAAGGACTTGAGTGGATGCGACAAATTGTGCGTACGAATCCGTCGCACTGAGAAGATTGACGTAGGAAGAGAGTCCATCAACAGTTCCTTAATTTCTACCTTGGCAAGTCTCATTGTTCAGGGGAAAGGAGAAACGAGCATAAGAGACAAAATTAGTAGGTCAGTTTATACTGCTCAAATTTAACTTTTTACGCTGTTTATTTTCGTACCCTGAGTTAAAAGGCAGAACGTTATTCCGCATCATTTGCCGATTAATCAGCGGCATAGATCCACTAATTCTCGGCCTCGATCAGCGAGGTTGACACCAAAAAGAATCACCCCATTCCTGTCATTCTTTCCTATCACCACATTCAAAATGGCTGAGCACCCTTCTTTCACTCTTGCTGCCCTCTGTAAGTACTCACTTGACCTTCAAGATCGGCTTCTGTCCTAATTGGTCGTCCTCCCTTATAGTGGCTGCTGGTGGCACTGCGGGTTACATGCGCACGCGCTCTACTCCTTCTCTCGTGGCTGGTGTTGGACTGGGTGTTTCTTATGCCTATGCCGGTAAGTTTTGCAGTAGTCAGTTCTCATTCTGTCATTGACATGTGTTTGACAGGATACCTTCTCAAGAACAACAAGGACTACGGTTCTGAGCTTGCGTTGACAAACAGTGTTCTCTTGACTGGATCCGCTGTTCCCAGGATCATCAAGACTGGTGGCCGAGCACCTGTTCCTATTCTTCTCGGTGCAGTTGGTGGACTTGCCACGTATTACTATCAGAAGAAGTTCCGCGAGTTCCGATATGGTGTTTGAGCAAGCATTGTATCTTTACTTTTGACAAAAAGCACAATCTAATTGGAAGGAGCCTGATGTACTATACTGTATGATAGCATGAGAACAATTCATCTCAGTTTAGCGGATCGCCAAGTACGTGTTTGACATGTTTTGAATCGCAATTGAGCTAGAGGTACAGGGTAATAAGTCTCTCGAGTTTAGGATGCCACGAAATAAAGTCTGTAATGTCAAGATAAATGAAGACACGTTGAAAAGGTAGAAGAGAATTAATGGACTTGTTGTTTTGTTTGGAATCTCAAATATCTTGCATGGGCTCGCTGTTAATGTCGGGTCACATCACACGATTAATATCGCAGTTTATTAAGAAAACATCTCAAGAACAGTTAAAATTAGCTGGTTCCACTGATTAGTCATTTTTGGTTCAGCTTGTCGACTTGTCACCACGTGATTTGAATTGCCATTCAATGCCGCGTCGGAGCAGCAGGACAGTTTGACATGATCATCCGACCAACAATTAGCCAACGGTGACAAGTACCTTTCCCAAGAAGCGCGAATATCCTCCCGCCGTTGTACATGGTGCTATAATAGTTCCCGAGAGTCCGTTCGCACGTCCGTCGGCGTCGTTAATCGAACCGTTCTTCAGCCCTCGACAAGCCTCTTTCCAGTCCAGCCGACACGCCCGATACAACGAGTCGACAACGAAACAATACAATCAGCGTCGCTTCACTTGCGAATATTGTAGCTGATAGACCCCGTGAAACTGTTCACCACCCTCTCGATATTAACTTTCCACTTCTTCGCAATTCGCTGTGCCGCGTCAACCCAATTCTCCCTCTCCCTCTCCCTCTCCCTCTCCCTCTCCCTCTATGCTTCGGCGCGCTCATCCTGCCACCACGTGTTACAACTCAATCTTGGTACCATAAGAACATGCTCATTTATCCAACGTGAGATTTACCATTCTCCGCCTCCTAAAAGCTGACTGTGAATTCCCTTCCCCTCTCAACTCCGCCTACCTGTGGCATTACTTCGCCTAGACCTTAGACCTAAGACCGATCAAGGCACAGCTAAGCCCGGTCTCTCGGTCCCAGATTTTACCGTCCTTCTCCGTTCCCCTCATACGTAAGACGAGGCTGCGGAGCTATGATTCGCTACCGACCCTCTTAGCTCCAGAACTAACCCGTCATCATCCAGTTGTCAAAAGGCTGAGCATGGATCCTTTCAGGATTTCCCATTAATGTAGCTGAGCCCTGGTTCAAACGGATGTGTCGGCTTATGCACCATCAATTGTGCGCTGTCGTCATGACTTTAACTACCTGTATTAATAAAAACTCCGCACTACAGTTATAACGTCGACGGTCAAGGTTAAAAAGAATTAGATCCCCGCCGTTGAATGCATGCTTTCGTAGTTCTCTTAGTTATACCATAATTACCTGAAATGGCTATTCATCGTGTTCTGGCTCTCTTGAGCCTTTGGTTGGGCCTCGCTGCAGCTATCCCTTCATCCCACATTTACAAAAGATCGGTATCTTCTCAACCCCTGCCACCGAGTGAAGATCCGTGGTATTCTGCTCCCGATGGTTACGAAGATGAAGAACCTGGCACCGTGCTTCGTCTGCGTCCTGCACCCGGAAACCTGTCCGCCATTGTCGGCAACAGCTCCGCCATCTACAACGTTCTTTACCGTACAACCGACAGCCAGTATAAAGCCACATGGGCTGTCACAACACTCTATGTTCCCAAGCTAGGAGCGAACAGCACTGCTGCCCGTGTGTTCAACCAGAGTGCTGTTATTTCGTACCAGGTACCCTACGACTCGGCTGATGTCGACGCTAGTCCTAGCTACACTGCCTATTCTTCTGGTGGCACTGACTTGTTCAATCTTGCTTTGGGTCTGGGCGTCTTTCTCAACGTGCCTGACTATGAAGGCCCCTTGGCTTCCTTCACAGCTGGTGTCATCTCTGGACACGCAACTCTTGATTCCATACGCGCCGTGCTTTCTCTAGGCCTTGGTCTCAACACTACCTCGTCTCGTGTTGCGCTCTGGGGATACTCTGGAGGCGCATTGGCCAGCGAATGGGCTTCTGAGCTTGCAGTGCAATATGCACCCGACCTCCAGGAAACTGTTGTTGGCGCTGCCATTGGCGGTATAACACCCAACATCACTGCTGTGGTGGAGAGCATCTCCGGAAAAGATGCTGCAGGCTTAGCACCTAGTGGCATTCTTGGAATCACAAGCCAGTACCCCGAAGTACAGAAGTATGTCATTTCGAAGCTCAAGACAGAGGGGCCTCAGAACAAGACTGGTTTCCTGGCTGTAGAGAACTTCACCGTTGAGGAAGCCGGTGCCGCATACGCTGGGGCCGACATCTTTGACTTCTTCGAATACGGCATGGATTTGTTCCGCGATCCCAAGGTCCTGAAGGTCATCAACCGCGATGGCATAATGGGTTATCACGGCGTCCCTCAATGGCCTATCTTTGCCTACCAAGCTGTTCATGATGAGATCAGCCCCATTGCCAACACGGACAAGTTAATTGAGCGATACTGCGCCGTTGGAGCCAACATCTTGTACCAGCGTAACTCCGTTGGAACACACGCTCAAGAATTTGTTCTTAGCGCTGCTCCTGCTATTCAGTGGCTGGCAACTGTTCTGACAGGCCAGTACGCAAGTGTGTATAAGACTGAGGGGTGTACTATTCAGAACGTAACAAGGAATAGTACTGCAATCCCTTTAAAGAAGAGGAATGTACCAAACGGTGTGTTTAGCTTGTGGTAATTAGTTATAGCTCAGCCACTGATGATTTGGGGTGGATTGAGGACTTTGGATGTCTAGCTTTCTGGACATCTACATGATGAAGCATCGATGATCATGTAATAGGCTATATAATTTAATTGACCTGGATAAAACAAAGCAGTTTTTATATCATGTTAGACATCACGTGGTGCTACCAAAGACGTAGAGAAGGACAGGGGCATACCTACTATACGAAGGGATTCCATGCGAATACAAGAGACTTATTATCATTGTTAAGTTAGAAGTCAATAACCTCAAGACAGTCTTAATGATATGAACTGCCCCAATAATCCTGTTCCTTATGCCTCCAGCGTCCAAACGATACCCTGAAGCCATCACCTCCAGTAGTAGAAAACAACACTGACCGCAGCTGCAACGATAGGTCCAATGACCTTCAGCGCATCCACCATCATTTTCCGATTATTCCTCTTTACCATTGCACTGTGATCAGCGCGATCATTTACTCTTGGAAACGGCACAACTGGCACGTCCTTTCCAAGGAACCCACATAGTGGTTCCCACCCATCTCCAAGATTGTAATCCAGCCGTCTTCCACTCTCCAAAGGCACAGCCTCGCGAACTTTGCGATAATACTCCTCGTATGTATCTCTTGCTCGTAGTTCGACAGCTTCGAGTGAGTACTCATTGGCACCAAAGAAACCTGCGTGGATTTTCATCATGGCTTGTGGTGCACGAAAGCGCAAGATGTGCCATGCAACAAAACGTTGAAAGGCGGTGGTGCTGTAGAGAGTTTGTAACAACTCCGATTTATACGATGACCACCAACTCTCAAACTTCCTCTGGACAACGACGACTTTGGCATCAGGATATGCTTTGATAAGTTCCGGCACAAAGGTCGACGCGACATCGGTAGCAACGTCGTACTGACCCCAAATACTCTGCCAGTCGTCTCTGTTAAACGGTGGCCGAGGTGACGCACTCCCATCTGGGCTCTTGTAGGTATACTCTGGGAGCTCAGCGAGGTGAGGCCATGTCGCTTCAGCTGCCTGCTCGAGACTTGACCAAGGGACTGCCCAGACGTTGTCGAGAGCGTGATGAGCGTTGTAGCCTAGAATACGGTATGCCTCTGTCATAGACTTGGTGGCTGTGCGGTATAGACCAGCGTGAATAATTTTAAGGCCATCGTCGTGGGTACTGGATGGTGCAGTATTTGGTTGTTGTGTGGATGCCATTGTCTTGATTGTTGAGGATGATTTTGCAGGACAATCTGGTGACCAGATGACTTTGGGATCTGGCGGTACTTATCTATATCTGCTACGCCCTACAGCCTGACATAAGCACTGTAAGCACTATAACAAGATGATAACCCACTAATTCTGGATTGGTCGTAATTGTAAGACAGAAGTGTCAGCATAAAAATGGCTCACAAAGGTGGTAGTCGCGTTTCACACGCTCTGGGATCAAGGAAAACAACATCTGAGATTGACAATAATGCTGGGTTTAGCATTTCTATTAAGTAACATGAAAGCTCACGCTTGTGTTTTGAGGGATAACAATAAATGATAATCTTGGGATCTGTTCCCAATAGCATAAAGTGACTTGTATCTCGTTTCTTGTGCTTTGGAAAGCTGACGTCTCTGATACCCTGAGGCATACTTGGCCAAGTTCTCGACTGGGGGTTTATCGCCTCGTTGTGTAGCTTCGGAATCATGGGTATACGAATGTCGCTGCTCCGATGCTGCCCAAAACATCACAGACTCGAAGTCGCTCGTGCTCTCAACCTGACACCATACTTCAACAGCATGATCGGTGCAGCTATTGCTAGAGCCAATTCGACGAAAGCCAAAGCACTATTTCCCCATCCATACCCCAGCGCAGAATACATCTGGGGTGTAAAAAGCGGGAACAGAAAAGCTGCCAAACTGCGTGGAAACTGCTGTGCTGCAATGGCACTAGAGGTATGATCTGGATACGAATCCATAAGATATGCCTGCAACGGCATCCCCGCAATTTGCATACCGAACATTGTGACACAGATGGCGACATCAACCCAAGCCCAGTGAACTCGGTACTCAGCGCACCACCCGTAGACAACGAACCCGATTGGTGCCACAAAAGCAAACATGAGCATCAAGGGGACTCTGTGCTCTGGAAGATGCTGACCTCCTGTGCGACGTTCAATTTTGTGGAACCAATAGTCCATAAGCGGTGCGCCGAGTTGTGATGCGAGAAGTTCTCCAAGGGCGCATGCGATGTAGTGTAAGCCACTGATTTCGACAGACTGTCCGTAATGCTGCCCCCAGAGCTCTGCAAAGCTAGATAGTACAATGTATAGAAGGCCATAGCTAAGGGCTGAGATAACAGCTGCGACTTGGATGATTGGATGGAATGCTAGTAGGCGCAGAGGACGACTCATAGCTTGACCAAGAATCTTTGTCAAAGGCATCTCTTCTTGAGTACGATCCGCATATGTGTAGTATGGCTCGCCAGTTTCCCTGCGTAACCTCTGAGCTCGTTGCCTTAGAATTGCCGGTGCATATGTCTCTTGGAAAGTAGTGAATGACAGAGCGGCCATTGCTACTTGGAACAAAGAGGTTGACCAGAACATCCATCTCCAGGTGACTCTGTAGGTCATAAACCCTCCAATGATTGGACCTTTTGGAAGAATCAGTGATTTGCTGCTACAAAGATAAGATTATTGATACTTACCGACTGCAGCACCTATCAAAGGAATGACCATATACCAACCGAGTGACTTTCCACGCTGATCTGGACGCCAGATATCACCTAGAACGCCTCCTCCAAGGGCGTAAACAGCACTGGCTCCAAACCCAGCAAGGAACCTTGCACCGATCAGCAACTCTTTTGTGTTTGCAAAGCCACATGCGACATTCCATATAAGAAACCAGATGTTAGAGACGTGTAGGATGGTTTTGCGCCCGTAAACTTCAGACAGAGGCCCAATGACAAGAGGCCCGAAGGCAGTAGCCAAGAGGTAGATACTCAATGCCATTACTGACTGTGTCGGTGTCATATCCAAGTCTTTGGCGATGACGGACAGTGCAGGAGCCATAACTGTTGATACAAGGATGCGGTTAAACCCGGTTACTGAAAGGACATTCGTGACGGCCCACTTGCGTCGCTCCGGCCAATTCTTGGGGTTGTCGCTGTCGAGGTCATTGAAGGCGACTAGATATGGGTCCGGATGAGTCGCTGTGATGACAGCGAGCTCAGTATCTAACACAGGTCCGAGAGGGTTCTGTTTCACGTCGGCCATTTTGTTGCAGACTGATTGATGAGATCATCTAGATAACAGTCAGATCTCCAGTCTTCCATACAGTATATATAACCCGCAGGTGACAGGCAGCAACCGGAAACCGTCGCTTCCGCAGTCAAGTAGCGCGGAGTTATCGGTCACGATATGTGGCTGCTTATCTGATCAATTTCCACTTATCAGATCGGCAAACTAGAATGGTAGGTAAATCATGGGGGAAGCGCGTAAGCTGACGAATGGGATGGCCTTTGTATGATGCACGAATGACTCACTGATCAATCAGGTTCAAGACGAAGGATCGGGTAAGTCAAAAGGACCCGAACTGTCCGAGCCAAGACAGTAATGCACGCAAGAGACAGTGAGTTTCACCGCTTTGTTGTATCTCAATATACAGCGATTGAGCTTTACTAGATCAAAAGCATAATAGACTGTGAAGACTGATGTCCGGATCGGCATTGGTCAAGGCAGGAAACAATCGTAATTAATGTTATTGCACCTAGCAAAAACAAGAGAGCTTGTAGTAAAATCTAAAGCCTATTATAGCAGGCTCACAACTTGGCTCGAGGAACACTGGCGAGCTCTTGACTATCGCTACTCCTCCAAACAGCTGCTGCCTTTGCCTTGCTGCCTTTCCACTGCCACTTTCGTTGATCCTGTCTCTCATCAACAAGCAATTTATGCACAAACTGCCCGAAGATTGGCATCATCTTGAATCCGTGTCCACTATCTCCACTCAGAACTACCAGGGTACCGTTCGTATCAGGGACGTAGTCGATGATGAAGTCAGAGTCATCCGTATCCGCGAACCAGCAAAGATGCTGGTCGATCAAGGGTCGGTCTGCAAGCTGGGGAAACACTTCTCTCAGAAGTTGGCGGATGTGTGTCTCGTCTTCGAGGGGCATGAATTGTGAATCAGACAATTCGGGGAAGGGAAGTGAGAGGCCATCTTTGGTGAAAGAGTAGTTTGTAAAAGCACCTCCCATATGGCAGAACTTGAGTTTCTTGGTCTTCAGATCAGGCTCAAAGAAAAATGCCAAATCTCGCACGTTTGTGACGGGGATTCCCTTGAGGTGAGCTGCTTCTTCGTCTGTAAGTTGGATGTGTGCGACACCCCAGGCCCGACCTGTCATTTGCTTCCCGACTCGAGGAAGGAGGTTGGCAGCATCAGCACCCAGAGCGACGATAGTCGTATCAGCAGTGTGAATGCTTCCTCCACGAGTCCGAGCGCCGATACACTTTGTACCCTCGCGACTTGACGCATACAACAAAGAGTCAACTTCACCGTCATTCTTGCCCAGATGGAACTTGACACCAAGCTTAACACACTGCTCATAAACAGCTCTCAAAGCATTAGCAGAGTGGCCATAACCGGCAAGCTTGTTGTGATAGCCTTTGAAGCCCGTGAGAGGACCTGTGAATTTGGGGACGAGCTTCTTGATCTCTTGGCTGCTGTCGACACGCGTGGTTTGGCCATTGAAAGCTGGATTCTTTTGAAGAGACTGAAAGTAGCTCTCCACTGCACCCTTTGTGTTTTGGGCAGCTTTGCCGGATGTCACGTTGAGGAAACCTGTTTGGTGGTAATGAGGTGCGTAAAGGGGATCTGATTGCCATTTGCGAATGGCGTCCTGCCAGAAATGTCAACCTCAGGTCTCCACATAGAGAGTGAATAGGTTACGTACCAGGGCCAGTTGGGTATAAAAGTCATCTGCATACTCGGCGCGGATGACCTTGTTGAGGTCGTAAGCTGCTGAGAACCGACTCGGCACATCCACGTCCTTTTCGAGTATTGTGATGTTCTTGTAACCCTGTTGCGCAAGCTCAAAGGCCGTGGCCAAGCCGAAACAGCCGCCACCGAGAATGAGGATCGATTGGCGTGTTGGGTCTTGAGACATTGTGCTTGAGATGGCCGGGATAGTCCAGAGGTTTCAAGTCGACAGTGATGAAGATAAAGAGAAGAACAGAGTAATGGAGTAGAGGCGAGGCCTTGTTAAAAATACCTGCATGCTGACTCTCAGGTTGCTTTGGCTGGTTGAAGATAATAGCTACCTCGGATCCCGATCCGATATCGCGATACCAGATGATACGATGGCCATGTTCTGGTTGGACAAGATTGAAAAGGTTCATAGAGTCTCTCCATAAGGACCGCAAAATCAGTTAGCGTAGCCGATGGAAGCTTTCAGTGGCTGTGGACATGGACAACCTCCACCAATTCCGTACTGTTCCCCGCTTCATCGGTCTCTACCCCGGATTTGACCATGGTCAGGTGGACAGTTCTTGGGAAACACAACAAGTGCACATCCAATTATGGCGGTGAATATTATTGAGGCCTGGCGGTCATGACAGGAGGATATAATTTGAACATGGGGCACGTGTCAAGTGAGTAATTTCGCGAAAAGAAAACCTCTTCAACAACGGTCCCGGTGCCGATAACCGGACATAGCATCTGCCGTTGCCAACGGATGCCGTCCCGAACAGTGTATGAATCGTCGTCACACCGTCGGAGCATATTGCAATATCGTACCATTTATCGCTCTTGATATATAAATCATTTTTACAATATATTTGCTATATAATTCATAGCAAAGATTAGGTTGAATAGAGGGAATGTAAAGTTCTTCCATGCGGCTCGACTATACGCTTTAGGATCGTGAAACATCTAGCCATAACGCAGCGGAAGTGACTAAACAAATATTAGAACAATGGCGTCTTTTATTCGCCTAAACTTCGCTACCTGCTCTGCAAAGAGATAATTCCAAGTCCAATGTGATGCTATGGGATCTCATGAGAAACAAACGTGGTAAGACTCCTTACATGCAGCTTAATTGTGCACGATATATAAGCGCCTAGTAGCAAGCGTCGAATTGAGCTGCTCATCTTTGATAACAAATAAAACGCCTCCTCGACGACCCATTTTACAGCCTCATAGGTACTCAAGCGAGACATGCGAAGAGGGCCACCGGTCAAATTACCCCGGAGATACCAAAACGTGTCCTTGGCATATGAATCTTGTCGCCATCGCAAAATAAGATGTGGTGGCTCGCAACCTACCTGCGGTGCTTGTGTGGAACATTGTTAGTTCTGTCAATACAGAAACAAGCGAGAGGACGTTAGTGTATATCATGATTCGGGCCAAGGATGGGCGTCTTCTCATGCAGCTCTCGCTGGCAGGGTATACACGACGTCGCAGGTATGATTCCCATATCTATCAGATCGTCCTATCCGCCTTTTCATGTATTGTAGTTATAAAGCATATCAAGATCTGTATCTTGTCACTGACACTTACCTTACTCCCCGAGTTCAGTAGATTGCGCATGCCTCTATATATAGCCCAGGAGGTCATGGGCCGGCACTACTGTCCCGGGACCCGGTTACTCATCCGTCCGTGAGACTAGTCCCAATCCAGACACATCTCAGAGATTCGTTATAACAGCAAGCAATGTCGTTATCCCATCAACCCACTTCTTTATTGTTTCGTAGATAGAAGAATCGCATCTCATTATTGCGCAACTGCTAGCTTCAAATCTTATTGAGTGAAACAAGGGAGGTGTTCCTTGATTGAGACAACTAAGTGTCTAGAACGTGAAGAACCCATGCAATGAATGAGAGTGAATTGTTCTTTTAGGTTCAATCATTGAAAAGAGCTGTATGGAATCTTGGGTAGTATTCCAAGGCTATTGATTCTAGTTCTCTAACGAGCTTACCACTTGCAGCTGCAGAGACCTACCCATGGCAATCCAACCACATCAACTCTGGTGCAAGTCCAGATCAGTTTATACATATCTCATTACTCGACATAACATATATGCACTTGCTGAGAGCTGTATTCATAATGGTTTGGTAGTACCAAGATATCGGCTTTTCATTATTCGCCACCAACCATGTTATCTCTCAAGTACAACCCCCAGCCGCATATGGATACCCCATGTGGATTAACCTTATGATAATGTTACAATGCCATAGCGGAGGCGTTTCTAAAGGAGCTACAACCGTCGGTAATAAGGAGTCAAACCTTGAACAAGTAGAGAAAATAACTCATCTAGACTGTTGGTTGACCTATATCAAGATGAGCTAAAATGGTATCATTCATACCATGATCGCTCCATACTTCTGATATATATCACAGTATCTCGTCGCATCCCTTTCTCCCGCGAAATCAGAGAGTCCCAACCAAGCTGTCTTCCAACCAACCATCGCAGTCATAGTCCTTCCCCTTCGCAATGGGCTTCTCCAACATTTTCGGGAGTCAGAAGACGGCCCCCGACTTATCAGCCGATCCTGAAGCAAGCGACTCCGAACGCTCCGTCATTCACGATGGCGACCTTGCATACACACGAGTCAAAGGCGGCAATGGATCCAAGCCTTCATACCAAGAAGCCGTCGGTGCTCCTGTTGAGGCGAAATCCCCCCTCGGATACAATGTTGGATGGCTTACGGTTATCTTCCTCAATGTCAACATGATGGTTGGTACTGGTATTTTTTCTACACGTACGTACTTACTGTCCTGTTGCTATCTTCCCCAAGTCTCTTATCTAAGTAATTTTATTGATGGTAATCTGGAGTCTTTCACTGACACAGCATTTTAGCCGCCAGTATCCTCAATCGTGCGGGCTCTGTTGGCCTGGCACTTATCATTTGGGTCATCGGATTTATCATGGCTGCTTCAGGTTTCAGTGTGTATCTGGAGCTTGCCAGTTATTTCCCCAACCGCAGTGGCTCCGAGGTTGTCTATCTTGAACAGGCCTACCCTCGACCCAAACATTTCTTCCCTGTTACCTTTGCTGTTCAGTCAGTCATTTTATCCTTCAGCAGCAGTAACGCTGTCGGTAAGTTCGATTTTTTTCTTTTTACCTCTCATATCTGATGCATGGCAGTTCTCTCAAAGTACCTCTGGCGAATGACTGGTGAGACTCCAACCGAGTGGCAGATGCGCGGTGTTGCTATAGCGGCTTATACCCTCGCTGTCATCTTTGTTATCGCTCACAACAAGTACTCCTTGTGGTTGGTCAACTTCATCGGTGCGCTCAAGATCCTCACCCTTATCTTGTGAGTTCCTTCACTTGCAATGTTTATTTCACATCTGATATCCTCTCTAGCATTAGCATTGCCGGTCTTGTTGTTCTTGGTGGCAACATCGACAGTATCCCTGATCCAGGCCATAACTTTAGAAATGCTTTTCAAGGTGCCACCCCTAATGGAAATGACCTGGCCAGTGCCTTGGTCAGTATCGTGTTCTCTTACGCCGGATACTATAACGCCTTCAACGTTGTCAACGAAATCCAAAACCCAATTCCCACTCTCAAGCGAAACGGCACCGTCTCTCTTACAGTCGTTGCTGTTTTGTACATGCTATGCAATATTGCCTACTTTGCCGTCGTGCCAAAAGAAGAATTCGCCGAAGCAAGTGAGACTGCCGCCTCTATCTTCTTCTCTAAACTGTTTGGCGGTAGTGAGGCAGCTGCTAATGTACTCAACTTCCTTGTTTTACTGAGTGCTTTTGGCAATCTTCTCGCTGTCTTGGTTGGTTCCGCACGGATGCTTCGCGAGATTGGACGGCAGGGTGTTCTGCCCTTTACCAACTTTTGGGTCTCTACTAAACCCTTTGGAACACCGCTTGGCCCTTATTTCCTCAAGTGGGTATTGACCTTCATCATGATTGTCGCACCCCCCGCTGGTGATGCTTTCACATTTGGTATGGCCACCTTATTCGTCCTTGTATCATCGCTAATATTTAGTAGTTGTCAGTTTGGGAACATACCCTGATGCGATGTTCCGGTTTGCTATGGCCGTTGGTGTTTATGTGCTTCGTCGAAGACGGACCAAGGCAGGCATTGGACGATCCGACTTCAAGGCCTGGCATCCCGCCGTTATATTCTACACCCTCATCCAGCTTTTTGTTCTTGTCATGCCTTGGTATCCTCCCAAGGGTGGCCCGTATGCTGGTGATGTCAGCTTCTGGTATGCCACATATTGTGTTGTTGGAATTGCAATGTAAGTAGTACTTGTTCCCTTATTAGCCGTCCACAGATACTAACATCAGTCTAGCGTTCTTGTGTGTGCAATTTACTACGCCTTCTGGATGTATCTGTTGCCGAAGTGGAAAGGTTACAGTATTCGCACCGAGATCACCGAGGTCGATGACAACGGAGCCAATAGTCACCGTTTGGTCCGAGTTCCCAATGTCGATCTTGTCCAATGGGATGAAGAGCACGATGAGGCTGGGAACCTTCGACAGAGGCCAATCCTGGTTACCTCTTCTGAAGCCTCACTTAAAAGTTAAGCGATGCAGTCTGTAGATGGAATCCAATCTCGTCGATAAGCCTTTCGTCACACTTGAAGTCATAGAGCCTGTACAATTAAATTGAAATCTTTTACTTCACAAGAATAGTCTCCTGGGTCTTCGTCTAGAGTCTAGTTGATGTATTTCTGCTCAAATTCTCAATATGGAAACAGAAAGTTGAGCTGAACTATTATGACAATATGATTGCTGTATATAAATGCATTACACCACCTTGGCTATTGTTTTTTTTGCCTTCCAATTCCGGAGCTGGCCGTCCATGATTATTTCAAATGGTCCCTGCGTCACAAAGTTGCGGTCAAACACTGTTGTATGATGGAGGTATGTGCTTGAAATCATGCTTTACCAGACTCCAGTTATACGTTGTGGCACAAAATAAATCGTCTCAGTCCATGTAAACATACTTATAGGGACTTTTGACTAATATTTGCGGTTAGGTAATTGCCGAAAATGTTAAGTGATGTGTCTTAGCCGGCAACAAATCCTGAATGTTCTTGCTATCTGTGTTTTTCAACGTATATGAAATACCATACAAAGTCTAATTTGTCCAGCCTTAGTCTGGCGGACTGTCTTTCAGCAGTCAATTATTCAAATGTTTATTACATAGTTGACGGAATGGAAGGGCTTGCACATCCATTGTAGTGGGTTCAATGCAAAGGGTTGACTCTATTTTAAGGACAGCGTGGTCTAAGGTTCTCGGTGCACGAATAAAAATTGAACAAATAGGCACATATTTATGGATAGAAGTGGTCATGAACTATCGGTGTGTAGCTATAAGCAATACCATGTTGAAGTCTTACAAGGTTTTCTAGATTTCCATAAAATATACTATGTAGATCTGTATTTCTTCTGGAGATACGGTAAGTTCTAGACTAAGCCGGGGTTCCTTGGTCTGTACACGAGCTAAGTGCTCGAGTCCCAGCCAGACCCGTCAGACCATCTCGTATTCTCTGATCAGATGGTAAGTAATATTTCGGCTACATCGGCACTTATATAAAGATCGACATGAAGACAAATATATATAAAGACTATATCCATAAGACTTTGGAATTCTAAACATACAACTTCCACACACTTTCAACAATCAACCTCAACTAAACCAACTATCTACCTTACTCGCCGTATTACTACTACACTATCAATATGCATTTCGCCACCTTTTTCACTACTATCCTCGCCGCTGGCATGGCTTCTGCCGCCGAAGTGACAGAATATAACGCTGTTGCACTTCGCCAGGGCAACAAGGAAATTGACCACGCTGCCCTCCAAGCTTCCAACGGACACTTTGCCCTGAAGCTTAAGAACCAGGGCGCCGCTTGTGACCGAGGCCTCACCGAAAACAAAGTCACATTCAATATCAACAAATCTGGTGAACTCAACCTCTACATCTTCGGCAGAAACCCTCAGGTGGCCTACGTCGACCGCTCAGGCATGGGCCAGGGCGTCCTCGGTTACGCCACCTTCGGAGACAAGGGCCTCAACTTTCCCAAGAACGCCGAGACAAAGGGCTGGAAGGTTGCTAAGAACGGAGACCTCACTTTCGGTGGCAAGGGCTTCATTGCGTGCCCCAACAGCAAGAAGGCTGGCGGCTCTTACAGTATCTGGGCTGATGTTGGAAACAAGAACCCTGGTGGCAACCAGAACTGCCAGGCTATTACTGTCCGTGCTACTGAGAACAAGAACCCTGTTGCCTGTGTCTACTCTGCTTAAGTCTGTATAACGAGTTATTTTGTCTATATATAGACTACTTGTCTTCCTGTATATAGGGCATTTACTTCAAGATATTACTTTATTTTCTTAATTACAGCTACATATATTGAAGTAATTTTATAGCTAGTTAGGGTTGAAAGAAAATAAAGTCGATACTATTTATATAGCTTAAAAACAGCTGTCTTTTATGCTAAAGTGTTTGTATATTACAAACTCAACTTTCCTTTTTTCCATATCGTCTCTAAGCAGTCACAATCCCATACCTCAAAAGTCCCATACAAGCACCGAGAAGAATTGCCAGAGGCACCGGAACCTTGAAGTACCGCGCTCCTACAAAAGACGTCGCTGTGACAACAACCCACCATGGATCATCGGCCAGACTCTTCCCCGCTTGGAAGCCCTCATCGATGTATCCAACTTGCCAGATTCTATACACAGCTGTATATATGAGTCCTACAGCGCCTGCATTTACACCTCGCAGGGCAGACTTGACCCACGGTTTGCTTCTCAGAACCTCCCAGATCCCCATCGTGCCGTGAACGAGAACCATTCCTGGGACGAATATGCCAAGGTATGCTATCAACGCACCCGCAATGGCAGGATAACCTCCATGAACAGCTGCAAGACCACCGAGAAATACGGCAAAGTTAAAGTTTGGTCCGGGAAAAGCTTGCGCGATGGCAAGGCCGATTAAAAAGTCGCGAGGGCTGACCCATCCTTCGGCCACCACGTATTCTCGAAGGAGGGGAATCACCACGGGACCACCGCCAAATATAATTGTACCAGCAAGGTAGAGATTGGCAAAAAGCTTGTATAGAAGAGGAGCGTGAGGCAGGGTGCCTCGAAGGGAAACGACGACGACGAAAGTGATGAGAAATGCGACGATGATCGCTGCTCCAGACTTCCACGAGAAGCCAAGGCGATATTCCTGCGGAACGACGCGGGTTTCAGATTCTCTTTCATCGGTTGTGTCACGCTCACGGAGGTTTATACCATCATCGCTGCCAGTTCCATTCTCAGCGCCCTGGACATTCTCCGTTTCAGCAACCCTTCCTCTCCTGGCCCGGAGGTAGATATTCCTAATACCTCGTGCAGGACGGTGAAGCCACCTGTAGTCGTAAATTATTGCACCGCAGCCGCCTGCAACAATCAGCGCAGGGAAATACCATAGCGCGTTGTACAACATTCCGGCCATGGCAGTCAGGGAAAGAATAAGTCTAGTTGTTTGATCCGTGATGGCTTTGTGGGAAAGCTCAACCGCTGCCAGAGCAATGATTCCAACAGTTGCAGCGTTCAAACCGGAGAGAAGAGCGTATACTGCGCGAGGGAGAGTGTCGCCAATATTGGACACACCAACTGAGAGTCCGAACATGCCGAAGCAACCAGGCACACTGTTGAGGTCGATTGTTAGACGTAATGGCTTACAGTTGTTGAGTATACCTACCTCCAGATCAAAAATGCCAGGACAGCTTGCAAAAATCCACCGTGGATGAGATTAATGCAATACAACATCTTGGTGCTTCCAGGACCTGAGAGAGCTTGCGAAACGCTGAAGAGCTCTTGATACTAAACGGTATTAGCAATGACCACGTCGGCGTTTCAACGAGTCCTACTATTTGCTCGTCTATCCATTTCAACTTGTTGACGAATTTATCATGAAACTTGGAGTTGTTAGTTGTGCCAGTTGAGTAGATGGAGAAGAGATGATTTAGCTAACAATTTTAAAGTGAACAGGTGGTCCGCCAAATGAAGTGAAGCCAAGATGCCAATTGACTTTGAGAGTCTGCAAACTGTCATCCGCAGCTCTGCGCATGGCGTGTTCCCACCCTCCGATTGACATAGCGCGTACGTGTCTAGTACCGAGGTCTTGATGAGAGAATGAAGGAGTGAGGACAGTTGAATGACAGGCGCTTTCTTTTAAGCATCATTTTTGACTACGCACGCCATTTCGTCTATTCCTTTTTGATCGCTTGGCGAAAGGGATAACTGGCCAATCATGATGAGGGGATGTCAGGTACAGCACGAAATATTAGCAGTACCTTGGAACAGTTATTAGCGGAGACATTATCCCTGAAAGTCAATCTCAACGGTAAGGATGAACTGTAAATCGCTAAATAGTTTGGCAGCCAATGTCGAGGGACTAACCTGACACGTGCGAAACCAACAGGTATCTATGCAATCCCGACCGCGTTTCCTCACGTTTTACTACCCGTGGCGGTGGAAACCAGACAGATAAATTGCAACATCTATGCGGCGTGACTCATCTCAACCCCTGTTGATCTGGCATATTGTAGCCCTTCAAGATTGAACCAGTGCCAAGGACGATCGATGCGACGACAAAGACATGGGGAAAAGGGAAGACTCAGTGCATACACCCCACAGCGTGCAGTTCATGTCATCAGAACCAGTATCAAAAAATTCATAGAGCCCGACTGTTAGTGGCTCTTATTATCTCATCAGTGAAATTATATCTTGCACAGGGCTGTTCGCATATTGTAAGGCTGGACTTGAATAGATGTCTGGAGGAAAATAATTGCTGAGCTCAAGCTATGTTTCATAAGATAAGAAGTAGAATACAACACAAAAGACTGTAACCAGTACTAGTTACTTTTAAACTCGACCACCCATTAGTTTGCCGCAACGAGAACCTCGGGTTCACCGTTAGTGTAGCTAACACATAGCTGGCCGTTACCGTCAGACTTGACAGTTCCTTGGCCTAGCACTCTGTCCCAAGTCTTGTTGTTCTTGCCAGTGTTGAAGCAGTACTCTCCGGAAAATCCTTTTCCTCGATTCAGAGTCACAACAATTAGATCGCTATCGGCACGGCTCCAGATAAGTGCACTGTCATTGGACTTGAGGAACTTCTGGTCGTTTCCTGCGAGACCACCAACAGCGGAGCGGGCCTTTCCGAGCTTGGAGATAGTCTGGTAAAGGTCTGAGTCTGTCTTGAAGTTGCTACGCCAGAGATCCTCACGGTTTGCGGGGTCATTGCCTCCAGCGTAACCCTGCTCGGTGCCATAATAGACAATGGGAATACCACGAGAGAGAATAACGTAGGCAAGGGCGTTCTTGAGGAGGGCCTGGTCGTTCTTCTGGCTTAACCATCGAGGATTATCGTGGTTGTCGATGAATGTTCCTGTGTAACGACTTAGTTAATGCATTTATACCTCATCTTCATAATTACTTACCCAGGACAGTTGGGTCGTCAAACTTTTGGCTGATCTCGTTGTACATATCAACCACTGCGGATGGGTCACCCTTCTGCTGGTAGAAGCGGTTCATGGGGTAGTAGATGGCGTAGTTCAATAGACCAGGCATGACCTTTGAGTACCCTGCAAGGTAATCAGGGCTTCCATCCCAGACTTCACCGATAGAGAAGACTCCAGCGGCCTTCTGGAAATCAGGCCAGAAGCCCTTTTCGACGTGCTTGACGGTGTCAATGCGGATACCATCGAAGCTGTATTCGGAGACGAGCCATGAGATCCAGTCGTTGAGAACCTTCTTGACTGTTGCGCTACCAGTGTTGAGATCGGGCAAGCCAGCGATCTCACACTGCTCGATACTGTTTTGGTTGTTGTAGTCGATTGCGCAGGAAGAGTGGTAAGAACTTTGTTGGTTCAGAGGTTCGGGTCTGTGGTTTTGGATGCCTGGACCCATGTGATTTGCTACTACGTCAGCCATGACGTACATGTTCTGGGGCGGTCAGTAAGTTTCTTCAGAGATAAAGGCCGAAGTGCAGGCAGGATCATGTCCCCCTTACCTTGCTATGGGCAGTGTTGACTAGACTCTTCAGGTCGTCTTTGGTTCCGTACTTGGCATTGACCTCGTAAAGATTTTTGGCCCAATATCCGTGGTATCCGCCATCCGTGTCTGTCAAAAAAGGTTAGACATCATCCAAACAGATATACGACCAAGATACTTACTCTCAACAACAGGAGTGATCCAGATGGCGTCGAATCCCATGCCCTTGATGTAGTCGAGCTTAGCCTCAAGACCCTTAAAGGTTCCACCGCAATAGTTTCCGAGATTGCCGCAGGCGTTACCGCCGCTATCACTACCGCTACGCGCAACACGATCTGTGAGAGCAAAATAAATGTTTCGCGACTTCCAGGCGTTTGCGTCTGCTGCGCTGGCGAATGGGCTGATGGAAGCCACCAGGGTGGCAAGTTGAAGAAGTTTCATGGTCAACAGAAGAGATGAAGAGATGATGATTGAATGAAAGTATGAGATTGATGGATGATGATGTTGTGACTAGAAAGCGGTGGGATCAAGCTCTTTTATGTCAAGTTGTGATCTGTCTCTGTTTGAGACGAGACTATCTAGGGCGTTTCGAGCACACTGCGAAGGATTTGATTGCAGTGTCGAGCATTGTTCAGAGGATGAGGGTGAAGGATCCAAACTAGTTCTAGAACTCGGACACCCACTGATTCAAAGCCCCGATTCGCATGATCGATGCCCTGTTTTGCGGGGTCATTCTGATTGAAAGTCTGGGGCACGAGCGTACCACGTTTCAGTGGGTGATCACGGACAGGGATCAGCTAGATGACCTCAGCCCACTCAATGCTGCTATGCTGCATCGGCCCGAAACACATCTGGTCTAGTATCACTTGTCAGCGGAGTTTCCGCACGAGCGTGTTTCCTTTTCATCTCGGTTCACGATCAGGTCGTGAAGTGTACAATGCTTAGGAAATAACATGGAATTGAGACTGGAGCCATTGTTTCACTGGCTCTCTGGACATACGACCTACCTTTTTGGGCGACGGAGGTCCTGAACAATAAAGTCTAATTCGGGACCGAACGGGCAACTCCTTTCACGAGCCCATAGTTAGTATGCTTAGATTTGACACTATTCGCAGGTAGTCTGGATGAATAGGCAGAATGTAGTCACTTTTGAATTCGGGCCGCCCCCGCATGTGTGAGTGGACTGGTGTCGCATTTGGGACGCGATATATTGCATAGGTTTTCGATCGGTAATCCAACGCCTTTGGCTGTTATATGTGTAATGAAGTTTCTTTAGGTCATGCTTTCTGTCAAATTTGATATATCCTGATATTGTTCGGTCCTATTATCTTGACATCTGCAAGCCAAGATTAAATCTCCGTGGTGGAAGATTCTTTTAGGAAGCTGCCATCTTATTCAGACTAGCCTTATATCGACTACGAGGCTCAAATTGGTATGGAAAAACGATAATCTTCGATCGCGATGGCCTCATGAGTTGGCATCACCGCCGGCGAAGAGCCGAACAATGCTCTAATCAAGGTTCTATGACACCAAGTGCCGTGGAATGCTTTATGGTGTTGACGGACTTGTAAGCTCTATCGGGTCATGATCGCCCATTGCCGAGGCATTATGGCAATCAATTAAAGGTGCCGACTACGTGATAGAGAGATAAGCGACATGTGAAATGCATGGCGACAACTCCGTTCCTGGTGCTTCAACACGACCTTTACCACTGATGCAAAGCCTGGGGTCGATATTCACTGATCACCACAAAGGCAATTAGTGTAGGATCTAGCACATTACGCTGAACGGAATTGAACTATTGCTGCCAGTATAACAATAAGAAATTCCTTACAGACGGGTCTGGCCTCTTTAGTCAACCCTACATCAACCCTAAATACAGTCATGTAAGGAAATATTAGGGCAGAAAACCAACTAAAGACAATAATTCGACCTATCCAACTCCTAGGGACCATACATGATTTCATTTTATTTTCCAAGCTGAAAGTCGTTATATCTGAAAGAATCAACTCTATTCTTAGACGACTGTAAATTGCTGGTCAACTAACTCCTCCTCATCAATCTTCAACCACTTGTCTGGGGTCATCCCATAATCAATACATGGTACTGGTATCATTCCCTCATGGTTAACAGGTTTAGGCGTCCTCCTCCTGCTCGAGTGCTCCTCCAATATCATACCAATGCCAATTCTGAGAAAGGTGTTCGGTCTTTTATCAGCTTTCTGTAGTAAAAGCCTTAATGTCTCAGCATGTCGACCATTGGGCCACCTGGGGTAGCCAAACCATTTATGCGGTGATCCTTCTGGAAATTGTAGCGTATCAAAAGTGTAAATGTCTGGGTCATCTCCCATGTTATGGTCCAAATACACGCTTGGTCTATACCTTTTCTTGATAATGAGCCTCTTCCAATTCTCTAGAAGTCCATCATCCAGACGTTGCTTACGATGAAGATCCCCTCTGAGAGTGATGGATAAACCCGCGGCTTCAGTGTTTATCGAAACAACTGTGACATCCGATGACGTTTGGACGCCTTCCCTTCAGTCTCGGTTCGTCAACTCGAATTAAATCTCCCCAGACCCCGCTATCCAAGTCCACGATGGCACACCAGGAGAATGTATTGGACTAGGAAGACGGTTCTTAGTCTTCCAACAAAGACTTTCAAGCAGCTTGTCTCCATCCCAGGTCCCACACAGAGGACTGCATCCAATTTTTCTAGACAAGCTTTTAGAAATAGCATCAAAAGCAGGTAGTCTATCACTGGCTTTCGTCAGATTTCTCTGGGTGAATTCTTCGACCTGCTGTTTCCAAAGCTCAAACGGCGATGTCTCCTCACGGGTCCTCCATGATCTAACGTTACGGGCTATGACACCTTGCAGTGCTCTTTTGTTGTCCCTTTGTTTTTCAACGTGCTAGCTAGCGACAGTCAAAATGCATCCTCGAGGGCGCGCACAGCGCCCCAAGCATTGTTTTGTAGATCGGCCCAGCGGCATGTTGACTTGGCTGTTCCCATAATTCACCATGATTTCTTGTCTATTTTAAACCCTAACCTTCCGTCCCTATCTTGCAGAAACGAGGGACAATAGAGTGTCATAGCCCGGAGAAAGGGTTTAGTTTTTGCTGCTATCACAGTAGCCTATTCATGCGCAGCACTATCGGTGACAAAGAACAATGAATTCTTTTTGGTAGCGTTTCATTCATTGGATTGGACAATGGCTTTATTCTTAAATGCTCACTCTCATCCAAAGATTATAGGGTGTTCTGGTCATTGACACCATGCTCAAGCATTGTTTATGGCTAATGAATATCACACTTGTTCGAGTTACAACACGTTCCTGGAAGGTGAACACGATACATGATGAAGACACAAATACAAGGGTATGTGAACACTATAAGTCCTCACACATTATATATTCCTCGCATAGTAGCGGTAAGTATAATAAATCCACTTCCCTTCCTATCATCAATGACTGGAACCTCAAAGTACACACGACCAAGTACACTACCAACATTGATAAAGCGAGCTTTTTTTCTAAGCACGCTGTTCAAACTCTCGACAGAATGCCTCCTCCTATCCTCTTTTCTCCTTGGGGACAGGCCGTCTCTACAGCAAAAAGAATCGCCTCAAGTGTAAACTCTTTCATCACTCGCGATACTAACACAACAGAGATCCAAGTCGAAGACCAAGCCGGGGCTCAACTCTTTGTGGTATTGAGACTTATTGGATCTGATAGGTGCCCCCTTTGGAGCTTCTGCATCTACAATCCCAGCAACCATGCCTGGAAGACGTACGAATCTTGGAAGGGATGCGACCAAGGTAAGGCATATCTCATCGTTTCGAGCACGTATCCAGGAATCGCTCATGCAGAAGCCAAGTACTTTAAAATCACAGCCGTCCCTATCAATTCTATTAATGCAGCCAATGATAGTGTTCTCACTGCCCATGTGCCGCATACTGCCAGAAAAGGGGACTGCAGTCAGCAGTATGTGAGGAATGCCGTCCGGAACTTGGTCAAAGCGCGCTTTCTGAAAATGTGCCAGGCCAAAGAAGTTTTTGACAAGATTGACAATTGCTTTGGTGGCGATGAGCTGCCACCTCATATTGGCCAGAAACCCTGCGTCAACTAAGGCAAAAGAAGGTGTGTAAGCTTACACAGGCTTGTCTGAAACAAAGGCAGTTCCCATCGGAATCATGTATTTCCCTTGTGTAGACAAATTGAAGTGTCAACGATGGTCTGTGTTGTTGTGCGCACTTATCCTTCTTTGGTGTTTAGCAGATCCCATTGTAGAGAATACATGATGAGTCAATAAATAAACGTGCATACCATATTTCTACTTCTTTTTGATATCACCCGATCTTGATACAGCCTCCACTAGCACTAATAACAGACCCCGTGATCCATCTTCCGTCATGTCCACAAAGCATTCCTACAACATCTGCGACATCCTCAGGCTGTCCAAATTGAGGCATACTCTGTAAAGGGAAGAACTCGTCCTGAAATCTCTTAACCGCCTCCGGTCCACAATCCATAACAGCATCCGTCTGCGTCAAGCCAGCTGTAACAGCATTGACCGTCGTACCCGCCATGAATGAATATCTCTCGTCCTTTCCACCAAACGCTTGGGACCAAGTTCTGCATAGTGATTCGCCGGCAGATTTGCCAGCAGCGTACATGAGTTGGTCAGCCCATGGAAGACGCGATCGAATGGAAGATATGTAGATGATACGGCTATTGGGCTGGAAGTATTTCCTTCGAACAAGCTCTTCAACTATCAAAACTGGCGTTTGGATGTTTCCCAAGAGGCTTCGCTGTATCTCATCAGTGCCCATGCTGCCTATAGTACCAGGCATTGGATCACCAGCGGAGTTGACGAAAATGTCCACCCGACCGTTGAAGTCGTCTCTGAGTGCATCCGCAATGGTTTTTGCGCATCGATCCGAGAAGACATCGGAAATAATTCCTCTTATCTTTTGACTGTCTGGTCGATCTCGTGATGATGCCTTGTAGACGCGCTCTATGATCTCATCGTTGAGACCAGTTGATAAGGACTCAACACTCTCATCATTGGTGCATGTTCCAAGTATAGAGCATCCTCGAGAAGCGAGGTTGGACGCGATGGCGCGGCCGATACCTCGAGATGCGCCACTAATGACAGCCACCTTTCCTGAGAGATCTAGTTCTCGAAGATATGACATTTTGTTTGCTGGATACGTGTTGTAGCGATTGGGAAAAGACGACTTCTGGGAAACAATGCTAAGGACTAATGTTTGGAAGAGTCCTTGGTTGTAGTATCAACTGGCAGACTTGCAGGACCAACAAGCTTTTATCTTATCCTTGCACTCTGTGGAAGTCGCTGTGACTCACATGTTGTTGGTAGTGTGAGGCGGGGATTCCTTGTTCCCAGCCCATGGCACGCATTACACTTCGCTATTGGATGGATTCTACTGCTTAAACAGAAGATTGTACAACACGATGCAGATCGTCAGGGCGGGGTATCGAGGTAACGCTTAGCTATACTGGGGTATACAGGTCCCCAAGCTTTCACGTGCAAGGCACTCGATTATTGATTGCATGGGTAGCTTACCGTTGTCTAAGCATTTTATTGTTCATTCCAGACCGGGAAAAGCGTTAATTCATACCTATGAACACAGTCACTGAACATTCCAATATGTCCACCCGGATACTCACAAGTTTTGAACAAAAGAATAAGCGAGTGTCAATGAACTTCTCATCGGCGGATTGATATTGCAATGTCACTATCCAGCAACAACTGGGCCCATCGTCTGCAGCTTTGGCAAGACTCAAGCACTAAGGACAGGCTAGTCTCAAATTCACTTTCACCAACCCCATATACACGTCATAGCTGAGCGAAACTAATTTCTTGCCTCGGATTCTTCGGGCATCAGCAAAAGGTATTTCTCTCAGAAGATTAATCATCCACGAAAGCAACGAGGCGACGATTGCTCAATTGGGAACAATGGCTTCATCAAATGAGTCTTCTGAGACTCATAACGAAACACCAGGACCACCCCAGAAACATAAGCTCCCGCCATGGCTGGACCACTTCAACGCACACGATCTCAAAATCTTCTTACGATGCTGGATCGCAATCTGGGCCATGATGCTCCTCATCTTCATTCATCCAGCTCTCACGAATCTCGGTCAGGCTACTTTCCTTGGGGCAATCCTGCTCTTCGCCGTCCCACCCACGAGTATCGTCTTCATCTACCTCCTTGGTGCATTGTCGCTTCTTCTAGGCATGTGTTTAGCCTGGTGCTGGGGTCTTTTGACAATGAAGGCAGCGCTTGCGGCGAGACCAAACGCTGAAACGCAGGCTTTACTGGGACAATTGCTGAAACAAGCAGTGCAGAGTGCAGAGCGGACAGGACAGCCGGCAGCTTGGGAGGCACAGATTTTGATCCATGATGGGTTTATGCTCGATGCGAGAGTGACAGCAGTTTTCTTCTCTATGGGCTGCTTCTTTATCTACGCGTTGGCACGGTTGCGCTGCACGAATCCAAAAACAGTCGTGCTGCAGATATTTGGTACGATTGTCACGGACATATTCCTCCTCTTTGGTCCTTCCATCCCGACTTTCAAGGGTGACATCGCATCAGTCCTGGTCAAGCCCGGTGCTATTGGCATTGGAATTGGATTGGTGTGTTGCCTCTTCTTATTCCCTCACTCGACGTCACACGTGGTGCTTAGCGGTCTCGAAAGGTTGATCCGCATGTCAAACAAAGGAATTGTCGTAACGAGGAGGGGCCTTCAGGGCGATAGTAGTCCACTTCCTGAACTTCATGCAAGCAGAACAGGTATGATCTCGGCCTTCAAAGCCGGACAGCCAGCCCTCGCATTTCTTCCTCTTGACTTTTCTCGTGGATTGTGGGGCGCAGATGACATAAAAGGTCTACACGAACGAGTCAGGAGAGTCATGTATACTAGCTTGTATCTTATCGACTTTCAGATCGGTCGAGTTCGTGGACGGGAAAAAGAAGAAGAGCACAGAAAGGCTGAAGCTGAAGGTCATCTCGATCCAGTGGGCGCGCAGGAGAAATATCGGATCGGCCGTCGACAGAGGCAGGAAACCGTGACACTTCTCAGCGCTTTTGAAAGACCCGAGGCGGCAGAATTACGTTCCAAGACGAGAAATACACTGCTGGAGACCACAGCTGAAGTCATGGAGATTGGGCAGCAGGCGATTAAACTTGCTGCTGATTACGTGCAGGCTGTTAATTCGTGCCGCTGGTTTGGAAAGACCTCGCCTGAACGCTTCCAAGAGTTGAACAACAGTCTTTACGATCTTCTAGGTCGATCGCGAATAGCCAGAGAAGCATGTGTTGTCAACACGACCGAGGGAGTTCTCGAAGCCCACGCAGAGGTATTCGACGCCAATGGCAAGCTGAAGCCTATACAGGGAACTGATAGGCCATTCCTTCCTAGCATGGTCATCGCAATGGTTGTAGAGGAACGTATCCTCAGTTGGGCAACTTCCATCGAAAGACTACTGGAGTACATTCTTAACCTTTCGGAGAAGCGCACCAGTGGTCGCATATGGGTTCCGACTCGGATACAATATGCCGTCTCGTGGCTGTTTCATGGACAGATCACGTATCCTGGCCACGATATCGCAGCAGAAGAAGACCCGGACAAACTAATGGAGGCAGATACATTTGACGAGGAAACAAAGGAAGCCAAGCGACGACTTGAGGTTGGCAGAGGTTACAAAGGATCTTCAGCCAGGCGGAATAAATTTAGCAAGATCCTCATCGCAACATACAACTGGCTCGTCAGTCCAGCTGGCATGTATGCCTTGAGAATGGTAGTTGTCACAGTGGCGACAGGAATCCCAGCTGTCATCCCAAGCAGCTCGGGCTTTTTCTACCGAGAGAAGGGCATATGGGCGGTTATCAGTGCTCAGACGGTGCTTCTGGTATATTTGGCCGATTTCACGTTTTCCCTTGTTTCACGAACAGTTGGAACCATTGTTGGAGGTCTCATCGGTATGGTGACTTGGTATATCGGTGCAGGCAGCGGCATCGGCAATCCATACGGCATGGCAGCGGCCACAGGTGTTGCAATTATTCCTCTTCTTTGGTGGCGCCTCTATCTTCCGCCGTCATTCCAATTTGCTACCATCATGGCTGGTGCAACATTCGCCCTTGTGATTGGATTCAGCTGGGATCATGATCACATCGTGCAGTATGGTCTGCCAGGCAAAGGCTACGAAGCATTCTGGAAGCGCGTTGTCACTGTTTTAATTGGCTTTACGGCAGCGTTCATTGTACAGCTCTTCCCGAGTCCACCATCTGGAACGACACACGTATGCAACACACTTGCGAATTCGGTGCGCAGCTTATCAGACCATTACGCCCTATTAATATCGCATTGGGGACGCACTGAAAAAAACAGAGCTTTGGCTTCTGTCGCCGAGAACATCTCTATTGAAGTCGCAGAAGTTCTACTGGCTCTGAGTCCATCTATCGCCTTACTGAAAGGCGAGCTAAGCTTCGGACCATTTGATCAACACGTTCTTCAGCGCACCAAGGAACAATGTCAATATATCAACCAAGCGCTGGGTGGTCTCTTGAACCTCGCATCGACATTACCGAAAGAGCTTCAAGACCGTCTCATCCGCGTTGCAGGGATCCTAGATGACCGGTCCATTGGGGACATTATGGCTGTTCTCGCTGTTATCGAACAGGCATTACGAACAGGTTCTCCTCTCCCAGAACGTTTACCAGCACCGTTAACGCGACGAGCAATGGATCTGGTAGAATCTCAGAGTGACGATGTCATTTTGACCGCAACGCTGGTACAGGATGAGGATCATAGACGCTATTGTGTGGCTGTGACGTTGTATCTCAAGTTTTTGGGTAGTATTGATGATTTACTGATCGTCCTGAAAGAGGCTTTGGGTGAGAGACACATCATATATCAGTGGGGTGATGACAAGGACATCGCATAAGGTGGATAGGAAAGAATGTTTGTAGGATTCACTCTTCTACCTTACTGTTTGGTATCTATTATACCTCAGAAGGAGATAACTAGAGTTATTCAATTATTCACAACTCGGTTTCAAGCACAGTCTAAGTGCCTGTCAGGTCTAGAGCATATACAGTGTAAACACCATAAACTGGATTGGAGATTTCCCCTCTTATGCATGAGTTGGTCAAATGTGCCATTAAATCCATTTCCGGCTTCTAATTATTTTCACCCTTTGATGGAGCTCAATTTGTAGTATCTGGAGGGTTCTGACGTCTTTTACAAACAGGCCCTGTCGATCTTCGCCAAAAAAAACAGCGGCAACTTCTAGAAAAAGAAGACAACTTGATATCCCCCAAATCCAATTCGAACAACCAATAAAACTTGGGCCAGATTGCTTATCTTGTGACACGCGGTCAGACAAACATCTAGAGCCATTGCTTACATGGGAAAGACCGAAAACATCGATGATCATACCTGTGACCCCTGAAGCATTCCAGCCATTTGCGCAATTTTTTCTGCCCAGCCACACAAAAACTCCGATCTTTTCTAGAACCGGTATTTGAGGAATGCGATTGTCAGGAACGGGCTCCTTGCATTTGGCTCTCTCTGTAACGTGTGGCGTTGTCCTAAACTTGGGACACAAAGAGAATTGGGTGTGGGCTCAACGGTCAATGGTGACTGGACTTAAAAAACATCGTTTAATCATTCGGCCCCAAATCTTTCAATGATTTGTTCAAATTTTCAATGAAAATCAGATTTTTAATCATTCGCCTATCACTAATTTTCTTGCTTTGACAACTATGACAATATTGCTAGTAGACAGTGAAAGCATCGTCAGTAATAACCATTACCAAGATAATGCACAATATTACCCTGCACCGCGTTTCTAGGGTCGCTAGGACACATCTCTCAACCGTTCTTGGAATAATTGCAGGGTCCACGGTCATACCCGATGTGCCCAACCTTAACAATCATTGTTGCTAAGCAATGTCTCAGACCCAGCCAGCTGGGTGAACGCAGTCTCAGCTCACAAGACACCAAGAAACAAGGCACACTTTGACACAATGTCCTTGTGAACACCGAGCTGTCAAGATTTGAACACTTTGACCCCTATTTCCAGCCTTCTTGATATCATCCCGTGCGTCTAGATCTCAATTCTGCCTCTTCATCATGAAACTCAGCCATCGTTATGAACGGGATGTCTCAACAACCAAAACTCATGATCACTCTGTAACAAGGTTTTGTGATTTTTTTGTATCCATTATGTGACGGATAATTGAGACAGTTGCGTCTTTTCTGGGCGCTGTTGAGGTTGACTACCGTTTCTAAACTCTGTTCATCCCAAGTGCACGGTCTGGCCTGGCCAATAGACCGCTCCGCAATCCTGTCTAAGTCGAGATGCACCTTATTCCCTTGGCACGTCAGACTCGAAATCAGGGTCCTCGAAAAATGTATAAAACATATTGAAAGCCTCGTCGTTAGTTGTCTTTGTCTCATCACTTCTCTTCCTCACACCATACAGAGCCTACCAGGCTTTCCTTTGTCTCTTCACTCTTTCAGCAACCACCTGTTCAAACACAACGATTTCTTAGCATCCAACATGAAGCTCTTCACTACCTTCGCTACAGTCCTCGGTCTAGCTGGTCTAGTCCAGGCTCACATGGAGATGACTTATCCTCCACCTTACAAGAGCAAGAAGAATCCCTACGCCAACGGGGACATTGACTACAGCATGACTTCTCCTCTGTCACCGAGCGGAGCCAACTTTCCTTGCAAGGGATACAATTCTCTTTTCGGTACCGCAGCTGGTGCACCTACCGCTACCTGGACCGCTGGCAAATCTTACAGTATTGAGATTCAAGGCGGCGCAGACCACGCTGGCGGAAGCTGTCAGGCCTCACTCTCTTTCAATGGTGGACGCAACTGGGTCGCCATCCAGTCCTGGATCGGCAACTGTCCTGTTGCACCTTTATCCACGTTTAAATTCACTCTTCCTATTGATACGCCCGCAGGCAACGCTATTTTTGCATGGACGTGGTTCAACAAGATCGGTAACCGCGAAATGTACATGAACTGCGCAACTATCACCGTTAAAGCTCGCAGCGGCACCCCCAAGACACCTATGAGTAAGCGCCCTGCCATGTTCATCGCCAACGTCGGGAACGGATGCGGCACGAGGGAGGGCGTTGACCTTATGTTTCCCAACCCCGGCCCCGACGTCTCTGTGGGCTCGAGCAACACTGGTCCGCCGGTCGGTCAGTGCCCAGCTGGTTCTGGAGTTGCTGTCCCACCTAAGCAGACTACTACTACTACTACTAAGCCCCCTACTAAGACCACCAAAGCGTACGTTTAACCCATTTCTTTGTTGAGAACTGTTTCAGACTAAAACTCTTTTAGACCCGGTGGCGTATTTATCACTGTCCCTACTCCTACTACCACCAAGAAGACCACTCTGAAGTCAACAACTCGCACAACAAAGACGACAGTCATTCCTCCTGCGCCAACCAAGCCTGCACGCGGTCTGATCACTCCTGGAACTCCGTGTACACCTGAGGGATATTGGAACTGCGTCAAAGCCGGTGACGCCTTCCAGCGATGTGCTTCTGGTGTATGGTCTGTCAGTATGGCTGTCGCACCTGGTACAAGATGTGTTCCGGGACAGAGTATGGAATTCACGATTGAGTATGCATGATTATGAGTTGGTTTCCTTTTAACGTGTCAACGTTTCCTTTGTTTGCCAAGATCATCTAGAGTAGAGGATGGATAATGTGGTTTGAGATAACGACGACAATGAGTTTAACAATACTTTCATTAATATACCAAAGCTTTTCACAATTATGGATAATCACATGCTTCGGATCGACACATTTGCCACTCGGTATCCGAAATATTAGCCGCCAGAGGCATAAGAGACGAAATTAGTCAGTCAGTCTATGCCGTTTAGACCACACTGTTATCTCATTTATTTTTGTACGCCACAGCTAAGAGACCCACTGGAGCCTGTTTGGTGGAAAATACCCGTAGCCGTCAACTGTAACCATGTCATTAATAAATCTGAGTTATTTTTGTCCGATGTGGGGATCAAGTCAGTCCACCTTCTTTTTAACACCATCACCAAAAGCAATCTAGCTGTTTAACTACGTACATCAAAGATGGCTACCGAGATACAGGACCCTATCGAGCCTATCACAGTTGATCATCATTCTGCGGATGAAAATGAGTTTGAGACATCTGATTTTGACTCGGCGACGTTGTCATCCAGCTCGACAAGTTTGAACACGAGCATTTATCAGCATGCCTTTGAGAATGGACGACGGGTAAGTCGGGTTTTATGTTATGTTTGATAACGGGCTAACCGATTCGTAGTACCATCAGTATCGTCATGGGACGTATGTATCCATCGTTCTGTTGCTGGTAACTCAACTGACTTGACAGATATCCAATCCCAAATGACGATGCAGAGCAGAACCGAGACGATATGAAGCATGCCATGATGCTGGAACTTACTAAGTAGGGAATCAAATCGAGTATTAATCACATTCTGACGGTCTTAGTGGAAACCTTTTCTTCTCGCCGATCAAGGATAATCCTCAAAAGATCATCGACCTAGCCACCGGAACTGGTATCTGGGCTATTGATAGTAAGTCATCATCGTTTATCAATGAGAGCACAATCTGATTTGAAAGTCGCCGATAAATTCCCAAGTGCTTCAGTCGTGGGGGTTGATCTTAGCCCAATTCAACCATCATGGGTCCCTCCAAACCTGAAGTTCCTTGTCGACGATATCGAAGATGAGTGGATGCACGGCGACGACTTTGACTTTGTGCACATGCGTTGCATTAGTCCCTGGTTGAAAGACGAGGTCAAAGTTCTCCGTCAAGCTCATGAGTATGATTCACTCTTTTCTTGCCCCCGGAGAGATCATTTATTGACAGTAATATAGCCACATGAAGCCAGGAGCTTGGATCGAAATCCAAGAACTCGACGCCCGCGCAAACTGTGACGATGATTCCCTTCCTAAAGACGCACCATTGGTAAAATTCTTTGACACGGCAGCTACAGCAGTAGCAAGCTTTGGTATGAAATTCCGCGCGGGCGAGAATCTCCGTGAGCCACTTGAAAAGGCCGGCTTTGTCAATGTGAGCTGCAAGGTTCTCAAAGTTCCAATTGGAACATGGGCAAAGGTAATTAACGACAGACATTCATTTAAAGGCCTATTATTGACGTTAACGATGTGAAATTAGGACAAAAAGCTTCGTCTTATTGGTCTTTACCTAAAGACCGCAGTCAGTGACATGTTCGGAGCCATGGCTGCTAAGCCACTACGCAAGGTCATGGAGCCAGAAGAGATTGAACTTTTCTTGGTTGATGCACGAAAGGATTTGAACAACATGAACTATCATGCCTATGAGAACTATTACTTCTGGATGGGACAGAAGCCTGAATAAGATCTCGACTTTAGAAGAGTACCTGGTCTTGTGAATACTGGTCAATTATTAGGCAGCTTAGAAAGGATAACAAGATTCTCCAAGATTAGTATATACATATTTTAGGTGGTAGTGCAGCTATTAGTATTTATCAAATGCTGTACAACTATATGACTTTGGGTGGTTGGCAGAACATCGATTGCTCGGACGAATGGAATAGAAGGTACCACGACATTGGATGAACTGCCACACTAAGAATCGGTATCTGCCTCGGAGGTCACAAGGTTGATATATTAGACAAACTGGAAGTAGCCCCAATATCCAGGCCAATGTGGTCTGTATAAGAATCATAATCACGACCATCTAAGCCTTCGGCGATACGGACTTCTCAATCGAGAGTCTAGGCCCATTCTCTCCACACATGCTATTCCTTGTTCATCGTTGACACGTTAAGCGACTGCAGCTCTACCTCATCAATCATTGGTTCGATCACTCTCCAGCCAAACCGAATCCGTTCTAACACCCCCACAAACAGTTTTCTTTGTTATACCGTCCCAAGCCTCTTGGTTCCCCTCACCAAAAATCCCTTCCCTGGTGTTGGTTTGAGCCCATTTTCGACTCTTTTCACCAACAAACTTGAGCTGATCCTCCCGAGTACAGTTCGTGCTTACTGTGACTGAAAAATTCTGTTATCCATACCAAGACGATGTCCGACCAGCCTGCGACTGTCGCTGCTCCCACGGCCCGGTCCGACCTAGCGTCGGCCGTTGAGTCAGCTCCGGCGCCGCAGCCAGAGTTAGTTCCCGCTGCTGATCCACAGGTGAGCTAAAAGCCAATATCCATTTCGTTACGAGATGAAACGTACCCATGAATAGGCGCTGACAGCTGCCGCCAGGATGGTGACGAGAGTGAAACTGATTCTGCTGTTGGTGATGACGCGTGAGACATGCCTGTACCCTCCTCTCGGCTGCATTTGCTTACTCTTCTTTGAAGCGCCAGCTCCACTGCTTCCATCACATCGAGCATTCTTGAGTATCGTACTATCCAGGGCCGAACTTTTCACAGTGATAGACACCCTACTGAGTACTTTACTCCTAACGATGAGCAACAGTCTGCATCGATTGACATCAAGTAAGTGACTATGTCTAGACAAGTGAAACCTTACTTATGCTGGACAGCCATCAAGCCTTGACACTACTTTTGGGCGGGAAGCTCTTCCTTGCACCTGTCAAGTCTAACGTGCAGGTATGTGCATGCATTGTTAGTCATATGACTTGACTTACTTACAGCGAGTAGAAAGTACTTGACGTCGGCACCGGAACTGGTAAGTCTTGTAGCGGGGATGTCAACTTAACACATCTAATGTCTCATAGGTATCTGGGCCATGTAAGCTTTTCGCTTTCTGTATCCCGCTCGCATACTGACCTTTCACAGCGACTTTGCAGACGAGTACCCTGAGGCTGAAGTCATTGGCTCTGATTTGTCTCCAATCCAGCCTACGTGAGATCTTCCTCCTCCCTGATGGTTAACCTTCACTCACAATTCTTAGTTGGGTCCCTCCCAATGTAAAGTTTGAGATCGACGACGCCACGCTCCGCTGGACGTGGGATGACAACACTTTTGACTTCATCCATATCCGCTACCTCTTTGGCGCCATTAAGGACTGGGCCTCTCTCTTTAAAGAGGCCTATCGCTGCTGTGCCGTGGATGGTTGGATTCAATCCGGCGAGGCTGATGTGCGAATTCGTAGCGACGACGGCACTACTGATGATCTTGACTGTCTAAAGCTCTGGGCAAAACTATTCACTGAGGGAGGTAAATTGCTGGGAAACTCGTTCTTTGTTCAGGATGGAGATCTGCAGGAAAAGGGAATTCACGAGGCCGGGTTCACTGATATCAAGAGCATTGAGTACAAGGTGGGCATCGAGCTGATAGTTTCAAAATGCCTTGCTGACTCGTGATTTAGTTCCCTATCGGTGGGTGGCCGAAGGACCCTGAGTTGAGGGAAGTCGGAAACTTTGTCCGAGCCACACTCGAGAATGACCTTGAGGGTAAGATAATCTTATCCGAGATTCCCATGCATCTTCTAACGATATTTCAGGCTACACGCTCCTCCTTTGGAAGACTATCCTCCAATGGCCTGAAGACGAGTACCAAGTCTTCCTCATGGAGATGCGCAAGTTCCTCCGTAACCGCAAGGTTCATCCCTACATGACTGTTCGATACGTCTATGCTCGAAAGGCAGAGGAGTCTTAAGCTTAGTCACAGCGACAGGAATGCCAAAGATATACGGATAAAAGGCAAACAGTGGGTGGTCTAAGTTTGGCGTGGATTGAGTGCATATCGTACACATGGATCGTTGTTCATTCGTTTAGACGTTGGCTATATAGTAGCTCACACCGGTGGCCTTTCATTGCAGCATTTGCTGGAGGTATACTATTTGTTGTCATTTATCACATGATGCTCATGTTCAGAGCTAGGGAATAAGGACAAATATACGTGTTAAACCCATAAAGAAACTGTCCTCTTCCAAAAAGTACGCACATGAGATTAAAGCCCTCGGTGCCTTAATAGCTAAATCTGGTGATATTTGATAATATATACGTATGTAATGAACAGCCTTTGAATTTCAAGGGAACATTTTGACTATTGCTTTCTTTCTTCCCTTGTGTTAGTATGTAGATGATGCGTCACAGCGCCGTCTCCCTTCGATTGGTTGGCTCGGAAAGGAAGCTTCTTAATTGGCTGTCATCAACCACTGAGCCAAATCCTTCCAGGGCGCTTGCTGGTGTTTTAGAGGTAACACTACTCCTGGAAGCTGGTTCAGGACGCTGTGAGTGGCTGGGTCGGATTCTAAATTACTTGATTTGTCGTTATTGTCGTGCAACGAGAATCGAGTTCTAAAGCTACAGCAGAATTCGTGAATGTAACGGGCCATGGGATTCGACCTATGAGTCAACTACTTTCTCTACGCCGCTATGCTCTTATGCCGTAACACTCATCGGTCTGACAATCTTTGATCTCGATTGAAGTGGTGTCTTTATCTCGAAGAATTAGTATAATTTCTCGTCAAGGATTAGTCAATGTGGTGAAACAGTAAGCATGAATCTATATATATATATATAATCCCTTGTCCTTCTTTGACATTTCTTTCTTCAATTCGTTCCAGATTTTTCTCTTAATTTATAATCATCCACAACATCAAGAGTCGGATCCATCAGCAATGACTTCAAGCACCCTGTTCATGTCACCCGAGGAATCAGCCCGTATCCAGACAACCGTCTGCGATAGACTGAAGTATCGGAAAGAACGAATGGGGCGAGCAAGAGAACACAAAGACGCCAAAGACTTGATTGAACAAGCAGTATCGACATCTTTGATGCAAGACATCTCTTCTACAGCATTTGGACTTGGTGCGTCAAGGAAAACCAAGGAAACAATGCCAGCGTATGGTGTTGGTGATCCATACCTACCTTGCATAAAGAAGCTCAATGATCTTGAACCAATGCACCTAAATGGCCTACGCATTGAGTCACACCACAGAGGCTTTTTTCTCTACTTGCGCCGTGTCTCTCCAGTAGCTATCCTCGAAACATCGTCGTGGGCTGTTGTACAAGATAGGTCCTCTAGTGATGTCGAGCGTATTGAGCTGTTCTTGCACAAATCTCAACATGGCCACGACATTTTGGATACAGCCTACGAGATTATTGTCAAAGAGCCTTACTACACACTCAACAGTCGGGGAGAGTCTACTATACAAGTGACCCATCCGTCAGATCTGATCGTCACGGAAATAAGCGACAATCCTGAGTCATGGCGACAAAAACCAAACGGTGCATCTTCACATGAACGCCTCCCACCCGAAGCATATAAAGAGAAAGGTAACCATGCTCTCTTGAAGAAGAAGGATCTCTCACTCGCCCACTTCTACTACACCCAAGGATTAAAGCGACTCTCTGATAGCAAGTCAGACGAGACCCTACAAAACGATATATACAGGAACAGATCCTATGTCAACTTACAACTACAGAGGTTTGACGAAGCAAAGTCTGATGCCTTGTCTTCCATTACACACAATCAAAGGGGTGGCCTTAATAGTCTCAACGCAAAAGCCTATAATCGAGCAGGTCTAGCCGCTTACGTTCAGGGCGAATTCATAGTTGCCAGATCGTACTTTGAACAACAAGCGAGGCTCCAGCCTGATGACCAGCATGTGAAACTGCATATGAAAAGGACCGATATCAGACTTCGAGAAGGTGCAAACGGCGTCTATAACATGAGCAAAATCGTCAGCTCACTCACGAAGACTGGAGGAAGGCCTGACGTTGCGTCGTTCAATGGGTCTACCGAGATCAAGCCTAGTCCTGGCGCTGGCCGTGGCCTCTTCACTACGAGGGATATAAGTCTAAATGAAAATATTATGTGTGAGAAGGCTTTTTCTGTGGCCTGGAGCCACGAGCCTGAGACCTTTAGCGCTTTAGTATGCGATACTCGAAAAGACGCTGCTATCGAAGTCTTCCCGGCAGGTTTACACAAAGCTGTTGTTCAAAAGCTACTCAACAACCCTTCCCAAGTTGAAAGGATCCTAGGTTTACATGGCAACCATGAGGGCACTGGGCAGAAACTAATCGAAGTCGATGATGTCCCTGTCGTTGATACCTTTCAAATTCATGATATTGTCCAGCACAACGCATTTGGGTTAGGGCAGCAAACGGAAGACGAAGACATCAGCAATGCAAGCACGGGTCTATGGGTCCGAGCATCGTACATCAATCACTCATGCATACCCAACGCAAAGAAAGATTTTATTGGCGATCTTATACTCTTCCGTGCTACGAGAGGGATAGCATCCGGCGAGGAGATCACCCATACCTATGACGAGTCAACCAGTTACGAAGCGAGGCAGACTGCTTTTCGTAAGACGTGGAACTTCGAGTGTCGGTGTCCGCTCTGTATTGTACAAAAGGAAGAGAGCGACACCTTACAACGGTTGAGGATCCAGGCTGAGGATAAAGCGAATAGGTTCGCAGAAAGCAATGACCCAGCCTGTGCAAGCAGGGTACTGGTCAGAAAGGGGAAAATGTTGCGAAAGGCATTGGAGGAGACGTATGATGAACAACGATATAGAGGCTTACCACGTCCGTCACTTGCGACGATAGATGAGTGGCTCCGTATTTCCAGTTATAGGTAGATAGTGTTCAAGAGCTGGTTTCTTTCAAATATGTTTCGATTCGTTTCCTTATTGCAATGTAGGCTAGAGAATGTTGGATCATCCGTTGTATTGCAGCCGCGCCGCTACCAGACTTTCTGGGCCAATCCATGCACAGAGGAGATATCTAGCGTAAGCTTTGTTCACATGCGACATCAACTCGGAGTTATCGAACATTTCTCTGTGCCGTCTTACTGTCTTGATTAGCCAATGAACCAACGAAACAGCTACTGAGGAGTGATAACTCATGTCGGTAATTACTTAATTGGGATTCTTGCACAGCTTCTGCGGCCCTAATAAGCCCATTTTGACGTTATTCGAAAGGGTTACTACATCGGGCTGGGCGTCATGCAGTCATAAAGGGCAGCTCGAAAGGACTGCCATAAACGTAGTGGTAGAAGGATTTGTGCAACCGTTTCGATTCCAGAGAGGCTAGCGTTGATTAGCCCTCCTCTGCGCATTTGGCAGTGCATCTCGAAAAAAGTCATTCGAACTATGAGTTCTTAGTTCATCTAAGCCAGCTATTAATTGACAACCTATAGACCGTGTCAAGTTCTGGGATGGGAGGCCTGTGGGTGCCTTTGTCTCTTCTGATATCCCCAGGTGCATCGACATTTCCTGTTCGTTTAAGCGCTGGGGTTGGTCGGCAGGGCTGTTAGCGCTATTTGAGCCACTAAAACTGTGTCCCGGGCTAATTTACGTCACCATATATGCACAGTGGTGTAGTAATACCGTCGCTCGATCGTTTCTCGGCCTTATATCACAACTGTCAGGCTCCCTCCTAGAAAGGTCGTATCCTCTCTGGTCTTTTATCAACATTTCCTCATTGCTTCAAATCTTTGAATCATCTTCTCATACTTCGACTACGATTCGTGAAGAAAACATGGGAAATCTACAGCAGGATACCAATGCCGGCCATCAGGCCACGAACAGCTTCGACGTACCTCCACCATACACATCCCCAACCAGTCCAACGCAATCCAATCGGTTCTCTCTCTTCAAAACTCTGAAATCCGGCTTTCGTTCGAAACCTGATCCCCTAGTCTCAGCATTATGCCATGCGGCTATGCGTGGCGATGAACAACAGGTTTCGGGTCTCATCTCACAGGGCGCCAACGTCCACGGCCGCAATGAGGATGGCAACACACCTATCAAGTGCGCCATTCTACATGACCAAGCGGGAACTAGTCGCCTACTTCTTTCCATGGGAGCAACTACAAATAAGTTACCTCCTCTCTTCAAAGCTACGGCCGTGGGAAGTTTGAATGTCAGTAAAATGCTGCTTGACTCTGGTGAGGACGTAAATGAAGCGTCTAAATCTGGTGAGCCGTATTTTATTGAGGTTGTAAATAAGGGGAACGTGGCAGGTGTGAGGTTCCTCCTCGAGAACGGTGCAAGCCCGGATGCATCTACAGTGGCCGGTGGGAGTGTTCTCGCACAGGCCGTCAAAAAGGACCAAGTTGACATTGTTTATGCATTGCTCGAACATGGCGCAGATGTAAACAGTCACGATGTCCATGGAAATTCGGTTCTCAACATTGCTATCCAGACCGGAAATGCGAAACTAGTGAAGCTACTTCTAGAAAGGGGTGCCCAAACCAACCCAGCCACTATCCTTTGCACGACGATCCTCGAGTACACCATCAACAAAAAGCGCTTGGATATTCTCAGACAGCTTGTAGCTGCCGGTGTTGACCTCGGACTTACAGATGCACAAAACCAGCCCGTCCTCATTAAAGTTATCAGGAACCCTCTTCTAAAGAAGGATGACAAGCTGGAAGTTCTGCGAATGCTCATGGATAACGGCGCTGACCATGATGCCACGGATATAACGTTCGGTCTGCCTGCGATCTGCCATGCCGTAGAAACAGCCAGTCCGGAAGTCGTCGAAGAACTACTCATCCGCGGTGCAGAGACCAAGGTACGCATGTTGGGAGGCCAAACTATGATAACATACTCGATTGACGTCAACCATCGCAATCACGTTAAAAGTCTCTTATCTCACGGTGTTGATGTCAACGAAGTAGACGGCTTGAACAGAACGCCGTTGATGCTGGCAATTTTGAGGCTTGACTTCAACATGGCCAAGTTGTTCGTTGATCATGGAGCTGATCCGATGGCGGATGTGAACGAGAGTGCGATCAAGTTTATCAAGGCTTTGAAAAGAAGAGACTTTCTCGAGATACTTGGTCTCACGGGAGAGCCGCGAATACCGCATGCCAGGAATTCACCCGCAGGTCCTTCTACAACTGAAGTTCATGCACCTGATGTTCCACCACCATCTTACGAGGTCGCTGCTGGGAAGGCTTGAAAGTCTTTCAAAATCGTGATTGTTGGCATTGCACCGAGGATCGGTGATCGACTCTGGTCATACAAATCTTCTTATCTTGTATCTAGATCTCTGTGCTCTAATCTTATTTGATAACAATGACTTTGACCCATCTCAGTATCCGGAAACATCAGGCCATTCCGTCTCAATACCCTCCTTGACAATCATATCCTGGAACCCCTTAAATAGCTCTGTGTTCCTCTGCACATTATGCGGTGATAAATCCTGATCGAGACAATGTGCTGCTAACAGGCCCGCAGCCTCGCCAATATTCCACTCCACAGGGTGTAACCTATAACATCCATTCGTAATATGTGTCGTGCCAATATTCTTAGATGCAGCGAGAAGGTTTGGTCTCTCCAGAGGGATCAAAGCTCCGAGGGGGATCTCGAATGGGCAGCATGCCACGTCGATATAGTTGTCTCCACCAGTGGATGGGTGAAGATCGATGCGGTACATGCCTACGCCTACACTGTCAGGGTAGTGTACTGCACCCTTGGAACCGCGGACATCAAGGGACAAATCTTGCTCGACGACCGTTGTAACGGCTTTGATGCGGCGCGATTCCCGGACGTAGGGCGCCATGGCCAGGCCATGTTCTGTACCGGTGATGTCGCCTCTCAACCGAAGACCAGGGTAGCCTGTACCTTTTCCATCTGCGCGGGGACAGTCTGTCTGTAGATAATACAGCATACTGTAAGACAAGGATGCCGCTTCAGCAAGACGCTCTTGAAGTTCATCTTCAGAAACATCGATGATGGGTTTCTCGAAGTAGTCAATCATGGGCCAGTTCACAAGGCAGATATCAGACTGATAAGATCCAGGCGTAAAGTTGTCCTTGGCCGCAATACGTCGGAATGTCCAGAGATTCATGTCTCCGCCAGACTTGCGCTGATCGGATATGACTGAAGCTGGATCATCATTAGGATTCGGCGTAAACTCTCGTTCCACGATCTCCAGGGTTCGAGGGTGAGGTGCTTTGAGACCTAGCAGTGGCGCCCCCCAGAAATCGGGGTGACATTTTCGCCAGTGATCGTATTTCTCAGGCTTGGGAATCGTATTGTCTTGTCCTTCGATATGGTCCACGGCGAAACAGATAGAGACCGCCTGTGAGTTCTGAGGCTGTGCTTCTTCGGGTGCACTTGGTTCTCCCGTGTCCTTTCGTGATTCGAAGCCGGTAACATATGGAGTGTTCGTCATGGGCAGCAAATCCCCAAGTTCTGTCGCGTCAATGACATATTTCGCATCGACGGTAAAAGTGTCCTGCATATCTAGCTTCCGGAATGTTATAGATTGAACGACCTGTCCTAGCATATCACAAGAAACAGCTTTGACTCGCTTCTTGACAACCAGTAAGCCGCTGCCAATAAACGGCATTAGCATGGCTTCAAGAACGGCCACTGCAACTCTTGGTTCATGACAAAGCTTGCTGACATGTCCAGCACCTGGGTTCAGCTGAGGTCTCCTCCTTGCATCTTCTGTCAGAGGGTAATTGTCGCGGTAATATCGCCTGACGCCATCTCTCAGAGCGCGGTACGAGCGCGTAACACCGAATTGCTCAACCCAGGTATGTTCATCTGGTGGCACCGCTTGGCTCGTCAATTGCCCGCCTAGCCATTCGTATTCTTCTGTCAATAAAACGCGGCGACCTCTACGAAGAGCACCGAGAGCTGCTGCGACGCCTCCGAGACCGCCGCCGACAATGAGGATATCTGTTGAAAAGGACTTGGGGCGCGTGTGGATATGAGCTGTCTGCCAGGATGAGACAGGGTTTGAGGCCTGTGGCTGATCAAGGTCAAGGTCACCCATGATGAGTGAAATGTGAGTGTGAAAATGAATCACTAAAGATCAATCTATAAACCAGAAATGTTTCTTTTCTGGGAAAATGTCTCTTTTGTAACATCACTCAGATCTTATGCTTATGGTCAACAGCGTGTTCCCGGGACTATCTCTTTTACTGTGATCTACCATTCCATTTCCACGCCCGACAATCCCCGTGAGGGGTTACACACCAATATCGCAGCACTTAACATGCACGAGGCCCAATAGCCATCACAAGACGCCCTGGAACCAACAGTTGCCAAGACAAATTGTCTGACATGAAATGCAGTCATTGCAAATCCCCCGCCCCGTCTTTGTTTCCTCGTTTTCGGGTACTTTGATCAAATCTCCCCGATCCTTGATCTCTTTGTCGCCTTTCATACCCGCAAAAAAACACAGAGAGACAATGCCAGACGTGACAAAGTCAAAAAATGGCCCAAAACGGGCTCGCCTACCGGCATCAGACAAGAGGTACCCTCGGAAAAGAGGTTTAACGGCATGTCATGTATGCCGCGCCAGGAAGACAAAGTGCGACAACGTGCAGCCTACATGTGGGTTTTGTGCATCATTGAATATTCCTTGTTCTTACGATAACGCTGAGAGGAATCTTTCGCAGTGCGTTGTTCATACCTGATTTGTCCCCAGTGTCCTATTAACGCCAACTGCATAGATTTGATCCAGCTAGTTTGGAAATCCTTCGCCAATTGGGGCAGATCATCAGTACCCAAAATGAACTTACACACACAGTTCGGTCTATCGCCGCATCCCAATCTCATGTAGCATTGGGGCCAGGTGCATCTCAAGATCAACTACGCTTCCACGGTAGTCTAAGCACAGATGAAACAGTACAACCGCAGCATGAGCTTCACCTGACAGACTGGTTTGCAGGACAGTCAGATTCAGCTTCAACAACGCCATCCTCATCCGCAAGTGCAGCTGCAGTTCAATGGTTCGGAATTCTAGCTAATGACGCCCCAAACGAAGAAGTCCCAGTTCCAGATGCGCTGCAGGGCGATCTTCTTGATACATCTCCAGATGGTCAAACCGAAAGCGACATCACTCCATTACAGAGAGCGACAAGGGCCATTGACACACAACCAGGGATATCCAACAGACGAACCAGTCGCAATTCGAAAGTCCCTGAGGAGAGCCTATGGCAGGCTTCTGGGGGTATATCACTACTCGATCAAGAGCAGGACCTGTTTCGGAACTTTTTGCATAGGATATGCTCATGGGTAGGTTGATTGACTCTCTCTAGTCGGGGCCTAGCATTAACAGTTCCAGCTTGACTTGTTCGATCCAGCCAGAACCTTCTCCACAAGAGTGCCGCATCTCGCTGTGCGAAATGCAGGTCTTCTCAACGCCATCCTTGCATTATCAAGCTACCATCGGTCTCTCGATGAAGGCATTCCACCGAATCAGCGTCCTGACCAGAATATAGCCTTGCAGTATTACTACCAAACGTTACACTATGTTCAAAAGGCCATGCAGTACTCAACGTATCAGAACAGCCAGGAACTAATGGCTACGACGCTCATGGTGTCAACGTATGAAATGTTACGCGGATCACGACAAGACTGGCAGAAGCACCTTCAAGGCGTATTTCGGATACTAAGATCAAGGCAGATTGAAGTAGAAACGTCAAGTCTTGAAAGTACGACGTGGTGGGCCTGGCTACGACAAGATATATGGGTTGCTTTTCGCGAGAAGAGGAGGACGTATAGTACGTGGGTGCCCAAGAAAGGATATGCGGAGCTAGATACTCATGAACTAGCTTCAAGAGCTGTCTGGATCATGGCGCAGGTCATTAATTTCTGTGCCGTCGACTCATCGATTGAGATGGAAGGTGGCATGGTGGGGAGGATAAGCTGGGCAAAGGCTCTGAAGAACATGTTGATTGAATGGCAGTCTCATTTGACGGTTGAGTTCTCGCCATTGCCTACCATGGGCCACTATGGGACCGAAATCTTCAAACCGCATCTCATACATCCGCAATGCTTTGGTATGCAACGTCGTCTCGATTTAATATCTATACAGCTGACTGAAGACAGGACTTGCGGTGCAGCTTCATCATTGCTCCCGGATCCTCATTGCAGCTCACGAGCCACAACTTGACGGTATACAAGGTCTGCTAAAGCTTCAAAAGGAAACGCAACAGAGTATCGATATAGTCTGTGGAATTGGCATGACTCTCAACGAAGACGCGCCAAGCATGTTGTCCTCACAATGTCTCTTCATCGGTAGGTTCGTATTGTACACATCTAGTATTTTACTAATCCAGGATAAAGCTGGTATGTTTATGCAAGATCCTCGTCAGAAGGAGGCCGTCTTGGAGATGTTGGATTCTTGTCAGAAGAGATGCGGATGGCCCACGCCTTCACTCAGGTCAGAGCTGGAAGAGATTTGGAATAATCCTGATGCTCTTTGTGATAGTCAAACTTGATAGAGTAGCTCGAAATGCAAGATCATTAAAAACATGGAGTATATGGCATCTTGGGTCCGTTCGTAATCATTACGTTTCCATGCTTCGGAATTTGGAGGTGAGACTTTTTGATCCTTGCAAGCACATAACTATGCCATGATTCGAGATACTCTCCACTCATAAATGTTCCTCGTGAGCCAATGTTTCATTCAAACCCTGGGCGTCAGCTAACCTGCATGTTGGCTGCAGCCCCCTCTGCTAAGTCCGAAAGGTTGCAACAATACAACAGAGCACTAAAGTCATTGATCCTCAACAATAGGCATTCATAAACCCACTAAACTCCAAAAGTCGCCTCAGCGGCTGGCTTTTCCGCTTTTGCTATCCAACCAGCACTTGTTAATCCGTAACCGACACTCCCCGAAGCAAATCACCACCTGATCAGCAAGCGATACTCCCCGATCTATAACAACCCCAGGATGATCTACAGAGACAAACAATCATACCTCCATCTCAACCCCGCATTGATATCGCATCTCATCCCGGAAATTAAGACAAATAAGGCTCGCACTTATGCAATCGAGCCGTGACTCCACTACTTAAATCAGGATGCTCTCGTAAGCTTTTATTTCCGTCTCTTCAACATCCTCTTCAACTGTGCCTTTTTTCCTCCGCGGAAAAGAGTGTATCAAGAGTAAAAATGACGATACATGGAATGTTCAAGCGCATCGTGCGCAACGATGCTATTCGCGTTGATCCTCCAGAGATTTACAACTGGCGAGTAATCGCTTTGACTGCTTCGGTAAGCCAATAGCCTATCAGACTTTGACATACGCATTTGCTGACAATGCAAGGCATGTTTTGCTGGAGCCCTCTTTGGTGTTGACGCTGGTATCATTGGTGGTGTTCTCGCCATGCCAGACTTTCAGCGGTTCGTCGCATGTTTCAGCGGCAAACTTCCATACTGACGTCTTTCTAGAGAGTTTGGTATGAACGGTCGTTCTGATCAAGCACGTGCTGACCTCGCTGGTAATCTTGTCACTACAATGCAAGCCGGTGCCATTGGTGGAGCTCTCCTCTCAAGTCCCTTTGCCGATCGCAAGGGCCGTAAGCCCGCTCTACTTCTTGTTGCCATCACTGGTTTCATTGGTGGAATCATGCAAGCATTTTCTTATGGTCATCTCTCTGCATTCTACATTGGCCGGTAAGGATCTTCTGCATGCCATGCCAGTGTGTGTATTTCTGACGAGATACAGCTTCATCGAAGGTCTTGGCCTCGGCGCAGGAACAATGCTCGCACCAACTTATGTCTCTGAAAACTCACCCCGTGCCATACGTGGTTTTCTCGTTGGTTTCTTCCAGCTTCTGCTCGTTCTCGGCGGCATGACAGCCTACTTCATTAACTATGGCTCCCTACTTCACCTACCCGGCAAAGCAACTTGGATGGTTCCTCTCGCCTGTCAATCAATCTGCCCAGCTCTTCTCTTCTTCAGCATGATATTCTGCCCGGAATCGCCACGATGGCTTGCTTCCAGGGATCAATGGGAAAAGGCTGGCGCTGTTCTTTCCGACGTGAGGAAGTTACCCGTTGATCATCCGTATATCCAGCAGGAGTTGTTGGAACTCAAGACGCAGATTGACCAGGAGAATGCGGTCATGCAGGATACAGGGTTTTGGGCCCTTCAAAAAGAGTGCTGGACGCTACCTTGGAACAGGAAGAGGGCATTGTTGACTGTCGGTATAGTCACACTTGGGCAGTGGACAGGTGTAAGTGTTGGCAAAGGCTTTTGCTAATGAGTTGCTAACAACGCCTAGACTGGTGCTATCAACTATTACGCCCCGACTGTAAGTTTTTTATGAGGCGGTATTTCTCATCATGGATCATACTGACCATTCAGATCTTCAAAGGTCTAGGACTCTCGAGCACTACGACAGCGTTATTCGCACAAGGTGTAAGTATACTCATCCTCATCTCACAGTATACATGTATTGACACCATCAGATCTACGGTGTAGTCAAGGTCGTGACATGCTTGATCTTCATCTTCTTCCTGGCTGATTCCCTTGGTCGACGTAAATCATTTATGATTGGCGGTGCTATCCAAGCATTTTGCATGTTCTTCATCGGCTTTGTAGGTATCCTCGACATACATCTCGACTCAAGCTGACATGCCTAGTACCTTCGCTTCGGTCCTGAGCCTGGAGAAAATGACCATCCTCCTCCAGCAGGCATTGCTGCACTGGCGATGGTGTACATCTTCGCTGCAGCTTTCAACATGAGTTGGGGGCCTGTTTGTAAGTACTTCACGTCGAAATAAAGGGTTTTGCTAATGGTGTAGCCTGGATCTACGTGTCTGAAATACCTACGAACCGCCTACGTGCATACAACGTCGCTTTGGCATCCTTTACCCACTGGGTCCACAATCTGGCAGTATCAAAGTCAACCCCCGTCATGCTCCTGCATGATCCATACCGAGCATACTTTATCTTTGGATCCTTCAACTTATTCATGGCCGTTGCTGCGTATTGGATACCTGAGACCAAGGGAGTAAGTAGTCCCTATCCGTTGAGGTACATGCGGAGACTAATTACCCACAGATCTCGCTTGAACGTATGGACGAAGTCTTTGGTATTGCAGATTTCTCCAAAGTCGAGGATGTGGGTATCGCTGCGAGCCGTGCGAAGAGAATCGACGATGAGAATGTGGAGGATGTTCAAGCTGATAGGCTAGAGAAGTCGTGATCTACGGTACTGAGCGCAATTGGGTTACAAGCTCCAGAATACATAGGATAATCCACATGAGATCAATGTGTGTACCTGTATCAGAGCCATTCTTATGAACATTTTTTACTTTCCTTCCATTGCCTTGCAAATTTAATGCATGTCCACCTACGGATATATTGTAGGCTTTTCGACTCTTCTTCATTTCATTCTCGTATCAGTCATTAGCTCATCTCCCGATAATAAATAGACCCTTTATGGTGGACCTGAAACCCGGAAAAAAGACCCCATTCGCAGTGGTTCCCTCGCGTGGACGTGGAGTCGTACAACCAAATTTGTTTGGTTAGGCCGTACAATGTGCCCGACACTGTTTGCCGTGCGATCCGTGTGTCGATCATATTTCTGCAATATTCGGGATTAATGCAAGGTCTCGAAGGAAGCCCCCCCCCTGAAGAAATGGTTGTCGAGACTCTCATTTTTTGGTTGCGATTCTGCTTGTGTTTGGTAGTACTGCACCACCAATGAACCCAAGACTCGAACACCATCTAACGCAACCATCAGACAATCAACGGCTACCAGTGACCTAAAATTATAGTGCTTCCACTGTAAGCATAACCCAGCCACTGGAAAGCATGCCTTGTCATATCATCACAGGGCTGTCGTATGGACTGCCGCTCGTATCGATCGGCTCATATCCAAACTAACCTTTTCCGGTAGAAACCTGACAATCACGGTAAACCCGGCAGCGGCACTCAATTAATCCCATGACGTGACAATTTTAATTGAAGTCGTTCAATTATCTTGTATTCGAAATATGTATCTTGAAGAAGAAAAGAAAAAATGCTGATGCTGATGCTGACGCTAACGCTATTCTATCCCAACCTTCAACGCCGTCAAAATGCAATGGAATGCTTTGCCCAGATCCGTCCGTCATTATGGTTCGCTTATGCTGAAATGCCCTGTCTAGAATCCCTGTAACCCTCTGAAGCACCCTGACACAGGTAATGATCGGCCACCAAATCCCTTGCCCGTACATCCAACCACCCGGCAGCTGAATCTTTGATGCCAAAGCTCAACCACACCTCATCATCCAAAAAGCCATGATTTGATGGTGGGAATCGTGTTTGGTTCGTATAGTAAACCATGGAACCTGTCCAGACGTAGCGTCCATCTGACTCTCCGTGGTATGTCAGCTTCTTGCTCACGCTGATCATTCGATACGGAGGCGCAGACTCGTATACCGCTACCCGTCGGTCGTACCACGTAAACGGCGACATGGGCGGGTCCAGGCGTCGCTGTACAATGCCCACCATGACTGTGTTCTGCTCATTGGGCTCGCATGTCCCTCTGTTGCAAAGAGTAACGCTCAGCATTGGCGAGCTCTGGTGGACGTGCCTATCGTCCAGCATCACATCGTGCATACACGTCTGTCTACGCTGAGCGTGCCAAGTAGCTCCAGCCTCGGCGTTTGGTGGGTAAGGCTCTTGGACGGCTGACAGCTGGTCTTTGGCACTGACAACGGGCTCGACGGGGTCTTCGTTTGATGTGTAGCGGTAGAGTTGGCCTGGCTCAACCATGAGAAGAAGCTCATCGTCGCTGCTGAAGGGAGATTGAGCGGGCGCCCAATTCTTTTCGCGCTGGTATCGGGGATGTGATTCTTGGCCTTCTGGGGCTTCGCGGCGAAGACCAGTTGGTTCACTGAAGCGAATTGGTGGGAGGAGAGCTGTTGTCTCGGGTCCAAGAGCTTGTTCGAGCTCAGGCATAGCAGCGCGCACGTCAATAATGAACTGACCCTGACACATAACTTCATCATCAACCTGATGCGTAAAGATAAGAAGCGGTTCACCGACGCGAGTCCAAAAGAGCTTCATGTCTTCGGGGCCAATATAACGATCCATGTCGGGTTGCTTCTGGCAATGATGTTCCGGGCCACCAAAGTCATTGACCAAGAGTCTCGACCACTCGCCCGTCTTCAGCACTGGACGGCCAAGATTGTTGTATGTAAGGTTCGCAAACGTCGCAACCTGTCGAGCGAGTTTGTATCGTTTGCCCTTGATCTTTTTAAATACGTGGGGTGCGCGCGCGATGACCAAAAAGTCGTGGGTACTGTTCCCATTGCGAGGGAGTTCAAGAAGCGTCGGGTTCATAAGTTGGTGCCCCGTCAACCTCGCATCGATCTTGTTATAAAAGCCCATGTTATTCCTCAAGCTTGTAAGAAGACGATAATCATGATCCTGGTGCTGTTCACTCTGCTCGAGGTATGCTTCGGCATCGTCGTCTTGGTGGGAGGGCTCTTTGGTGTCTTTTGCAGGTGATTGGTTATTTGGTTGTTGCTCGTAGAAGAATGGTCGTTCTTGGACTGGTATAATAGATAAACCGTCTGCTAGTTTGATGTGAAAGACTGTCAGGAGGATAACGAGACAAGATGCGATGGCTACAAGCGTGAGCACGCCACGCAACAAGGTACTGTGAGAACGCATGGTATCATGAGTCTTTGAGGAGGAAAAGCGGGTGTAAGAGGTCCAAAAAGTCCATACACCAGGAGGTGTCAAAAAGAGCGGCTCTGGGTCGACTTATACGAGACTGACCCAACTTAATACTCACACTAACAGCAGGGCACAATTCTAAAATGTGAATCCACAATGGGACGGCTCTCAACTCGTTTCGTCATAGGCGCCGCCGCGTAGTCAAGCTTTCGCCAAGTGTGCAGGTCCTTGCCTCTCAAATGTGCCATCCGATCTAGCCGTAGGTACATGCAGCACTGTACTCTGTGGAGCGAGGGTAAGTGGTGGTCTTGACGTTTGACTGGACGTACCGGAAACCTGAAACCGTATATCTGGGACAATCAATCACCACGTAAACAGCTTATGAGTGAATTTGCTCTGAAACATGTTTATACCAAATTACTGCTACCTTTTCGCGGCTGTACGGCATCCTTGCGCTGATCACTGAATGAAACTGACTGACTTGGTGATTGAGCGTTGTGTTCAGAGTACATAGGCGCTGAGGCTTGTCTGGAGTTAGCGCGGGCATCATGCTGCGTTAGGGGATGCCGAGCCCTGAAATAGAACACCCTCAGGGACGGTACTGCTCAGACTGCTTGCGCCCATGTAACGTGACTGCTGTTCTGCCAGGCCATCGGAGTTTTCCATAAACAGTGGAGGTGACATTCAAGCACGTCACAGATCTCAATGCAGAGATAAGCCTCGTCAAGAAGCAGCTGAAAAGTCTGAAAGCAATTCAAGGTTGCCAGCCATGCTCATAACTACGTAGTGTTTTCGTTTATTCCCAAAACCTTGAATCTGCCAGAGCCATTCAACATGCCGCGCAAGCAACATGACTGAAACAAGCCAATCGGCATGTTGATCCGATTGCGAATGTCACTTCCTTCTGTCACTTCCGCCGTAAAGAGTTATCCCCTCTTTGATGGCACAGTACTTTATTAGCAGCGTCTCTCTAGACTCTCCCTCTTCCCAACTGCCGGTTTGCCGTGGTGATCATGATTTTGTTTTTCGTGTTTGACATGGCACGGGCCCTTTTTTTTCTTTTCTCTCTCTCTCTCCTTTTCTAACGGCGGGCTTAGATGAGAACGATGTCGTCGCACAACATGGCTGGTGCGACGATCTCGACTTGATTCTTGAAACCCTCCAGAAAAGCCATCAAAACTTACGGCACCTGATTGGCTTGTTGGAAGATACATGCAATGCAATGCGCCTATTCTTCTGGCGTACACGATAGGGTCTGACACGCACGTTGGATGAGGTTCAGTGCTGGTCCCTTGTAATTAATTTTGTAACAACTCACTGTCACGCAAACGAGAGTCGTTTGACTGGGCCACTTTTCGCTGTTCAAACCCTGTTCAATGTTTGTTGTTTTTTGCTGTTGGCGCAGACAATGATGGTTGTTACCAGAATGATCCATATTGACGATAGCCTCATCTGCTTCAGCTCACGGACCAGAACTGACTGGCCTGTCGATTCATGGCACATCTCACCGCTAACCTCAATCAAGCAACAAAGCGCGTGACACATTTCTTCTTTTTTCTATCCACTATCTAAACATCCCCTCTGTAGGCTATTGACAGGGTTGAGAATGTGGAAAATCTCACCACCATGAACCCCAATTTAGAGGTCTAGGCTAGTCTGTTCCGGTAAGGGATTTAAAGATTTAGGGGACTTGGCTTCCGCTTAAAGTAAGCTGAAGGTTTTATTTAGGAGGGATAATTGGCAAACGCGAAATACGAGAATCGGAATGACGGGACCCTTCACAAACGGGGTATTTATTGGTCACGGAACGTGAGATATCCATTGAACGCTTGGACTTGGTAATGGTAAAAATGGAGAGTGCCAAGAGAAGGTCTTGATGCCGACGGCAAATATTAAAATGAAGTGAGCAACAAAAGCGATGCAAAAGGGTAGAAACACCATTGACAAAAAGAAGCGGATAACAGTGGAATTAAACCACCCGTGTTGGACGAACAGGGAATCGAACCCTGGACCACTCCCAATGACAATTCCAGAAGAGGAAACATGCTAAGGGAGTATTATACCACTAAACCATTCGCCCGCAACGACTTATGATTGGTTGGGAGAGCTGCTGCAATTTAGAATCATGATGATCACATCTCGGAGTCATGGCACAGCAGTCATCTACGATTCTACCACTACATAAAATTGGAATATCAATTCACTGTTCCTTGCAAATACTGTATACTTTTACCACTTCAGCAAGCTATCTATATGTCTTGGCTAGTTGTTCATGTGTGTCGAGGTTAAATATCTGTTTCGGTTCAGGGTAGCTCCATTGACATTAAGACTCAGCCAGCATCTTTACATCATTGAGACCCAGATTGGGTAGTAATTTCTATATCCTTCCATTTGATCAATAGTGTAGGATCCCACGTAGATGCTAGTCTAATTACTTATGGAATTGTTTAATGCATGCAAAGCCACTATCTGTCTCTGTGTGTTGCGTCCTTGATGTCGGCACCAACAGGGCATTAATATTAGTCAAACTCTAAAATGCAAGGCCTCACGATAAGAACAAAACCAAAGGCCATGACGCGTCATTAAAACCTCATGCCCAAGTCCTTGCTATCCGTTGCCTCCTTATTATCTCGTAGAGAACCGCGGGGGAATGATGTAAAAAGTGCAAAAAGATAAATGCCTCGCTTGTTTGCAATCGTTTATATAGGAACAGCCCGATGCGGGGGTCGAACCCGCAACCTTGAGATCGCGTACTCGTAAGAGTCTCACGCTCTACCGATTGAGCTAACCGGGCGTGGCTCTTGATATTGACGAGAGTGTCAAAATTAGGAAACATAGAGTGAGTATCCCGAGACACTCTATTCTAACACACACATCATCACTACGACATTTCATCAGATAGTCACTCAGACAGCAATGGCACAAATTCATGAATTCAATGTTGTTTCTTGTTTATTGTATTTTCTTCAGTCAAGTCGGTCAACTGTATAAGTACTCTCTATTCTATTCATCCTCCTCCTCATGCTCGCGGACAGTGTTGCTAGCCCACACAGCCTCAGCGTCATCATCCTCTCCCTTATACAAGACGATGTTTCCATCATCCTGTACACGTAGGTATACACCATCACCGTGGTCCTCAGTGTTTGAAGCCCAGACGGCCTCATCGTCGTGGGTGCTGTGATATGTGTCAGTTTCATAGCACTTTTGTGTCTGTTCGGGACACTTACTATAGGACCAAGTTACCATCCTCTTGCAGATGAATGCCCTTGATGTCTTCGCGTCCCTCGTCTGTGTTTTGCCACACACATTCGCCGTCCCAGTAGATGGACATTCTGCCGTCGTCCTCAATCTTGAACTCGGCGCTGCCGTTCTCACTTGAGAGACCGTCTCCAGGGTAGAGCCAGTTGTCGTTGTCGAGTTGGCCCATTGTGAGGAATGTTTAGTGGGTATTTGGAAGAGTGAGATGTGTTTGTGTTGTTGAGATAGGTTGGTAGACTGTTGACAAGGCAAGTGAGGTGACAGTCCAACTCTTTATATGTTGTTAATCTGTTCAACTACAACCCCTCAATTGCCTTCTGCTGTTAATCATCGAGGCTGTGTTTTGTCCCGCAGGGCACTGCATATGTGCCAAGGTACTCATGGGGAAGTGAAGCAACAGTGATTCAGTGAGAGGCCTCACAGAGAAAGCACACAACCGGTTTCAAGCTGCATGTGTGTAATACTTGGGTGCATATCCTGGAGTTTTGTCACAGAAGTTATTACCGTCTATCCACGGAACAATCAGGAAACCAGCTGGCCAAGATCGGAAACGGCAAACGGCATTTCTACGTGCTCCACGATATGCAAGTCTCACTCCATAATAGGGCTGGGCACCCCAGAAAGCAATTATTATTGAGATTATACTGGACCACGTTTCTTGCATATTCAGGATCATCGACATGATGATGAGCATTTTTTAAGTCATTGGCAGTTGGCGATCTCGGCACTGACGTATAATTGGGCCAAAGGGAAATGCTTGCGCGTAAGACAACATATCCGCTGCCAAGATAGCTTGGCACGCATGAGAAGTTACGCACCTGTGAGAGCACGGCTGGCGGAATACAGCTAACATGACTCATTTTGATCAACCTCGTTCAATCAACATCTAAAAAATACTATCAATCCAAACTACCTATTCGATGAGGCTAAGTCGAGGGTATATAACCTTACCGGAGCGAAGTTGCACCATGCCAAATCACCACCAATGAAAAGACGTGACCAAGCGCATGTCGAATACAATACTAAAAAATGGGAGGAAAAGAGTAAAAGAAGAGGCGAAAACAAAGAAATAGAAAATAGAAGCTTTCATGCTATGCTTCCACCACTTGATAATCCAGAGTCGATTTTTGCAAACTATCCAAAGTTTGCGTGAATCTAATAGAGAATGAGAAGTGCAACAACCGCAAATACCATTGCCATCATTGAACCTTCCTTGGAAACGCCATACCTAGGCGTACCTTGACCAGAGACAGGAGTAGTTCCATTGACCCCCCTTGGATCAGGATACTTGCCGTTATCCTTAGCCTGGACGCCACCAAACTCGCCGGGCGCAACGGTAGGTGGTGCGACGGCATCTGGTGCAGGAAGAGGTGGGAAACCAGGAGTCTTGAATCGAGGAGGCATGTCCCGAGCGATGTTTTTACGATCAAGACATCCGCCACCAACCCCAGGCTGGACACCACCAAACTCGCCAGGGGTAACAGTAGGCGGTGCAACAGCATCTGGTGCAAGAGCAGGTGGGTAGCCGGGAGTCTTGAAGCGATAGGACATGTCCCGAGCTGCGTTACTGCGATCAAGATACTTGCTCTTGTCTTTAGCCTGAACACCACCAAACTCACCCTGAGCAACCGTGGGTGGCGCAATAGCATTTGGTCCAGGAGCAGGTGGGTAGCCGGGAGTTTTGAAGCGATATGGCATGCGTGGTTTCGAAGACTCGGAATCAATCTCTGATTCTATTTCCTCCTTATAGTCAGGAGAAGAAATGTGACGAGCCTTCAGCTTGTTGGGTGCAACGCTGTCAGAACATCCTTTTCCAGTTCCAGGACCCCAACCACCTGGGCGACCATAGGTTCCATGGTAAGGGCTTCCAGCACTAGGGGCTGGACATTGTGCCCCATGCCCTTGAGAGTCGTTGTGGGGATAGTGAGAGGCAGCCTCTGTAAAGCCACCTTGGGAGTGATTTGGAAATTCGTGGGTTTGTTGAGATGACCCATATCTACCACGAGTAGGATACATCGGCGATGGGTGATTCTGCCTATCAGTATCGGTCATACGGCCAGGAACAGGTGCTGGCCTAGGCTCAGGCCGAGGGCGAGAAGGGAATGGCGATGTTTCATAATCCGGTCCCCGAGGTGGTCGCCCAGGAGCTGGGAAATTGTGGTAAGTAGGTAGTTCATGAGGATCAGAATAACCTGGATAACTGTGATTGTCGTGAGAACGAGAAATTCGATACAAGCCAGGGCTACCAGGAATCTTTCGAAGACCAGGAAGTTCAGGAATGCTATAAGTCATGCCATCCGTTTCATAAATACCAGGACGAACTTCACGCAAGAAAGGAACATCAGGGATCGAATAGACACCAGGGCGGCCAGGAACGTCGTAAATGGGCAGGTCTCCATCATGAGGAGAGGATGGCGGAGGGAAGTCAAAGTAATCCGGCGACGGGTGCGGCCTTGTTGAATGAGGAATCCTTGGAGGTGACTGGGGGAACTTGGGCTCAGAGACATGGCCATACCCATAATCGCTCTGACCACTCTCAATATCCTGGTACTTGGGAACACGTCCTGAACCAGTCGACTCATAGTGAGCAACATATTTGACCTCCATGGCATTATCCAATCCGTCCAGTGTTGACTCATTTGGGTCACCAGGCCATTCTCCGCCAACAGCAACGTTCAAGATGAAATGGATCAAGTTGTGGGCGATCTTGCCCCAAACTTGTTCATCTCCGATCCTGTCACCAGTGACTTGATGGTACTGAGTACCGTCGAGGTAGAAAGAGACACTCTCTTCCTTCCAGTTTCCTGGTGTCCGATCGATGATAGTGGTGTAGGTATGGAAACCCTCACCGGCATCAGGAAGCCCGGTAGCACCGGCGATACCATTCTTCTCATTGCAGATGCCACCAGGGTTTTTGTCACAATGGATAACGCCTTGGGTTTTGGTCTCACCGTTGACGTTTTCCATGATATCTATCTCGCCACAAGTTGGCCAGATGAGAGTTCCCTTGCGATGACTGTCGCCGAGGAGCCAGAAAGCGGGCCAGATACCTTGCTTACCGGATGCAGGAGCATTACCCAGCCGAAGAGATGCTTCGGCAATGGTGCGCTCTCCTGGAGCAGGGGTGAAAGTGTATGCACTTTCAAGACGACCGGAAGTCCAACCCTTGGTAGCAGATGAATCCCTCCGGGGGATGATGAGGAGAGAGCCATCACCAGTGAGCTGCTGGTTCGCGGGACTGGTTGTGTACGTTTGCCAGTCGCCGTTAAGATTCTTGTACCAATCCTGCATGATCCACTTGGATGTATCAGGAAGAGAGCCAGCAGAACCCTCGAAAGAGTCCTCCCAGACGACGTCAAAGCCATCATAGGTAGGTGCGCTGGCAGTAGCTACCCATGATAGGGCGAGTGTGGGGATGATGTTGAAAGTCCTCATTTTGAAGATTCGTAGTGAGGACGAGGGAAAGGCGAGGAGAGAAGAAGTGGGCGAAGAGGAAAAGAAGAGGATCTCTGCAATCGAGGGCAATTGGTGGTATATATAGTAGAAAGGCTAGTAGTCAAGAGGCTCAGAACTTACCATGAGAAGCTCGGGGCCCGTGACACATCTGTGGGCTGCAGATGGTTTTAGTTCGATAACTACAACTTAGATAGAACACAACTATATCTCATGAGACATCCCCATTAATTAGTATTCAGGGTTGCTAGGCCAAGGTAAAGCACCGTGTGTTCTGGTGAGATCCAAGCAAGCGTCTTAGATCACAAGCTCGATCGTTACAACTACTAAGTCGATCTAAGTTGTGATGCTGTGGTGAAGAACAACATTTTGGCAGCCTTGCGTGTGACACGCGTTTCCAAGACAGTTGTTGAAATTGTAACACTTCCTAGACTGAGTGAGCTTGATCTCAGCCTCATTGTAGACCTCAAGATCTTCCAGTTTTGTTAAGCTTTGTCTTTCTGTGCAGATGGATCATATGCCGTGTTGGTTAATATTTTAAATTCCACCCAACAAACTTAGTCTATGTGGGCTGGGCAACAAGACCGCCTTATCATCAATATGATCACAGCCCACATGGTCACCGGACATACCAAAACCTTAGGTTACAAAGTATTAACAATTCCCTCTACTTCTTCCAGCCCATCGACCTTAAAGTCTGGCCCCAGTTCTTCACACTTTTCCTTATCTCCGTACCCAAATCTACACCAGACAGACTTTGCGCCAATGTTAAACGCGAACTTCAAATCAGCTTCGGTGTCGCCCACAACCAACACTTTGGAAACATCCAAATCTGGAGAGAAACCACGTGCTGATAGGGCTGGCTTCAGAACGTTTACAAAGCTTCCGGGGTCGGGCTTTCTTGTCGCTCCGGGAGTGTTGTCTCCGATGATTAAGTCTCTTGGGATGATGTTTTCTAGAGAGTTGCTCTTGAGAGTTGCTTCGATTGCTGTTACGCCTTTGTTGCTGACGATAGCAATGGGTATTCCTCGATCGTTGAGGTTGTTCAATAATTCTTTTGCGCCGGGAAATTGAGAGGTGAGTCTCTGGCCATCGTCGTTGTAGATGCGTCGGTATGTAGACACCCATTCATCCTGGTCCAAGGAATCAAAAGAGGGGTGCAACGTTTTGAGAACATCAAGGAGACCCTTTCCACCGCCAATGAGCTTCTGGATCTCAGATTCCGATGGTGTAGATTCAGGGAGGAGAGTATCGAATGTGAGTCTGATGCTGTGAAAGATGGCTTGATGAGTGTCGAAGAGAGTCCCATCAAAGTCAAAGATAACAAACTGGGCGGGCATTTTATCGTCTCTGGAGTGTTTGAAACGGTTCTTTATGGTCTTTAGGTATGTAGATAGCCCCTTCTCTGGTTGAAGAGGTCTATGACGGGTTCAAGGATGCAGGTGTTTGTTGTAAAATTCTGCTAGCCACTCAAACCCCGCTTGTGATGCTTGGTGTGTAAGCAGACATTGACCCATCTCTCTTAGTTGACGATCACAGGCCGGTAGAAGCATCACATAGAGAATACATGCATATTGTTCCAAATTCCTTTTTCTTTTCTTTTAAGAAAACAAGACAACGCGACATCCACGGCTCAATTTTGTTGGTGTCATAGAAATATGAGACACTGAAGTAGAAATTAGTCATGGATTTTTATCTTTCAACGTCAACATAACAGAAGTTATCACTAGATATAACGCTCTCTCAACTGTCGTAACGCAAGAATAAGACTGGACATAAAAACAATATCATCAGACAGCACGAGAAACCTTGATAGGAACCCCTATATCGTCGAAGTATCTTCCTTAGGAGCCACCACCACCACCACACCCTCCTCCGCCTCCACCACCGCCGCATCCTCCTCCTCCTCCTCCTCCACAACCTCCTCCACCTGCACAACCTCCACCACCACCTGCACAATCTCCACCGCCATCACCTGCACCTGCACTGCATGCTCCCGCAGCGACGCCTCCTCCACAGCTTCCACCTGCACAGGCCGGTGCAGCTCCATAGGCATAGATGGGAACAAACACGACAGGTGCCATGAACGGCCCGTACACTGAGTATACTTGTCAGTCATTGCTCACCCTGGATTCGTAGAGTACTTACTCATATAGGAATACCCCCAATGATCATAGTACTGATCCTTCGGTGGGAGTTTACGGCCCTTCTTCTCGGCGCGTTTGCAAGCCTTTTGATAGTTTTCTTCCAAGCGCTTGTTGTGCACTGCGCGCATTCTGTTCTGAACCTTTTCGATTTGATTGGTTGCAAGAAGAGCTTCATCACTGGTTCGGACGGCGTTGTGGGAAGAAATGTGTGCTGAGTTATCGGGCGGACACATATCTGCCTTTCCCGACTCGTAGAACTTGTCTGTAACTGTACATCCGTTAGTCATTAACCCCGTAGCGTGGGAAAAGCTTGACTTACTCTTCTCGTTATGAGATAATTTCAGAATCCTTCCTGCAGAAGAAACATGCGCCGCTCGCGTGGCTTCGCAATACCAACAAGTACACTCCGAGTAAACCTCATCATAAGTGTCCTGGTACATTTTACTCGTCCACTCGAACCCTTCATTCAACTTGTTATCTTCAATCTTGTCGTCATGTCTAATAAACTTGAACGTCTTGCGTGTAGTATAGTGATAATACGCCAAAGGGCTAAGCTGGTGTGTGTGCCATGCCAAATCAACGTCCAGAGTTGGCACAGCGACGCTCCGCGGGTTCTTGGCGATGAGTCTTATGAAACGTTTGTATTTAACACAGCAACGCTCCATAGTTTCGCGCGCCGTGGGTGAGTGCAACCAATCGAGTTTGCACATCTTTTCGGAGAAGATGCCCTGTCGCATGACAGAGCCTGTGAGATCGAGAGCGAAGGGGCTGAAATTTTCCCAGTATCTGGACATCATCTTCCGAGTCGTACGTTTTGAAAAAGCAGGGACCGTCCTGGTTGGCTTGCCGTATATGGTCGTGAGTGCGCTTTGTTTCATGAGAGCTTCAGTCTCGACTAGCTTGCGCACAGTTTCCATCGTAGGTGGGTTCTCAGGATCAGGAGAGTCCAAAAGACCCTGGATCTGAGTGCGTAGAACATGTTGGATCATGCGGTTGGGAAACATGCGTTGGTCAAATTTGTTTCCTGTGCGGTCCATCATCACTACTGGAACGCCGCTTGGTGGCCACAGGAGTGTTCCTGGCATGGGTTTGCTCATTAAGACGAGATCATCAGCATCTTTACAGAACTTGGCCACACTCAGGGTTTCTTTGGTGATTTTCGTGTTGCACTTTGGACATCGGGTTTCGAACTTGGCGTCGCCATAACCTGTGCCAACAAGACCTGGTCTCTCTGGGGTCTTTGGTGTTTCCTCAAGAGCACAGGTCGTCCAAGGAACTTTGAACTTTGAACCACAATTCTTGTTAGGGCAGTTGATGAGTTTGAAGTTCGAGTCTTGGACGTTTTCCCAGCTGCAGTTGGTTTGTGCCAACCATGTAACTTTGTTTTCGTCCGAAACGTTGTAGTTGAATGAACCGTCTATGGCAGCGTTGACACGAGCCCACGGCATGCCAGACTGCCAAAATTGGCGGAGACCTCTTCGTAAACAATCTTCAAGGAAGTTATGGGGGTTCAAGAGATGGGAGTGATACACCATCAAGACATCTAGAAACCATTAGCTTTATCCGCAATAATGATAAACTCAACATACCAAGAGGTGGAAGAGCCTCATGTTCCCACCAATCCGTATTCGCCCCCAAAACGAACTGTCCAAAAGAAAGGGAATCCTTGTCCTTCATTTTATCCTCGGTCAAAGACGACATACTCGTAAACAAAGAATTCCACCAGTCTTGGTAGCGATCAACAGCTCTCGCAACGAAAAGACTCCATCGCTTTTCCCGCAGCTTGCTAAGAGCCTTCTTCTTATCCTCGAGGTCCGGAGTATTTTCCCCCTCAGTAGGAAGTTCTTCTACATCGCCATTCTCTCTAACCCTGATGTTTCCATCGGCACGAGAGTCCCATATGCCAAACAGGCCATCGTGGTAGCCGGTGTCCTCTTTAAGGGCCTCAAAGGCGAAGAGAAGTCTGAGATGAGCGAGGCAGACGTTGGGTTCTGGATCATGAGGTGTTGGGTCGATCTTGAGGTCTGCGAAGGGGGCTTCAATGCCAAGGTCTTTGTCTGGAAAAGTTGGTGCTTTGCTGTCAGGCTGTGCCTGATATGCTGGGGGTGCATCCATTTTTCAGAATAATAATGATGGAATTCAATATTACGTTCTAGAATATCTAGAGTTTTGTGTTTCCAAGATTTGAGAGTGTTGGCGTTTGGCCAGCTTATATCCCGGACCTGTGCCGTGAGTAGTGCCTCATTTCCGCATCTATCATTAATAGGGTGTGGTACAATGGGGCAGTGCATTGGCTTGTTGGTTGGAACCTGCATGTTGAATGGCCACCAAGACTGATCACATGGAGTGCCGAAGATCCGTAGGCGTCAAATAGGCGAAGAATAATGAACTAACAGATTGAATGCTTATCGCTGATTAAAATCGACTTATCTGTTAGTTGTGCAACAAAGTCAATGTTGATCACTTTAGGCTGATTGGAACAGGACCACAGCCACCGCCCGACCACTGGAGGAATGAAGGAGCCTGATAACAATCCGCTAATCCAAGCCTCTATCTGCATCTATGCAAGGATTATCTTGGTCCAACAATCGCAACATTGCACCTAAACTGGGCGACTTGATCGCAGAAGGAAGGTTAAATGATCATCGTATTATGTCATTCCCAGAGAGGCTGTCCACTGCTTCTGGAATACTTTACATAACTATGGGTAATTTCAGCCTGCGTCGATTTCACAATTAATGCCGGGGATTTCCAGTTATGGACGAGTCATACGTGTCAGTAAGATGTGGTACGATTAAATCAAGCTCAAAAGACAAGGTACTTACATGAGTTAATCCGTATGACTGCCATTTTTTTTTTTTTTTTTTTTTTTTTTTTTTTTTTTTTGAAGAGATCAGTCACCAATCGTTGTTTTAAACTGATAATGCAGTATCATTAGCGAACACAGAACAATAATGGACCTCCGCGTCTCATATCATTTGCCTACAGCGAAACATGATCTGATATAGATGCAAGGAATATTTGCCAATGGTTGAAGCTACAGGCTGAAATTCGCATAGATTGATAAGAATAGCTGATTGATAAAAAGCTATTCGATTGATAAGATATTCCACAATTTGTGCAATGCAACCTCTATCTTACGATGTAGTAAGCACACATCATAACACAGCGGGAAATTGTCCGGTGAATTTATCTCGGTCTCGGATTTCGGTCGTTTCGCACCAGTATCTCGGTCATTCACCTTAGCGAGTCAGTATATATTTAATTCATTTATCTCCAGCCGTCCTCATATCTGAGAACAAATCTACTCAACTCATATACTCTTTACATAATGGAACCACTCAAAGTCCTTGTTGTCGGCGGCGGCATCGCTGGCCCATCATTCGCATCCTGGCTTGCCAAAACAGGTGCAGATATTACTCTTATCGAGCGATCGCCGCATCTCAGAACGAACGGCCAACAGCTCGATGTGCGTGCTCAGGGCATACCCGTCATGAAAAAGATGGGCATCGAAGCGGCCATACGTGCCAAAACAGTTCGAGAACCGGGAACTAGGCTTATCAACACCAAAGGCCAGACAAAAGTATTATTTCCAGTGACGGAACACGGCGGTATGAAGCAAGGCCTCACCACAGAATACGAAATCATGCGTGGTGATCTTGCGAGTATCTTGATGGGTCTTACTGAGAAGAGCAAGAACGTGAAGCATCGCTTCGGTACAACCGTCACCAGTCTGACTCAAGATGACGAGAGCGATCCCAAGGGAAAGGTTCATGTGGGTTTTGACGACGGTCGAAAAGATGACTTTGATCTTGTCGTCGCAGCAGATGGGACCGGATCAAGAACACGACGGCTCATGCTCGGCCCTGATGCCCCCGATCCTCGCCATTTCCTTGGAGGGTACATCGGCTTCTTCAGCACACTCCCACAACCACATGACTCAAAGTGTTTCACCTTTTGCCATCTCCCGGGAGGGCGCTACCTCGGGACAAGAAAGGATAAGGAGGAAACGACTCGCGTTTACATGCAAGTGTCGGGCCGAAATGAGGCTCTCGATGCAGCGCACAAGTCGGGGAATCTGACAGACCTCAAGACAGCGTGGGCGAATATGTTTGCCGACGGCAAATGGGAGTCCGAACGGTTCATGACGGCATTGAAGACGTCTCCAGAAGCAGATGATTTATACTCAACACCTCGTGAAGAAGTCCGGCTCCCAGTAGGATCCTGGTCCAAGGGACGAGTCGTAGCTATCGGTGACGCAGCGCATGCCCAAACAGCAAACGGTTACGGGACAACATCGGCTCTCGTAGGCTCGTATATCCTCGCTGGCGAAATCGCAGCACATCAAAAGCAAGACCCAAGCACCGCAGTGGTTAAGGCCGTAAAGCGATACGAGGAAGTGTTTCGGCCGATGGCGACCTCTGGGCACGGCGGAGGGAACGAAAGTCGCGAAGCATTGTTCATGCCAAAGACACAATTTGGAATCTGGATGCTCCACTCGATAGCACGAGCGGTATCCTATCTCCGTCTCGATGGAGGTTTTGGGCTAGGACACGATGAGAAATGGAAGGTTCCAGAGTATTCGGCCCTGCTGGAAGCCCAGGAGTGAAGGGCGCATCAGCGGAGCATTGACTGTAATACTGCAGTTAGATATTGGATTTCAGATTTTCGCGTCTAGGATTTTACAGCAACTCACCTCATTTGCGGATGAGTTAGATATCAGGTTTTCGCTTCTCAGAATTTAAGAATGAAATTAGATCTTGACACTGAGATATCATCATCACAAGTGCAATACCGTGTGCAGTTTCGTTTCCACAACAAGGCGTCACTAGGAAAAACAGAACACAACATCCCTTTCACGCATCACACAGGTCATCATCACACACTAGACAAAGAACCTCTTCCCGGTGACATTCCCGGCGACACATCAGTATCTGTCATGCTCTCCTCGCGCTGCCGCATGAATCCATGCCTTGAGACTGAATTGCCGTCTTTTGTTGCACCCGGTAAGCTGATCGCATCATAGTCCGGATAGGAGTACGCACGTTGGCCCTCGATGACATAGTGCTCCATGTCGTGGGGGCTGCGAGATTGCCGCAGGGCGATGCTGTTTCGGTTGTTTGTGTTGCTTAGGTGGCTGAGGCCGTTGGTGGGATATGTCGTGTTGCCCGATGAAAGACCAGGGATGAATTTGCGGAAGATGGGACGAAGAAGGGCGAGACAACCTGGCCATGTTAGCTTTGAGTGCTGGGAAATGAGATTGAGACGTACTGGTAAAGACGGCAAGATGGGTTTCCACATTGGCCCAAACCATGGCAAGCGAGAACTCAAAGGGGAATTCGCGAGAGGCAGCAGTGTATTTCTGTGCTTCGGCGATTTGAAAGACCGAGGCGACTCCGACCCTGAGCGGTGTAAGTTGTCATGTTGATACAATATCTGGAAGGGGAAACATACAAGGAACCAAGACTGAAAATACCAATGACAGCAATCTTTTGTCCAAAGACCAACTTCATTCTTACGACCTCAAAGAGTGGCAGCGCAAGAATGATGAAATCCATAAGACAATGCGTCAAGTCAGTGCCGAGGTAGTACTGTCCAATATTATTGAGACACTTTCCATCGATGGACTTGTCCCAGTATGCTTGAACAGGCATGCAGTGGAAGATGGTCATAAATGTTCTCACTGTGATCCAAATTCCACTGCACACCATGAGGATGATGATTGGCACGCGTATGGATGAGAACTGAAAGAGGCGCCGGTAGAATGTCAGGATGGACATTTTGCTGAGGAAAATAGACCACGAGTAGAGGATCTCGCTTGCGAAAAGGATCTCGTGCGACTTTACGAGAATGTAATCTACCTCGGCGTCTGGTAGGTGTCCGATCTTGCGACCCATGTGGTAACATGTCGTCCCTTGAAGAATGATGTGTCAATTGAGTTTTGGGGAGGAATGACGAGTAAGAAGGAAATGATTGGGTGGCTTACAGACGATGAGAAGAATTGAATAACCAAGCGCCACAAACTAAAAACATCAAAAAAGGAATAAGTAAGTATTTAATCATTTATTTAATTAAGATATGGGACGAGACGAGGTAAATGGTGGGGTTTGTGCGTACCCAAGCAGCAATGGACAAACCATCGTCATAGCCAACACCCATTTTTGTCATGCGCCTTGCCTTGATGCGCAAAACCAAAGCGAGGGCACTCGCGGGCACGGGAATGATGATGGCGGCCCAGACATTGGGTATCCGGCTCATGGTAACCGCGGAAGAGGCAACAAGTAGGTGCTACTGCTGCTGCTGCTACGACGGGGAGGCATTTGGGGCCTCCGTGATGGAGATTGAATGGCGAGATGTGAGAATGAATGAAGTGAGACTTTGATCAAAGATGGCAAAGCAAGAGGCAGAGAAGAGAGGAAGAGGAAAAAAGAGGGGCGAGTGGAGTGAGATTTATGTCGATGGGGGACAGAACAGGATAAGACAAGTGAACAAGATATCGGCAATCAGTGGACGGTACCAACTGACTGGCGCCAAGATAGTCAGCCATTGCCACCGTTGGCCAAACGTTGACAGCAAGAAGCCAAGCCTAGACCTGGCCTGGCCTGACCTGTCCTGACCTGACCAACTGTACCGTATCACTCAACGGGACATGACAACCCGCCCAATCAGCCTGGCGTAACCCCAAAGCCACAGCCCAGTTCAAGTCAAATCCAATATTATGCCAACAAGCAAAGACAGAGAGGCTGTAGAGCTGAAAAGACACATGCGATAAGGGTTAGGTCACATCCATCCCTACATATTACGCCCAGCTACAGTACATAAGTAGGCAGTAATAATAATGCCCCCGGTTCAAAGGAACCCCCGCTCACAAAGTCGCGCACCCACCCATCACACCCTCTTCTTTATCTTCCCCAGACTTGAACTTGCACCAACCCATATCAAGGCAAGCCAAGCGGGCAGTAAAGCCCAGCCCAGCCCAGCCATGTTGGGGTCCAGTCCAGGAAAGAAAGAAATACTCACGCGACAAGGCCAAGCTTTTCTTTCTGTCCACTTGATACCAGCGCTGATCATTTGACCCGCTGCTATTGGACTGTAAAGATAAGAATCACAATCAATGTCCAGGCTGAAATATGCGGTTGATAGGCGTTGAAAACGGCTGGCCGCCCATTTCATTAATCTCACAATTAATGCCACCTTCTTATTACAGCCTAGTCACAGTTCCAGCCTGTATACAGGATTTCCTTCTTTTTGTTCTCTGGAAGGTTTTCTGTTTCTCAAAAGGATTCACACCAAATCATCCACGTCATTGCATTGCTGTGAGTGGACTTGAACAAGAGGCTTGGTCTTGGCTAGACCCCAGAATCGGGTGGTGGATTCAACGCTTTTAGGTGGCTTTTGATCTTTTACCCCAGATTTTATTCCACCACGTGAACTATGATTGAATCCACTAAATCTACTAAATCTACCGAGTCTAACCGTTGAAAAGACACAGTTTCTGAGTCTGTGGAAAAACATGAAGACTGGAGGGCTGGGATGTCAGGATGTGTTGGTCGGCAGGTCAAAGACTGTGTGGATGGATGGACGAGGTTATTTGGCAGCCTGCTGTGCTTATCACTAATCGACCTTGTACGATAATTCTGTAGTGGTGTGCACCTCGTTTCTGACAGGCAGGCTGTCGGCTGTGTAGATAATTGAGGGTTACATTGTTTGTTTAAAATTACTCATTTCAATTTCAATCAATTGACGAGATGATAAACATTAAATACGAGAACGAGTTAGTCTTGCTGGTGATGGTCACTGTCTTTTGTAGAGATAGCCCCCCAAAAATACAGTGACGACAGGTCTCCATTCCCAGCTTGGCCTACTTCATTGTCCAACTTGGAGTATTGCTATCAATTCGTCGTGATAGGCCAGTGCCACGTTGGATGTGTCTCAAATAAGCTTGTTTTCTGTGGGAGCGACAGCCTTATTGTTGATCGAGATTGCATTTCCTTCTCTTGGTGTCTACAGTTCCTGTTGATGAGTGATGGATTCTGATACAAGGCACTTGATCTCGCTTATATGACCATAACTGCGAGAAGTACATAGTATCTAGACAGAACAGCACTATGATTGGTCAACAAAGATCGGTATAGCCAAGCAACTCCACAATTCCAGAACGCGACATGAGAACATGGTGACGCATGCTTTCGCGTTGACGTGACATTCCCAACTCAGTCAACTACCGGCTAAAGTGCTTGCATATACTCATTTTATTCAACTAATAAATACTGTAAAAATGGCAGAACCTCTCACCGATTCAGATCCACCGGTGACGAATGCCATCAAAGTGGTACGGACCCTATAATCGCCATCAACTCAGGCCCAGCTAATCCCGTACACAGCTTACAGAGAGCATCATCCGTGACAAACAACTTGAAGAAATAACTCGAGCCTCAGCCAAAGAGAATGCTCCCTCAAAACATATTCCCAAAACCGCGTCCACCTCGGGAAAGAAGCGCAAGGCAGAAATGTCGCTAGATGATGAGATCGCAGCGTACAAGGTAGATCTCGACGACGTTATCTGCACAGACGATTTCGAGGACGACCCGCTTCCTAGTTGTGGTTCTATTCGCGCAAAGATGAACAAGCTCTTCGATTCGGGCGTAATGACCAAGGCAGAATTCTGCAGAGCCACAAAAACAAACTCCAATTCCCTTAACAACTTTCTCAAACAAAAGGGTCCCTACGGCGGTTCCGGTAGTTGTGTCTGGCGTACTGCATACGATTGGTTCAAGCAGCGTGAAGTCATGGGTCTCAAGATGCCTGATCCTAAGAAACGTCGCATCGCAGAGGCAGAGAAGAACGTCGCAGATGGAACGACTTCCAAGGGAGAATCATCAGCCAAGAGTCCAACGACGGGTCTTCCCGACATAAGCGGCATCCATCTCCCCGATGAGGAAGAAGATGATGTACCCGTCTATGACGACTGTGACGAAATCCGTCGCAAGATCAATGCGCACTTGAGGACCACCAATGTCACTCAAGCGCAGTTCTGCCGGGACCTATACGCCCAGTTCAAAGCACCCAAGTGCAAGGGAATCCAGTCAAAGCAGCTATCCGACTTTCGTTCGGCCAAAGGGTCGAATTGTGGTGCGACGAGCTCTGTGTATTATGCGGCATATGTGTATTTTGAGAAGCTTAGGATTGCGCAGGGAAAGCCCATGACCCAGCATCGTGCGTTGATTATGGACTTAAATCCCGGGGGTACACCGAGGGATGTCGATGATAGAGCTATTACTTGGTATATTGGAGCTGCGTAGGGGAACAGGGCTTGCGTGTCGAGAAGGGTTGGGCGTTATGGTTGTGCTTGTGTTTGTATCCGCCGATTCTCTCCGACTTTCGCTTAGTTCTGCTGGCCGGTAACTTGAACAGTCGATGTATATCATTCGCAAACTTTCCTTCTGTCTTGGGTGTTGAGTATTCCAACATTCCTTCACGTCACAATTGGATGTGGTTATGGATCCTCACTCCAGATTGATATATTTTACGATCCTATGTAGCAATAGTGTTTGAATTGACCTATCAGTTGGATCTATTTATGTTCAGAAATGTCTTTTCTCTCCATCTGCTCATGATCTGATGTAACTACGGCCGCGGGGTAAAAATGACTACCGAGCCATTTCATGACAAATCATTTATCTAGCCTGAGTATCCATGTTACAATATACACACAATGAGAGTCAAGAGATCTTCGCCTACCAACAAACGTATCATTGAGAGCGGAGCAGGACCTGCTGGCCCAAACATTGACGTGTCCGGGAAGGTTACAGGGCACCCTGGCTGCGCAACATTATGATAAAGTTGAAGCACATGCCGTTTCCTCGGCAGTTGTCATTTCTTCATCGCTTTTTCCCTCAAGCTCTATCTCAAATTCTTCAACCACGTTGAATTCGAAGTTGTTGGATAACAATGTCGACTCAGAATACTCAGCCGCTCGTAGCTGATGAGACAGTGGGCCATTCCTGATCCACTGTTATGTTCTGTATCTGACCCAACTGCAATCATAGATCCTAAATGACCGCGATTCCATATATACTGAGGTACAATGCTCTAAGAACCATTCGTATTCAGTAGTCTGTTGGTCTAACATTATTACTTCTCCCCTGTTAGGAAGCCGAATCATCAACTCAAAGCATAAGCAGCAGCATTCTCCAATATCGACAGGAAAATGGAAGAACTTATCACGGCTACAAAGATGGGAGTTAGTACAAGGCTACAAACTGTATCAATCAATGCTAATGGCGTAGAATACAATGTACCCAACGATGAGCAAGAGAATGAGAGGCTCGGTACGAGGTTCAAACGTTGATGGCGAGTTCATGGCTTATAAAAACAGACTTGCAGCATGCTCTCTTCCTTCGAACATTCGATCATAATCTTGGTTTTGCCCCACCAAATGATCCGAACGCCGACATCAAGCACGTCCTCGATGTAGGCACCGGGACGGGAATTTGGGCCTTGGACTACGCCGATGAGCATCCAGCTGCTCAGGTTCGCCGAGTTCCCTTGCTTTGTGGTTTGCTATTCTAACATGTACAGGTCATCGGTGTCGATCTGTCACCAATCCAACCCAGCTTGTAAGTACAGTTGACTATTCTCTCAGAACAATCTAACGATTTCAGTGTACCCCCGAATTTGCGATTCATTATTGACGACATCGAAGAGGAGTGGCAGTACTCTAACCTTTTTGATTACATCCATAGCCGAATGATGAATTCCAGTGTGGCAGACTGGGCAGGCTATGCTGCTAAGATCTATAAGTAAGCTCTGTTTATGAACATCAACAACACAACGATGCTGACTCTATGTAGCAATCTAGCGCCCGGTGGCTACGCCGAACTACACGAGATTGATATCTTTGTGGCATCCGATGACAACACGCTAACTAAAAGTCACAATCTCTATCGATGGGCCGAGCTCCTCCAAGAAGCATCTGACAAACTTGGTCGCCCATACTTCAACCCAAGCGGCCTGAAAGAGGTCCTTGAGAAAGCAGGCTTTGAGGATGTCCACGAGTCCAGGTTCAAATGGCCTTCTAATCAGTGGGCGAAGGATCCCAAGCATAAAGAGCTTGGATTGTGGAATAACGAGAATGCGAATTACTTCCTTGAAGGAGTAGCCATCGCACCGCTTACCAGAGCTCTGGGGTGGTCAAGGGAAGAAGTTGCGATCTTCATTGCACAGGCAAGGAAAGAGGTCAACGATACGAGGATTCATGCTTATTGGCCTATGTAAGTTGCATCCATTTTATCTAGTGTGTTCTACTGACCAAACCGTTTATCAGTATCTCAGTCTACGGACGAAAGCCCAAGACAGCTTGAGCAAGGGAACAGCAACCATTAGAAAATACGAAAATGAAACACAGTATATGTATATCGCTAGTTGATGATAAGTGATTTTCCAACACAAACATGCAGGCATTCCGTGTTTGCCCTATCGATCGTAGTTCATGTGAATTTTGAGCACAGTACTTGAACTCACTGATTTGACATCGATTCTAACAAGCAACTCGCAAAAATCCATTGTGTATCATATCACTGAGCACGGAAATGCAAAGCAAAAAGGTTCAAAGGAATCGTAACAAATGGGGTCACCCGTTATCGCACCAATGCTGGTTGATAAATGGAGCGAAGGTTGGAGGAGCCATTGGATTGTAGGGCAAAAAGGCAAAAACATACAACAGCGGGGATTCGCTGGTCGTCACCGACCCAACTACTAATCCGCCGGTTAGTGGCTTGACTATGGGAGAGCGGACGGGATCCCGTATTTTCCACTACCTTTGGTCGTATGTACTGGAAGAAGTGAAATCATTGATTATATGCTCAAGTTCCCCAGCATCAATCAGGTTTTACTCTAGGATTACGAGGACAATATTCTCACCCTGGACTACGGATAAAAAGTCGGCATTAGACTTTAGAAATCGTGTAGAACCATCAAGTACTTCTCAATTTATACGTCCATTGTTGACGTTTTGTTCAAAGGCGTGTATCATTACGGGAAGGTTCTGAATTGGATAGTTTGACATGTAATGCGTTTGATGGACGCTTCTCTATCCTGTGTGGTTTTGTCGTTCTGAAGTCAGTGCTACTGTTGTGCGACTTGTGGTGTTAATCCCAGCTTACGATTGTATGTCTTGCTGTATTGACAGCTTGAAGACCAGATAAAACCGCATCGTTAGATAATTTCCCAAATATAATTTACATACTCCCATATGTCCATTATTCAATTCTTTGAGGTTCATTTACTTGATACTGTTTCTTATGTTGATTGTCTATTTTACCGTCATGTACATACCCTACATGCCAGCTTGGTGTTGCTCACTGAATGCTCCACTGAATAGCGATCAAATGCCAAGGACAAAGACATGCCGCTCGATGCGTAAAAGCTCAGTCTTGGTCCGTCCTTTGCAGTGTTTCCATAGCGATAAGAGAATTCTTCAGTTACCAGCCTCATCTTTGAAGAAAACTCTTCCTCAGTGTCATGTCGATTCATCCAATTCGTCGCAAGTCGATTTCATTCTCGGTGCTATCCACAGTGGTCCAGCAACCGAAATTAGTGGACAAAAAAGAGTGGTTGGGCCCGAGATCAGAGTTTTCATAGCAGCCTCAGGCTCAAAGAAACAGACTCCCAGTGACCCACAGCAAACCTCTATAAAAGTCTGGTTTCCCGCCGGCCATTTGGACTTTTCTTCTTTTCTTCTTCATGTCGACAATACTTCAGAGAATCATTTCTATAGTATTCGACCTTCTCTTGGTTCCCTAAAAGAGCCACAGATCCCACCCTGGTTGATGAGTGTATATCCTCGACACCCTAGAGTGAATACCTCGGTCCTCTCGCCCTGTCCGCAAGGATGGCGGTAACTGTCTTGTGCAGCTGCTGTATAGAGAGTTTGTTTCCTCTTGATGATCTCGACCCCAGCTGTGGTCTGCCTTCGGGCGTATGGTTGGGGTGGGTGTTGATGGACGTCTGACAGGCGTGTTTCTTTTTTCTCTTTTTCATTGCTTTCTAGGGCTTGCCTTGGGGGTGAGGAAGACGATAGAGAGCTGCGGTGAATAAAGTACCACAGCTTCCGATATTTCGATGAACGTGAATGCACCCTTGACTCACTCTGAGATCTGCCATCTTACTCCGTGGCTTATTTCTATTTTTGTTCAAGGAAGAGGAATGAAGCCCAATACTCACCGCGTATACTAGCTTTAAGCTCCTGTGGATATAGCGGTCCATCATCACCGGCTACATACTTTGTTCTCGAATTGAAATCTTGTGAACTATACCTTGCAAGTGAAATCCCTTCTGGTCGAAATGACCCGATCTTGTCAACTGTCAATTTGCATGGGGTGCCTTGTCCCTCTGCAATCAATAATTTGGCAGAGTCCAAACGAACAGACAGTGAAGCGTGATACAGAGGATCACCTCCACTAGCGCCCACTGTAAATGTTCATGCCCACCCACCTAAGATTAGCGAAGTGTTGTAGCGCTCGCAGGGCCTTGCGCTACGGCGTTAATTTGACCACCCAAGCCATTGTCGCAGGTAAAATATGGCTAAATGGTGTTCAACATATTTGCACGTTCTAGGCGGGTCTTTTCAGGTACACTGTACTGCACTTGTTTGCGACAGTGCTTGTCCGTGCGTGTGAACAGGCAATCGCGAGTAACAGTGAACAACTTGCACTTGCGCATAAGTACTGCATCGCATCAATCTCTAATCCTCAACTGAACTAAATCATTCTCATCGACATTTGATTACACTCACATCAAACTTTCACTAACTCGACAGAAACAAAACCAGCAATCATGTGTCACAAGAGGGTTGAAATATGCGTGGCCTGCGGCTTTGACGCGAAGGTTAAGGCCATCAAGTGCAGGGACGCACCCGAAGACATCCACAAACGCAAGGATTTCGTGGAGGATCTCATCGAAGGGATCAGTCATTGCAAGTCTTGCGCTGATGTCATTCCTGGCGAGATTCCACATTGGGCCCGATTCTAAGACTTTCGTCTAGCAGGTCCAGAGGGTGTCTCAAGAAGGGTTCCTCTCATAGATAGAGCCAATTATTAGACTGGACAGTAGATCATGTTAATTCACTAGAGTTTTTGCATACTGGTTTCCTACAGTCATGTTTTATTGTGAACTGGCCTGACGTTTCACCGAAATTACTCATATTGTGAGAGAGATCATCGATAATACTGGGATGATCGTCAATATCTTTTGATTTAGTGTAAGGCGTGATCCTGATGGTAAATTTAGAGGTTCGATTGATAAACACAAAGACATTTTAAGCTGGAACAAAGAGAAAAGTATTGTTTACTTGATGGATGCCATCTACGGCTGAACAACTCGATTATCGCAATCGAACATTGTCTTTCTTCTTGAATACTTCTGCCGTTTCTTTGCTGATCCCAGCCCGTGCGGCTACCAACTTGTCATTGCAAGAAACAAAGAAAACAGCATGAGCGTCAGAGCAGACAATAATAGTAACAAGAGAAAATACATATATATATATATATATATATATATATATATATTTCAGAACAGCATCCGTGATACTGTGCTCTCACTATCAACTCGATACCATCTCCATATCAACTTTACAAGACAACGCAAACACCAGCAACAATGTGCACCATTCCCGACGTTACAGATACGTGTGGTTTCTGCGACTTCACAGTCGAGTACCCACTAGGACACTTCCTACCAAACGACAAAGACAGATGCAGGAACTTTTACCGAGGAGAGGATTGCGAGACCAAAGGCGTTCGAGAGGTTGAGCGTCGTAATTGGCTTTGTTACAAATGCAGCAGAGATCCCAGCAAAAACATTCTCCCACATAGGGCCTATTCGAAGAGGCGATCTATTCTTTGTGGAGGTGGACCTAAATAATGATCGACTGAGATATTTCTCAAGTAAAGATTAATTATTGTCGTCATTTCTCAACGCTGCAGAACCAATGACTGACCGACCCATAAACTGTATCTATTCATGGATAGAGTTGCCCATAAGCACTGCTAGTTCAAGTCCAATAGTGTTTTTGACATATTGAATAAACTATACTTAAGCTTATCGTCAGACGGTATCCCGCTTTGCCTGCTTCTCGGCCTTCCCCATGCATATCTCTGGTCCCTGCGGGACGATGATAGGGCTGTACCGTGTCGATGATAGGCGCCACTCGGGACCCTGAATTATCGTTTAAGTCCATCGATTGAGCTTAGTGCAACCAGTGAAACAAACGAACCATGTGGGCTAATCTAGTGCTGACTTATGCGATCCAGGTCCTCATATCAGACAAAACTGTGTAGCGGTATCATCAACCTATCAAGTCAACTTTGGTGGACAAGTTCCCTCCAATGCGTCATCTAAATCGACATGAAATGCAAAGTGAGATCCGTTCCTGATGGAACAACAGCTGTATTCAGCCCAATCGTTACTGATGAATCTGACAGGCGGTAATTGCGTTGGCCTCTGCGCCGCAAGCTAAGCACTCAGCCCTGCCCCACTACGATGGAGATGTCCGCGGACGAGTCCGTCAATGTCTGTAACTTGATCTCCGATTGGCCGTAGATGCCCTAGATTCAAGGAGTAATATTGGTATAAGAAGATGACAGAATCGCAGGAATAAGGCTCGATATCTTCAACAATAACATCTTTAATACCATTGTGCTCAGGCGCCTCTAAAGTCAACTCAACCACTCAATTACCTTACCAACATCTCTATACACCATGCCTTGCCACCCTGCTGAACCCGCCTTCGAGGTCCGCGACATTCCCAGTCTTCGTGGTTATATCGCAATCGTCACTGGCGGTAAGTCACTATTCCTCTTCTGACAACAAACAGAAACTGACTGTTCAGGAAACTCTGGAATCGGCTATGAAACCACTCTACAACTCGCCCTCAAGGGTGCCCGTGTCTACATCGCCAGTCGTTCAAACGAGCGCGTCAACAAGGCCATCGCAGAGATGCACAAGAACAGTCCTGATCTAGATCTCCACTTCCTCAAGCTAGATCTTCAAGATCTTCAAAGTATTAAGGCTACCGTCGCCGACTTTATGAGCAGAGAAAATCGCCTTGACATACTCATCAACAACGCTGGTGTAAGTTCAGTCCTATCGACGAAAGTTGCAACGCTAACATGTCTTCCAGATCATGTCTAGTCCCTGGGAATTGACCAAAGACGGACACGAGATCCAGTGGCAAACTTGTTTCCTTTCGCACCACGCCCTTACTATGTCGTTGATGCCTCTTCTCGTATCAGCCGCACAAGTCAGCGAACGAATGGACCGCGTGAGAATTATCAACGTTGCTAGTGACATGGCCCTCAGAATGGGACCAGAAGTTATTAACTACAATGATCCAAACCTCACTGATGAGACCGGAAGGCTGGCTCCATGGTATGTCGAACGCTTTCACTATTTCTACAGTCTGATTGCTAACCGTCAACAGGAAGAGATATGGCCACTGCAAGGAAGCCAGCATCATCGCTGCCAAAGCTATCACAGATCGCTACCAATCCCTCGGTGTCACAGCATACTCTATCCACCCTGGTCTTGTCAAGTCCAACCTTCAGTCCCATAACCCTACTATGCTGGGTGCCATGTCCCGCATGATGTTCAAGGTCGGGCCATCCTCTACCCCTCTCGAAGGAGCCATGAACTCGCTCTTCTGTGCCACGAGCCCCAAGGTCTATGAACACGCTGGTAGATACTACGTCCCAGTTCAGAAGCTTGACGACAGGGCAAACAAGTGGCTTGATGATGCTCAGGCTGTCAACAAGTTGTGGGACCTGGCTACAAGACAGTGCAGGGACCACGGGTTTATCATCGACGATTTGCCAGGTTATTATAATTAGTCTACATATGAAGTGACACGGGAGATTAGACAAATTGGTGAAATTTATTAGCATAAGCGACAGTATTGAACGGGAGTTTGGGTTGAGTCTTGTTGTCGAAATTCCCTGATAGTTAATATAGTTAGTCTAAAATGTTTCGACTTTCTACTCGACCCCCACGAGCTTAAGAGACTCCTCCCATAATCTGCCTTCTGCCTCTTGATTATAGATCCAAGATGCGTATCCAGGTGCAACAGATGAAACATCAACAACGCCTGTCTTCAATGGCGGTTCCTCATCGCAATCTGATAGATACATGCCACCTCGACCCTCCAAGTCTTTGCTCAACGCTGCGTACACCGTCGTCGCAGCTCCTTGCCCGATGTTCTTTAAGTAACGGCCCAGTTCTCCTTCGAAATCGAACTGACTCAGATCAATATGACGACCCAGATCAGTCATAATTGAGCCAGGATGAACAGAGAGGCCATGAACACCTTGACTTCCGTATCGTCTTTCCAGCTCGGTAGCGAAGTAGATATTTGCTGTCTTGGATTGGGCGTAGGCCAGCCAAGGTTGGTAAGGCTCCTTCTCGAAGTTAAAGTCGTCGAAGCGAACACCTCCCATGCGATGGGCCTTGGAAGAAAGAGAGACGACGCGTGACTGGAAAGATGGGGCGGAAGAGGCCACAAGAGCGTGTTTCAATAGCTGGAAGAACAGAAAATGGCCAAGGTGGTTTGTGCCGAACTGAGTTTCGAATCCATCCTCAGTTCGCCCTTCTGGAGTTGCCATCACTTCAGCATTAAGAATGAGAACATTCAGCTTCTCACTCTTATCCAAAAAGGCTTTGGCAGCAGCTCGAACAGATTTGAAAGAGTCAAGCTGTAACTCGATGCCATATACAGGAGCTGCAGACTCCGCCTCAGGCCATGATTTGATGTCGTCGATGGCCTTCTCTAGTTTTTCAGAATTTCTTGCCGTGATGTAGACGGTAGCTCCAGTCGCATGAAGAACTTTGGCAGTCTCGAGACCAATACCCGTGTTACCGCCTGTGATGAGTATGACCTTGTCGGTGAGCTTTCCTACCACATCCCCGTCTCTGACGATCTGTAGTGCTGTTGGTCGGGCATCCCCGGGTCCTTGGGGGTTGGCGTGGACTGCTGCGTATCGAGACATTTTATCTTTTGAAATGATTTGGTTTGGTATGATTTAGTTTGGTGTGCTTTAGTTCAATGTGAAAGCGTGCCTATAGTTTGAAAAGAGGAAGCGATTTATGCTTTATATTATACTAACCAGCTCAAAAGTCGTTATTAGACTTCAGAAATCGTGTAGAATTACCAGATACTTCGTACTGTCCAAGCAAGGACACGGCGTTAATCCTAACTCCGTACAAACTCTCCGGGGTTTCACTCCTAGATTCTTCAACCCACTGAAATATAGTAATTAGCTTTCTGTGAGGTTGTATTCATCATGAGTCGAGCTCCATTCTTATCTCCGAATTGGCTTACGTCCGCGCCATCTGCGTGGACGTCCAAGACCCGGTACCTGAATTTGTCATGGGCTAGAGTGCGGAGCGGAGTGGACAAAGTGGATGACGTGAGCCATTACACCCACGACAACATAAGCCACGAAGACACTCAAGATGCTTTGGATAGAGAAGCTGTGGTCTGCCATATGCATGGTGTGCACCCCAGACATGCCACTTACTTAATGCAGATAAGCCACGGTAATGAAACTATAATCTCGGCAGTCACAGAGTTGGATGTCTACGCGGTTTCAAGCTATACAAGGTTATTCAGGCTATTTGGATTACAGGAACAAGATCGGGCTCTACACCCTCAACTACAGTGCTGGAGTTTCACGGCTGCAAGACATCACACCATTGTTGATAATGCGCATATGTTGCATGAAACCAGAAGTTCCGATAATATTTATAACAGTGTGTATTTTAATTGCCATATTTCGCAAATTGAACTTCCGAAGACGCTGATGACGCGCTACCTCTTGGCATATGCTGTCTACCCTCAGGCGACTCACCCTCCGAACTCTCCCTGTCATGTATAGGATATCTTTCACTGTGAACAGTAATCTCAGTTGTCTTGATGAGATCTGTCTCATTGTTAAAGACACGATGACTGTCATCACCCTTCCCGACGCGAACTTCGTAGTCACCCGTAATCGTCCCCTGAGCACCGGTGAATTGCTTCCGCTTGTCACGATTAATGGTCTCCAAGCCTATCTCATCAGCATGCTGAGTAGCTCCGTGACTGGGCCCGTATGAACTCTCGTTTCGTCCTCTTGTAAGTTCGACGAGACGATTGAGTATGCTGAACTCGAGCTTAAGCTTGACGCTGTAGACAAGAGGTTTCCATGCGGTTTGGATGTCGAAGAGGTTTGCGAACTCAAGTGCCAGAATAGAGACGTCAAGGAGGATGACGAGGATATTGACGATGATTAAATGGTTGAGCACTATCTTTGTCTTGGTATTGCCAATGCTTTTCTCCAGCCTTAGACGTTTTGTAGTTTCCCAGACGTAAAGGCTCGAGATGATAAGCTCTTGAACAAAGAAAACGCTAAGCTGGATCTTTTCAAAGACCTCATATGGCTTCTGAAAAGGCGTTGGGTTGGAAGAGCCTACGCCATAGACCAGAATGATAACAGGAAGATGCAACCAAAGGGCATTGGCGATGATCATAATCAAGACCATCTTCAACCAACGCTGGTTATGCATCACAATGTGCAAACGCGAGTACAAGACAACAGACTGTCCAGTGATCATTGTGCACCACCCGATAAGAATGAGTGTAGAGTATAGGTACTTCTGCTCCGACAGCGACAGATGCAAGATAAGGTATCCGGTGCCATTGAACGCTATGCCCCATGTCGCAACGACAAAACTCCAAAAGTATAGACCGCTGCGCTTCTTGAAGCTGCCGAAGATGTAGGCGTTGAGCTCGAGGACATTGTAGAAGGCGATGCTGATAAAGACGGCGATTACGATTGCGACAGTGCCGCTCTTGGTATTGACTTCGGCCATGTTTGAAGATCGTGTTGCATTTTAGGGCCGGGTTATGGGAAGTGATCGACGGTACAAGGAAATGGGGTTGAAAGGAGCGACGAGATACGAGCACAGGCTGTTAAGCCTGGAAAGTGTTTGTGACCTTATGACAAAGGACCAAGTATTTGCAACGGAAAAATGCGAAAAGGGAATTCTTCGACATTGTTTGTCTTTATGTAAAGCTTTGCATACGGCACTTTCCTCTTCCCTCGACGCCTCACACCACTTCACCTCACTTCATCTCCTGGGTGGCGGTCTCACTATTGCTGTCAATTTTCCTCTGCTACTCACGCAACGGGTAGGTAGTTGAGACATCTTCTACCAGGTTCTTCGGTGCTGAAGAAAAGGAGGGGGCTACCTAATCAAACTCAAACTCTAATGATCCTGCATACAAAGAATCCCTGCATCAGACGTATTGTCCATACAAACTGCATCATGGTGTCATGACTGGGGCTTGACAGCATGCAGGAATGGAATCGCTACCGAGGCTGCGGAAAGAGGTAATTCTTAATTCTTACAAGATCTTCAGTTTCATGGATAATTGTCGCGAGTAGTTGGTAGGATCTGCAAGATCGGATACGTGTACCGAGTTCAACGTCTCGGCAACTTCCTTTTGTCAAACACAAACACTGCCAATGCCAGGCCAACGTTCTTTCAGCTTCGGTACTCGATTGGCAGGTGTCAACAACAGCCGACGCCAGGAGCCTTTCCGCGCCGCAAGCCACAACTTTTAAAGCGTTGCTAGTTTCGCCGCGGATACCAAGTTCAGTTCTTTCCCGTGGTCTTATTCTGTTGGGTATTTCGCTTGACTAATAAATGTGATGCTCCTGGGATTAAAGTTAGCAATCATGCATTCTTCAGCGCGCCGAGTCACCGTTGTCACTAGTCTAGAGGCGCAGCCAAGCTGCAGCATTCAGGAGTTGCCCTGGTTCCTTCGCGTTAGTTCACTTAGGTTGGTTCACAAAGCTGAGACAAGGATACCTTCCTCGTTTGCTCGTACCAACATCCATAATCGTCAGGTCACATCAGCTAGAAGCATTGACCTGGTTCTCGGAAGTCTTGTCTTTCGATCCGCCCGATAGTCTAGAACCCCATCAATCGTAAGTTGTTCAAGGGTAGAAACTCCGGCTTGCAAAACTCTAAATCGCGCCCTTCTCCCCATAATCTTCAAGGTGCATCCTGTTGCTAAAGAGGTGATTGATTCGGGTAATCTTGTGTCCCGTTAGCTTAAGCTTAACCTTGCAGATCTTGTACGGTCTGGGCACACAAACCGGCAGATCCCTGCACCCCTCACTTACTCCATCTTTAATGCCTCAATAGAAGACTTGAGTAAGAGACGAAATCAATTCGTCAATTCACTAGGGTTTAGGCCAAGACATAGCCTGTTTTTTTTTCTGCGGCCCAAACCTCGGAACAAAGCTTTTGGATGATGCCCGGTTGCTTCCCCATGCCCTGCCCAGTTGTGATCCCTGACACAGCGGAGATGATCAATCGTGGATAAAGTTCTTCCAAGGCACATATTTAGTACAGCCTGACCATCCTCCTTCGTTCTGCAGCTTGGCTCCCACACCACTCAGTTTCACTTCTACCTCATTCGCCATGCCTTCCACCATTGCTGCCCTTGTTGTCGGGATTTGTGGCGTTGCCGCTGCCAAACTTCCCTCCACGGCTCAGGTCATTGATCAGAAGTCTTTCAATGTTTTGAAGGATGTCCCACCACCTTCCGTGGCTAATGACACACTGGTAAGCCCTCCGTTCCTGATGTTCTAGAAAGTTGCTGATCTATCTCAGGTCTTTACATGGCCCGGAGTGACAGAGGAATCTCTCGTCGAGAAACCCTTCCATGTTTATGATGATGAATTCCTCGATGTCATCGGAAAGGATCCCTCTCTGACACTTGTTGCTACGTCAGAAAGCGACCCCATCTTCCACGAGGCTGTAGTCTGGTACCCACCTACAGACGAGGTTTTTTTCGTGCAAAATGCGGGTGCTCCTGCGGCAGGCACTGGCCTGAACAAGTCTTCCATCATCCAGAAGATTTCTCTCAAAGATGCAGAGGCTTTGCGCAAGGGAACCCTAGGCAAGGATGAAGTGAAGGTGACAGTCGTTGACACAGCTAACCCTCAAGTCATTAACCCCAATGGTATGTCTGTTCAAGGGTGCCTTGGTTCGCTGAATAAATACTAATTAAATGGATTTCAGGTGGCATTTACTACAAGGGCGAAATCATCTTTGCTGGTGAAGGCCAAGGTGACGAAGTTCCCTCGGCCCTTTACCGCATGAACCCCTTGCCTCCATACAACACAAGCAGTAAGATTGACTACTTCCAAGCAAGAGAGACTTTGCTAATCGTCATCAGCCCTCCTCAACAACTACTTTGGCCGCCAGTTCAACTCCTTGAACGACGTTGGCATCAACCCCAGGAATGGTGACTTGTACTTCACCGACACTCTCTACGGCTATCTCCAAGACTTCCGTCCTGTCCCTGGTCTGCGAAACCAAGTGTACCGATACAACTTCGACACTGGTGCTGTAACTGTTGTCGCTGATGACTTTACTCTTCCCAACGGTAAGCTATTTTCCGGGTATGATGTTCTCTGATGCTGATTCATGTCAGGTATTGGTTTTGCTCCTGATGGAAAGCGTGTCTATGTCACCGACACTGGCATCGCTCTTGGCTTCTACGGCCGTAACCTTTCCTCCCCCGCCTCTGTTTACTCTTTCGACGTGAACAAGGATGGTACCCTTGAGAACCGCAAGACTTTTGCCTACGTAGCTTCTTTCATCCCAGACGGTAAGTCTCAGTTGTCTCCCTGTTATGTGTTCTTGGGCTAATATTTCTAGGTGTTCATACCGATTCCAAGGGTCGTGTCTATGCTGGTTGTGGTGACGGTGTCCATGTCTGGAACCCCTCTGGCAAGCTCATTGGCAAGATCTATACCGGGATCACTGCTGCCAACTTCCAATTTGCTGGAAAAGGAAGATTGATTATCACTGGTCAGACTAAGCTGTTCTACGTTACCCTGGCTGCTTCAGGACCCAAGTTATATGACTAGAACTCCCCTGTGGCAGTATAGAAACAGATATTTTACCGTATTGATAGAAGATAATATTAATTATTAATCGATACTTGATTCCATAACGCCTGTCGTGCCGTATCCCACCGTTCACGGCAACTCCTGTCTAGCGGGAGTCCCATCAAGCTCAACCGGGGTATATTGGGGAGGAGGCGACAAAGGTGTTCCCCCTAACTCGCCTGGTGGCTTTATCTCTTGCGAATCCAACTGAGATGATTCTAACCCAGACTTCGGTGACCTTCCTCTCCTCCGCCAGAGGTAGAACGCTGCACCGATAATCCCGAGTCCGATGACGCCAACTCCAACGCCAATACCAGCTTGGGCCCCCGTTGACAAACCTCCTCCAGAGTCTGACTTGATATGAGATGCAGGGGTTTCTGTCCATGTCGACGTCGATGTTGTCGATACTGGCTCGAGTCGCTTCAGCCCAGCCAGCTGAAACATAGGTGCATGCACAGTAATGTTTTCCGTTACAGTAGAACGAGTCTCTATGGTGAATCGTGTCGGCGCCGTCACGCTCCTGAGAATAGTACTGCCCGAATCGCAAGAGATTACACTCAAAAGGCCCGCAGAAAAAAAATACTCCTACATGTTTGTGCTTCTCCATACTTGGCACATTCGTAATGACTGCGTTAACGTCAGTTTCTAGTCAGTTTTGGAAGATTCACCAAGTATAGTTACGATGGACAGCATCCTCTGACAAACTCATCGTCATTGACCTCGAACTGGAACTCGAAATCGCTTTTTGTCGTCCCTTCAGCTGTGCATGCGACCGTGAAGCCTTCGGGGCATTTGGTGGCAGGTTTGTAAATACCCCAACCGCTGACGGGGGGAATAAAGCCATTCGGCGGCGTTGCTGGAGGCCAGCATTTGAAATTTTCACGGTCGTTGATCTCGTAGTGTTAGTCTCAGGGTAGTGGTGTATGCAGACTGGCTCACCGTAGTGGGAAAAGCAGTATTGCACTTCTGAGCTTGCGATGCCACAGTGCAAGTAGAGCAGTCTGGCAAATATAACAAGCTACCGCATGCGGTAGGGTATGCCCACGACTCTGTCAGTGGGCCTAAGATTGTTCGGTTATCCGGCATTTCGATTCTACTCTGACAAAGGTGCTTATAACGATGCCAAGACGAGAGTGTTTCTGTACATTCGAGATGATCTAATGATTGCAATGAAGTCTCGAACAGAGTCAAAAACAAAAAGAAGAGGGGTAGCGTGAAGAATACATCAAGGAACGGGTATTTGATATCTGTTTTCTCTTGGCCCCCAATCTGTCTCATCACTGCGACCTTTTGCGAGCCTGTCAAATACCAATGAACGCTTTTGGTCCCATCACATTGCATATCAATTAAGCATGACAACAAGTTCGGAGATCTCCTGATTAGGAGATGAGCGACATCCCAGCCATGAACACGAGTTGTTGATTGGACGAGCCACCTCAGATTTGGATACGACAGCTGAAAGAAAGCAATCAACCGGAAGCAATGAACAAAGGGTTACAGGGGCTGGAATATATAGTTGCTGGTTAACGCCTGAGGCGTAGTTACATGTGTATGAGGTCATGACTACAAGCATTAAAAACTGTTCAACGGAATATTACAGAGCCGAGTCGGGACAATTAAGCAAGATCATAGCTTCGTGAACCCTAGAACCTTTGGTGTAGTAAACTTGAGTATTATTCGTTTTTCTTCCGTTTTTGCAAAGTCATTAGTGATGACTTGTCTCATCTTCATGGTTCACGGAAGATTCTTTCATCCAGGTCTTGAATCAATCTCAACCTCAATCTCAATCTCATCGAATGGATTCCTTTGTATATTTCTTTCATTGTCTCCCGCCACGTTGAAGTCAATGTCCTGCTTTGATCAGCCACAGTTGAACGTATGGAGTCCATTTCGGATAAACCGCTATCCTGATTGAGCATTCTACCACGATGTTCCCCACGTTCGGCTTCCTTGCACGCTTTAGAGAATAGCGTAATGTAGCCGAAAATCCGCCATTGGCTCAGGACAATAAAATGAGGTAATGAATTTGGCTTGATGGGCTCGGAAATAGCAAAAAATCCGGCACTATGGATCTTGACGACTCGCAAGATTGGACAAAGATGAAGTCACTCGAAAAATTGGCTCCATATTCTTCTTGGCTGCTTCCAACTTGGACTTGGCATCATCAAACAGAAACTCTTTTGATCTTCAGCCAAGAGATCTAGCCAAGACCGTCATGTTTACAGAACCGAAGCCTCTAATGGCCGACAAAGCAGCTGATGATCCCTCGCTAGGTTCGTTGCACCCAGAACTGACATCAAGAACACACTGACCAACCATAGGTCAACCCACTGTTGTGCAATGGTCAGGCCCAAATGATCCCGAGAACCCATACAACTGGTCCGTCAAAAAGAAATGGTTCGCAGTAGGCCTGGGCCTCTTTGCAACGTTCATATCAATGATGAACGGCACAATCATCACGACAGCCCACGAAGCCATCGGTGCAGACTTCAATGTGAGCGATGAGAACTTTCCACATTCCTATTGGCCCGTTGCATCTTGGGGTCTGGGAGGCGCCATTTTCTCTCTGGTACTGCTCCCAATCATGGAGGATTTTGGCATGAGGATCGTGTTTCTCTTGGTTTATACCGTGTTCCTATGCTTTCTGATACCGGTTGGAGTGGCGCCGAACTATGAGACTCTTATCATCACGAGATTCTTCAGTGGTGGGTGCTGCACTATTCTCGCAAATGCCGTGGCCGGGATTATAGGGAATGTCTTTGCCACTGATAGGGCGCGGACGATACCTACAGGGCTATATATCATGATTTATCTGAACTCGAGCAGCCTTGGACCTGTCGTGGGAGCTGCCATTTTCCAATTCCTGCCTTGGCGATGGATTGGATACATCGAACTTATCTGGACAGGAGTTTTCTTTCCTATCTTTATTCTGGCTATGCCTGAGACGAGAGGATCTGCAATTTTGACTGCGCGAGCAAAGAAGCTTCGCAAACAAGGACAAAACGCATACAGTCAGAAAGAACTCGACTCCAAGTCCATTATGCACGACATATGGATTAGTATTCAAAGACCTTTATATATGCTCTGCACCGAAAGCGTAGTCTTCATCAGCACGATCTGGACAGCTTTCAGTCTCGGTGTCATCTATGTGTTCACCCAATCTGTCGAACAAGTCTTCAGCGAACTCTACGGATGGAACGCCGTAGAGGCAGGTTATGTACAGGCCTCTATCGTTATTGGCGAGATTCTCGGCTTCGGACTTTGTGTCTTGACGAATAATTGGTATTACGCTTCAGCATCGCGCAACAAAGAAGAACCCGGCACGCCTATACCCGAAGCTCGACTTTACGTCGCTGTCGTTGGAGGTTTCATTGGAGTGACTGGAGGCATGTTCGTGTACGCTTGGACGAGCTTTTCATGGGTGACCTGGGTGGGCCCTGCATTTGGCTTGATGCTTGTTGGGCTTGGAACGGAAGCTGTTGTCGTTAGTATCGCGAATTATTTGATCGATGCTTATAGCAACTATGCTGGAAGTGCAATTGGGGCTACTGTACTGGGAGAGAATCTCGGTGTTGCTTTTCTTCCGCTTGCTTCGAGTAGCATGTATACCAACTTAGGTTTCCATTGGGCTAGTTCCCTTCTGGGATTCATCTCGTTGGTTTTGGCAGCAGCACCAATTGCTGTCTTTATCTGGGGCAAGGAGATCAGGGCTCGAAGTCCATTTATGAAGTCGGCTATGTCAAAGCCCCTAGAGTTTGCCATGGCACCATCAGAATAGATAATGTGTTGCGCGTCGATAGGACCACAGCAACAGACTAGTAATATTCTTCTTACAACAACAAATATATTGATATATCTCAATCAAACTTTTCAGACAAGTATCAATTTTACAATCTTAATTTGATCAGTGACTCTCCATCTAAGCAAGACTCTTTGCAACAACAAAGCTGACATCATCCGCAAAACTCTTATCAGCATCAAAAGTGTGAACACCACCATTAGATGCAGCATAACCCTTGTTATCGTAGTGTCGAAAGTATCGAGTTGGGTAACTCCAAGATCGGATTGAATTTCCCTGGTTATTCATACCCTTCTGAGGACAAAACGTAGCGTCTTCGTTAAAGGCTTTGCTTCCGTCGTTCTTGTTAAGCACGAGAGCGAACGAGTAATGTCTGATGTAACTTCCAGGTGTATCAACAGACTCAAACGATACACAGCCACTATTGGCAAGACCGGTACGGACAGTCCAGCTGGCTTGCTTCTTGAGCGCGGTGGTGCTAGAGGAATCGACAATCTGTGTATTGACGTCCGAGTCGGTATGCGCGAGGTAGCGGTTTGTATACCCTGATGTCGTAACCTTCAATGATACAGATGACCCGACTGAGAGAGCAGTGCCACTTGTCAGTGACGTCGTAGCATATTTGGCAGCCACGATATCAGCCTGTACAGCATTCTCAGTGGCATCGGAAGGATATCCAGAAGTCATAACGCCTTCGTAAAAGGTACCTTGAGCACCAACACTATTGTCACCTCCAATGCCCAATATGATGGCGCCTTCCTTCTTCATCGGGCTGTATCCTCCGTCGGGATATGCGCCGCTGTAGAATGTTGACAGAGAGCCAGAAGCAGCATTTCCACCCCGGATGGACCAGGTACCAGGCTTGCCCTTCACAATCGCACTGAGGAATCTGTGACTGACGGAAGGATCTGCAGCATTGTTCTTTGGGTTCTTGCCAGAAAATAGGCCATTCTCAAGATCTGCCATGATCCACGGTCCGCTACCAGCACCAGAACCCCAGACAGTGTTGTCGCCAAAGTAGATGGCTTCCATGTGACCATTGCCTGTGTCTTTGCTGTTGGTCTCGGCATTACCATAGTCGAAGCAACAGCCCCCATTGTAGTGTGTACCATCGAGAACAGCGTACATGCCTTCTGGCTGATCACCTGTAGCGGAACCGCTGACATGATTGTTGCGGTAGCCAGTTCCAGGAGATATGAAAACGCCATAGGCTTTCTTCCCATTGAGAGTCACTGGTGCACCATCGGCACTCGCCAAGTTGTCGTACCCGTTTGCCTCCGGACCCTGGAATCCACCAGGTGGTGCTTGGGTCAAGTGATTACTTCGACCAGATTGGTCATAGATGATGGTGATGAGGCATGTTGTACCACTGCAGAATGTGTCTTGTGCAGAGGCATCAGCGACTCCACCCTTTGCTAGAGGTTTGATGTCTGTAGTTGACCCATCAGATGCACGCTTGATCTGGTAAAGTCCACCATTATAGTTGGTGTACAGGGCTCGAGTGGTGCTGTGTGCAGCGATGCAGGGCGTGCCGCCGCTGTTATAGATGTCACATGGCCCAGCAATGGCAAGTCGTGCTGTGGTGACGAGACCGAGAGCCAGAATGCTTTGAAACTGCATTATGGCATGAGAAGTCTGTTGGATTTGAGAACACAATGTAAGTGACTTTGAGAAGTATTTGCTCTGGTACAGTGGCGTGATGGCAAGGTGAGTTTTGTTGGATAAGGTATGACCTGAATAAAGAGTTATTATATAGAGAACTCCGGAGTAATCAACCAACCGACCGATCCTGATGTCGTCTCGTATCAATTCTCTGTAGTACAACCACCTTCCAATTGTGAAATAGGACGATCCACGTGAGCCTTTTCAGAGACGACATCACAGCCCATCTTCAACAACGATGCCGAGCGATACGATTAACGAACCTCATTTGGTCGCTTCTTTCACTTCGTGGGGAATATCGATCGGGGTCCGGGGGATCGTCCAAAAAAGGATCATGGCTCGGGCCTTGATGCAACCCCACAACGGCAAGGAAGTGCCGAGTCTGATGCGACCGAACCAGAGCTCAAGAGTGACCAGACGAGCTAGTCAAAAGGCCAATCAACGTGTTTTGCTTTGGACTATTTGGGAATGTTTCGGAACGAACTACATTGTTGCTTGTTATGAAAAGACGTCTTACTGGGTAACGACTAATACGAAGATCAGTGTTTCTAGCCGAAAGGAACCGCAGCTTTGTCTATGGGCATCCGAAAGCTTGACCTTCTAGTAACCAGCAGAAACGATGACCAAAACATGCCGGATACAAAATGAATGACGTGAGTATAGTCTAGACAGCATGGTGTAACTGAATGGTTTCGTCTATTATAATTCGACCGGCTGATCGTCTGATGTCATGAGGACACTGGACATTATCAGTGCAAAAGACGAATAGCCTGAGGATTGACAGTCTCAAATCACATAAACGAAACCAAGAATTCCGCTCATGACCCGCGTTTCTCAACATGTCAACAGTGCAGCTGTATCGTTGAGTTCGAGTATCTCGATGTTACTGTTTGTTCATACACACACATTCACCCTTGCGCAATCTTTCAGGGAGCATCGTTAGTTCTGTTCAGTCTTTATTTCCGTAAACTTGTATGCTTCAAACGTTCGCCATAAATTTCAAGTTCTTCCTAATCTTATGGCCCCCAGAGCCTGTGAGTATATATTCCAACCTTCACTTGTTTAACCCTTGAAAATGAACCAATATAAAGCATTCTCCACAGCGAAATCAATCGGTCTTGTCCCAAAATTCCCCAATGAAATCCTGTACATCTTTCCAAAGAGCATCAGGCTCCTCAAGTGCAGGGAAGTGTCCACCAGTGTCATGCATACGATACCATTTGATCTGCTCAGTTTGCTGGATCCACCTCTCAGGAGCGGTGACAAGGTCCTTCTTGAAACAAGAGTAGCCCAAGGGCGCTTTGGTGTTCTTCCAGCCAGCCATGAGAAGCTCTGGATTCTCAAAGGCCATGCGATGGACGTAAATCGAGGTTGGGTAGCTGCGAGTGAACCAGTATAGCGCCACGTTTGTCAAGATCAAATCTCGGTCGGGAGCTCTGTCAGACCATTGAATCATCTTGTCTCCGACCCAGGCAAGAAGTGCGACAGGATTGGTTCCGACAAGATACCCTGCTGAAGCTGGCCTCGTGCCGTCTAGCTGGATGAAAGCAGTGCCTGTTTTGCTAAACTCAGCGAGCCGACCAAAAGCTGCTACTTCATCGGGACTATAAAGTCCTTCTTTGATACCAGCTTCGACATCCTCTCCAGCTGGAGGCATAATGTTCAGCATGTTCATGTGAACGAGCTTGCAAGCTGGGTCAATGTTGGCAACGACAGGCGCTGTCCAGCCGCCGAAGTCACCGCCTTGTGCAACATAACCGGTCTTGTCAAAGCCCAAAGAGTGCATCATCTTGGACATGAGGCGCGCATTATCGGAATGTGCGAACTCTTTGTCAAGAGGCGGTGCGTCTGAGAAGGGATATCCAATATGGTGAGGGACGATAATGTGATAAGGTAGAGTTTCGGGGTCATAATCGCTTTGGAGTTTTTGAAGAATGGGAAGGTATTCGACAACGGAACCTGGCCAGCCGTGCAGGAACAGGATGGGAACTGCAGATGGGCTTTTGGAGAACAAGGCAAAGAAGTTGATATTGTAGGATTTTGAGTCATCGTCGACGACAGTAATATTATACTGCGGTACGGAGTTCAATGTTACCTCCCATTTTCTCCTAGAGGCTATCAATTAGTATAAAAATCCAGTTGGTTGATATGAGGTGCAGGCTTACCAGTCATAATCTTTCTCCCAATGATTCACCAAGTCCAAAAGTTCATTTCGTGGGATTCCAAAGGAACCATCATCGCCGCTGTTCCATACATTGGGTTCAGGTACAGGTGATAGCTTGAGAAGCGTCTTGAGTCGGTCAATCTCACTGTCGGGAATGTAAATAGTGGAGGCTGTCAGATTTGCTGACGCGGGGACAGAGTGAGGAAGGGCGCTAAAGGCAAGAGTGCTCATGCTGAATAGCCCGACGTGAACGTGATAATAGTATTGTAGATGGCAATTAAGAGTGTTAAATGGAATAGAAGGGGAGAGCTGGTGATTCCTCTTGCGAATTCCAAATCTTTGGGTGACTCTTTATAGGGATTGCTTTGTCCAATGTGCCGGCGTCATAGTTGAATACTTGTCTGTCAGATTTTCTAGAATGTTCGCGAAACCACTTTTCTTCTAGAGGATTCTATACTCAATATGAGATATTTCCCGAAGAGGGCATTTGGAGCGACAAGTTAATTATGTTTGTATCTCGCGTTTGACAACATTCGTACTTTAACGTCCTTCGCAAATAACCCCACCAGCGGATAAAATTACAAACAGAAAACAAGGAAAACTGCTATCAACAATAATTTAAACTCTGGTCTGACTGTTCCTGCTGCAGAATCCGTCGTCGAAGCTGTTGTTGTCTCAGTAGCGGTCGTCATGGTTGAAGCGTCGCCAGAAGTCGGCTCTGCAGCATCTCCAATGGGTGTCTTGAGGAGGGTCATGCTTCCATCATACGTCCCTGGAAAATTACACGCAATAAACCGAGTTGATGATGATTTGTCGTTGTAGTCAAAGATTTTGTGCGTCAGACACGTCCCCATACTAAGGAGTGGATGTTAGTCTTTATTGCAGCTTGCTGTAAACAACTTACCAAGACACTGTGGAACTACGGGCGAATGCAGTTGCGCCGACACAGCGAGTGAAAATCAGATCGCCGCAGCCAGCCCAGATGCCGCTCAGAGCGAATTGACCGTCAACACAAGCGGCAGTGTCTACCGAAGTGTTAGTATTATATACAGCCATCACATTTCTACGATAGTTCATACAAAAGCCATCCTTTCCTTCAATCTTGCCGTATCCTATTGACCACCGACCCTGAGGGAATGAAGTGCTGACAATTGTGTGAAAAGATGTGACGGCACGATCTTCAAGGCTGGGAGGTTCTGTTATTAATGGGTAGGCGGTTGTTTGTGTTGGAGTCGCAGTCACGTGCGACACTTCAAGTAGAAGGAACGCCAGTAATGTTTGCAGCAGCATTGTTGTTTGTACGTACGCACCGAAGGGATTGTTCTGCTAAACGGATAGGAAAACTGTCCATATTTATGCACAAGTATTTTTCGTGGCTTGAGCCAGATCAGGGTCCAAAGTCTTGGCTGGCTTGAGAGAGAAGACATGATTGGCCTATAATTTTCAGCTGAGGTTGGTCTAAGACGTGGCAACAGACTTTCCAGCAAAGCAATCAGGGGTAACTTCTCAAGAGTTCAACATAGAACATCAACTGGGCAGAACGGTATGTAAAGGCAACATTTAATTCTAGATGTAACGGTTTGGCATCCGACCATTCGACTCTGCATCTTCATTGAGCGGAAAAATCTGCATTTTTTCTCCATGGGAGACGAAGACTGATATGAGGGACTGCAGGGATTGCTGCAAGGGTACCCAGTTTAAGAGTTCAGCTGCATGCGCCACCACTGTTCTGGAGCGTCCTCGTCATTTTATTGCAGATCTTGTAGGCTTCACAAGTAGTTCCCTGTACAGGGATAGGGAACGAGACATTAAAGTGGCGATAAAAAAATACGATTATACGCTATATGCCATTCTAGAAAAGTACCATAGTGACGGATACAACAGCCATGAATGTCAAAATGGAACCGGAAACCATCTTGCCCACACTGCCATCACTCTCCCCGTATCCAATGTTTGACGGATTACTCTCGAACCCAACAGTGCGCTCCCATGAGGGCGTACTCTCATTGAGACTCAGAGCATCAGAATGGTACTCGTCCACAACTCCAGCGAAACGGACTGAAACATAACCAATAACTTCGGGGCTGCCACCCACAGGTTGACCAGTCATATTGGATTGTCGATATGGCTTCGCGTAGAAAGTACCATCCAGTGTCAGATTGGCTGTCTTGTCGTCAAACTGCACGCTCACTTCAGGGTACTTGTAGTCGTCCCAATCCTCTGCAAAATACGACCTAAATCTGGTCATATGGAATCTATAGTCATTGGTCCATTCAGTGGAATTGCATGTTGGCATGGTGACATTGCTCCAAGCTGATGCGCTTCCGCCATTTGCAGTATTCAACATTGTTGCCGTCAGATTGTAAGCTTTACTTGAAACCTGAGTGGTTGTGAAGTTGAATTCGTCGGGGAAAACATTGTTACGTGGACGCCAGTAACCACCTGGGGTCGGGCTGGATACAAGTTAGCCCAAAAACAATCGATAGTGTCGAGGATATAAAAAGACTTACTCGGCCGAATAGATGGGGATTGAAAGATTGTCCTTTTCATACATAAAGTTCTGGGGCAAGGAAGACACATTGAATGGCGACGAAGTTTGTGGCATGAGTGTCAACCAGAATATGACCGAATTGTTGCCACCGTTCCAGGTGCCACGCTCAAGAACACTGAGAATAGCGTCATACTTGAAAGTGCTTGTAAAGTTTCTGAGCTCTGGGCATACTTCGTCGGAAGGGGTGAGGTATTGATAAGCAAACTCAACATCAACTTCTGCAGTGGCATTGTAGTATCTATTAACGTCAGCCAAGTTTCCGATGCTATCTAAGGATGTGGGACCCACGATCCGACCCAGGTGTAAAAGTCACCCAGGCCTGTCACATTGCTTGGACGAAAGTTAGTAGCAGGATCATATTTCTCATCCTCCTCAGCTAGACCCAGTGCCAAAAGACAGCATAGGATTGCATGCAGGGCTAGACGTTTGACAGCCAACATTGTATTGTTTGTGGCTTGTAAGGCTGAAGCAGCTAGTAAAAAGTTACCTGAGAAGGAAAGTGGAATTACACTACTTTTATGTACGTTCCCAAGGCACAGCACAATTTAATCTCGCTAACGGGCCTTCTAGTTCTGTCCGTTCTTACTGTTTTATCGGTGTGGGGGTTTCTGTAGTGCTATAATAGGGGTCTATGTCACTATTGGTCTGCTGATGGCTGAAGGATCAAGCTCCGCCGACACATTGGGGCCGATAACCGACTTGGCTGCTTGGCTTTCAAGGCCCGAGAGCAAATGATGTTTTGAGAAACTGTCACTTTTCGATAACAAGAGCGTTTATCGTCATTAGACTCAAGACACAACTTGCATTAATAGAAGTTTCACCTCTTGATGTGCTGGTCAGTATCTATTTAGCTCTTTGTTGCTTTTGAGACAATGTCTTCGCAAATGCTGTGCCTCAGTTAATTACAGCGTGCGCTACTAATAAGTGTAGTGACTCTTGGCGAAACAAGTGCTGTAAGAGTTATTCATCACCCCGGCTGTGACCATCTAAACCTCTTTCAGCTGATCTAACACGCATCCCAAGAGTATCGCTTGTGGATTTGCACGAGACAGTACCACGACGATAACACTGGCCTTTGCTCAAGCAAATGACACAACGGCTATTCGTACTGAATAATTCCGGTCGCGAAATGGAACATTGAATATGTGACTACTCATCGAATGTTGAGAAAATATGAATGGATTCTATTATCCAAACTTGACATTCTTAAATTTAACCTCCCCCCGGTCTGTTTGGTTAGTCTCAGTACTTGCTCTTCAACTTGTAGTCCCTGTCCCTCCATATAGCCGTCGAGATACAGTTCACCAACAAACGTAAAGTCTTCTCCCGTCTTTCTGATAACATATAAAACTCCGCTGCCATGAATAATCGAAGCGTGGTCGCCCACCTGTGCACCAGAGGGACCTATGCCGATATGCCCCGTAGAAGTGATGATGAAACATCTGTGAAAGCAAAATGTTCCTGCCAAGACCCTATACTCTTGAGCGTTCCCGCCTAATGCAAGATTTCGTAGATGGGCCACGGCTTCTGCGTTCTGGCTCCCAGCCAAGTCGGCCTTGTCAAGAAGACGCAGCATGTAGGTTAACCCATCCTTGAAGCTTTGTTCCCACGTTCGCCCAGTGAGTCCGTGTTGATCGGTGGTGGTGACCTCCATTAAACATGCAGCTAAACACTCAAAGCCTCCCACGTCGGTTGGCTTCAAGACCGAAAACGCCAAATCCCATATCGATCCAAGTTTGGAGTCAAGGGAAGACCCGGAATCTTCTTTGGTCTGTTCATTGTTGCTAAAAGAGACCTTGCGCACAATATCTCCAACTATCGCGCCTCCGACAGCCAGGGCTGGGCCGCCTTCGTTATCAAAGAGTTTCAGTCGTTGGTTGAGGGATGCAGCGTATTGTCTAGGGAACCCAAACATCACAGACTCATCGTAAATCGTATAACGTATCCAGGAAAGACTTGTCCAAATATCACTATTGGATACCAGATAGTCACTCCAGTCAGTGGCCCATGATGGCAGCTTTGTGAGGTCATGTAATCCCTGTTTCCTCGAAAGACTACCAGCGGTACCACGCGCACGGGTCAAGATAGCCAGGGAACCGTTGCGTTCTGACAAGAATCGAGCAACTTTCTGATATACTTCTTCAGTCTCTAGACTGTAGTCTGGGCGCAGAGATTCTGGAACCTTGGCCGAATTCTCACATTCTGCCGCTATGCCAAGCAGCGCATAGACTTTATCCCTTTGATTAGTGGCGTGAAACTTGATTTGTGTACAAGATAGCAATGCATTTAGAGGCCATAGACTCTGAGATCGCCGGATATTGTTAATTGTGTTGACATTGAGAAAGTTTTTCGAAAGTTGAGACAACCTGAGGTATCCATTCCTTCTCAACCAGCCAGCTACCCATTCAGGACGGTGTCATGTATCCTTTATCCAGAATTTTCAGCCTCGGCCTTGGATGTACTTGAGAAAGGTTTTCCTAAAGCTGGGGACATTTAGCTCACTTGGTTCAACCTTGCTGTACACTCTGGCAAAAATGGACCTGGGGTCTCTCATAAGAGCCATGTTACAAGCGAATTCTTACCTTGACGTTGATAGTGGGGATCCAGGCTCACCTGTTCGGAAAGCGTTATTCAAGAGACACTACGATGCACTTATTGGTCTTCTATCTCCAACAGTTTCTAATAGTGCCGAAAGTATCGACATATATTGTCCGACTCAACCCGAAATTGACCAACTGATTCGAGCTTACCTCCTTGCCGGTAACCGAATGCATGGTTCATCCATACTGGAATTCTTTTTCCAGTGGGGTGACGAGATAAACGTCTTGACCCTGCTTCGATCAGGGAGATTCAGAATGGATGGTAATATTTTAACGGCAATGCGTTGCAGCCCATTGTCCGCGGCCGTTGAACGGGGTATGCAGGCCTTGTCCGGTTCCTTCTACGCCAGGAGGATCTAGACGTCAATCTTCGAGACGAGGATAAGGGACTGTCTCCATTCTGCAGAGCTGCCAGAAACGGGCGGCTTGGGATTGTGCAACGTTTCGTGCAAAACGCGAGAACAGATGTCAACCTAGGATGCAAAGAATTCGCAAAGTCACTATTGTCCTATGCAGCAGAGGGGGGATTTTTAAATGTGGTCCAGCTGCTTCTATGTCAACCTGATGTGGAGGTTAACATGCTCGACAAAGATGAGCGGTAGCCAATGTTTCATGCTGCAAGGAAAGGACATGGTGACATTGTGCAACTTCTCCTGCGCACTCCTGGCAATGATCCAATCGCGGAGGATAAACATGGTTACACGGCCCTTGCCTATGCCACTCTACATGGGTATGAAGATGTTGTGAGAATACTCCTTGAATACGACCACGTTCAAGATGATTCCAAAGCCGGAGATCCTGGTAAAACGCCTCTTTCGATTGCCTACCAGTTCGGACACCACTCCATCGCGCAACTTCTTCGTACATATCCGATGACAAATATCGTGGATATAGTTACAGGCAGTCGAGAAGCAGACAATGATGCAAATGCACATAATGTGACGAGTTTATGGTGGTCTGCATTTAGAGGCAATCATTTGCTGGTGAGGGAATTGCTTCGCCATAGAGTCGTTGAGCTCAACTTTCGAGATGCAAATGACGGCCGCACGGCGCTATGGTGTGCTGCAGCAGAGGGACACGAAGCGGTAGTAGAACCTCTTCTTCGAGAGCAAGGTATTGACCTGGAGTCTAAAAATACTGAAGACGGCCAAACAGCACTTTGCGTAGCTGCCAGGTTCGGACATAGGGGGGTTAGTAAAATTGATGTTAGAAAGCAGGAGGGTTGTTTTAGGCTCTCAAGACCTTCAGGGACAGACAGCGTGGATGTGGGCTGTTAGAAGAGAGGATAATTTGATGGTGGCAATGTTGGAAAATAAATAGTGAAAAATAAAGGGTCGTAAAGCCTGGTTTACTATTTACATTCATCAGCTACTTAATATCATATTAGTCCATAGTATTGAACAATAGTGACATTATGCTGAGACCGATATATCTTTACAAATTGGGACGGACTTCAAGACCCGTCACTTTCCAGCGGTCAATACTCTGAGCCCTGTTGATGTCTTGTAGGGTCGAATGGGAAAGAGATCTTTGATATCCCTGTTGTGCGACAACAGAGACGGCAAGCAACTCCATTCCGACGGGAAGCTGGGGGTCAGGCGGTCAATACCGATTTTCATGTTAACTACAAAGCCAATATCCAGACTAGAAAGGGATACAGAATTGCATGCATCAATTATACCTAGTGTAGAGACTGGAGACGTGGCCCGTTCCAAGAATATCGCAATAAAATAGTCGCAACAGCTGGAGGTTAGTGAGTAAGAATGATTAATGTCAAAATGCTAAAATGATAACCACGTGGCCATCTATCAAAGACATCATGATTATCAGTCTTCCACAGGTCAAAGATAGGCGTCTGGGGGAGGCGTTTACCTGACTCGCGATTGGAATTCGATGAACAACGCTGAGAGGCGGATTGAACTCCGAGGTAAAGTCAATATTTAACCGATCAACTGCTTATTCATTCGCTTTATTTATCAGCTGTCGTTGTCCGAGCCAAAAGCTCAGACCAGCAGAGACGGAGCCGGTGCGTTGCAAGTCCGCTCCCGCTCTCGATCGCCAAAGCGGATTCGATCTAGACTCTATTTATCGGAATTAGAATTGGGATAGCAAAGAAAAAAGGTAACGGAAATAGGAAATAAATACCTAACCGGAGATGAGGGAATTGATTAGAGTTTACGGCTGATACGCGGCGGACTAGAGCATGAATCATGAATGGTGCAACGTCAACTGTCAGCAATCCGTCATGCGAGTTTCCTTGTTCTCACACGTACATGGTCAGAGAGGTACATGGCTAGTTTGTTGCTTTTGCCCCTGACCTAACTTGAGAAAAGACAAAAACAAGACAATAAACAATTCCCTGTCCCGCAAACGGACTTGCCGTCAAGTGCGGAACTGCAATGATTCGTCCGTACCCTCGCTTACCCCTGTGTCCCATCACCGATCTAGTACGGCATGAGTTTAGCTGGTATGTGGCAAAGCGGCACGTGCATCAGAACAAGCCTGGGGAAAAGAAAGGGACGAAAATCTCACCCTTGATCAGGAAGTCTTAAGCTCTTCAGCTCACCTCGCCCCGTCTCGCATCCCAGCCCCAGGTATCTCTCAGGTGTTGTGGAAGAGAAGAGAGGCAGAGTCAGACTTCAACATGGCCTATCAGAGGGAATTCGAGATGCAGGCCATTCCTCCGCCATCGCCAAAGACATTACCAGCACCAGAACCCTCATCAAATAATCTCGGCCCAGACTCATCTTCTCCGAGCGCGTTGCACCGACTCCTAACAAGCTTCACACGCGCCCCGCCGCCGAGTCGGTCTGAGGATGAGTACTCACTCAGCAGCTACAACACGTCGTACGCGACAAATGGAAGGCTTTTCAATATGAGTAAAGCCAACTACAATTCTGCCAACACCGCCCTCGCCCGTGAGCTCAAAAATCGACACTTGCAGATGATCGCGTTCGGAGGGTCTATCGGAACCGGTCTTTTTGTCGCCAGCGGCGTGGCGTTATTTCGGGGAGGACCGGCTTCGCTACTCATTGCCTTTGTGACAATGGGCACAATGCAATTCTTTACGATGCAAGCTCTTGGAGAATTAAGTGTTGCGTTTCCGGTTGGAGGGTCTTTTTCGAATTACTCAACAAGATTTCTAGACCCATCATGGGGGTTTGCAATGGGGTGGAAGTCAGTCAATCAATCAAATCAATCTTACCTTCATCAACACCAACTAACATTCTTCAGTTACACATTACAATATCTCATAGTTTTACCACTTGAGATTATCGCCGGTGCATTTACGACAAATTACTGGAACCCAGATGCCAGCAAGTCAATGTTTATCATCCTTTTCTTTTTTCTCATTCTCGGCATCAATTTACTCGGTGTGAAAGGCTATGGAGAGGCCGAGTTTATCTTTTCAGCCGTCAAGATCACCGCCGTCATGGGCTTCATGTAGGTTGCCTGATATCTCACCAAGTCAAAATCTGACAGTCTTTAGTCTCCTTGGTATAATTATCAACATAGCAGGTGAGTCCCACCAACCTTGTGAAGCAGCCAGAGACAATTTATACTGACCTCTAAAAGGCGAACCAGAAGGCGGCTACATTGGCTTCAGTCACTGGCAGAACCCAGGCGCCTTCAACAACGGCTTCAAAGGATTCGCAAGTGTCCTCGTTACTGCAACATTCTCTTTTGCCGGCACAGAAATGGTCGGTCTCGCCGCCGCGGAAACAAGCAACCCGAAAAAGTCTCTCCCAGCAGCCGTAAAGCAGGTCTTTTGGCGCATATCCCTCTTCTACATCCTCTCGATTCTTCTTATCGGTCTGCTCGTCCCATATAATGAACCGCGACTGTTGGGTGCCAAGTACGGATCTGATGCGGCAGCCAGTCCCTTCGTCATCGCCATCGAGATGAGCGGTTCGGATATTTTACCCGATATTATGAATGCTGTTATTCTCATTAGTTTGATATCGGTTGGAAACACGGCTGTGTATGCTTCGTCGCGCACAATTGCCGCGTTGGCAGAGCAGTCGTTAGCACCCAAGATCTTTGCCTACATCGACCGGACTGGACGACCTCTCATTGCGATTATTTGCTGCGGAACGGTAGGTCTGCTTGCTTTCGTCGCGAATTCCGAAATCCACAACGAAATCTTCAACTGGCTTCTCGCCATCAGCGGGTTAAGTACTTTGTTCACATGGGCATCCATATGTGTCTGCCACATCCGCTTCCGAAAAGCATGGCAACTCTCAGGCTACAAGCTATCCCAACTAGCTTTCAAATCGCAAGTAGGCGTTTGGGGCTCATGGGTAGCTCTGTTTGCCTACACCACTGTATTACTCCTCCAATTCTGGGTGGCCATATCACCCATCCAACCTACGGACCAAGCACCATTCACAACGCCTGAACGCATCAAGAATTTCTTTTTGCAGATTCTAACAGTACCTGTTATTATCGCCTTTTACTTTGCACATAAAATCTGGGTGGGGACAAAAATTGTTCGAGATAAAGATATAGATATTCATACAGGTCGTAGATACCTGCAGGTATGGAATGAAGAGGAGGAGCAGGCACGAAAAGCATGGCCTCTGTGGAAACGGCTTTACAATCATATGTGTTAGCTTGGTTAAATATATGTAGACTCAAAATGATATGCTAATGTTTCTTCACCACCACGAATACGCGGCGTATTGGAGCGTATTGAACATTGATGGAACGCTATTCGGCAGATGACTCACGGCCGATAAGCGAGTGGAGATGATCGACGGACCCATTCGAAAGGACTGATAGGCTGATGTAAGATGTGTGATATAAAAGAACATCGCCCCCGTCGTCATGTCTTTGGCACAGCTACGTGAGAAGCATGTTGGCAACCCAACCTTGATATACGGCCATCACAACACTGCTAAAATGGCCACCCACACATTCTGGCAATACGTTCGCCTCAAAATCATCGTCACACTCCTCCGTCTTGTAAATCAAGTCGCTACAAGACCTCACTTTAAACCCTCGCCAACCTGCAACCGCAAGCTTGTGCGCATTCCATCACGCGATTTGAACCGCTTCATAGATGCATGGATCTACTATCCCCCAGACTACACCGACGGTGACAAGCGTGGCCTGGTCATCAACTGGCATGGAGGCGGATGCATGTTGCCCAACTTGGGTATGGACCATGAGTTTTGTGAGAAGATAGCTGTGAGGCGGAACATTCTTGTTCTCGACGCAGATTATCGTAAAGCACCAGAAGATCCCTTCCCTGCTGCCGTCGAAGACGCCGAGGATATTTTGCGATGGGTTGAGAGTCAGTCGCAACTGTTTGACCTTGATCGCGTTGCTTTATCAGGCTTCAGTTCAGGCGGAAACTTGGCATTGGTAGCCTCCTCCGAAATCAGACGCGAGTTTAACAACATCAACATTCGAGCGGTATACTCTTTTTATCCAGGTGTAGACTTCACCATTCTGCCGGAACAGAAGATTGTGGCCAACCCCATCCGACCATTGCCGTTTTGGTTCCAACATCTCATCACAGAAGCATATCTTCCCAGAGATGACGACCGCAAATCACCCAGGGCATCACCGATGTACGCTGACACGAAGTCTTTCCCTGCATGTGTTGTGCTGTTTGCCTGTTCTGGGGATGTCTTTACGCCAGAGATCGAAGCAATCGGGGAGAAACTGGTGCGAGGTGGCGTTGATGTTGAAGATGTTATGGTTCAAGGGGCTCACGCGTTTGACAAAACAACTAGCCGTGAGTTCTTCAACCCTGATGCGAGAGATATGGCGTACTCGAAGGTCATGATGAGCTTGAAAGATGTTTTGTAGAGTCAGGGAACGCGATAATTAGGTAAACACTCAGCAGTGGAAGAGGCTCTTGCCTCTCGAGGGTTAATCTTCCATGGCTGATCTGGAACAGAAACTAATTTCATTTACTAATCAAGTGAGCTGTTCCGGTATATTTGCTCGGGGGGTTCCAGGCAACAGTTTGCTTGCAGTGCTGTCACTGGCAGTGAAGTGACGGTGCTTGTTGTGCAGGCTGCGCTGTACCTTTCCATTTTTCCTCTCCCTTTACTCTTGCTCTTCGTTCTCTACTTCTTCTTCTTCTTCTTCTTCCTTCACTTGCATGGCCAACCTACGCTTTATTCATCGCAAAGGAGTGTTTGTTCTCACTCCAGTGCATCGCCTTCGCCATGGAGCCTTTTCATATTGCTAGTTCGTATGATGAGCATGACGAGTCTCTCTCCAAGTAAGTCTTCATCCCCGGGGCCGTAAGTGAGATCCTCATAATGTTTATAGACTACTCGACACGGGCGCGTACTCCGATCTCACAATCACCTGTGGTACAGATACTCATGCAGTCCACAAAGCGATCGTCTGTACCAGATCCCCCTTCTTCGCCGCTGCCTGTGATGGCGAGTCCAAGGTACGTTGGCCACTTGCAAAATTATATACGAAAGCGCTAACTACTCATATAGAAGGCAAAGACTGGCATTATTGACCTTCCCGACGATGACCCTGTAGCTGTCAAAATGGTGATCCGATACTTCTACCTCAAAAACTATGTTCCTCAAGAGGCGCCTGTTGCCCCCAAGTCTGAGAACAATTCTACTCAACAGTCCAACCAAACGCTCCATCCAGCAAAAAAAAAAACAATGCGGCCAGGATAATTCCCCGTTTGGAGGGACTCCTTCTCCGGGTTTTTCTTCTGGTTCTTCAGCTTTAGTCTTCGGTGTATCCCCGCAGTCAGCTCCCACTCAGTCTGGTGGTCAAGGCTCTGGCAGTATTGTTCCTTTGCATTACGGGTCGACTTTGTTCGTAGAGATCCCGTACTTCTCCGCCACCACCATCGAATCTCGTTCTACATGCCAAGGTCTACGCGCTGGGCGAGAAATACGACATCAAAGGCCTCAAGGCCCTGGCTCTCTCCAAGTTCAAGCACGAAGCTGCACACCACCACCATAGCGAGTCGTTCATACTTGCTGCGAAGCATGTCTACACCTCGACTATCAAGCAAGATTGGGGAATGCGCAACGCTGTTACCATTACGATTCAGTTGAACGTCGATTTGCTGGAGAACAAACAGTTGCAATATGTCATCAAGAACACTGATCTGGGGTGGAGACTTCTCATGGGGCTCACTGGGACCAAACGTGCAGAGTTGAAACGAGGAGCGCCTTCCTGGTAAAGTCAAAGCTATGTATTTTTTATGGATGTTTGCAAACAAACATGGCCATGTATCCATCATGGTTGCAAGCCTATGACCCCAAAGAATTTGGGTCTAGATCGAGGCAAAAATGGGTTTATTCTTTGGCCATGATGAGCCAAAGTGTGGAGCAAATAGGGAGCATTATGTACTTAATTCACTACCCGAATCTCATATGACGAGACTTTTACATTATTCTCCTTTCACGATGAATGTGCCAACTATCTCTCCATCCCAGCAATTCTTTGAAGCCTCTTTTCAAACTCGGTCCCAAATACCAGCTGTTCATTCATCCTGCTGGGATGCAGCGTTGTTACCCAAAAGTCCACCATGATAGGTTTCGAATTCCTCTTTTGTCGCCATTCTATACCCGAAACCTTTCCTATGACTCGACCCGCACGATTATTGGTTTCTGTTGATTGTGATGGGTGATGAGCATCATCTTGTTCCAGCTCCTTTATTTGTAAACGGAGTTCCTCCGCCCTTACAAATGAGATGTAGTTGTCGGGTACGCGGGGATCCATTATTGAGTTGATTTTGTGAGGTGGCGCATTCGGTTCTCCGGGATCTTTTATCCATCCTCCTCCAATCGATGATCCGATATCTATATACCGATCACTTGTAGGAGTTTGAGTCGCCTCTGGCGCCTGGGCTATCTCGGTCATACGAGGCGACTGAGGCGTCTGGCGCGACCGCGGAAAAGATGGAAACTGCGGTATCGGTGGCACATGATGTGAACGAGACATTTGTACAGTGAGTATAGGCATTGTCTGAACCGATGAACAGTCGGTGGAACTAGCAGTCTGCTGTGATGACCCAGATGTTGATGTTGGGAGAGAATCACTACTACCCGTGGACGATTGATCTGCTGTGTGCCTACGTCGTCTTCTCCGTTCACCATGCTTCCGTGCCCTTTTGTCGCTAGGAACAGTTCCAGTACGGCGCATGCTTTCTGATAAGCCGACGAGTAGCGGTGCACAATCGTCGAATTCTAGAATGAAATCTTTCCCATGGTTCTTCTGTAACCGCTTACTGCTGACAGATTTCTTAATAGTCCTCTCTATATGTTCAAGCTGATCTCGTAGGGAATGACTAGATGGCGTTAGTTATCAAGAAGACAAAACCACATTCTCACTTACATCTGCACTGCCAACAATTGAGCTATCTCGCCTTCTGCCCGATCCATGAGATACGTTGTAATCTCCAGCTCTAGTATAGGACCCATGATGGAGAGGTACATGACGACCCTGTCCAACGTGGTAAAAATCGTAGTCATTTCTATGTTCGTCCAAAGGTACCATTTCATCCCGTTCACAATCCGGAAATTGCTTGACCTAGAATTTATTAAACTCTTCTCTGCCTTCGCTAACTGCCACTCGAAATATTCTGTGAGTTTCCGAATTGAGTCTTTCAGATTGCCTCTCGCAATGTACTTTGCAACTCTTGAAGTTGGATATTTCATTTCTTTGATCCTATCACAGTTGTCTTTGAGCCGAAGTCGTGCGAGCTCAATAGTTTCGTATGCAGATTCAATGTGCTCCGCAACAGACAAGATCTCATGCTCCATCGAACCATCATCTTTGGCGATTTTGTATAACGCTTTGACAAACTTGGTAGTGGGTTTCGCCAGGTTGACGATAGTTATGACACTAGCAATAATACCGATAACTTCTGCCATTGGGAAATTATGTTTGTCTTAATAGTAGAAAATCTTGAAGGGAAAAGGTCTACAGCAATTGAGACGGCGGAGATTACAGCCTATTTGTGCCCTCTTTGTTTGCACACTCTGTGCCTTTCCATGCGCATTCATTTGGACATTGGAGTGTGCCTCACAGCCTGCTTCTCAATTGACATAAGCAATGCAATAGATCATGAGTGTGTGTGCTCGGTTTTCTCTTTCCGGCCGAAGATGAGAGCCTGATTATCACTCAGCGGCTGACACGTCGAGCTGCACCTTTATCACAGTATTGGAACCAACAGCATAGCCTGATATTCAAGTACCCCACCTCAATTTCAGTTGCCTTGGTGAATCCATTCCCAAATGAGTTCAATCGCTAAGAGGCAACCATTTTGATTGCATATGAGATGAAGCTCATTGGTGAACAGAATGTCTCGCTTCAGACCTGGAAACGGCATGGAGAGCGACAGGGTTGCTTTGGAGAATGCAGCTAACCATCGGACAAACCGGAAACAGTGAAAACAGCTAGTCTTGACAAGTACAAAACAAAGCAGGCAATACGAATCCACGAACAAGATAAAGAAGGCGAACCACTTGTCTGAAATGATTGCCGTGAAACAAAAAGAAGAATCTCGCCATTATTCAAGCTGATAAATCAGATGACTAATCTCTTTTCGCCTCAATTTCCTCGGAACATTAAAACCCCGGCAACCTTGACATCATCACGCAACACCAAAACTCTCCTTTAAACACCATCAGTGCCTCTCGTCATGGCGAAGGAAGAGCTTGGGTTGAAGATAGGCTTCTACGCCTATCCATGCGCCCTATTTGTCACGCTTCTGGGTGTCCAATCTGCTCAGTTCTACCTTACTCGCCATGGCGATCCGAAAACGCGTCAGAACGCGTTAGACAACGAACTTAAGTCAAAGACTGAGAAAATCCAACGTCTCTACACGAGGTTAATATGGGTTTTTCAACTCGTTCTTTCAGGATTAATTACTGCGAGTATCGTTCTTACTACGAGGGAGGTGTTTGCGGATCAGAAAGAGATCAAGGGAAAGATTCTGTTTTCATTCAGCGCATACTTAGCCTCTTTTGTTGGCGTTTTACTCTATTTCCTTGCTGGTCTCCTCCCCGACCCTGAAGGTCCTTGGAATCCGAACGGCGCTCACCTCGCAGCGTGGTGTGTTGCCGCGCTTGCAGAAATCGTTATCGCAGCAGTCTTGTCCGCGGTGGAACCTCAACTTCGTGTCTCACCTAATTTCGTCGACACTACCAACCTTCTGGGCGCAGCAAGGGTCTTTGTTCTTGCTCTTATGATCGGCTCATTTACTTTGAGAGAGTACAAATTGAAATCCCTTCAACCAAAGTCTGTGCCCGAGGAACGACAGGGCCTGCTGGAGAATGGAAATGGCAACGCTGAAGGTTATGGAAGCGTTCCCCCTTCCGCCGCTGAACCAAGACGCACACAAGTCTCAGGGACGGGCTGGCTGGATTATTTCGCTGGTTTCAAAGTTCTGTTTCCTTACCTGTGGCCCAAGGATTCGCCTCTCTACCAAGCCATCGTCCTTGTATGCATCGTCATCCTAGTCTGCCAACGTCTCGTCAACGTCCTTGGTCCGCTCCAACTGGGAGTTCTTGTCGACAATCTTGGCGAAGGAAAACTACCTTATAAGCAGATTCTCCTTTACGTCGTCTACCGTGCCCTCCAAGGCAATCAAGGTGCTCTTGGCGCAGCGCGTTCCATCCTTTGGATCCCAGTATCACAATCTCTATTCCGACGACTGTCGTCCGCTGCATTTGAACATGTCTTGGGTCTTTCTTTGGAGTTTCATCTCAACAAGAAGGTCGGCGAGGTCACCAGTGCGCTGAGTAGAGGCGCCTCGATCAACACCTTCCTCGAGAGCTTCTGTTTCCAGGTTTTTCCTATGGTCTTTGACATCTTCGTTGCCGGCGTAGTGTTTTTTTACAAGTTTGATCCCTTCTTTTTAATCATCGTTTTCTTCATCATGTGGTCCTACATCTTCCTAACTATCTACGTGGCCAAGTACCGTGGCAAGCAAAGGAGAGACATGGCAATGAAGACACGAGAGATGGAGGCTATCAAGACAGATGCCATTGTGGCGTATGAAACAGTCCAGCACAATTGTGCTGTCGTTCGTGAGACAGCGCGGTTTAGAGAACATGTTACTGTCTTCCAACGTGCTGAGCGACTTGTGCAGTGGTCTCTTGCAGCTCTCAACCTTACCCAGAGCTCCATCTTCACTCTGGGCACTGCGCTACTCGTTGCTGTCTCAGCCTACAAGATCTCTATCGGACAGCAGACTGTTGGCGAGTTTGTGAGTCTCATCAACTACTTTGTTCAGCTTCAGGGACCTTTGAACTTCTTCGGTACATACTATACCATGCTACAGAATAATCTTATTGAAGCAGAGCGACTTCTTGATCTGGTAAGTTTCCTTGAGGCCCCGGTTTTGGAAAAGTTGCTAACTTGAACAGTTCAAAGAAACCGCTGGCGTAGTCGAAAAGCCAGACGCCATCGTTCTTCCTCCCATCAAGGGCGAAGTTTCCTTCAACAATGTCAAATTCGCTTACCAGACTAAAAAGGGCGGTCTTGTCCTCGACGGTATTAACTTTACAGTTGCACCCGGCACAAAGACAGCCATCGTTGGCGAATCCGGCAGTGGAAAGTCCACCTCGCTCAAACTTCTTTTCCGCTTCTACGACGTCACAGACGGTTCTGTTACCATTGATGGCCATGATCTCAGAGATCTCAAGCTCGACAGCCTGCGCAGAAACATTGGTGTCGTGCCACAGGACACCGTACTGTTCAACGCGACAATCATGTACAATCTGCTGTATGCGAGACCTGATGCGACAGAGGAGGATGTGTATGAGGCATGCAAGGCTGCGAACATTCACGAGAGGATCTTGAACTTCCCTGATGGGTATGAGACCAAGGTTGGAGAGCGCGGTTTGAAGTTGTCGGGGGGTGAACGACAGAGGGTAAGTTCTTACGCATTGAGGAGTCTGGATTTAGCTGACCTTTACAGATTGCTATCGCACGTGCTATTCTCAAAGATGCGCGAATCCTTCTTCTCGACGAAGCCACTGCTTCTCTAGACTCGCACACTGAGCGACAAATTCAGGATGCTCTTGAGCGTGTAACAGCCGGGCGCACAACCATCACCATTGCGTAAGTTAAAAGCCGTTACTGTTTTCAAGCATGGACTAACAATTTCTCAGACATCGGCTGTCTACGATCACAACTTCGGACCAGATCATCGTTCTTCACAAGGGCGAGATTGCGGAACGCGGCACACACAACGAGCTTTTAGCTCGTGGTGGAAGATACCATGCTATGTGGGAGAAGCAGACGACGATTGAGAAGAAGGAGAAGGAGAAGAAGGAACTTGAAGGGGAGGCATCTGAAACTGCATCTCAAGAATGAGTATGATGGGTAATAAAAGTATGTGTAGAACATTAATGGGTCATTATAGAAGTATCTAAGTCAATTGGATCTGGGTCAAGATATTGGCCCTCTAGGCCGTGTTGTAGACCGGTAACAGTGATTGTGTTGCGACACGACCTCGAGAAGCGTCTGAGTAGTGCGTAGCAGAAGAGTTGGCCTGCGCCTTGAGGTACAAAAATAAATAGCCCAAGACGTCGGATATAAGTAGCATAAAGTGCCCTACTAATTTCATCTCTTGTACTCCCAGTTACCTATTACTTGATCAATTGCTGGAGTGGGTATCGTAATAAATGAATCTCAATTGGAGGCTCTTCTTTGGACAATTCGTGTTATCGTGAGTTCCACTCAACCCGTATCACCCCACCCAAGGGAAAAAAAAAAAAAAAAAAAAAAAAAAAAAGAGAGAAAAAAATATTATCGCGAGGACCCTTAGTTACGATGGGTCAAGTGTGTGTTGATTAATGATAGTGAATGTTTGTCGCAAAGACGCATAAAGATGGTGTAGATTGAATTGAGTTGGAAGCTGCGACGGTGACGACATCGACTGCTTAAGTCATGACATTCCTTAAAGTGGCAGCGGCAGAGCAGCTCGTTCTGTTTGTAGAGCTCTGAGCTGCCTATGACGACACTAACAAGCCCTCCCACCACTTGAAGTTGACCCCTCTATTTACTGTGCCTCTACTACTTTTTCCTCCCTCCCATCACCACTTCTTGAACTCTTCCATCACTGTCAAGACACAAACAAACAAACAAAAACTTCACTCACATCCAAAATGTCTGCCATCCCTACCTCCACCTCGGTCGTCGAGTCCGCCGTCATTGAGGCCTCTTTCAGCGACGTCTGGCACCTCATCAAGCTCCAGGACTTCTCCAAGTTCTACTCTGCCCTCGAGTCCTCCGAATGGGTCAAGGGCTCTTCTCCCGACACCGACGTCGTCAAGTGGACCTTCAAGGACGGTACCGTCCTCGAGGTTAAGCAGGAGGAGCACTCCAGCATTGACCACTACATCACCTACAGCGTCATCTCTTCCCAGCCCGCCCTGAGCTACACCTCCGTTGTCAGCACCATCCGCGCCTACCCTATCACCTCCGGCCAGCACGAGGGCCAGACCTTTGTCACCTGGAGCGGAAACTTCTCCAGCGACGCCGACGCTGGTGTTATCGCTGACGCCAAGTTCAAGCGCCGTGAGGCCCTCGCCGACCTCGCCAAGGCTGCTTCCAAGAAGTAAAAAATTGGAGTTGATGGAAAAGTATGAAATGGGTTTTTTGGGAGATGGAATGATATTACCACAACGCAATACGATGCGATGGATGATGGATGGGCAGATTACGGTTGTCACATATGTAACTTATCGCCCAGCCTCTGATGAATACAGTCAATGTCTGATTGCGCCTAGTGTCTTAAATGAATTGTGTCAGTAATTGTAGGGGCCATTTAATTGATCCTATCCGTAGTGTGCCATGGTTCAAGACATGGCAGTGGTACGATGCGAACAGGGTAGTAGTACCACTGAAGAGCTAACGCGAAGCAACCTGGGCAGATCGCTATATCGCGCGCGCAATCTTGGTCACATCAAAGGCTGTTGATTGACTGTCGCAATAGAACATCTTTAATAACTACTACTAGACCCGGAACGCACAAAACAAAAGTTTGCGCTTCAGGGTCTACGGAAGGATCCGACTTTGTGGGGAGCTTCAGGGTATATGCGACGATTTTGAACCCGATATTTTTGCATCGTCGATTGACGATCAATTGACTGCGTGTACCGAGATTCTAGAATACCATAGGAACCCTGGAAAGAAGATAAATGACAACGTTTATGTAAAGCCCAGCGAGCGTTAGAGTTCTTGTTGGCGCAACACGGTAAGCTTCTATCGCAATTCTGATAACATCTTCATCGTGGGTTGACTTTGGAAAGACCCTAAGAGTTCGCCTAAGGATTGCGATTGACGAGAAGGATCAATGTCGTGCAGCATAACAATTCTGAACAGTATCCTTGTCGCTATGATAGTGCTTGTCTTTGATACTGTCAGCTTCAGACTCTATGGGAGGCCATTCGCGATGAATGGTCCCTCGGGTCGCAAACGAGGACAGGAATGCAACTCAAGACATCTGCGACAGAGTTCAACAACCGTCAACAGAAGCTTATTTCTCAACACCCAATGCTTATCCCTTCTTTAAACCACAAAAGGACATTTCAATAACTTCTTCCACGTTTAGATACAACCCTATGCATGAGTGGCCTGTTCTAACTTGAACATCATTATCTAAACGCGTATTATCTCGGTCTCGTTGCCGCGCGTTCGTTCATCACAGGCGTAAACGTCACCTTAGTCTCAGCCCCAGTACAGTCAGCGCAACATCTGCTTATTCTTTTTTTAACCCTTTTCCCCTTGTCCATAAAGGATCGGGATTCCGATACGCTGGAAACTCCGTGCCTTCGAAACTCGGATCACAATCTTCCCCCGGGTCCGATGTTTTTTATGCCTGCGATCCATATTTAATTCCGCGAAAGGGCGTGTGGAAGCGAAGTAGGGGGAGATTCTGCTCCACCACAATTTTACACACCCCGCTAAACAGACCCAACGATGAGGCCTGAGGGCTTGTGAAAATCGATGTTTTGGACGGAGTCGCGGGTTGTGGAATCACCGATCAATGCGTGAAGTGGGGGACAATTGGATCATCATTTGTGGATTGACATTATTCTAGATTAACATTATGTTGGTGGACTCGTTACACACTACACCGCTTGTATGCTGTTTCGTAATGTAGGTACAGAAAGCAAAATATGCATATTGATTGTGTGCATAGGACAAGACATTGACATTCGTTTACTTGCCTCCTCTGTTTCCGGTGGTTGGGAATGGCTTCTCCAGCTTGACACAATAGAGGAAGAGATCCTCCAAGGGCAGTAGTCCTAACAAGATACGGTTGGACAACCACGCAGCCAAAACAACAAATGTAGCGGCCATAGCATCAAGCCAGTAGTGGTTCGCCGTGGCGACAATAATAGTCAGAACAAAGGCAGGGTACAAAATACTGAGAGCCACGAAAAACACCTGCCACATCTTGCTGAGACGCTTCTCGCGGGGTGCGAGACGGCGGCGAAACAGACCAGAGTGATACAGGAGCACAGTACCAATACAGAACGAGTAGCCAAAATGCAGCGATGGGAAAGCAGCCAGCTGATTAAAGAACTTGTTGGTGGCGTAAATGGACTCGGCGTCCTCGCGACGGACAGTATCGAAGAAGCCATACTCTTCGGGTAGAAGGCGAGGTGGCATGCATGGGTACATGGTGAAGACGACGAAGCTGAAAAGGTTGGTTAAAGTCATCATGCGACGAGCTTCGGCAAATTGGGCATGTGTCGGTGCGGCGTAGTAGTACCATGCGAGGAAGCTACGATAAATTCCGTTAGACAAGTTCAATATCGAGACGTCATCACAAAAAACATACCTGACTGTAACGGGGATATGAATAAGGGAGTAAGCGCGGTTGAGAATGGTCAGCATCGTCTGGTGGTCATTTCTGAAGAATGACTGCACATCGATCTCACGCAGGGGGAACATCCAGCTGAAGGGCCCCTCATGCTCAAACCACAACACCGCCTTTCCATGGTTCTCAGCCGTCTCCCAAACACCGTCGGTCGCGGCGACAAGCTCGCTCGCATTCTTGACACCGACGTAGAAGACCAAGTTGACAGCCCAGTAGAACATCTCGACAAGGAAAGGAAACTTTTGTATAAATCGTGAATGCCAGTACTTTGCGTAGCGGGATGAGTTGGGCGTGCGGATGGCGGCGCCGCAGCAGCTGCGCTGCTTGGGAGGGTTGACTTCTGTCAGAGACGAGGTCGGCGAGGAGGCAGCGGCGAGGTTGGCACGCTCCGTTTCGTCGTGGACATCGTCTTCATCCCATGGCTCGAGTTTCGATTGACCCAACAGTCCCTGATCTTGCTTCGACGAAGGGATGATTGAGAAGTTGCGTAGGCGATTGAAGTAGCAAGATGCTACCATGACACCGACGATAAACTATTGCAGAAACGTGAAGTTAGATTCTGGTCGTCTTTGGGAAGAATCGCAACCGAAGAAATCGACAGGGGATTGAATATACGTACGATTGGTTCGACGACGGCATGATAGGCAAATTGAGGTGCGCCCAAGTCTTGATCTTTCTGTTCTGTTTGAGCCATTATGTTCGTTGAAGCGGCATGTCCAGATGCAAAAAAAAAGTAAAATAAAAAATACCAAGAGTGCGAGGAATAAATAGAGAAGCGCAAGGTTAAGGTTAAAGATAAAAAGAGAGGTCAAAAGATAAAGTAAAGGTCAGGTAAAGCCAAGGTTTACTTCGGAAGACACGGAGAATAAACCTGGTAAACTTGCCCTTGCCTTGTTTGTACAGGACTTGAGCAGCTGTTCGGTGGTGGGAAAAAGATTTGCTCCGACAACCAGGCAAGGACAAGGATAAAAGGGAACCTAAAGGGAGATGCACCAGCGATCAGGATTTACCGGTACCATCGCTCGCGTGCCGCTGTACCAAAAGCCGTTCGCGCGACAGAACAAGACTGGTAGGCTGCCTAGGGGGCGGTGGGCATTGAGCCAGGGAGATGAAGAGGTGCCTATGCGCCTTGCTGGAATCGGTTGGATAGGGCGCGTGCTCGCAATCTGTGCACCAACTTCAGTGCTGTGCAGCAGCTAATGGATTGAAATTGTGCATGCATAGCATAGCCCCTGAGCAATGTCAGCTGTGACGTAGGATATCCATTTCCTTCAATTCAATTCGGTAAAGTCGGAGCTTGGCTTTTTTATCTAGAGCTAAATTAGTTCAAGGGGCGTTTCATTTCATGGATGACAGAAAAGGTGTTCCCGACTTGTATGCTCTTTAGTGACCGCCTTTATGTCGTCCCCTACTAACAGACAGTCAGTGGAGTGATTATCAGCCAATGACCCCCAAAAGTTGAAAGATTTTTAGGCGATAAAGGGTCAAAACCCCTTCTGTTCAACTTGAACTCGACCCTGGACCCTCCACTCTCCACTTTCCTTCATCCTCATCCTGTCAGATTAATTCGAAGCCAAGCTTTGCTCTTTAAACCTCTCACTCCTTAATACTACCAAACAAAACAAACCGATCGCGACTTGGCACAGAGTCAACTTCAACACCGCTTGGTGGTTCCTTTTTTGTCAATTCTGGAAAGCTTATTCCTTCTTCTTTTTGCTTATACCTTCTAATAATACAACTTCCTTTCCAAATGTCCTCCTCTCCAATCCTCGGCCCTTCGCGCGCCGACTGTCAATCCCCTTACGATGAAGAGCACATGGATTGGGCCTCTTCAGTGCCCAAAAAGTACCATCGATTGCCAAGATTTCGTCGCTCCAATGTGATTTTGGTTCTTATCGATATCTTCATCGTTTCTGTCCTCGTCAACGCCTTTTGGCCGCTCATCACTTTGCTCCGCCGCAACGAGGAGCTTTTCGGCGCACGACTTACCTTTTCGCTCAACGATACTTCTTTCCCACCTACTTTACCTGATCAACAGACGATACCGAGAATCTTCCACCAGACGAGTGCGAACGAGACGATCCCTGAAGCATGGACCGACTTGGTGCAGAGCTGCAAAACTACTTACTCCGACTATGAGTACATGGTATGTTGATTGGGACTTAGGGTCGAGGGAACAAGACTAATTTTGACAGCACTGGACCGATGACAAAGCCCGCGACTTCATCTCCGAAGAGTACCCTTGGTTCATCGACACCTGGGATAACTTCCCATTCAACATCCAGCGCGCCGATGCCATCCGCTACTTCGTTCTTCACCACTACGGTGGTATGTATCTCGACATGGACACACTTTGCAACGCTTCCATTCCTCTCGAGCAGATCGAAGCCACCGGCGGCAAGCACCACGCTGTCTTCAAGTCTACAACTCCTACTGGCGTCTCCAACGACATGATGATCACATCAGCTCGTCACCCCGCCTTCACAAAGGCGCTCTCGCGCATCCAACTCTACAATGACATCACAAAACCCTGGAGGCACATCGTCCCTCACGTCGCAGTCATGGTCTCGGCAGGACCACTCTTCCTCACCATGGCCCTCAAGAACTACCTCCTCGAGCAGCCTTCTCTGCCCGAACAGACTGTGCAGGTCATTAATGCGACATCCCTGGAACCGTACCTTACAGACTACGAGGGTGCGTCGTGGCACCACGGTGATACCAAGGCTCTGATGTGGGTTGGCGATCGACCCTGGGTTTGGTACGCCCTTGGCGCCGTTGGACTCTGCGCAGGACTGTACGTGCTCAACATGCTTATGATGAAGTGCTGGACGAGATTCTTTGAGAAGACACCTTCGAACGATGAGTACAAGGAGAGCATCAAGCTCACGTAGACGGATTTTAATGGGTAATTATATACGACTATAATACGGTAATGCCAGCGAATTTTATTCTATGAATGCTTCAAGAAGTTATTGTCCACAAGCCTGCTGTCTATGATTGTCGTGACGAGTAATATCTTTGCGAATGCCACCGGCACTGTTTAATCGCATCGCGGCATGTCGGCATGTAATCACCGCTCACTCATGGTGCTTCGCCTGCGACACGTAAGTGTACACCAGATCGATGCGCCCAAACCTAGTTGACCTTAGCCTCCAACGGTACTTAATTGGCCAACCACCATCATGCCGTAACTGATTCCCAGCCCAGTCGATGTGGAGGTCTCCTTATACTTCTTTTGCGTACAGGCTCGATCAAGAGGTACCTCAGCGGACAGTGGAAAATATGACCTCTAAACTTTAGGGTTCAAAAATAAATGACATAAGACTATAGTCTAGACAGCATAAAGTGACCAATTGATTTCGTCTCTTATGTCTCAAGCAGTCAACTTTTCTGATACCTTGAGGGCAGTTTGCTTGACTATCAAGTCACCCGTTTGACAGACTGCGTCGCAAGTAGGCTTGGGTATACTACAGCATTTTTAAAACAATGTCTGTTGAAAGACAAGAAACTCGGATCTGAGCTACCTCATGCCAATGCCCTCTTAACTCAACCCGCTGTATAGCTTGCAATTGATCTCTTCATCTGCAGGCCGTGCTTCCATCTGATCCCGCAATCTTCTGTTGGTCCTTGTTCAACTGCACAATGATCCGGGTCGAAATCGCACATCGCATCTTGGCAAGGGTCTTTTCAATCCCAGTTCTTGGCATATAAGTATGCCAAGTTCGAGCAAAGACATCCAGTCAATTTCCTCAACTCTTGTTGGATCATCAACGAGGGATGCAAATGGCTGGATTAAAGGTAGCGCTCGAGACCAGCACGGAGGATAATATGGGCGACATCGAGAAGTTTGTGAATGAAACGTTGACAAGAGATACTACACTTTTCGTGACAGAGCCAGGTTGAGCAGCCGATAAAAGATGCACTTGTTATTTACATATATCCAACTTGTGAACATGAATTCACTTGTCCCTCAACCATCTGTAGCCCATTGCAACAGCACCACTCTAGCTTATTCTTGCTTAATGTATTCGGCAATGTTAGGCCGGTTCTCAAATGCTTCCTTCAACTTGAGAAGGACATCTGGAATCTTGGACTAGTAGTCGAATAATATTAGTTAAAGCTCTCTGACAAATCTTGGAATAACAAACATACTGGGATAGTTTTGGTCCTGGTGTCGTTGTCTATCGACATATAGACGGCAAAGTCTGCATAACTGACTTCATCTCCAAGAAGATAAGGACCCTCACGTTCAGAATAGTACTTCTCGAGAAGATCGTAGTATTTGGGGACCGTCTTGTTCTTGTAGTCTTCCGATGCGTTGCTCAGATTAGATGCCCAACCAGACTGGATTATAGTCAGTATTCGACATAAATGATAAGAAATTTCGACGTACTCTCCACTCGATATAGATATCTGCCATGGCATCTACCAGATACTTATCTTGACTCGTCTGGCCGTCGTATTTTCCCAGCTCACGAGACAGGAACCTGAGGATTGGAATATGCTGTAGATCTGCGTTAGCTTGGTATATGTGACAGAGCTTTTAGAGACATGCCTGGTTTAGAACAAGGCCCTTGTACTCGACAGCTGGAAGTTGTCCAGTTCGGGTGATACCCTGACTCTTGAGCTTCTCGCTGGTCTCTTTCCAGGTATCGTCAAAGGGATATCTTTTCTCTTCGAAAGGGATGCCGGCATCCGTCAAAAACAGCCTATCGTGGAAAGTCAGCTCAGTCAAGTCATCGATCTGGTGTATTGGAAGCTATCTTATAGCAAAGTCTATTTCGCATGGAACACTTACTTGACGACTTCACCACGGCCAAGCTTGCCAATGGCAAGATAGTGGTAGACGACTGAGGAATCAGAAGACATTGTAACAGATGATATAGTTTATAATGTTGTTGGATTTTTGGTGTATTTGATAGTCTATGTAACTGCAGTATCCCCAGACTTATTTATACCGCTCTCTACTTGTCAACGCCCTTTGGGCTACAAGTGTTACAACCCCCCGTTCTGAGTCAGCAACGTTGAACTTGGCCATTACGTGAGAAATGATTCCAGGGTTTTCGGAACAACGGCTCAATTAATTACGTATTACATCCGACGGGTCAATCATTTTCCCTTTTCATTGTGTAAGAGAGCCTTCGTGGTATTAAGTTGTTGAATGATGCAACAAAGATGTTTCTCCTCTGGGAAGATGATGCGTAATTAAATATCGTAGGATATACGAAAAAGGGAACTATGTACAATTATTACAAAGCATAACAACTTATTCGCTCGTCTTTTAGTAAGTGTCCTCGTAGTCGTAGCAGAGAAGTCCCTTGCGAATATGCATGACGTCCCTGACCTTGGCCTTCAACTGACGAGTCTCGAAGATGGTGATGGGATGGTTCAATGTGATGTTGCCAGCAATTTGGTTGGCGTAATCAAAGTTGACGAGAGGTCCAGAGACATCTTTCTCGCGCTTCTTGATGTCGCGGATTTGCCATGACCACCAAGCGCGGTCAACGTTGGCATGGTGCACCCAGAAGAGAGGGTCAGCAGCTAACAGAGTTAGTATAAGTCATCTATATCGAGGGGTAGAGGAGTGACTTACGACTTTGCCACTTGTCAGTCATAGTTCCATACAGACCACCAACTCCCCAGTGACCACCAGAGTGAAAGGTGCTCTCCGTGACACGGTCAAAGAATCCAAAGCCCTTCTGTCCCATGCCCTCCTTGATAGCATCAGGACCAGACATATCTCTAAAAGAGAGCGGCGCAAAGTCACGGCGGATGCAGTTGGGATTGTACGCAGTGCCGTTTCCAGGTCCCAGGTTTGACTTGAGTCCAGCAAATGGACCGTTCTTGATGCAGCCTCCACCAGAACGATCGGGCACGTCCCAGGGAGGGTTGACAGGTAGACCAGGCTCAGGGTTAGAGAAGTTGCCAGGGACCCAGCCTCCATTTCCGCCAAAGCCATGCTTGTTGTCGAAGATAGGAGAGTTAAAGAAGACAGATGTGTCGTTGTCTGAACCTGCGGCATCAAGAGTCCAGTCCCAGTAGGGAACGCCGCCCTTCCAGCCACATGTTTGAAGCTCTTGCTCGTAAGCATGCATTAGAAGGCGATGGTAGGGGTAGAAGACGCCCTGTGATTGTTAGAGGGGTGAAACAAACGAGGGGTTGTGCGATGATCGGGACGTACCACAAAGTGAACATCGTCAGCGTTGATGATATGTGTCCCCAGAAAATCATCCCATCGATTCCTGGCACCAGGGATATCAGATGGTGATGACTGGGAGGGCTTGTTCATCAGACACTTCTGCGCCTTGATGTACCGATCCCTTTCACCCAAACTGAGCGAGCGCCTGTTGAAAGTCAGCCAATATTCATGAAGGGTACACTAGAGTTCCATGCCATTCTCTTCTGATAAGAGGCTTCTTGCATGCCTTGGACTCGACGAGAGCCACACCAGCGAGGAGGACAGCGGTCCACAAAGTCTTGATGGCAACCATGGTATCGGACTAAAGAGAGAAGGCGGCCTGATTAAGGAAGGTAATGCAGAAAGACAAGTCTCGGAACTGCAGGTGATCGCTCAAGTGTTTGAGATGAGGTGATCTGCATAGGAGAAAGTAACGGAACACACTGGACGACTTCAGCCTCTTGTATGTCAAAGGATTCGCCTGGACCTGAACAGGGTATCGCAAAATAGTACTGTATTACCGAGGAGCCAAGATATGCATGATCTATTGTTCCTGCAATGCGGTACTATTTAGAGGGTAAAGCGAGTTACTGGCTAGGTCTGATGCGGTGGCTCCGTGGCTTTGGGAATGAGGAATGGGACTGTGACGTTGGTCTGCGGCAAAGCACAGATGCAGGGGAAGAGTCCCTTGTTGAAGAGGATCCGGGGATTCGGCTGACTAGGCTCCCCTGCTTTGAGAGGACCGACTGGTTAATGGTAGGTTTTGAGGAAAATTGTCAATGCAGATTCCTAGAAGACATTCATTACCAGACCACACAGTCTTAGTTACGAGTAGAGAAAGGATCGTTGGCAGTCGTGAACAATGGAGGACTTGCAAGACTGGCATCTAGACTAAGCCTTAGGTTAGGGTGCAAAAGCTAAGTGACCCGAGCCCAGCTCAGAGTGCCCTGAATTAACTTGCTAATTTTGTCTTTTCTGTTGTCAGAGGGCCCGTTTTCAGATTTCACAAGGATGAGTTCCTGATCATCCGATTCACCCAGCCGCAACAGGCATTCTCAACTCCACATACTTTATCCGTCAAGGATCATCCCTCGCGTATGCAAACTACGGTGTTGGTTCAGTGGTGCATTTCACTCCCAGTGTTTCTGGATAAATTGAAAACGGAGAATCAGTCAATTCTAGTAAGTACAGGAGCAAATCCTACACGGCATGGCTCGGCGTATATTCCCTGTCCATGCTACCCTTCTCGTCTCTCGACTCCCAAGACCTGGTCGTCAGAGAACCCTGCGTCGTTCTCATTGTCGCAATATCCCTCTCCTCTGTTACTTTCCCTCCATCGAAAGCCTTTACTTCTAGCGGAATGGCATCGGCGCTTTCTCCTACTGCGAACGGGTCTTCATCTCCACCGTAAATATCTCTCCGAGAAGTCATAGATTTGTTGGTGACGATCCTTGACTGACGCGCGCTTTGCCCGTTCATATCGCGATAGTGATTGCCGTAACCTGAGCGAGCAGCTGAGGTGCCTGATAATGTCCAACCCATGCGATGTAAAGCATTTTGCACGAGAGGCTTCAAAAAGGGAGCTGAAGAGGCGATCATGATAAGGATCTGCTCGAGGGCTGTCCACGTTGCGATTGCGTTTGTGAGGGCCCATGGATCTTTTGTCGATCCGCCGAATTCTTTTACCAGGGTGGCTTTGACGATCGAGGCGATACTCGCAAACATTCCCAGACCCATCAGCGCACCGACCAGTATCTTCTCCTTCAATGGTCGCTTCAGCTTCCATAGGAATAACGTCGGTGCTGAAGATAGTAAAATATCTGTTGCGATGTTGATGCCGGATCCGAGATTTGACATGATAAGAATGCCAGTTATTGGAAGACAGCTGGCTCCATCGATCGTTTGCAAAACGGAAGCATCCCATGATGCCTCCAGAGGTCGGCATTGTAAGAGGATGAAGAAAGTGTTTGCAACGCCGTAGGCTACCAAGACGGATATTATAACAAAACAGAAGATGCGCCACCAAAGGAGGTTTGGCTGGATTCGAAGCATCATCATTGCAATGCTGATCTTGATGAACATCATGGCGATGCCCCATACCGGGATCGCGAGGAAGGAGTATTTCCGTGTCCATATTCGTTGCTCTTCGGTAATGAGTGTGGGTTGTGTGAACATCTGAGGTATCAAGAAGCCGAAGTCTACACAAGCAGCAGCCTAGAGTGATCGTAGTCAGTTACCATGAGCCATGAAGCCTATGTTGGTCGGCAACTTACCACTCCAATCGTCATACTATAATCCTCCCAACTTATCCTCCAAGCTGGTCTCACCCTCAACCATATCCTCGCCACGAACATGACCAACGCAATGGCAATTAGAGGCGAGGTGACACCCAGATGTATTCTCGCAAGGCTCGCGGACCGCTCTGTGATGGGGAAGTAAGGACTCCCATCGGCGGGAGGTGTTAAAGGACCTGACATGCCTGATGGGTATCTCAATCACAATCGAATTCTAAGAGTCAAGGTTCAGGGAAAAGAAAAAGCGAACCAACGGAAAAAAAGAAGAAGAAAAGAATGCAACACTTATTGGCATCTCGATTTAGAAAGAGACATGTTATACATATTTGTATCTGATCCCAATTACCGGGATTTTCGGCTCTGAGACCTTTGTGTTACAGATCTCCAATTTCCATTTTCTTCACTGTTGCACATGTGCTTCACACATTGTCTCTGTACAGTAACTATGCAAAGTGCTGTGACGAGGCCTGCTTGTACCACAAGTGACCTGCATGTAGGCTTTCATTAGGAGGATAACGCCAAGCAACTGCTGAAGTCCGCAGGATTCGCTGCAAGGGCCGAGCGGCGCAGTAAGAAAAAATTTCCCGTAAGGAGGACTGGGAGCTTGACTAAACCGCATAAGAGACTGAGGCTTCTGCTCAGTGGCTGGAGAAGTTCTGCAGTCAGTGTTTCTCGACATCTGGATCAAGAAGTTGATTTGACTATTTTCTCCAAAAGTCCGAACTCATGAAACCATTTTCGTTGTTGCAAGATAGGCAAGGGGTTCCCAGATGAGGTGACAACGCTAACAAGCGAGGTAAATCCATGGCCCAAGCCGAGAGTCCTTCTTTTATTCAAGTCCAAGTTCTGGCGGAAGATCCGGTAAATCACCCGCAGGCTGCCCCGAGACGATCCGGGTGGGATTCGACTCGGAGCCGTCGCCATATTTAGAGGAGACTCCGTTAAGTGTCAGTGACCTCTTCCTACTATAGTATGTCCATACACAAAATACCGCCGTAATTGCCATAGAGGTCATTTTTGGACGAGAGTTCGTATTGATGTTCAGCAGGAACCTCAACCCATATCGTTTTATGACATCGTTCTGGTGATATAATATCAGGATCTTGTTATTAATGTAGGCCTGAAGCTCCGAACAAGAACGGCGAATTGATTCTGGCGTCCCTGCATCCATGTCGATTGGATCACAGATGCTGGTTGAACTGTTTCAGCCAAGGAATTCCAAGGTTGCATTGCGGAAGCGGGAGGAAGGGAATGTCCAAGCCGGACAGATTGTGTGGTTTCTGGGAAAGACAACAAGGCTAACGCACGGCCCAAGCACTTAATTGCTGGATAAAAAGAGATCCAGATACTCGGTTAAAGTATTTGTTCCCGTCTTACTCGGACTTTTAAGATTGGTCCCAGGGTGACAGAGAACATGGCTGCAGAGCTATCAAATGAGATGAATAAGTGGCTTGTTATTACTTTAAAGCAGTCTCCTAAGTCGCTGATGTTTGTGCGGTAGGTAATGAACTGGAATGGAAGGTCCTCTAGAAGACTCAGAGATCCCTTAACGGCAGCGAGTATAGTTTGGTACCCTGGGTTAAGTGATGCAGCAGGCTTTTGCAGTTTTAAACAACAACTCCAATCCCACCAGTAGAAACTCATACATTGCGTTTCCAGTCTTGTTAACATTTGTTTTTGCTTTTTATTTCAGCCAATCTCGGTGGTTCTCTTTACAGAGTTATAAACCTTGCGATGATGAGTGTTCATTGCAACAGTAAACGGTTCCGCATACATACCAAAAGGTTGTGTTGACCCCCACTCCATTTGAATCAACAGCAGAGTCCCATCAAACGTAAAAGAATCGTTTCATTGGGATGCAGACGCCACAATGTTGCATATCGATGTTAATGCGTATGTCTTGCACGAACTTTTGAACAGACCAGGGGCCCTTCTTATTGGGGCTTGCAACGGTTTATGTCGGGACTTCGGGGGTTCCCTGCAGAGAGGGACCCGAATCAATGGGCCATAAAGTGTCGTCTGTCTCTCTTTCTTAGTGACTATTGACCTTGTATCTTCTAACTTGGAGTCAATCTTCATGTGACAACAGAACAGCAAGCAATGCTTTCAAACCCATCCACTACAAAACCGGACCACACTCACCACAGACAAAATAGCACATCACAGCAGAAGAACGAGAAAGGTAGTGATCATATCGCTTAAAATTGTGGCTTGCAGAACGCTGGCTCATCTGGCACTAATACAAGTGAGATGCAGAATGCTAAAGTAAGGAATAAAAAGACAAAATTAACAGACTGAGTGATAGATCTTCTTCCACAATGGCCATGTCCCTCTCGCTTCCCTGTCTTCGTCATTCATCAAATGCACACGGTAGTACCTTCGTCCAGTCTGGATATCTATATCATCCAGTTTCACAAAGCTCGTTCGGTACCAGAGCTTATGACCCAGGTACATGACCAGAACGATGGGCACAGCCATCAATCGAAGGAATACATTCTGTACAATATCTCCTGTTGTTGCATTCTCCTTGGTCTCAACAGGTGCAACAGCTATCCAGACTTGACTCAGCAGGATGAGTGTGTATCCGCAGAGAGCGAACCATGATCCAATAGTACCAGATCGTGCGCGGAAGGGTAATTGCTCGAGAGTATGTGACGCATGAGCCCAGGCGTTTCGAAAACGGATATGCGTAAGGCAAATGCTTCCCCAGGTAAACAGCGTCGCTAGAGAACTGACAGACAGCAACCAGTCAAAGATAACATCATGGGCCTTCAAGTCAACAATGAAAGCTAATAATCCGACACAGGAGGCAAAGATAATGGCCACCAACGGACGACCTTGCTTATCAACGTAAGAGAAGATAGCTGGCGCCATGGACTGATCTGCAAGAGCAGCAAGCGTTCGTGAAGAACCGAAAACAGAAGAGTTGCCGACGCTAATAACAGCAATAAGGATAACCGCGTTCATAACACTTGGCAAGACTGTCGTTCCCATCGTTTCAATGGCGACGACGAAAGGTGAGGCGGCAGAGTTGGAGGAGCTGGCGTCGAGGATGCGAGGGTCGTCGTGAGGAACCAAAAGGCTGACGAGCATGAGAGAGACGATATAGAAGAGCGTGATACGCCAGAAGACCTGCTTGATGGCGCTGGGAAGGGACTTGCGAGGGTTAGCTGTCTCTGCTGCTGCTAAGCCGATAAGTTCTGTTCCGGTGAAAGAGAAGCATGATGTGACAAGCACAGAGCAGAAGCCTTTGAAGCCATTATTGAAGAAGCCTGGGTCAATCCAATAGCGGCCTCCGATGTAGCTTCCTGTGGGCTCTCCTCCAATGTTGATGACGATTCCAAGAAGGCTGAACAGGTTTGTTAGTCAAATGGGTTCATAAAAAGGAAAGTAGGAGATGGGCGCACGCACATGAAGGCGACGATAGCAGTGACTTTGATGGTTGAGAAGACGAATTCCGCTTCACCATAGGCTTTGACGCCAAAGAGGTTGATGACGAAAATAACCGCGAGGAAGATCACCACAAATATAGACTTGGCGATGCCCTCATTCCAGTAAGTGATGGTAAAAGCGCCAGCGATGATCTCGAGGGGTAGAGTGAAGAGCCATTGAAGACAGTAACTGGTCTAGTCAGCACTCCACTATTCAGTATGGCTTCAATGATGTAATGACTTACTTCCATCCCATAGCAAAGCCCCATGAGGGGTCGAGGAAACGTGTCGAGAAGGCAGAGAACGAACCAGCGATAGGAAAGATGACGGCGAGTTCGGCGAGCGATTGCATGGTGCAGTATTGTAGAGCACCAATGACCATGTATGAGATTAAAACACTACCAGGGCCGCCCTCGTGAAGAGCGGTACCGGATGTAACAAAGAGACCAGTACCTTTGAACCATTAGCAAGACGCTCCCTCGTCTGCGATAATGAGGTGACATACCAATAGCTCCACCAAAAGCAATCATTTGTAAATGCCTTCCCTTCAATTCCCTTGCCAGCGCTGACGTCGCAGTCTTTGCGTTGGCAGCTCTTATGTCAAAGTATCGGTTGTCTCCTGGTATTTGGGGCCTCTCCTCAGATTGGTACTGCTTATCCCAGCCCTTCTTCATCTTTCGTCGATCGGCCCTTCGAAAGCCATCCAGCCAGTCATTTTGCTCCTTGGATTGTTCCTCTGAACTGGGCACTGAGACAGCCCAGGCTTTGGTGGTGTTGTTGTTGGTGTCATCCTTGTATTGCGACGACGATGCGCTCATGTCGTTCATCTCGATGGCTTCGACATCGCGGGCGAGAGCGACCTCGACTTTGATGTCGGTCGTCTTCTTAATGTCATGTGACATTGCGAAGAGATCGTTTCACAATGCGATAAAGTTAAAAGATTGGAGAAAAGAGAGAAGAGTGGACAAGAGAAAGAAAAGACAAAAGATCGTGAGGGTCCGCCAAGGTTAAGGCTGTGGAGTCTTGGGACTTTGAGACAATGCACGTAATTAAATGTCAACGGGGATATTGGTTGATGGTCCGTGAGTCCACATGGCAAATCGTACATGAAGCAAAAGAAAAGAGGGATAAAAAAAAGAGGGAAGAGATCGGCAGAGATTCGATGGGGAAATACGCTGATGATAACGAGACAAAACGAGGGGAATAGTAGGTAGAACGAACTCGGCCTCATCGGCTTCAATATGGAGACTGATGCTACTTCTGGGGGTCTGGCCCGTTAGAAGCTCAGCGGCTGAAGACCAGTCTAGTGCCCCTGCATGAGAGAGCTTCCTTCGCTAGACTGCTCTAGGGGTATTTCTCCTTCAGTGGCGTGCTGTTTATCTACAAGGTCAAGCCATGTCAAATTCTCTTGGCAGGAGTAGATTGGCCTGTCAAGTTTTTAGTGTGTGTGAATGCTCATGCCAGAAAAAAAGGGCTTTAAACGTATTGGGACAAACAATGAAGAGGTTGCCCAGACAAGGAAGGTCGTTGGATGTTGTCGCGTGCTGTGGTTGCGTAGATTCCAGGGGTTCGTGGTCCAGACCCTGACCAGTAATTCCACTGTATCTAATCTATCTGTAGGTGCAGTGGCGATAATCACGCATCAATTGATCCTTTTACCATGTGATTGGTTACTGGTAAATGTCCAAGGATGAAATGGATTCCGTCCATATACCAGCCGGTCATATAACCATTCAAAATCACCGAGTTTGCAATTCATCGTGGAGAATAAAAGGGTAAAAAAAGACATTACAGACCCAACCTAGATCAAACTATTGCTGCTAGCCTCCGAAGTCGGCAATAGACTTTTTAATGGTGCCATCGCGCTGGAGCTAAGGCCTCAGTGTAGAACAAGTTCCTCTTGAGGAATGACACCCGAGTATCGCCAAGAACTCTAATTCCGCCTCATTACCATCTAATCACGGCAGATGATAATTATTTCATGAGATTAGTCATCGCTTCAGCAGAAATGGTTTGCACTGCGTGTAGACGGCAATCAAACTACTCAGCATCCCACTGGCACAAACGACACCTTCATCCCACTGAACAAGCCCTGCAGCCGCTGATGAGACGGTGATATCACACAGGCTAGAAACTAATTGGAGCTTACTAGCTGTCTTTCGACTGCGTCGTTGTAAATCACGTCAGCTTTCATGTGACGTAGGGAATGGAGGGCGATGCTTACAAGAGAGACCGCCTATCATCTTCATCACTGGCTTTCGATGTCTTCAATTGGTACAAGCAGTACACCTGCGCAACAAATCCACAAACACCTGCGGCAAACCATACCCGAAAAGCTCTCCTTTCCAACATCTTGGCTCCCTTCCAGGGGACGAAACCGATGCTGTTCAGCACTGTAGCGTTATCGCATGTCATGTATACAGCCGTTAACAGTTGACGAATCACGGTTATGTACCCCAGGAAAAGATCTTGGTGTCTACCCGTTAGGCCCCGCGCGGCAAAGCGGAACTGCTGCGTGAATTTCCCAACGCGAAGGAGCTTAGCTGTGAGCGAGAGCTGTCTCATCAGAAGCTGCCATCGCTGCACCGTAGACGGTGAAGCATTCTTTTGACTGAGGAGCCAAGCGGTAAGACGAGACGAGAATACGAGGAAGCGAATGAGGACATCGCGTTCTGTGGTTGTGAAGTGAATGTTGCTGATTTGTGAAACGATGAATGCTACATTCTTGTTCATCCTGGACGCCAAAAAATCCAACGTTGAAGGTGATAAATGTCTGTTAATGTCCCTGATGAACATGTGAGACTCCAAACAAACCAGAGACAAGGCGGTGTGTCCCACCAAAGTCGCGATAAGCGAACAGGGGTCTTTGGAGATGTCATTGAAGTCGATAAGCGGACAATGTTCTTATTGAGCTGCGTTATCCGAAAAGATGCCTCGGCTTGATGATGCTATGTTTGGAGATCTGGGGAAAACTGGATGTGTTATTCCCGTTTGAGGTTTGTTTGAGCCGTGATATTTCCACAATTGATATGCGTCCGCTATTCAACGGGCACTGAACCGCGGAATTGATTCCTGGTTGAGAATATTGCGACATGGCCTTGGTTTTATACGTGCTTGCCCGACTGGAGTAAGTAACCCGACCGGATCTGAGTTTCATAAGATAGCGTGAGGCATTGACTGTATTATCTACAGGATACCTCGATCATCCGGTCAAGGACAACTAGTATTACCGCCTGTCTTTGCGCCCGATCTCGGACACGATAACGATGTCATTACTTCAGTAGGGTATCGTTGAAACAAGCATGCCTATAATAAGGCGCACGTATCCGGTCATCCTTCTTGACACATTGAGGTTGCTTGATTTCCCCCTTCGATCATACCTACCCGGGACCAATGCACCCAGTAAGTGCATCATGACCATATCCATGGTTGACTACCTATCCACCGGATTTATTAGCGTGGCCAGTATCACCTGTAGCCCTACCGACACGGAGTTCCATCCCGTCAAACCTTGACCCGGCCGTTGGGTCGCATTGTCGATCCAACATGTCTCCGAGAAGGGAGCTGCAATTAAGCTTATAATATACTCTGTTGTACCAAGTCCTTCTTCGCCTTGGTCACTCATGGCCCCCCCAAATTCCACCTTCAAGATCTGATACGTTAGTGACATCAGCTGATATTCCCCTGGTGAGTCGGGTAATGAAGCCAGTGATCCTGTCTGACATGCATCCAGCCACATTAATTTGATTGGATGGGTCCCTCTTGGGGGGGCAGGACCGTTTTCAATCGAGTACGATCTGTATCGAACAATAGCCACCAAAGTTAAAGTGAACCAGGGAACGACTGAACAGCGCATTGACCACCAACTCCATGACACGGAGCTTGAATACGGATAGATTGCTTGTTCATAAGTCAGCATCGACGTCGCTGCGCCTTTGAATGTGGGACAAAAATAAAGGGGACAAGGCTGACAGCGTGATTTCCCACTCTCAACTCAACATCAAACACTTGGCAATCCATTCATTATCCAATCTTTGATCAAGATTGCCGCTCAGCGTTGCAAAGACAAGCCAATCAACCTGATATATGCCCATAAATAATCTTGCTAGGTGGATTCTCTAGTGAGATTGCTACTGTAATTCAGCCCTACCCTGTTAGTCTAGCTCTAGTTATTGTCCGTGTTCGATATCCACTGTCGGTCAACTCTTTCACTCCCCTTTCATCCATTCTACTTTTGCTCTTGCTTCAATCCATTTCGAGCTTCTCCAAAAGCGATAAACCCACCTGTTTCCAAAATGCCTACCCTGGAACCCGCGACAGATCTGGACCCCAATGTCTGGTACCAGCTCTCCGAGCTCGCTGTTGATACCGCCGATAAAGATTTGAACAGCATGCTTCAGCCTACTGCTGCGGGAGGTGATCTGCGAGTATGGCCAGCCAACAAAAATTCCTACTGGCAATTTGTACGTTCCCAATCGCATTCCAGCTAGTTACTCAACTGTTAACAACTTGTAGCAAAAAATAGATGATAAGCCCGGTCGATACCAATTGCGATGCTCCGACACGACCGTCAAGAAACAGCTCTCAGTATGCTACCGACCGGACGTTATAGACGAGAAGCGCCGCACAAGACCATGCTTGATGGCAACCGATGATACCGACAAGCAAAAATGGGATGTATCGCTATGGGGCGAGGACGATACATACAGAATAACGAACGTGCAGAATGGTACCAAGTGGAATCTAGATTGTATTCCCGACGGTCCAGTGTTTATGAGCTCCAATTTCGAGGGAAAACAACCACGCCAACACTGGATACTACAGAGCGTTGGAGAGGTGAATAACGAGATGTACTCAACCACATACAGCGCGGTAAGTCGTTTGACAAATACACAAGGGGTCATCTGCTAAAGCATGCAGCCACCCGAGTCGACAGGCGATAGTACCACCACCACAGCCGGCACAGCGGCCTCCAACTCCGAAGCGACCGCAACATCCGACCCTCCAAGCAACGAAACGAGCAACAAGGATAGCAGCAGCAATAGTGACAGTAATGGGAATAATGGTTTGTCCTCTGGTGCGGTCGCTGGCATATCAGTGGCCATCACCCTCGCCGTTGTCGCCCTAGCGCTAGCAGGATTCTTCTTCTGGCGGCGCAACAAGCGCAAGCATAGCCCCGTTGCATCTTCGGACCCTTCGGACGACAAGTACAACAACTCGCCTATTGTGGTGTCACCGGAAGATGGCAGCCATTCTTACTATTCGCCTGTCAAAATGCCTGGTACGGTCGAGATGTCGCAAGACCAGAGGCCTGCCGAGCTGTCAAATGGTTATCAACGGCATGAGTTGGCATAGACGAGACGCCACGAACAACTGCATGAGGAAAACAAGGGCATAAGCATGCATATTCATTTTTGAAGCTATTATTAAAAGCACATCAGCGAAGCGTAATTTCCAACACTTATACCATTTTATACCATAGTCAATGCATTCCAGCCTACGTATCTAAATCGCAGTTTATGTCAACCTCAATTTTCATATTGTCCCCGCATATCAACTTGACCAGGTGAATCCAAAGATTATACACAAACGCCTTGTCTGTCGACGCCACCGCATGAAGTATAAGAACTGGCCAGAAATACTATTATATGACTACAAGAAGTATCAGTACGAGAGATCGTTCATTTGGAACAGACAAAATGCGGCAGAAAAGCCAAATGAAATCGATTGTTTTCCGAGTCTGGGACAGAATCTTACTGCCACGCTAATATTTAGATCCCTTTTGATAACACTATCCAGATGCGACAAAGGTCATTCCTTCGTAAGCACTAGTTTTCCTTGCTTTGGATATAAATATGTCGACCTCCACTTGATGCACACTGAAAGTTTGGATAGTTGCGGAACTTTCCAAGAACTCGCGGAACGAACACTTGAAACATGGCCGCCAATTCACTCGCTAGCCCAAATGGCATCCTCAGCTTTGTAGCTGAAGACTTCAAACAGTCACCAGGCAACTACATAACGGTACTGGTTGTACTGCTCATCAGTGTCTTGCTACATAAACTATCAACGCCATTCCTTGAGGCGGGCGAGCCTCCCTTGCTTAAACCTACATTCCCCATCATTGGGCATTTCTATGGCTTGATGAAACACCAGAACATCTACTTGAAACAATTATAGTGCGTATGGACACAACTGCATCGATAGCAAGAATCTAACACGAAATGTAGCGACAGGTCTCACAGGCAAATCGCGACTCTACCCATCCTTGGCGGCAAACTCTACGTCATATTCGACCCAGTCATTATTCAATCTGCATACCGAAAAAAGACACTCTCGTTCGAACCATTTGCTGCAGAGTTTGCGCAGAGAGAACTGCTATTGTCCGATCGAGTTCAAGACAAGCTCAAGAATACCAACCTTGTGCCAGAATTCTTCGCTGCTATCCATCCTGCTATGACAGGCGATCATATTCATCGAATGAATGCAAATGCACTGAACTACATCTCGAATGATATCAACAAGATTAGTGGATACGGTAAATTGGAGCATGCGAATCTCTGGCTTTGGTTGAGAGATCTTGTGACTATGGCAACCGCTGAAGCACTATATGGATCAAAGAACCCATTGAGACATGATCATAGATTACTGGACGACGTTTGGTGGGTTGCAAATAATATTTAGTGTTAACGTCGACTAACAACTCGCAGGACTTTCGAAGCCGGTCTCAACATACTATTGATCAACATCCTCCCTGCCATCACGGCTCCCAAAGCCCATCAAGCTAGAGCGCGACTCCAAGCCGCACTGGGAAAGTACTACGGCGCGAGAAGTTACGAGGATGAAGACGCATCGGAGATAGTGAGAGCAAGAGCAGGTGCGTTTTTGAGATATGGTGTTCCAGACGAGGAGGTCGGCCACATCGAACTGGCGCTTCTGCATGTGGGCACGGCTAATACCATTCCTACTCTCTACTGGTTTTTCGTCAACGTCTTTAATCGACCTGAACTTGTACAACAGCTGAGGGAGGAAGTTCTTCCAGTCATACAGAAGAATGGAGAGGACAAGGCTGTTGTCGACGTGACAATCTTGGATGAGAAGTGTCCCTTACTTGTCAGTTGTTACCGAGAGGCTATTCGACTTAGCAATCAGGCCGTAGGCAACCGCCGTGTCCTCGAAGATACAATGGTCACAGACAGTAAAGGCAATTCGTACCTTCTCAAGAAAGGCGAGAATGTCCAAATGTCCGCTGCAGTCAGTCACAACCTCGACACCTGGGGCGAAGACGTATCTGCCTATAAACCAGATCGGTTCATCGAGAACAAGGCCAACACTGAGAACGAAAAGGCGAAGCGTTCAGCTTTCATCGCCTTTGGCGGTGGGCGTAACCTCTGCCCTGGGCGAAATTTTGCGTTCGCTGAAAACCTGGGTCTGATAACTTGTCTGCTGACAGGTTTTAACGTCACATTTCCGGATGGACCTGGATTCCCGACTAGTGTAGACTGTAGTTTCTCACAAGCTGCTAAGAAACCCTTGAATGACGGGGAAGGGTTTGGAGTGAGAATAGAGAGGAGAGTGGGGTGGCGGGAGACCCAGTGGTCATTCAAATCTTAAAGTTAAGGGACTGATTAATATTGAGGTTAACTTAAGTCAAACCAAGTGAAACACAGCAATTACCAAAGAAAAACCTCAATCGACGAGAGTTAATTGTGCGAGAGGCCTGTTGACTCGGGCGAACGACTCCACTTCCGAATGGACAAGATATGATTCGATCATGATAAATTGTACTGTTGAAAATATATACAGAAAATGGCCAAGCGCCTATGTAATAGACTAAAGGGGACAGTGTCCAAGCAAAACCGACTGATGCAACAGCCTCCAAGGCGCATTGGTGCGTCCTTGTTGTTCGACATCGTCAGATTCTCCAACTATCCCACCCGTCGCTGAATACCACCTCCTCTTAGATGTAAGACTTGAGAAGGGAGTTGTAGTACTGGTATGCAGAACCACTGGGAGGCTCGAAGCTGTACATGTAGTCGCCCCACCAGGGACCAGCAGACCACCAGGTAAAGCCCTTCCAGACATCGGTGTTGGCCTTCATAAAGTCAAGCATGTTCTTGACAGCAGTCTTGCAGGTCTCGTTGGGACCACCAGCAAACTCGCCTATCATGCCGATCTTCTTGTTATCACGGAGCCATTTGGTAGCAGCCTGGAGACGCTCGACACCGATAGATGTGGAAACACAGTTGGGAGAGGTGCCAGAGCTGTCAGAGTCCAGGTACTGGTGCATCTCGTAGATGAGCTTGTTCTCGGGGTCAGTCAGAGCCTTCATGTTATCGTTAACATCGGGCCACGACCAGGCACCGGACCACTGGTTGCCCTCAACGAAGATGTACTGAGTGGCACCTGCAGCGCGAATACCGTTGATGGCGGCTTGGTTGAGGTTGAGGACAAGGGTCTGGTCCATGGTGTGGTACTCGTTGTTGGTGTCGAACATGATACGGCTGTTGCTCTTGAACTGAGTAGCAAAGTTCTTCCACCAGGTTTGGAAGTCTGAGGTGGAAGTGATGATCTTGTCAAAGTAGCGGCCGTAGTTGTGAGGGTCAAGAAGAACAGTGGCTCCCTTGCCAGTGATGTGGTTGACGATGGAGGTGAGGTTCTTCAGGTAAGCCTGGTCGTAGGCGCCAGTCAAGCCGCTGGGGTTAGCACGCTCCATCTTGAGCTGCACACGGAAAGTGTTGTAGCCTTGAGAAATGAGGGTCTAGAAATATGTTAGAAACTGCTATGGTATGGAGTACATGCACTTACGTCGACAGCAGCAGGCTCAGGGAAGGTGAAGTCCTTACCCCAAGTGCCAGGAAGGTTCTTCTCTCCAAACTCACCACCAGCTTCGTTGACACCAGCCCAGAGGAACTTTCCATCGCCAGGTGTTCCAGTGGGAGTAGAGCCACCACCGGTGGTAGTCTTGAGGGTAGTAGAGGGAGGCTCTGCAGTACCGGGCTGGCACTGACTGTACCACTGGTTGACGACAGTGCATTTGTAGCCTGAGACGCAGCTTGTGGAACCAGAGAAGCCTTCACCACCGCATTGAGCCCAAGCTCCGCTTTGAGCGACGGAAAGACTGGTGAAGAGACCGAGGGCCAGAAGGGACTTCATGATGACTGATACGAGGTTGATCTCGAGGGTGTCGTGCTCAACTGAGGAGTCTGATTCAACGAGGAATGCACTGATCTTTATATCTTTCTAACATCTTATATGGGCTTCTACCCTGGCACGCTCCCCATGTCTCGATGGACTGTCAAAGATTTGGGCTACGGAATTCACAGTGTAGCATCCGTCGTCCCATCATTCGATTGACCCAAGACAAGTTAAAGAGTAGATAATAGTATAAACAACCGAGACCCGGCCCGGAATCCGCAATAGTATCGGGAAGCCTGATACGCTATGCCTGGGGAAATAGAATTTCCAAGAACCGGAGGGCACCTCCATCTGGGAAATTTCGCTCTCAAGGCCGAGCCGTAACCGACAACGGAAGAGCAGATTCCGTAGTACCATGTAGCAGAGGGGAATTAACAAAGCACATGATCAATCCAATCACGGTGTAGAAAGTAGAACCATAACTTTGCACGCCGACTAAGTGAGTCAAGGTGGGTACCGGAACTTGAGGCTCCGTGAATACACATTGAGACGTACAAAGACATTGGCAACTTCGGAGAAGAGGGCCATGATTCCGTCTTGATTACTGGGCTTGGTTAATTGTAGAAGAGTAAATAGTCGTAGCATTAAAGAAAGATTTATTAAATACTGGGTATAAAAATTTAGATGGTAAACAAAAATCAAGTCTACAGACCACGTGAACTACCCAGGAAGCATGGCTCCACCCTCGCCCATGGCGGCGCCATTGTAGGGATTGTGCCCCCATTGTTGGGGGGCAACATTCATGCCCTGCAATCCAGCTTCCTGCTGCTGCCCTAATCCAGCCCAATGCCAATTGTTCCAGTTGACATTAACCTGCAAAGGAGTCATCTGCACCTGGTGGTTGACCATGGGCTGGACAACAGCGCCCCAGTTGTTGGCATCATGCATTGAGGGCCGAGCAACCATTCCAGGTGCAGGCTGACCAATGTACGACGGATTCTGGACGTACATGTTGTTTCCTACAGCCTCAGGATAAGCATGATGCACTTGAGGCAGAGCCCCAAGTGCGCCCTGCTGCAGAAACATCCCAGCTAGGACAGGCTGATGAGCAGCCTGAGAGTTGGTGGCAGACTGCTCCTGCGCCATGTCCTCCAGCTGGGCCATCAGCTGAGGAGATAATTGGGCTTGGTTGCCGTTTTGAGAACGACTGGGCTTCATGACCTTGTGTTTGGCCTGCTCTGTGAAATAGTTACCGTCAATACAAATTAGAGACATCAAGGGAAAGTACGTACGATCACCCTTGGGGCGGTTCTTGCTCCCCTTCTTTCGTCCCACACCATCAATTACTCTGACATCCTCTTCAAAACTGTTAATCTCGATTGGGGAAAGTACAGGCAGAAAAAAGAGTTACTTACCGTCGTGTGAAGGCAGGCAATTTGAGGACCGATGGTTCTCAACGCAGCGTCTGCAGGCGATCTTTTGCCCGTAGGCATTCCTTCGGCAGATGGTGTTACCATTTGCATCTTTCTTTACGTTTGCCATCGTGTGTATAGTGGTTTGTAGATGACGGCTAAGTTGAGTGATGGGAAGATGGGAAAATAGGAAAGATGACTTGGTTATATAGTTAAAAGGATATGAATAACTTTGACAATCATTTACTCGTTGCCTGCCTGGGCTCGAAGGAAAACTTTGTCAATAAACTTCGTGTTCATTTATGACTGCGAGCAGTCAATTTCGAAATTTACATACTAGCATACATGCCCTTATTCCAACTTTCTCTCTATATACCGTGAAGAGCCGTGCCATTAAAGTTCAAGCACTTACACGGTTACTTTTGTAGGCTCAAGTACCCGCAACTTAAGCCTACTTTCTCCACTCGAACTAGGGTGTTCCCGAAAGTCAAGTCAAACCTTGGGAGACACCACTCTATAGATAGGCATGCTGGGACGCTTTTCTTAAGTCGCCATGTTTCGTTTCAAGCCAATGAAAGATCAAGGTCATTTATTGCTAGCTTTTAATTTCTGTTTCCAAGAATTTGCGTTCCAAACAAGCAAAAATTGAGGTAGATGGTCAAGCCACTTGCCGTAATATTACCACCGCCTTGCACCAAAGAGTAAAGGGGAAAGTGGCTAGGAACCCCTTAAGATTCTGCGTTACAATAGATTCGTCCTCGTGAAGTCTTCCAGAACCCATTTTACTTTCACTTCCACCCAAGCAACTCTCCTAAAACACTGACTCTGCCTAACACTTTCCCATGTGACCTGCAGAGTTCTATTAAATTTGAAATTATCTACGTAGCCTCTAACAACAAGAAAGATACTTCAACAAGGTGGCAATCCAGCCTTCCCAATCAGTGCCTCGCTGCTGGTTTCGTCGAGTATCTACAGCATTCATGCGTGAAAAGCTCTTGTACGCTGAACATAAGTCTTCTCCTAGTAAACGCAAAACCGAAAGATAGGTTTGCTAAGGATTGAAGCTAAGTCTATGATAAGATAGTTTCTTTGAAGGTGTGTGATGAGGCTTCAGGCACAGTCGAGGCATGTCATGTTAATGGTCCCCATCGTGTCTATTCAGCCAATACAAACCCCTGAGGATAGAGAATTCGAAGAACAATCCTGGATGCCACAGATAAGCCCAAGTAGAGAAGTACAGTGAGCTTATCGTCAAAGTCTAAGAGGTTTTGACGCGGTGTACTTATTTCACCGGCAGTGATAGGTAACCACTCGATAAACTTGTTCATCACGGGGAGATATCCACAACCATTGTTTCTTTCGGCGTAAAGTGTGCTTCTGCAGCAACATGCACAAAGTTTTCCATCTTCACGAATTTCTAACTTTCCATTTCTACCACTATATAATGCGAATCCTTTCCCCTTCTCTCCAGTTTCTGCATTTCACTCTGCACCACTTCACACAACCATAGCTACCACGACACTCCCAACTATCTCTACCAACTCACACACTTATCTTCCATAAGTACAATCTAAACAATTGAGAGTTATCCTTCCTCTCAATTGCTTGCAATCTAATATTGACCAATAGTTACCAACTATGTCTAATCAGGGTGACTGGACTGGTCGCATGCACGGGCAGCACAGGGTCTGCTGTGAGCGGTGCTATGATAACCATCGAAACAGGTCAGCGTGAAAGCCCACACACGAAGGTAAGCCAGCTGGCATTCCCCTTCCTGTCATAGGCAACTTACTAACTCTCTTCTTAGGGTTACTGATCGTTCTCGGGAATGGTTCGGGTCGTCCCAGGGGGGCCAAGAAGGGGACAGCAGCTGTCCCCGCTCTCATCCTCCAAGACAACACCTTTTTACCAGAGGGGCGGATGGTATTTAAGGGAGACAGGCCTACAAACAAGATGCTGCGCCAAGAGCGAATAGCCCACCATTTCCGGGGGGTAGCACAACAGGAACAGCAAGCAGCGCAGAGGCAAGCACTGCAGGGCCAAGGCTTAGCCATGCAGCAGAGCAATGGGTTACCCTGCCAAAGCCCAAGCATGTTCCCAAATCAGACACAGGGTTTCCAACAGCCAGGGCCTGTGTCTGGGGGTATGGGCAACTCCCAGGGTTATGCCATGCCAATGCCCGCCAATGCTATGGGCAATAGCATGGCCCATCACCTCCGCGTGCAGAATCAACAGACGTTGGCTCCTGTTGATCAAGGTGTCCCCTTGACCGTACACGGGCCTACACCCGTTCTGGCACCTACCGCCGGCACTGGTCACGCTCCCGCAGTTCCCCCTCTCCCCCGGGCATTTCCTGCTGAAGGCACCAACTTTACCAACAACGACTGGTTGGGTGGCCTTGACCTTAACGAGTCCCTCAGGCTGGCTTGGGTTTCTTGGGCTTCGGCGGAGCAACTTAGAATGTTGTCCCATCCATCCTTCTGGGTCGAGCCCTGAATATGGCCTCTGGGTTTGTCTAGAATATGGCTCTGCGTTCCGGTTCGGAGGATCTGTATGGGATGCTTTAATGTGGGAGATAAATGAATAGGGTTAAGCTGGTAATCTTTTGCGTTTGGTTTTGTTTTTGGTTCTGTCTTTATTTTAATATACCCTGTATTACTAGTTGATTGATATTATGCCTCTATTTATACCTACTTTGTATCTATACTAACTTTGAGGTACCGCAAGTTTTATATGTCGTTCATATAAAGTTAAAAAGATTTATTCTTAGCAATGCGCGATTGTTCGGGACGCGACGTTTTAATATGGGAACGCGTGGTAGAAAAGTCAATTTTGGTGTGCAGTATGGGTTTGGGGTGTGTCTTTACTAAGTCAGTTGGGTAGATGGAGGGAGAATGAACAAGAGGAATAAACTATAAAACGAGATCGTTCCCAACTTAATGGCCCATCTAAGACAAGAGCAAAGAAACAGCAATCCCAGCAACAGATATGGCTCCGAATACATGTGCAAAGTATGTCGAGGCGCCAGAAGTACTTGTAGGTGTAGTGGTTTCCTTTTCAGAACTCTCAGTGGTGGTTGCGCTGGCTTCTGGAACACCAGTATGTTTGGCGCTGAGAAGATCCAAACCAGCGGTAATGACGACAGGTGCATAAGTAAGGTCGTACGCTTCCAACTCATCAGTGTCGGAGATAGTAGAAGTGGGAGATCCATCATCGTTTCCACCCAGATTGATGGTGGTGCAACCCTTAGCAACGGTATGGGACATTTTGCAGTGGACAGACATCCTCCAATCATCCTCGTCTTCAGATGGCATCGTGATGAAGATATCCAGATTTCCTGTGCTGGCAGCGCCGGCCGGAATGGTTTGGCTTGCCCAGGGTCCAACCGTAAGTGTGTTGTTGTACGTGCCACAGTCGTTGCCATCGGTGCCAGGGGGGCAGTTCAAGAGGTATGTGGTCGCTGTGGCGTCGGCGCCAAGGACTTCGGCGACAAGGGATTGGGTGCCATAATGTGGAAGAGGCAGCGACGTGGAGAAACGAGTGGTAGTCATGTTGTATAGTGCAATGGTCTGGTAAAGAGTGATCCAGACAAGGTTAATGCCGTGAGGAGATATTAAAGAGCGAAAGTACGGAATAAATGAGTGTTTGTAGAAGAGAAACGGGAAATGGGAAGGAAATGAGAAAGGAGACAAGCCATTCTCCAGTGGGTTAGCCTTGAATCATGTTGTTGGTCCATGGGTAGTTCAGCCAGGCACCTGCGCGCTAGTTGAGGATAAGCGACAGTAGGGAATCCAATAGTACATAGTATTCAATTTGATCTCTTTCTACCATCCAATTACTGGTCTGGTGGTCTAGTGGTATGATTCTCGCTTAGGGAAAACCCTATAGCATTGCTTGCGAGAGGTCCCGGGTTCAATCCCCGGCCAGACCCTTCCTTTTGCTTTTTACCGCTCTTGATCAATACTTTTTCTTTTGGCAGTTAAGGAGTGCCACTCTCTCTATACTTGCTTTTTGATATCTGTTTGCGCTCGGCTACTTCTTTGTCTATTGATCACTGTTTAATAAATACTATAGGGGATAAATCACCAAAGGAAGAGGGCAACTTCAAGTTGTCTATTATCATGTTTTCCACCTATTCGGGCCTTTCTTGTAGCTTCAAGTCTGTCACTCTATCGTGTAATCAGTGCTCCTCGCTACATCCTCCCATTTGTTGCAAATTTCCAATGTCTCCTCACACTTTGCTTTAACTCTTCCCAAACAGTCCGAACCCAGTGGTACACGTAGAGGCACTGTCTTTCCCTCCGCAAATCCAGTCCCCTTCACCAGCTCAATCATGCGAGCAACTGCCACCTCTGGATTTCCTGGGGAATTCGCCGACAACGTAGCCACGCCACTTCGAACTGCTTCGTTGAATTGAGAGTATTCAGGCACACCTCCCGTAACATACTGCACTTTGTCGAAGACGGGGGTACGGCAGTATCCTGGTTCAACGATGAGGATTCTCAAGGTTGGTGCTACAATTGCAAGTTCTTTTGCGAGACATTCCACAGCACCTGATATGTTAGCTATGAAGGGATGTGCAGTGCAGTGGAGTTTACCTTCTAAGGCGAATTTGCTGGCGCAATAACTGGATGCGCCAGGGTCAGAGTGCCAGGCAGCTTGAGAACTGACATAGAGCAATGTTCCAGACTTTCTCTCTTTGAAGTACGGCAGTATTGCACGAGTGGTATTTAAGGGACCATGCAGATTGACCTGGAATGACCTTTCTAGATCCTCTTGGCTATTATTGTGTCAGTCATGTCAAACACAATGCCAGGAGACTTACGTCTGTTCTTCAAAAGATCCACTGAGAATAAAACCGGCGTTGTTCACAACCACATCGATTCCATCATAGATAGCCCAAGCCTCGTCAATTTTGGCCTTGATGACTTCGGGAGGTGCTGCGACATCAAGATCGAGAATTGCTGCGCCAGTGTCTTTCAAATGAAAAAGCTTTGTCTGGGCATTTCGCCCCGTCGCTATAACATTGTCGCCTGCAGCGCAAAGCTGACGAACGAAGGACTCGCCAAAGCCACTGGAGCAGCCGGTTATGAACCACGTTAGAACCATGGTTCTGATATGTATACGATATGGACAAGTGTCAGACAATAAGCAGGGAGGGGTTTCTGTCAGTTAAGTACAGTAAACAAATGACCCATTTTAAGATCTCCAGACTCTGGTGAAAGTGAGGTTGGCTTATTCTTCGACCCGCAAAACACCCAAGAACTACCTAGCTCGCCTTAGATCGACAGTAAGCAGTTGAAGGAGACTGTCAGCAATTGTGGATATTATCTGACAGTGCATGTTTAGCATAAAGGCAGGCTCTTTGTGCATGGATATGAAGATGGGAGTTGCTCAATACTGATCTCTTGAGATAATGGAAATTCATTCTGTTAAGTGGCCCGAAGTAGTAGGACTGGTCCGAATAGTGTACGCAACCTACCACGGGACGACACCATGCACTCCTACTACGTTTCCAACAGCTTCATCTTTTTCGCCCCGAATAACACAAGCTATTCGTTCACCTCCATCCCCTGGTTCAGCCGCCCCACGCTGTCTAAGAGATTCAGCGTTATGCGTAAAGTTAGTCGCGCATAGCCCTGGATCCGCACCAAAAACCAAGAAGCCCTCCGGCTTGAGTCGAGCATAATACATTGCCATAAGCATAGTCAGACCAGCTTTGCTAATTCGATACTCAGTAGCATACCCACTGTAGTATGGTGATTTCGGGTTGGCAGCATGAGTGATGGAACCTGTGCTTGACGTGACAAATATGAGGCGGGGAGGCATATGTTCTGCTTTTCGAAGAAGGGGAAGAAAGGATTCAGTGACGCTGAGTGCTCCAATGAGGTTGGTTTCGAGAACAGAGCGGAATGCTTCGCGGGTTGGGGGGCTGGCCATAGAGATGATACCAGCGTTGTTGACTAGAATATCCAATCGGCCCCATTCCGAAGTAAGATGAAGAGCTGCAGAATCGACAGATCTATCGTCCGTCACATCGATTTGTATGCTAGAGACTGTTCCTCTGATTTGTTCCAGCGATCGAAGTTCACTCGCTGCCGCTTCCCCTTTGGCTTCGTCTCGACTACCAATAATGACATGGTAGTCAACAGATGATAGAAGTAAGTTCTTCGCCGTTTCGTAGCCGACGCCCTGATTGGCGCCTACGGATCAAACTCAATGATGTAGTTCGGTAATGTTGTGGACATACTCTACTCACCAGTGATCAGAACGAATTTCTTGTACTTGGACATTTCAAGAGGACGAGACGTGATATTGTACGGACATAGCAAGATAATTGCGACATTACTTGTCGTAGTATAAGTATTACTTGCTGCATGTTCCCTGCCTTGTTGATGGTGGCGGAGTTAACGGGAAGTTGTGAATAAAATCCGTTGGCGGAACTCAGTACTATGCTTCAACGGTGGTGTTAAACGGAGTTATGCCGCGTTCCATTCGACTGCAAAAGATCTACTAGAACTAGTCGTTGCCCTAGAGTTTGCAATGTTGGTGGTATTATTTCAATGGCATAGTCCAGAAAGCCTCTCGATATTGCTTCGACGATTAACTACACTGTTACAAAACAAAGGGACATTTATACTGTCATCATCATCAAGTGCAAAAGATATTGACTGAGATCACCGTGTCTCACCTAAAACTACAATTGAAGCCCAGTTATCGCAAAAAAAGGCAAAAAAGGCAAAATATTAACATACAACAGCGGGGATTCGCTGGTCGTCACCGACCCAACTACTAATCCGCCCCTTACCAGCTTATCTATGGGAGAGCGGACGGGATCCCGAGTTCTCTGATAGGTATGGTCGTATGTGATTGAAAGCTCTGCAGTTGAAGATTATGACCTACTCTTCTCAGGACAGCCGTCAGTAGATCATAGATAACAGTAGCTGGATAAACCAGTCGACTGGTTTGCTGACGTTTTTCACCTGTAACACTAATCTAGTTCCAGCAAAATGTAGTTTTATAAAGAATATATCCTTGTAGTCCAGGAAAATTACCTATGGAAAACATTGTTGAGTTCCAGTGCTAGCGTATAGTGTATACAGCAAAATCAGAGTCAAGATAAGCAGATTTAGGGATTAACTACCGGGCAGAATCATCTGAGCTCAAACAACCAGAATGCACTAGGATTTGGAAAAATCAGTAACTAATGATACTAACTTAATAGAAAAACAGAAATGAGATTAATACTATCAGTAAAGTAAACTCTATGCTGTTGGATAATGTCTCGAAGCAGCAGCTTACCCTAGGACTGTCAGTTCTCTGGGAACCGTGACGGCGCACGACATAGAGAGTACACTGACCACTTCCACTATCTAATAGCGGGTTTAGCTCAGTTGGGAGAGCGTCAGACTGAAGTAAAACTTCAATCATTCGATATCTGAAGGTCATGTGTTCGATCCACATAAACCGCAACCAATTCTTTTTGCACTCGGTGCTTATTTCTTACACATTTAAGGTCTGTTAAACAACACCGTGATTGGTTGGGCCTTGGTTATAATATTTTGAAATCCATGTTTTCTATATCCGAAATACTATTCTGAACTTTATCGAGAGCTAGGGATTAGTTACTTGCGCATTCGCTCAGCCTGACAGGGTGTGAACCTCAACGGGCTACAATCAGTTTTCTCCGTCAGTCTTAGCTACCCTAAACCGTATTGAAGAATGACTTAAGCCAAGGCGTCTTGGCTGATGAAATGTGGACCAGAACTGTGAACCCCTGCATCGATAAATCTCCCCTGAGCTTCAGCCTACTCTCTACTCCTATCATTGTGTTTCTATCTTGCTTCTACAGAGTATTCGCATTCAACATGACCTCACACACGACAACGTCGCTTCTCCTCCCTGCCTACACAGGCAATTTTGTCGCTAATATTATTGGTGCCGACGCCACTGCCACGACTTTTGTCCTTGATTGCGACTTCAAGAAGGATAAACAAAATTGCGGCTTGACTAAAGATACTATCATCGTCGGGCCATGGGCTGATAAGACTCCTGCGCCTGGTGCGGCAACAACCGGCCTTTATAAAGAGTATATGGCAATCAAAGACGAAGATGAAGACTACACGTTTTCTGTCCAGTGTGACATGAGCAAAACATACGCTAAGACATGCACCACTATCAACATCGGCGGCAACGACAATGGAAGCCCTACTGCGACTTTCCCTCGCACTGCTAGTGATACTTCTTTATACGAATACTTCGGCTACGGAAGTTTCACTTGGGTTCCTGTCACTATCACATCCGGCCAGGAGTATCTTTCAACTACTGTTTCTGGGACCACGAAAGCTACAGAGGCAACAACTGCTGAAGGGCAATCAACAAGGAACATCGATGACGACGACTTAGTGACGATAACGGGCGAAGCTGAACCTTCAAAGACTCACGAAAACGTGGTAACCGTAACTGGTGAGGCCGAACCGTCGAAAACCTCCGAGAACAGTGCACATACATTGCACGGACTAGGTCTTCTCGCCTTCTTTGGCCTGGCCACTATTGCAATCATAGTATAAAGCATTACGGTTAAAGAAGCTATCTTTTTAAGCACATATCGAAAGAGCTTATGTAATGTATTAGATCAGGCTTATCAGACCAAAGCTACTCATGACAGAAGTAATGGGATTTCTCAAAATGTATAAATATTAGACTAGGATTCATTCACCATGTCCAGAATTGCCATGAGTTCTGCCTCCAGCTCATCCGCCTTATTGAACTGGTCTCGGCGCCTATAAGTGACAATCAGGCAGCCCATGGCATTTCTAGTGTCTGGATGAGCCGTACCTAAAACCTTTTGCCTAAGCCTCACGAGCTCTACCTCTAACTCCTCTGCCTTTCCCCATCGTTCCTGGCTCTCATGTATTCACGCTAAATTATCTATCCGCTGCAGCGTCAACGGGTGTTCTGCGCCCAGAACCGGTTCGCTTGCAGTCTTGCCTGTGTGCCCATATCCTCTGCCTCGCGAAAGCGATGTAGTGACAGGTATGTTGTTGCCAAGTTAGCGACGGCTGAGATTGTCTCTGGGTGATCTGCCCCTAGTACCCTTTCTCGAAGCGTAACCACTTCAACTTCAAGGGTCTCGGCTTCGTCTAAACGGCCTTGATCATGACGGATTAGGGCTAGGTTCCCGACAGATGCCAGTGTGCGAGGACGTTCGGGCCCAAAAAGCCTTTTGCTGGTCTCTATCGCCTGCAAGATCATAGCCTCAGCCTCCTCGAGACGTTTGAGATTCCGATAGGTTGCTGCTTGGTTCGTCATACTGATGAGCGCGTGTGGATGCTCGGGTCCATATCTCCTTAAGCTTATCTCTAACACTCGTGCTTCAACCTGTTCGGCTCTGTCCCATTTACCTTGAAGTCGGCATGTGGATGCGAGCCTTATCATGTTGAGATGAGTGAACAGGCTCTCCTCACCCACGTGTGCCATCTGGGCCTACAAATTTACACGGACATCTGACAAAAGTGTTGAGAGGGTATTGCGACGGATCATGCCGGACGAGGAGGATAGACCGGGCTCGTAGAGAGTCGTGGTATTATTAGCTTCACATTGTAGCCAGTATTGTGCTCAAAATAGGATCGTGGTTCGGCAGATGAAGATACTAAGTACAATGGATGAAGAGGCAAGAGGTGAACGCCAAAGCTGACATGTAGTAAAACCCTGATTTACTCTTGGATTGTGACCAGACAAAGACCCTGCGAGGATTCTCTGCAGTTGATGCTCAGTGCAATCTTATGATCAGTCAGAAGAGATGGTGTATCGAGAAGCACGGCCCGTCTCTAAGGATCGAGGCTGAGTATGATGGATTGCTTGAGATATATGAAAGGAATCGGTTGAAGCAGGGCTTATGTACCGGAAATCACACATATTTGGCAGCCTTTGTAGCCAAAGAATTGGTTGTAAGGAAAATGACCGCTTGCAGTCTGTTTTAATACGAAAACCTAGGGCTCGACTTGACGGTCATTTGCTGGGCGATATAGGCTAAAGCCGCCTGGAATGGTCCTTTACAGGTAAAGTGATGCAGGTTCACCAGGCGCAGCAGGTCGATAACTCTAGCAAGGATGCTAAGATGAGACAATAAGCTACAGAGGTCTCACAAAAGAGATGGTCAATTGAATAGATTATGCAGCCATCATGCGTACCAGACTCAGTTGTTGACCAAGGATCCTACAGCTTGGACCAGACTTATGATGTTTCTGGACCATGCGCCTGTCTCGTTTCAATCAGAAAGGCTACATTCGTCCATTTTTCCATGATTTGCCATCTCGAACTCGTGAGATTCCACTTTGCGACCGCAGTTTTTCATGCTCGCAAAAAGACCAATGACATGTCTACAAGGAGGAAATTAAAGACCCGCTGACACTCCGTTTCAACCTTGATCTAGTGCTTATCAATGATGTAAACAGGAGATGACTTGGACGTTGTGTCTGCAAAGACGTGTCCAACAAAAGAGTAGACAGAAAACAACGAGGAGAGACAAGATGCCAAGAAGAAAGCCACAGAGGTTCGGCCCGCGACAAATGAGCGGTGTCTTTGTACAGTTTGTCTAGAGTCTAGACAGACAATAACCAATTGTCTCTGGCATGTTCCTTAAACTTAGACCCATGGACCCCTGGAATGCTCAGCCCGAATACCCACCGCTAAGCCAGACCCGATATTAGCATCATTCCTTTCAGCACGGTCTAGATGTCAATCCATCCGCAAATCCTACAATCCTTCCAGCAAAGCAATTTACAATATATATAAACATCCAGCCCGCCAAGTCAAAATGGATACATTAAGTTCAGAACCATCACCATCTGTATATCCATATCATCATGCATCTGACTTCTTACCTCTCCGTCGCCGTGACGCTCCTCGGCCTTACAACCGCCGCACCCAAGGAGTGTTCTACTAAGCGCTCCCCTGTTCCCAAGCTTGAAGGGGGTCATTACATCATTGACCGCTCTACCAAGTTTGCCAACAAGCAGGTCTGGACGTTCAACGGCAAAACTCTCCCTGAGGGCCTCTACGCCAGCGATTATCCTGTTGGCAAGACTCACGTCTTTAAATCATCCAACGTCAAGCTTAGCAATGGCTACCTCGAGCTTACAGTGCCAGGTGGCCAAAAGGCTAAGCCTTACAAGTCCGCCGAAATTGCTACCGAGATGGAGAACATTATGTATGCGTCTGTCCGAACGACGGCCATTCTGAGCGAACCTGCAGGTGTTTGCAACGGTAAGTCCCAACAACTCAATTGAATTGAGCCCTTACTAATAATTTACAGGAATGTTCTTCTACGAATCCGACAGCCAAGAAACTGACATTGAGTGGCTCTCAGACCCTAAGTCCGAGTCCAACTACGATGGAATCCGTCGCTTGTGGTTCACAAACCAGGACCGAGACGGTGACGGCGAGCCTAGCCACAAGGCTGTCCTCCCTCCTTCCAACCCTACTACCACCGAGCATGAGTACCGAATCGACTGGACTAAGGACCTTGTCCAGTTCTACGTTGACGGTGTCAAGATGTGGTCTACCAAGAAGGATGTTCCCAACGTGCCTGGCCCCTGGATCTGGAACAACTGGTCTAACGGTGACAAGGGCTGGAGCGCTGGTCCTCCCAAGCAGACCGCTGTTTTCAAGATCAAGAAGATCGAGATGTACTACAACACTGCCTAATTCGTGTATGACAAAGAGTGTTTGGATTTTGTTGCATATAATTTATCGGTTCATATATATTTGTATAGTGCGAGTCATCTAAACTTGAAGAAAAACGTAATTGAGTTTTAATGTCATGCATTTGCGTTAAGTCAATAAACATGTTCAAATAGACTGCGTTGTGTCAAAACATCAATCAAGAGAGTAAATCAGTTCGTTTAAACATCATCATCATCATCGTCATGAGTCGATATATACTTTAGGCGAACCATACCACATCGGAGTACTCGTTTCAAATCTCCGGTTTCTGCCCATACACACTGAACCTGCCACGCTGTTAGTATTCCTCTTGGATATCACAGCAAAATAAAACTTACACTTGACCTATAGTCTGCGTCTTGAGATCCATGATGGACTTTCTCATTTCAACCGCAAAAAGCTGCATCTCTTCGGGACTCCACGCGAGAATCTCACAAAGTGGCAACTTAATGAATCCATCCAGCGCTTGACTAAACGCCAACCCCACGAAAGTTCCAAGCTCCTTCTTCTTCTTATCCCTAGGCCACCGGCCGACGGGAATCTTGTGTGTTTGGTGGGTCACATTGGTGAAATTGGCTGATTTGGCGAGCTTCTCCAGCTTGTGGTCGGCAAAATCAAAGGTACGGCCTGTTTTTTCGCCGACCTTCTTAAACACATCTGCCCAGCGAGTATAGATACTATGAATTTAGTCAGTAGTTGTTAATTAGAAGAAAGTATGGGGTGTTTACTGGGTGTCGTCAACATTGACCACAGAGTTTTGTGAATACATCTGCAGATCAGGCTCGATGTGCTGGAACCAACCACCTGGCTTGAGAAACTTGTACACTTGACCATAGAACTTGTCCCAGTCGTCAATAGTACCCTGCAAAAAGCGAATGTGGATAAAGTCAAACGACTCAGGTTCGAAAGTCCATTCCATCGTTGCATCGTCGATCTGGAATTCGACGTTTGGCGGGACAAAACTGGGTTGACTTGGTGTGATGTCTGTAGCTATCACCGTGGCAGAGGGGAATTCATCCGCCACATTACTACGGCACGTTAATTTGTTTTCCTGATAGAGCTTGCTTGACTCACATGGCCCATATTCCTGTGCCCGTGCCAACATCTAGGATTTTCTATATCATATCAGAACATGCCTTAGTTGAATTGAGTTCTACTCCCGTAGCTTACTTGCGGATTTTCGCTAATCGGTGGGAGAAAAAGCTTATCGTCAAGCATCAACGTTAACCAGTGGTGTCTGTAGAAGTTAGTGACCATCTATTTAGGCGTTACAACGGTTGACATACATAAGGTCAAGCGCATCGAGTTGCTCTTCATCATTGGGCGCCCTGACTCATTAGCGTTTTTGTTTATTTTGAGTCACGAATATCTTACCAATGCTTTCCATACTTGGGGTTCGCATAAGTCCTGCCCTGGAAGTAGTGATTCTCAAAGATACTCGACGTAATCGACGCTGTAGACTCAATCTCGCTGAATCTAATTAGCAAATAGATCAGTCTCAAAGGCAACGAAATATGTACCTCTCTGCACTGATGTCGGTCTCGTTATCGAGATCCAGAGCAGGATCCTGCCTTGATCAGCAACCTCTTGTACTAAAATGGACAAACTTACCGATTCAATTTGAGCCGCCATGTTTATGCATACAAACAGAAAGTGTCGGGAACGAACCACTCGCCGAGGCGGGGCTGTTTGACACATTTATGTATGCCAGTTTTCTTTGTGGTCTTGAGGAGGGGAAGTGACACGTCAGATCGAGTCTGTTGGTGGCTTGTCCACTGACAGGTGCATTGACAGGTGGGGTGGCATTTTGAGTTTTGTAGGTGAAGTAGACAGGGATCATTCTCACGATGTAGGTATTTGTTGGATGTGACATGAATGAGATGAGATGGTGATAGATCTAAGCCAGTTCAACCTGCCATCTAAACATGCTTTTCCTAGTCCTGTTTTCTGAAACTTTTCTAAGCACCAATAGGAACGTCCATCCATTCCTCCCTTCTCTCGTCCTATCTTGTCTCTTCTTTTTTTCGCAGGGTGAACTACGCTAATGCGAGGACGGTAAAAGAGACCCTTGCCCTCCAAGGTTTATACAGGTTTTTCAAGCCCAACACTTTATTCTTGGTCGTGATTTGTTGGAACTTGAACGACGGTTATTGACACTACATTTAAGCGAAACTTTCTCATCCTTTTCCCCTCAAATCGGGCATGTCGGTAAAGACATACATATGTTCACGTTCTCGCATCGGTCGATTCTGCACCATCCTGGGTCTGTTATCTGTCTGAGGAGAGCTATTATTAAACGCGTCTAAAAACGCATAAAGTTGTTCCAATAACTCCAATCAAAGTCGTCCACATTGAACTCCCATCCTTCGAGACCATTAACTGCATCAGCTTGTACCTCGGCACTTGCGTTTGCAACTCGTCGTTTTGCCCAAAGCAACTCGATACAAGACGGGATAACATCTGCCTCAGTCAATACTTTTCGTCGTGTTTCCCAAGCCTCTAGAACCAAGTTACCCAGAGCGACGAACAATGGACTCTCGGTATTGTCAACAAGCTCGTGGTGGTCAGTATACAGACCATTTACTAACTTCCACGCCAGATCAATTCTAGCACCCGAGTCCCGACTGCGCAGCTCGCTCACAACGTAGATATATGCGTCGATGTGGTAGGTAGAAGTCAAATGGGTAAATATATGAGATGAGAATTTGCTCTTGAAACCCATGTCGACGTGTTGGATGAATGAAACGGCTGCGTTGAAGATAAAGTCACTTTCTTGTCGTGTAATGTACACATCCTCTCCGGATACCGATCGACCTCGTGGGTGGTGCAGCATGAATCTCATGCGAGCAAGGGCTAGATTCGCCATGGTGTAGGTCAAATCATGGAACGGAACACATCTATCCAATTTTGATAGATACTTCTCCGTATATATAGCTTCTAGCTCATTGACAGCTTCGTATTCGATTTTGGTAGATGTCCTAGCTTTTGTAAAGCCGGGAGCCATGCCTTCGAAAACTTTTGCCGCCCGGGGTGATGATTGGATCCAGCTTGTGACCTCGTACTTCATTAGAACACACGTCATCTCTGTTGGACCGGTGTATTCTGTAGTAGGCTCCAGCATGTCCGGATGCAAATCGGCGTCATTCATACTGAGAGGGGGCCGCAAGTCTCCAAAGTCGCTTTTGGAAGGTTTGATTCCAGGCGTTGAAACAGCGCGGACTCTAGAGTCGAGACCTTTTATCTGCCACCAAAGCCTTATCCGCATCTCTTTCTCAAAGAAGGATAACCTTGTGTCGGACTCAGTTTTGTGAATACCCATCATCTGACCCACCCTGATAGCAACTGTCGTCATGGTACTTGCTACTTCAGATTCTGGGTTGGAAAAGATGAAAAGTGTCATCGCTTGCAGCACCTCCATTGTCTTGGTTTCCATGTAATCAGCCTCAGCGAGAGCTCTTAGGGTTGCAATTCGATAGTGCGTGAGTAAAGCCACTCTGTCCTGCCCAAAGGAAGATAGGCATTTCTCTGACGTTAAAGAAGTGATGGAGAGGATGTAGATAGAAAACATGAGGGCCGAAAGTGACTTGTCTATGCGCGAAGGATCCCAACTAGCTTCAAGGATGCGCTTTTGCAAACTTGGGACATGGATGATCTTGATGAGCGGGTTGACAGTCTCGACAAACGTTTGCCAGAGGAAGTAAATGTGCTTTGCTTCTGGATGAAAATCGTATGTATGTTCCGATGTATTCAGTATTGAGCTGAAAGGTGGCGATGGATGAAGGAAGGGGTCTTCCTTGTGTCGCAAAGTCATCATGGGAGGGTATTTTAGCTGGTCAAGTTAGTTAAAGCTACGCGATAGGGTAGAAATATCTTACTTCTGGACATAACGTCGACCAAAGACACCTATAGGTAACCTTTATCAGTACCTAAAAGTTGAGTTACATAGATATATATGTTACTTACAGTTCAGTTGGAGAAGGAGAATCAGCATCTGTTGAAGTGTCCCTTTCAAGCTTTGTTCCCAAACTAGAAGATACCCAGACATTGGTATGCTCAGTATAATCTATACCATTCTTTCGCATCAGCTCTTCATATTTAGCCAATCTGGCCAACAATTCTTCATCGGCAGCCCTTTTGCGCGGTTTAGGCGGTGGTGGTGCTTCGTAGGAACATTGTGTTTGTGCTTTTTGACAATTGGAACAAGGATCTAATCTATCACACTTGACCTTGCGACGAGCACAGATTGTGCAAGCATGTTTCCGTAATTCGTTTGACAAAGCCATATTTGACTGTGAGTGAGTAATAAGCAGAAGGGGAAGAATGGCTGCTGAATAAAGGAGTCTCGGGAGGTGAGATGAAGGCTCGGGCGCTTCGGACTCTAAATAGGTCTAGTCCCGGGTTGGCATGGCCGATCCAATGGGCAGAGCATATTAAGTTCACTAAATCAATCAGGTAAGACATCTGACGGCTTCATTGACACCGGTCCTGGGTCAATACCAAGGAGCCCCCGGTGCAAAAATGCAGTGCCGTGTTCCCCTCAGAACTCAATATGTCTCGATTTTAATGCCGTCAACGATTCCCGTCAACGATTCTCCTCAGCTGATAATGGCATGAACTCAAAATTCCTCCGAACCGAGGCATGAAGCGAGTTATTTGCGGGGCTTTTAGAATGTACTTATCGTCTCGGTCCCGCTCAATTCTCCATATTGCTGGCTCTTGACCGTGCTATGAAAAATACAGCTGTCACTAAAATTTATTTCGATCATGGTAGAGGACAATATCTCGCTGGAAGCAGCCACACGGCGGTACAAAGAGTCAATCTCGAGATTTGCTGCTATCCGGTATGCAGTGGGATACTATATATTGCACTATTTCATCATCATCGCCAATAATGTACTTGCTGTCAAAGAGAGGTTCATATCGTCCGCACATCCACCTACAGTTGTCAAAAAATATGCTTGTCTACCAGAACTACACATAAGGTGCGCCTACGCCTGACGTCTCGTTAATATCTACTGACTCTTTGAAGGATTTTCTACCCAAAAGAATTCAACGCACAATCTCAGAGGAAACTCCCTACCATTCTCAGTATCCATGGCGGCGGTTTCGTTATGGGTAACCCTCGCGACGATGATCTGTTCAACTATAACTTTGCAAACATGCATTCAGTTCTGGTCGTTGCACTCAACTACAGAAAAGCCCCTCGCGTTCGTTTCCCAACACCAATTTATGATCTGGAGCAACTTATCTTCGCCGCCTTATCTGACTCTTCCCTGCCCATCGATAAGGATCGTGTTGCTCTGATGGGCTCTTCTGCCGGTGGAAACCTGGCGCTCTCCGTATCTACACTACCCAGCATGTGTGGCAGTGGAGACGGCGTCAGGCGGATCAAGACCGTGATCCCAATGTATCCTGTGGTTGATATGTCTGTAACACAAAAGTACAAAATGCAGACGAGGCAGTATAAACCATCGCTTGGGGGCTTCCGCGCGAAACCTGTTGACTTTCTTGCTCGACTTTCCCCAGTCTTTGATGCAGCTTACAAACTCGCTGGACAAGACTTGCAAGATCCTCTTCTCAGTCCCATTTACGCACCCAAAGAACAACTGCCGCCAAATATATTTGTACTTGCTGATGAGCTTGACATGCTCGCAAATGAAGCCTGGAGAATGATTTGCGGTCTGTCAGACCATCCAACCGAGGAGCAGGCTGTTGGTCGGAGTCATGTTGGCCCACCAGGGAAGCTAATTCTCGACGACGAGAAGTTCTCGTTTGAAGTGAAGAAACATGATGGAAACTACAGATGGTTGTTGATCCCAGATCAAATTCACGGTTACGACCACTACGATTCATTGCAGTTGTTACATGGAGATAAGGAGCTGTCAAAAGATGCGGAGCTGAAGACCAGAGAAGCTCAAAAGTTGATTGGGAGGTGGCTTTTTGAGGGTCCATTTGCATAATCATGACTACGTCTTATCAACTTCAATAATGAGCAGAGCCGGCGGATGGTGACTAGTGGACAGCAGAAACGTTAGCCCCCGAGTCTAAGGGTATAAAAATAAGTAGTCTAAGAAGTATAGTCTAAGTAGCATAATCTTATCTACTAATTTCGTCTCTTATGCCATATATATTGCAACCTCGGGCAAGGACCAATGGCCGAGATAAACATGCAGTTAGATATTCGACGGACCACAATGACTTTTACCTCAACTAGGGAAATTGAAATTGAAGGCCTTGTGGCTGATGGTGCCCACTGTCCAAGTTTTACCCCCATCGGGAGAGGTCAGTCCCGACGACGTGGCTTCATTAAGACCCAGGGTGTTGCTGAAGGAAGGATCAGCTTGATCCAGAATGATGGTCGTATCGATATAATCTGCTTCTGTTAGATCACTTTTTAACGATAGGGTGACGAATACTTGCCGTGAGCATCAACGGTACCAACGCAAGCGGCATCCTGGCATTCAACGGCTGTGCCCCAACCTTCGGCATGACCAGAAGCTGTTGCTGTTGGTCTTTCAATCTGGATTCAAGATTTTGGAGGTACATACCTGTTGAAAGAGTTGAGACAATGGTGCCATCGATGGCCACGCTCTGATCGTATTGTTGCGTAGCATCATTGTACACGTCTGTGGAATAATCAGTACAGCCTGAATAATGTTAAACAGTAGGAATACTCACAATGGATCGTCAATCGGGCGCCAGGACTTGCTGGAATTTTCTTATCGCCCAATTGTGTACCTTCTTGAGTCAGTATGTGACTTCACCTATCCTTGTTGTCAATCTCACCTTGCAGAGTCGAAGCCCAGGTACACCACTGCCCAGGTTGACCACCACATTCGCTGGACTCGTTAGCTATGCAAACTCCAGCGCCATGATCCACTTACAGTCCAGGGTCTGCGAAAGAGACAGCCAAAGCTTGGATTAGTGAGCCGCTGCTGGTGCCCATGCCAGGCCACAAAGCCAGACGGTCCTTTTGGCCAGGAACTCGTGGCAGAACAAGCGTCGTCGTAGCTTCACGAATCCATGACTTTGTTGGACCGAGAGAGAACGCAGGACCGAAGTGAATATTGGTCTGGGCTTTGGCCGTTGACAGGAGAGAAATGACGCCGAGGGCTGTGGATAGATGCATTATAATAACGGGATTAGAAATAAGAAGGAAGGTAAGTGAGGGTTTCTTTCAAATGGGCTCCCGATAGATCATTTACTGTTTTTATGTTTCTATTTTACTACCACCATGTTACTTAACTCGGAGCATTTATAGATATGTTCCACCTATCAAAGCGTTAAGTTTCGGGCGCATAATTGTTTCATATTGTTGTGGACCTTCCTTGAGGAGTGAAGATCCCTGATATGCCGGTCTTCCGGTCAATCATGCTGTTCTGGGATCAGTTCTTGCTTTGAATGCCATAGAAGACAATATAGGCAGGTCATGTTACGCGAGTAGCCACAAAAGATGAACGTTGAGGTCCTGTCGAATCACATTCGCTCATAACTAGGGTAATATTCCTGTTCTTTTCAGTCATTTGATAGTCAAATCTCTCTATAGCCATGGCCATGTTTTCCCAGGTTTCGCTCAAACACAATGTCCTGCATATGTATTCATAACTCGTCCATGTGACTCCAAATTTGAATCGCTTCAAGGTTCCTCGGACATTTCGTAGTTCGAAAAGTCGTCAGGCATATGAACCAGAGACTCCCACATGTCCTACAGAGACGTTAGTATCCGTGACAATGGGAACAAAAGCCTAAGCGATTTTACCCAGTCTACAGCATCTGAGCTGTTCAACATAGCCTCTATGCCCTGGAACTCGCTCGAGAATGACATGTCGTTCGCACCATTATGGCCATTCGCGTTTCCTAGACACTTCAGTACATGTTCTCTCAGGAAAGAAATCAACATACCGTTTCCATTTTGGATATGAGCTTTCTCGGCGCTCATCATATTAGGAAGGGATTCCTTCGCCTTATCATTAACGGACACAGCTTTTAACATCACCGCGAGCATATCATAAGCTTGTCGGGCTTCAGCAGAGACTGCCTTGAGCGCTGCCCAAAAAGCTTGCGAGGTCTCAAGTGCTTGAATCATGTTCTCCCGAGTATAGCCAACAAGATCCGGGTTCTCGTACTGAGGCTGTTTGCTCAACTCAAGACAGACGACCATGGATGCAAGCGAGAAGTCATGACGTTCGAGGGATGTGAGGAACCACCTATCCTTGTACAAAAGTCCGCCGACTTGGACTTCTCTCAAGATGGAAGCCTGATGGCCTAGCACCGTCATAGCTGAGTCGACACACGCCTTTCGTGAGTAATTGTACTTGGTATCCTGGTAAGCCTTGGTCATGTGGTGACGGTGCAATGTACACCTCGCCTTCTGGAAAAGCAGTTCCAGGTTGTACCGCCGAATGAGAATGTATGGCGGGACCATGATGCAATCTTCCAACTTGGCTATCTGAAAGCAAGGCGGCATAGACTGGTGCAGCTGGTGAAGTTTCTCATCAAGAGCCATAATCTCTTCGTAATTCTCAGTCTTGCCAAGAGAGACCTGGTTAAAAATGGTTCGATAGACTGTCATCATTCGGACTTTGACTCTGGTGTACAATACAGGCGTCAATTGGGTGTCGGGCCTAGGCGGAGGAAGTCGAGTGGAATCAGGCCCAAAGTCATCGTCAGTGATATTTCGCGGTAGTTTCGTATCACACTGCGATTCCTGGATGAGTGAAGGAAGACCAAGTTGGCAAGACGTCAAAATATCTAGTTGCTGAATGACACCCCACACGCGACGACGCATCTCCCCATGGAAGGGAGAGATACGCGGATAACTGTCTGGATCACGATGGTACCCCATTCTCATGGCCAGCCGAATGACGATACCAGTGAGAATCCAGACACCGAGGTGGGCATCGCGACGGCGAACGAATTCTCCGTGGATGTTGAACAGCATAGTTTCGAGCGTATACCTACCAGGCGCTGTGGAGTACTTGGATAGGAGAAGACAGTCTGTACAGCGTCTGTGAAATCCTTCTGCAACTTCCATTGGCGCACCTAGACCTTCGGGAAGCTCGTCCTGCGAGCGGATATATAAGAATGTTCCGGTGGCTAGAACACCGAACAACATGCCGATCCATTGAATAGAGACTGAGTTTGGGTCATCCCAGAAGCGTTTGTACTGGATATTTGGTTAGTGTGATACAGATATTGAGAGGTTGCTTACGTACCTCGATTTGAAACTCCCCAGTGTGGGTGATCACTTCCTAGTATTAGCAAGCCCTTTCCCGTCTTTTGAGTTTATTTACTTACTGATGGATGGTTCTGTGGCGTTAAAGTATCGCGACACAATCCTATCTGTGATATGTTTCGGAGGAATATCCGCCAGAACTTCTTCCAGACTCGGTGTCAATCTTCCAGGCCCCAGAAGCATGGGTACCTGGCTCTGGGCCTGGTCTGTTATGCCTAGATCAGCAGACTCGTTGGTCTCATCAAGATGCTCGCGAATGTATTCAACCTGAAGAGTCTATGTTAACCTTGTTCTCCTCGCAGGGTCAATTACGTACCTCATGGCAAATGGCAGACCAATGACTGCTAGAGACATAGATTGTCTCATTTGGATTCGCCATCAACCGACCAGGCTTGACCTCTGTACTATCTCTACTGGAGGAAGATTGTAGAGATCCTTGATTGGTGATATACGTACTCGCAGGGCTCTTGATACTGGGTGAGCCAGATGAGGAGCCCTGCTGAGAAGGAAGCTGGGAAACAATGGACCCGAGCAGTGTCTCAAGATGGCGCACTCGGTCGTTTAGGTCTGTCTGCTTGTTATCCCTCCTCTGTACAGCCGCGCGACTACGAGGCCATGGGGCATATTGACAGGACACGTTTCTGGCGACGCAATTGCTGCAAGGCTCATCGCGATCGCATTTAAGTCTGCCTCATTAGTGTTGGGCTTTGGAAGTAGGATAGACGAAGGACGTACTTTCGTTGACGACAGGAACTACACGAGAGTGTCGCTCGGACAGGCTGTTGTTGCTGCATTTTTATGTATCTTGACTGAGTAAAAGGATGGATTGAAGAGATGGGAAAGGATGAAGCTTGTTCTACAATTCTGCTTATTATTTATTAGTGCTGAGCCGGAGAATTTAAGCTTAGATTTCGTAGTCTGGTGTCACCATTTGCCTCGGAACAAATTGATATCGGTGCTTACGTCACGTGGGACATTTGACGATCGAACTACTCTTTTAGACCATTTATCCCTCTGTCTTTTCGGCCGAAACCTTGGCAGTTTAACTATCTTGTTATCGACTATGGTCAATCTGTTCTGGTTGGCTTGTCGGAGCAACCGAAGCAACAAGGGTGGAGTGCAGCAAATTACAAGGGCTTTAGGGGCATAGGGCTGACTACTTTGCTCACCCGTAAGCGATGTTTTAGGGCTGAGTTCAGTCTGCCTGACCATCCATGACATCCACGATGTGCTGCTGTCTTTAAACAATTGGTGCATAGAATCTCATCCGGTTCTCAGGATCCCACTTCTTCTTTAGCGCTTTGAGCTTGTTGATCCTCCAAGGCTCATACCCATACATACTCTCTAGCGATTCAACGCCGTGCGCATAATTGACGTATGCTCGTAGCTGTTCAGGCTCATCGCTTGCCTCTAGAAGGAGGCCCCTCAATTTCTCCCCATGCTCTTGAGCCAAACTGTCCAGCGTAGCATTGGGTTTATACCAGATATATGACGTGATGAGAATCTCGTCGTCACGGTGAGGAAACGCAGATTTATTCGCGTCTACTGCTTTCACGCCGTGCGTCGAGCACCCCTCAAGAAGGAAAAATGACCCCGCCAATTCAGGAACACGGTGAGATATTTCTGCAATAGAGTCAAAGACTTGGCGGACGGCTGGCGGATTGTACTTCTTGAGACCTATGGGATAGCGCAGACCCGTGAAGCCTTTTGTACAGCCGACAGTGTCTTCACTCATGAGGGTAATATGAGCGAGTTCGGGCATGGGGACTGCACCTGCGTTGACATTGATAGGCCCAATGTCATGAAGTGGCTTGGCGTATTCTCGAGCTTCATCGACTAGGTCATCTGAAATAGCTGCGTACCATATAATCGGCTGCAGACTGTTAGCAGAGACAAACTACTAAGACCCCGTACTCATACCTCGCCGGGATCAATCTCTGGGATATTGACAATATACATCCAGTGGGTTATTTCTGGCGGCTGAGTCTTCATCATCTTGTTTGTCAACTCGAGGACCTCTTCAAGCTTGTCGCCCAAGAAGATGAAAATCTCGTAGGACCAATTGGGATTCTTGACATCGTAGATGCGATACTCCCACTCCGTGACAATGCCAAAGTTGTGTCCAGCTCCACGCAAAGCCCAGAACAGATCCGGGTTTGACTCTTCGGAGGCTGTCACGGCTGTTCCGTTGGGGAGGACGACACGTGCAGATATGACCTGATCCGATGCAAGACCAAATTGACCTTGAAGCCATCCGTGGCCTCCTCCGAGGACGGGCGCCGAGATGCCAACGCACTCACAGATACCAGTAACTTCCCTTTGTCAGCTTTAGTACAGACTGTTTCAAGGAAACTAACCTGTCTGTTTCTTTGTAGCCCATAGCTCGTTCACAACTTTCTTAACACTGGCTCCTCCGCTAATGGTTGCGTGATGACCATCTTGAGCGATTTTGATATCGTTCATGCCTCGTATGTCAACGACAAGGACATCTTTTGCCAGCTGCAACGCCTCAGTCGCGCCATGGCCACCAGATCTAGCCAAAAATGGTATCCCGTTTTGGTTTGCGTACCGGACCTGTGTCAAGTCAGAATTGATCATTTTCTTTACTACCATACCTACTACTTCTTGCACATCACTCTCTGTGAAAGCTGTCACAACTGCACCTACTTGTGGTGCGTGCCAATCTCGCCATCGACTAACGAGACCACCAAAATCGGAGTCGTGCGGAAACACTATGGACGCGTTGGACGAGAGCTTTGAAGATAAGCCTGGCCATGTTTGTGGTGTAACGAAAGATGCGAGTCCGATTCGACTGAGAATCTTTTGTGGTGAGGGCGCTCTATTCAGCGCCCAAGCCGTGCCAGCTGCGATAAACTCCATAGCGATGATTATCGAATATATGTCAGTAGATCCGTGTTGATACAAGGTTCTGCGAGCCTTACAACAGTTTCGTAGAAAGCGGTTACAGACAATGTGCCTATGAAACTCGCCGTGGAAACATTGAGACTTTAGGCTGAAAGTCTTATATAGACAGGTAGCTGACGTGAGATTTCAAGCGACACCTATCGATGACAAACACTAGACGCACTTTTCAAACTTGGTTATGATTATTGGTCGCTGAGGATTACTACTACTGAACTCGGCATAAGTAGAAGTATAGGGCACATCATGGCTAGGTTCCATTTGTTCATTCATGTATAGATCGTAGCCGTAGATATTCCCATCTCTTTAACAAAACGTATGGCTACTCAGACCTTGTTCAGTCCAAGTACCTCAGTAATCTCATCAGTATCTGCGTGGTCTCTTGAATATCTCATGCGATGGCACCAAGTCGCTTTTTTATCCTCCCCGTCTCCCTCAAATAAAAACTCTCCGCCCTGCAAGCTGGGTGCTCCAGACGAGAATACAGGATATCCCTGCATGAATCTCCAAATCGCAGTCTTCATGGACCAGCATACAGCCCAGGTGGTAGTCCAAGGCATATACTTATTCGGCGGCCCCTCTTTCCACGTTTTAATCATTCCCAGTGTACTGTATAGCTTCTCTGAAGGGTCTGTGTAGATGGGGTACTGCCAGCCCGTGTCTAGGCGGTACATTTCAACTTGTTTGACATCGCCATGGCCCACGATTACAATAGCCGTGTTAAGCTTCTTCAGCTTTTCGGGTGTCGCATTCTCAGCGAGGAAGCTAGTGTAGTTCACGCATGACTAGAAAGTTAGCTGGAGATGCAAATCTTGGAACTGAATGCCTACGCAGCAGTAGAAGTGGCGAACAAAAACAACAAGAACCCTTCGAGGTAGGTCTGGTCTGCTATAGATGCTTTTAAAGGTGTGCTTCTTGCCCTCGCCATCATAGACTTCAATGGCGTCAGCGGCCTTCAGGGCTTCGGAAGTAGGCGGATCGTCGTTGACATATTTGCTGGAAAACTCCCTGCCTTGGGAGATATCGCATGAATCACTCATCGTTGGTGGAGAACGGATATGATGCTTTCGGGTCCTTTGTTGCATAAAGATGAGCAAGATAAATGCGGAGGTGATGCGACGAGACTTATGTGACATCAGATCCGAAATAAGAAAATATCATGACGTAAGCACTAAATTCACCTCGTCTCACTCTATCGATAATTCACTTCTTCAAAGAGATTTTTGGTACATCTGACCGAGTCTTTCATTGATGTTGTAATACTAGAGCTCATTATATTCAACATGAGCATCAATCCATCGCATCGGATCGTCACTGAAAGAACTCCAATCTACTTCAACGCCATTTACTCTGTATATCTGGCCAGGTGTTTCCATCATGGTAGGGCAGGAATCAATTGGATTACAAATTCATTCTGAAACTTGACAAGACCCTGGTTTCTTGCATCATCTATCATATCGAGATATAACTTTATCCTGCAACGTTCCTGATACAACAAGTTTTGGCATTCCCTCGTAGTTTCCGAAATATCCGACAACGGAAAACTGCCAATGAGAAAAAGCAATTGAAGTTTGAAACAAGAAAATTATAGATGACCTCGGCCAAGATATCGAATGGCCCACCGCATAATTATCCACGTTACGTTCGGGGAGTTTGTTCCTCTCGATGCTGGTTAGATCATCCAGGAGCTAATGGCCCGAGATCTAAAGCACTTTTTTTTTTTTTTGCCATGAGGAAAAGTCATTAAAGTTGTGGCTCAAATCGCTTTGGGCAGCAGATTAGTCGTGATGTGTTCCCGAAAAAGTAGATTCTATGTACATCATATACTCGAAAAGGCGAATGTTCTCGATCTTAGGGATGGTGACCCAATTTTTGGTAGGTAACAGGTTCCACTATCAGAGATTTTGGCCGCCACTAAACCCTGGAATTGCGGCTCAAGTGTCCACCGAGGGAGAGAAACCTCCGGCTTCAGATATAAATGTGGAGGTTCACAAGGCGACTTAACGTCATGGTGATAAGGGTCATTGTATACGTATTGAAGATTCAAGACATATAAAACATATTGAGCCCAGATTTTATAGCAGGGCCATGAAGAAATCTCAGTAGTCTTCTCAGTCTAGTTCAATTCAATATGGCGGGACCTCAAGACCAGAACCACGACTACTTCTCAAAACCAACTACTCCATCAACACCAGGTCAAGCCCATCTTGGCAATGTCGCAAATCGCATTCCTAGCACCATCCCGGATAGAGAATCAGGTACAGCCTATGCAAAATCGACACACTCCAGACATCGTGTACTCCATGGTCTACCTTCAACATTCATGTCGCACTTGAGTCGACGGCCAGCTACCTCCTCAAGAGGCTTTTCCCGTATGTCTAGCGAGGGGACCGTGTCTCGTCCCACAGCACCTCAACATTCGTCTCATCATCACCACTATGCCCCTGCTGAAGATGGATACTATCAAGAGAATCCATGGTTTGGTGAGGCGGATAAGAAGCCTATTTTCAGTCTTGGAAAACCTCTACCTCACAAAGTTCGTCGCAAGGTTCAGAAGCCTATCAGACCAGACGGAAGGGTTGACGAGGAAATGGCTATCGTGAAGGAGGAATCTGCCAATGAGCCTTGTCCTGATCATGCCTCACGAACAACCTCTGGGCACCCTTACCGAATGGAGACCCAGAGTAGCCTTCCCTCGCGAGATGTACAACGCCAGCAGACTCGAACTACAGCGGCTGGTGTTTCTCATAATGATCGACGAAACGACGCAGGTCAGCCAGTCTTTGAATACGTTCCTAGTGAGGGGGCACCAACGCCAGGGCACCGAGATCCTGCTTCCAGGGTGCAATCAAAGCAGGACAACGGCCATTCTCCACCAGATTTCAAGGTAGACGGCGAGCCTTTGGGGCAACAAGAGAAGCCTTGTGTTGAATCTGGTGAGAAAGATGCAAATGAGATGAGAAACTGGTGGGCAAGAATACGCGCGAAGCATCCTGAACCACTCGCTGAGTTTCTTGCTACCGCCGTAGCCATCTTTCTCGGTCTCACTGGTACTCTATCTGTGAACCTGTCAGCCAAACAATCACAACCATACGGGACCTATGAAACCTCGTGCTGGGCATGGGGCTTTGCTTGGATGTTTGGTATCTATCTCGGCGGTGGTGTCTCGGGTGCTCACATGAACCCTGCCATCTCCGTCTCGCTATCCATATTTCGTGGATTTCCTTGGAAGCAATGCGCCATCTACGTGATCGTTCAATTCGTCGCCAGTATCGTTGCCGGGGCCTTAGCTTATGCTATCTACGCCGACTCGATCAACTACGTGGATCCGGACATGACGAAAATGTCCATGACATTTTTCTCCACGCCTCGAGAATGGGTCACACTAAAGTCAGCATTTTTCAACCAAGTTGTCGGCAGTGCAATCATGATGATCGCTGTCTTCGCCCTTGGAGACGATCAAAACAACCCACCCGGCGCTGGAATGCACGCTTTAGTCTTGGGCTTCCTTGTGACTACTCTCAAGTTCACTTTGGGGTACAACATTGGATCTGCTCTGAACCCTGCTTCTGATTTTGGGCCGCGAGTTGTTGCGTATGCCGTTGGATTTCGAGGAGACAATGTATTTCAGAGTGGGTGGTGGTTTTATGGGCCATGGGCTGCGACTTTGATAGGATCGATATTGGGCTGCACTCTGTACGATGGCTTTGTCTTTGTGGGAAGTGAGAGTCCAGTCAACTTTAGACTTGACAAGAGGGTAAAGAAGTTATTAAATTAGTTATTTACCCAATCATGCATCGCTTGTTTTGTTACAAACTCTCTGGTTCCCTCTTTAATGTTATGTCTGGGCAACTGTCTATCTACTGGTGTAAAGCCACAACCTACTTCAATCAGGCGTGCTTACAATATGAGCTATTTTGCACTCCAATTTAATCACATACGACCATACCTACCAGAAAATACGGGATCCCGTCCGCTCTCCCATAGTCAAGCTGGTAAGGGGCGGATTAGTAGTTGGGTCGGTGACGACCAGCGAATCCCCGCTGTTGTATGTTTTTGCCGACTCTAGCTATTATCTAGTAGTAGGCCTTAGCATCTTTTTGCTTGACACTGCGACTCAGTCTGCCTAGTGAAAACAAGCCCTGTGCAATGCATCCAACTACAGTCTTCATAGACTGGCTACTGTCATTTTCCACCTGTAGTGGATTTATCATTCTGGATCCTACACTATTCATTATTCAGTATCTTCATCCAATAACTCTGTAACTCTCCTCAACGCTTCCTTCTGCACCTCCTCAACTGTCTGGTCTACGCTAACAGTCAAAACATCCTTCTCATCCTTCCCCGGCCTCTCGAGAGCCTCAAACTGGCTGTGCACTAGCGCAGGTCCTGCAAAATGTCCCTTCCTTGCCGCAGCACGCTGCGTGAGAACCTCCTCTGGCGCATCTAGATGTAAGAAATGCACACGTAGGTCACCTGCGTCCTCGGATCCTTGTCGAAGAAGGTCGCGGTACTGACGCTTCAGAGCTGAGCAGGTCACCACGAGATGTTCAGTGCCTGGGCCTTTGGGATGGTGAATTGCGTGTTCTCTTAGAGCTTCAAGCCATCCATATCGGTCTTCGTCGGTTAGAGGCTCACCGCGACTCATCTTGTCGACATTCGATTTGGGATGGAACTATTTCCTTGTGGTTAGTATGTTGTTCTTTAAGATTATGTATGAAACTTACATCGTCACCTTCCACAAACTTGAGGTCGAGCTCATCTGCTAAATATTTGGCAACTGACGACTTACCCGATGCCGTCGGACCAGAAACGAAAAGGATCCATCGATGGCCTTTTGGCACTGGCTTAGCAGTTGGGTTCTTCAAATCTCCGGCCATTGATACTGTTTACGTTTCTAAAAAGTGCTGATGAATGGCAAAAAGAATGCCTTGCTGTCGAAGATGGTTGAGAATCTGTCTAGCATTTCTCAGCAGGTTTAACTATTTGCACAAATGCTTGACGTCATAGTGACAACAAAATCAACAAGAATGCCATCAAAAGAATGTTGTATCTGCCCCAATTTTCCCAGACATTTCTCTAGATTCCTATCATCAATACAGCTAGGATCTAACTGCCTTCAATAGATGCCAAGTGTCGATGGTCTTTTCTAGTGACGATGCCTAGGGTAGGACGACATAAATCGATTTCCAACAACATGGTAGGGTTGCTAGAGATCGACAAGTGGAAACAGACAATCTTAACTGAGATGAGGTATTAGCCCGTAATTCTTTTGGATCGTTTTTCATTGCTAATATCCTCTAGTAGGTAGCAAAAAAGTCAATCTCCTAAGTCTTAGGGAACAAAGATAAGTAGTCTAAGAAGTATAGTCTGAGGAGCATAAATTGACTCAGTAATTTCGTCTCTCATGCTTCCAGCGGTCGATTATTTTAATAGCCTGGGGATCCTCAGTCAATTACTATCCATCGTGCCGAGTAGCTGATCCCGCTGCCATGAGCACGGGATACTCCCCACCGTTGTCACGTAACGGATATTCACTTATATCAAACCGACAGTCACGATGTAGTCTTTTCCATTGCTAGAATAGCCACTGGATTCTTTGCTTACCCCATTTAACGGAAGGTACTGTTAAAAAGATTGCAATCCTCATCTGTTTTGAACGACAACTTGCCTCCAGAGCTTCGAAAGCAGCCACACCGTTTCAGGTTGTTATGCGGGGAGCTTGAGCCACTCTGACATTATATCCTAAACAGCTGGCATACTGTCATCATCCCCTCTCGTTTATCTCAAAAAAGGGGGTTGATTGATAGGATGGCCCGGCCCAAAGGACGAGCGTAGGTGGAGAAGATGAAATCGGCCCATTCACTTTAGCATATCTCAAAGATGGACACAAAAACTACCAACTGTGGTCTAGATTCCAATTCGCTTCGATAACTTTTCCCCGTGATTACCAATGTTGGTCTTTGCTTTCTGCTTTCCATCCCCACAGTTTGTGTGTTGGGGTGTTGCATGTCTTGGCCTTCGCTGCACAGCCTCCAAGAAATAGACGAGTGGACAGTTCTGGGCAATTACGGATACTCTTTTGGACTACCATGCAGTTTTGACTAAGGACTTAGCTGTATCAGCCTTGTGGTCAGTGTGTTGTCTTACTGGTGGGTATTATGATAGGAGTCATTTTGAGCTACATCTTTGGATTTTATCTCCGTCGGCCCGTTGAAAGAAATGCTTATCTTGATGTTGCATCACGATAGAAGGACTACGTAGCAAAGCATTTCAGAGTGAAATGAAGACTGTATCTGCCGAGGTCTCGCTAAAGCCGACGCGTAGCGAAAGTCGAGTCACAATAGCAAACAATAGTACCAGCCAAAGAGGGGAATGTTAGATGCTGATCTTTCCACGTGTAATGGCACTCATCCCCGATGGCATTGCGGGCGCCCTTGCATAGGCAGATGAATGACGCGGAGGAGCAGGAATAATAATTGTTGCTTTTTTTTCTTTGCCCGTCATTCCCGTTAACATACGGCATCTTCCCGAAGAAAGTAAGAATGAAAACCAGTCTGGCCAATGACGATACATTCCAGACCTTCTAGAAGAATTTGCGCTGCATAACTAGCGTGTTGATTAAAAATTCTTGGAAAATTTGATGCCGCTAAGAGTTTGCATACAGTGAGGGTACGTACAGGGATGACATTATCTGTGTGGTGGTCGCGGACCCGAGGTTGCAGACACGATGTGGCGCGTGCATACACCGGTAAGACCGATTGTTGTGAGTAAGTATCAGGCGATAGTATGAGTGAGTAAGATTTGGTAGTGTTGGTTTGTTCCTTTACTTCGTGTCTGTTGTGTGAGTGATTATTTCCCCCTTGACTTTGTTGGGCAGGTCGCAGCGGCTGAGAGTAATAAAACCCCCGAAATTGGAGTCCCGGCACTGTATTGTGTTGTACTTGTACCGTAGGTAGCAAGGCGGCCTGCTAAGTCTTGCTTCGGCTTCGGGTGAGCAGATCCTTTTAGCTTCTTTGACTTTTGACTCGCCGTTTCCCCTTTTCTTATTTACAAGCTTATTCTGTACACGGTTAGTAGCTTTTGAATTGAACAAGGAAACATCTTGAGCTTCTTGTCGTCATTTGCACCGCGACATGTCATAAGCAAAGCTATGGAGACACGCTCCATATTCCCCATGGGGGCCCTTTATCGTGATACTTTGCCAAGAAAAACAGATGGTCAACGTTATTATGTTTCTCGAGGTTTCTTTTACGTACAAAGTCTCACGGTTCAGAGATCCCTGGTCTGGCCTCAAGGAGGGCGCCGTTGAGTCTAGAAGTGCGTGCACCGATATTTCCACTCTGACCTGCTCCACCAGCAAGGAAGGGACTGAGCAGACATGTGGTAAAGACATGTTCAAAGCTTTTGTGGACGAGAATCAGGGATCAGGAGATAAAGACGCTGTGAGCTTGTCCAGTGGATTTTACTGCATTGATTGTGCAGAGATAAACATTGCTATATCTGTTGCTGATGAGGCTGATAATGGTGATAATCCTTTCTGCTCCTCACTATCAATAATCCTCATAGACTCGGGCCGACCGTAGCATCGAGTGGAGACGGTGTCAAGTGCCGTTGCTGTACCATGTCTGGTCCTCTCCCTCCTCCGAGCCGAGCTGCAACACGCGCGCAAATGACCCAGCTCCAAGACCGGATATGGCGTCAAGTTGGAGTAAACTGGTAATTTCTCCGCACTCTCAAAAGTTGGGGAAAAGTCACCAGATGTTACCGACTTACCAACTCTCCGGACTTTGCTTCAACATGACACGACGCCCCTTGTCTATTTTACGTACTGAAAACTCCCTTGATACCCGGGGCCCCGAGATTCTGATATCGTTGCCCCAGGAGGAATCGGTCCTGGGAATCTTTGGCAAGTTTAAACTAAGCTTTAGCATCGCCAAGAAAGTTGGAGTCGAGAGCGTCTTGAAGTTTTGGAGCGAGAATAGCCGCCAGCTGAGTTGGAGTAGATCCGCCGAGGGAACACTCTTAAGCCTGAAGCGGGAATTGTGCCAAGCCTGATTGAGTAAAGTGTCGACAAACTCTGCAGAAAATTTTTGATTGCTTGCGGCATTCCACGGCTCATCCTCATGATGAACTAACAAGTCGAACCACGATAAGACCCGTTTTACTATACAGACAAACATGGTCAAGGTCAAGGGGAACGCCGTCTAAGATAAGCTGTAAACTCGGCCCGCCCAGTATTCAATGCTTCTGTCTCTGAGAATGCGAGCTTTCCCCCCCATGGGGCCCTGTACCGAACCGAACTTCTCGACTCTGGGCCCTATCTCTTGCACATTGTACCCACTCCCTCGTTCTCGAGGATCCATAAACGGAGATGCGAGTCAGTTTGGGGTATGGGGGCAAAGATCGTCAAACCAAACTCTTTTACGTATGTAGTATCTGTACTATCATCAAGTGGGAAAAAAAGAGACAGCAGGCACGGCACTAACACTAGGCTACCCCAGATGCGAATGGGCTAGATCTCGGTGTTTACGTATATATAACCATGCCCCAGGAATGAGATTCATTACTCCAGTCTTCTTCTCCTTGTCTCTGCATCTCATCTTCAACACCTTTGCACAACATGAGCCACTACGACTCGGAGAACCAGGCCCCTGAGCCTACCAAGCACCACTCTGGCGAGGACAACACTGTTACCAACGATGCTGTCTTTGGAACCATCACAGAAGATGGCCCCAACTACCGTAACGTATGTTGCCACAACACTTCTATATCGCATACATGCAGAAAACTAACATGCGCAGGTTGGCTGGCTCGGAACATCAGTCCTCATGATGAAGTCTCAGATCGGTCTGGGCGTTCTGTCCATCCCTGCCTCCTTCGACGCCCTTGGTCTCATTCCCGGTATCATCTGCATGTTGGTCATCGCCGTCATTACCACCTGGTCCGATCTCGTCGTCGGCAAGTTCAAGCAACGTCACCCTGAAGTCTACGGTATCGATGATGCTGCTGGTCTCGTCTTTGGCCGTATCGGCAAGGAGTTCTACGGTATCTCCTACTCGCTCCTCACCATCTGTATCGCCGGTTCTGCTATGCTGGGTATCTCCATCGCGCTCAACAGTCTGTCCATGCACGGAACTTGCACTGCTGTCTTCGTCGCTGTTGCCATGATTGTCGCCTTCCTTACTGCTTCTATCCGAACTCTGGACCGTGTTTCTTGGCTCGCCTGGGTCGGTCTCGTGACTCTTGTCACCTCCAGTAAGTTTTTCTCTGTATCACCACCAAGCACATCTAACATCGCCCAGTCTTTGTCGTCACCATTGCTGTTGGTATCCAGGACCGCCCCGATCTCGCCCCTCAGGATGGTGTCTGGAAGTCCGACTACAAGCTGTTCAACACCCCCTCCTTCGCCCGGGCCATGTCTGCTATCGCCGCTTTCATCTTCGCATACTGCGGTACCCCCGTCTTCTTCCCTATCGCTGCCGAGATGCGTGAGCCTAAGCACTACAAGAAGTCTCTTATCCTGTGCCAGTCCGTTGTCACTGTTGTCTACATTGTTGTTGGCATCGTTGTCTACTACTATTGCGGTACCTATGTCGCTTCCCCCGCTCTGGGTTCTGCCGGTAAGACCATCAAGAAGGTCAGCTACGGTCTGGCTCTTCCCGGTCTGATCGTCTCTGCTACTCTCTACACTCACGTAAGTTGCATCATGAAAAATTCGTCACCAGTCAGTATCTAACAAGCGGAAATAGGTTCCTGCCAAGTATGCTTTCGTCCGCATCCTTCGTGGCTCCAAGCACCTTAGTGCCAACACATTTACCCACTGGGCTGTCTGGCTGAGCTGCACCTTCGGCATGGCCGTCATCGCCTACGTCATTGCCAGTGGTATTCCCGTCTTCGGTGGCCTCGTCTCCCTCGTCGGCGCCCTTCTCGGAACGCTGCAGTGCATGCAGCTCTTCGCCTGCCTCTGGATCTACGACCACTGGGCTGAGGGCAAGGACAAGTCTCAACGTACTACCCGCTGGACCTTGATGGTTGGCTGGTGTGGTTTTGTTATCGTTCTCGGTACCTTCCTTATGATCGGCGGTACATACGGATCTATCAAGGAGATTATTGACTCTTACGCAGTCAGTGGTGGATCTGCCGCTTGGTCTTGCGCCGATAACTCCAACTCTACTTAAGAGCTTTTTAGAGAGGGATATGCATAGATGTCGAGATTTTAGATTTAGATTTGTATAATGCAAGCGTTGATATAGTTCAAACCTTTGAAAGCACTCCCTTATTAGTGTCAACTCGTGAAATGACATGCAAGGTCGATCTCTCTTTGATCTGGAGACGTTGGAAAGCCACCAGTCACAGCTTCGATTCAGTGACATCCCATTTCCCCTTCAGATCACCCTCGATCCTCTCAAAGACTCCTGATCCCTGCTTCCCCAGGCTCGTACCCACCGCCACAGCATAAGCCCCAACAGTTCTCATCCTTCGGTAACCGTCTCCATCGCGTACTCCACCAACACCGATGATCTGTACATGACTCAACTGGGGCACCTGATCTAGCATCTTTCGTAAAGTGGATACATTGCCAAGCGCAAGAGGATGAAGAGACGGTCCTGCCATACCACCAACACCTATTCCAGGTAGTTGAGGCCTCATATCAACATCCTCATTGTCTTGTAGAATTAGACAGGAACCAAGTGTGTTTGTTGCAGTGATAAAGCTGATAGACGATGCCGCCTTCTGTAGGGTTTCGACCAGAGTTGCAAACTGTCCATAGTGTGTATACGGAGGTGTTTTGATTCCTACAGGTAGCGACGGACGACTAGGAAGTAGGGAGAGATACTTTTGGAGGGAGGGTCCATCGTAAGCTGGGGGTGGTGCACCAGGAATATTAGGGCAGCTCAAGTTCACTTCCATTGCCAAAGGAAAGGGAAGATTCTTTGCGGCAGATTCAATTCTATTGTAGCTTTCTTGGATATCCTCAGGTGATCCGGTAACACTGACAATAAACGTCTTTTGTAAGTGGGGAAGCCGCCGAGATATCTCAATCAGAAACCCAAGATATCCATCCAGTAGAATCGGACTGTAGCCCAAGTTATTCAAGCTGGACGTAGCTTCAACTTGATGATCTTTGGGCGGTATTTGATTAGATGAGGTACCTTCACTTGGGGTCACCGAAGACGGATTGAAGAATAAGTATTGGTGATGCTCATGTTGATGGTTGAAGCCATTGATAAGGGATGTGCGAGTCGTGATAGCACCTGTTGATGGGGATGAGGCAATTGCTAAGAGGTCATCAAGGTCGGTTGCCCAAGGCGTTGCCGAGTTGAGTAGTGGAGGAGATATACTTAATTGCGGAGGAGGCATCTTGATATGCTTTTGCCACAGATTAGTGGTTGAAGAGAAATACGGTATGTCTGAATGAAGACGAAAAATGAGGGGCTGGAGGTTCGAGTTGCGATGATAAGAAATGTATTACTAAGCACGACTGAATATCTGGTCAGCCAATATCTTATATGCTCATGTTTTTATTGAAGACTTGAACGTGATTAAATATGGCATTAAAAAGTTCATTCTCATAAGCACTATTAACGAGCCGTGTGCGAATGCAACTACGGGTTGTGAAATATATTATGCTCCGCCCAGTACTCCCCAAGAGTAACTCTACATGCAGGTGCTAAGGTGTAGAGATCTCTATTTTCCCTGATTGAATGAGCTCATTCTTGGTCCTTTGCTGGAAATATTGAAACGGATTTACGCAGGTCTTGGCTCAGTACAGCTTTAACTCCTAATCCTTATGGACTGCAGATAAGCCAAGTCTTGGTCCGTAGGAGTTACTCGGCACAGCCACACAGATTGCGCAACTTGGTACGAATCCACTAAATGAGAAAATCAGGAAAAACCTTTCATATCTTCTACATAAGATGTCCTGAGCAAGGGTTTTACGATGTAGGTGAATTAGTCAATTCACTGTCTCTTAAGCGTCATCCCTATATTCTGCCTTACAACTCCATACGAGAATGGACGACAGAACACTAGACGAACCAGCATTTTCAAATATCAGGGTTCTTCTTCTTGGAACTTCGGCAGATTTCCTAAGATTCATTCTCGAATGGACCATTTGTTGGAATTCCAAGGCGAGCTTAGTTACAGCAGACAATTTACACAGTTCTAGCGATCTGACGACTAGTATCATTACGCTCTTGGTCATTTTAACGACGCAACATCTATACAAGACCGGTACAGCTTCATGGAAGCTTGAATCTTTTGAAAACTTCTTGTCTTTGTTTGTTGCGACATCGCGAATAGGGTTGGCTCTCCATACAACATGTGAGAGCATGATATCCCTCAAGTTTAGAAGTCGCAGAGAAGCGGACGGCCAGATCCTCAGAAACACGCATTCTGAGACTATCTGGATCGCTATTTTAACAATATTTGTGAAGGAATGGATGCATCGCAAAAGTAAGTACAATTGAACGACTCTATAGAGTAAGCTAAACGGAACGTGCAGCTCTACAGGCCGCCGAAGCGACAGATTCGGCATTACTCACTACCGTAGCCAGACACCACTGTATTGATGCTATCATAGGTATGACCACTGTTACGAGTGTGTTCATAGGCTTTTTTGTGAGTAATACGACATGGGTGAACTCCGCTGGTGGACTGGTCATGTCGTTGTTGCTCCTCCAGTCAGGGATTCACGATGTTGTCGCGGCGTGCCAAGTACTGCATGTCCATTTGAGCAAACGAATCAGAGATGATTGAGTGGAAATGAGGATTTGGGAAGATAGAAAAATGCAATTCGTTTCGCATATCTGTGTCCACAACAAACTGACCTTGGATTCCATGACCTCGCTTCGGTTCACCGTCATCCTTTCAGTGGATGACCCCTGAAGATGCAGGGAGGTTAGTGTATAATGGTGTCGTCATAGGGCTGGGGAGCTCCCGAATGCGAAGCAGCTGTCAAATTGCGAACCAATCAATATCTCGATCTAGAGCTGTTTATGGTTGCAAAAGGCATCGGCACTAGAAGGATGCTTGATCAGAGTGCGAATGCGATTGCCAAAGCTGCAATCTAATCTATTCTACCTACTATACAGGCATTCATTGGTATACCCAAATGTGTCACTGAAGCCAGTTGGCGCACTGATGGCCATTGTCGATGAACCCCTAGCTCTGATTGAAGTATTACAGTATCGTCAGTGTTCAGATATGGCCAAACAAACAATAGAGCAACAACTGTTAAAATAAGAACGATTGCACAACCAATTATTTCTGAGTAATTACATTGTTATCAATCTACCACCAGCTAATCACAATCTCACATGATCATGAAATAAAGCAAAGGAATGCCTGTAACAATTCAACGCTTGACCCGATTGGGCATCCTACTCGGATGCGAGTCCGATGACACTGACGCTATCATCGCTTGCTAGCGTCGAATGAGCGAGACAAGCCCCAGCAATGCAATGAAAGCAAATGCGAAATGCGAGAGTGATAAAAAAAAATAACATATTCGTATCAGTGGCTTCTAATGCTCTTCACTGTCAAGAAATATCTATATCAACATCCAAACTCCCACTCATCTTTGCTTCAATATCTACATCCACTCTTCATCTTCACGATCCAACATCAATTCTTACAACATGCCTACCCAAGGCTTCAAAGCGATCGTCGTCGGAGGCGGCCCTGTTGGGCTGTCAGCTGCCCACGCCCTTTCACGTGCCAACATCGATTTCGTCCTTCTTGAACGCCGCTCAAGCTCTGTCATCGACGCTGGCTCCAATCTCGTGCTCAATCCTATGGGTATTCGTGCACTCGACCAGCTTGGCCTCGGAGATTCTCTTGAGAAAGTCAGCTCTACTCTCGGCCTTGTCAAGCGTCAAGATCATCAAGGCCACGATATTGGCGATGCATACTGGTTCATCCTTTTCAACAAGCTGTAAGCCACCTCCTTCCTACCTTACCTTGTGCTCTACTAACATATCCAGCCTGGGGACCTTCCCTCGTGTAGTCAGCCGCCATGACCTCACCAAAATTCTATACGAATCGCTACCATCGTCGACAAAGGAAAACATTCTCACCAACAAGAAGGTCTCCGACATCATCCCTAACGCCACTGGCGTCAAAGTCTCGTGCGTCGATGGGACATCCTATGAAGGCTCCATTGTCATCGGAACAGACGGTGCCCACAGCTACGTCCGCGAAAAGATGCGCGATCTCGCCCTGAAAAACAACTCCGACCAGGCCAACGACGAGAAGCCCTTCCTCACCACCTTCCGAGCTCTGTGGCTACGCATGCCGACCAAGTTTGCAGGTCTCAACGCTGGAGTCACTTGTGAGACTCATGGGCCTGGCGCTGCGACACAGCTCTTTGCTGGTGAAGATTCTGCTGTCATGGGACTGTATGAGAAGATGGATACGCCCACCCGGGATCGTGTGAGATACACCGAGGCTGACCAGGTTGCTCTGGTTGAGCGATGGGGACACATTCCTCTTGCACCTGGAGGCAAGCTCACCCTCAAAGATGCCTTCAACGCCCGCACACAATCCGGACTCGTCAGTCTCGAAGAAGGTGTCGTGGATCACTGGAGCTGGGGTGGTCGCATTGTTCTCGCAGGCGACTCAGCGCACAAGTTCACGCCTAGTCTCGGCGCAGGCTGTAACAACGGGCTAATTGATGTCGTCGCACTGGTTAACCAACTCTACGCTCTTCGCCAGGAGACACCCTCTCCTACGCATGCGCAACTTGCGTCTGCTTTTCAAACATACCAAGATTCGCGAATGGCGCCTGTAGTGGAGGCATGCCGCAGTTCGGGTAACGCAACTGCAAATGCTACTTGGCAGTCCAGTGTGTTCAAGTTCATTGACAAGTATGTCATGGGTATTGAGAAGGTACAGAACCTTCTAATTGGGATGGGCGCACCAAAGATGGCCCAGTCGCCTAGGCTTACGTGCATCGAAGGGCCTGAGAGGGTCATTGGTACTATCCCCTGGGCAAAGACTGAGATCAAGGTCTATTGATCCATAGTGGCATCTGCGATCATGTTAGCGATTATACCCATGAGGGGAAACAAGGTCTTTTTTGGAATGTAAAAATAGTTTTCACAGCCAGCGAGGCGTGCAGGTCGAGTTCTCTGATTTGAGAGCAATTCTTATGTAATTAATGAACCAATTCTTACACATTCAACTCTGTTGCAAATGTTCATGATGATGATTACAGAGACTCAACGTTAGAGAATGGTGCCATCGGACAAGATTGTTAGTGAGTGTCAGTTACTGCAGTATCATCAATTCTCTTATCGTTGCTGATAAACGGTCTTATCTGTTAGTGTAGTAGTAAGCTTCCTTTCGCCCCGCAGACGTCATTGCCACAATTCAGAGCTGACAAATTGTGGGCTTCTGACAAATGAATGATGGTGGGATCAATGAAGTCCCACGGCATTGTTACGCAACAAGCCGAATATATAAATACCTATCAAGGTAACTAATTATCGTCAGTCGATTACAACAAGAAGCTAGACCCATCCTACCTTTCTTTGGCTTCCAATTCTTACTCCAAGACCACCTATATTGCATGTCCCGATCCCTCAGATCAAGACCACTTCTCAAACCACTCTTCAACCCCGCCCAATCTCGACCTTTCCACTTCACAGCTACCAAAATGACTACCGGAGTCTTCCACTACATCGACCCGACATCAAGCGTTGATGCCAGCGGCAACAGAGTCAAGCCTTGGGCAAAGGTTGACGTCGACCAGACTTCATTCCAGCGCAAACTTATCAAGCGCGAAGTAGTCGACATTCGCAGCGCAGCCAGCCTCAAGGCCTTCGACGTCGACCTCTCTGGCTTCGACGTGTTCAAGTCTCCCGCCAAGGAAACCGAGTTCACTGATGAATCGGCCGTGAGAAATGGTTACTATGGCGAGGTCGACGCGCTTCTAAAGGAGAGGATCCCGGGTATCAAGAAAATCGTTATCTTTGATCACACCATTCGCAGGCGTGAAAAGAGCAGCCCCAGACAGCCGGTGCAACAAGTCCACGTTGATCAAACGCCCGGCGCGGCTGAAGCCCGTGTCCGACGTCATACGGACCCATCCGAAGCAGAGGAGCTTCTCAAGGGCCGCTACCAAATCATCAACGTCTGGCGACCCATCGGCCACCCTGCTACGGACTTTCCTCTCGCTGTGATTGACTACAGAAGCACCAAGCCAGAGGATATGATCAAGGTCGATCTTTTGTACCCCAACCGCAACGATGACGATGATGATGATCGTGGAAAGGAAGTTCTGCCTGATGAGGCGACCTTGAGGTCCACAGAGGGATACACCGTCAAGGGCGAGACATATTCGGTTGCGGCGAACGATGAGCACAAGCTCTACTACGCCAAGGATATGACACCTGAAGAGGTTATGCTGATCAAATGCTTCGACTCCAAGAGTGAGGTTCACGAGGGTGGGCAACATGGCATTGCTGGATATACACCCCATACCGCGTTTGTGGATCCCAACACGCCGGAAGATGCTCCCGGACGACAGAGCATCGAGGTACGATGCTTGGTTTTCTACTAGAAGCACGAGTAGGCGAGTGGTGAGATGTTGAAATAGATTGTTAGCGTTATGAATAATGAAGTATTGTCACAGTGACCGAGATTATTTGATCATGTCATCCAAACATGTGTTTCAATGCCTGTCAACAATCATCTTAAATCTACTGTCCTTGGCTTCTGCAAGTCCTTGTGCAGTGTTCTTTCTGCAACTGTAGTCAATGACGACGACGACTTTGCTGCCATGGTAACACCTTCCAACACAACTCTGAACAAGGCCTTTGGAAAGGCTGTGAACAAGATGTCGGAATCGCAAACTGGTCAAATTCTATCAGGAATACTGAAACATGAGCTCTGAAAGAAAGACGAGGTGACGAACAACAACATCAACTCACGAACATTCTTCTCTATACTATTGATGGCATCCTGCACAAATTACTATAAAACACGCATGTTTTAATACCGACCAATATCAGCTCAGCACCGACTTCTACAATTTCATTCTAGCTTTTATTTGAGCAAACACAGAAATCAACTCTAACCAAAATCAACAATCCAGTCTCTCAATCATGGATCCCTCTTACAATCAACCCCTGTCTGAAGACCAGATGAACATCGCGATTTATCTCGCCAACAGGAGTTTCTTCATAGACTTTCTATGTCGCGTTTCTGATGAGACTCATCATCACCACCCGAGCTCCAATTACCCGAGTAGTCCACCTGACATTGTCGATGTGCCTCGAACAGGAACCGACGTTGTTAAACTCATCATGTCCAGTAAGTTCGGTTGTACCAAGCTTCTAAACGGCTATGTAAAACTTGGCTTTGGACCCAGCCATGTCATGGTCCCTTTGGAGAACCGTGATACCGATGATGGTCAACAGACTGGTTTCGTCAGATTCCTCGAGGCGCTATATGAGGGAAACACTCTCATCCGGAACCGGGCCAGAATTGTGACCATCTTTGACTGGTTCATCCAGCTTCAAAGCAATATACACCACCCTTCGGCTTCGGATCTCGGACCAATGACTACAAGTCACAAGACTACACCTGGGCGACCCCGAACCCCGATCGACCATCTGACGGAGATGCTGAAATGGCAAACAGCAGGCCCTACTATTCACAGACGTGGAGTCAACCTCACCTGTATGATGATCGAGAAGCTATGCGCCAAAGGTGCTGTCATCGACCTTTACCAGGATCGCTTTCTCACAAACCAACAGACTGGTAAACTGAAGAGGCCTAACAATGCGGTTGAGATCGCCATGATGCCACAATGTCCAGTGTCTTTCCTTCAAGTCTTCCTTTCCAGTCGCACACACGAGGAACAGCGGTTCGTGGCTATTGGCCCAGTCTGGAAATCTTCTGGCGCCAACCTCGCTCGAGGGATGCATTATGCTGTGACGAACATGGAATGGATCATCACACGCATTTACCGAGACATCTTTGAAGAAACCAAACATGTCAGTGGCCGCTTACATATCGACCGCGAGTACGAGGAAAAGGTGTCTCTTCTGGGCAACCCTTTCTGGACTGATGGCGTGGAGTTACGAGCATTGAGGAAACTTGTTGAAGTAGTCGAAGGAATTCTTCACGAGATTGACGAATCAGATTTTCAGCGAGGAGAGGCATTTAAATACCAGAGCTGGTTCAGACTCTGCCATGCTGTCTCCGGTCTGGCCGATACCTCCTACCGGGTGAATTCTGAGGAGTCTTCCAAGTACTTCGGCGACAGACGGCATCAGTTTGTCATTGATCTCTCATGGGACCCTCGATTTGAGTGGATGGAAGCCGAGCTTGACAAGCAGATCCTGAAGTCCGACTCGCACATCTCTTGGACTTCGCGTGATGAAGTGGCCAGTGTCTGGCGAAAGATGATCATTGAGCAAGGCGGGCATGAATGGTGGGATGTCGAAGAACATGACTTCTACGTCATGGCCTGGGAGGTTGAGCAGGCCCTTGAAGATGCCGCCCGCCGTGAAATCAATGGCCTGTGCTTGTAAATTACTTTTGTTCTAGTGGAGTTATGGTGATTTGCTTGGGTCAGATGTCATGGCAGAGATGGGTTTAGGATAGACAGAGCAGGACCAAGGCTAGAATACACTGGAATCAGAATAAATCAATGCAAATTTGAGACCATCGAACAGGCCGATGTATTATTGCAGTGATTCGGACAGTTCGTGACCGCGGTGGCCTCTCCATCCATTTGGTGACGAGAGCTCGCTCCACGGCACTTGATAAGAAGCCCCATCGACTTGCTACAGTTAGGAGTTTCTCTGTAAATGTACAAGGCTACCTCAAAGTGCTGTGCTGATTAACCAACATCGTGAAAACCCTCAAGGATGTATGGCCTTGTCTTGTCACCAGGCTTTCTGTAGTTTTATTGGAACACGTTTCTTGATAATCGTTGTCTATCATTGGGTATCATCATACGATAAACTTTCATTCATGCTAAATAAACAAATCATAAAATCAGGTTTTCCTTCCGTTGCATTACTGCGGAGCCTTCTTCTGCCTCCACATGCTCTTAACAAAGTAAACAATGCTAATAGCGAATCCTAGTCCAGCAAATCCAACAGCCATGTAGAACGCCGCACGGTATCCCTTCAGCAAGTCTGCCTGGGACTCTCCGCCCTTGTTGATGTTGACCTCAACCGTGGCGGCAAAACCCAGGCCAAGACTGATACTGTAGTTGACAATGGTGCTAACAAGACTTGCTGCGATACCCTGGTGCTCTCTGGAGACAGAGTTGGAAAGAATCAATGTCGCAGCAGGGAAGGACATGTCCATACCGAATGTCATGACAATAAGGCCGAAGAAAGATTGGTACCAGTAGGATTGCTCAATGGGAGCAGTCATCATAAGAATGGTACCTGTAGTGAAGGCGCCAAGAGCAAGTAGCATGACCAACGCAGGGTGCGAAACGTGTAAAAGCCAGGCTGTCGTCAACGAGGCGCAAGCTCCGGAAATAGCCACAGGGCTCATCCAAGCACTTGTAAGGAGAGGGGAGGCTCCCCGAACCAGCTGGAAGAACTGCCATGTGTAGTAAACCCAGATACCAAATGTGGCCCAACCACAGACAATGCAAGCCAGGATATAGGCAACATCGCTCGTCAAAGCGTCAAAGGGGATAAGAGGATGCGAGGCAACGCGTAGCTCGACGTAAAAGAAGACGGGAACCATCAGAACTCCCAGAATCAGCGTCACGATAACCCAGGGCTTGTCCCAACCGTCGATAGGAGCTTGATTCCAGGCAAAGTTGAAGAGAACGAGGGCAGTAATACCAGTCACGGCACCTGGGAGATCCAGTTGACCGATGATCTCTCCCCATGTTAGGTCGGCCGATGAAAGCTTGTGTGGTGGGTCGGGAATGATAAAGTAGGCCATAACGGCAATTAAGGCCAGGCCAAGGGCGAAAGAATAAAAGGCCCAAGGCCACCAGCTAGGATCGCCCAGGACGAAGAGTCCAGCAAACGCGGCAGAGAAAACACAACCGCCAGGGGCACAAGCGCCAAACAGGGCAAAAGCGATGGCCTTTTTAGCACCGGGATTGTATGATGCGCCCAGAATAGCAAGACCGTTTGGCATAACCAGTGCTGGTCCGATACCCTGGAAGACTCTTGCAAATATGAAGAGGACATGGTTGGAATAGTTGGCAAGACCGCAGATCATTGACCAGACAGCAAACCAAGCGAATCCGATAAGGAACATGCACTTGTAGCCAAAGATATCTCCAAGACGTCCAGCAAAGAGAATAAAAGTTCCGACCGTGAGGCTGTACCCAGCGATAAGCCAGCTTAGCTCGGCTGGGTTGCTGAGGCCGAATGAGTCGCCGATAATGTGGATGAGATTAAGACAGTTGCCAAGGGCGCCCTGTGTCATGAACTGAGCCATACAGATAATGGATACGAATAGGATTTCGCGTGATAGTGAGAAAGAATCTGCTATTGAGGCTGATGTCTTTACGCGGGAGATTTCCTCCTCATCGCGACCTGTCAAGGTGTTGTTATCTGAGGTATCTCTATCAGATCCAGGCATAGAGCCTTGTTCTACAGCAGTTAGCATCTTTGGCCAGGATACATAGAGTTGTAGTGTTTCTTTACCCTTTTCAGCTTCCATCACCATAACGAAAAGCTATATCAAAAATCGATTGTGTTCTGACAGGCAATGACGAAAGGGATGACAGCTAAGCTTTGTACTATATAAGAAATGGATCGCATTCCGTGGATATGATGATATACATCCGAATATCCGTACTTCCGAGCCAATGAGTAGAAGCTCCCTTGACTTTATGTCCACAATGGCATTTCTAAGCGAGTTTCGGGATTAGAAATCTTGATGGAGATCTGATAAAAGGGAGACTTAACTAGTTCGGATGAGAATTGAACTTGTATCCGTTCTGACCGCTGTCTTGGGCCGAGCGGGATGTAACGGGCTGTCGAGCTTATTTTCTGGTGGAGCTTCAGTATAAATGTGAAGCTAGAGAATGACTGTGCACGTCATCAATCTTGGTAAGAATTGTGATTGCTTAAAATATTTGCACGATTAATCACGGATAATGGTACTTTATGGTTGTTGAACATTTAGCTAAATAAACAAAGACACGTACTGCTCATCAATCTGTTATGTCGGGCTATAGCATGAGTGAGAGGAGCTCAATGTGTCAGACAAAAACTAAAGTTGAGCAGTATGTATAGCCACATCAGTTCTAGACTTTAACTGCGGCACCAAGATAGACTCTAATGATTGTTTCAATAGAATACCAGAAGCAGCGTCTAGATTTATAGAATGATCATCTCTATAAACGTGTATTAAATTGATCTTGAACGTTTCAGTTCGTTCTACAGAAGCTACCCTACAGTGGCGAACCAGTAGATTCTGCCATATTTGACCGTTTTCGCCACTGAACATGGTCAAGTCAATTGGAATCCAACCCCACGTAAATTTACCATCCCCACCATCTCGACTCTTATCAGACCATCTTTAAATCGTTCAAAATGTCAAAGACAAAGTCCAAGAAGCGCAAGCAAAACGCTCAAGCGCAGACTCAATCAGAAAGCCCTCGAAAGATCGCAAAGACAACATCTCCCTTGATACCGACACCTCCTCCCGATGGCAGCACCACACCCTTCGAGCCAAAGAACCTCCACACTGTCGTTTCTGAGGAAGAACTTGAGATCACTATCGACACTCTCACATCGCTGGCCCAATATCCTGGTTTGATCAAGTCAAAGCTCTGCAAGGACCTTAGAGTTGCCGTATACGACTTTCGGCAAGCTTGCACGACCGGTGTCAACAATGCTGCTGGCGCGAACCTTACAGCGCAGGTCACTGCTGCCCTCGCCGATCGGAAATACACTGAAGCAAGAATTTTTCTTGCTGAGATGAAGATTCGGGGCGAACAGCCCAAGCTTGGTGCGCTGTGCCGATGGGTGCGAGATCTCGATGTCATCAGCGGCCTGTCGACTGTGCCAGACCAGCAGGGTCTCGTGAAGCGCTCCGAAAGGGAAGAGACCCTGATCAAGGTCATCGATTCCGTATTAAGAGTCTGTGGCCACGAGGACCGAAACCCCAATGCCGTGATTCAACCATCTTCAATTGCTCTGCAGGAGATTTGGGACCTCCGGCCAGACACACCCACCGAACAAGTATACGCTACGGTCCTAGACGGCAGTCTCGTTTCTTCAGCGCCTGACTCTCTCAAGAAGAACCTACGCATCATCGAGATAACGCCCGGTCCCGAACGCAAGCCTCCCAACCACCACGATGCCATCCTATACGCCTCTACACCCGACGCCGTCCCACTGTCCACAACGCCACCGTCAACTACCTGTACTCCACATCCTGTTGTGGCCGGTCTCAGCGTTGCTACGCATGTTCTCTATCCTGAGGAATGTAAGGCTATTATCGCTGCTGGCGAAACAGTCAACTTTGTTCCTGATGCGCCGCTGCGCGAGGACGGAGATGTCAGCATTCTGGCGCACAACTTTTACTGGGTTGTCGATCAGACATTTCACGATACGCTCTGGTCGCGCATCCGGTCATTTGTACCAGAGTTTATGAATGGTCGCTTGGCCAGGGGAGTTAACCGTCGATTCCGAGTCTATCGCTAGTAAGTTCAATCTTGATAGCCAAATCTCTCCATACAACTAACACGCCACAGTGTTTCAGGAGCAGAGTACCGAGCACACATCGACGGCGCATGGCCCCCGAGCGGCATAACGAAGGACGATACATACGTATACGACAACTCTCCCGCTGAGAAGAAACAGAGCTCGCTATTCACTTTCTTGATCTACCTGAACCAAGATTTCGAGGGCGGCGAAACTACATACTTCCTGCCCGCTGCGCGCGAGGGAGTTTTGAACGCATACCCAGTCCGCCCGATCATGGGTGGCGCTGCCATTTTCCCACATGGCGAGATCAACGCTACGCTGCATGAGGGTACTGGTGTTAGAAAGGGAGCCAAATATGTCATTCGAACAGAGATTGAGTACGATATTGAACCGTCAGAGGAGGTCAAGGTCTGAGGTACAAATAAATTGGATGTTTTAAACAAAATTGTCAACAGGAACGGCTGGACCGGAGAAAAGTATTGATACGCTTTTATGTCTATTGAACAAACTATATATTTAAATATTATCATATCGTCATTTATCTATGCTTCAGTCGTGACCTCTCCCTCAGCAGGCTTACGTCCCCAGACAATTCGTTGGAGGTAATAAGCATGCGCCTGCTTCTTAGACTTCAACTCCTTTCGCAATTGGGCGCAGTAGAGCACAACCTGCTCTTTCGTCCAGCCCTCAAGCAGAGTAGCCATGAAAGCAATGTGTCCCTCCACATCAGATAGAATGCTCAGTGTGGTAAATCGGCCAATCTCCTTGAGGCGCTCCTCCTTGGGCCAGTCTCCCACAGGGACCTTAATGGTCTTGGTCTGAATGTCTACGAAACCAGCGGCCTTCATGCCCTTCTCTTGCAGGTTATCAGGGAGAGGCGTGAAGACACGACCGAGCTTCTTACCACCCTTGTGAAAGAACTTGCCCCACTCGGCAATGGCACTGCCAGGCTTGACACTATCGTCGTCGCTAAGACCCATGGGGTCACCCTCGTGGGACTCGACCCAACCGCCGGGCTTGGTCGCTTGGAATGCGCGCTCGTACAGGGCGTACCAGTCGGGGACGCTACCGTAGAGGAAGCGCATGTGGATGAAGTCGGCCGAGTTTTGGGGGAATGTCCAGTCAAGGGTGAAGTCTTCGATCTCGAACTTGACATTTGGGGGAACCCAGCTGAAGCATGTTAGCTACCGATATGATGCCGTGCTGGTGTACTTGCTTACCTCGGCTGGATAGGGGAGATATCTGTTCCGATAACTTCGGCCTCAGGGAACTCGTCGCCAAAATCCATAGCCCAAATTCCAGTGCCGGTACCGATGTCAAGCACCTTCTTGGGAGCCTCGACAGGCGCAAAGTTGAGCTTGCCATCCATAATCAGGCAGGACGTATGGTGAATGATATCGAGAGCCTCAGAGGCCTGGTTATCGTTGGACGCCCAGTACTGAGCATCGCCTCGCTCGGCATGGTATGTTCGGCCGTTGATAGTTCGGTAGTCGAGAATGCTCGAGTTGATGGACGCGGTCGAACTGGCATTGTCGTCACCTAGCGAGGAGTCGGTGTCTGAGTTGTCGGCATCGGCATCGGCTGGGTTAGTGGCGGTGTTCTATGTTGAGTCAATTAAACGGAGTCTCGGCGAGGATTGAAAGTGGTGTCGTTTACCTCCCAATGTGTCGGGGCAAGCATCTCTTCGGTGCCGCCATTCTGCGCAGTTGGCGCATCTTCGATTTGTGCAGCACTGGCAGTAGTCATCTTGATATCTTGCTCAAAATAATAATGAAGACACAAAATGAGGCGGCGAGAGAAGAGAGACAAGAGAAACTCCCGCCGCCCCTCTTGTTTGTCTGTTTGTTGGTCCCAGCACCCAACTGCGTGGTCATAGTAGCATCGAGTGCCACTCTTGGCTTTTGTCTTCAAGGGTCCATATTGACGCTAGTTTCGGGGAACGACGGATGTCCCACTTTGCTGAAGGATTCTGGCTCGGGAGGGGGAATTCATCCGGATATGAAGCCTCGATGGGATGTAATGATGCGATTGCGGGCATGACTACCTACTCTGTCAGGACACAACCGAGGCTCAACACCCCCTTCCCTTGAACTCATCACGTGATGATCAAACTGGATCTTATCTTATCTCTGACCTAACCTAGATACTTCCCAAGCTAAAAAGTCACACAAGTCAGGAGGGTTTGTTTAAGCAAAATGGTAACGTCAGTGTAAAGTTTGGAATGAAATTACTCATCGCCGAACAAGCAATCACAAAGATAAAGACGTCATTGAGACTAAATGTCACGAAGCATGAACTTTGATGTTTCCCAAGACACGGTCGATGAAACCATCGTCATGACCATCTCTCAAGGGAAAGTTAACCTACATTTTCCCTTTAGATAATGCAACAAGATGAATGAAAATTAGGCCAAATATAATACTGCTCAGTCCTATGACTTTGAGTCAGTGTTCTATCGGTATCGAAGGTGAAGTGATGACCTGCCTAATATCTATGATCTACACCAAGGCCACATTGTGGTCTTGAATGGTTTCCCAAAGCGCCTTCCTAAAGCTCCTCTTTTTGAAGAAAAGGTAAGAGCGTTCAGATTGACTTGAGTTTAACCCTTATCAGAGTTTTAAAGCCTGAGTCCAAAGTTTAAAGTCTAACTTTCGCATTACATGAGAAATAGACAAGACGCGCTGTATTCCCACGAGAATCTTTACAATCACGCACACATTTCTATCTCATCCAGCAATAATGAATCGTTTTGTACAGGAGAGACACCGTCATGCAAGGGATCAGATATGACAGTGCAAGTGAGTGTCCTATCTCCAATAACCAAGTTATCCCCTGGGGCAGGTTTCTAATAATTGAGTCAAAAACAGAAGCCAATTTCTAGACTTCACAGTCAAGTGCCGCGGCAAAGTATTATGTATTCACAAGCTGGTCATTTTTAGCCAATGTTCTCTTCTACAAAAAACAAATACAGATCCGAATGGGGTACGAAATACGATAATCTAGTTGTAACATCTTGCTAACATAATAAGGCATCTAAGATCAATGTGCTCGATCTATCCATATTCACCATCGATACCGTACAGAGACTGATAGATTACCTCTATCTCGGCGAGTATGTAGTGGATTAGATCCTCACAGGCTCAGCAAATAAGCGACCGGACCTTCGAGCACACGTTGACATGTTCGCCGCTGGAGTCGAGTTATGAATTAGTACCCTTCAGGACTATGCGGTTCATGAGTACTCAAAGACATTACTTACATTTTCTTTTTCTGAGCTTATCCGCTCGATTGATCCTGTGTACTCCACGAGCTCGAGGGAACACAGCGCGCTGCGACTTGCAGTACTGGACTATGCTCAAATGAGAGTGATAGAGTCCGGGATTCCACCACTGAAGACGGTATGGGTTACCGAGATGAACGAAAACTGCCCAGAGTATGTGGACGATTTGGAGTTGGGCTACAAATATCACTGGGTTAAAAAGCGTACAACTTAAAGAACTAGTAGTTGGTTGTATCGATTGGGTCACAGAGAGCTCGCCCTTGCCAAGCTACAGGGCTCCGAAATCAGGGATTCATTGTCGCATGCAATGACCAGGTGTGTTTGATGCATTGTTTAGCAGAGGTTTGCTGTTTCTGTGTTTTTATACTTTGTTAATAGACAATCTCGCAACTGTCAAAGGATCTCTGACTGCTCATGAGCCTTTCGCACTAAAGGAGTAGAACAAAAGTGAATAACGGAAATGCATTGTTCAGCAAAGTCAAAAAAATAAATCTAGGACCGAGCGTGGATCGAACACGCGACCTAGGGATCTGCAATCCCTCGCTCGTACCACTGAGCTATCGATCCTTGTCAAATTTTGGATAGGACAGAGGGTTGACATGAGTGTATATATAGTAACCACGTGTTTAGAATGTGTTGTGTTATGCTATTTAATATTGAGTATTGCATCTGCTAAACTTGGGACGAGTTTATTGCTACGAACTGAACGGTGCATCTTCATCCCGAGCTTACTCTTGAGTGACCGTTTGTTACATAGGAATTATCGTATCAAACGCAGATAACGATATGCTCTAACTAGCATTGTTGAACCTCTTGCGCCCTTTGTCTCGGTTATCCATAAGCTCAAAAGTCCATTGTTTTGAGCTGCCGCATCAAGCCTAGAGCTCATCATACACGCCATTAGAAGCGGGGTATTCTGTACAAATGCATGGCAACACGCAAGACCTTTTGTCAATCGCTAATAGCCCTTGTAAAATCCTCGTCATCATCGATAGGCTTATCTAAATATTTACTGTTCAACAGCCCCAGTAACATCTTTTGAGGTCCTGTAACATTCCCCAATACCCAACGCCAAGAACAACTCTAGTCATGGGTATCTTCAAAACAGCGATTTTGCTCGCTGGTGCTTCACTGAACGTGCTTGCATCTCAATTCCCTCTCAATGACGCGGACTCACTGCAAGCTTCAACCTTCCAGGTCCATCAGAGCTCCCTGTCCCCGGAGCACTCAATTCGCATCAAAGAACAGGTAGATGACTCTATATGCGACGCGCGTGTCAAGCAGTACACAGGGTGGCTTGATGTCGGAAACCAGCACTTGTTCTTCTGGTACTTTGAGAGCAAGCATGCTCCAGCCACTGATCCTCTAGTCTTGTGGTTGACGGGAGGTCCTGGTGGTTCATCCATGCTGGGAATGCTCCAAGAACTCGGCCCTTGTCTCATTAACGAGCATGGCAACGGAACAGTCCATAACCCTTATGGATGGAACGCAAATGCAAACTACATTTTTGTCGACCAACCTGCTGGTGTTGGATTTTCCTACCTGGACAAAGACGAGCCGATTCCTGGCAACTCGTTTGTCGCTGCCGATAGCATGCACAAGTTTATGCAACTATTCACAACTGAAGTCTTCCCGGATCTTGCTGGCAGACCGTTCCACATCTCTGGGGAGAGCTATGGTGTAAGTAAAAGCGCTGGTGGGGTATCGCAGTAACTGACTTTTACAGGGCCACTACATCCCTATTTTGGGAGCTACAATTGTCGCACAGAACAATCTCTACCCCAAACGGCCCCAAGTTAACCTAGAGTCTGTACTCATTGGAAACGGTTACATCTCACCTCTCGACACCGCCTTTGGATACTGGGAGACGCTCTGCACAACCAACCCTGGTGTCAGTGAACCTGTGTTCAACAGTACTCGCTGCGACATCATGGCTGCCAACCTTCCACGATGCCTAGATCTTGCACGTGTATGCTATGAGCATCCCGACCACGCCATTTGTGGTGCCGCGGCGGAGGTATGCTGGGAAGGCGTGATAAAGTGGTACGACGGCGAATCTGGGTCCGGCGGCAACAGAAACAGATTTGACATCAGTGTGCCGTGTGAATCTGGAGATGATCTATGTTACAAGGAATCGGCACTCATCCAAAACTACCTCAACCTGCCGCGAGTGTTCAAAGCTTTGGGTGTTCCAAGCGCGTTGACAAATTACTCGATCTACTCCTGGGAAGTATCAGAAGCCTTTGACCTTGGCATCGACACAGGTATCAGCACTCAATCGCAGGTATTGTACTTGCTCAACCACGACATCGATGTGCTACTATACCAAGGAAACCTGGACCTCGCATGCAACACTGCAGGAAATCTGAGGTGGAGTAATAGTATGGAGTGGAAGGGACAGCCAGCTTATGTTGCTCAACGACCAAAGGCGTGGGGTGCTTGGGGTGAGGAGATTGGTTGGTACAAGGAGGTCAAGATCCAGATGGGTACTTCAGATAAGAAGACTACCTTCTCGTTTGCAACGGTCGATGGAGCTGGTCATATGGTGAGTCTTCAAGTAAAGTTTGAGATAATTGCGCTAACTGGATGTCACAGGTCCCGCAAGGTAAACCCAAGCAGGCATTGGAGCTCGTCAACCGCTGGTTAAAGAAGCGTACTTTCGCCGGCTGAGAAACTCAGAGAAAGGTCGTTTCGTGGGATTCATTCTGGCATTTGTTCTCGGCCGTTAAAAACATTGAAGTAATTTAGAAAATGACACAGTCTTTATTCCCGATGATCTTGAATCGTTGCATTGATGCCGATACTCCACCACTGTTGTATGCTGTGGTTTCTGTGAACTTTTTACACTAATTTTAAGGACTGATATATATATGAAGTTATTTATGAATAAACGCATATCAAAATTGAATGTCTTCTATACGACCTTGGCAACTGGAGTGAGAGAACTTTACTTGTCTTGTGTCCTCATCGTCAAGCCAGTATGGAGAGTGCAGAAGAGTTTGAAGGACAGTGGGATGTGAATCTGATAGACGAAGGTTTATATGGAGATGAGAATGAATGGAGTTGAAGTATGTAAAATTAAAATGAGTGTTCTGTGTATGCAAAATGCTAAGCGATGGCTGTTTGATACTGCCAAGACAAGAAGTGAACAAGAAAATGATAATGAAAGAGTGCCAATGCTGTACCATGTCCCAATGCCAATGCAACCGATCAAACTCCAAAAGAAACAATTGAATGCCCAAGAACCTTCTTACTCCTTGCCAGGGTACTTTCCAGGGTACCACTTGCCATCATCATAGCCAGTGTTGCCGCCCTCATACTTGCCTATTGAGTGTTAGTATTGTATGGTAGGCCATGATGAAGATGTTGAGACTTACCCTGTTCCCACTTGCCATTATCGTAGCCAGTGTGGCCACCCTCATACTTGCCAGGGTACCAGCTACCATCATCCTCACGCTTCTCCTTAGCACCAGGGTACTTGCCAGGGTACCATTTTCCATCATCATAGGGAGTGTGAGGCTTGCCCTCATACTTTCCTGGGTACCACTTGCCGTCATCGTAGGGTGTTTGAGGCTTGCCTTCATATTTGCCGGGATACCATTTGCCGTTGTCGGCACGCTTCTCCTTTGCACCGGGGTACTTGCCAGGGTACCATTGACCATCATCATAGGGAGTGTGAGGCTTGCCCTCGCTGAGATAGAGTTAGTATATGGCATTGAGTGAAAAGTGGTTGAGAAACTTACTATTTGCCAGGGTACCAATTACCATCATCGTAGCGCTTGGTCTTCTTGCCATACTTGCCAGGGTAGTACTGACCATTGTCGTATCCTGTGTTGCCTCCCTCATACTTGCCAGGAGCCCACTTGCCATTATCATAGCCAGTGCTGCCGCCCTCGTATTTGCCTGGAACTGTTAGGTGTCTGGAGAGCAGATGAAGAGGAATATGGCTGCATACCAGGGCTCCATGAGCCGTCGTCGTTCTTGGCAGTGGGAAGTGCCAGAGCTGTGGCAGCGAATGCCAGAAGAGTGTAGGAGTAACGCATATTGAGTTGAAGTTGTTGAAGAGAAAGTAAAGTAAAACCGCTAGTGGTAGCGAGATACTAGAGGCTTAAGGTGGAAGTGATTGAAGTTGTAGATTGAGGAGTCGAAGCGACAGTTGAGATGCTGAAGCGAAAGTGTTGAGTTGTTGTGTTTGTATGTGTTTGTATGTGTTTGTATGTGAGAAGAAGATGAGGATGATGAACTGAACTGGAATGAGGGAATCAACTCGAGGTTATATAGTAAATTGAATACCAGTCATTCCTATCTCGAGTGACATAGTTGTAGTCAAACTCAACTATCCAGCGTTGTGGTGGTCGGCGCAGCATCAAACCACCAACGCCACGACTTACTAAACTCACGACATAGCAGAGCTCCCCAACTTCCAAATCAATAAGGCTGATGTGCAGCTCAACGAGCCGCATGGCCCTACGTCAATTCAAGGTTACTATTTTAGGCTGTCCCAAGCTTTATTTCGTCCCATCCTTGTCCCGAGTACAGCTGCTGCGCCTGGTTACAAACCAAGCCAAGATCAGCACTAGCTCCTGTACAAAAATGTAGCTATCCCAAATCTGACTTGGCTTCCCAGGGCTGAGCTTACCTCGAGGTCTCGACCACGGCCCCTCTTCTCCGATGGTGGTTGTGTCTAACCGGACCACCGAACTCGAGCTTTACCCCGCAAGACGATAAACCCCGAAAAGTCGACTTTGGGGCTGAGGAGCATAGAACGTGTGGTACAGTACTAGAAAAAGGTCAGCTGTGCCACCGCCTTGGCGTGGTTTCTGTGTTGGCACAAGAAGGAGTAGGAATCTTGGCCTTGATCCTTCTCGTGTAAGCTGATATGGTGGGTGTTGAAAGTGCACATGTTGTGCGGGATATTAGGAGTGACAAACATGCGAATGTCAAGCTTTCAAGCCCAGCTCAACTACTGTTGAAGCCAAAATACCAAAGTCCCATTGCCTGTTAGCTCTAAAAACCCAAACCTTTTTTGAAGGAAGAACCCGAGAGTAGAGCTAAGGACAAGCCTAGTTCATGACCATCACTGACTCTACCACCCCATTGCCTTTAGTCAGCCCGACCGGCTGAACTTGCTAAAACCCAGGTCGCTGAACTTTGATGGGATTTGGGGAAACACAAAGTGAGACCGACTTTAGTGATGGAGAAAAAAAAACGCCCGGCGCCCAAGGCTGAAAAGGCGGAGCTGAACCTGGTGGGAGCAAACAAACTTGGGCTTAGAGTTATGAGGGTGTGGACGGCAGAGACAAACATAGGTGGTGATTAGGATACGAGTTTGGAGCTGGCACATGTCGAGGTGAATGATCATGTTCTAAGATTGAGAGGTTCAGTTTCTCTTCGAGAATAGAAACACGATCCAGATACATTTACATTTACAACGGTATCCCGATGATAGCCATATCTCATGCAGATCCGTGATGTATACATCATATCTACAAGGTACCTACTCTGGCAGGTTATCACTTATTTTTAAGGCATTCATGAGATCCTTTGGTAATCAAATGCCATATCATGGCACCATCAACAACGTGACAGCTGGTGCTCAGCCCTATCACCGTCAGCCCCCACAGGGACCTCAGTTCGACGTGTGATGGGTGGGCTTACTCCGATATCTAGCTTCAGATTTCCATTGGCGCAGTAAAGCTGCACAGAACTTGTGAGCCCGCCGTTTCGGCTTTGCTTTAAAGTTTCGTTGAACGTTTCGCTTCGGCGAACCCAATCTGGTGGTAACGGCCATGCGCTACTGAAGTTCCTCTAGGGAGCTATACGACACTATCAAACCGAATATCCGAAAGATTTAAACCATATCTTACACCACCTAGGAAATAGGTTTGGGATGGCTTGTCAGCAAAAGTAATGATGGCGACATCGCAAATGTCTCATACGGCGTAGAGTAGAAAGGTTTGCTCTCCACATCCTAAAGGAAGTAATAATGAGACGATGCATAAGCTAGAGAAGCTTGCAAAATTTCATATCGGACTTTTTCTTCCTTTGATACGTGATAGGTTGATTTGATATCAGCTGAAGTCTCTCGTCATCATGGAAAAGAGTCAGCTGCGAGTCCACTAACGGTATCACGTAGTGACTTATCGACGATGTACTTGGGTTTCTTGTATTGTTATGTAGTCGGTAGATCAAGACTGTCATCTTTGTCCTATGATCAAAGTAGTAAGTTGTCAAGTGGAGAGTTTCTTTGACAAAGACGAGCTCCCTTGGTCTGAGCAATCTGCAAAGGAATAGAGCACATTTCTTATCTTTCTCTATATCATACAAGAGCTCAAGCCAAGCAAAATGTTTAATGTTGGACGCTGAAAGCATTAGAGATGGAATCAGTGGGTCATTCTATGCCATCAGACCACAGGATTATTTTACTATTATAAAGCTCAAGAGGTTAACATGTTTGTTATTCACTAAGGGTCTATAATCATTCCAGAGAGATTGATATTGCAATTAAACTGGTTCTGTCGTCTCACGTAGTGTAGTTTATCAAGCGCGAACATTTGCTCTGGTTCTTTCAGGAAAACCAAGACATCCCAGTACCTCAATTCAGAGGGCCTGTCTCACTCAGACACGCAACAATGCCCGCGATAGCTGCCAACGTTCCATCCGGATTCTTGACACGCACCGTGTGTAGTCCCAACTCCTTAGCCGGGTAATCGTTTCCACCAGGAAAGATAGCATCTCCGATAAACATGATCTGCTCCAGCGGAATACCGCTCGCAGCTGAAAGCTTTTTCAAGCCATAGCCCTTGTCGACACCCTTTTGCGTGATATCAATCGAGGTCGCACCACCCATGTTGATAGAAAGATCGGGAAGGCGCTTATACAGATCGGCTTGGATGATCTTTCGCTTTGCAAAGTCAGGATCCCAGATTTCCTTGGCTGATACGGGAGCTTGTTGGCCAAGAGCAGAAAATGTGATTTGACTTCCTCGATCTTCGATGCGTTCGCCCCATGTCTGTTCTGGCTGGAAACCCGTAGCGTCGAGTGATGCGTTGAATGCTTGGATGATGTTCTTCCTCTGTTCCTCACTGAAGAGCTCGGCGTATTCAACCTTCCATTCGTCGCCTTTGTGAGTGTAGAGTTTTGTGCCGGTGGTAGGCATAAGCCAGAGCTTGGAGAGATCAGCGCGAGGAGGAAGTCGGCTGGCGACTTGCTTTTGGAACTGAGGCCAGTCACCGCCTGAAATGACTGCGACATGTGCGACGGTCAGAAGGTCAGCGAGAGCTTCGCCCATGGAGTCGAGGAGAGGTTGTTTGCTCTCTGCGAGGGTGCCATCTAGATCGAATGCGACAAGTTTTATCATGGCTGCTGGTAGTGAAGGTGAAGAGGCAGAGATTGTTGTTGGTTGTTTGAAGTTAAGTGAGGGGTTGACATTTTTGGTGATGATTGACAGCTGGCATGTATTATCAAGCCACATATAATTCCGCTGTTAGCACCACACAACATTGATGTATACATCGAGTAGGTGATCCATCTTGTATGAATGTTATTCACTCTAACCAATGCCTTGTCACAGGCATTATAGTATCTAGGTTAACATGACCACATATCATGAGTTGGTATTTATTTCGTCTCTTTTGCTTGTTGACATAGTCGTTGCTTTTTAAATAAGTGGGCCTTTCAGTTTCTGACTGTCACGGTTTTTGTCTTGACTGTGTTGATACAGTCTCGTCTCACGCGTTATCTCTTCTCAGCCCCTCATCTTCAACCAAAACACACCTATTCCATCCTTATATGACTCCATCTCAATATCTTCTTATTCACGAGCCTCAGCCTACCAGAAAAGTTGGCCGCTCCAGGCATAAGAGACGAAATTAGTGGGCCAGCTTATGCTATCCAGATCAGACTTGGGCTGTTTATTTTTGTTCTCCAAGGTTAGACACGTTATAATCACCATCTATCCACGACCGTCTGGCTCCATGACGCCGTCATGGTTGGCTACAAACATTCTCCTGGAGAGGAAGAAACAGACCCTATCTTTCAAAGTCTCGAAACCCCCGCCCAAGGTACAGCCGCCCTCAAGATAAAACGAGTCACTGGAAAGTTTCCCTGGGAAATTCTCGATCAATTGTGCTCTGAGACAAAATGGACCACAAAACTACTCGAAAAGTTTGTTGAAGTCATCAATAAGTGTTTCCCTGGCGGAAAATTGGGCAAGGAAGACGTCGAACGATTGCGGCTAAAAGACTGGAATTGGCTGATAACGCGCTGAAATCTTGCCAGGCCTTAGAAGCCGCCGGGGTCAGCACACCGCAGCATATCTGGGATCACTTCGAGACCACGCTTGATAAGGCTGTGTCCATTCTCCGACAAACCCAGGAGTCTTGCGTGGTGTACAAAAGAGAAATTAACAATGTGACCAATGACCTCGAGAACCTGATGATATCAGTCCACAGCACAGAAGCCAAGGTCAAGGAGGTTGACAATCAGATAAAAGTTCTTAAGGATAGTTTCACTTCTGAGCGAAAGATTGAATGCATCATTACATTGACCACGAAGGCTAGAGACCAAGATGGTCGTGCGTTTAGGGATTTTAAATTTCCTGTTACTGCTGTTATCAGTCCGTTCGATAGTGGCGTTGATCCGGATTGAGGGACATCTACTTCCGGCAGGGAGATGTCCCATGGACTAAAGTGTGTTTTATCATGGTTTTTCTGGCATTTGTCGAGCGTCTCTTTCTTTTATTTCCATGCTAGCAGGTAGCAGAAAATGTTAGCCTTCCAGGTCTTTGGGTATGGAATAACTAATCTAAGAACTAACTATACATAGTCTTTGGAGTAAAAGATCTCCTAATAATTTCGTCTCTTATGCTTCCAGGAGTCAATTTTTATGATACCCTAAGGCCATGATATTAGCGGACTTAAAGTTATGATTAACTGATAGGCAATCACAGGCTGGCAGGAAATAGGAAGCAAGCAGGTACGATTAACATGGGCTCGCACATTATTATTCTTCATACACTATATAGCTACAAACAGGCTACCACCGGTGGAATTTCATGCACAGATAGTGGAATATATATCTACCACGCAAGTCAGCAAAAAACGGCGTAACGTATGCGGTGAGCAAAATGGTATGCCAAGTCTCAGATTGAGTTGTCGGAAACAGCTTGAATCATATGTGATCATAGCCATGGAAGTATTTGTTTCAATCTCATCACGGACAGGTTAGGGGATTGGGAAGAAAATTTGCTTACCATACAACGGTGCAGGGAAGAAAGGTGGCTGGGTTAATGTGACAATCAGTGAAGCGTCTCTATCATAAGCTTTCAAGGATAGCTAAAGCTTGCAACCGAGAAGCAATACCACCAGATCATGCAATTCCAAGCGATAGCTATAATAAAGAAAGAAGACAAAGAAAAGAAACAATGTATGCGGCATTATCTGCCTTTTGTTACAGAATGGTGCCCAATTATTCACAAGGGGGCCCTGTACGGAACAGCATTGATCCACATGTAGCCAAGACTGTATTCTATGTTCAAAGTGATGATGTTACTGAAGTGACAGCGTGAACGGGAGCAATAACTTGAACACATCATGACTTCGTCTATCTAAAGTATGGTAGATAATTACACTTCACATATTCCGGGCCCAAATTAATGAGATTATATTCACCTGGATATTAAATAATCCTGTATTATATAAACAGTGTTATCATTATATAGGTATTCCCATTTTGCGCCTTCCGTATTTATATCCATCGTTGTTTAGTTTTCCCTAGCCTTGTCAGTCCATTCTTTGCTTTATGTTGCAAACTTCCAAGACTTACAAGACTGCCAATTCAAGATCGCCTTGAATCTTTGCTTTAAGTTCCAACTCAACATCGAGATCCATGTCCAGTCTCACACGAGGTGCACTGCTCTTTTGCTTCTTTTCTGTTTCTTGACCTGCTGGTTGCGAAACTTGTTGATCTTGACTGGTGAAATCATTTTTGTTTGACTTTGTCATTTGCTTTGACTCGTTTTCGTTAGAAGAATCATTTTGTTGGTCGGTTGAGGATGAACGTTCATCATGGGTAGTTTTGTTGGCGGCCATTTTGAATTATTTGATTGTCTAGCAACGATTGGTAGTTTGCGATGTTGAGTTGGCTTTGACAACACTAGAGTTGGAAATTTCTGAAAGTAATAATAATTGGTAGATAAAAAATAAGTAAAATACAATGAAGTAACTGACGTTGGAACTGCATAATAACAGTATCGGATGTGGCGATAGCCTATGACGCAAGGCTCCATATTCTACCAAGGAATACATGACCACGTGATTTCCATATACGTCAATCTCACCGCGTCAAGACGGGTCATGCCAGCATACCATCTCCCTTGTCATCAACCTCAACAAGGATTTCGGCAGATAGAATCATCAAGAATCATATTGACCACCGTTAACTTCATCGCCATGCCTCAACCAGCCTTGGATTACTTACCACCTGAGATCTTCCTCGCAATCAGCGATCTGCTCCCTTGGACAGACAAAGAATCCTTGAGTATCGTCAATAAGAAATTACGAAACCAACTGGTCCCTCACCTTTTCCGGCACATCAAGATTGATTGCCCCTTGGCCAAAGAAAACAATCTCCAATCCGTGATTCAGTTGCATGGCGCTCACGCATTGAGTGTACGCCTATACGTAAAATTTCAACCCAATCCGCCCAACTCGACTCTCGAAGGTACAAAGGTTGATCCCGAGTCTGCACAAGAATGGTACTGGGATGATTACCCACCTTCCGTCTGGGCTCGAGCTTCTGACGACGTTCCAGTCATTCATGATGTGATTCAGTTCAAAGGGATGCCCAAATGTTCTATGCTCAGTATTCACACGAATGGAGAAGATGACTTTGAAATTGATGGAGGTTGGGACGAGAACGACCTTGCCGATTTGAGCATGTATTTCTGCACCTCACCGGAAAGTTGGGAAACAGTCAAGGACAAGGAGAAGAAGTACAATTGGAGACGAGCATGGAATACACTCTGGCGTGATGTGGCCAAACATGCAAAGACAGAATCTCTTGAACTGCTTCACTTCCTGCCAATCAAGGCTTCATGCTGGCTGGATCAGGAATGGGTAGCCCTTTTGGCAAGGTTGAAGAATTTAACAATACGAGCCTACGGTAACTGATCTCACATAATATCCAAAGATCTACAGCTAACATCGACAAGGTCAAGACAACGGGGCTGGATGGGCAGCCAACACGTTGGAAGGTTTCAACTCTTTCTTCAATGAGATGCCGGATTTTCTTTTTCAACATGCAAAGAATCTAGAGCATCTGTGTATAGCTGGTCACGAGGATGGACATCTCGGCGAAAACGCTCTACGCTTCGAGCCAAATACTATGCCTCAGCTGAAATCGCTACGACTGGAGACAATGAGTACCACTCAAAGCTTGAAGGAGTTTCTCAGAGGAAGTACCCCTAATCTTGAGTCAATACATCTGTTTAACGTAGCGGCATGGGCTGAGGGAAACGAGCCAACTTGGGCAGAGTTCTGGAAGGCTGTCCGACAGGGAAACCCCGCCTTGAGGGAGGTGGTTTACCAATATTCGAGAAGCGTCCCGTTAACTATGGACGAGTTTATGAATGACGATTTTGACCCTGCAGAGATGGATCCTGAAGAGGTTGCTCAAGTACGGAAGAAGGTTACCGATGACCCTACTCTTGTTATTTGGCCATATGTCACATCAAACGACAAGTACGGGGATGTTCAAGCTTGGGAAGACACCATCCTAGAGGCTCTCGAAAAGGGCGACGATAACAGCGAGTATAAATTATTGATGGAAGAGATCAAACAGAGACAGAAGAGCACTACATCTTGATGCGGTGGCTATGGGAAATGGTCAATGTCGATCGAATCCTCCGGCCCCAGGGCCCTCCTTGGCAAGATGGTGGAATCCAAAGCTTCCTACAAAGATGCCAGAATCAAGATATTTATTTGCCCATTCTCTCACGTGTTTTGAGCTGGTATGCACTGCATAAGCATCCCGACTCACAAATCTAAATCACTAGTTTAGCATTTCATGCAGTTTTCTAGATCAGACACATCCTTACTTCTCCATGCAGACAAACTCGTCTTTGCCTTCAGTTTTGTAGAATCTGTATATCTTGGCGCCTTCTTCTTTCAGGGTGGCTTCGGCAACTTCGGCCAAGCACGCATATGCCTATTTATCATCGGTAAACAAAAACAACTATCTGTCGCGATGCCATGAGGAAGATGATGGTACCTCATCGATTCTGTCCGGATTCACAGCGATAGTGGACACGGAAAAGAACTCTTCCGGTGAACCAGAAGCCTGGCTGGATTTTTGCAGCAATTCTTTGTTGGCAACACACATTATGGGGAGTCTAAAACGAAGTACAGGATACAGGGATAGTCAATTACATCAATGGGAAAGAATCTGTATTTTTAACTATCGCGGGACGCGCGGGGTTTTGTGGTTGAGATACGGCAAATCTCAGCGTCAGCGTTAAATGTAAGAACTAGGATACAACGGCATGTTTGCCCGGATATAGTCAGTGCTGACTGTATCTTTGCGCGATATCCTCGTATGGGCCTAGCACTGTGGTATGATTCACGTAAGACATATATATGCATGTTCCGTATGCGTGCATATACCTAACATGGATACCCGACGACAGAACGTGCTTCTTTTTACACCGCTGAAATGATCAAAGCCACCAGATTTAATGCCCAAGCGCTCCATACTATTTATCAAGTCGGGCAAGCATCGCGGGAGATCTACACACAGATTACAAATATGTATGCAAGTTGGAGACATCGAGTACAAGCCCAACAACCATGAACATTGCCAGTATCTCCCACGCTAACCATTGGTCATTACTCGTGTATTCAATTAACCATTATGTAGTAATTATGTTACTTGTACTCTTCTTCCTCAGTTGCTTCACTCAACGTCATCGACAAGTCTCGAGGATCTCCCTTCCAGACGGGTTGCTCAGTTGTCATCTCGACCTCCTTCCCACGCGGTTCATGTTGTGCAGTTAACCGCTGGAATTCTCTCGCCAGAGCTTCCATTCCTATGTCTTCCATATCCTCGCTTACTGAATCCAGGCTGATGGGATAAAGACTACTGTAAGCGCCGTCCTGTACCAGAGCTCTTGTTGCAGAGTGAACATCCTCAATTATGCTGTTTCCCGCCCAACCTTGACGCCTGAAAGTCCCATTTTGCCATCCAATGGTCATGAGACCTTCTGTAATGCCGCGGAGGCCTTTGCACCATGATGCAATAGATAGACAACCACGGGTCGCCAGAATGAACCAGAATTGGGCATCTGATGCCTCGGGGTTGCGAAAGACATCGTTGATCAAAGTAAGGAAACCGGGCGTAATAAACATGGTCATGTTTGTTGACTCAAACCGGGTACGGTAAATGTATGAAAGGCGTTTCAGTTGCTGTATCGACGCTGTATGCGCAGCTTTGGCAACTGAACTCTGTAGCATTTCTTCCTCTTGGTGGTTCTCTAGGAAGGGTCGCCAAATATCTATAATTGACGTATGGTACCAGATACTGTGTAAGCGTCAGCATGACACCTACGGTAGTGCCTTGGCATACTCACTGTAACACTAAAACATGATGTGGGCATGTGTCACTCCTTTTAACTTCATCTGGTAGGGCGGCGGCCCAGTCGAGCAACAATTGGTACATCTGATGTGCGTAGGACACGGGCATACGGCTGAAGCTGTTGAAGCCCTCTCCAAATATCTTGTGTGTGATCAACCAGAATTTGCATATCCATGTGAAAGTGCTTCCCATGTGATCAATAAGGGGTGGTCCAGATACATCTCCTGGTATCGGTAAAGGTGGCGGATGCAGTATCCGATGTTTTGTTCGGAAGTTGACTGAGTGTAGACTAAACTGTTCAGTAAAAGCCTGTTTCTATCTGAAATTTACACTTACCTATGCCAGCCAAACGATCCCCAGGCAGCATACGAAGCCGCAGACTTCAACTCCTCGTCATCGTCCACTCCAGCCATATTTGCATTCTTGTCGCCAAACAGACCAAGCCGACGGCCAATTTCTGCACTTGCATCAAGATAAAACAGCCCGACACGGTCTTGTCCGTGTTGGTTGCATGTCAAGGTCAAGAACATGGCAGAAGTGAGGGTTGTGACACAGTTGAAGTCCGGCAGATCCCGCCAACGCTTCTTTGCCTCCTTGAGAAAGGCAAACGAAAGCGGCTGTGCCCTTGGTTCGAACTGTGAATAAGAGGCCTATATCATGTAAGCCAAAGTCGAAACCAAGGATACTGAGAGTAACAACTTACGCAAGACCAAGCAAGTAAAGAACTGACAAGGACAGGTGAGCAGAACCGTCCTCCGCCTGATACAAGATCTCTGATGAATAAATTGGCGTCAAAGAATGCAAGTAGAGGATGCTCGTTGGAGAGATAGAAAGAGATCGTCTGTTCTGCTAGAGTTTCAGGAATGGGAACTGAGGTCCATTGCCGTATTTGAAGACCCTCCAGTCGATGATCAATATATGAGTGCTGGGATGAATCTGTGGTGGTGTCACTGGGTGTCGAGAAGGATTCGGAAGATGTCGGTGTTGCGGGTTGTCGTCCCGAAAAGTCCAAAGGAGAGAAGGGCGATATTGAGGTTGGTTCCGGCGAGGTTAGTAGTTTTGGGTTGCGCTTGTCATTAGCCAACAGTCCGAGATCTACATCCGTAATTGTGAGGTTTTCTATAGCAGGAAACGCGTTTGAGTAGCGCATATTGAGATCCACCTCCAGTGCAGAGCTGGCCAGAGTTCCTGCTAGACTGGTAGTTAATGGGTTCAATGGCGATGAAGCCCCTACTGTACCTGAGTCGACGGACCGTAGGAAGTCAGGCACAGAGCCTCTACTGCGCAAATCTTGCAGCATCGCAGCGACGTTCTCCTCTGGTGTAGTCCTCAACAGCTCGAGCGCCTGGAAAAGGTCTCTGGAGCCTTGCCGGAGCTCGAGCATCTTTTCCTGTGTAACCTCGGCCCGGTATGTACATTTTTGCCGCCGACTCGCGCATGCAGAACATGTTGGCTTATGGCCGTCACACTACAAAGACAACGAGAAAAGATGTTACCCCAAAATGATACGGAAAAAAAAGAAATACGACAGCCAAGGTAGTGGCAGGACAAACCTTTGACTTTCTAAGGCGACAGTTGTTGCATGCGACGGCTGTCAATGCTGCCCTAGGAAGGTCGGAGATATCGAGTGGCGAATATTGATGCTGAGCCTCTTCATGTCCGGCTTTGAGGGACTTCCTGGGGAGCAGTTGCCTATTGCTCTTTTGGTGCTCTTGTGCTCGGGTAGGCTTATTTGGGTTGTTCATGGGACTGGGATTTGATTATGTGGCAAGTGACAAAAAAAAGAGTGGCTCAAAGACGGCGAGCTGAGGTTGAGAGTGAGGCGGAGGGTGGTTAAAGACTTTGCTCTTTGAGCGGGCAGGGCGAGACGATGGCAAGATGCCAATCTACAAGAGGAAATGATAGACAGTTGGTCGCCGGTTCGAGTCGTGTCAGAGTTATCCGGTTGGGGTTACCACATGTGTGTGGAATGAATATTATGTAGGTATTGTGAAGAGTGGGCTGGGTCGAATATTGACCTGTCTTTTTTTCTTTCAGATGATCTAGGGAGAGAAGAATTGAGGGAGCAAACCCCCTCATGCGCAGATACTCGGGCCAGGTCTGATTGGTTCGATCACTTGAGATATGGCTATAGCCATAAGTCCATTAGTGCATAAGATTCTTTGCCGATGCTACCCACTACAGTAATATCTTGGTGCAAATTTGTGCAACGAGTTAACATTATTCGACCTTGAGTTTCGCCCACAGTCAGTTCACGATTGCTTCGACAACCTACACGTGTTCCTCAACCAAAGACCCTCTTGACCTGGATCGTATATTAACTTTGACCTTGCATGCGAGATTGTGATTGAACAAGCTCCGAGATAAGGCTGTCAAGATTCTCCACTAGCACAATCCACAGAAGCAGTATCATTGGGCTGTAAAGGTCCAAAGCCGATAGATTGCATAACATAGTGCTTGCACTAGCTTGTGATCCTGGATTTATGTAGCGCAGAAATGAATGGGCCAAGAGTCAGTTACTGAATGGGACAAATTGATTCAATTATATCGTCTGTTTTGCTTGGCACGAGTAATTCAGATGAAAAAGGTTTTTATTCAACAAAGATTGTCCCCTACAGTTGTCCATCAAACGATAACAATAAACAAAGGGAACTCCAAACTCCAAAAAGGATTATTGTCACACAGGTACTTACAGGTTCTCTCGTATGAAAACCATGTTTATGTGACGGTTCTTCTCCTCCTCTGTCTTGGGCTTCTTGACCTTGCGGTTCTCGACCCTTTCTTCAACTTGCTCAAAATGTGAGTAGTCCTCGCAGTCATAGAATTCTGTCGAGGGGGACTTTTGTTGTGTTCCAACAGTAAGGTTACCTTTGTCGGTAGAGCGTTTCTGGCTTGCAGAGGTGTTAGCATCAGAAGATGCAGATGAAACAATATCACCGTTTTTCTGGCGAGCGTAATAAAGCTCGGCGATCTTGTCTTCAATCTTCTCCATTCTGTCTCGCACTGTTGCGCACTCTGCCATCAGAGTATCGAACTGAGGATCAGATATCGATGAACTGGAAGATTTCTGTTTGCCAGAGATCTCTGGGGAAGACAGAGGAATGTCCTGCATCTCAATACCCGTGTCAAAGGTCCAATCTTGGATTGAGTCAGATATTCGTCTACCATGAAGGCCCCAGGGGATCTTCCGATAGTTGGTGCGTTTGTGGTCAAAGGGAGACATTTTAACTGTCGATTTCGGTGCCTTTTTAGTGTGTTTGTGATGATAAGGATAGTTGGGGAAAGTTTGACTGGTAGTAATCCTTAGTAGAAAGTGTGGTTTGGGGAAATGGAAATAAGTTTGGACTATTACTGAGACGTTTATATACATACTCTGGGACTAAATGTGAATTCGAGCAGACAAGAGCACCTGTCCTTTGTTCGGCCTGCTAGAGTGAAGGTTGAGAAAGAATACAGCATTGTCCAGACTTATAAATGAGGTTGAGTTCCTTTGTTCCATGGTGAGAAAACAAAAGCCTCCTACCATTGACAACAGTAACAGTGCTCTTTGATACAGTTCATTGAGTGAATTTTCAGCAAAGAATGAGAATCGCCAGGCAGTTGTCGTAATCCAAGAATCTGGTTCGTACTGCGAGCACTCGTTTTCAACAGCACTAGCTTGGGTGAGATGGCCGAGTTGGTTATGGCGCCAGGTTAAGGTTAACCTTAACACCAATTTCCTGGTGGAGCAATCCTCCTGGGTTCGAGTCCCAGTCTCATCAAAGAGTTCTCTTTTTGCTTGTTTCCACAGCACAGCTTTTTTTGCTTTTGGAGTGGCTTCTGCCTTTTTGTCGTCAGATGCGAGGTGCTGCTGCTATCTTCATGCATGAGCTGAGTCCGACTGGGATCGGGCAGTGCATCTTACCAATAACTAGTTCAGCCTATCGAATGACTCGCTGATTGTGCTCAAAGCCAACTTGTCGGAAACTCTATTTCGGTTGTGAGCTGTGGTAATGGGACATACAAAGTTGGGGGTATCAAAATGTATTCTATCAAGCATCTAATATATCGCTCTAAAGCATAACCCATGCAAGAACTCCAGCAAAAACGACCAAAGGCGAATTGAAAGTAGTTTTCAGTCCCAAATGCGCGGCCAATGATTCAGGGCGCTGTGAAGGAGACGGATTAGAAGAGCTCGCATCGCTTAAGAATGTCTTCTGATTTGGCGTAGCCTCATACGAGTCAGTGTTGTATGTCGAGTTGAGCGAAATTCTTCCCACAACATCCTTTGACTCAAGGCGAATGTGCGAATCGACTTCGTTATTCTTGAGGCCCTCTTGGGTCACAACAATTTGTCGTCCACCTCGAATCCAGTCGCCATAACCGCCGTAGCCGGTGTGCTGGCCGTAACAAAGATTAATGCCGTTTCCTTCAAGTTCCATATCGCCAACTTTGGAATCCCACTTGTAGCACCAAGAGTTTGCATGGTCATGTCCGGAAAAGAGACCAATGACACCAGGTGTCGAGATCAAAGCTTGCATCAGCGGTATGTCTTGTTCTCCATATGAGCACCCTCCTTTCTCGTCGCCGCACCATCCGTCACCTTGTTGGATAACGGTTTCATCGTTGATTCCAGGATGGTTGTTCTTGTCGACACCAGATTCCTTCTGGAGTTGAAGTGAGGCATAAACAGGAATGTGCGTGAATGCCAATGATGGAATCTCCTTGCCATACTCCTCAACCAGATCAGCATTGGTCTCGTTGAACCATTCCACCACACTCTTGTGGACCCAGTTGGGCTGGGCGCTACTTTGGTAGTAAAAGCCACCGCGACTATCAAAGAACCAGAGGATAAGTTCAGGTGTGCAGTTTGAGCTGCAGTCTGATCCATAGACTGGAAGGTAATAGTTGGTTGTTCCAGCATCGCTTCCAGGAACCATAGAATCTGTTCTTGATCCGGGCCACATATGTTCGCGCTCCAACATTCCGGTGCCGTTGATGTTACGATTATGATCATGGTTGCCGTATGTTGAAGCCCATGTTAGATTTCGATCAACCATTGGAGCGACGATCTGATCTATGTAATGTGTACTGTTGTGAGAGTACGTCGATTCTCCGTTGATAAGGTCGCCGTTTAGAACGACCAAGTCTGGTGATTCGGCATCGATGACATCGGCCATGACTTGTGCAGACCTGGCGTCTTTCTCTGGTCCTATTGAGGAAGCATCTGCACATTCGTTAGTAATGCTTTATCAAGCCGCTACCCATTCGACAAACCTTCTGCAAAGTGAAGGTCTGAGAAGACGCATATTTGGAATGTGCCATCTTCGTTAAAACGTAGAGGGTCCAGGTTACTGTTGTCCACATCATCACGTTGTGCTGTAGCATGTAGCCTTTGTCCAGCAAGGATGCTTGCGAGAGCAAGACTTCGCAACATTTTTGAAGAACTATTGAAGAGGATCGTGAGAGGTATACCAGATTTCGTGGCTTCGGGACAATGTTGTAGTTAATAAAATACCCCGACACCTACGTCAGGGGCTTGACTACAGAAGAGCACTAGAACAGGAGACATGATGAACTTAAGGAATCAGTGTTCAACTAGAAGTATCGTTTGACTATGACGCGTAGAATGTATCGCCAAGCTGCTACGCTGTCAGAGGGTGGGGAGTTGTTGCACAGTCGGTTTCGGCTTCCGAGTGACAAATTACGCGGTTTCTGGCTGATGATTCGTCGTTTTCCATCTACCGTGAGGCTTAGGAAACCTAAAGGCTAACCTTAGATCTTCTTGGCGCTTGGCAAGGGTGGAGGAAACTTCTTGGAGAAGAGTCGGTCCAATGAATAGCTTCAATTAGATGGACAATGCACTGGTCTTGTGCTCTTGGCAATTTCGGAAACCTGGTCTTGTCATTTGCCGAACGGAGTTATAGAGTGACATCTCTCAAACTCCGAATGTGTTGGAGATGATCATTGTCGGATTTGTGTCATCTATATCCGCTTCTCCAATTCTCAACTGTTAAAGTGGTTCTCTCCGGGCGGTGACCGACGACGGCTTCTAGGGTCCATAACCTAATACGAGGCTTTAATTGAACATGTTTTATGAGATTCTCGTTACTCCAACTAACTAATGCTCAATACAGGTGTCGAGAACAGGCATTTGGGGTCGATACCGGGGTATCCGGATCTGACTCGTGTCTTTTCTCCGGGATGATATCAGCAGGCTGCATATTGGAGACCATTGCCAAGACTTTGACTTATCAATCATCCCACACAAACCGATGTCACTAACCGACGCTTAGACATTGCCGCGTCACTAACTATTGATAGCCAATCAAAGACGTCATCATGCGAACCAACGGCAAAGAGACATGGCAGATAGAGATAAACTCAACAGACGTGGTGGTTGAATGATTATCCATACATCACATGGGGGACCTCTTTGATCGTCACAAAGCTAATCTACAGTTGCATAATTGGGTGAAAAGTTAGGATGCGAAGCAAGATCAAATTTGATGACAAACAATACATTAAATAATATTAATTTGGAGCCATATCCTGGCCATTTTACAATGGGTATTTGGTATCTGGTATCCCGAATCAAGGTATATACAGTAAAGATTATTCCCAAATCTACTTAGACACCACCCTCTTCGACGTTGTAAGGGAACAACCATCCGTTATCCTCGTTGTGCTCATCCTCAAACGTCGTTCCGTGGAGAGTCTCGTATCGCGTCATGTCGAAATCATCATCGCCAGCCTTTCCGTTGATGATGTTGCCAATCTTGTGGCCGATGTAGCGTCCCTCGGTCCAGGCGCCGTGAACGAAACCGTACATCTCAGCAGAGTTGGCCTCACCAGCGAACCAAAGTCTCTCGACGTTAGCGCGCATGTTTTGGTGCTTCTCGAGGGTCATGCCAACAGGCCAGTTACTGTAAGAACCAAATGCCCAACTACAGATTGGTTAGTATCTGTCAAAAGATGAAATAATTTGATTTTGACTTACGACTCGGTGCTCCAGCGAGGGTAGGTGAAGGCTGTGGGCTTGGGGATCTTCTTCTTGGGGAACATGAGTTGGAGAACCTCGAGCATCTGCTCCATGGTCTCCTCGTCAGTCTGGCGCTCTACGCGCCAAGCCTGCTCTCCAGTCACGGTAGCGAAAAGGATGTTGGAGCCCTCAGCGAAGCCCTTGGCGTTGAGAGACTGGAAAAGAGGGTAGCGGCCACGCTCGATAGGATCGGCGTAGAGAAGGAATTGGGTCTCGTCGTCCCAGAAAGACTCGTTGAACTGCATGAAAATCTTGGTGTAGGTGCCCATGGCAAACTGATCAATGGCACTCTGCTTCCATGCGGGAAGGGCAGGCTTGAACTCGACGACATTGTTTTGGAGGACACCGACGGAGAAAGTGCAGATGGCGTAGTCAGCCTCGATGCAGCCACCATCCTTGGTGGTGATCTTGACACCCTTCTTGTCGTACTTGATACCCTCGACGGTGGTGCTGAGGCGCAGGCGCTTGTCATTCTTGCGAAGGAACTCCTTGGCTTCCTCTTCGAGGATGATGTTGTAGCCACGCTGGTCGATAACGAGATTGCTAACGTCGCTGAAGTAGCCAAAGCTAGCATTGCCACCAGCAACACCATAGACGAGACCACTCTCATCGGGTGTCCAAGCAGCTTCGAAATCCCAGCCCCACCAGTCTGCGGCTTGCGCGTGCATGTCGTCCTTCTCAGGTCGCCATCCAGCTGTGCGCAGAGCACCACGAGCAGATGTATCCTGCAAGTTGTCGATTATGATACGGCCAGCCTCAGCAGCAGCCTTCTCGTAAGCGGCATCGTATTCGTCGATCTTGTCACTCCAATCCGTCTCGCCCTCGTGATCGAAAGTCTTGTACTTGTCGTAATCGGAATAGGTGGACTTGAGCTTATGCTTCTTGGCAAGTAGCCAGATAGGGTTCTCGTTGGTCTCTTCAGATCCAATTCCCTCGACCCAGTTGGCGCCAAGCTCGATGATGTAGGGCTTTCCCTGGGCGTTCTTGCCGAACTCCTGCTTCCTTAGACGGCCACCGATGTAATCATTGTGTTCGACGATCATGAAGTCCTTGATGCCAGAAGCTGTGAGGTTCTGAGCAGCTGCGACACCAGCAGCACCAGCTCCGAGAATGGCAACTTTGGTCCTAGCGCAAGATCCATGCTTCTCATTTTGGTGACCATCAGTGGGCAGAGCGTTTGTTGTTGCGGAAAGGACTGTAAGCACAGCAGAAAGCTGTGTGAGTGAGTGCCTCATTTTGAAGGTTTCTAGACTTGGACAACAAAACAAGTCTCAAGATCTTGAATTAAATTAAAAGAGTGACAGTTGAGGTGCTTAAAGGAGATAGAAGCAAACTGGCGCGACCTCGGGTGGCGTTTGTCTTTTGTATGCCCTTGCTAGATCATCCATCGCTGCAGATATCAGACCCCCTAATTTGGGCTTGTCAATCAAATGATCAGCTTCCAGGGGTGGTCTTAGCTACGCCGTCTCCATAAGACAAAAGCTAATTTGATTCTAGGGCGGCCAGTTCTCGCGATTGCCGATTGATGAGAAGGATGGGATTCGAAAGGCAGCTTCCTAGATAGGCATCTATAACCCGTTGCAAAATTCTAGCCCATGCCTTGTCAGCGACTCAGGGAAGAAAATCCCAATGTATTGCCTGGTCCAGGTAAAGTGCAAATTAAACATTGAGTTAGCCTAGCGCCGTCTCAAAAATCCCTCAAGACCCTTCGTAGGCTTGGTTTCTTAGGGAGCACAGCACTAGAACTAGGGGACTAGGGTCAACTAAGTCAGCGACGATTGACTGTCTAGACTGCTACAGTAACTCTGTTAGCACTGTTCGGCGGACAAAAGAAAAAAAAAGTCAACCTTCGAGGCACACTGGCACACAACCAAACTGCCCATACCCTTGTTCCTTTCACTGGGTCAGTTTCAAGTACAGTACGACCTGTTGGTTGTGTCTCTGAACCAACGCATTAATAATTGTGGCTCATCGAACAGAAAATGGTCCGACACGACACACCGTAATCTAACCACTGGCCAGAGCTGAAATCCTTTGAGACATTGGGTCCGTATGTTGGTCTGCACCGGCCCGTAACCTGAACATGGATAGTCATGTCCGTTCATACTTGTGTCTTGGTCTCAATTGGCGGTTGAAGATCTAGCGCACGGTGGCAATAACATTAGTGTCCTTCAGGATCCGCGAGACAAGGCATGGGGGGTCCATCTCGGCTAGGTCAATGGAAAATCATGGAGCAATAGCCAACAAAAACTTGAGACTATTAGAAGAATTCCAGAACAAATAAATTGGTGCGATTGCTCAGCTTAAGCCAATTCTAGGGGACGTCGGAACATTGGTCACTTTGACACTTGACGGGCATGGTTCCTGCATTGAGACAACAGCCTCATTATGCACGTAACTCGGTAATTATCAGGCCAACCAAATATAGATTCTATGCCTTGAGATCTCGTATAAGACAGGTCTAGATGTATTTATTGTTCGGGAGTATCGGCTTTATGTTTATATGTTACTCAATGATCCACAAGAGTAGAGATAGCTTAATTCCTATTGCCAATCCAAGTCATCGTCAATCTTGTCTCATGTAAGGTATACACAGTCATTCCTTATGCTTCATCATCACTTTTCGCCTTGCATCATCTTCATGAAAACCTGTCAACAGTGTCAGTAAAAATGAATACGTTAAAAAGTGGTGTACCAACATCGGGGTTGATCTCAACACCAGCGTTTTGCATTTCAGTCGTCAACTACAAATATCATTAGCATCATCCTTCTCGTGTTTTTTTGGTCAAATACCTCTGTAGACGCGTCTCTAAACTCCTTATCCATCATGAGCTTCATAAGATCCATCTTGCTTGGAGGCTTGGATCCATCGAGGCCTATATCAGATAGTTAGGTATTGAACACATTCCTCAAGGATGCAGGGGGCCCGTACCCTTGCCCTTGAGAACCTCTGCCATTTTTTGCATGGCCATGATAGCCGGGGGATGGCGGCTCAACTTCTCGAATGTGTCGCGGATGAGAGGATCATTCATCATTGACTCAATGTCATTCATGTTGGAAGGCTGGTCAGCTGAGGCGAAGCGACGAGGTGTCACATGCATCTGACGCATAGCTACGCGCATGATGGGCATAGCCACAGGACGGGCAACAATTCGTCGTAGAGCGAACATGATGTGGATAGTTATTGGTGTCAATGGGGGTCAAAAGAATATGTGATGAGGACTCAAATTTGCTGTGATGAGACATCGCCAAATGACATCAGGGATTGAACCAATAATTAGTGGGGAAATCAGCACAGTCAGCATTATATCTTATCTTATCTACCAGACCTAACCTGGACCTCACATAAAGATGAATTTCTGTGTCCTCTTAACAACCAACCATTACAAACATTCCCAGAGACCATAGACAAAGCAGAATGTTCGAAATGAGAGTATAACTATAAGCTACCCAGTTATGCAAATTCTCACGATGAGCACTATTGATCTAGACTTGTGGGGTATTCCGTCAGTCGAATATGCTCACTCTGTTTCGGCCGTTTTTCCGTGTCTAACCTTTGTTTGACCAGACGGCCTGGATGGACGACCAAGAAAAACAACATAACCAGAAACATAAGCAAAGCATCGAACAAGTATATGAAGATCTCATGAGAAATCACGAATCCATCTTGTCCCTGCAAATACTCGACTGCTCGAACAACACTTCGTACAATCATGACTCCAGTGACAGCCTCGATCGTTCTGAAGTATCGTCTCCACCGGACAAACGAAGAGTCCAAGAAAGGGCCTGTCTCGTTTCTTATTCGGATGTAGAGATACGCCGATGTTATGATAAAAATACTCAACGCGACCAGCTGTACTACCAAGCCTGCGATGAGGATGATGCGGCCCTTGACAATTGCGTCGGGATCTCCCGAAGCAGGTATAATAGCACCGATGAATTGACTGACAATACATCCGATATCGATAAGAACATATAGTTTCGTTAACCAGCGAAGACTAAGGAATGAGAGGTGCTCAGACTCCAGTGCCGCAGCAACTCGTCGAAGGCTCATGTAGATAGTCGCAGCGAGGAAGGGTGTTCCGGCGAGGAGGAGGACGTTTTGTAGAATGAACGGACCAGCTTCAGCAGGGTCATCGTGGGCTTGGGCTCGCCCGAAGTAACCAAAGATCTCGCCTGTAGAGGTTAGGATAGAACATCTACTGAGGATGCAAGGCTCACTTACATATGCCACCGAGAATGAAGGGGATAAAGAACCAAGCTCGATAAATGAAGATGAATATCAAATGGGCTATTGTGACAAGACCAAATAGGGCGACGAAAGAGATTGCGGCAGGCTTGTTGGGTAGGTACTCAAAGAACACAATCTGAGTCCCGTTCACAACGGGTCCGAAAGGTCCGTCTTGGTTCATGTTGATACGAGATGGGTATGGCTACTCCAACTCGCAACGGAATCAGAAAAATGAAAGTAGAATTGAAGGTTACTAACGAAAAGAAGGACATGAACAAAGAGAAGTGATAAAAAGATTTTTAGGTGCTCAGAGGCAGCCATTCTATACTCTCGAGAAAGACTCTGTGGAGCATATTTTTTTTCGCATTCGAATGCGAATATTACGGCGCTAGTGTTGATGGCTTCATTACTGGCCCACCCAGGTGACGCGGTCAGTCGTAAATACTTGGGCTAGGGTGACATTGACGGTCATCGGAACAGTCTCAGGATACAAGAGTTAGTACCTGCATGGTTTGTTGTTTGTTTCGTAATACTTTGCGGGACAAGTCCATAGAGGAGGGCATTGATGTGGTAATAGCTTCGCGTTACGGCGGAGTCATCAACTTGAGCAGTTATTCACATAGACGATAATGATATCACGATTAGCTTGGAGCCTGGAGCTACTATCTGAAAAGATAAAATAAAAATAAGAATATGACTCATGTAATATGAGTAGGCAGCTATGGTTATACTCTTGGAATGATGGGACCTCAGGACACAATACTCCCGTGATTCAGCTTTGAAGATCAAGACACGAAAAATACAAAAAAGAGATGCCTCGCAAATGCTCGCAATCGAATTTATAGGAACAGCCCGATGCGGGGGTCGAACCCGCAACCTTGAGATCGCGTACTCGTAAGAGTCTCACGCTCTACCGATTGAGCTAACCGGGCGTGGCTCTGATTGGTTGAAAACTGAGGTTCAATTTGGGCAACATGAGGACAAAGAGAAGAAGGGAAGCGAGACACGATAGATGCTAAGCCAACAGACGTAATGTCACAATACCACTGCAAAGAAAGACCATTTCCAGTCCCCAAGAATCCAGCTATTCGCCTGAAGATGTCGAGATCAACCCGACCCTCGATTCTCAAACATCACCCTCAGACCGCATCAATGCTTTGCTACAGTTCGGCGTAAATGCCCCGAAAGGGGGCAGTATCGGGGAACCGGCCGGTACAGAGTCACAGAAAGTGATGCGAGTGGCTGGCGGCACCCCCGGTAGATTCCACTCTTGGTCAGCGATCATCCTTGGTTGCTCCACACATGTCAACCCTCACTTTCGCCCCTGGGAACCAAATCATTGATCGCCAACGAAACTGAACCTTTGAAGCATTAACTCCATCAACTTCCACACCTTGGGTGGATAATTCCCATTAATCCAATAATCACCAGTTGAAGTCTTGCTAATTAGAGAATAATTCCTCGCGAGCATATTGTTTGGACTGATACACTTGATGTGGTAGTAAACAGGATGACCTGGAGAGGCTGCCCAGACATCCTTGACTGGTTCGTTATGTTCGCTTGATCGGAAACTGCTCTTCATGGCTGGGCTAAAGTCCAGTGATTCTGCTAGATTGGCTCTAACACTAGCAAAATGGATGGTAAACTGGTTGACGTCTCCAAACAGAGGCGGTATTCCGGAAAGATCCAATGCATCCCTCGTGAGACTGGCCTCGGAGATCATACGCGTTCCCGATGGTGACAGAGCGGTTTGAACCTTTTGGGAAGAGAGCAGATACAACCACGATGGCCAGCCAGGCGACAATGGCGTCTGATTCACTCACGAATGGAGCCGGATGTCCTTTTCTGAGGGTTGATGTAGCTTGACTGCGTAGCTCTTTGACAACTGTCTTTGGTAGGAAAAGCACTTTGCTTTCAACGGTTCGCCACCATATTAGATCCAGAATGTAGTAAAACGCAAAGATATACGTTCTCCAACCTGTAATTCGCTGTTTTTCCAGGGGATGTGCCTCTGTGAAAGCAGAATTGCGTCCTGCGGTGGCCATGGGATCATCATCCGCTGACAGCATGGGCGGAATCTCTGATACACGTCCGGCAACTGCAAGACTCCATGCATGACCAAGCTGAGCTAGACTCATCCCATCAACAGCGATATGAGGCCAACAGATCGATACCAGAGTCGCATCTGTGAAAGATACAATATGAAGTGTTAATTGTGGGTGATCAGACTTGAGATAGTCGTCCAGACAGAGCGGAGTACCTGGTGGAACTCCTAAAGTGTTAAACTCAGGGAGCTGCTCTTGGATAGACAGTTTCTCCCGAGTTGGTCTTGGGAGCTTGGATGCTACAGGGTGTTCATCTATGTTAACGTCGAAGGTGGTCTGGTGAAACCCAAAAGCAGGTCGTTGCGAAGAAAAAGTCTTCGGGACGTGAATTTCGAGTTTTTCTTTGCTCTAGTGGTTAGATTAGCAAACACTCAAAGTCATCAGTTTAAATTTGCTCTGACATTTATTCGGATACGTCCGCCAAGCTTCCTCCATCCCAGAAGAGTGATCACTCGAGACAAAGAATCGCTGAGCATCGTTGCATCCAGCGCGTCGTTGAACCTGAGCGTTGAACATTGTACATAGTTACGCAGGAGCGGCGTATCATCGAAGTAGAAGACTGGCAGTATGGTGTCGGTAGGGTCTATTGGATAGTTGGGAGTCGATCGTGTTTGGCCAAGAACTAATCGCCTGATAGTCTGTAGCGTCATTTTTTTGACCAGCCTGTTGATATTTGCGCTTCTAGGCGATGATGGAGAATCTACTTTCGTCACGAACAGTGAGGAGGTTTGAAGATTGCGCTCACCTCAGGTGCTCGTGATCATTTAGCCCCGAACGTCCGACAGCAAGTGCTTACCACATTCGACTGATAGACCAATAGCAGGAGCCGATGCGTCATATCTCACGCGAGAGGTTATAATCAGAATGTAGACCGTTGTATATGATCAGAGACAGTTCTATGTGCCACAAACCCGTGATTCACGGGTTACGAAACTCAAAGTTATGCGAGATATACAACAACGGAGACTCGACGGAGATCTGAAAGTGAGCCTTCAGATTTTGTACGCAAACTGATCACATCGCCGATGTACACCTAACTCCTAGAAGTTGAGATCCATCAGAAATGGATAATAATCGGGTTATTTTGTTGAGGTTATGGCAGTCCTTAATCAAGACAAAGGAAACAGTAACGCAGATTGCGTTGTGTCCTGTTCAGCCACCCTTAGTTCCCTTTCAATGACCACCTGAACACTCCCTTTAGATAGCACAGACTACTTGAACACAATAATTCTTTTAACAATGTGTCCATTCTTCCGAGTCACGTTTCTTTCGAGTTATGGTGGGCGTAGTAAAGGTGTTCTAGTATTTACTCCGACTGTTCCTTTGTTGGCTTTCATTTGTTCGTGGAGAACACCAAATATTACAACGAGATCAGTCAAGTTCAACAGCCAACAATGGCAGAGCTCTAAGTCGCAAGAAAGTAAATACATTTTAAACGTCGAATTGTAAATATGTCGCTCTTCCTTTTCTTCCCTTGACTTTCCTCTCTAAATCAATTCACCTTGGCTCACCAACAGTAAGTAAACATTCCTATCCACCAACTAACATCTACCAGACAGAAACAATTTCTTAACCGCCGCCCTTCAAAAACCCTCAGACTTCATCATGGATTCCTCTCAGCAGAAAATCAGCTACAATGGTGAGCTTGTTGACTAAGCCTTCGCCATTTTGAATCGAAATGGTGACAATTGGTCACCCGACCAAGCTCCTATCATCCGAGGGGCTGTCGAGACCATTTGTAACCACATAGAAGGGGTCAACTGTCTGGCAAAGGTGGAGTACGTGATTGTCACTCAATATATCGCGAAGCTCCATGAGACTGAACAGTACCTTTTGCCAGCGCTCTAGCTAACATGATTGTGATGACACGACCCAAGGACCAGATGTCAAAAGCAGACACCCAGTTTCAATACTTAATCACCATCTTAGCAGACGCAGAGGTTGAGAAAGAGATGATCAAGTAGGTCTTGCTGACTCACCATTGCAGTGTAATGACCCGGGGCTGGTCCCGTTCGAAGGAAGCCTCTAAGCTGCGGTGGAAGAGATCCACGGGATAGGGGTTTTCAAAGTACATGCTGGATTTTGTGGATGCGCTCAGTGATACTGTCGCTACAAGGTAAACTACGGGCTAGTTGAGGGGTCAGATGGGAGCACAGGTTTGAAAGCAGCAGGACTGCTAGTAGTCGAGAATTTTAGAATACATTCCTTTTTTAGTGAACATTAATCATGCTATTGTGTTATCGCTGATAAACATGCCCTTTCTAAGTGATTAATTGTGGCTAGTTCCATGGAAAACATCCACTAGTTCCATTTCTTGCAGAGACACTGATGTAGAATTTGAGGTTATGTACGTACAGCATTCTGTTGCTCAATGAAGCGATTGATCAGCCGCTTGTGTTCCCTTCAAAGCCTGAATGGTCATATACAATTGTCATACCTTAAGAACCATCATAATTTGGAGTGATTCACAAGTCTTAGCCATGTATAAATAGTTGACTTTCCCATAGCGTTCAAATCTGCACAAAACCTCACCTATTTATCAAACATTGAACACAAGGACGAGTTCTGTTCTATCATATATTTTAAAACCAACAACCAATACTTGAAGATGCCCGAGACAACAAAGACCATCCGTGCCGACCACAAGAAGTGGAAATGCAACAACAATGTTGATAATAAGCCCTGCGGCAAGATAAACGACATGAGCATATATCTCTGTAATTGTGGTTCTTGTCGCAAAGCCGACGATGAAGCTTTGACGGCAGATGGATCCACCATTGGAAGAATGTACAAGTTACACGATGACTTGTCTGAGGATTGGGAATACTTTAGTCCTCAGAAACTTTAGGTTGTTTCTGTCAATGGGAAGCGTTATTAAGCAGGGAGGTTTATAGGTAGTCAGTGACAGCAGTGTACAGGAGGCTGGCTGCATTGGTAGTTGACCCACAGTGCCAAAGCTATCTTTAAACAAGCAAAAAACATAATCGCTTGTATAAAAGAATAAGATAAATTCTTTTTACTTTGAAGTTTGAACAGCTGTGATTTGTACATCTCCAAACCCAACCATCCAATACATGCAACGATTGTCATGATGTGGCTGCGATTCCATGTGGCGCCGTTATTGTGGCGGCAGCTCAAAAACGGCTAAACCCCTTGTAGATCTTGGCTTAGGTAATTTCGACAGGGATCGTATCAAGGACACTCTGTACAGCCTCCCTCGAATTAATTCGTCCACCATCAACCTCGGTCGCATTCACATCTCATCGCGTCGTTCGTTTCTTTACTTTGCCAGCGCGCGATTGATCGAATGAATGCTCCCAATCGCTAGATCAAGAACATCTCAGTCTGGCACCATGGGCGGCCAAGATCTACTGCCTCGCTCTGAGTACGAGGATAAGCCCTCGTCAGCGTCAGCCCCAAATTCGCGACTCAACAGGGACAAGATCAAATGTCTCGACGGTCTGCGAGGTATCGCCTGTCTCCTCGTGTTCAACTATCATTTTTTCTGGCCATGGACGCCTGTTATTATGCTCGGTTATGGCGCGTTTCCTCCACGTGCGCCCGAGCCGTACTGGGGCTGGCAATCGCTCCCCATCATCTGTCTTTTGCATCGTGGACGTGCTATGGTCGCTATTTTCTTCGCCATCTCCGGATATGTTATTTGTCGCCATATTCTACGCCTCATTCATGAGCGCAAGATTGACTCTGCCTATCAGAAGCTTGCATCTTCAGTCTTCAGACGTATCTTTCGCCTCTACATTCCCCCCACTATCAGCATGTTCCTGGTGGCTGTGCTAGCGCAGATTGGTGTCTTCAAGTCTGAGTTCTCCATTTACAAGGGCCCCGACTCGCACTACATCAATGCGACCATCACTCACGCCGATTTGGCTGAGAGCAACATCTGTGTTAATGGCACCGCTGTGAAGGGCGCAGCAGGCATTGCGAACTATCTTGGTATTGAAACTACCGCATACCTCCGCAACACTACCGGCTACCCGCTGGGGAACACCACTGAATGGACCGACCAGCTGCTTTGTGTTAACCACACGACACGATCTTATGGACCATCCCAGCTCTACACGTTGGAATCTGAGTATGAGGCTCAATTCCCTGCAAATGACACCAACATCACCGTCATCATCAAGCCAACAAAGCACATGTCCACCATGGAACGACTGGCATCACTCAGTTATTATGACGACGAAGACCTGGACTTGTCTCTCAATGCCACCAATGCTACAAACCCTCTCAACCTTACGTGGGTTCAGATGGGCGGATCATGGGAAGAGCACCCATTCATTCATCCCAACTTGACATACGCCATGAAGAATTTCACTCGATCTTACGCTGAATGGGCCAATCCATTCAACTTTGGCCACTACCATACACGTTACGATCCTCACACTTTCACGATCCCAATGGAATTCCGTGGTTCCATGCTCATCTACATCTTCCTTCTCGGAACAGCCTTCATGAAGGCCAAGTGGCGAGCGAGGATCGGCAGTTTCCTCTCTGTGTACAGTTTGATCATTGGACGATGGGACATGGCCACGTTCATGGGCGGCATGCTGCTTTCGGAGCATGATATTCGACGATCATCCGATCTGCCACCTTCAGCTGCTGGAGCCAAAGGACGTGGAAGAGACTTCCAACGAACGACCAGGGGAACCGTGTTGAGATGGGCCGGTATCATCTTAGCGCTCTACTTCCTTTCATACCCCGACGCCGGCGCCGAATACACTCCCGGCTTTGCATATCTTTCAACCTGGGTGCCACGGTACTACATCCCACTTTCCGGCTGGATGTTTTACCAGGCGATGGGTGCGGTTCTTCTCGTTGCTTGCATCTTGCGCAGTCCGGCACTTGTTCGCCTGCTCGAGAGTCGCTTCCCGCAGTACTTGGGCAAGGTTAGTTTCTCACTGTATCTTGTGCATGGGCCTGTGCTACACAGTCTCGGGTTCTGGATAATGCCCCGGTTATTTGATAGCTTTGGAAAGATGGGCGGTTATGCGGTCGGCTGGGTTATTCTCATGGCTGTCACGTTTTATCTGACAAACCTATGGAACAACAGGGTCGATGTTTGGAGTGTAACAGTTGGAAGGAGGGTTGAGAAGATGCTTGCAGAGGACTAAGCGGTCGGTCGCTGGCGATGAAGAGAAGAAATGATGGATGATTTGAGGATGTAAATATGCCACGTTTATCAGACTGAAACCAAAAGCACGCTCATATACAGACAGTAGTGTCTTTGGATGAGTTGAGATGTAGAAAAATGACTTTTTGCAATGCATTGCATTTGATGTGGAATGTACAAGTCACCGGGTTTGAGGCAATTTTTTTTTAAAAAAAAAGATATGATTAAGATATATTAAACTACCAATGTGTTGCGTTTTGCTCGATGACAGACTGACCGCGACGTGCCGATGTGAATGCTACGTCATCCCCGCATCAGGACCCAGCGAAGTCGGACCCATCAGTTCTTATCAGATGGTAAACCTGACATCATAAAAACAGCATCAATTTCTTCTTTCTCTTGCTTCGACTTCGCAGAAATAGCAGAACCATCACAAAATGGCATCGCAACCCTCACTTCTTACCGCGACGGCCAAGGTATGATACGTCAACCAGCACAACGAACCCTACTAACGCAGTCAGCTCAACAATGGCCTCATCATCCCCCGCATCCAACTCGGCCTCTACATGATGTCCACCAGAGAAGCCACAGATTCAGTTCGTCAAGGTCTTCTCACCGGCTACCGCGCCTTTGACTGCGCGCAGATGTACCATAATGAGCGCCAGGCCGGTAAGGCTATCAGCGACTTTCTCGCCAGCAGCGAGAACAAGTCTGGCCTGAAGCGTGAGGATATCTGGTACACTTCCAAGCTCGCCAGCTGCGACACATCGTACGATAACGTGCGAAGATCGGTGAAGAAGTCTGTCGAAGCTTCTGGTCTGGGATACATTGACTTGTTCCTGCTGCACAGCCCTTATGGGGGTAAGGAAGCGAGACTTACCAGTTGGAAGGCTCTTGAGGATGCTGTTGATGCGGGTGAAATCCGTGCTGCTGGAGTCAGCAACTTTGGCTCTGGTCACGTGAGTCTTCAATATCAGATCTCAGGCAGCACCATCTGACATTTTCCAGATCGAAGAATTGATGGCGTCCAACCCACGAATCGCTCCTGTCATCAACCAGATCGAGGTCCATCCTTTCAACACACAAGAGGACATTCGAGCCACCTGCGCCAAGCACGACATCGCCATCGAGGCTTACGCGCCTCTTGCTCGCGCCGAACGTATGGATCACCCTGCCATTCTCGACATGGCCAAGAAGTACTCTGTCACCCCAGCACAGATCTTTGTCAAGTAAGCCCCCCAAATACTGACATGTTGTGACAGTACTGACTGCTTCCAGGTGGGGTCTCCAGCACGATTTTATCACTTTGCCCAAGAGCACTAAACAGAAGCGCATGATCGAGAATGCAAGCGTTGATGGATTTGAGATTTCAGAAAATGACATGAAGACGTTGGACGGTTTGGATGAGCACTTGGTTACTGATTGGTGAGTTACCTTCGTCAGCGACTGATACACATATGGCTAATGATTACGCAGGGACCCTACCGATGCACCATGATAGTTTTACGAATTTAGAAATAACAGAGAATTGTTGGATTTTCTATCACAGAGCTGTCCATAATAAGTCTAAGTGGCGTTTTCATTCAGCCGCCTCTGAAGAATCTTCCTGCCTCTCACTTGTGCCCACCTCTCTGATGACCAACCAAGCCGGGAAGATCGCAATAGCCCAAAGCCCAAAATTAACGTATGTACTACCGACAGTCGCCATGATGGGCAGTGCATTGAGTCCATAGCTGAGAGCTTGCCATGCTGATTCCGTGCCTCGCAGGAGCGCTGATAGACGCACTGTTTCTTGAGAGCTAGTCGACATTTCTCCAATGACGAAAAAGGCAAAGTTGTAGTTGAGTTGGAAACCAGTGACAAGAAAGATGAAAACACCAAATGCGGCTCCAAACCCAGGGTCAGCCCAGTCGTAGAGAGCCCCTTCACGATTGAACTTGGTGACGTTGACTGTCAACCATATCCACCAACCTCCTTGCAGAGCCATGATAACGACATATGCCCATCGCGCACGCTTCTTGAGAGATATTTGGTTCTGGTCAAGCCACAATCCAAGCAAGTTACTTATGATGACCGCAACGATACCAGAGATGAAAGACCCCAGAGCCCGAGCTCGCACGCTGAACCAGAGAGCGATATAAGTGAAAAACACTGATTCGGAGTAAACACCCTGACCAATCCACAATATCAGTAGGAGAAAGTCCTTCTTCAGGAATGTTCGCGTCGTTGCTTTGAATTCTTTCCAAGGGTGATCATGAATGTTCATATCAACCTGTCGACCGTCGGAGCGCTGTACTTCCGAGGGCTTGTTCAAAAGACATGCGATGAAAGGACCCAAAGCCTGAAGGGTGATGAAGATGAGGTAAACTTTGTATGAAACCTTGCCAGCCTCATTCTGATCGACGTTAAGACCCAGGTTGATCGCACCGCCCATGATTTGGCTGAATCTTGTGAAGGAGAGCCAATAGGCGACCATGCGACCTCTGTTTCGCGGTTCGGGATATCCGATGGCAATTGCCGCTTCAGCTGACCAAAATACTCCTGCAGAAACACCACAACAGGCTGCGCCGAAGATTACAAGCCACTCAACGCCATACCGATTGTTCAAGTACAAACCTGCACTGTAGGGTGCAAAACCGACAGTGCCGATGATGAGCGCACCCTTGATGCCGATGTACTTGACGATGCCGCTTGTGAACCAACAGGAGATGATCATCAAACAGAAAGTGAGCGCGTTGCCGGTGTTGACTAGGTAGGGTTTCTGAGCACCGCCTGCACCAAGAGAGTTCATTGCGCTCCAGAGACCGGGGGCTGCGAAGCTGCAGAGGCCTAGAATCGTCGCGTTGTAGATGGGTGAACGATTCCATTTTGCTAGATACCTAGTGTTAGTGCGGGGTTCCAGATGGGGAAACTGGTGATGATGTTACGCTTGAGAGAGGCTTGGCGAGGTGCTTCGGCGTTGACTGTATCAAAGGCATGCTTCTGCTCCGAGTCTGACATGATTGCAGTCAATCAGCCTCCTGTTTTAGTTGAGAGTTAATGGGTAATAATGCGTATGGGAAAGTGAAAGAGATGAAAGATGTTATCTTGGAATCTGTGGAAGATTAAGATAAGCATGCAGACTGAGGTATTGCGTGACAGGCCTTGAGATAACGTGCGCGCTCATCAACCCTCGATTGGGACTGGTGTTCATGTTGGGCAAAACAAGTCGCTAATCATTGATAAGATACTGCGCTCTTGTGATACGTTTTCAGGGATCGTCATTACATTGTACCATCGTCATGAATCTCTGCTGTCTTCGGGTGTGACATTCTTCAGGGCATCATAAGAATTGGCTGCTAGAAGCATAAGGAGTGAAATAGTAGGTCTGCCGCCACTCAGGTCGGATTTCTTGGCCATTTATTCTTACACCTAAAACTTAAGAAGGTCAACGTTTCTGCTACCCACTAGACACGTTTCAGGTGTATAATTGCGTGTTATTTGTCAGGACGTTAAGATGGTAATACCCAAAAACACAGACCAGTAGCCTATTGTTTATAGAGCGGGAAGAGCCTGTTTGGCCGAAGCGGCGTATCAAATATGAGCTTACCCAGAATAGTCCAATAAATTTGACCTGAGTCACGACGCTTGAGGTATTGCATGACCGTTCAGCATTTGATATCGCCGCCATATCCCACGTTTTCTATACTTCATCTGGAAATATACGGCTGTACAAAGATGAGCAGTGGCTTAGCATACAGATGACAGATGTCAATTTCCATGTACATAGAAATCGCCTAGGCGAATGTTACACCTTACCTCTTCGAGATACTTGATGATGTCTGGGACAGTGATGGCGACGTGGACAGTTTTGTACCCGGAGGACAAAACCCGAGCGCGAATCTCCCAACGCGTAGAGGGCTTACTAAACCTAAGAAAAGGGTAATGAACATCATTAAACCTTAGATCTGGTCGAGCCAAATATTTGTTTGTGGCGAAAACTTCGGCCTCAACTTGGAGTTGGTCCATGGAGAGCCACCGCTGAAGCTTAACGCACATGAGTTTCTTGTTCCTTCTGCCGTCTACATTGAGAGCGATAGGCCGGACGAGGGCGTAGTCGTGCGGGTCTGGATCATTGGCGATGGAATCGAGGATCATATAACAAAGCTCGAGGGGTAATGTCCGCCGACCTCGTGTGTTGGAGGTGATGAGTGTTGGAGACTGGGAAACAAGACTTTCGACGTAAGCGGGTCCGCGAAGAGTTTTATTAAGAATCATCATTGGCTTCCAATGGGCGAGCATTTCAGCTTCGTTGTCGCGGGCAGGCCTCATCTTGATGATGTCGTTCAGTGTGACGCAGGTATTAATTGACGTTCAGCTGTGTCGTAACAACTCGCAACGAAATGCTGGAAGAACGGCTAAGGATAATGGAAGTGAAACTGAAACTTGATGGACAGCAAAAGCTTAGACGGACTCTTGTTATTTATGTTTGGGTATAAAGTTAATACATTTAATCCGGTATTGTTGAAAAGTCAAAAGGAACACCTGCTGTGTCGTTTATACAACACTGATACGAGCTTCTGGATTTAGAAAACTAAAGCTTATAGTCCTGGAATTTTGTCAGCTGCCCGAGTCTCCTGGCGAGATCTAGATCAGTCTTGCGTTATTGCTTCTATGAGGCACCTTGACAGAAGTTTTTACACTACGCGGTACTATCTGTGGCAGCAGGTTTTCGACAGGCATAATAGCATCACAGTCGAAATCAATAACTCGTTCTACTGTCTCTCTCTCTCTCTCTCTCTCTCTCTCTCTCTCTCTCTCTCTCTCTCTCTCTCTCTCTCTCTCTCTCTCTCTCTCTCTCTCTCTCTCTCTCTCTCTCTCTCTCTCTCTCTCTCTCTCTCTCTCTCTCTCTCTCTCTCTCTCTCTCTCTCTCTCTCTCTCTCTCTCTCTCTCTCTCTCTCTCTCTCTCTCTCTCTCTCTCTCTCTCTCTCTCTCTCTCTCTCTCTCTCTCTCTCTCTCTCTCTCTCTCTCTCTCTCTCTCTCTCTCTCTCTCTCTCTCTCTCTCTCTCTCTCTCTCTCTCTCTCTCTCTCTCTCTCTCTCTCTCTCTCTCTCTCTCTCTCTCTCTCTCTCTCTCTCTCTCTCTCTCTCTCTCTCTCTCTCTCTCTCTCTCTCTCTCTCTCTCTCTCTCTCTCTCTCTCTCTCTCTCTCTCTCTCTCTCTCTCTCTCTCTCTCTCTCTCTCTCTCTCTCTCTCTCTCTCTCTCTCTCTCTCTCTCTCTCTCTCTCTCTCTCTCTCTCTCTCTCTCTCTCTCTCTCTCTCTCTCTCTCTCTCTCTCTCTCTCTCTCTCTCTCTCTCTCTCTCTCTCTCTCTCTCTCTCTCTCTCTCTCTCTCTCTCTCTCTCTCTCTCTCTCTCTCTCTCTCTCTCTCTCTCTCTCTCTCTCTCTCTCTCTCTCTCTCTGTGTGTGTATGTACATATTGGACTCTAGGCATGTTTGTGTTTGCAGTCCAGCACTTGAGATTGTCTTAAATCACGAATAAGACCTGACCCATACGTAACCAATAATGACGATAAAAAAGAGGTAAGTAAAGACAATCGTTCACGACTTTCCATTCATGCTCGGTTATGATGACTATTGAGGGTTAAGACTTCAGATACTAGAATGGAGTCGTGTAGCTACGTTGTGTGTCATTCTATAAAATTCTATCCACGACACAATACCCATGACCGCAGAATTTAGGAACATATGTTGAGTTTGAGGTACTCACAAGGACTACAAGCTTGTAGCTCTGAGATGATGATTGCGCAATCGTTCAATCCTGTGATGGTAAGCGAAGCCCACTGACTTCACAAGTACCCCTTGGGACTTCTAGGTTTTCTGAACCCATGATTCTTCAATTAATCAGACACGCAAGACATGTTCAGGGCAGCAGCACAGACTGAAATTAAGGAACAGCTAGCGAAACTCGACATACGAGTAGGACAAATGAATTTAGGTAATGCTATCTCACATTGTCACCCTTTCTCCCCCTTCAATACGGCCCGTTTAAACAAGCTTAAACAGCCTCTGCAACCAAAAGCCCCATACAAAAGACACTGATCTCTGGGGTGCAGTGCGGGTTGACCTACCAGAAGGCAAAGATTCGAGACGTTTTGAGACGAATGAAGACGTAAAGTTCCGGGGAAGTTGCAGGCTACGCTTCGACGTTCTAGAAACGAAAAAAGGTCGGTCTGACAAAAAAGATGGACCAGGCACGAACTCATTATTCATAGATTAGTCAATGCAATGAGGTGAATAACCCCACAGATAAGCGATCCATAGACGGAGATTGACGTTGAATTTCTTCGTGGAGAAGAGAGATGAAAAGTTTGATGAAGAAATTTTCGTATTCTGCGTATGCTGATCTATAAAAAAGAGGTTTAATCCCCTGGTCATTTCCGCGCCACTGAATGACTAGCAGATCGACATTCGAGATCAGCCAAACTGGTTCTTCTCTTTTCCCATCAAAAGAGGGAAAAAGTCAGCCATGACTTGTGTTTCTCTTCCCCAAAGTCAATATTGTTGGGGCCCCGGAGTTATCTCGTTGTCCGGCAGGCTCGAGAGTCGAAAGTTCACAGACCACGTTATTACAGAGTTATTGTTAGGATATCATAACGTGATGAATATCCACTGACAATTCGATGACGGTCCAATGGCACGTTTCATCCACGTAAAAAAGAACCGAATGCAGGGTCAGATGTCACTCTGGCCCACAACCGGCAGATATTTCCACCACCTTACGCCCTTTAGTCAAGCGTCATTCCATAGAAGGAAGGGTTTTCTTAGCAGGGCTACAGGGGAACCGCCACCATCCACAACGCGCCTCGTGAACACCCTTCGGGCCTTTTCGTCGCTAAAAAAAAAGTCTTGGAACTGAGATTATGGTCAGGAACAGACCAGTTTCTATTATGCCATTGATATCATATCGGTCGAGACTACCGGCCCGGTCTACGAGGCTAACTCCGTCTCCGTTGATCGGAAAGTGATTACGAGTTTAAATGGAATAAAACCTGGAGTAACCAGTTTCCGTATCTAATCGTAGCATCATGACCCGGCCCCGACGCGCCGGAGGTGGAACCCGGGTACACCGAAAACCGCGCCTTGATTGTCATTCTTGCTCGCGCTTTCTCCTTGAGCCGTTTTTTCCGTTAGAAAGCTCTTCTAGCCGTTCGGGACTGTATTCCTTTTAAATACTTTCGTCTTGCCTCACTCTTTCCTTCCCGGGGTCTGTCCAATTCCTTCATATACTTACCTGTTGGTCCCATCTTTTTGACTTTGGTTCCTTCACCTACTCATCTCTTTACACTCTGTCCAGTCCTTGGTCATCGCATGAGTAGCCAACCTCTCACCATTCCTAACGAACGTACATCTCTACTACACTCCGATCCAATGCCTCCCTCTCCCAAGGCCAAGTCCTCCAAACCCGTCAACATGATGGACGATCGCCACGACCCAGAGACCGCCGACGATGTCGAGGTCTCTCAGCAGAAGCAGCTCGCTGCCCAGGGTAATGCGCACTTCCACCGTCTGGGCTGGAAGCGTCTTGCCATTGTCACCATCGTTGAGGCTATCGCCCTCGGTGCTCTCAGTCTGCCTTCAGCCTACCACACGCTGGGCATGTTCCCCGGTGTCTTCCTTACCATCACCCTCGGTCTCGTCTCCATCTACACCAGCTACCTCGTCGGTCAGGTCAAACTCAAGTTCCCTCACGTTTCTCACTACGCCGATGCCGGACGTCTTCTGCTCGGTCGCTTTGGCTACGAACTTTTCGGTGCTGCTCTCGTTCTTGAGCTTGTCATGGTCGTCGGTTCTCACGCTCTGACTGGTAGCATTGCACTGATCGACATTAACGGTGGAAAAGTCTGCTCCATCGTCTTCTCCGCTGTTTCTGCAATCATTCTGCTGATCCTCGCCATCCCCCCATCGTTCACCGAGGTCGCTATTCTTGGTTACATCGACTTCGTTTCCATTCTGGCCGCCATTGGAATTACTGTTATCGCCACTGGTATCCAGGCTAGCGACTCAACTGGTGGACTTTCTGGTGTTGAGTGGTCTGCTTGGCCCAAGGAAGATCTCAGCTTCGCCGAGGCTTTCGTCGCCGTCAGCAACATCATTTTTGCCTTCAGTTTCGCGATCGGTCAATTCTCCTTCATGGACGAGATGCACACCCCTACTGATTACATGAAGTCCATCTATGCCTCATGCTTTATCCAAATCTCTATCTACACCCTGACCGGAGCCCTTTGCTACGCTTTTATTGGACCTGCTGTGCAGTCGCCTGCTCTGTTGTCCGCTGGGCCACTTATTTCCAAGATCGCCTTTGGTGTCGCTTTGCCTGTTATCTTCATCTCCGGTTCGATCAACTCGACTGTTGCCCTCCGATATCTTCATGGCCGTATGTTCAAGGACTCGATTCTTCGATACGTCAATACCCCCATGGGTTGGGTCAGCTGGATCACTCTTGTCACCATTTTCACTATCGTCGCATGGGTCATTGCTGAAGCCATTCCCATCTTCTCTGACTTGCTCTCTCTTGCCTCGGCTCTCTTTGTGTCTGGTTTCTCCTTCTGGATCCCAGGTGTCATGTGGTTCGTCTTGCTTTGCGAGGGTAAGTGGTTTGAGAAGAAGAACTTACTCATGAGCTTGGGAGCCATCCTTGCATTCATCATCGGTATTGTTACCCTTGGTGCCGGTACTTATGCTACTATTAAGGATATCGTAAGTTGCCCAAATTCAAACAGCCATGTCACAGAAACAGCAACTAACATTGTCATAGATTGATATCACCAGCACGGGCTCCGCTCATGCTCCCTTCACTTGCCGATCAAACTAAGATTATGGCCTAATGTGGGATAGATGATAAAAGGCGTTGTTGCATTTATAGATATCTTGTATACATTAATTAACATGATTATCGACTTCTACATATTTTTCTTACTATCAATGTTGTGATGCGTACAGCTCGGAAGCTTATTCTATATAACCCTCATTATAGAGTTCGGTTATTGCCCTGATACAGCGTATATTCTTGGTGGGAAAGTAAGTTGTTGAGAGAACCTTGATTTAATATTTTGAGTTTTCAATCTATGTAGATATTTTATTAAGAATTAGAGTTATTGAGTTATTGAGAGGCTTGGACTTGCATTTGCTAGTAAAGTACAGAAACAAACAAATCAAATTCTATGATGGCCTATTCAACATGTACCTCCGATCGTTTAGAACTTGACATTTGTTGAGGCTCTATAGAGAAACAGCGTGTGCTTGGAAGGTTGGTGACGCGCTACGATGTCCGTGTTCGTGCAATATATGTCATATCAAGAAGCAACTGCATTATTAAATCCTATGTTGACCCTAATCATACGGTACGAAAAAGAAAACGTCCAAATTTGCAATCTTGGAGACCATAACCCTTCCGACATATTTAATATCCACAAATATTCATGAGAAGTATCCGCAACAAAAATCCCAAGCACTTACTCCTATTATATAGCAGCGTGTTTCAGCGAGCAGAAGGATACAGCCACTCCTGAAAACTCGACCGACGTCGGACAGGACTCGAGCCCTCACTACCAACACTGGCTCGACGATCATTACTACTTCGTCGCACCCAAGCATTGGTCCAGTCAGAGCCAGTCGCAGGTGTAGTGGTAGTCATGACTCTTTGCTTGTAAGCTATGGGGTCAGAGGTCAGCCGCGGTTCGGAAGCAAGGCCATGGGGGATGGCAACGCGTACAGGTAGCATCGTTTCTGTTAGGGTTATCAAGAACGGCCTGAAGCTTGGCCTTGGCCTTTTCTGCCATTGTCTGAGGAGCCATGTCTGTTGAATAAGCTAGTATCTCTGAAATGTAAGGTACGAACTGATATTCGTTGGGTGAAGGATGTAGAAAACCTGTCGCATCAACAAGAGAGGGGAAACGGCTTTTATCGCACGCCTAATCAGCAACCTCGTGACCATTCGTCATTCTCAGAAGATTGATGAACACGTTTGTCAGCTCCGCAGTTGGAGTGCAATCCAGAGTTGCCTCTTTGGGTATAAGATGAACCATCACCAACGTTGTTTCGTGCCATCAACGTCAGAAAACGCGGGGTAAGTCAACATCAACCAATTGTCCTTTTAGGTACGTTGCAGTAGTTTGGTAACATTCAATCTCCTTCCATCCTATTCGTTTGATGGTTGATTGAGAGTTTGCATGGGTTGGTAAAAAAAAAAATAACGAGGCAGAAGCTGTCTATGAGGCCCGTTACATTCCAGAATGGGTTTTCATAGCTTATCGAAACGATAAACGACGTCAAATGAGTTTGTTTGGAATCTACTCGCCTTCTTATCGTATAAACTTGATCTGTCTTTATTGTTACATGAAATAGGCTGTCACCAAATCTGGAGGGACCAATGCAGCAGGCTCAGTTAGTTTCTCGTTGATATTTGTTAGCTTCGAAACTCCCATCTTACTCTTCTCCGCTGCGATGAGTTTCACGGTTTGCAAATGCTCGTCTATAAAGCTGAATGCAGTACTACTCAAGCCGATATACGTACCCTACATAGTCTATAATTAGGCGATTAATGAATTGGTCCACGAGATGCCAAGCGAACCGCTTCAGCCGCGCAGCCGAGGATCCGCAACCCTGCCCTTTAGCGTCCAACAAGCAACATCTGTTGGTTAAGGAGACATGATCCTAGCCAGCATTTGTGGCACAGACCCGGTGTGTTGCCTAAAACGTTCCATAATAAACCCGAAGCCGACCAACAGCAGTCTGTGAGTTAAATGAGGGAATCCATTGATGACGGGAAACTTAAACAGAACATTCCCGGACCCAGAGGCTCTTTCTTTGCCTTTGTTTCTGACGACATTACTCTCTTCTGGATGCCATGGCGAGGCTCATTCTTGTTTACGCCTCTCTCTTTCTTTGGGTGGCTCTGGCAGTTGCCCAGTATGATTACAATAACCTTCTGAAGGGTTGTTACCAAGGACGGTCTGATGACTTCACTGTTGGTGGGCTTGCCAGTACTCAGCCACAGCGCGAGAGGTGTGCCCTCGTATGCTCCCAGCGAGGTAATAACTTTGTTGCATTTGGCATCTACAATTGCTTTTGCGCCAAAAATGAACCTGCTAGCACCAACAAAGTCGACATCAATCGCTGTGAAGCGCAAGGTCTAGATGGATGGAACGCACCCAAGCTTAGAAAGGTTGACCGCATCGAAGACGTCTTTGTTGTCTTCAACATTGATCCCAAAAGGAAGAGCGACGACTCAAAGAGTGCCCCTCAAGATGAAGCGGAATCACCAAAATCGGGATCGCCTGCTGCGCTTTCCCCTTCAGCTGGTCCCAGCAGGCCTCTCGGATGTTATCCAGGCTTGCCACTTGATGTTGATCTTACCAAGATCACGATCACTGAAGAAGAGCGTCGTGAGTGCGCCAAGTCATGCGGCGAAGAGGGCAAAGCTGCTGTTGTCTTTAGTGGTCTCAAATGCGGCTGCACCGACAATCCCCCAAAGGCTTCCACTCGGGTCGAAGACATCCGGTGTGCCCTTCAATCTACAAAAGAACTTTATCGCACAGACCTTGTGTACAGTGTATGGAGCAGTGGAGTTGGGGTCGATTTGGAAGGATACAAACCCAAGTTGAAAGACCATTCACATAACCCTAGCGATATCCCTACCGATCGATCTGAACTAATTCATGTTTCCGGGCCTGGGTGCTACAGAAACGAGCCACCACGAAACGATAGCAGCTATAAGGGTCTGCAATCAAACTGCCCTGAAACCTGTCGTCGCTTTTGTGAGAAGTCCAACAAGAGATACATGTTTCTGCAAGAGACGGATTGCTGGTGCTCGAATGAATACCCAGGTGAACTGGAGGAACTCAGCGGTGATCATTGCGACATAAAATGTCCTGCAGACCAGCTCTCCCTGTGCGGAGGTCATTTCAGCTACAGTGTTTATGATCTCGGAACCCAGTCGAGGCCTGCCTCCTTGTCAAAGAAACCAACCGGAGAATGCTTCTCTAGCCGTGCCCTGACTTCAAGGCAAGTCATGGGCATTAGCAATCGCAAAGATTTCCTTGGGGCGTGTGTTAACCGCTGCAAGGATATTGGGGAGCCTATCGCATTGATACATGAATCTGACTGCTGGTGCGCCGTAACATATCCTCATCACACGTACTCGTCTGACTTGGAGTCTTGCGATCTCCCATGCCAGGGGGATGACAAAAGTCACTGTGGTGGAACCAAAGGCAGCACGCTTTATTATTCTCTCTACCACACGGGCAATTCAGATGGCATTCAGCGGGACCCGCGCGGGAGGCCTTTCGATCTTCCAAAACAACATGAGACAACGTGGCATGGATGCTGGAGTGAACCGCCTCTTACTGAGCATCACTCACATAGCTTACAGACCAACACAGTTATGGGCTGTGCTAGCTACTGCCGGAGGTACAAGTCAACTGTTGCTGCCATGCGCCAGAATAGTTGCGTTTGCGCTGAATCTTATCCCGAACGCAGCCACAGACGCCCTGACTCCATGTGCAAATCTGCATGCCCTGGGTACCCATATGCTGACTGCGCCGGGCCTCAAGCCTGGACTGTTGTCAATACTGGATTGGTCAACCATGTCCCATACGACAAGCCCAGGCGTAAGGAACAGGCTGAGAATGGCAATGACCTGAATATCGTATCAAAGAAGGTGTTGCGCTTGGGCTGCTACAACACGGGATCCGATACATGGGGAGCCGTTCAGGTGTACATTAGCAATGCCGGACCTGAAGTCTGCGCTACCAGGTGTAGAAATATGAAGTTTCCGGTTTCGGCATTGCAGGGCAACACATGCTCATGTGGGGACAAGATTCCCCGGAGCAGTAGAGTCGTTGGATCCCATTGCAATCTTTCTTGCCGAGATGAAGGGTCTTGTGGCGGCGTCAATACTTGGAGCATCTTCAACTCGGGACTACAAGCCAGTATCCAAACTGACGCAAACACAAAACCATCCCACGGCTGTTTCAAGTTCGGTCGCCTTTTATCTACGCGCCTTACTCCCCAGCTTCTTCAAGTGGACATATATGGTCCAAATCGAAGCCGGAATGGAGGTTCCTGCACTGCCCGTTGCGCTGAAGAGGGCTATCCTGTGGCTTTGCGACACAGTTCAAAATGCTTCTGCTCCCCCGGACTCCCGCTAGAGAGGAAACGTGTCGAAGATGATTTATGTTCTTACCAGTGTCGCGGAGACAAAGTTGAAATGTGCGGTGGCCCCTCTTACGCGTATACCGTTTACAAGACCGATGCCTACATGCCCGATCTCCATAATGAAGAGAAGTCAAAGTCGAAGACGCCGAAGGAAGAGATCCAAAACCCTTCTCCAGATGGTAGATATCAGTGCCTGCATCCGGCTTTGGAGAAAGCCAATGAGATCTTCAACGTGGTTTCTGACAAACTCACTGTTGTCGCTCAAAAGGTTCAGGCTGGGTTCTTTTGGGTACGTGATAAGGCGCAGCATATTTTTGATGTCTGTCTCTGGAACGTGATGGTCTTCTTCTCAAATATCTTGTATCGCTTGGGATTCTTATCTGCCGAGGGTGTGGTCGAACTTTAGACGGGTGTAGCTAGAACGATAGATCATGAGATGCATGTGTCCAAAAACGAGATCGTAATCAAGTGAATTATTCTAAATAGTCATCAATGTGCCTCAAAAACTTGCTTCCAAATTATTTCATGATCATGTATAAACAACCCTCAACTCTGACAGCAATACCGGAAAGTTGTTTGACAACCAACTCTGCGTTCCCAAGATCCAACAAACCGATATCATGAGATAACATTTAACAATTGTATGTGCAGATAAAACATTCCATCGCCAGGCCACAGTACCTGTTTCATAAAGAGAACCACACAATTTACATGCGGTAGGAGAGAATGACTGCTGCTCCGTTCAGTGTCCAGTGCCGTAGTTTGACTGCGCATTTGACAAAAGTCGCTCTCGCTCATCATCTGCTTTCATCTCAACCTTCTTCTCCACAAACATCCTACCCTTAATGGCAACGAATACGGTAAGGATGATACCGACTAGGGTACCAACAGCGCCCAGCGTGGCGTTGATAGGTGTTGGATTGTCATGAAGCGGGCCGTGGGTGAGCGCGTCGAGACCGGACTGAGCAAGCTGAGTGATTCCCGAGACGCAAGTGATGGTCCCATAGATGCGTCCAAAAGTAGCGAATCCAAAAACCTTGGTTGCGTAGTCACTTGTGTATGTATTAGTATGGAAACTGAAAGATGAAAACATGGGAAACTACTTACGAGATGGCTGAATAGTAAAGAGGTCGGAAGAAAACAAAGGTGATGACAGTAAAGTAACCTGCCCAAATGTTTGAAAGACAGTTGAGAACTCCAATGACAGCGATAAACACTGTAAGAACGCCGAAAATACTGGGAACACTCAAGTTGTTTAGCAAAAGACCAATAAAAGGTGTCGAAGCAACTCCTCCAACAGGCAAAGCGATGTCGAAAAAGTCATTGACGAGCTCAGCCGCCTTGTCAGAACCCAACATGTATCGGTACTGTGACCTGACACTGGCGATAAAGTAGTTCATGCGAAGCATCTGTAGGATCGTCAAGAGCAATATGAGAATGAACCAGGGCGACATCATCTGTCTGTGAGCAGGCACTCCATGTAAAACTCCCCAAACACCACTGGTCTCCTGTCTCTCTTCCTCCTCTCTGATCCTCGCTCCTCTTTCTGCTTCGTCACCGGTAATTTCTTCGATCATCTCGATTTTGTTTATCCGTTGCTCAGCACGTGCGCTTCTAACGCGTCTCAGTTCATTCGTGTCATCGATCTCATCATCCGACGCATGAATGTCACGATTGCGATCCTGAGCGCTTTCAATCTTCTTCTCGAGTTGAGGTAGGGTATGGTACGAATGAGGAGGCATCCAGAGCAGTTCGGCCAGGCATATAAACACCGGGACAGAAATGTAACTAAAGAAAAATTTGTCTAGGGTAAATCTACCGCCGGTAGCTTCATAAGCCATGCGGTAGAATAGGAAGACAGCGGCAGAAGCGTCAAAGGCGCCTGTAACGAGAGCGACGATCAAGCCGGAATACAGGGGGAAGGCATTGGCCAACTGGAACGAGGAAACAAAGAGAAAAGTGCCACCGAAAGCAAGAAAGATGTTACCAGCGAGATAGCCGTGGAATCCGGGGATGGAAAAGGAAAGCCCCATCAATAACGACCCCAGAGTCAACAGAAGACTAGAAACAAGCCAGCATACACGACGGCCGAAGCGATCCAGGGCAGCTCCCGCGAGGAGGGAAGAGACATTGGCTGAGATTGACGCTGAGATGAAAAGCAGGTTCAATCGCATATCCTGTGCAGCGCATGGAACCTGAAAGTCTGGTGTGTGTCCAAATTTCGTTTGGTCATTGTCGCAGAGCTCGGAATAAATTCCCTCGGAGATCAAGATGGGTTTCAGAGCGGCGAAACCGAAGACGATGCCAGCTGCGAGCCAGCAAGCTATTATGCCAGTTGCTACTTGAGCTACAAACAGTTAGCAGAGCACATAGATACAAATTGGCATGAATTGACTCACCATATCGCTTAATTTCGGATACCTTGTAAGCAGCAAGATTGGGTAGCTTTTGCACGATCTCAATGGGAGCAAAACTCAGGCGTCGCCAGCTTGATCTGTCGGGAAAGGATTCGTACTCAAACCTATCAGTGTCGAGAATATTTGGCGTTCCGAAACCAGGAGAGACATCTGGATGTGTTGGGCCTTCATAATTGGGATTCGCCGGGCCTTCATAGTCGAATCCCTCCGGTTGAACTAAATGGTGAGCGAGAGACATTTGCGCTGGTGGGAGAATGTTAGGAGTCACGCAGCTACCTAAGGGAACGACAAATGCAGATTGAAGTACAGAGGGATCACATAAAAAGTAGCATCTAGTGTTGAGATAAGGTGAATTTATTGCAAAATGTAGAGAAATGCGGTCTAGGTCACGAAGTTTCGGTAATGTTCTCTCGTGAACCGTGATGAATGACGTCAAAAGGGTTTCATTGTGATTCTACAGGCTTGGGGAATAAAATGTTCCGTGGTCGTATGATGGGCCATGCTTATCTGGCTGACTATCCTAAACTTGGGAGCACAAGCGAGGGTATTCGCAGCTTGGCGTGGCATTGGAATGTTGTGGAATGTGTCAACGGAAGCCTCAGGCATATTTCCGGTTGGTTTGTTGGCTGTCAGGCCGTGTACGTGTCGACTGCCGAATCTTCGCGAAACTCCCCCACCAGGATACTTGCAGGGATGTCACCACAGAGTACTTAGAGGGCCAGTCAGCCTCATTATGGACAAGCAAAGGGTCCCTCGTGCACGTGTTACAAGGTTCAATGTCACTGGAGGCATCTCCCTAGCTTCCCTTATGGCTCCGCTCCACTTAGTCCCTTCCATCGGTTATTGCAATGCCGATTTAACGGGGCCGGATCTATGACTATGACCTCAAAAATTCGACGGAAAATAAAGATTTTGCGCTGACAGCACAAGGGTAATAGGAAAGCTTTGGCTTATCAGTAGTTCAGTTATTCACAGTCTCGTTTCTTTATCAGTAGAAAGCTAACCTTCCAACTCTATTCACGTCTTAAGTTTAAGCCTGACCGTCTTACAGTCTCTCCTGCCGTGACAATGTCAAACCTTGAACCACGGTCATACTTGATAAAAGGATATTCAAGATGAGTTACGATGGCCCCAACCCGCAAAAGGTTACGCCGAAATAATTTCCTTATCGCAGTGGCGATGGTATCGTTGTCTTAGTGGACTCAAACCTGTCTAACCGAATTCGACCATCCCGAGGGTCCAGACTCTGGATCATTGACGCTCGACAGCAATTGCCAGCAAATTTCTTTTCCATTTTCGATTCAATTCACCGTATCTTTCTCTGTCCTTTCTATCTTTGACCGTACCACACCAAAAACCGCGCCAATGGAGTTCCAAAAGCCCAGTCTTCCACCAAAGGCCCCTAGGAGCAGCGCCTTGAAACCTTCAAATTTGGCTAGCACCCACGACCTGGATTTTTACGTCCATCCTCACTTGGTGCCAGACCAGGACCCTTGCAAGGGCAGACTGCTCCGAGCCACGGGTTCCATCCGAGAAGGCACCATTCTCCTGGTGGACACAGCATATGCCATCGTCCCTTCAGTGACGTCCGATGTCGAACCGCTCATCTGCAGCAATCTCTCATGCTCTCGCCGTGTCCCGCAAAATGGCCGTGCCGTACGCTGTGAAGAAGCTTGTTTCAAAGACGTTGTTTGGTGCAATATCGCCTGCCGAGCCGCCGACAAACTTCGACATGACTTTGAGTGCGCCTGGTTAAAGAAGAATGCCGACAGCATGCGTCGCAAAGAAAGCGAGTACAATTTTGCTACTCTCTGGCATGTGGTTCGTCTGCTCGCCACGTGGAACGCCGAGTTGCACAGCGGAAATACTGTCACACAACATCGCTACTCCTGGGAAGCTCACTTTTTGCGTGGCTGGAAAGCCGTGGATATGTGTTGTGCGTACCTTGATTCGTGGCCAGAAGAACAGATAACGCACTGGAAGCGACTGGTTAATGAGTATCTGAGTGATGCTGCTGTTCTGCCGTGCATGTTAACTGCCGACGAGATGCTCCTACTGCTGTGCAAGGAAGAAACCAACACATTTGGCCTGTATCCTAAAGCGACGGGTTCTCCATACGTGAACGAAAATGCTACTTCCCGAGGTGAATCGTACGGTTTCGCCCTGTATCCCAGGGCCGCCCAGTTTAACCATTCATGCTTACCCAATGTGAGTTGAAATTAACTAAATAGTGCTGCGTCCAGTACTGACTTCTTCCCAGGTATCACACAAGCCTGATGGTCAAGCCAGGATGGTATACACAGCTGCGCGAGACATATCCAACGGTGAAGAATGCATGATCACCTACTTTGATCTCGCAACCCGGAAGGATCTGTCAAGCAGACAGAAATATGCCGAAACGCAGTTTCAGTTCAAGTGCACATGTAGTCGATGCTTGGAAGAGGAGGCCGAGGAAAATATGGACATCATGGATTCATTACCATTCGGGTTCTAAGAGAAGGGATAGGCGTTTAAGAGACTGGATGATGGGATTCACAAGAGAAGAGAGTCTCTGAGATTTGAGCTATGAACTATACGTATCAGCCTAAGAATGTGGGCGAAATTGGCTTGACATGGATTATCAAGGATTAATAGCCCTGTCCTTGTACCCCGATGCAATATTCTTACTCGGCCACATCCACTGAAGGGTAGAGAAGGACTTGCTCGCCCCACCCAACAGCCTTTTCAGCTGTAGCCACAGCTTCTTCCCACTCATCCAGAGGATACCCACGTTCAACTATCCGATGCCCTGCTTCCTTGCCCAACTTGACAACTCCAGCCTCAATCATCTTGATCAACGAGACGAGTTCCTCTCGTGTGTACATGAATTGTGCCTTGATTGTGATGCTTCGAACCATGAGACTGGCATAATTGATCTTGATATCAAACATCAGGCCTAAGAAGACTACGCGACCAAAGGTTTTGAGCGAATTGATCGAGACGGTCAGGTGATTCGGAGCTGCTGTCGCAGCAGGGGGTGAGACATCAATGTAAGCATCGACGCCTTGAGGTGCCAAAGCACGAATAGCTTCAGTATCATTCTTTTCGTCACCGGTCAATTCAAGAGCGGTTACTCGGGGAAATCGAGAAGTAAGGGGCTCGAGCTTGGATGCGGAACGGGAGATTGCGATGACTTTGCAGCCGATTTGAGCAGCCAGCTCGACGACTGCCCCAGAGAAATGTCCAGTGGCAGGCGCAACGATGACTGTATCGCCAGCTTGGAGATCGGCATTCCTTACTCCACCATACGCAACGGAGAGTCGTTGGATGTAGTTCAAGTCGCCATAGGAATAACCCAACTCATCAACTAGAATCTTCTCATCGAGAGGCAAGACATTCTCGGCTGGAACAATAGCAACATCTCTCCAAAAACCCTGCCAGAGATTGAATAGTTTGATATCACGATCAGGGCCTCCGCCATCGTGAAGACCAAGGAGAACTCGTGTGTTGGGATCATCTCTGGCAGTGACAAAGTTGCTCATGTAGACAAGTTGACCTGGCTTCAAAGCTACAGCGTCTGGTCCAACTGAGATGACACGACCAACACCGCCATCACCCGGGTTATACGGGGGTTTGAAAGAAAGAGGACTATTTCCGTGAAAACCAGCGCGCTGGTGAGGTCTGACTGGAGTGCTAAGAATGCGGACGATGACTGATCCGGGGGGCGTAGGGCTTGGGATTGGAGTCTTCTCCAAATCAAGTTGCCCGTTGAAAGAATTGAGTACAAGGGAGGTGGATACTTCAGGGATGGCTTGGCTGCTCATGATGATGGATATGTATGGAATAAGTATAATGTAGACTTGGATGGAGTGTTTGACTGCTCAAGTCATGGCACTGGAGCATGCGACTGCACTCTTTATACTTTTTACTCACTTACTAATAGCTAGATATTTGTAGATTCTGTGGTGACATAAAATTTGCATTTGTGATCTTGAATATCCAATTAAGTCACAACTATTCATGTCTGCTTCATCGGCCGTAAGAGCGGACATACTGGTTGCCCAAAGCGGTAATTGTTTACTCCGACATGTCCGTATCTTCGAACCCCACTCTATGCAGTATGAGCTTATGTTGAACCTTGACAACAAAATAAAAGGAGTCAGTGCTGGGGCTTTTTAAATGGACCTCTAATCGCTTAATTTCTGCAGCCAGTGTTTGTGTTAGTCTCTTAAATATCCACGTTGCACGTCACGAAAAGCATCGTCGAAAATTCATCGAAAGATTCGTAATCAGGCGATATATCAGAAGAGACCTTGATCCTAGCCACATGAGACCTCTCTCATCTAAAATGGGTCATGCCATACGATGCTATCAAGTTCATAATTAAGACCGATGGCTTCATGCCTGGCTTCCTCCTGATTATATCCCAACGCGATGGGTCCATTCCCCTGAATTTCCTCCGGATTTATAACATAATTCATTTCATGGACGTCGTGAGAAATACTAATCCGTTTAGGGCTCATCACACACATGTTTGCTAACACTACTTGTAGCAGTCGAGAGCTTTCAAGTGCATGTGCTGAGACGCATGGTCTTGCTGACCACAACTGTACTGCTGTCCGCAACGTATTCATAACATAGTAACCCTCAATGGGCCTTAAGAACATCAGCTTCAAGTATCGTATCATTTGAGGTTAAACTTACGGCAAGTCGACACAGTCAAAAAACTCAAGGGGGCCAAGAGTGGTCGATATCAAGAAGTCATTTACAGACAGGCTTGAGGCAATTTGTTGATCACCATTTAGTCTTCCGCCCTCCTGCATCTCACGATCAACCTGTATATAGACTCCCACAGATCTAACAGCATTCTTACGACAGATGTCAAGGGCTGTCTGAAACTCGTAGTCACTGTAGGTCAATGAATTCAAGAACGGACGATATAAGAGTGCGATGCTCGTGGTGTATATGAGCTCGAATAAGACTCTTTGCATGACAATATGATTAGAATCAGTGAAAGCGGTATTCTGGATCGACCTGATACGAAGAGAAGGCGGGATAGACTGGTACCAGGCGTCCAGCTGTGATTTGATAAGCATTGCATCCTGATAGCTGCAGGTGTTGAAGCCCAAGGCATGACATATGATTCGACGTAAGATGGGTAAAACTTGCGACATGGACACGCAAGGCAGGGATGGCTGGGTCTCTGTGGTAGATCTAGGCAGTACTATTGTTGAATCCTCATCGAAGTCGTCATCCTGCACGTCGGTGGGATGGCCAGTGGAGTACGTTTCTTCGTGAATAAGTGGAGGCAGCCCATACTCGAGAGAAAATAACATATCGTAATACTGGATGAGGTACCACACACGGCGTCTCATTTCGGCCTCGAAAGGAGTTACCAGTTGAAGAAATTGGTTCATCTCGCAATGGTAGAATCTTTGATGTGCAAGTCGAACGGACAAGGCATGTAATTGAGACAGATTGATATCTTGGCTTTTTGGTTGGAAGCATCGAGAATGAAGATGGAGAGTCAAAGCTTCGACTGAGAATTCCACAGCTCTGTGATACTGTCCAGAGACGAGACACCTTGCTGACATACTGATATATTCCAATGAAGCTTGGGTGCCTGAGAATGGTGTGTTTGTTCTGGAAACAGTAGCACCAATAGCCATGATAGAAAACATTATGCTTAGCCAAAGGTGGTCGCTCGAAGCCGGATCTTTCCAGAATTCTTCATACTGTCTCCGGAATTGGTGCGTATGGATGAACGGAACTACGACGTGTTTGGCGTTGAAGTACGTTGACACTATTTTATCTGAAACTTGGCGAGACGGTACGGCTGTCAAGATATCTTGCAGGGAAACCACAGCCACAGTACCGAATATGATGTCTGGGGGCTGACTCGCAGGTGGTACTTGTGCAGCTTCTCGACACGAATCATCGCTGACAGTATTCTTTATTTGATCTATGCTGTCAAGGAGCTGTTTGGCACAATCCGTTGATTGGTCTTGGGAGGGGTGGCTCAGGAGATGTTGCAACACAGTCCGCATTTGCCCAAGTTCACCCTGAACACGTGTCTTGCCATCCTCAGCCGAAGTCGACTTTGCTGGCTTTGAGAAAGATTCAAAATGGCATGATTCTTCCAAACCGCGTCTCTGGCATCCACTGCAAGGCTGCTGCCTGTCGCATTTTTGCTTACGCGCACGGCAGGTGGAGCATGATACAGTCGGTCTGTTCCTCTTGATACGTTGTGGGTGGGAGGCTCGGAAAGTGTTGATATGGCGTGTGAGTTCTTGTTCTCTCATTTTGACGGCATTGACGTAGGATACAGATGATAAGGGTTGAGATTTCGGCATAATTTAGGTTAATGGACAGGCTAAATGATGACGGCTGGCAGTTTAGTCAGCGTCCAGGGTGATCGTTGACTGCGCCCCTTGATATCTTTGACACTTGGTAAGCTATCGCACCAAGCGAGTAACAGAAAAGTTGTCCTCTAAGTCTTAGGTATAAGAATAAATAGTCTAAGAATTGTGATCTAAATAGCATAAGCTGTCCTAATAATTCCATCTCTTATATTCCCAGCAGCCATTTTCGCCAGTACCCCGATGTTAATGGCATGAGTAGGTAGATATTGTTTCCCGCACTAAAGGCATGTCTTTTCGCGGTAAACACAGTCTCATTGGAGTATTGAGGTCACATGTAGTGACTCCGCACGTGGGAGGCCCACCAGATCGACCAATGTTGCGATATCGCATTGTCGTCCACGTTTTTTAACCATAACGAATTGCATTAGACTATTTCCTTAGACATGGACGATTTATCATTAATACTCGCACTTGAGCTTCAGCGTCAGGATCTTGAGGCATTGGGGGAGTCATTGAATGGGAAGCAACGAGCAGGCGAAAAAACTGATTTGGATATTGCTCTTGAAGCTTATCACAATGAGCTTGAGGCAGTGGCCATCCAGGCCTTCGACCATACAATGGCTCTCAGTATCGCACGAGCTGTACGTTCGGATGCTCCCATCATTGCAGAGGCGCAAGAGGCAGAGGAGCAAGTTGAGCGAGATCATCAATTTGCCATGAGTCTCTCAGGAGACGGACAAGTGCCGCAACACACGTCTGAGAGTTTAGGTAAAGTTCTGGACGATGATTTGATGGAGTACCTTGCGGCGTTGAATGGAAGAACTGTACTTGCCCCCAATGGGACGAGGGACATTTGGTACAGAGGGCTAATGATATTGTCGACCGCAACGCGGGCCACCACCACATCGACGACGAAGAACGACATCGGCGTGTGGAGCTAGAAAGATTTAACCTGATTGAAAATCACGTGTGCGCCCACGAACAATGGGCAGGCCGCCCAGGCCCTCGTGAATGCGAGGAATGCAACCAGGTCCTACCATTGTACATATATGAGTGTCGCCAGTGTCATGTCATGGCCTGCAGACGCTGTCGGTACAACAGACTTTAGCCTTTAAGCTTTAAGGTACAAAAATAAATAGCCTAAGAAATCCGATCTAAGGAACATAAGCCGTCCCACTAATTTCATCTGATACTCTGAGGTGTGGTCAGACATTTGACGTTATCAATTGCCCTTATCTCGCCCAAGATGAATTTGTGCAGGTCAAGACAGATTGGTATGTTGGTCAAACATCAAAGCTCAATGGTTGTTCAAAGAGTGATCTTTTCCAAGGTTGTGTCGAAGGAAGAAGAAGTGGAACCTAGCTACGAGCAGGTCTCATAAAGACTTTCAAGAACCATATTAATCTATAGCCTGATTACGAATTGCTCGATAAATCTGGCGGTGGTTTCGATAGTATAAAGTGATCTACTATTTTCATCTCTTACGCCTCTGGCAGCCAATTTCTCGAGGATTGTGGCAGGCCTTTTGGGTGTCCTGGCCAAGAATCTCTCATGTTCCTCAAGCCATTCAGGGTGGCTACTAGGTAGCAGAAAAGTTAGCCTCCGAACTCTTAGGGTATAAAGATAAGTAGTCTAAGGAGTGTGGCCTAAGTAGCAAAAGATGGCCTACTGATTTAGTCTCTTATGATTTCAGTAGACAAATTTTCCGGTACCCTGATGGACGGGTAGAACAGTTCACGATTCAGATGACGACGATTACTCCGACAACTAGTCCAGGGAGACCATGAAGCTATTACCAGGTATGTAACTCATCATGCATGATCTACAAGCAATTATGTAAGCTATGCATCACGTCCCCTGATAGCTTCAACTATCGGTACGCTACCTCGCATTCCTGTGGACTTGGCATCAATGATGTACAATCCGTCGTGATGAAGATCGAGAACATCCCATTATCGAAGTACCAATGGCAACAATTCCTTGCTTGCATTGTACCAACAACTGCGCAAGCCACCGCTTTGACCTTCAGCCAGCCACATAATCCGATTGGGCTAGTACTGTGTCGATAGTTGTCTGGGGTAGCATGCGCAGCAACCAGTATAAATCGACGATGTGAGACATTGGCTGACTGGATATGCTAAGCGTTACAGAACTATCGATGCATCAAGGAATTATTAGTCTTTCTGAGAGCTGAAGCTTTGGTGGTTGCCGCAGCTAACGACTGGCCAGAGGCCTAGTGCTATGACGGCCCCTGTCCCCGCGCGGGGAGCAAGGGCAGTTTAAGACACGGCTGAGAGATCTTCATGCTTGAGTCTGTCTGTTTGCGACAAAACTAGGGATAAATTTTGAGACTTGATATGCTAGTCGAAGGCTGAATCTGCATGTGAAAGAAGAGGGTTGGGTAAGATGGGCAAGGGTGAGTTCCCCATATCCTTGGTAATGATATAAGAGAACGGCATCGCTCGTCAGGTCAAGAGTAGCTAGTCTTCAGATTATTCCTCTTTTCTTTTGACCATCCTCCACCATGTTGTTCAAGTCTATCTTCATCTCGTCACTCGCGACCAGTGCTGTGGCCATATATCTGCCTGAAGACCATTACCTGGTTAGAGACAACTCGGCTGTGGCGGGGGGACCTACGTGCGACTGCTCTGGTGACAATGTGCGGTACAACTCGACACTCGCAAAGGCCTACATCTGTGGCGACAAGCGTCTTGGTCCTAGCCGTCTTCCAACGAAGCTTCCTCTGGGAACCTTTGTCACTGGCTATGACCGCTTTGGAGGACTGTCTCCAAATGCCTTCCTCGGGAAGTGGTATAACTCTACTGAAGGGCCTGATGGCCGCGAAGCAGGATGGATCTACCCTGAGAAGTACGGCTTTGAGCTTGATGAAGAGAAGCTTCCCATCAAGGCTAACGTCGACTTGATGCCCGGTACACTCGTTGACCGTTTTGGCTACAACACTGGTAAGTAAGCCTGATTCTTGGAATTAACACAATCTGACAAGTATGCACAGGCCGTTACATCTCCCCTGCCACCGCTCCGTTCTCCCAGAGAGCTCTCCACCCCCAGAACCTCGATAACGATGTCAACAAGCAATTCCCCAACAACTACCACGTTTACAACGTGAGCAGGATGTTCACTGTCCAGGCTGGACCAATCAGACCTTGGTTCGGTCAGCCAGGCTTTGGAGTCCAGTTTTTCCTTGGCAATGGCATCAGCGTGAAGGATTATCTCGACAACGGACACTTAGTTGAGTTGAAGCCGTCGGATCTGCTCAAGGACGGAACTGGCTGTGGCTTTGCGCGTGAAGGTGATGATTCAGTCTCCGATGAACTGTAACGTGCTGCACAGAGCTGGAAATTATCTTGACAGGACACACATGATTAAAAAATAATAAAAATTCTTTGTCATATAAATAACGATTGCTGCAAACATAAACGAAGGCTATTTACTTAGATCAAGGCTTCAGGATTCTTGATGAAGCCCTCAATAACAAGAGCCAGTTCACCCAATCGAGCCTCCCAGAACTCCCGGCGCTCTTCGTCAGCCTCAATGCCAATCTGCGTTCTGCCATCCTCCAAAAATGACACAACACGAGGCGGTGTCGCAGGCTCTGGGTGAGGAATTGAATAGTCTACGCGACATTTTGTACCCGCAAAGGGAATTGAGTCAAAGAACTCCTTGTTGAGGTGATTCGTGAAGGATCCGTAGAAGGGAATTTCCGCTGGCCAATCCGTGCATTCCTTGAGGACTTCCTGGAAGCTAAGCGTGGCGTGCTGACTTCCCTCTAGGGACTGGCTTCGTACTGAGTCCAAGAGGTCTGTTGCTGTCCAGTTATCCTCGAACTTGACGCGTACAGGTTGGTATTGGTAGCAGGGACCCATGATGGTGTCAATGCCAGTGACGTCGACGTCGCGACCGGACACAATACCACCGAAAGTGACATCAGACACGTTAAGGTGCTGCGACAAAACCTTGGCCCAACCTGCAGTAAGCAGCATTGCATGTGTAGTGTTGGGCGAGGCTCCAGAAATGTCCACATCCTTTGTCATGAAGGCGGTCTTCTTCCGAGCATCCGCAGCGGGGGCAATCTCAGTGTATGAGGATCCCTGGAGAGCCTTGCGCCAAAACTCGACGTTCTGAGGCTTGACGGCGGAAAGATTTTGGATGTATGTCTCGAAAGGCTCCAAGGATGGGATCTCTAGACCTCGGTATCGAAGCTCGAGTTGGCGGAGGAGCTCGGGCAGAGAAACACCGTCGTACTGAGCGTGAGAGATTCTGATGACGAAGGCATTCTCAGTCTCACCACGAAGAACAAACAGGCGGATGAAGGAAGATCCATGAGTAAGATCGGTGCTGCTGTTGATATCCGATTCAGCGAGCTGCTTGGCAGCGGCGTCAATTGAGCCCTCAACACTTTGTTCTGTAACAGGCACCTTCAGGTCATCAAGCACGACCTGCAAAGTCTGTCCTTCATGCTGGACGAATACAGTTCGAAGAATGGCATGCTGCGAAACAAGGTACTGGAAGCTGTCAATTAGTCGGGCAGTGTCAATTGACTGGTCCAAGTAGAGCATATTGTATTGAACGGAGCTTCGTGGTGCGAAAACCGATTGCTTGACATCGCCAGCTTGAGGTCCAGTCGCGGGCAGAACGTCTTTGATCTTCCACGCTGGATCTACCAATTGAGGCTGGATAACCTTCACCAAGAAGTCATCGACATCCTTCGTGTCCAGCAATGAAAAGGCAGTGTACTTCTTAGTTGAATCATCACTTTCTGTTGAGATCTCAACCAGAGAGTCAGCCATACCTCTAAGTTGCATGTTCTGGAAGATACTCGTTACAGAGAGACGGTACCCTTCTTGTCGCAGAGCCGAGACCATGCGCATGGCCACAATTGAGTCACCACCCAGGCGAAAGAAGTTGTCATCAAGCGCGAGCTTTTCCTCTTCAATGCCAAGGAATTTGGACCACGAAGCGCGAAGCACGCGCTCCTTTGTGGTCAATACGGTGGTGTCGGCGATTGTCTTTTTGAGCGACGCGAAAGACTTGCGTAGCTCGACTACCAGCGACAAAGTGATGTTCTCAGCAACATTGTCGATTGAACCGATATCTACAGAGTCACCCAGAGGAATGCAGATTGACGGAATTGCGTAGGGCGGCAGAGTCTCAACCATGGCCTTGTTGAGACCGATGATGGCAGTCGCAAGCTCAACTGAAACAGCCTGCGACAAGGGCATTGAAGCATCACTGGTGTCCAGACCAAGCTTGAGCGATTGAGCATCCTTAGTAGACGTCTCTTGGACGAAAGCAACCACCACAGGTGTCTGGCTGCTGGAGCCCTTGGGGACAGCAAGTCTGCTGACAGCCTTGGCGTTGCTGGGCAGAAGTCGCTTGAGCTCAAGATCGGTAGCGTTAAGATCCACGACACGTCCATCTACGCTGGTCATGGCATCTTTCCGACCGATAAATACCAAGCTCATATCATCAATATACTTGACGAGATCTCCAGTACGGAACAGTTTGCCCTGTCGTCCTGGGTATCCCATCGCACCCTCCTTGAGCCACTCGGGAGTATCAATAACATTATCGCCAGCCAAAGCGGAGCCCTCGAGAAGGAGCTCTCCAGTGCTTCCCAGAGGCATGAGAAGCTTTTCGTTACCGGGCTGAACGACCCAAGGGACATATTGGACAGTAGGGTACTTGTCGCCAGCGGACAAGAATCTGGAGATATCCTTGGGAGATACAGGTGCGTGCTTATTCGTTTCCCAAATTTGTCCAAGCTCCTCCTCGCCCAAGCATGTGAGTTCGTTCAATGAGCGCGACGTGTCACCGCGAAGCTGGTTAATAGCAACTTCAAACTGCGACAACACGCGCTCAACTTGCACATGGCTCAAGAGCTCCGAGTCAAAGCTTGCCAGGAGTCGGAAACCCGTCTTTT